CCCCCTATGCAGGGCGATTGATTTCGTCGGCACTTGTTCTCGGGGACACTACGTAGCTACTTAACTAGGGAGCTGCTTTCTCGTGTCCGAGAGGGAAGCCCAAGCTTCGAGGAGATGAGATCCTTTGAGCCCCTTCTCGCAAGCCCCCAGAGATACGTGCCGAGCCTGGGGCTAGGCCAGTGATACATAGTCATAGAGGAGGAGCACTCGATGACTCTCATCGTTTCGACTCGGCTCTCCAGACGGGGTAATATTGTAGTGCCTAGGCAACATATACTCACTGTGCAAGCCGTGGATCAAGCCACCCTGCCAGGCAGACTAATTACTGGTACGTAAGGTCGAACCGTGCGTCCCTCGGGCTCGAGGTGCTTGATCGGCGAAGGCATGCGGAGCTGATGCGACTCCAGTCGTTAATAGCGACTGCCCCACGGAGTACCGACAGTGACAACGCTGACAAGTGACCCGATGTTGCTGTCATCTTGGTTAGATGCTGTGCTCGCACGCTGCAATGTGATATGTGACAGCTCGCGCACCGGTGAAGGATCTGACATCGGGTTAATTAGGCAAGCGCTCTACGAATCAAGCGCATGAGCTTGCGAGTTCCAAGACCCTTGGGCCTGTCCTCGCGGCTCCAGTCGTATAAGTCATGGAAGACAGAAAGGTGTTGGGCAGCTGTTGGTCAGCTTATACGTCCAAGTGACACAGCAGGAACGTTCCTTCCCTTGTAGACGCGTGTCAAAACTTGGCTGTGCGCGCGTAGGTACGTAAGGACGTTGTACGTAGCAGGGTGCCTGTACGGAATACTGTTCAAGCCTAACTATAAGACTCGAGACTTGTGAGTTCCATAAAGCGCCATTTGTGGTTGTCAGAAATGTAACCAAAATTACATGAAATCTCTGGGGGGTACCCATGGCCCCATGCTGAGCAGGACCATGTCCATGTCCCTCCATGACTCTGTACGAGTCTGCCGGCGGAGCACTTGATGTGTTGATCGACTTGGCTGGCGCTAATCAGGCCTGTCAAGCGTCTGGAGTCTGACAGTGCGACGGCCTTGCATCCAGAATTGCAGATTGCAGTCAGCAGACATATCCTCGTGTAATCCCGTCGGCGCAAGGCACAGAGCAAGATCGATCGGCCGGGGACCCGACGCAACTTCCTGGGAAAATACCCGAGATATTGGAGGTACACTGTACCTGGTACCGTGAACCAAGTATCTCACAGCAATGACTAAGGTAGGTGGACAGCAGAGTGCCCCCCGAAGACCGGTGTACGGTGTGACCAAGCGAGTTCTTTTCTGGCCCCATCCAGCTCAACCCGGTCACGAGCTTTGCTCGCAAGCCGACGATAACAGCGAGCGGGCTCTGGTCCTGCCGAGAGCGGGCCCTGCATGACGTATAGGGATACCCTGGACAGATGAATCTCGTGAGAACCCGAAGGTCTATTCCGTACGTATCCCGATACAGGCCATCCCAGCGCACCGAACATTGAACAGAACGCTTCCCGCCATCGCGTCCCAGAAACACAAAGAGCCCTCGATGATGTTCGCCTGCCTGGAGGTGGTTGGCAAACGTTGCTGCGATACCGTCTTCGGTGACAGAACGGCTGGGGCCGCTTTTATTTCAACTCCAGGGTCTTGCCTAGTACGCCCTCTGCACCAAGGCTTAATGGGACTGGCGTCGCGCGAAACACCCTAGCTGAGCGGCGAGCCCAATAAAGCCAGCCAGAAGACGACTGTCACCGTGTGTCAGGGACCCGCGCCGCCCTGGGCAGATTTGGCACCGTTTGTGTTGATGACGGAATTGACGGGGCATCCGCCCGAGTGTAGCCTGGAACAGATCGGTCAGCTTGTGGTTCGACGGAGCCACATCTACGTGTATGATGGTCCGGTCCGATGGGGGATCTCATCTACACCCACAACGTGGCCACGCATGTATCGGGAGCTTGTCGTGATGACCTGCGACACCATTGTGCATGCATCGTGACAGCGAACGATCCCAAATTCTGTGTACACAAAGTACCGTAGATGCAGTCTAGCAACTTTTTGTGTGTGGTTACGGATACTGATGGGAGCAACGCTCCTCGTGCGGGCGTAGAGGGAGCAAATCAGCGGCCAGCCTTCTACACCACCTTGCGCAGCCCTTGCGGCCGATTGCATTCGATACAGCGGCAGTGACCCGATCAAGCGGGTCGGGGTCCTAGACTGCTGGAGGGGAGAGGGGACTGGGAGCACCACGTAACCATTAATTCTCGGCTGCCAACATTGATCACAACTCACAAAACCGCAGCGGGCGCAGGCAGCAACGACTACTTGTAGGGACAGTGAGGCAGGCGTTGGTTCTCGGTGTAATATTAATGTCTGGAGGCTCATATTGTTCAGCATCTTGTGTTGGCATCGAGAACCAAGTGCGAACAAGATCAGGCTTCCTTGCCCTCTGACGGTCTAATTGCAATCGTGAACGCACCGCACGCCAAACTTTGAGCTCCGCCACGAGGTATTAGCCTCGCCTCACGTCGCTCACGGCACAGCCTGCAACGGGCTGGGCTGAGCGGCGTGAGTGTGTGCCTGGTGTCCTGGAGGAAGGAATTTTTGGAGATGGCTACAGGACACACTTCAAGATACCGAGCTACCGGCGGTACACATATCACAGTCGCACGGGGTAGCGGCGAAGCTGGTTCAACCGTTCAAGTAATGCCGCGGAATTGTCTCGAGTGTAGTTAAGCAACCATGTCCCTTTTTTCCTTACCATTTTACTTTTTACACGTAGATCCAACGGTCCAAAGAAGGAACTCCTTGAGTTCTTCTGGTGCACTGGATCCGCCCACCTGCACCACAATACCATAGGTATCGGGTCCATTACTAGGTAGTATTGGTGTGGATGCGATCGCGATTCTGGGACCAGCACCAACAAGTACTTCCTGCAGCTCTCACTTGTGGGACGTGGTCAAGTATTTAGCCACTATCCATCCAGATTGTGCTGAGGGTACATGTACCTTCATGTAGGAGTACATACGAGCATTACGTAGCTTCATCGAGGCGTCAGGGGTGTCGGCCCCCTCAAGAACTTGATCCAGACGGGCCCAATCGAGCCACGGCCGCCGGCCGGCGATCCATCAAATCTGAAGTCTCCCGTGTGTCCTGCAATGGCTCCATCGCATCTCACTCTCTGCCATCTGGACATGTCAGATCGGACACCCCACCCCCCTTGAGGAGACCAATCTTTGCTGTCTGTCTTGTCTTGTGCAGTTGTGCTGCGTGGTTATGATCTTGGCTCTGTGTGTCTCTCGACTGGCTCTCACTACGCACACAGGATGCATTCGTGATACCATGCCGCAGCCCACGCACCTACATGTACTTGCTTGGCCAACATGTCAGACCTCTGCATGTGCAGCATGTTTGACGTATCTATTCTGGCCCATCCCACCAGCGATGTTCGTCGGGTTGTCTCGCGGTCATGTCTGTTGCGAGAAGTATGCGACAGCAGAAAAAGAACAGAGGTGGGGAGCCCGGCCACAGAACTGCCGCCCGCCCTCAGGCTGTTAGCGGTGGACGGGGGTTCTTTCCTTCCCCCCCACCTGACCACACACTGCACTTGTGCCAGGTGCCACTGGCTAGCGGCCACTCACTCAACCTCGGGCGGGGAGGGGGGACCACAGCGCAACGGAAGGAATCGTACGAGTAATTCTGATCGATTGATTAGGGTGCTTCGCAATGACTCGTCCAGATCCAGCCACGACTCCGAACGACATGGGAGGCGGCATTAGGTGCAGTACCGTATCCTTGTTGTCTGGACTCTGGTTGGTAATAATACCACGCACTGCCCGTGAGTGGAAGTCAGGGGCTGCCCGCGCGCTGCACACTGCGAACGCTACGTAAGGACAACTTATTGTGCCTTAGGTGGCTACTATGTAATGGTACATGTACCTCACAGTTCGCACCTGGCCTGGCCTGACAGCAGTGGTTGGACCCACCGGCGCGCGGCGGCAACGCGCGCACGAGCACACTAATCGCACGACAGGAAGGCCTCAGGCTAGGCTAGACTTGGTGTGGGCCCCACCTCCAGTCCCATTGATTTGATCGCGCGTCAGATCTTGACCACCCTCCACCCTGACCGCAGCATGGCCCGGGTCGATGTCGCTAGCTCCAGTGACCATCTCTCGCACCCGCTCAGCCGTCGTCACATCCATCCACCGACTAGGAAGGGCCTTGCAATCTGTCTCAACCATCTATCCATCATCCTTTGCGCTCGACAACAGCCGGATCGCTTCTTCTTCGACTTCCGTCATCTTTTGCTGCTCGCCCGAGTGAGTGTGCTTGCTCATTCTACCCGCCTGTGACCGACCCAAGAACGATTCGCGCCTGGTTGGATTCTCCCACGCTATCTACCTAGCGTTAGGCATCTTCCTCGTCTCCAGTCCCCGTGCCCTTCCGGCCAGTCAGTCGCCGGGCCTCGCTCGCCTTGCGCTGTCTATTGAATTTTGCCAGCGGCCTACCTCACCACCTGGCACCACCCGCAACATTCCAGTCGCCTGGCCCCGTTCGCCCCAAAACCAGATCTCAAACAGCATCACACCTTGCAAGTGCGCCAGATCTGGTGTCTGCCTACGACCAGTTGCAGCAAGAGCACAAAGTCAATTCTTCGGTGCCTCTCTTGCTTGCTGCTTTGATTACCAACCTGGCTCTGCCCTGCCCTGTCCTGTACTGTCTTGCCCGCCGCCCGCAAGACTAGACGAGACAATCATATTTCAACATTGCACCCAACCTCGCACTCCTACTGCGCAGTACCTCATTTATCCGCATTGATTCGATGGGCATCGTGTGCCAGCATTCCACACGTGCACTCCACACCAATACTGCCCATTGCCGCTACAGACCTTGACACGACTCGTGCGCGACTACGTCGTCCATCAACCCGTCGTTTCTAGACGACCAATGCCTCGAGCCTTCTCGAGTCCACCCAGCACGACTTCTCGACGACTTATTGTCACTCGGGAGACACGCAATGGAAGCAGCTGAGCCTGGATCTGCACCTGCCTGGCACAATAGGTATGTACTCTCATCTACGACAAGAGTTGCAACAGTACTCACCTTGGACTGAACCCTCCCTCTTGGCTGCTGCCCCTCCCTGACACATCGTGCTATTGCCATGCCGCAGGCTAACAAGCTGTTTTTCACACAGCGCAACGATTTCGGCACTCGCCCACGCACCGAAGCAACCCTCAGAGAAACTTCGTCCTCAGCCACCACCGCAAGCCCCGTCGCGTCAACATACGCAATATCGTGACGGCCTCGAGCGCTCGCAACAAGATCGTCCTGCCATGGCCGCGGCCACGGCGACCGTCCTACAGCCTGCCGGCGCCTACCCACCCGCTCCATCCTACTCCTCGACGTACACGAACCAAGCTGGTGGCATGATGCCCTTGGCGGACGCGCGCCGAGGCGATGGCCTCGAGCCGACCGAGGCCGCAAAACGACAATCACTGCCATCCCTGTCCGAAGTCATCAACAAGAATCCCGACTATCCACGTCCCCATCCGCCTTCGGCAGGTCCCGCTCCTCCTGCGACTTCGATTCAGCCAGGCACCAATTTCCCATCGCCATACGCACCCTCGGGGTCCCTGCGGTCGTACGCGGACAGCAGCAGCAAACACACATCGCCGCAAAATATGCGTTCCGCGTCCACATACCCCCCTCGACCAGAACCTCTGTCCTCCTTTGCCGAATCCCCCCGACCAGCGCTGAATGGGAGGCCTATACTACCACCTGTTCCTAGCAGGCGGCCAAGCCCGCCTCAACACCATGATGTGACGCATTCATATGGAACCGAACAGCCGAAAGACCCCCGGCAGTCGGTGAACGGTGTATACCAGCATCCCCCACCACCAGCCCCGCCGCAACACCTATCCTCAGCCACGTCTGGGTATCCTACGGGGCCTCCTCCGCCTGGGCAGCTGCCTTTGCCTCCCTTTCAGTCCCCGAGACAAACACACATGGCTTTCGAATCGTATGAGCATCGTCGGCAGCCAGAGCACGAGGGCCACGACAGGGTCAACCGGGTGGAATTTGAGGGCGCTCCTTACTCCGACACCATAGTGTACAGAGAGGGTCTTGCGCGGGTACGTACCGCCAATCGCTTGCTTGACGGGCTCCCTCGCAGGACGATCTGGCTAACAAGCTCACAGATGGCCAACCACGCCAAGACACTGCTTAATTTTGCTGATGCCTATAGCGGGCTTGCCCGCGAAGAGCACGGCAGTCATCCGATCCCCGAACGAATGCCCACCGAGAAGGAGATCAATGACGTCGTCAGTTACGTGGACGCCATCAAGGCCGACCTGGACAGTGTGAAGCATATCATGTACAACGCCATACAGAATCGCGAGCAGCCCCCGCGGAGGGCATACGCCGAAGACCACGATGCCGCGGTGTACGAAGAGAGCATGAAGTTCAACCACCAAACAGTCCTTCCCGAGAAACGTAAGCGAGGAGTACGTCGAGATACCTTTTCCATGGATAGAAAGACACAGTGGCTGACAGTTTTCTTGTAGCGCGTTGCGCCTCCCGGCAGATGTCACAGCTGCAACCGCGTCGACACCCCTGAGTGGCGGCGGGGACCTGACGGCGCGAGGACTCTGTGCAATGCTTGTGGGCTGCACTATGCCAAGCTGGAGAGGAAAAGGCTTATAGAACAACGAACGATTGCCGCGACAATCGACGCAGGCAACTGACAGGGATTCCTGCTTGGGTGCATAGTGTGAACCTGCGCCACACTACGAGCACGAAGCCATCATCGCGGCGAGGACCGACTGTCACGCAAAATGGAATGGAGTGGCGGGTGGATTTTCAGTTTTCAAACTATAGACATGGGTTCGGGTTGTGGGTTATCAGCTGTATATACGTGAGGAACTGGCATTCCTGCGGTCAAACCCAAGGAGGCAGCATCAATGGCGTTTGGGGGGATTGATTACATGGGGCTGATTCAGTGCTGGGCAAGGAGCCAGTATTTGTTTTGTTTTTTCCTACTACTTTTTGGACATTTTGGAACCATGATGGATCCAGCTTGAGGCGACATTGGGGTTTTACATGGGGTGTTCAGGCAGGCCGGAAGACTTGCGATCAAAGGTGCCGTCATTTTATCATAGACAGTGAGAGAAGGAAGGTATAGCTTGGACCAAAGTTCGCTACATACCGGCCGCACGGAAGGGACGTCTTGGCGGACACATGTCTAGCAAAGCCAATCCGGGAATTCGGCGAACCCCTGTGGTGTTATCTCTCCCTTTGTCTGCCGCCGTCGGCGCGCCTGACATGCATGCTCGTGTTGCGTATCGCCGCATTCCCCGCGATACCTCTATGAGCGAGGAATGCTGGTGGTGGTGGGGTCACGGGGTCTTCTTGCAGTATTTGCTTGGCTGCACCATGAGTACACATTGAATTGCCAAATCTTGACATGTCTCAGAGCACTTTGTCCCACCGTCTTGCAGAAGGTCCTCCATCGGCCTCGGCACATGGCATGGCGGCGGCCGGCAGGCACGATCTCGTAAAGTACGTAGATGGAGGTGAGGGACAACACCTGCGGGGCAAGCTGCAAAGCGGGAAGTGAGAAGGGTGGCAGTAGTACTCTGTACAAAGCTGCACATGTGGTTTGTACGCGTACGTAGTTCATGTGCACGCCACAAGATGAGATATCGACGCGATGCGTTGTGCGCAGCTTGAGTAACCTTGGGTCAATCACTCGCCATTAGCTGAGTAAGTACCACGTAGTCCAGGTACTCTGCTTCTCCCATCCCACAGTCCATGTGTCGCACTTCAAAGGCTCAACTGGCATTTATCACTGGGAAACATTTGTTAGAGGCACTAGAGATGCAAGCCAACGTACGTACGATTCGCGAAAGACGGGGGCCGCTTGGTTTGCGTAGAGCGAAAGGAAAAAAAGAAAAAAAGGATCATCCACACGAAAAAGCAACGAACGAGCAGTGGTTGAATCGGCAATGTGGGACTGGCGTGATTCTCACATCGACTAACGAGACTAGTAACGCAGTTTGATCTGTCATGCAGCGAACCAAGAGGAGGGTGCAGGACGAGGGCTATCAATTGCTTTGTGACTGACTGAGAGGAAGAGAAGGGGGGAGAATGAAGCCTACCTATCCTCGGCCTACTTGGCTCAGCCAAAGCCTTCATCAGCGATTCAGGAGAACAAATTGATTTAGTCCATGTCTAGTGCTAGCTAGCAACGACTGGGACCTGTCAGACACGCCGGAAGCGGTCCCCTTCCCCCGGCGCTACACGGTGCCACTAGAGAACCTGACGCAGGGCGCGAAGGCAAAGAAAAGGAGAAGAAAAGAAAAGAAAGAAAGAAAGAAGCGTTCTAGGGGAGTATAGTGGTTGATGACTGGGCATGCACGCAGTGAGGGCGAGCACCGAGCAAGCCAGCTGCAGTAGTGCTTGCGAAAGGTATCAAATTGATATTACTAATCTCGGAACGGTGAATCTAGCGATCCAACAAATAGTAGATCTCACTCCCTCCGCTGTTCCGGTCCGATCGGATGACCCCCCTCTTCTCTCCTCATCGTTGTTCCTTGGCTACTTACATAGGAGTACTGGCTGCGGAGTTCCTTGACTCCTCCTTCACTCACTCACCCGCCGCCCTCCACTGACATCACGTGCCCACCGGTTCTTCTTGCGGTAATGTCTGTGTAGTATTTAGCCCTAACTTACTGCACAGTACTTCGTGACAGAATGGCCGTTCTAATTATTCAAGAAAGCGCCTTGCATATGGTGGCTGTTACTAGCATAAAGGCTAAGGAAGGCGGGACAGATAGGCCACGAGGTGATGTATCTGTACGAGTCTCAGAATTGTACACATACCAACCGCTACAGCTACTCCGTACTAGTACCTTGAAACGCCCGCGGGCAGAGAAATCTGGTCTCTCTCCCCATCGTGCCCTGGGACACGGAAATGGCAGGCTGGACTTTGCTGCAACCAACGACTTGTTGACAGGGCAGACTGAGACTCGTCACTATCACAGACAGCAAGGGCCATTCAACCATAAGAAAAGAGAGAGACACGGGCAATCGTCCCACGATACCTGACCGACGACATGGATCTCGCAGCCCAGCGCCTCAGCCGCTTGTCCCGTGTCTCGGCCGTGGGTGGGTTGAAGTTTGAACCCGTGATGGGATCATTGCATAACGAGGCTTGTACCCGGAGCCATGTGCTCGTGATGAATTATTAGTCCTATATGCCGGCCATGACCGGGCGTTATGCACACAGATCCAGACACCTTCGTGCATGTACGTAGCACATGCGCCAGCGACCGACATATGCAAGTACGTACGTAGTGTGTCCGCCACGCGATGCCATCGATAGCGGGCGCCACGAGGGCTTGAGCGCTCTGCGGCTGATACGTAATGGCACGAGGCGAGATCTCACACCGCAAACAGACCCCTTGATGTCACGATACTCCATATCGTATGCATGCTTTAGGTAATGTTGTTTAGCGCCCAGGTAATATATCGTGACTCGCTCGCTCAGATACAGGGACCGCCACAATGGAAAATGCTTGGCCGCTCGGCCACCATCAATGACTCCATCACCACACACACGCGCGCGCGCACACGCACATGCTCACTGCCCACACTTGCAAACGGGATGGCTGCGTAGCTTAGGTCATCTCTCGAGACCGCCCGCGCTCAGCTGGCACCGCTGCCGTCCTCGATCCAGTCGCTCTTACGCTTCCTGGTCTCAGATGGCGACCCGTCGACGCCAGCAACTGCGCCATTCTCATCACCGCCTCCGCACCCCCCTCGGAAATTGCCCAGCAGCTTGGGAAGACCGGGAATCCCGAGACCAGCAAAGTTCCGACCCTCATTCTCCCGCTCGCCAATCGCAATGGCCGCCCCAACGAGGTCGTGCGTGATCTTCTCGTCTACCACGCTGTCTTGCTTGTAGTTGGGATGCGCAGCAATAAAGTTGCGCATCCAGCGGGCAGTCGTGTCGAGCTCGCCACTCGAGCGCTTGCTGATGAGATCGAGGTAGGTTGCCAGCTCACAGCGCGTCTCGACATCGACATTGACGCTATCGAGGTAGCTCTCCACAATGGGAACCAACCCGGGAAATTCGCCATCCATTGAACCGTTGATGATCTCGTTGACGGTCATCTCTTCGTACTCGTCCTCTACCAGACCTGGCGATGCAGGACGGCTGGGCATGGCAGACCCAGGCCGACTGTCATCACCGAATACGGTGTTGGCTCGCGATGGCCGTGCCGGGAACGGGTTCTTGCGGAAATAGAACTTTTCTCGAAGCACCCCATCCAAGGCATGTGCCCTCTCCATGTTCTCATCCACCCTCTTGATGGGCACGTAGAAGTTGAGATCAAATGACAGGATCGCCCTCGTGACCAGTACCATGAAGACGGAGAACGCAGCATTCTCAAAGTCCGTAATTTGGATCTCCATCGAGCGGAACTCGACGCGCCACCCAATGCTGTTGTCCGCTGGTGGTGGCTTGAACCGCATGTGTTGCCAGTTGGTGGACTGAATATTCTCAAAATGGTCCGTCTTCTTCAAGTCGAGCTCCTCCAAGTCCTCTGCAAAGATGACAATGGGGTCGCGGATGAACAGATGAGCAAAGTGAGTTGCCAACAGGTCGTCCATACCGCCGTCCATCAGTGTCTGCTTGATTTCAGGATCAAACACCAGATCGGGATCCAGATATTCTGGTCGTAACCGGGCATCCTCGGCAATGTACGTTGAATTGGAAGCATAACGCGACTTGGGAATCCGCCACCGGTCATTCTTCAGCGGCTAAACCAGTCAGTACGACCGTCCTTCAGGGGAACCCAGTCAACTTTACCTTCTCACCCATCTCTTCGGGCGTTCGGCAGTCGACTGCGTTAGATATCTGGTTCCATCGGACATCTGTGTTGGCCAAGAAGCCCTTGTATACCGGCGTGGCTGCTGTGAGAGCTAGCATGATTGGCCCCAGGGGGCTTAGTTGGTCGTACATTTGCCGTCCCTCTGTGATGTTCTTGGCCTGGAACGTGATCTGCAAGCAGCAGCTTCCCATTCCGAACGCCATGGCATCCATGTGGATATGGTCATCCGGCGCGGCGCCATTGCGCACATCGTCGTCCTCGGGCCACTGGTGGAGGTCAAAGTCGACCGTTGGGTCTTTCCACGGCTTTGGTGTGTTCTTGTCGTGGAACACGGGTACGTTGACCTGCACTTTGCGGCCTCGACGGGATCGAATGTTAGCAGCTAACGTGGGGAAGCGAATGTGAGGGTTCGCAATCTCGTCCGGCACGAATTGCGACCGCAGCCTCGGCCCAGAGATGGGATATTCTGGAAAGGTGAACTGCCCTGGGCTGCCGATGCGTGGGAACGTAGTGAGAGTGATGGGGTACTCGGTGGGTAGCATGTGCTCCTTGGCGATCCTTCTGCGCAGCTTCATGTCAGGCTCGACGCCCAGGAGCTCTTTGAATCCTATTCCCCAGGGCTTTCCTGGCGTTGCCTCCAGCATGAATCTTCCAAATTCAGGATGGAATACCGGCACGGGCTGGGATCTATCCAGGTTAGTGTTCACGAATCCCCCATCATGATCTGCGACTCACTGAGTCTGCTTGAGTTCCGCATCCTGCCCCTCGGCTGTGCATCCGCCCTTCTTCGCAAGCTCGGCATCGCAAGCGAGTGCATCAAGGATCTCGGCTTGCCGCAAAGATAGGAGTACCTTGGATCCCTCCTTTTCGTATAGCACAACGAGATATTCGACCTACAGTGATTGGTCAGCCATGTGTCCCCGCCTGTCGAGAATGGCACTTTCACTGACCTCGTCGCCCCAGAGAAGAGCATCACGCTCCTTTCCCTTGGCCTTGTTCCATATCTCCAACAGTTGCAGGATGCCCCATTCTCTGACCTGCTGCGCTCTTTTTCTGGCCTCTGGCCAGTCCAGGGCTGTACCCAGCGCTCTGCAGCATGTAAGCGACTGTTCGCCATGAGGTTGCCAGATGATATACTCACAAAAGACCCATCGAGATGCTTTCCTCCTTCTACGCCTGAGAGGCTTTCGGGACCAAAAAAAGGAAAATCAGAATCAGGCGTGACAGGCGCTAAGATCTAATGAGCAAAATTTCACATGCGCTCACGTCACCACTCTGCTCCCACAATCCGGTCGGTCTATCGCCTAGCAAATCAGGAGAAACTCCGACAAAAAGGTGTGGTGGTTGAAGTAGGCACGACGTTCGTCGCGGTTCAAATATGCTCACGCGGCTCGTTATCCGCATGCGTATCCGTATGGCGGATTGACCAGTGCTGGCGACAAGATCCCGAATTGAACCCCGCGCCATTCGACTGACGTCGAATAAGGCTCACCAGATTTCCGGATCTAGGAGACCAGAGCACCCCCAAGCGAAAAGTGAAAAGCAGGAAAGCCTCAAAAGACAGGACACCTTGGGCGAATGGTGCTCGTCCTGATTGCGTGATGGAGGCGTCAGAATGTGCCACGCTATTATTGCATCCAACACCTGTACGGAGTAAATAGAGCTTAATAATATGGGGGACTTGGGTTTTTTAATGTCGCATCGATAGCGGGTTGAATCACTGTTCTAGAAATCCGCGGTGGACCCTCGAGGCACGCGTTGCCGTGGGCCGTTAAGTTGGCTTAGAAATCGAATCAGCTCCAACTGTCGTCCCCCATGCGGTCAGACCGTCCATGCTCACTCACATTGCGGAGTACAGACTGTGCAGCAGCGGACATTCCTTGTGGTTCGGCGCTTGCCGTGGTGTCGGTGGTGCGCGAGGCGGTATTGCACCATCACCGTGCCGCCATTCTGGCAGCACAAGCGCAAGCTAGCCTCGGGTGGTCGGCGTGCGTACGTTTGAGCAATTGATGGAGATGTAGGCTTTGAGGATAAGATAGTAGCTGATTATGGCAAGGCAGCAATGATGATTTACTTCAGCATCGAGTGGCGGTTGATTTAGGTAATAAGCTGAGCTGGGCTTCCAGCAAGAGTCGAGGCCTGCGTGGTTGCGCCTTCCGCGTCTTCAATGCTTCACAGTGGCGATCATGTGACAACGTCGGACGCTATCCGCTCGCGACCAGACGGCTGGAGACCAAGCAAGAAAGCGCTTTTCCGTCATACCCCTTACTTTGGTAGTACAGCTGAATATAATTATCACCCTGCAGTCATGAGTCGAAACATGTGAAACTATCGTCAACCAGCATTGGTCAGGCTGCAATAGCATTTGCAATCCGCATTACCGCCCATCTGACCAGCGTACAACATCCGCCGGTCTCTCGGGCTGACATCTCCTCTCCAACATATACGCCGATGACCCGACACTCCCACTTGCGCCTTTATACTGTCTATCTCTAGAACAGGCCGCAGCACAACACCGGTATTAATACAGTCTCAGGGACTCTAGACCCCGTCATAGCTTGTCTCGCACAAGCGGCCATATGCACTGCTGGTGTCTTGGCCGAATCATGCCAAGTCTTTGGCGGCGCTCTCTTCCAGCCAGCTTACACCCGTGTCGCCAGTTTAAGGACACCGTATGTCCACATAAATAGGAGAATGTGCCTTGCAGCCCCCTTAGTTATCCAACAACCGCCTGCCCGTCCATTCCTCTGTCTCTGTAGCGCCGCAGTGTAGCATGATTGGGATACACATCTCACGCTTCCGCATGATCTTTGGTTCGTTCGTATTATGAAGGGCTTGCCTGGGTCGCAGTCTCGCATGTATGATGTGGGCTGTCGGCAGTGGCGTCGGGTGCAGCAGGCACGTGGGCTTTCGCGTTCGGGCGACCTGGGCCTGGCTGCTGCGTATTGTCGACTCATGGCCGCCTTCTCCAGCAGAATTAACCTCCCTCCAATCAACGCGTCTCGGAGTAATCGTTGAGCGCCACGCAGACGGCTCCACGATGATGCCCATTGTATTGGCGGATGATCTGTTGGCCACTGACCTCCCACAACCGCGCATAATGGTCGGAACAGGCAGTGACAAGATACGCCGAGTCCGCGCTGAAAGCGCAGTCCCATACCCAGCGCTGATGGGCAGTCAGGGTCGCTTCGAGCGGAAACGGCTTGGCCTCCTCATCGGGGCGTGGTTCGATATTCACCACCTCCCAGATCTTAGCAGTATGGTCCGCGCTGCAGGTGGCGAGCTTCTTCACGTCCGGGGATAGGAGAATCCTGGTAATGTGGTTCTGGTGAGCGCTGAACTGGGTGACGGGGAGGAGCTGCGTGCGATCGTAGGACTGGATCAGGTGCCAGACGATGACGTTTCCCTATGCACAATTAGCCGGCTGGAATCGACGGCACTTGGAACAACCACATACTTCATTGTTCGCTGCGCAAAGCAAAGACCCGTCGCTTGCGACTGTTACGCTCGAGACGGACACGTCCTCTTGGGGGATCATCTCATGCGAACAATTGTTCTCTGCGAGGTCCCAGATGCGCACGCTTCCCGCTCTGTCGCAGCTGATAATCTCGCCCTGGTTCGGGTGAATCACCACGTCGTTCACCGGGCTGCCATGACTGTAGGAGCGCTGAATCGTCCCCGTCCGCGTGTCCCAGATCTTGACCGTACCGTCCTCCGAGCTCGTCACCATCCATTTCCCTTCGCAGTGAAAAGCCACGCCTGTGACGTTGCCCGTGTGGCCTTCGAAGGTGAGGAGCGCATTTGGGTTCGTTGACTTGATATCGTACAGCTTGACACTGTGGTGGCCGGCGGCGGCAAGGAAACGCTTATCGGGGGAGATACACAGGCGGTTGACTTGCGAATCGGGATGTTGGATTGTCCGGGAGCAGATTCCCGACAGTGCCTCCCAGAACCTGATCGTATGGTCGTAGCCCGCTACATTCCGTGTTAGCAACTTCGCCTGGCTGTCCAAGTGGTTTTCCGGACGTGTCCATACCCGTGCATAGAATGACAGACATTGTGCTTGTCGATGGCCAGCTTGGTTTCCGCTGAGCAAAGTATTGGGCGACGACGAGTGCGTAATCTCAGTGCAAGTATAAATTGCACTCGAGCGCGCCTCGGTGCGATCAAGCGCAAAGCTTCCAACAATTTATAGATTGGGGTAGAGTGCGATCAGGTGGGCGGTATCTGGGGCCGCGCAGGCGCGCGGCGCATACCTTAGACCCCTCTTTAAGTAGGTTTGGTGGATATGATACTAATATGCATCATGGCTTAACTACGTTTGATGCATAAGCACTGAGACCTGAAAAGCTACCTACGACTGCGGCCCGAGCCGAAGCACTCCATGCCGGTGTCAGTTTTACTCGCCTGCCTTCAGTTTTCATTGCGAGATCCAGCTTGGAGGCTTCCACCCTGGCTATGCTTCTTGTGAAAGGGTTGACCTAAACTTGTTCGCCAATCTCGTGGTACGCTATTACTGGCATCATATGATCAGATGCCGATTGTACCGTTTCCGGGGTCAAGAACATCGAGCCTCTCCAAGAGTCCAAAGTTCTGGGAACTTCCCCCTGCAGTCGAGCCTTTTTCCAGACTTGCACCTCTACGTGCTATTGTCCGGGGCGGTTTCTGTCAAAAATCACATGGACATGTCGTGTACCCCGGCGAAATGTCAACCTACGTCACTGCGAGCTTGAGTTCGGCGCGCTGCAATGGCAGCGTATCATTGGACTTAACTTCGTCACTGGGCTCGGGACTATCATGGCAAGGAAAGATGGTATTATGTACACGCTGAAAAATGGCTGGGCGTCACTGTCTGCTCGATTGTAATATGGTACGATCTAGCTTGGTTCATACCATGCACTTTACTCCACATCCAATGAGCCACAACGAAAGAATGTCACCCGCCATCAACATGTAGCGTCTAAACGAATGGATGGCGCCCCTAGCATCCTTGTCTAGGCCTCGATTATTTGAGAGAACATAACCTAGGGAGATGGCCAAGCCAACGCGCTCTTCCCCGAAATACTAAACACTTCGTCATGTCCCAATGCCTCCAGTGCTGGAGCCGCCGGTACTAGGGCCGCCAGTGCTGGGGTCTCCAGAATCATTGCTGCCTGTGCATTCATTGCCGGGATGGCTGGGCTTGTCACAATTCTTATTCTTGCCTTTAGATTGCTGGGTCCGCTTTCTGACCCATTCGGCGTCAATGGGAACAACCATGGTGTCTTCGCAGTACTGGCAGCTCGAGGGGCTACAGAGTATAAGTGACTGTAAGTCCAGAGGTGTATACTGACAAGGCACAACCCACGTCCTGAAGCTGCACTCGTCGCACGTGGCGAGGCCGACGATAGGGCCTTTCGGGGTCCTGAAACCTGATGACATGTCGAGAGCGAGAGTTCGGGCGCTCCCTGGTGGCAGTTGACGTAAAGATCAAAGCAGTGGCCGATGCGAACGTAGTCTGCTGTCAGAAGACCACGGAATCTTTGGAGAGACCTAACACGAAGGTAGAGGCTGTGCTCGGAGGTGGCCTTATATACATGCTCACGTACTACTTCTCGGTTCGGACTGGACGTGTAACATGTCCACGCTTTCAGGATGTGTTCAAGGATCAGCTGAAGGACTTGCCAGCACGTACAAGCACACAAACGTGCCCGCAAGTTGTCAGCCTTGGACTCTGCAAGCTCACCGACTGTATGTTGCCTAGATGCTCATCGGCTGCATGTCTGGGCTGGTGCTGCCTACACTCTGGATGGCCGTGGAGTGTTAGGGACCAACACACAAGGCAGTTGGGCTTGTTTCAGACGAGGTCTGCCAAGCCGTGAGAGAGGTGTCTGCTGGTTGCGTAATACCGCAACCCGACCAACCGGAAAAGTTTCAGACTTGTCCCATCGAACCATGTTGCTACTCTGTACAAGGCTAACCGATGACTTTCGCTTTTATAAACAGGACGGCGCTTCGAGATATTTAAAGCTGATTTCAGAGTATTTTCAACCAAGTCCTGTGGGCTTGTCCATAATTCCATGTTCGCACCAGGGGCGAGTCTCACGTCCACTTCCACTCCAGAGCCCACGACCCGGTGTTCAAGTACTGGGTCACAAGGGATAAAGAAGCGCAAATGCACGTACACGGAATCTCTGGATATGACTCGCCCACAGCTGGTCAGGTCATCAAGGCTAGCACTGCGGAACTGTTTTCAGGGGGCCTCTCACGATAGCTTCGAAGAGTCACGAGGTCTGCCCAAGGTCGTACAAGCCACGCCGCTGTCGATGAAACGGACATCATGGCCTCTCGATGACCAATATGAACGACATGAACCGAACCAGATCCCATGTTTCTTTCAACTGCGATCATCAATTTTACCGAGGTAGATCAATCCTGGCCAGTGCGTCTTTTGCTGTTGGAACCACATGTCCATCTCGCATATGCAAGCCCGCCCTCCCTATGAAGCCGGTCAGTCCCGCCACTCCTTGCAATTTCGCCTTGTGTGTGCTCATGCTGCTTCACACACCGGTCGTGAAATCCCCAGCTCAGGCCAGCGTTATCGATGCGCGGCCTCCCCCGTTGTCCTGTCTTGTACCGCCAGACCGGTCTCTCTTCATGCGCTTCTGCATTGTCTCCATCCCTGTTGCACATGTCTTCATGGGCTCAGCATTGCCTCGCGTAAGTCGCGCCGTCGATTCATTGTCGTGGTTACATAGTCTTCTCTGGATGATTCCGCGGCTTGAGCGAAGGGCCAGCCGCGAGATCCGTTCTACCTACTTAGTTTAGCAAGCTCTGCTACCATCTAGAGCCAAGGGCTTGCAGATCGTCAACTCTGCTATGCATTCATATTGTGTAATCCGATGGCTTGCCATAGGCAAGGCGCTGCATACGCCGGACTCGCATGATCTTGTCCACGATGAAAGGACTGTCGATCAATCACAACATTTCATTTGTCCTCCTAACTTAGCACACCCTATTCTGATCAGACTATCATTACTGGCCATTCGGGTTGAGCCAATGTGTCCTCATTGTATTCCCATCGTGATTCACCTCCTCGAACAGATTAATCTCCCTAGCCAACTCCTCAGCGATCTCCTCGTGCTGAAATTGTAAAATCCAGCCATATGCTAGCAATATCCTAACAATAAAAAATGAAATAGGCCGTTTAGTGTCCAGTCTCACACAAAAGCAATGATATACCAGTACTCGCGCCACCGAACATAGCTTCAAAGCCCGAGTGCCCTTACAAGACTGGAGCAGTCGCTACCAAGGCAGACCATGCCAGCACACCTCCCAATGCGACATATCCGGCAGCCTCTGCAACGCTACGGCGGACACGTTTCGCGGGCCGTTGGTCCTTTGTAGTAGAGACAGCCTGCACCACAGGGCTCGACTCGTTCACCGGCTCGGTCTGTGAAATTGCGTATGACGACTCAACCGCCAGCGTCGTGGGCTCTTTTGAGACATCTTCAGCTTGAACAGCAATCTCTGTGGCCTTGAACATGGCCTCGTCCTCTTCCGCCGTTGAACGTGATATCGTATCCGCGGCCCGCTTGCGAGACGGGGTTTTAGGAGAAGCGGTCTGATGCTCAGCGTCAGCAGACATGCCTTCGACTGTGGGCTCGGTATCACGAGTTGGCAATTCCTGTGGAATCTCGTCGTCTACGGTAGTTGTCTGCTTTGCTTCTTCCGCTTTCGCCTTGGCGGTAACTTCTTCAACCAGTGCCCGTTCACTATCCGACAAGACCATTGAACCTCTTGGCCCCTGATTGGGTGCACGCATGGCCAGTACCATCATTTTGGCCTTGTGATACAAATCTCTTTCATCCACCGCTGATGTCTGTAGGGGTCTTGAGAAAGAAGATTCATGGTCGCTCGTAGTCGCGTGATTGCTGCTAAGGGACGGAGAGACAGGCGCGTAATCGTATCCAACCGAAGCTGAGGAGGGACCATGAGTCTGTAGTGATAAGTCACCAAACGTCGACGAAACTTGCTCATGGAGGATCGGGTTAGGTGCGTTCGGTGGGATTGGTTTGAAAACGATGTCTGATAGCTTGAAAATTGGTTCGGAATTGAGCCTGGGAGCCTGGGCTAGCAATGAGCTTTCGCCAGCTGTGTCGTTCATACCGGTCGTGGTACCTCCATAGTCCACCCACTTAGTGGCCTCATCTGACCCAAAGTCATCCATGAGAGAGGCGGCATCGGAGTCCATGAAATCTTCCTCGAGGGGTTGTTCGTCATCCAGGTCGTGAACTCCAACATCGTTGTCTAGCTCGCTCTCATAGGCCGAAACATCGGCGAGTTCGTTCCCACTCCCACTCGATGTACGGGGCCCCCATTCCTCCGCACTGGAACTCTCGGGCATATCCTCGCTGCTTTCATCGCCAATTGTGCTATACCACAAAGTCTCGGCTGGCAGAACTCCGACAGGGACTCGATCATCCGAGTAAAGGTCGGGCTCTTCGAAGTCAATGCTGGTCGGTTCAGTGGTCTTGTGGACCTCTTGAACCGCAGCAGCCACCTGACCCTCTGTCAGGTCGACGACGCCACCAGAATAGCTCTGCAAAGTTGATGCGGCCGCTGCACGACTGGGGCTGCTCAGTGGGTTGAACCCGTTCTCGACAAGAACCGACTGGGCAAAGTCAAGATCGGTTTCGTCGCCGCAGTCATCCTCGTTATCTTCGACATCCGTATCGTCCGGGACAGTGTACGTCACTGGCCTGTCCGCATGACTAAGGACACAGTCAGAAAATCTTCTCACTCGAGTAGTATAAGAAAGGCAGTGGCTTACTAGGGAACATCCCAGACAATGTTGGTGTGGACTTTGTATGGCTGGAATTTATCGTGTCCTCGCTCGATTGGTGCGCCCAATGTGATTGTGTCACCAGACTTTAGAGTTCGGGTCTCCTTTGTCTTCAGGAGCCTGTCGTTGTGGAGGGTTCCGTGGAGAGATCCCTTGTCCTTGAGGATAATTTGCTGTGGCCGAATTAGAATTTTTACTCTCCCATAGGACTAATGCACCCGACTTTACGTACCCGACCTTGAACATCAAGCTGCAACTCGCCGTGGCATCGCGAAACGACAGCACTCTCGAAATACGCATTGGTGGCACTAGCTTCGAGTCCCGGCCTCTTGCTGCTCGCTCTTCCGATCGGACAGGTCGGCTTCGCTGGTGTGAGAACAATCCGGCGGCGGCCCAGCGGCCCCAGCCTGTCCTCGGCGTTGGTGGAAGTCAGCTGTACCGTTGCTATGACTTGTGAGCTGATATTGATCTTCTGGAGAGCATATCACGTACCTGTGATCTGTTGAGGCTGGCTCAGTTCGGGTGGGGTTGGTTCCGTTAGGTCGATAGGTCGAGGTGACTCGAGGGCGTGCTCCGGACGCATGATCACGGTCTACTAAGGTGTCTCACGGCGCGATGTGGCTTTGGAAAAGGGTGATGTTGGGGTCCGGGGATGAAGGTTGAGAAAAGAGAAGCCCTGGACCTTGGAAGCAAGAAAAGTTCGGAAGGAGCATGGACGTGCTGAGGTGAACTTAGCTTCAACAGGTGTCACAGAGCAGGCACTACAAGGTGATTGATTGCTCGTCACTATGGCCGGGAGTGACTGCCCTGCCAAATCAGGCAGAAGGCTGATGTGACGGGGTAGATAACGATAAGCGCCCCTCACTTTCTTATCACCGGGCACTTTGAGGTGTGCGCAACGATCGCTTCAGCTTCGTCTGCGAGAATCCTAAACCGAGAAAGAAAATTGTCGCCGAAATCCACAACATCTTTGAAAACACAAGATCCTCTCTTTTTGGTTTGCAATGACGCTGCTAGCTAATCGCAACCGTATCATGTTAAGTCAAGCAGTGTCTTGAGATAGGCTGGGGCGGGGGTAGCATCTCAGCTGTCACGGGGCCACACTGACGCCCGGAGGCTCAGGCAACCTCAGCCCTAGGCTGCCTGGGCTGAAGCATATTGGCGCCCATAAAACCTTGACGACCTGGCCTCAAACTCGCAAGATATCACGCCTCAACACTTGTGTGTACTGCTTCGGCCCCATACAGTTCGAAATACCTTCTTAATGATAATACGCGTTGCATCGGGAGACGCGTTGAGGGCCAGGCGGACAGTGATGCATGACGCTATGGCGACCGGGGTTTTAAGCTGGGATTTGGGGGGTCCATCAATCGAGCCGACACGATGTGGGGTGTGCGTTGGCTCCCCGCGTACCGTCTAGCTGGGCAGCGTACCCTACCCTATAGCTATGCTTCTACCATCACCTGACGGGGAGATCGTTGAGAACAAACGGGTGTCCAATTTTGAGTTTGAATGAGATTAAGATGGTACGGTTATATAAAGACATCAGTTTGCTAAGCGCGCAAAGATTTGCAAATGTTGTTGATGTGATGGGATGTGGGAACGACACTTCATTCGGATTTTCACGTTAGCTTGCAGAATTCGCAATCCATGCCTGACGCCGTACGTCACCGAAAAACATAAAATCACACTGATTGAGGAACATTTCCCAGAGATGTAGCATCATCATACGTAGCTTACGACAAGTTTCTGATTGTGCTCACCCAGACCTCTTCCAGGCGGTGGTATCCGTACGCTCCATGTCTCCTATCTTCTATGCGCACGCGGGCGCGAAGACGTCACAGGTGCCACTCGAGCTCCACGTGAGCAGCGGCCAGTCAACTGCCACAATTTGCCTGGCCTTTCATCAAGTTTCAACAAATCTTCATCGTCGCTAGCTCTTCCACTGCTTAGCTGTTCTATATATCTATCATTGGACAAAACGTCGTCTGGGTGCTCTCATTGCCGAGTTTCTCAGTACAAGATACTAGTTCCCCGCCTTTGGCAGCCACGTGTTTTCACGGTCTTTATGGAGGCACACCTTCATGTGAGAATTTCGTTTTTTGCCTCATTCAAAACTTGACAAGACGACCTGTCGTGCGCCAAAACCGAAACAGCAGGGATCGATACAGCAGAGACCTTTCACAACCTCTGGGGTTGGAGAGACTGGGCAATAGCTGAAGAAAATTGCCAGCTGGGGCTTGCGCTCTGAATTGCGTCGGCAGTAGACGCTTTTGACCAAGATCCACGCAGATCTTGTCTCAAAAGTTGACAGTACCGTCATTCTCTTTGCCCCAAGACCACCACCACCGAAGCCAAGATGAGCGGCCTCACAGGAAAGGAGTTGAAAGGAGAAGGCAAGACCACGTCCCGCAAGGCTCGCAAGTCCGGTCGCGCTTTGGGCACTGCAACACCCTCCGGATCTGAGCTGCTCCATCGCGTCTTCAACCAGGATGATTTTGCATATCGATCTGAGACCGAGGGTACCCCTCCTCAGACGCCTCCGATCTCCTATGAAGATGACGAATACATCATGTCCGGTCAAATCACACCTGCAGAAGGCCTCATGACGCCCGACGATCGTGAAGCTGCATCAGGGTCCGATATGGGGACATGGGACCCGAAGAAGCTGGTTCAGGAGCTTCAGGACAAGAAGACAAATCGTTCCGAGACGCGAGAAATGTTGCTTGAGCATTACAACAAGACCATGCGGTCAAGCTACCACGAGGACATGGAAACACTCAACACAAGCGAACTCATCGACGCGTTTCTCCGCGGAGCGAACAGTAGCACCAATGCGAATGAGAGGTCGCTCAGCCTGCAAGCCTACTCGCTCACAATCTGCACAGCGAATCTGTCCCAGTCGGACATGGCGTCGCGTCAGACGCTCAAGCAAATCCTCGCCGACGACAGCAATGAGGAGTGCAAGGTCCAGGCGCTGTACGCACTGACATGCACCATTGTGTATTACGGTGCCGGCGAGGACGACATTGTGGAGTGGCTTGACTTTATTGTCGAGACGATCCAAAGCAATGGCGATTCCATAGGTGTGACTGGTAAAGACGGCGTCATCACGGCGCTTTTCGAATGCTGGGGCTTCGCCGCCACCTTTGCCAACATCTGGTACCACGCCGATTCCGCTATGGATGCATTCGTGGAGAAGCTGGACAGCCCCGATGTCGACACCCAGACCAGTGCGGCCGAGTGCATTGCCTACATCTTTGAAGCATCGCGGGAGCACGAGCAGGAAGAGGGCGAGCCCTTTGAACTTCCGTACGACCCGATCCGTGTCGCGTCCCGGATCACAGACCTGTCCAAAGGCTCATCGAAATCCAAGTCAAAACAAGGCCGCAAGGATCTCCGCGGAGGCCTTCGGAGCGTCATCACGTCACTTGAAAAGGGGGTTGGGCCATACTACTCCACCGCACAATCACTCAGCACGAACAAGGAGCAAGGCTATCGGTATAAGCTGCGCAAACGCCATCCGGCTTCGTCAATGGGATATGTTGCTCTGGTAGAAACATGGGATACGTATCTCCGCATCGCGATGTTGAAGAAGATATTTGGGGGCGGCATGGAGAAGCAGCTGGAGCAGGAGAACCCGATGGTGAAGGAGTGTTTGGAAGGCTTGGACTGGTCTTTTGTGACCAAAACTGACAGTCGCGTTGGGCAACAAGGCGGATACAATGATGTTGATGACTATTAGTTACATGGACGTAAGACATTCAACTTGGAAGCAAAAAATCACAATACTGCACAATGACAAGTGAATATCCAAGTGGCTTTTTACGAAAATTTATCTGAGATCCATACTGCGTACCAAAAAGCCAGTACAGGCTGCTCCCAAGATGTAGTCCTTCAGGCACTGGAGATGCCCCCTACTATGAAAAACTCCGGCGCGTAGTACATCGGCCCAAGTACCAACACCATCCACACAGCGACTGCGCGCTTCCTCACGACCGTCATTAAAAGTTGTATCTCTGGCCACCTCTAACCATCCTCGACACCAGAATGACAAAGATGATGCCTCCTCCCACAAGAGTCGCTATGCCGGAGAACAAAGACGCGGCAAGCCATCCATTCTCTCCCGTGCCGTCGAGGAGGAAGTTGCTGAGTGGTCCGCCTCCGAAAGCGCTAAGAGAGCAAACCATCATCGTGAACCCAAGACGCAGGCCAATCTGTCCAATTTGCTCGGGCGGTGTGATCTTGGCTACGCATGCCGACCCAAGTGGGATGAGACCACCCGAGAAGAGACCGTAGAGGACCGCAAATGCAATCATGGCCGGCAGAGATGTCATGGTCACCCAGCAGGCCGTCAGCGCAGCGGTGAGGACGGCCATCAGGCACAGCATGTTGAACGTTCCAAAGTAGTCAGCCAGGGTGCCCGTGCCGATACGACCGACGACAGAGCCTGAGTAGCAAATGGCGAGAAGGACATGAGCCACGTCTGGGTGGTGATTCTCTTCCGCGAATACGGGAATGAGGTTGAACGGGATGAGCATCCCTCCGTAGATGAAGAACAGAGCAATGCTGAGGGCGATGTAGGAAGGGTCTCTGATCGAGTCGAAAGTTCCCCGGGTTGTGGTTCCCGTAGTGGCAGATACTGTTGCGAATACGGTGTTCGTGGTGTTCCTCTGAGACTTGTTTTCGGCATTTGTAAAGCACTGGGTGAGGCGTTGAAAGGCTCGGAGAAGAGTGATTTTGGTGTCTGGGAAGCGTTCCTTGATCATAAACGAGGCGATGAATAGCGGAACCAGGGGCATGAGACCAACGGCTTGCAAGGTGCGCTTGAGACCAAAGGCCTCGTTGAGCGCGTCCACGACCAGAGGCCAGAAGATGCCACCGAGGGACGACCCAGAGGCCACAATTCCCAAAGACAGACCGCGTCGACGGTCGAACCAGGTCGAGACCACGCTCAGGATGGGATAGTAGAGGAGCGTGTTGGCTAGGGCGTAGAGAAAGCCCTGAAGTGCAATGTAGGTACCCAAACTGGCCCCAAACTCAGCGAGCAACAGGAAGGCCGCGGAAAAGATGCAGGTCCCAAGCACCATCAGTACAGTTGCGCTGAGACGGTCGGAAGCATAGCCAGCAACACCTCCGAGGACGAACAGCAGTCCTGGTTGAACACTGCCGATCCAGCCAATATCTTGCAGCTTGACATCCTTGCTCCATGGTTCATTGACATAGACGGCTTGAAAGGAGCCCCAAGAGTTCAGGATGCCAAAGCTGGCCCAAAGTTGGATGAAGCCGCTGATGACAGCGAGCCAAGCAGACCAGCCGCGATCAGGGGGTGGTGCAATGGGGGGTCCGTCTTGGGCGACCGAGTGGTTGCCTGCCTCCTGTCCTTCTGCACTTGATGCGGAGTGTCGAGCAGGGACATTGACGCTCGTATTGGTATCAGTGGAAGGGGCCAGTTCTGCCAAAGGGATGGGATCCATGTTCGTTGACGGCTGGATAGGACAACGGGCCACCTACCTTTGGTTTGTTGTGATGGATGCTGGCGATGTCGAGACCCAGAGAGGAACCGCTTCTTTCAAGATGATGGTGATTCAACTGAAGATGGGACGAGAGCAGACAATTTTGATGGCCAAGTGAGCAACTACTGACAGAATGCCGTGAATGTTTGGTTGCTGTCACTCTGCTGCTCGCGTTGTGTGTACATCTCTGAACACCATATGAAGTGCTGTCCTGATCTGTGTAGTCTTGGTGATTCCCAGGGGGCCCAGCAAAGCCATCGATCATTACAATGATAGTAGAGAACATATAAGAGATTTTGAGTTTCTCATGGGGAGACAAAAGGAACTCTTGAGAACGTCTGTTTGAACGGGATGGATGTGTTCGAGGTTGCGCTTGAGGCTGTTCCGGGCCCTCAGCTCTGCTTCAAGCCCAGAGGCCACACAACCAGAATATCTAGAGGCTGATGATTCGCTCTCATAATGGTCGTATTCATCTAAATTGACAGTCCCATTATGCGTCTTGGCAGAGCAGCCGACACAGTTGCTGAGCGTGTATTGGGGATAGGTACATGAAGCAGTGGTGTCTCAGCCCCCAATCCCAATCACGCATCGACAAGAAAGTTGAGGATTGCTCACTCTTCTTAGAGAGAATTGTGAGATTCATGGCGAGGGAAAGCTAGGCAAGCCAAGAGAAGGATCAGATGTCCGTCGTGGTCTTTCACAACCTACTGCGACGGAGGTAAGGAGAGGCATGGAAAATGGACGAAACAGCTGTTGAATTTCCCAAGCACTCGAACGGTTCGATCGACGTGACTTAGTACGGTATGGGACCCTCTTGTATCATGAAATACGAGCTGGCCGCTGCATCAATGGGCCATGATCTGTGCCACAATCGCTGCCAGCATCACCATCTTCACTCGCGACACGGAATTGTATCACAATGTTCAACTTCTCCGCAATGACCAAGCGGCGAGCTACTTTGCGAAAAGCATGTGCTAGCACCCATTTGGGATTTGAAAAAGGGGCCTTGCTCGAGTAGGCCGTCATTGCTTAGGTACATGCACGTGGAACGCGTTGCTTCCGCGCCTGCGTCAAGCCAGTCCACGCCAGTCAGCGCGGCATAGCCCTTGCTCCCTTCGCGGCACTTGCGCCGTGTTGTCGTCATAGGCGCAGCATAGCCGATGTTTGATAGCGAGAATGGCGTCTCATCGTGGACACGGAGCGTCCAGTGGACTGTCGCACCCGTCCTCTCAGGAATCTGCTTCCTTCGAACATGCGCCATGAATCGCTGGAGCAGGTGCGATCGACCATATTATCCCATGGACAGCTCTCGGCACCGAGGCGCATGGAACAAGCGCGCGACTGTCGGGATGCTGGGGTTTGCGGTCTGCGCTGATACAGCGCGCAACAGGAGGAGTACGAGGTCCACAGCTCGAGAATGTACCGCGCATCGCAACCAGAATGAGATCAAGACGCATGGGCTGACTCCACTGTCGGAGGGGCTGTGAAGCCTGTGATGGATGGACGTTTGGTTCACGTTCCTTGAGCTTCCTTCACACACACGTCTGTCCAACCCCAGACGCGAAACGGTGGAAAACGGTAAGCATGCATGGCCAGGAACGGCACCCCGACTAAGATTACATCACAGGCTGAGCGTCCACGCCTAAAATGAAGCCCCCAATGGCGATGGTGTGGCCGCCCCACAGGACGCACACGCCCGGTGTCCTCCTAGAGACACGCACACGCATGGATCCCGGTCGTCCTCACTTACAAGACAGGCATGGGAGAGGCACAGGGTCCTCTTGGTGATGTGCAGGGCCTGGCCTGCACGCAGAGAAAGGCTTGCCTGCAAAATGTCCACTCCTGCGCAAATATAGAAGTCACGCAGCATCAGGGACCCCAATCCTCCTCACGCGCTGTCGACACTCTGCTGTGCCAACTACGTCAAGAGCGCATATCAGGGTCCTTATATCAATCGTCCGGTGCCCTTCCTTACCTTTGATCTGGGCTGGACCTCGATCTTGGCCTCTATTCCCACTCACCACCTCAGTCAATGTTCAGACAACTGTGTTGTGGACTGACCATTGCAACAACCTGACAGACATAAGACACAGAGTCACCAGACCACACCACCTACACACAGCCACAATGGCCACCAAGCATCGTCTCAGGCGCTCGTGCGCCTTTTGCCGTGCCCGCAAGATCAAATGCTCAAATGAGACAATTTGCGAGGCTTGCCGCAGGCAAGGCGCTGACTGCATCTACGACTTTGAGCCTCCCCGGCCCAAGGCTCGTGGCAGCATGGACACCACACGATCCGAGTCCATTGCCAGCCTCCGTCACGACATCTCGCCTCTCATGAGCCGGCAGCGATCCAACACGGGCAGCTCCGTCAAGGGGAGCCCCGTTATGGGAGGCGGTCTCGTAGACGAGCCATTGGCCTCCGAGGATGGCGACAACGTAGCCTCCATCCTTGACCTCGCCTTCTTTGACAACTTCACTGCCAATGCGCCGGCACGCACATCTCACACTCGTCCTGACGGCATGGTCAGCAAGTACGGCGACTCGGCCAAGTTCTCCAGCGTTCTCTCCCTGTTGAGCCATGACCTCGTGGGGCTGTCTGCCAACCAGATGGGCTCGCTGGGCTGCTCTCACGTCGAGGATGGCAACGCATCTTTTTTTCTGTCTGGCCTCGAAAACGACGAGACGCCCACCATGTTCAACAGCACACCACCGCCTGCCACCAACCCCGTCACGGAGTACGGGCAGCGCCAGCAGATGCAGCTCATCGACGTCTGGTACTCATCCCACCCTCTATCCTTCCTGGTCTCCAAGACGCTCCTCCTCCGGGAGCTCCGCGACGGCACCCATGATGAGGTTCTCCTGGCCGTCATGCTCGCCGAGGCCAACCTTACCATTGGCGGTGAGGCCGCCAACACCCGTGGTCGGGCCCTCCTGCAGTATGCGCAGGCGCAGCTGCACACCCGCCCATTCCAGACCACGCGGAACACTGGCATCGTCACCGACTCGGGCACAGTCGTCTACAGTGGTATCTCGACGCGCATCTTCAGCGGCATCTCCACGGCGCAAGCTCTCATGTTGCTCGGATGGTACGCCATGACCGAGTCGCAGTTCCGAAGGGCCATCACGTACATCCAGCTGGCTGGACGTATGGCTAGTGACCTCAAGGAGCAGCTCGTGGCGACAGATGGCATGCAGCTCTCAAGCCGCATCAACGGCATTGACGTCTACGACGTGGAGAGGGAACTGATTGACTGCCTGTACTGGACCACCTACACGCTCACTCTATGGGTCTACGTCCAGACCGGTCGCGGCTACTTTGCTTCTCAGTCGCCCACGGTCCTCACCAGCATCTTCCTGCCCGCAACTGAAGACGCGTCCTCGGCCATTCAGCTTGACCTCATTTCTGAGAACGTCAACACCCTCCAGAGGCAGAAGCTCACCATCAAGGAGATGTGGCCTCTCGCCCACATTGGCATTGCTGTAGCCCACGCCTGCGGCTTTCACCCTCTTCAGCAGGGTGTCGCCGCCGCCAATCTCATGCAACGATGCCGGGACACAAACAGGTTCCTCGTGGACACCACGCGCGACCTGAACAAGAAGGGCAACAACATGTCCTCGACGGCCATTGTCCTCACCATCTACCACACCCTCGCCGTCCAGTACCTCTTCCCCAACCTGGCAGGCCAGGAGATTGCGCGGCCCGACATTGTCGAGCGCATGTGCTACTCCATCGAAGAGGTGCTCCAGGTGTTCGGCGTCGTCTCTGTCCAGCCCAAGGACGCCCTCAGCATGACACCTTCGCTGCAGGCCTCCCTTCCCGCCGTCTTCGGGATGGCCCTCGACACCTGCTCGCGTGCGCTACGCGCTCTACGTGGAAAACGCCAGTCCAGTGGCATCGTCACAAACTTTCCCTCCGCTCAGGTGTACGCGCCAACCATCCAGACCATGGCCTCTCGCCTCTACAACATGAGCAAGAGTGACTTCCTCCACCAGTCCAGCAGTTTCCGCATGATCCGCAAACAGCTGAAGGGATCGTCTCGCAACCACAGCTCATCCCGGGCCTCAGTGTCGGGCAGCGAGTCTGACGGCTCCCTGACCATGTCACCGTCGAGCGATGACCTCTCGACCGCGACGACGCCCGAGATGGACGGGCAGGCTGGCTTCGTCTCACCTAAGGACATGACGACGATGCCATCACCCAAGATGATGCACCACCATCCCTCCTTCGATGCCGTGGCACAGCCTCACATGATGCCGCCGAAGCAGCAAGCCTGGCCCCCTGTCATGGAGACCACCGCCGCGCCGCATGAGCTCATGTACAACGCCATGGACACCAATGCGCTCGGTATTCAGTCTCGCGACGACCTGAGTCTCTCGGGGATGGTGGATCTCCAGCACGCCTGGCTGCCCCAGATGCCTCCCCTGACGGAGGCCGACATGAACAACTTCCAGTGGGACTGGGGCGCGCAGGGTCTCAAGCAGGAGCCGACTATTGCACCGACCGCTGTGTGGTCTGACATGGACATGGTGCTGTGAGCCGCTCGCTTACATGGCCTTTTTATCTTGGCTGGCTTCTCGATCCCCAGGCGGCTCCTGGTACGGTCTGATACCGGGGTCTTATGATACCCTCTTTTTTAATTTATTCGACTTGATACATTCTGAACCCCTTTTACTTTTCTTTATTTCTCCTTGTTTTTCCTACAAGGCTCCAGCCATAGGTTTGGACAAAGAACGGGCTGATGGGATTCTTTTTGGCGTATGGATTACGTCCCCAAGGGATAAGATACATTGTATGATTGGGAACAAATGACTGGTGATGATATCCACGGGGCGCAACGGCTTGGATTGATGGGAAGACGTGATTATGATTTCACGATCTATTCGCTATTGGTTCTACTTTTACAAGCACGCAAATTTGAAATAGTATACGAGCGCTCTGGAAGCGCTCTTTTCTTGATTAAAAAGTCCTCTCTATTGTGAGGTGTCATTGCCGTGCCAGCCAGAAGCAACCTATCCTCTATCAGAATGATCAGATAGTCAGACAATAGACTCAGACTCAGACTCAGACAGGTGGTGAAGCACCCGCAGACGGGCACACCGCACTCGCGCAGCAGCGTAGATGATTACTCCTTCCAGAACACCCCTCTGCGAACCCTCTGGGCACTCGTGCATCGGTGATCCGTGATCTGCAGTGATAAACGCGCTGAATTGGCGAGGCAGACGCACCCGAGGACTGGAGTCGGCGAGGACATGGACTTGGACCCACCCCCGAAGCGAAGTACAGTATGAGCCTGGTCCCACGCTGTCAGTGCGCTGTAACTTGCAAGCCCGCAACGGGCCCACAATCACCCACTGCCCAGGCTGGGCGGCCAAGATGTCCAATATTGATGCCAAAAGGTCGAGTAGACTCCTCCAGATCACGGCGATTGCCATGGGAATTGAAGAGTCCGACAAGAGCTCTATCCGGGGCACGCCAAGTCCAACAATCTCGTCTCCGTCGCGAGTCGTGAACATTCTCACGACCACCTCGCTCAGATAGCGGAGTCTCGTCGAGATATGAACCATCTCATCCTCACCACCACTCCCCCCCCCGTTGACATCATACATGTAAGCGAGGCAATTCCCAGCCTAAGCAGCTGACGGACAAGCCTTGATGCTCCAGCTGTGGACATGGAGGGTTACAGTGAGGCAGGCAGGTCCATGCATCCCAGCAGCAAGCGCGCTGCGGGAAGGATGAACCAGGCGCGCGATGTGCACGCCTCACGACACCGATCATGATCGATCACTGACAGGTAGGTTTCGCAAACTGACGAATTACGAAAGGAAAAAAAGAGATCCGTTTTGAAAGAAGAGATGCGGTCGAATGAGACGGGCGCCCATCTGGTGGGAACGGACTTGAGGCGGTTGGCTCTGTTCAGTTTGGAGGGAATCCTGCAGGAAGCAGAAATGCGGTAAAACTTACGTTTCGAGTCCGTTATGAGATTAGATTACCCTCGTCAGCTGTCGCAGCGGAACTTTGGTCTGCCGCGGCGCAAACGAGGGTGCTGCAGTCATCAAAAGAGCATTCCCTCTCGATGAACGGTCGGACGAGGGCGATGAGGCATCGTGATGGACTAGAGTCGAGGTTGCTGCTCATTTTTCTGTCGTGCCTCCGTTTTGGCCACTATCGCGAGCGTTAGCCGGCTGAGGCGCATGTGAAGGGGCTAGCAGCTAGGCTGGCTGGAGCGAGATTGGGGGGGAAACGTGCCCTGGTTTCTCTATTTGGGGACCTTGTGTTGCAACGTCGAGTAGGATGCCTTCCGGCTGAACACGTGCACCAATTGTGAGTCCGTGACCGTTTCTGCAGGTTGATGCTCGTTTAATGAGTTCCCCGAGGTCAGTTATGACGACATTGCATGACCTACGATACGGCGTGCGCGCTGCAACCCATGGATGGTAAACAAGGGAAATGGACAATGGTTTGTGTTATTCGTGTTTCAATGGGTAAAGCTCATGTTGAGCGTTTGCGGCTTGAGCTTTTGAGCGCAATACCAACTGCTTCATCGAACCCGGCTCGCGCGAACCCGGATCATCAGCTCCTGTACGAGAGCGTCTGGAGAGGTCAAGCGAGACTGGAGACTGTCAAGATCTGAGATTGAAGATCTCGAGCTGGCTGGGCAAGGCGAAAGCTGAAGATCAACGGCAGGCGCCGCCTGTGCGGGGAAACCGTTATTTACAGAGGGTTCAACCGTTTCCGCGGCCCGATTAGGAATCCGTCCAAGGCTTAGTCGATCCTGCCTTGCAATCCTGCGCTTTAGGTGCCGGCACTAGGCCCCCTGCGGTCTGGCCCATGCTTGGCCCTGGAAGCTTGTATTTCTACGTCGACGGCAGGGGCGTTGCATCCAGCCCTCCTCTGATACATGTAATTCGTCTCTCCCAACTCAGATGTGATCAGCCACCACCACCACCACCACCACCAGTTCACTCGCAATGAGAGCAAGGCGCTGCTTAAGGGATCATCGTTGATTCTCCAGCCTCTAATTTAGTCTGGCTGCTGGCTGCCAACAGTACGTAGAACGTAGGGTCGGTAGCCTGGTAGGCCCACCACGCGTGTCGCTCTGACTACGCTAAACCCAGCTGTTCCATGTCCTCAACAGCAACATCAAAAACCGCTTGATAAGAATACAAATTCATCATCTATTTCCTCTGGCGCAGGCAAACAGTCGATGCCACCAAGATATCCATGTGGGGTGGTTGTCTGTGGCCTGCCGGCTGCTCCACGCTCTAGCCACCCGCCTACGAGTAGGGCTTAGCGTGACAATGGAGGGATTCGACACCCTGTCCATGGCCGCCTACAAAGGTTCATGACCAGCCCCAAATAGGACCCAACAGTGTCCTTGACGATGCTGTCATGTTATGCGACAAGCCCATATCGTATGACGAAGATCGACGACGCAGAAACATACCAAAACAAAACAAGAACAAAATCCAAAGGGTCTGGTTCAACAAAACCCTTTGGTACATCATACATGGAGTCAGGACCCTGACAATCCATGCAGTGCACATACGAAGCATCATTCACTCCAGTCTGACCGGTTCTCCACTCCCAGCTGACGAAACATGGGGTAAACACATCGTTGTCGTGGCCGCAGAGACGGGCGCTTCCTTGCCACTCGCCTCTGCACCTTTGGATACGACAGTCCACGTTCGTTTCGTGCTGCTTTGATCATCGCCATGTGCAGCCAGAGTCTAATCTGAAACAAAGACCATCGCCACTTGCTCCAGTGCCGTGCGTGGTCTCTCAGTTTCGGCATCTGCGAAACATGACCCACCACCTGTGTTCTCGTGAGCGATCTACACCGAAAAGAGCCATATGCTCGGCATGTAGACTTTTGAAGAGCTTCAATTTGTCTGACGCATGTCATACACAATGAGAGGCAGTCTGTGTGTGCATTTGGACGCATTGCGTTCTGGTGGATGATCAAGGTCCCAGTGGTCAGCCTGTGAGGCTACTTTACCATCGTGGGATGAACACTGATGAGCGTCAAGAAGAATTAGGCTCTTGCGCTATCACCTAGACTCAAATTTGATCTTATTGGGGCAATAAGTGCTAGCTGGCATGCGAGTGTCACAGCTGCATGTATGGAACCTGGCGATGCCGAACGTACAGAATTGCCCTCCTCTTCATCGAGAGGCGAAAGTAGATGCAGGTGATTCTGTACCTACATAAACCGGCCTGTTTGAGATTTGACAAGCAGAGCTCTGACCGCCATGCTGCATTCATGACGTTGATCATCGACATTGAAGCAGAGGTCCCACCTCAGAAGGATTCCAAGCCCTGCGCAATGCACACCGGTGGGGGCCGCAAAGTGTCTGTTCAGTAAGCTGGCGAGAAATCTGCGCCGCATGATAACATAATAGAGTCTGCAACATGGAGATGTGGTGAATTCCCGCGCAGATCTTACATCGTGTCCGTGCGAGGCACACGTCGCGCGGATATCGCCAGTTTCACGTTTTGGTGGCGGGCTGCTGGCATTGGGCAATCTGGACCCTGCAGCGATCTCTCCATGCAGGCAAAGACACTCGAGGCGGGACATGAAGGTACTTGGACAGACCCAATCCCTCGACACGTCCAGGTACCGTCACTCTTCTCCCCCTTCCATGACCTCATACTCCATGTTGGTTCGTCTACAGTCGGAGCTGCAGGTGAGGCTGCAAGGCTTCGTGTTCTCCTACCCCCACACCTGAAGCCTCAACTGACTGCAGGAGAGCATCTTCCGTTGTCAATGAGTTGCCACAGGCTTGCTTGCAGTGGTGGTTTTGCCTCGACAATTCAGATCATCACTGCGAATCTGGGGAAAAGATGATCGCAAACAGGGACAATGGTTGCGCGGCAATGGTGCTTGTTTCCTGATGATTAATTTTATACCATTTTTCTTCCCTAATGATCATCGAGACGGGCCATGGCGATGTCTATCGAGCTTCTGTACGTCTGCACAAGCGCGAGATAGGACAGGATCAGACCAGCAAGTGGCGCCCCAGATCACCAACCACACACGCGCGTGAGCGAGCGAGCTTCGAGAGAAGCGGCCATTTGCCCATGTCATATTAGGTTGGATGACTTCTCTCAGCTCCATCACATACCCATCAAGCTGCATCGACAGATTCAGGGTTCCTTCCCCTTGACAATCCTTCCCGATCAAGCACAGACCGGTATTCCTTCCAAAGTGGTCTTCTCGTCCCCTAGACACATTCTGATAATCCTCTGGAGAGACTAAACCATGAACAGTGGACAAAGTTTAAAACGGTGCATGTCAACCTTCGGACCCAAAGGACTCTGACGAGACACCCATGGTGCTTGGCATCAGACCGGTGGAACATGATGTCAAGCGTTTCCCCAGCCGTGCGCACCTGATCGATGGCTTCCAAGGCCTATCGTGTAGTATAGTGGCTCTCCATTTAATCCAGGTTCGGGGTCAAAATTGGGTCAGGGGAAATTGGCTGGGCGAACGAAGACGGAGCTTTCGGCATGTGCTCAAATGACGATTTCCAGCAATCAGACCTTGGGTGACTTCACTCACTCGTATATCAAGAAGAATAATGGGCGTTTTTTGTCTATGTGAAAGGTAAGAGATTTTTTTCTGGGTATCTGTAGGTTTCGGGACTCCAGAGTTGTCGGGCAACGTTAATGTTGATGTGCGTGCCCCTTTTTTTCAGAGGTGTTGAAATACGACGTGTTGTACGCCTGAGAGAGCGGAAAATTACTTGATCGTTACTTTAGTATTATTAAAAAGGCCAAGGTTAGATTCATAGTCGTGATATATGAGTAGTAGACAAAAGAATAAGGTCAAAGGGATTTGATGAAGTATCGCCTCTAGCTCTGATCGCCGACAGCCCAAGCAGATGGGCCACTGTATAGAACGATAGATGCACTTCAACGTCTTGAGGAAACCACTAATGTTCTCCAAAATCTATCTTGGTTTATTTGACCTCCCCTTTGTCTCCACAGCATCCAGTGTTTCATAATCTGCTTGCCTGGCCAAAAGTCCGCGGAAGCCTGGTGGCAGCTGGCCATAATCCAAGACAGAGCGAGACTGTACTCGACGTACTTTTCCGAGGGCTGTCCTTGCAAAACATAGCTATACAAAGGCACAAAATCGTCCTACAAGACTCGAAAGCCCTCCACGTCATTGCGCCAGTCGCGCTGGAGCTCCCCCGTCGCCGCGATCCCGTTGAACAGCTGTACGCCATGCTGCACCAGTGTCTTATGCGTGGCCTCGCGCGTGTACTCGGCGAAGCTCCCTGACGCATCCGTGATGACGAACACATCGTAGCCCTGTCCAATGAAGGTGAGGGACGGGAGGGCAACGCACACCTCGGTCAGAACACCGATTGTATGGAACAGCCCTAGAGTACGGTCATCTCGTCGGCATCCGCAAATGTGAGCACGTCACGCTGGGGACCTCGGGTGCGCCACCTCGACGTGTTCCATCGGGTCGACTACCGTGTACCCATCCACTGGAGCCTGGGGGAGATGCCTGAGCCATGGGTGTCGATCCAGCCGTCTTTGGGGAGGGTAGGGGACGACCACATGGTCGAGCGGCTGAACATTACCATCGCCTGGGCCCAGGTGCTCGAGGGCTTCAACGACACGGTGGAGATTGAATTCACGACGACGCCCGGAGAACTGCCCTACTTTGATCTGCTCCGTGTCCCCGTTCTGAGGACACGGCTCGCGGACGACTTTGTGGGCTTCCCCGAGAGTGCTGGCTTCGTCTCGATCGAAAGCCCGCATTTCCAGGGGAGCTCAGGAACCGCCAACGGAACCGTGCGCTATGGGGCCATGCCCTACCTCGGAAGTCGGAGCGAGTCCGGCGCCCTGGCGGTTCGCCCATACAAGGTGGCCCGTCAACGTGACGCGGGTCCTGGGTAACTACATCTCGGAGGACTACGTGGGAGACGTGCTTCCTGTCTGTCTGGACCAGATAGGTCATGGACTAGGTTTGGACGTTGCAGGTAGACCTGGGGCCCATTGAGGCAGGTGAGCATATCCTGCGATGTGCAGTAAACTCGCCCGAGGTGTATTTGGAAGAGATCGTGCTCGACACGCACGGTGGCGTGAAGCCAAGCTACCTCGGCCCCCCTCTGAGACGTCGCCCGTGGGGCCTCTGGAATGGTCGAGTGGATGGCCTCTTGCATGAAATAATCGGATTCTCTATGATTTGACTCTAATCTCTAATCAAACGCAGCCATGCGTCCGGGGACCATCTCGACCCGTCGCAAGTAGTGGTGGTATATATGTACATATAGATACAAGGAATGAACGTGTGCTATAATTTGCCGAGTGCTGTTCACACAAAGTCAGTACAGAACTCTTTTTGCATTGCCGTCGGGGAGAAGACTCACCTGCCGCATAGGCCATGTACCAAGCCCTCGACGCGCCGCCGTCAATGAGGCTGGCGTCAAAGCCCTGCTTGTTAAAGTAGTCCCACGCTGCCTTGGGCTGGACGGTGGCATAGTTGGCATAGATAATACTCTTCCAAGCATTGTCCAACTTGTCCACGCGGCCGTTGCTAAAGTACGCGTCCCACTCCTCCTGCACAAACGCCTTGGACCGCGAGTACGTGGTCGGCGCGTGGATGGGCAGCATGTGGATGCCCTGGATGCACTCAATGTCTGAGGAGAAAAAAGTCGTGTGGTCCACCTTGTTCTCAAAGACGATGCCCGCGGCCTTGTTGCCAACGAACTGCGACGGGTGGTTCGTGTTGTCGCTCTTCATGAGGTAATAGCTGTCCAGCGCGCGCGTCATGACGGCGAGCTGCAGGTTGGCGCGCGCGATCATGGCCGTGTCCTTGGTCACGCTGCCCCAGAGCCGGATGGCGTACATGGCCATGATGTCTTCGGAGCTCGACTCCTGGTTCTTGCCATCGAGCGAGGCGAACAGCCCGGCAGCCCAGCTATGACCGTGGTACCAGTCAAAGCTGCGGTGCTGGGGGAACCACGAGTCCTGTGCGCTGGGGTTGGCATAGTCGCGCACCAAGGTGTCGACCCAGTCCTTGTTGTTGTCGCGCCACTCGTTGTCCAGGTAGCTCAGGAACGCCGCAGCGAGGACGTGGTATCCGTAGTGGAAGTGGTGGTCGTTGTAGTATGTGTTGCCAAAGTCGACGAGAGGATCGCCGGTGACGTACGACGCCGTCGATACGACACCTCCCCACTGACTTTCATAGTTCAGGGGAAACTGCTGTTTGTTCTGTGCGAAAACATTAAAGGCATCCTTGAGCTTGGCGGTGCAGGCGGCAGCAAGGGGCTTGTCGCCGACGAGGTCCTGGATCGTGTAGCAGATTTGGGCGAATTTGAGGAGGGCCTGGTTCGCACAGCTGTCAGTCCACAACGGTCTTTCTGCCGTTTATTGCCAGAGAGGGCACTCACTTTGCCACTAAAGTACATGGAGTTCAGGTTGGTCTGGCTGTCCATGTCCTGCGAAGCCTCCATCAGGGCTACCGCCCGGACAGCAGCCTTGGCGGAGGCGGAGAGCGACTTGCGAGTCGACCTGGTGCTGGCGTCCCAGGGGCCGTGACCCATGCTGGTGGGCATCTCTGGCTCGACCATGGTCCAGACCGTGTCGCGGACCAAAGTGCACTTGCCCTTGGTGTGCGTGTACATCTGAAAGGCCGAGGTGCGGGAGCGGGTAGCCGCGTCAAAGGAAGCAACGTGGTGAGGAAGCGCCCACATGTACAGAGACCCGGAGGGGTGGCCAGCACGCTGAAATTTGAAGCTGTAGGTGCCGACCTTGCCGCTCGTCGAGCCCGTGAGCTCGACGCCCGTCGGGTAGACGCCCGCGCCGTCGTCGAGCATTTGCTCCGAGTTGCGGCTGAACGTGTCCTTGACGATTTGGATGCTGCCAGTGAAAGGCTTTGTGCTCTGGACAAGGCCATTGTTGATCGTCTTCAGGTTGAGCATGGCGCCGCCCGTGCAGTGCGCGTACACGTGCCAGGTGGTGCCGTCCTCGAGAAGGAAGTTGTACTTTGCCACATTGGCTTTGGGGTTCTTGGCCACCTTTGTCATCTGTCGAATGTAGACGCCGGTCTGGATCAGCGGCGTGCCCCCGACAAAGGTGCCCGTTATGTAGGGCATGCCTTGCACGAGGGGGAACTGGATCGTCGGGAACGAGGCGGCGTTCTTCTTGAGGTTGATGCGCGCCGAAAAGGGGCCCATCCGGTCGATGGAGAGAATCGTCTTGGGCCCCAGCTCGGTGGCCGAGAGGACCATTTGCTGGATGCCAATGGGATTGATGTAGAACGAGGCGGCATCGTTGTACTTGACGGGTCCGTAGACCTTCTGCTTCGGTTGGATCTGCGAGATGGAAAGGCCCCAGCTCCCGGTGGCCCCTTTACCCTTGGCCCAGTTGATCGCATAGGGCATCGTGTACGTCGGGTTGGTCTGATCGCCGAGGAAGAAGTTGGAGTAGAACTTGTTGGTCTGGACGGGTCCCGACTTGCGCAGCTCAATGCCCTTGACGGGGTGGTCTTTTCTGCGCGGGATCATGGAGGGCGGCCCGTTGGTGGAGATGGGCACGTCAAAGATATTAGCCGTCTGGCGCTCCTCCACGACCATGAGGTCTGTGGTGATGTCGTCCCCGTCATCGTACGTAGCTTGACGCTTGCCTCCTTTGCCTTTGCTCTTGCTGGAGCTGCTTGTGGTCGATGTCGGCTCGATTGGCTCTAGGAGAGATGTAGGCGACGCGATAATGCGCGTCAGCAGAGGCGGGCTCGAACTGGCAATGTCGGTGATGATAACACCGTCTGTATGGGGCTCGACGGAAAGCGTGGGGAGGATGACAACGGTGCCGGTGCGCTGGACAGAGGTCTTGAGCGGGACGGTCTCCGTGCGGGGGACGATGTCGCTTGTGGCATAGGATGTGAGATAGGCACTGGACACGAGCTCGGCCTCGGTCTCATCGATGGGCACCTGGCGTCTGGCAGGACCTTGTGTGGCTCGTGGGTACGGGTGAGGGATGGTCAAGGCCTGTGCTGTGGCCAGCCACAGGGCCAGGGCGTGGATGGCGGTCTTCATGGTGGACGGTGATCTCTCCCGTCGAATCTACACACTGGAGATCTCAGACCGTAAGAAGGGGTGCTTTTGAATGTGATGTAGGTTGACTGACCACCACAACGAGGGAGGCGTTGCCATGATATATATGATGGAACCAACCACTTCACCCTTGGACCCTGGGACATGATGTCTTGATGCACAATTCAATAGTCTCACTGCCACGCTGAGGTACTGCAAGCTGGTGGTTATCCGAATCTCGGCCTTGCAAGTTCCTACCGCACCCCTTTAGGAATGCAGCACCTCGCAAGACGCCATGAGGTGCCTCTGCCATTAGACAATGCGCGCCACTGGCCAGGCCATGGCGCTCAATTCCCGAGCAAGGCTGGAACATGGAAGAGAAGGGCCAGCCACGCGTCTGGACGAGCGGTTGAATGCCATGCCATGTGGCTGGCCTGCCCGCTCGGCTGGACCATGATACCGATGTCTCGGACATGGGGATTCCATCTCGAGGTTGACTTGAGTGAGACAGAAGATTCACTCGGCGCTTTGGAAAGAGGCGCAGGCGCGCTCTACCGGATTGGACAAGCTGGTGAGCAGCTAGGCAGCTATCGGCAAGGGTTCATTTCCGCAAATGTCGCTCGCGTGCTGAATCGCCCTAGCTTGGAACCGTGTCCGCGAATGAAGCTTTTCTCAGGACCCAGATGGGGACGCTGCGGTGGCCCAGGCCACGCGACTGCGAACTGACAGCTTGGCTCGCATCGTGTCGCGTCCATCGAGCCAGCCCATGACGATGGACTCCGTCTACGGGGTTACTGCCGATTGGCATCACGGGATCTTGCGGGCTCGCGGTGACGAACATTGAATGCTCGGAGTCGGAGGGGCATGTTCGGGCAAATAGATTTGCGATAAATCGATTAGCCGCTGCTCAGCCGCGTGAAGGGAAATGAAGAGTAATTTAACATCAATAATTCGATATGATAAAATTGGCCGGTCGGTTCAGACTTCAAAGTTCAAACTCCGCCCTGTGCGGCTTGGACCCTTGGACCCTCAGCGACCCTGCCCTGGGCCTACTTACCCTGTACTCCTCCACACATAAGTTAGTTTTCAACATAAACTTCCCTACACCGCACATGTAGAGAGAGGCACAGGGCGGCCGAAAAGAGGACATGAAGGTGAGATCCTATTTTGACAGAGGCTGTCATCAAAACTACCTGTAGCCATACTGTGACTGCTCACCGTCAGAAAAGAAGCCTTCATTAGCAACGGACGAGCAAGCGTGTTTGGTCACGGGTGCAAACTCGCTTACAGTGTATAGATATGTCGTCAAAGCTTGGCCAAAGCCCGACGGACAGTGACTCGTGAGACTGATGACAGCTCAAAATCAGATCTACCTACATGTACGATCCAACCACCGCCAATGACCACTAGAGCCAGCATTGGTCCGGTACGGCCCGCACTACCTACACTCCGTGCCATTCCTCACCTCGCATCGCTACATGATCAAGGCCTGCCAAGTCCCAGTGTCCGAACCACCAATGGGGACGACAACCGCCCTCTGCTACACGTACGGCCGTATAATTAGGTTGCTGCGCGTTTGAATGATCGCCAGGCAGGAAGACGGGTGGTAGCCACGAGGGTCAGTTGCCCAGCCTCGTCACTACCGGTACGAATTCTCGTCCACAAGGGCCCCATGGTGTACCCACGGGTTGTTGTTGTCGTTGTTGTTGTCGTTGTTGTTGTTGTTGTTATTGTTATTATTATTATCGTTCTCGTCATTTGATCGTTGCACAAGCCAGCCTCAGCGCTGGCTCGGGTTGCTCCTCCCGCCTGCGGACTGCTGTTACACGGAGAACCTGCTCCTAGAGTCAACTCGAGCGACGAACGAATGATAGTCACACCATGGCTCATGGCTCTGAATAGACCGCGTGTATCCCCCCAGAGCAGAGGCCTTGACGATCATGCGAGTTTGTGCGCAGAGGAACGAGCAGGGTGTCACGCGCCTGGTCTCGTGGGGGCTGGACGCCTCGTGTTGGGCTGGCTGAACTGTGTTTGAGCATGGAAACGATGTCTGGGTCTCTGGATGTAGGGCCTTGGGTCTGATCTTGGGTGCCTGACGACGCATAACCTGGTCGCGAGCACCGTTGACTTCCCCATACCTTCACGCCAACCAACTCATCACTATTGCAGCAACAGAAGCAGCAGCAGCAGTCCAAACTACATCAGCCCCTTGGCCCAGACCTCTACGAGCAGCACTTCGACTGATTACAGCGTCGGCCACCGTCTCACTCGCATCGACAACCAGCGAGCTAGCTGTATGTGCCCGTGCGACCCTCCCAGTTGTCACGCAGCTGCATCTCATCCCTCCCTCGACGGCCAGCCGCCTCGCCCTCCCACGTCTCACCCTCGCTAGCGCATCTGATTCTCGTGCGTCATCTTCCAACTTGTTGGCGCGCTGATCGTGACTTCTGCGCGCTCCATGTACCACGATGAAGTAGGAGACCCCCCACCCCCCTTCGGAATTATGAGGCAGCTAGGAGAGGTTTGTGCGTGATGGCAAAGCAGGGCCAAGACGATACCTCTCGCTTACTCGTTTCTCCTATTGCTCAGAGGAGCCTGCTGAAAATAGGTGGGCCAGGTTTCATTGGTTTGTGCTCTTTGTGTGTATACCTCCTGGTTCTTGGCCGCTTGGGAGACGTAGAATGCGTCCAGCCTACTCACATGCGTCTCCGTGTTGATGCGATCGAAATGGAGGCCACGTCCGATGCCGCTGACACCCGGGACGCTGTGTACAGCTCGTGATGGACACCTGTTCGGTTGCGTCCGGAGGGAATGGCACTGGTATAAGTTGAGCCAGCCCCTGACTGCACTGGACTTGGCTACTACCCCCAACGGTAAGCCAATGCTACCAATCTTGTATCGTAGTAGAAGCACTGGTCGGCACCATGGCTGTCCCTCCGAAAACATCGCCCAGCGCCTCGTCACCCGCCCAGCGCCACAACGCCCACGGCGCTCCCCCGAAACAGCCCCGACTGCGGGCCTCGTGCGATGGCTGCTTCGTCGCCAAGATCAAGTGCTCCAAGGCGAGACCCATGTGCTCGCGCTGTCTCCAGAACGGACTCATATGCCACTACTCGCCATCGAGTCGCGCAAGCCACGCCCTCAACAACACCAGCAGCAAGGACAAGAAAAATGGTCATGGCCCCGCAGCGAGCGGCGCCGCAAAGAAGGCGATGAGGAAGAGTAGCACCACTGTTCTCGTCTCGACCATGACAGACGAGAGCTGCGAGTGGCTCGCGCGGAATCCAGCCATCATCTTTCCCACAAACAGCCTGACGGACCAGTTCAATGCTGATGTCAACGACATGGCGTCGCGTGGGCTGCCTACACTTCCGGATCTCCTGGCGCCAGGTGGCCAGATCAGCAACAGCTGGTGCTGGCCAGGGCCACCCATGCTGCCACACCAGCACAACGTGCCACTCGCACTCCAGCAATCCTATTTCCCAGCAGAGTACATGCCCTGCGACGAGGCGCATGGTTCAGGGGAGGAGTGGCCTATGCTCCGCGAACACTATCACGATGTACTGAGCCCCGGGCTTGCCCCTGAACATAACATGCACATGACGGAGACGCCATCCCCGGAGTGGGTTCTCGATAGCCGCAAGCAAATTGGCACCGGCGCATGGAAAGACATATACTCATAGCCGAACTTTCGGCCAAAAATTAAAGAGGAGTGTGGGCATGGAAACTGGGCGTACCTTGCTTGGGCCGGGACACAGGGGGGCAGTGACTGGGATAACCGAGAGCAGGTCTCTCCGTCATAATTGTTGAAAATTAGCCCATAGCATGTACAAGTACGACAGTTAGTCGCGTACATTGAACACGGAGAATGTAGTAAATAAAGCACTGGCCACACAGCAGTGCCGTCATGATCAAATTCAGTCATGTACGATAAAAAACGTGTCATCTATGGACAAGTGGGATGGACACGACGAACCCAAGAAAACCCCTAGCGCCTTGATCCCCAAGCATTAAACTCCTTAGTCTATATGCAAATGCCAACAATCGTTTCCCTAGCGCGCGACAGTCCTAGCCGCTGGCTTACAGCTTGCCAAACATGGAGGTCATGAGGACCTTGGTCACGCGGTAAGGGTCGGCGTTGGAGGCGGGGCGACGGTCCTCGAAATAACCCTGGCCCTCGGCGGCGACCTCGCGGGGCACGCGGATGGAGCCACCACGGTCGGCGACGCCCCAGGAGAACTTGTCGATGGAGCCGGTCTCGTGGCGGCCAGTGAGGCGCAGGTCGTTGTCGTCACCGTACTCCTTGATGCACTCGAGGTGGTGGGGCTCGAGCTTCTTGATGAGGTCCTCAATGACGGCCATGCCCTTCTTGCCCTCGACCTCGCCACGGGTGGCCTTGGTGGAGAAGTTGGAGTGCAGGCCAGCGCCGTTCCAGTCACCCGAGATGGGCTTGGGGTGCCACGAGACCTTGACGCCAAAGTCCTCGGCGATGCGGGAGAGGAAGAAGCGGGCGGCCCAGAGCTGGTCGCCCATGTCGATGCCGGTGACGGGGCCGACCTGGAACTCCCACTGGGCGGGCATGACCTCGGCGTTGGTGCCGGAGATGTTGATGCCGGCGTAGAGGCAGGCCTTGTAGTGGGCCTCGACAATGTCGCGCTCGACGACCTTGCCGGCGCCGACACCGCAGTAGTAGGGGCCCTGGGGGGCGGGGAAGAAGCCCGTGGGCCAGCCGACGGGCCAGTCCTGCAGGCTCATGAGGGTGTACTCCTGCTCGAGACCGAACATGGGGACCTCGTCCTTGTAGGCCTCCATGACCTTGTTGCACTCGTAGCGGAAGTTGTACTTGTTGGGGGTGCCGTCGGCGTTCCAGCACTCGCAGAGGACGATGATGTTGGGGGAGCCGCGGAAGGGGTCGGGGTACATGGCGACGGGCTTCAGGAGCACATCCGAGTTGTTGCCGGGAGCCTGGTCGGTGGAGGAACCGTCAAAGTTCCAGTTCTTGAGGAGGTCGAGGCTGACCTCCTCAGGCTTGAGCTCCTTGTATTTGCCGTCCGCATCCTTCTCGAGCTTTGTGGGATCAATGGTCTGGCGGGCGCATGTTAGCGAATGTTCCCACGGTCGATAGGGTGAATGATTGAATGCATGACATGAAAATGAGCAGGCGAGGGAGATCACGTGGTTTGGCGGGGCAGAAAGACGTGGAGGGGCAGATCAGCGCAGGCAGTGTTGGGGTCGGGCAGGCCGGTTGCGGGGGTTAGCCAAGCGGCCGACCACTGCACTGGACCAGCAACCGACGCGTTTTAAACGTCAATCTAGCCAAGCCAAGCCCAGCCCAGCCAGCCAAGCCAAGTCAGCCCCCTCCAGTCGGCCACACCGCCAAGCAAAGTTCTGCACCGATGACGCTGCGCCTCATCCGATCATTCCCGTTCGACCCTGCGCATCGGTGCAGGTAGGTTTTCGTGGTTTTCGTGGAGATGTGCAGGAAGACTGGACTCACCCTGGACTTGGAGCGGGTGTCACCGCCGGCGTCGATCCAGACGTACTCGGCCATGATCTTGTTCTTTTGGTCGAGCTTCAGATACTTCTGAAGGGTCTGCGTCCGGGAGCTGAAGGCGGGATTGGTAGACTGTGGGCATTGAGTTAGCCAAGTGTTCTCTGTCCGCCTGTTGCGAGGTCCCTGGAACTCGCTAGGCGCGCGCCCTGGTGCTGGGCGGCAGCAAAGCGTGCCCCTCAACTCGAGTCCGAAGATGGGCCAGGGATCAGTCAGGACTCACCATGATGGGCGGTTTGTGTGTTGTAAAGTGCGGAGAGGCGCAATGACGAGACGAAGGTCAAGAAATGTCAACAAGGCAAAAAGACGATAATCTTGTAATGGAAGTAAGACCACGATTGTGAAGGATATTCCGCTTTGGGGGGGCTTGCGGGCTTTTATCATTTGCAGTCCGTTATCGTATCAATGGAGCGGCGCAAGTACGTACTGGGCGCTGGCGCTGGCGGGGGTCTGTCACCGAGGCGGACCCTGCTCGCAGCGCTCTGGCATGGCCGACTGGACGTGGGCGGGTGAGACAGCGCGCGTTCAGTGGGTGAAGATAAGAAAACGCATGCAGGGGTCGCCCACTGTGCGCCCATGGTGGGGTGGATGCATCCAGGCGTCGGATTGGGCAGTGGCGGTGGGGTCCCTCGCCTGCGCTGCCGACAAACTTCATTCACATCGATTCATGTCATGGTCGAGGCTCTGATTCGCTCGCCCGCCCCGTGTCCAGTCCTCGCTCTGCGATATCGAAAAGGCACGGCTTCCCCAGCTGGAGGCTAGGCTGGCTCGTACTACTGACTGACTTGCGATATGACTGACCAAATCGCAGCCCGCGCATTACATTTGCGCACGCGACAAACTTCGCATGAAACTAATGACCCCAGGAAACTCGAGAACCCCCGAAGAAGACACGGGGGAATCGGCAGCGCCGTCGCTGTACGTAGTCATGACCAAACAATTCCTGGTGGGCGTACCTTGGCCTTTCGCATCCCGGTCCTTTCCTTTAACACAGCCGCTCCCGGATTAGGTACGCCTTGGCGGTGCAGGATGATGCTGAAGACGGGAGTAGCGACGCACTGGATTGGCTGCGGGCCACCCCTTCTGTATGCCATGTGCTTGCTCTAATACTATTCTGTACCAGCCAAGTTGACGTTGATGAGGCTTGTGATGAGGCTTGTGACGATGCTCATCGTGGCGACAACATCAATCGTGGCGACAACTTCATGTCATTTCGTCGCACGCTGCCACCTCTGATCCATCACGTCCTCGTTGATGGCGGGGTAGCTGGCCATTCCCTTGGTGGGGTGATAGTGATGGGATATGATATCGAGCGCCTCGTGCGATAACCCGTCCGTACTGGGCCGAACCCCTGCCTTTCTGCAAAGTACAGCCAGTGATGAGTGGGACAAAGATAATCTCACATTCTCAGCTCACAAAGGTTGTCGGACGGTGCTTGCGCGAAGGCCTGGGCTAGCCAGGAGCCAAGGCCTGCTCGTCCTCCGAGCCGGAGGCCACACTGTCTCTTGCTTCCTGTAATCTATCCGCGCTGCTAGCTACCCAGTCGCCGTGGATTCGTGGGGTTGCGACACCAAGATCGATATCTTGTCCCGTGGGACCATGAAGGGTCCCCCCATGTGAGCCCTGGGAGGGTCCCCGAGTGCGGCTCGTCGCTGAAACTTTCCGACTTGCTACGTGATACGCACTACTAATAATACTACGTACGTACGCTACTACACGTAGAAAAGCAAAGTCTCAAGGTTGAGCCTTTCGCGCCACTAGATTTGCGACAGTCGCTTTGGGCACAATCTGCCACTCTTGGTCGCATGCCTCCCCTAACGCCCAGCCATCGTGAACAACCTCATACCAGCTGCCGCGGTTGCTCGTCAGCTTATGGCGCATCTCGTCCCTGGATCGGAGCCCCCCATTGTAAAACTAACCAACAGAACTGTGATTACTTGTTTCACGAATTCACACACCGGGACCCCCCAAATTTGCATTCCGGCTCATTTTCTCTCTCTTACCAAATAGTTTGCTTCTGACTATGTGACCTCTTACTTGATCTGGCCTCGATCCCACTTCACCCTTCCAGCGGACCAGCGCAGATCTGCCTTAATTCATTACCCCAAAGAAAGACGATCTACGCCTGCGAGTATAGCCTATAGAACCACGGGCGGCGCGCAGCCCAGACCGTCTTATCACTGACTCTTGATTGGCTGCACGTCATGCCGTGCATAATTGCTCTCACTCAACGAGGCCGACGGGAAGCTCTGCGCGCTCTGCATTGGCACCGGTCTATAATAGCAACGCTTCAGACCCAATTCCCTTCGCGTGCGACGAGTGTCGCTACGGCAATTATTAAAATCGCTCATCTCGATGGTCCGTTACCGGGGACAAGCCCAGTCAGTCAGTCAGTCAGTGCTTTGGGGTGGCATTTCCGATCATTCATCAAAGTTGTCAAAGGGCGCACCCAACGACCGGACCCCAACCGGTACGTACCCACGGAGAGGCTTCACCACCGTCCTTGGGGGGCTCCAGGCTCCGAGTCGGAGGGGACGTGGAGGGGCAGTTTCGGGATCTCGCTCTCCGATGCAGTCGGTCTTTCATCTGCCTGCCTGCGAAGTGTGATAATTGTGATGCCCTCGTGCTGGCGCTGTCGCTGGCTTCACAGTGAAACGTCGCTGGACATAATTTTCGGCCCCCTTCGGGCTTCTTTCCTGGCCCCAGATGCAATGACGTCGCCCTGGTGACGATCAGGGTCTAAAGTCAGTCACGCTGAGCATAACCTCCGGCCTCTGTCCCCAGTGACGGTGTTTGGTGGGTGTTGGAACTGAGCAAGCGCGCCCCCACCCCACAAGTTTACATTGGGATACATGGCGATACTAACCCACATGGACCCTTTTCTTTCCTCTCTACCGCGACATTATGACTACACTTTGAGCACGTCCTGGACGGGGATGCCAAAGTACCAGCTGGCGCCTGCCATGGCGCCCACGCTCATCGTCACCGCCATCAAGAAGTTGACGTCGTTGTTGTCGAGTAGATCCCAGCCACTCTCGACGACTCTCGAGGGTTGCTCGTCGCCAAAGCTCGACCTCCTGTGCTTGTCCATGGGGTTGTGCTTCGCGTCCGTCTTCAAGCTCGGCGTCTCCACCGCACTCCCCTGGAGCTGGTCCGACGTCTTGTCGCCCACAGCCTGCTTCACCTGCGCGCGTGACGGCAACTTCTTGGCCGAGCTGTCAGAGACCAACACCCGGACGCCGCCCTCGCCCTCCACCATCTTGCCCGACCGCACGTCCCGCACCGACCGCTGAAAGAGACCGCCCAGGATGCTGTCCAGGACGCTGCCCAGCGCGCCCCAGATGACCAGTGTACCCATGAACATCCGGCGCTCGGCTTGGGTCCAAGGTGAGCCGCCTGCGGCATGCCCAACTGTCTTGTCGCTGCAAAAGGGCAGGAACACGGTGGCTGCCGATACGATAACCATGGAACCAAACAGTCCAGCCCCGAGACCCCAGAGTGTGACTGCGCCGTTCGTCCCGCGAGGCACCTTTCGTAGCGTAGGTGATGTAATCAGACGCGGCTCGCTCTTGGCCAGGATGCCCAGCTCTGAGCTGAAGGTGTCAGCCGCCACAGCCGCATAGTTGGCAATGATGCCAACGATGAGAATGTCGCCTCCCCACGCGTAGCAGAGTGTTCCCGCGGGCGCTGCCTGGTTCGCATCGGCGACCCTCGCTTGGCGAGCGTAGAGTTGGTTCGCGTGGAGGACGGTGAGGACGGAAGCGACGAGCGAGTTGGCGAGCACTGCAGAGTGTCAGCTTGCTCGCTTGGTAGTAAAAGTCCGCTCGCCTACCTTGCACGTGTGTGCGCGGCCCCTCACCGCCAGAGCTTCCCTTGGAAGCCACTGTCAGTTTGGCCTTGACATCTTGCTTGATCTGCCTGCATGTGAGCGAGCGGGGTTCACATCGAGCAGCAAGGGCGCTTAGCATACGTGCGTGACCCTGGTCCCAGCGAGGAAAAAGACCACCAGCAGGACAAAGGGTAGGTTCCACGGATGGTAGGCGTGGGCCACAGCTGTGAGGGCGGCCACGACTAGGCCTGGTGTGGTCAGTGAATTCTTGGAGTAGGCGCGGATGACCAGCGCGCAGATGGCGGGCACCGCGATGATCAGCTTCATGATGTATGGCGCAGCGAGCGAGGCTGAAGCTGTGTGTCGAAAAGGAAGTGAACCGCCCTCGACAGCGAGGATGCAGGACCGTCAGGTCAGCAATGTAATCAATCAGTCCCAATGGTGATCACCGATAATGCCTATCGAGTGTGCTGATTCAGCACGTGTCGTTCCGCGCCCGGTGACGTGATTGGTCCGGTTCTTTTGACAGCTTCTTGAATTCAGCGAGAACTCATTTGTTTGTAGCCTTGCTTGTCCTTGCGAAATAAGGTCCTTGCAAGTGAGAGCTCATTTCCGCGTCTTCTAACGCAAAGGTATATCACCCCCGCCTCATCGCGCCGCCGTCGCACCCCCTCATGTCACCTCCTCGCCCATGATCTCCGGACTATCCGACCTCAACACGTCCTCAGTCACCATCGAAGATGCTGCCCCGCCACTCCCCTGACTCCAGGGATGAGCCTGACACTGCTTGATATCGAATCGCTCCTCCGGGTTGACGATAATCATAGAATCGATGAGATCCAGCGCCGGATCACCGATCGGATCCCAGTAAGGGGACGGGTAGCCGAATCGACCCGTCTTGATCTGCTGGCTGAGCGTGTATGGAAAGTCGGCGCTGTATAGTTCGTCCGAGAAGGGTGGGAAGCCGCAGAGGCATATGTACAGGACGACGCCGCAGGACCAGACGTCTACGGGAAAGCCGTAACTTCGAGTTGTGGAATCTGCGAGGACCTCGGGGGCGACGTCTGGAAATTCAGGAGTTAGCATGCTCTTTCGAAAGGGAGTATAACCGGGAGAGTGCCTCTCCTTAGGAGGCTCACAACTCGGTGTTCCGCACAAACTGCGTGTAAGCTGCACGCCCGCCGGTGTCCCAATCTTCTTGGCAAGACCAAAGTCGCCTATCTTGACAAAGAGCGGGTTGTCCTCAACAACGAGAATATTTTCCGGCTTTATGTCTCGATGCACCCATCCCTGGCCGTGCTTTGGTAAAGTTAGCGAGACCTACTCACCACAATATGGGTGGGAAAGGAGGAGGATGGCAAGTTAGATGCACACACCAGATGCTCCACGGCAGAAAATATTTGCGCAAACAGGTGTACCGCCTCGTCCTCTGTGAACTTCTCCTTGGTGGTAATGAGATCGAAGAGCTCGCCCCCGGGCGTGAGCTCCCAGACCATCACCGCATTCCTCTCCTCGTACTCCGCGAATACGTCCACGAGCTGGAGGAGGTTTGGATGCGAGCACGTCCTCGCCACCTCAGTCTCTTGCCGAAAGGTGGCGAGCTTCCTCCACCTGTGTACCGTGAATACCTTGGCCGCATATCTCGCCCCCGTGGCCTTGTTGGAGCACACGTGTACCGAGGCGAAGTGGCCCTTGCCTAGCCTCTCACCGAGTGTGTACCTTGTCGAAAACCCGACGCTGAAACCTGACTCCTCTCAAGCTTCGGGGTAGGCGCCGTCGTCGCTGTCTGCTGCCTGGGTATTCGATAGCTCATCGTCGGGCGTCTCCTGAACTTGCCACAGTCCTCCAATGAATTTGGTTTCCTGCCGCTGCAGAGGAACGTTGGCGACTTGTGTGTAGCTGGCCGTGAGGCGGCGGACAAGCGTACCCAGGCCCTTGCGGGATGCCACGAGAGATGCTCGGCGCCCGGCGGGACCGCGCGGGAGGACCGACCCCTGGTCCGCAAGATACGTCGCAATGGCTTCCAGCCCGTTGCGTGTAGCCATGCTCAGGGCAGAGTCGCCCCACACAGTCCTGAGCTCCATGTCGGCACCCTTCTCGACTAGGAGCCGGACGACGGCGATGCTGCCGCTAGCAACCGCCGACATCAACGGCGTCAAGTGGCTCGAGGCCCTCATGTTGATCTCTGCGCCGTGGTCGACCAGCGTCTTGACCACGTCCTGGTCCCCTATCCGGGCGGCCTTGAACAGGGCGCTCTCGTCGGTGTAGTCCCGCGCGTTCACGTCTGCTCCGTACTCAAGGAGGACCTCGATATTCTTATTGCGTCCATGAGCTGCCGCCCTTATTATGGCTGTTTCTCCGTCGCTGCCATGGCCATCCGTCCCATGTCCATCCGCGAGCAGCTGGGCGACGATCTGAGGCAGATCGAAGGCGGAGGAGAGAACGAGCAACGGGACATCTCTCGGGAATTCCTGGCTCCAGTGCTGGTACCGAAAGGTGCCGATGCTCCCCGCCTGGCTGGTGACTTGAATCGCTGCAGGGCTTGATGCAAGTCTCTGAATGTGAGGGAGCAGCGACTTGGTGTCGAGGTCTCCCGCCTCGGAACCCCAGTGCTTTGCCGCGTAATCCAAAAAGGGGTAGTCGGAGAGGCGCCTGGCCATGTCAACGTCCCTCGTGCAGACGCCGTCGGAAAAGTTGGGGAGTGTCAGGTACGTCAGGCTGGCCTTTGTGAGACTCAGTTTTGCCGTGAGGAGCTGCTGGACGTGGCATCTGTCGAAATACTGCTGCGCCGTGTAGTGCACGACGCGGACAACGTGCGTCTCGCCATCGACGATGACGAGCCCGCCGCAGGTCCCTGTCAAGATCTCACTGTCGGGAAGATCATCATCCTCAAGGGCCACCTCCTCGTCCAGCTCTTGAGTGGCATAGATGTGCTGGAGCTCGAGGACGGTAAACGGCCTCCGGGCGCAGACTACCCAGAAGAGAACAGCCTGTGCCAGATCCACAGCCTCCGGGGCTTGACTGTAGATTCTCTCGAGGGCGTTGTGGTATGTGGCGTCCAGATTGGTCGGGAGAGCCTGTAGAGATGTCCGTACCTGCTTGCGGTTGATCTTTTGGGAGAGATTCTCAATGTGAAGTTTGGCCAGCAAAAACCTGGCGAGTTGATTAGTTCATGGGCCCACGCTGTCATGATACAGGGGTCGGCCTCACATGCCCTGGGACTCATGGATGACAGCCTTCACAATGTCCTCCGCAAGTGCAGGATCAGCCCTTATGTGCCGTTGAAGCTTGTGCTGCTGCTGCAACTGCGCCTCGAGGAATGTCCTGATATCGTGGTCCCGGGCCGAGACGACCAGAAAAGCTGCGTCAGGTCCCTCGAAGTAGACCTGAAACGTGGTAGAGGGTCGCGAAGTACAGAGGACCCTGACTTGTGACCCCAACTCGCGGACAGCCAGCACAAATTGGAGGGCCTGCTCTTCGTCTGTCGAGAGCTCATCGAGGGCGTCGATGACGACGTAGAGCCGGGTCAGCCGTGAGACCAGCTGCCGGAGATTGTCTTCGATTTGTGCTAGGGTCGGACGGGTGCCGTATTTCTGGTGCAAGTTGTAGAGGGAAGATATCTCGGGAGGGAGAGTACCAGTCGTGTCCTGCTGCAGGAGTTGCTGCAGGAGACTGGAGAGGAGAGCAACCTGTGTCTGCTCGGCCTGCTGGTTGTGGTCACAGTAGATGAAAGTGAGTGCCGTGTCAGATGTTGTCTCCATCCGTTCAACATGGTCAATGGCCAAAGACCTGTATACCGCATGAGCCTGTGAAAGAGAAAAATTCAGTGACGCGGAGCCTGCACTTACATGAGAGTGGTCTTGCCAGCTCCGGCTACAAAGAACAGTCAGCATGAGACGCGAAAGCTCCATATCCACCGCGCGACTCACGGATACCGGAGCACCAGAGCATTGGCATTGTCCCGCGTGTCCAGTCCAAGAATCTATCATGCTCCAGAAACCAGTTACCAGTGCCGGGTTGCACACTCTCGAGCACGCTGGCATGCTTGCTACGGAAGGAGAGGGAGCTGATCCAGCGTATGATCTTCTGAGTCTCTCCCTGCTTCGCCTTGGACTCGGCTGTCTCCAACTTGCTGTCGACTTCTTCTATTCTGAGCAGCGAGAGCTTGGAAAGTTCCCTGTAGCTGGTTCAGCCTGTAAACCTTTTTTTTTTTTTCCCGTACGTAGACAAGGCTCATACACGAGATCTTTTTGCATGACCAGCATGAAGTGGCTTTTTACCCGTTCCATGGCGGCTAGGATCTCGGCTACGTCTTTCTTATCAAACGGCCAAGTAAGAACCCTGGAAATTCGACCAACACCCGTCTTGGGATCGAGTTTGGCGATGACATTCTCAAGTAGCTTCTGGAACTGAAATACTGGGCCTTCAGAATGGGTCAAAGGCCCCGTGGGTAAGTGTTGAGCTCCGTCTCCGTCTCCGTCTCCGTCACCTTGGTCGTCTTCGAGGCGGTCCTTGAGCATTTCAAGGAGGAGAACGGTGCTCCTGAGCTCATCCCGCAGCCTTGTCTTGTCGGACGACCCGCCCTTGACCTCCTTGATGTAGAGCGTCGCTTTGGCCGCAAGCTGCAGCACGGTTAGTACGTTGACGGTGATACCGAAGGGGTCGCCCATGGCAGCAACAAGTTGACGCTCCCTATCCCGCGTAAGGCAAGTACGTGATGGTGAGAAAGGATGCAGACACGAACCTAAGGTAGTCAGTCAGTCGGGGCTTGGCAAGTTCATGCGCTCCAGGTGAGGTGCAGAGCTGCATATTGAGGGGGCGGTAGCAGTCGACTATTGGTCGACGGTCGCCTCGCTGCCTACATGTGGTGTTGTCATGTTCAGGTTCAGCCCGACCCTCTCGTACCTGGTAAGGTCTGTTACATGCCAAGCAAGGGGCATGCTTGACTACTACTTCGTTCTAGACTTTTTGTCGGTAATTAAACCAAGAGCAAACAATCTGGCCATCAAGAAGTCAAACAGGTCCCATTGAGATTTTCTCACGCTTGTCGATTGCCGCCAACGCCAGACACGCACGCAGCGTAGGTATCACTGCACATTCCCAGCCATAAGCTTGTCCAGCTCCCAAGGACTGAGCGTACTGCGCCTCCTCGAGGTCGCCCTGCTTGTCCCCTTGTCCCTCTTCCTCTTGACCTGCTTCTGCGCACTGGGATCTTGTTTCACAGGATCGCTATCACCATCTTCCTCTGGCTCCTCTCGTCTCGACGTAGGCCCAGGGGCTGGGGCAGCAGCTGCAGAAGCAGAAGCAGAAGCAGAAGCAGAAGCAGAAGCAGCAGACTGCTTTGCCTCCCTGACCCCCCTCAGAGCCCTGAGCTTCGCCCTCACCCTGGCTGCGTCCGCCTCCCTCTCCGAGGCCGCCAGCTTGGCTGCAATGTTGGCCATTGTCAGCGGACTCTGCTGCGTTGCCTCCTCCTTGGGGACAGGTTGTTTGGAGACGACAGTCTCGCGACGGGGTGTCTTCTGGGGAGGGCCGGCAGCGAGCTCATCTTCGTCCGTGGAGTAATCCGCCACTGCCAGTGCCTCTTGGGGTTCCGATTCCGGTAGCGGGAGCAGCGCTTCTTCAAGAGATGTCCGTACCGGGGAGCGTCGCGGCTTGGCGCCCTGCTGACGGATTTTGCTGATGCCAGAGCGCTTGGGCGTGCCACGACGTGACGATGGCTTAGAGGGCGATTTCTCCTCCAGATCGCGCGTGTTCTCTTCGATGATGGTACTAAAGTCTCCAGGTCGTTCCTTGGTCTTTTCAGCACGTGGACCACGTCTGTTCCCTGCTGAAGGCGACGCCCGCAGAGGACTCAGTTGCGGTGGCTCGGGCAGCGGTGACGACTCCCGCGAGGAAGTGTCCCGAGGTTCGGCGACTGACTCCTGCAACACCTCGAAATTCGGCTGCTCCTCTTTCGGCCCCAGCCATTCCTCATCCGCCATGGAGCTGTCGTTGTTCAGGTCTGTGAGCTCCAAGCTTGACTCGTCCTGCTCATCGGGCTGCAGGTCGTGGACTCGGGCATGCTGAGCAGCCGCCGGACACGGTGACCGCTGGGCGTGCGACGTGTCCTCGTCGCCTTCCTCGGCCACGGTGGAGAGTCCGAGTAACTCGGCGCTCTGATGCCCCTTGGCACTTCCCACGCGGATCGGACTGAGGCGCAAGCTCATCTGCAGCTCGTCCTCGCGTACCGGCTCACCGCTGGCAGCCATTCTCTTCCGCCAGCTGTCTATCAGCAGCACTGCTTCTTTCCATCGATTCTCCATCTTGACCCATCCATCCTTGAGTCGATTGATCTCTTCTTCCCGAACTTCGACCTCTTCTATCGGCACAAATGATGGATTCGTCAGGATGGTCTTCATGTGTTTCAGCACCGAGTCAAGCTCAGAGGCCATGTCCTCCCACGACGGTTGCTTCACAGCGATGCCATCTCCATCTCTTGCTTTATTGTAGCCGCTCATATGTCGTAACGTCGTCATCGTATGTCGCATAGCGTTGAGTATCGCTTCATTTTCCTCGCTGAGATCCTGCGCCAGTTTGGCCAGAAAGCCATTCGTCTCGCTGCGCAGGCTGTACTCTTCCGTCGCAGTGTTTCCCTTGGACGCAGCAGACTGCTTCTCCATCCCAAAGTCCCCCGTAACATTAATCGTGGTGATGGCCGGGCTCGACCTCGTACCGCGCGGCCGACCAGCTTCGCCCAGTTGCTTCTTGAGCGTGTCGATGTGTCGATCCCGCCGTCTGACATCGTTCGCGCACGCCGAACGCGCTTGGGCCACCAGGGTTTTCGTCCGCGCCATCTCTTCCTTGAGTCCCCTCACAGCGGCCTCGGCAGACCTGAGCTGGGTTCTGGCGGCTGTCTCTGAGGACTCGGCAATGTCGAGCTTCCGTTGAGCCTCGCTGCTCTTCTCCGACAGCCGCGTCACATCGTTTGTAAGTTTCAAGTTGTCAGTGCGCAAAGCTCGCATCGTCGCCGAGAGTGATTCGCGCTGTGCAGCATCGCGCTAGAGCAGACGTTAGCTTGCCTCAGGCGCGCGTTGACACGTCGTGGTACTCACATCACGCCTCAATATGAGGTCGTTCACCACGCTGATGATGCGGCCCATGGTGAATGCGCCATCGTCGCCGTCACATGGGCTCGCAAAATCGATGCTCTGCCCATCTTTGATGAGGCCGCGAGACAGGAGCTGATTGTTGATGTACAGCGAAGCCGTGCGCAGATTGTCGGTATCGATCATGGTGCCTTTGTCAGGAAAGGGAAGTAACTAGGGGATCAAAATCTCTCTACCATCTTCTCGTTGGCGTAGAAAGTAAATCCGTTGTCCAAGTCTGCATTGGGCGCGGTATCGCGAGGCGCATTGAAGTCGCGACGAGGCGGCTTGTTGTGGATTTTTTGCCTCGTTGCCGAGTCAACCAGCATCGCTCATCCAAGTCCCTTGACCCCGCCACGGTCCTCAAATTAGCAATGTCGATATTTTATTGTAATTGTTCCATGCAAACAATACGTGAGCGCTGGATGCTATGTATACTTGAGTGCTACTGTTGTCACTTTGTAGGACGAGTTCAGGTAACCCTACAGCCTGACAAGAACCATCTTCTCATCGCTTTTCGAGTCAGGTGAGATCAGATGGTCAGGGTCAAGTCAATGAACTGTCTCTAATGCACTGTCTCTGGAAGTGTCTTTAACAATTATGGAGAGTGCTATCTTTAAGATTTTGTGCCAACTTCATCCGGCAATCCTGGCCTGGGACCCAAAGCCTTCAGTCAACTCGGGCAGTATCCTCTTCAACATGTGCCTGCTGCACAGCGATGTTCTCATATCGGCATGGCCGGGATTTCGGCTGCCTGGATCCGCGAGGATCAACTCTCAAGTCTGTCGCCTTCCTCCCCTCGCGCCCTTGGCGGTACATCCAGTCGTCAGGACATCTAAACCTGCGTGAGGCGCATAAAGTGGCAGTTCCTCGGATGAGGAACCAGCAGTTGTTCCAGATCATGCGGAGCAATCTGCAAAGGCTTGACATCTTTGTGAGACAAACACCCTCCGGGTGAAGTCGCCCGCAACGTGCTATACTGCTGATCCTCTGACACTGACCACCGGTCAGGGCGGTTCTTGAGACCAGAACTCCAAATATGACGCCTAGCCTGGAGCGCGACATGGTGTGCGCCCTGAACAGCAGAGAACCGCAGATCTAGTCAGCCAAGATCCAACATGATTGTCAAGAACGCAAGTAAGATCGATTGGCATTTCAGAGATTTTGAGAAGATTGTTACGCGGTGTTTGTGCAGCAAGAGCCGGCGTCCTTGAGACGAGACACTGTGAGAAGCGCCCCGATCTCTAGCCTGCTTCTGATGGCCCCGCGGCGTCATCACAGTCATGGTGTGTAGAGACAGCAAATGCAGAGGGGACGACTCACCATATATTTTTTGTGCTTGTTGTTCGCCCAAGCGGGCCCCCTCAGCTCTCGGGCATGAACTTGCCACGCTTCTCCTTCATCGCTGCCACTTTTTCCTGTGCCGCCGCAAAGCCCTTGAGCAGGTTGGCTTGCTCCCGCTTGCGCTCCTCGCGCAGCTGGAAGCGGTAGAACCTCTTGAGCTCCTCCCTCTTCTTCGCCTCCTTCTGCAGCATCTTGGCCCGGGCCTCGTCGGCCTCGTTGCGGCTGGCCGGTGCATTCCTGCTGCCCTTGGTGACGGTGACGAAGCCATCCTCGTCAGGCTCGTTGCGCAACCGCTTGGCAAGCTCGTTGGCTTCCTTCTCCTTGCGGTTGAAGACGCTGAAGAATGCGTGCACGGAATTCTTGGTCTCGAGCTTGTCGGCTCGGCTCAGTCGCAGATGTGTCGCAATCCATGGTGTCGACAGCGGGGACACGTCCTTGTCGTCGACGCCCTGGCCCCAGATCGGCTGCGCACCCTTGCCGCTGTGGATCCTATCAATCTTTTTGAGAACCCTGGCAACACTTGCTTCCTCGACCAGGAGGACCGTCGCCGTGCTCCCGCTGTTTTGCAGACGGCGCGTCCATATCTCGGGCAGCTGCGCCGCGACCTCTTCTCGACGCTCCTCTGCCTCGACATCTCCGCGTTTTCTCTTCTTCGCGAAGCCCTGAATCATCGTAGCGCGGGCCGGGTCGACAGCGAGGACTGTTTGCGCCTCATTCTCAAATGCGATGGACTCGAATTGACGCTGCCCGCCGAGAAGAGTGGCGAACAATTCACGAAAGTGAGCCTCTGTGCTGTCGACGGGTATGTTCTTCAGGTAGAGCGTTCGCCCATCGTTGGCGGTGGGGAATCTGGGCTTGTTTGGCCGGATCCTGATCTCATGGACGGTTTCGACGGGATATGCTTCCGATCCAATCATGCGCACGGGCAGGACGGCAAATCGGCCGTCTGATGCTTCTTGGGGTGCCATCACGGTCGTCGTGGATGATAAGGAACTATGCTTGCGTTGTGGTGTTCAGCTTTGAATGCGTTTCGGAAGGTTCGAAAAAAAGTTGGCGATCGGCTTATCGATTGGTACGGTGCGTGGTACAGTGCGTGAGCGCAGTGATGTCCCAGATTCCCAGTCGCGTCAACACAGACGACACCTCTCACCCGTTCACGAAGTATAACAATGTACTACATGCTCATCTTCTATTGCTGCCCTTAGGCCCGCCTCAGATCTCAATGGAAATACGGCCAGCACCGCGACTAACACATGAAAGCATGGAGTTAGCCTTGTCCTCTTCCGACAAGGCTGTGCCTCGGTGATCAACCCGGCCGCTCATGAGAGAGATCTTGCAGGTGCCACAGTTGCCGACTTCGCAGCTCGAGGGGACATCATCAAACTCGCGTCGCAATACCTCGAGCAGGCTCTCCTCCTCTCCTACCTTGACGGCCTTGCCGTCTCTGTTTGCCACTTCCGCCTCGAACGGATCACCCGAGATGTTGGCCCCAAAGGCCTCGTAGTGCACCTCGTTGGGGGACAGACCACTCTCTGCCACTGCACTCTTCGTTGCGTCCATCATCCGGTCAGGTCCGCAGACATAGAGGTGGCTGTTCCACGGCATGCCCCTGACAATCCCGTTGATGTCCATCCTCTGACCTTTCGACTTGTCATACACGACGACCTTGGATCCGTAGGGCGCGAGTCTCTCCCGATATGGCATGTCCTCCAGAGACTGGACGGCATAGTGCAGCTTAAAGTCCCAATTGATCTGGAAACACCGCTTCACCAGCGCGATGAAAGCAGTGATGCCAATCCCGCCAGCAATGAAGACATGCATGCTGGCCGATGCATCAGGCGCGACGCTGGTCGTGAACTTGCCCACGGGAACCACGTCGCCAACGTGCGCATTTTCGTGCACGTATTTTGATCCCCCTCGGCTGTTTTGCTCAAGCGCGACGCCGAGCTCGAACCGGCGACCGAGAAGCTTGCCCTCTCCCGACACCACCGAGTACGATCTCGTCAGTGCGTTTGGCAGCTTGAGCTTCGAATGAAGACCAAAGTCACTCTGTTCCGCGCTGACTCGCGGGTCCACCGCCTCAAAAGTCAGAGACACAACCCTGGGCGTCTCCATGTGGCGCTCAATGATCCTGTAGTCATGCCACGTCTCCGTCTTTGCGTCCTTCTTCTTCAGAGCTTTAGCGACTCGGTTCTGGAATTGGCCTCGCGCCTCCATGCCGAGTTCCTCAATGCGCGACAGCTCCTGGTTCATCTCAAAGTTGTCCTTATTTCGGTGCAGGTACTCCTGGATTCTCTCAATCGTCCACTTGGGCCATTTCCTCTCCACCAGACGAAGCTCGTCGCCCACCTGGACCGTGCCCCCACGGATGACGCGGTAATACCAGCCTGTACGGCTCGTTTCGTAGGTGACAGGCGCAAACTTTTTGATAGAGAAGCGATGGTTCAGCTTAAAGCAAGGGGATCTGGGTAGGGATACCTGCAGCAGGACCTCAGACCCCACGGAGATGATGTCGCCTATGCAGACATTGCGTTCGTTCATGTGAGCCGTGACGAAGTTCTCGCCAAATCCTCCCGGTACAAACTTGTCTGCTGCCTCCGGGTAAGACTCCTGCCAGTTCGGATAGTGGGAAGAGCAGTCTTTGGGCATCAATATCACGGTACATCGTTGTCGTCGTGGAATTTTGCTTGAGCTTACAGCCTAAGACGGCCTTGTCAGGGCCCCCATGAAAGGTCAGGTCGTGTTCGTCGCCTTCGAGGCCCACCTCGTCAATCTTCATGGGCCTGTTGCACAGTTCCTTGTCTATTCCCGACGCGATTGTGAGGCCCGGCATTTGTTTCATGGCCGACGTGCGGATTTCGAGGAGCCTGTCGGCCTCGAAAGGCGCCGTGAGGTCGATCATTGCGACGCGGAGGCGATAGAAGTGGCTGGTGGTCTAGCGGTGAGAGCTTTCACACAGCGGGGATGTATTTGCAAGGACAAGTTCGGCATACTAGGACCGTCCGCCTAGAACATGAGAAGTCAACGATGTACTCATCCCGAAGGGCGCGCGATGCCGCATTTGTGGAGAACCCGGGCTTTTGGGGGTTCGGGATGACGCGCCTGGGAACAGTCTACAAGGCCAGTATTCCTGAATAGATAGAGGCTTGTGGGCAGGAATACTTGATATGGATCAGACGAGACTCAAGATCAGCCTTACCCGCGCCTCACGACAAAATGTGTCGTTGAAATTGTCTAAGACTAAAAACGTTTTTAACGACAACATGTTGCTAGTTCGATTCACTACCACACAGGCGTCTCCAAGGCATGAAGAACAATTCCTATCCACCTTACTCAACATAACCATAGCAAGTTTTATTTTGGTTCCCGTGTTTCTTTTGCGCCGTCTCAAGATGCAACACTAGACGTACTGCAAGCACTGTGAGCTTTGGCTACATACAGGGTAGTCAGTATTTTCAAAGCCGCACTGACTCCAGTTGCCCACATGATGGTGTGACCGCAGTGCAGAGCCTCATGTCTGCCTTCCTCACCCCCTCGCAACTCGATGAGCTGGCCGCAAAGCCCGATTTTCCGAGCGCCTGCTGGCTAGATACCCTTGCAAGTCTTGTTCCCCATTGATCATGCAAAGGGCCAGCCTTGTAAATGGCGGGGCAGGTACATGTACTAAGCGGTGACGGAGAAGCGCCAAACCTTTCTCTACCTGACATGCCCCAACGTAAGTTCGTACGATCATTCAGCCATCTGAACCCATGGCAAGTGGCCAAATTGCCTCTCACTAATCCCACAGCCGAGGCGCTGTTCAAAAATTCCATTTTCTGCGTGGGCTGCCGTGTAACAGACATGGGCACCAGTCAAAGTCTCGGCTCCCTAGTTTATCACTCGAGTCGTTGGTCAAAGACATGGAGTCAAGGACACCTCATCACATACTCTCGCGTCACACAAGGTTAAAACACGCAGCCTCAATGACAATGTGCAGTCCCCGCTCAGGATGCACTTTGTCACGACCATTGGGTTCATGTTTCCTACAAGTATGGCCAAGTGACCTGATTTCTGTTCTGTTCACTCGTTTGACCCTCTCGGCCTCGAGTTACGCCCTCTTCTTGCTAACTAACGTCGTTCATAATGTCTTTACTTTTGAATGTGCCACAGGAGCTGCTGGAGATGATACTAGTTTGCATGACTTTGGGCGAGCAGTGGTCCCTCTCCTTGACTTGCAAGGGTCTTCTACGAACTATTGCCTATTCCGACTCTTGTTGTCAAACTTTACTCAGAGTGAGCTTGAACCGTTCGAAAAGAAAGAAGCAAGACTGATTCGTGCGCAGAATGGAGCATCGTATTCTGCTGAATATCGGAATGCCCTGACAAAGGGGCGCTTTGCAAGCGAATGGAGGCGTCTCTGCAAGAGAACCATAGCCATGGAGTCAGGTTCGCCTTGTCAACTGTTGCTGGCTGCCGTCTCAAATCGCTTCATTCTCTCGGGCGGAGCCTTCATCTATAAGCTGGGCCGTCATTGCTTTCGCATCCTGCACCTCGACGACACCGCAGCGGAAGAGGCGCACATCGATACCCGGAACATCTATACTCAGTTATATGGACATGCCCCTCGCCAGCCATTCTATGTCGATTTTATTCACTATGAAAAGGGCATCCTGTCCCTTCTCCTCGAGGGATACGATTCCAGCTGGTGCAGGCTGGTGGTGTGCGATGTCCAACACCGTTGCATACTCGACTCAGAGAGCCTACCGGGCCGCAACAGTATTTTTGTGAGGAATGATGAGCATGATCTCTACTATGGCATTATCGTCGATGATCCGGTCTCTAAATGGCGGTGGTCCTTAAGGGGCTTCAACATCAAATCTCGACAATGGGGGCACAAGTTTCTTCTAGATGTCGGTTTTTTCGGCGACCGGCTGGGAGAGAACGTCTGCTTTGAGATCATTGACGGAGTTTTATACGGCGCATCGTCAAGTTGCTCGCCCCTCGGTCCCGTCATGTACGACCTCCAGCGCAGCTACTATCACTGGTTCAGGATGCGTACCAGCGATTCCAGCACCCTGCAGCACCTCTCCGGCTCGTTCAAGGGTGGCAACGCTGTGAAAAGGCACGCTTTCGACATTATGAAGCTCTCCCAAGACGAAGCAACGGGCGATGTATCATTCTATTTGGCTTGCGCCCAAATACCATACGGCAGGACGGAGAGATGCTGCTATCGACAGGTCCTTGTGCCCGCAGAACACTTGAACAACTTTGGACAAGAGGGCGATTGGGCAATAACGATCCCATCAATGAGCTGTCACGTTGGCGATGTCTACAGCCCCCGCTTCGAAACGATCTGCGCGAATGACTATGATCCTCGAACAGACAGCTTCATCGATCTGGTGAACGAGCCATCGACCACCACGCGAAAGCACTTCCGGCTTCGAACGCGGGTCAGACCCCAACGACGCCCTGTACGCTCTGCATCGCCCGCCTGGGCATTCCACGGCGACGTAGAGTGGCAGCAAGAGGAAGCCATTGCTTGCCTATGGCCCCCCGAGGTGAAGCGCGGACACGACGAGTCCACAATGGGCATGCTTTTCAACCTGATGACACCTATAAGTGAGCCCGTGAAAAAGGTTCGCCGGGACTTCGATGGTCGCGTTTTTGTGTTTTCACCTGTCAGTGAAGCGGGGCTCCATGGAACCATTGTCCTCGTCTCATTTGACCCTGCGCTCCGGATTCCAGGTCTGCGCAAGGCGGATGGAACCAAGCCGCAGAGCGTTCCACAAAAGCTCTTGGAGTTGCCGGACATGCCAGAGCTCGGCAACGAGGAGTGGATGGCGCCAGCAAAGCCTTTCCATCTTATCCTAGGCGCTGCGGATGGTGGGCGTGCTGCTGGTTATGACTTCACACACTAGATTAGGTGGTTGTGGCCTTGGCGGCCAGGCAGAAGAAATGAATTTCCTTCACATGATGTTTATATGCACCGTTCCAGTTGTCACACGTCGCCCGTTAGGCATGCGCTGATCCCGGGCAGTATGCGGTTCCTCCCGCTTGCACTGATTATCCTTGAACCATGCTCAGACAAGTATTCTAGTGGATGACTTGAAAATATGAAAGTATGGAGGGTTGATTAACCAAGTCTAACATAATTGCCTGTATCAAAGTTAGCAAATGTTCTGCCGGAGCCACAAGGCAGTGTACATACCTGGGAATTGCCCCTGCTTCCCATTGAGTTTACCAGTCCACCACTCATTCTCATTCGCGGTCCGTTGCACAATCTCAATCGAGTCCCCGGCGTGGAAGCTCAGATCTCCATCGGCCTGCGCTGCGTAGTCGTACAGCGCGGTGCACATTTCTGCGGCGGGGGCATTGGTGAGGCGCGAAGGCTTGGGTTTAGGTGGTGGCGGTTTGGGCTTCGCGGCGGCAATGGCTGAAAGATTTGTCTGTTGGCCAGGGGAATATGGAGGTGGTGCTGCGGGTTCGGCAGCCTCCTCCGCGCCGCCTGGCGAGTATCCGCCTAGCTTGGGGCTCGCCTTTTCCGAAGTTGACTCTCCCTGTGTGAGAAGGTTCTGGGGCTTGGAACCCTCGAGGGCTGGCCGGCCACCGTAACGGATGGGTCGTCGCTGACCCGTCGTCTTGAAGCGCACGATGGACAGAGCTTCTGCGCGCTCCTGGATATCTCCTCTCTTCTCGTGGAAAGCGTCCTCTATATCAAGCGTGAGGTTGAAGTAGCCAATGTCGCAGCGCTGCATGCGCTCGTGTAGAGTGTAAAAGATGTTGAGCTGCATGTAGTAGAAGGACTGGAAGAGAGGTTGGATAAATTCGCGCTCGAGGGCAAACAGCTTCGGCAGCTCGTCCTTGAGCAAGTCGTTGAAGTACTCAAAGTCCTGCGTCGCCGCCTCGACATCACCCTCGGCCTTCCACATGGCCTTCTCGTCTTTGGCGCTGCGCTCCTTCTTGTCCTGCAACTTCTTCAGGGTCGCCCGATGCCGATCGTAGTCGAGCTGTTTGTGGTCACGCTTAACCGCGGTCTTTCGGATGACCTTGATGACGTCGAGGAGCTCATTCGCCGGGCGGATAACCCTAGTATCAATCATCTCCAGCTCGGGCGCCAACGTCTCCTGCAGCTCCTTGACCACGGCCTCGTATTCCTCGCAAGCCTGAATACCCTCTGGGCTACCTTCAATCTTCCTGTCATCAGGGTCCGACATGCGACCCGATATGGGCTTGTAAATTTCGGTCATGGCCTTGGAGAACTCGATCTGGTTGCTGAGCATGCCATTGATGGCCTCAAAGTATTTTTGCGACTCATTGTGGAGCTTTTTGGTCTCGTTCTCAAGCTCCTGAAAGCGGCGTTCGGCATCGATGTATACGGCGTCTTTCGTGGACTCGCCAATATTGAACTTGGACTTGATCTGTTGCGGTGCCTGCAGATTGTTGAGCGCCTACGCCGACAGTGCTATGGCTGTGATGTTGCCCAGTCGTCGTGGGGTGAGGGGCAGGATGACGATGATGAGAGACTTACCCGCGTCAAGCTCTTGGAGAAGCCCTTGAAACTCATTGCGATGCAGTCGTGCGCGCAAGGCAGAATGGGAGGAGAAAAATATAAGATGGCTCAGATCCGACGCACAGCTAGCAAGAGAACCCGAGAGCCACCGGCGTCAGCGAAGAGGCGGATAGGGATTAAGGCCGCCAGCAAAGAGTTCGCGTCCGTCTAAGTTAACGAGGATCGACCGGTGACGACGTAGGGTGGCTGTGCGGCGGCGCGTGCGACTGAAGGCTGGCCACGGCTGTGGCGCCAGCGCATCCTCCCAATTGCATGCAATTAGCCTCCAGCCAGGTAAGATTCAATGCCAAGACATTTGTGTTTGCTAGCGTTTGGCGCACGGTTCTTCGCTCGCACTAACAGATAAAATGTGACTAGGAAGCTACTCCGTACATGTACCCGTAGCCTGACGGCGCTCAGCATGTTGAATGGGCTGTCTTCATCATTTTGAACCACTAAGAAGGACTCCGTTTCTTGGTATATCGTCCTGCGGGCGGAACTGTGATACCAAGTCAGTGACGCTTGATAGCTGCCTGAGTCGGCGAGTGATGCAAAGTCCAGCCAATCACCATCCTCCTCCGGTCGGGCTTTTCGCCCGAGCCGAAGGTCAACCGAAAGCTCGACTATGACAAATCCTGGGGGGCAAGGGACTACAAGAAAAAAAGAGACCAAAATCTCGCTCTCCACTTTCGCATCTTACCCGTGTCATCGACTCGACGCCACCACAACTTGCCTTGTTTGCACATCAATCATCTCCTTTCGCTGCACACAAGCTGCGCGCAGGTTGAGATCAGCAATCATGGTCAGCATCACATCTTCCGCCTTGAGGGCGAGCAGCCGTATTGGTTGCAGCTCCCCCCTAGCGACGTCGGCCGCATCGGTAGCCACTCGCAGTTTATCACGCACCGCTGCTGCTGTTGTTGCGAAGAACGCATCGAGGCGCGGCTATGTCACAGGGACCAAGCACGATAGTGCTCGCGTTGAGACAGCCATCAAACTGGACAAGAAAGATTTCGTCGATATCCCATCTCCAACTCCCCTCGACGCGCCTACCAACGCCAAGGTCAGCCCGATGGCGCAGGTCCTCAAGCAGGCAGCGGTGATGGACGAAGGACAAAGACCCATCTATCTCGACATGCAAGCCACAACACCCGTCGATCCTCGAGTTTTGGACGCCATGATCCCCTACTACGTTGGCGTCTATGGTAACCCTCACTCGCGGACACACGCGTACGGATGGGAGAGTGAGAAGGCTGTTGAGGATGCTCGCAAGCACGTCGCAGACCTCATCGGTGCCGATCCCAAGGAGATCATCTTCACAAGCGGTGCCACTGAGAGCAACAATATGAGCATCAAGGGTGTGGCTCGCTTCTTTGGTCGAAGTGGCAAGAAGAAGCATATCATTACCACACAGACGGAGCACAAATGTGTACTCGATAGCTGTCGTCACTTGCAGGACGACGGCTTTGAGGTCACATATCTGCCTGTGCAGAACGATGGCCTTATTAACATGAAAGATCTGGAGGCAGCTATCCGCCCAGAGACTGCGCTCGTCAGCGTCATGGCAGTCAACAACGAGATTGGTGTAATCCAGCCTATTGAAGAGATTGGCAAGCTTTGTCGATCAAAGAAGGTCTTTTTCCACACCGACGCCGCTCAAGCGGTCGGCAAGATCCCGCTGGACGTCAATTCGATGAACATTGACCTCATGTCCATCTCTTCACACAAGATCTACGGGCCCAAGGGCATGGGTGCCTGCTACGTCCGGCGACGACCTAGGGTCCGCTTGGACCCCATTATCACCGGTGGTGGCCAAGAGCGAGGCTTGCGCAGCGGTACACTCGCGCCGCCCCTTGTGGTTGGCTTTGGCGAGGCGTGCCGTATCGCCAAGGAAGAGATGCCGGTACGTACTTGGTTTTTGATGTTTTTGATGTTTTTTTTTGGCATATCCCCATCTATTACGTGATGATATATCTTCACATGCATGGCTTTCTGAATGCCCGTGACAAGGCGTCCGTGTTGACCACAAGACATTATCTGACTTCTTTCTCTTTATCTGGCTCTACAAGTTCAACAGCGATGGATGATCTGCCGTTAACACATCGTTTAGTACGACACCAAGCGCATCAAGTACCTCTCAGACCGACTCCTCAAGGGACTTTTGTCTTTGGAGCACACCACACAAAACGGAGCACCAAACTCCTTCTACCCTGGCTGCGTCAATGTCTCGTTTGCCTACGTGGAAGGCGAGTCGCTACTGATGGCCCTCAAAGATATTGCGCTGAGCTCCGGCAGTGCTTGCACATCTGCCTCGCTTGAGCCCAGCTATGTCTTGCGAGCCCTTGGCAACAGTGACGAGAGCGCACACAGTAGTATTCGCTTTGGCATCGGTCGCTTCACCACAGAGATGGAGATTGACTACGTGCTCAAGGCCGTTCAAGAGCGTGTCACCTTCCTCCGCGAGCTCAGCCCGTTGTGGGAGCTTGTGCAGGAAGGCATCGACCTGAACACCATTGAGTGGAGCCAGCACTGAAGGGTTTGAGCGGGAGGACCAGAAGCGCACAGCACGCTGTGCTTGACCTTGTCTGGCGCGTGTACACCACTGTACTATCATGATACTTCATTATTTGCGATACCAACGGTCTTTGAGATGGCATGGTCAGGGGAGTCTTCGTGGATGAGATGAGCATTTTTGTTTTTATCGTAGCGCCACACACTCAAGGGCTGAATCGTGTTAAATACAGACAAGGGGACAAAGATTAAATGCCCACGATTGAAACCAAGCCTGCCGTGTTTGCTTTGCGAAAGTCTGATTTACCTCGGGGTTGTATTTTATCAGTGGATGGGTCAGTGCATTCCGGGAACCGTCCACGAGCCCTCACTCATTGTCAAGAGTGCAACCGCGAGCAGCCTTTGTGCCCTATTCTGATTCTCTTCACCCGGTCATTTGAATATCGTCTTTGCTGTTCCCATGGCATCACAGACCCCATCGCACGCTCCTGCCCTCCATTCTACATAGAATGACAACAGACCTCTGACGTCACGGCAAGAACACCCCACCCACCTTCGTACACAGCTCACGTCGACGACCCCCCTTATTCCCCAAAATGGTTGCGGGCAACGTCAACAGCTTGCCTCAGCCAGGTAGTGCGAGCAAGGAGTGATGTCACTAGACCCAGACAGATCGACTCGGCCTGTATCGATGGCATCGTGACTTCCATCACAAGAAAGGGTTGGCAAGTGTTGGAAGCTCTCAGAATTGAAGTCCGTCGCTATTTAAAAACGTCTCTTCGCCCTGCTCCTCTGTGCTTCCTCCTTTCCCTCCCATCACAATCAATACACCTGCACTCGTATACCAGCCTTCAGGATCACATCAACTTTCACAATGGCCGACAGCAACCAGCCCTCCACTCTCCAGTCCTACGTCGACACTGCCACTGGCAAGGTCCAGTCGGCACTCGGCAGTGTGACTGGCAACACTGGTGACCAGGCCCAGGGTGACCTCCGCGAGGACAAGGCCCAGTCCGAGTACGACGCTTCGCATGCTACTGCTAAGCTTCCTGGCGCCACCATCTCTGGCTCCGGTGCTGCTGTTACCGACGACAAGGCCCGCACTGATGGTTCGTGGAACCAAACGGCTGGATCTGCAAAGGAGACTCTTGGCGGACTCATGGGAAATGAGGTATGTTGGGCCGATTCACCAAATGCCACTGATGTGACTAACTCTTGGACAGAACCTCAAGCAAGCTGGCCGACAGCAGAATCTTGAGGGTCAGCAGCAGGAGGCCAAGGGTCAGCTGTCCGACTACGGCTCTGGAATTTCCAATCGTGCACAGGGTGCCGTTGGCAGTGCTGTCGCCGGACTGACTGGTGATGAGTCTAAACAGGCTCAGTACAACCAAATGCATGCGGAGGGAAAAACACAGCAGCGTGGCGTCGAGCACGACATCACCAAACAGGCGGAGGCTGAGCGCCAGCAGTAAGGAGGAATTATGGATTGACCTTAAAAAAACTTGATACCCTACGATGAGAATGGTTGTGACCTTCCAAAGGTTTTGCCGATGAAAATAATTATACATCACAAACTATCACAATGTCTCGAGCAATTGACCGCTGTGTGTATTTAACCAATAGACTTTCCCGCAGGTATCGCGTCGATGGACTGCATGCTGAGAACTGTCAAGTTCTAACGGTTCGACCAACTATTGTCAATACAGCAGCCATGAGATGGATTTTCCCACTTTTTCCTTGCTTGCATTGTGTATAGACATATCTGCTAGTACTGGCTCACTTCGTCGATGTTGTGAGCCACGACAATAGCCTTTCGACGGCCAGTGCGCAGCCTTCTCCCCATCGCTTCTTTGTTCATCCCCATGCGCCAATTTGACGCGTTCCAGAAGAGTAACGGAGACTGTGGGGCGAAATTTATGAAGCTTAACTTTGCTGTGAGCTGATACACTGTTGCGGTATATTTTGAAGTCGAGTGCCATCGTCAAGTACATCCCCAACCCCTGTGCTGGCGATAGATGGCCCCTCATACATGTACTATTTCGTTCGTCCAGGCCTATGTTCATAGCATTGCTCTTGTGAGATCGCCCTCTTTCTTTATATAGTTCTAGACTGTGGTATAGGCGAGTGGATCGAAGGAGCAACATTACTTCGGAGCTTCACTTCCTCTAGGTTGTGCCGGGACCCCTTTTGCAAGACTACGCTGGGACAACAAATTCGATTCAAGATTCATATTAGACTTTTCTACCTTGTTTAACTGGACCCTGGAATCCTGAACTCCGCGCTATTGAGATGTAAGAGCTGTTCGTAATTGTTCGTGCGTGTTCGCAGCAGAACACAGTTTAAAGCCTATCATGTAGCGCAGAACAAGCGCAACCATGAACGCATAAGCTGTTCACTGGACATTCTTTGGGCTCATATAGGCCGCGCCATGGAAAACAAAGTGATCTTTATCTTTGGATTTAACTCACAATCATCATTACTAAACGCCGACAGAGTTCAGTCCAGCAAAGGAAGAGCCGTCCAGGATACAGAAAAGAAAACGGGAACACTCTGTAAGAGAGTATCCATCATCGATAACCACTCCTCTTACAACCATGTGTAACGGCTACAGTCTTCAGTGCCCCGAGTGCAACGAACTTGCCCGTACCATCACAACGCCCTGCGCGGCGGGTACAACCATGCCAGGAGGCTGTCACTATGCCACATACACTGGTGTGAAAAAAGGAGGCATCTGTCAACGATGTCGCAAGAGACATGGAAGCGTTGCCTCCAGCTCGAATTCTTCACTCGAGGAAGGACTTGCCTTGAGGCAGTCCCCGCAACTAAAGGGTGAGTGGCCCTCTGGCCCCTGGTCTCCGCGGCCCGCCGTTGGTATGCTCAAATGCTGATACAGATGCAGATTGGATGGGAATGTTTGATTCGGCCATATTGAAAGTATCTCCATGCTGATCGGCGGCGTTGGAGTACGAGGGGCTAGTTCAGCTGGCCCTGGGCACATCTCGTTGGAAGAGAACGACGGATATTGAGCGACATGATGGGAGCGACTGGTGTTTACGGATATACCCCCCTTTTTTTTCTTGTCCAGCAGCGAATTTCATGGGCTTTTACAACAGCAACACGGCATCAAGAGCAGATCATTTGGTCTGTCATGGTTTTTCACCAGAGCGCGGTCATGATGGCCTTGAATGAACATTTTTGAAGACAAAAAAATTGATTTTAAAGTTTGTGAGATTTGCTTGTGTGACCACGTCGCCTTGTAGACTAGCAGGTGACTTGCCCTTCTCTGCATGCCATTGTAGTAAATTTCGCCTCGTAATCTGGTAGATTCTATCGCATGCAATAGTACGATGCGATCCCTCCCCAAAAAAGAGCCATGTATTTTGGACATATTTGTATTCAACAAACGAGCAATCCAGGCCGCTAATTTTCAGGGGTACGGTTGTAAGTCGTGACGAGCTGTTTGGCTTCAATTGAGCTACCCGGGAATGTGCCCCTGAAGGCCCCCAGATATACGGCCCGATTCAAGATTCCAACTGCTCCTGTGGACTTTGGAGACAACCATGCTCCGATCTTTCTCGAGTGCTGACACGTGGGAACCATGTTTCTTGGATTTCTTGCCGGTCTTGGACACAACGGCAGATCGAGGCAGGTCAGTAGTGGGACACTCTGACTCGTGCACTACGCGTGGGAAATTAAGGGTAGGCTTGGGGGTGGGATTACAAGGACTTGGCAGCGGAAATAGGCAGTTACGTGCCACTAAACAAAAAAGTAGACTCAGCCAGTGATACATACAGAAGTCAATATGACGACGAATCTCTATTCTTGACGTGGACCGGGCTCCAGATAACGGAGCAGAGGGAGCCGATTCTATCCAAGAGACGTTAAAGAGGCCCAAGCGTGATACACTGTGACGATCTATCAGGCGACAGATTGCTCGCTTAACGCTAGAAGCGCTCGGGCCTCTGTAGTTCAGCTGCCACACGTAGACGCTAGCTGTAGTTGGATGGATGATGGATCGTGTCGAATGGCGATCTCCAACGCGGGAACCCCCCATTAAATAAAGACAAATTCAGCCAACATCAAGTCCAGCCACCAGATGAGCCGTGTCACGATGCTCTTCTACCTTGAACCTCTTGAGGGCCTCGAACCTGGATCAAGGGAATGTCAATTGCCGTTGAGATGATTTCAGCTACTACTGCCTTTAACTAACCGGCCATGTTTTGCTCCCCCACCATCGCCAGGCACCGGCTAGACTGCTAGTCTGTTGATGTGGAAGTACCGTGGCATTAGCACTGTTCTGGACCCTTGGTGTGCATGGGTTTGAAGTTGAAGGACAAGGTCCCGCCTCCAGGTGCTGCCCAAATTGATAGCATCACTGGACTTATACTAGCAAGGTCCGGTCGAGAGCTCGAGCGCTCGCCACTTTTTCCCTCCCGCATGAGGCACCTTGAGCTGTACGGAGTACGTATGTATTCTTCTCGGCTGGCTGCATAGTACTGTAATGATTGCGCCACCCCGGCGGATGAACTGTCACAGACATCGCATGGTTCCTAGCAAGATCACCAGGGAACATGGAGAATCGAGCATGCGTCTGTTTCATCTCGGTCAGTAAAAAGTCTTCACTGCGCGAGGACTGTTGTTGTTCTTGAAACAAGCAACAAGCCGAGGTCAGGAGCCGGAGCAACGTCTGGGCCCTGGCAGGTAGGCAGTGTCAAATGAGGTGGCCACGACCTTGTCCAAGCGGAACCCTGCCTTGTTAATTACGTGTATCATGTATGCGCCTGATTTATAGGTCCGTGCAGGGCAAACTCTTTGCAACTACTGACGCAAACTGCATGCCTGCATCTGGAATGGAGAGACATAACTGCCTTTCCACAGTATGCGTCGCTTTCCGCGGGAGGCTGCGGCATCCCAAAACGTGGCACCAGTGTCTTTGAGCAGAGCAGCATCGTGCAACGCAAAGGCCTGGCACGCAAGTACGTACACTGCGTGCGCATGACAGGGCGCGGGCACGCACTCACACGGGCAAGCTCCAGTTGACAAGAGATGGTTCTGGTTCGCTGGTGACATCTAACAATAGGACTGCTTGTATCTGTACTGAAGGCGCGTACCCAGACTGTGCGAATTGAACACTGTGCTCTGTATCCGTGCGCCGTGAAGATGCGGATCGACTGGGGTCCAGTCATCTTGCCCAATCCTCGCACCGAAAACTGATGAGCCCGTCACTTGGGAGTTTGGACTGGGACCAGCCGACGTCACATCCCTTTTCAAACTAGGTATCATATATTCTCTTTCAGATGGTTCTATCTACGTGTACATCGGCGCTTTGTTCCCTCCTCGGGTATCCATCATCTTGAAACCTGCGCTGGCTACAGGCTCCCAGGTCGAGACCGCGCGCCGCTGAGAACGACTGCTGGACGCCACGCGATATGGCGGACGTGAACTGACTCGACATTGACTCAAATACCTGCCAGACTCTCTTTTCAGATGTTCTTTGTGGAGCACAACTGCGCAACGACCATCACCAGCAGCACTAGTCGGGGACCTGGCCGGCACTAAGGGCCAAGGCCGCCAGTTGGAGGCACCAACGCGCACGCAGATTCAGGACAGCAACGAAGCTGCTCGAAGCTGCGACCGTACGAGCTCCGCGAGGCGAGGCGTGATACTTCCTTTTGACGAGAGAAAAAGGCAGATGCCATTGGCAACGAGTAGGGTTGCATTCGTGGCGCAACAGAAAAGCAGCAGCGACATCCATCCTTCCATCCATCCATCCATCCATCAGACGCGGATCTGAAAATTGCTGGGCGCCGCTTCAGAATTAGGGGGCCTGCTCCGTTAAAACCGACACCCACCACCGACAGGGCTACTGAGGCCAATTGGGTTTGCCTATTCTCTCCGGAACCCCTGAACGCGACGGACGAGGCTATCCCACCTGGGGTGACGCCAATCCCTGGCCACCTACTGCACCGACCGGATCGATCAGCCCACCGTTACGGCTACTTACTTACTTTGTCTATCACCTTTTATTTGCCGTCGACAAGGTCTCCTGACAATTCATTCTCTCTTTTTAATCGGTCTCGAGAGGCGTTGCGACGAGAGTGCTTGACGTTTGACAGTCCACCCATGCTCTGTTGTCGAATTGGCTGGCGATCGTTACTTTTTGCGACAACCTTTTAGCTCGCTCGCGGGACGGCCATCGTCAGTTGTCTTGCGTTGCTTTTTTCTTTCCTGCCGTAAGTTTGTTCTTCAGATAGATTCCCGGATCCCTTCTCGACCGGTCGCGGGTTCCCAAACATCTTCAAGCTTCGTTTCCTTTTCAATCTGTCATTCACTGGCTGTCACACAGATTGGTTTGTGTCGCAAGTCGCTTGTCTGTGGAACTCAGCTCATAGAGGCTTGTACTTCTGCGTCTTGCGCCCGAATGCCAACGTAACTCCTGGTTCAGGCGCCTGCTTTGGGACTGGCGCATGTACTTTGGCTTCCACATGTTGAATCATACAGGCGCTGGATGGTACTTTTTCTAACGCTGTCAAGATCGCGATAGCCACGTTTGCTCCCGGAACAACCTTGCTACAGCAGGGCTCGACAAACGTTCACTGAACCGATCAGACGACCAAAGATTCAATCAATCATAGTCACAATCGCCAAGTCTTCCAGAGGTTTCCTCTGACCATCTTCTTCACCATGGGAGCACCATCTCCCGAGATGGCTCGATCGCCGATGTCGTTCGCCTCCCCACGACTACCACGATCAAGGACGCAAAGTATATCCAGCGACCGACCGTCAACGATTGGGCAAGGCTTGGTCTCTCCACCTCAGTCTGTTTCGCCCGAAGCTGCCTTCATTGCTGCCTCTGCTGCATCACAGATCGTTACGAACGATTACGATAGCCACGCAGACTCGTGGTATGATGAAAATGGCATGCTTCCCTCAGGCGAGACTGCTCTAGTCTCCCAGGGCGCCCTCCAGCTCGTCAACAACTTCCTCGACCAGCTACTCTTCAACTTCCTACAAGTATCCAAGGCTACGACACTTGCCGCTCTTCGACCCGCTGTCACCGAAGTGCTCAAGCCCAAACTGGCTAAAGACGCAATCAACAATGCCGACGAGGAATTGCGTGAATACCTGGGAGGTGGTGACGAGGATGACTTTATCCACCCGCAAGGGGCCGATGCGGCTGCTCGTGACTGGGACCTGGAGCTTGTTTGGAAGCGTACACGTCTGAGGTGCATGGTCTACTCTTCGCTCGGAGACATGGAGGAGGAAGATGAGGATCTCTACATGGAACAAGAGAACTTGGAGATTGGCGCTGATGAGCAGATCTCGGATGTCATCTCACCAGCTGTTGCAATTTTCCTCACCTCCGTCCTGGAGTACATGGGCGAACTCACTCTCACAGTTGCGGGGCAAGCGTCATACCACAGGCTGCGCGCGGCATTTCAGAAAGAAATCAAGGATGGTTCGCGCCATGCGTCTGATGTTGGCGAGCGCATTGTGGTAGAGGAAGGAGATATGGAGCGGGTCGCCCTCGACCGAACTCTGGGCCGACTTTGGAGGGGGTGGAAGAAACGCATCAGGAGTCCTACTTTCATGGATCCGGGCTCTCGGCCTTATTCGAGGGCCTCACTAGGACATATGAGAAGCAGCTCCAGCGCCACCGATGTTCTCGTGCCTCGGACGGTTGCCAGTGACGCGGAGAGCGAAGCAAAACGCCACTCGGGACCCGTGGGAGGGGATGGAGAGGGTGCAGCCAACAACGACACTGAGGCCTCAATGGCAACAGATCCTGCCGGAATTCCCCTACCATGGACGGACAACGACGTGGACGAGATCGAGGTGCCTGGTCTGGCATATAACAGTGACGAGGATGACGAGGACGTCGAGGAAGACCTTCCAAAGAGGTCTTTTAGCTTCATTTTGCCCGCCTCCTTGCTTCGACAGTCTGCAACCCCCAAGAAGCATGCGCGGTCTTCGTCGCTCCCGCGTGCCAAGCGTGCCAAGTTCTATGCTGTCCCGAACGAGTCAAACGAGGAAGCTCAGGCGCAATCGCATCGTGAAGCAGACCTTGTCGGTGGAACTGGAGCCCCTGGGGCATCAGAACCCGCCGAGGACGGCCAAGAGGCCATTGGCGTTGCGCAGACCACCGATGAAAGGACCGAGAATTCAAGGTCTCCACAAGCGGAAGACTTGGGCACCTACGAGAGGGCGGAGATCATGACATCCTCACGGGTGTCGGTGGCTAGCAGCAGCTCTTCAAACTATGAGGGTCGCTCAAGGAAGTCGACAAGTGTATCCTCGGCACGCATCGTCGACGTGCCTGCACCAAAGACGTTCGGATCTCATTCTCCCTCAATCGACGCCGCCGAGAGGCCTCCACGCTGGTCGAGCCACCGATCACGCCGTAGCCATTCACCCAGTCCTGTGGATGATGATCGGGCAACTCGCGCAGCGGACGCCAATGCTGGGGCTGCGAGCGTGACATACCCGATGAGACCGTCCGCGGATCGTACGAATAATGCAAGCACGACGATTTCTCAGGGGTCAGGCGAGGTTCTTTATGTCCATACGACCAAGACTCATGCTCCCGAGCCTGCGGCGTCTAGCACAAGTGCACGCTCCTACGCCAAGCCATCGTCGAGTCGAGCCATGCACAGCAACACAAATACCATTGAGTCGATCCCCGAGGTTCCCTCCAAGTCCTCGAACCGGCACGGCAAACAAGACAGTCAAGCACTGAGTGAGAAGACGATATCGAGAGACTCGGAGGATATGGCCTTCATGCCCATCCAGTCCAATGCGTCTCAGCGGCAGACTCACACCTCCGGGTCATCGAGCTCCTCGCCCACTGGCCGCATCAAGCCGGTGCGAACCTCCGAGGAACACGTTCCCACACACGCCGAGAACGTAGCGCGCAACTTTGAGGAGCTCATCCAGAGCAATCAGACCATCACATACACCCTTACGCCTGAAAACATGCGTGCCATGGATGTAAGTAAACCGCCTCTCACCGTTCGTTGCAAAAGCTCACCGTGCCAGTCTCCGCGCTCCCCAGGCAGCTCTGCTTCAGCCAAGTTCCCTGACAGCAAGCCTTCAACAGAACGTGTTCGATCCTCCTCCTCGACCACCGACCATATGGCTGGCGCCGGTAATCATTCGCCCGTTGACTCCACAGGCAACAGGCCGACACCCATTGCCATCGCCGGCAGCGGCGCCAGCTCCATGGGCAAGCCAAGTGCGGTCAAGTCTCCCCTGAGCAGCACAACGAACCCTGTCATCACTAGTCCGCCCGCCTCCGAGTCGCCTCGGGCGCATTCTGGTCTAGCGAGAGAAGCACGCGTGCCGGCGGATTCTACCGCTGACTTTGCTGAGTTCATCAAGTCGACAGGCCCCCCTGGGGAGTCGCGTGCCCCAACGGGTCTTCGTGCCAGTGGTGCGACTGCGGCGCCCCCAACGACCAAGGTTGAAAGCCTCTCCCGGCGTGTGTCTACCACGAATCGTAACCGCTATCAGCCACGCGACGCCGCAGTCGAGGAGAAGGAAGACAGCGGTGATCTTGTCGACTTTCTCCGTCAAGGACCGCCCAGCACCAGGAGCAACGCCAGAGGCCCGAAACATGGAGGAGCACCGCTGCAGACTGCCTCCATCCCCGAGGCGCGCAACAGCCAGGCATCCACAACCATCACGGAGCGGTCTATCCAGTCGTCGGCGAATTCCAACACGGCGCTGTTGAGGAACAAGCCATCGCCTGCGCAACACAAGAAGATGTTCGACGAAGAGGAGGACATGATTCCCAAGCGCAAACAACGACGCGTCCGTGATCCCTACGCCATCGACTTCAGCGACGAAGAAGAGGACGATGATGACCTGCTGGGAACGCCTCAGCCCTCTGCGAGGAAACCTCCCGCGAAAAAGGAAGAGAGTCTGGCCGAGTTCCTGCGCAACTACGAGCCACCTCCAGAGCCCGCGCCCGCTCCTGTTGTTGCCGACAAAGGGCCCAAGAAGAAGGCGAGCGCGCCCAGCCTCATGGGTCGACTCACGCGCGGCCAATTTGGCAGGGACAGAAGCGACAGCGGCAGCGCAAAGGACAATGGCCGCGCTGCCTCCAAGCCGACACCTGCCCCTGAGGCCAGGTCGATGAACCATCGCTCAGAATCCATCTCCAGCAATGGGCCCCGAACTGGCCATGTGCCCATCCAAGTCAACATACCCACGAGCCACAGTTACAACAACGCGTACGGGTCGACAGAGCCACGTGCAGAGCGACCCCGTGTTGCCTCGGCCGCTGGATCTGGGTCTGGCAGGGTCCCCATGAAGAAGTTTGAGCCTCGCGAACCAGTGGGTGGCGGCAGCCGCAGTGAGACCGCCGACCTGGCGGCCTTCCTCCGTGACTCGGGGCCGCCTCCCGGCATGAAGGAGGCAACGCCTGCGCAGTCTCCTCCTGCGGCTGCTGAAGGGTCAGGGTTCTCCAAGTTTCTGAATCGCCGCAAGAAGACTCTGGTCTGAGCTTGCGCGCTTCACACTCCCGTCTCTCTCTTATTTTTTCCTTTTATATCACCACCTTACGGCTGAAGACTCTGCAACGACGTTTTTGTTTTTCTTCTTTTCTCATGAGGCCATGTTTTGCATCTTGACCTTTCGAAGCCATCATGGCTCTCCCCCACCGCAACGCGAATAATAACCACCAATTTCTCCCCACGTACTTTGCCATGTTGCAGTTTGGCCACGGGACACGCAATTTGTTTCTTTTTTTTGGGGGGGTGGGGGGGATATCTGGATACCCAGTTTATGCTGCTGTCTCATTTCGATGTCATTGCAAGATTAGATGTTCTCAGAGCAGAGCGGTTTTGGGTGTCGTCTACTGGACTTGATGAAACCCGAGTATTTGGGGGTGTGCTGGACGATTGGATAGTTCCATGTACACTTCTGAGTGTGTCTCGGGTGCGATCTCTCGTCTATGATAGTTGTTTTCTGTAGGCGGAATGACAATAATTTACAGCATTCTCACACTGCGTAAACGCCTCCCTAGAAAATCGCCATGTACCGCACCAGCATGCGTCCTGTGCAGGCCGCCTCACCATGACAGCCTCCTTTCTGATTCGACCTGAACGCCGATGTGCTCCAAGTGGTGTTGGCGCGGCAGTGCAGCCTGCAGATCGCGTTGCATGAGCGCATGTCGAGTCTACGGACTGGAGGCGCGCAGTGCCCAGTCACAGGCATAAAGCTGGCACCCCTCCCACTGTCCATGTCAACCGAGATCGTGTAAGGCAGCTTCAGGGAACAACACAATGCCGAATCGTGCAGAGCAGGAGGCTCTTCGTGCAGCCATATACTCGACTCCAATCATCGACAACCATGCCCACCCACTGCTGAAGAGGGAGCACCTCTCCAAGCACGCTCTGCTCACCATGACAAGTGAGGCCCACGGCGACGCTCTCCCCTCTACCAAGACGTCGCTGGCGCATGTCCGCGCGGTCAAGCAGCTCTCCAGAATACTGGGCTGTGAGAGGACCTGGGGCGCCGTGGAGAAGCAGCTCGAGAGCAAGCGCGGCGCTGACTGGGCCGCGTGGACGCGTACATGTCTGCAGGGCATCGAATGCGTGCTTGTCGACGATGGGCTCGACGGCATGGACAGTGCCGAGTCATATCAGCACTTTGATGCATTCACGCCTGGCAAAAGCAAGAGGATTGTGCGGATCGAGCCGTTGGTGGAGGAGCTCATCAGACTCCATTGCAGCAGAATGGACCAGGCGAAGGATGCATTCATTGCCGTTCTCCTGGACTTCCAGGGGACTATCCGCGCAGCGTTGCGTGACACAGAGGTGGTGGGCTTTAAGTCTGTCATCTGCTACAGGACGGGGCTGGATATCATAGCTGGAGAGCACAGCCCAGACGTGGTTGGTATCATGACGACCACAGGCCCAGCATTCAAAGCCTTTGCCAGAATCCACGCATCCATTGTGGCCGCTGGCGTCCAGGCGTTCAAGCGGCTCGAGCATCCGAGGCTGAACGGGTATTATGTTCATCTGCTCGCCGCGTGTATTAGAAACAGCGAGACAGAGCCCAAGAAGCCTATCCAGTTCCACACGGGCCTGGGCGACAACGACATACAGCTCACAAAGGCGTCGCCCGCGCACCTTCAGAACTTTATCAAATCATACCCGTCCGTGCCCATGGTGCTGCTCCACGCGGGCTACCCCTATACCAGAGAGCTCGGGTACCTGGCCGCCATGTACGGCAATGTCTACGCAGACATTGGCGAGGTCTTCCCCATGGTCAGCCGAGCGGGTCAGGAGCACGTCGTCAGCCAGATCCTGGAGCTGTGCCCTTGGGAGAAGATCATGTGGAGCACGGACGGGCACTGGTTTCCCGAGACGTACCTGCTGGCCGTCATGCAGATGCGAGAGGTCTTTGCGGCCGTTGTTGGCGATATGCTAAGCCAAGGCGACATTGACGTGGAGGAGGGTGTACGTTTGGTGGGAGGGCTGTTGTTCAGCAACGCGAATCGACTGTATAATCTTCGCTTGACGATGAACAAGTCCTTGAGCGCGTGTAGCTAAGGATCCCAGAACTTTCCTTGACAAATCTCCGGTTCTTGTTTCGTGAACTCGTTGGGGGTCCCCTACTGTTGCGATCATGTTTGCGTTCGATTGTCTGGTCTGACACGCGAATATGGTTTGTTATGGCGGCCACTCGTTGACCCTAGCAAACATCATCCCATTGAGCGTGACTGGCGTCGTACTGCGTGTGTTGTCTACCTAGAACCGGACAGTCAAAAAAGGAGAGCCCCGTCTGGAACGTGGATGGCAGCCGCGGACCCAAAGTCTGCGACCCTCTCTCTGCGAAGTTTTCGCGCCAGTTCCCCATACCGATGCGAGCGCGCCAATCAACTGGCGCTGGGTATCAGAAAAGGAAAGGAAATAAGGTTCGGCGTGCCTGGCAACTCGAGACTAGTTGCTTCTGGCGGTGATCAGTCGTTCGGTTGCTGCTAGTCTAGAGCCTAAGGTACCTTCGCTGTCCGGGTGCAGTCGGCTGCTACCGTGATGGACGACGACTGTATCCTCGCCAGGACATCCCCTCGGGGGAACACGGAGGACCAGATGGTCCGAATACGTACGTTTCAAAACAGCCCTGAAGAGGGACCAAGATGGCAATTCGCGATCAGCATCCCACGAACCGATCATCGGCCAAGAATTCTATTGCAGGCGGACAGCCCGCTGGGCCAGGGCCAGGTCTAGGCCAGTCATGTCCAGTCCACAGGCCATGGCACATTGGCACAGTGGCATTGCACACCCTCCAGTGCTTCGGGTCCAGAGCGACTGTCAGGGTCCAACAGCACCCCAGCGCCCCAAAATTTTGCAATGGTGGATGGCCTGTGGCTTCAGCAGCCGCCCGTTGATTGGCGCCTTGGGGGGCCTGCCCGGTTCCAGTCACTACCTGCGTGAGAGACCAGGATCAGGGGCTTGGCCTGTCCTGTCTGTGACCTCCATTGACCTTCAGCCTCCAGTCCGAAGGATCCGATCCTCAGTCCAGTCCAGTCCAGTCCAGTCGTCGTGGCCATCATTCAGACAATCATTCACGCTGTTCAACTCTTGCGGCCGAGATATCATCGACCATTGCAGAGTCGAATCAGGCCCACGAGCGGAACAAACTCTCAATGCGCACGGACGTGTGCAGACTTTGAGGCGGCTGCTACCTACCAGTGCCAGCCTCTGGGCACGGATCAGCCGGACGGTCCATCTCCTTCTTTTTACCTTGCCGTATGCATCACGCATAGCGGCAGAGTGGAGACCGTCCATCCTCGTCTTCGCTGGGTCTCAATCTCGCCTCCGCGCTCCAGTCTTCTCCTCTCCGCTCCACACCACACCATCCATTCCCCAAGATTAGCTACAGGTACCTTACTTTATAAGCTACCACGGCCTAAAAGTTAATAGTTGGTGGATCGGCCCTGTCAGCCGGCGGGCTTCCACTGTTACCATTTCGTGTTCCAACGACTCGACATCTCCGGTCGCTCCCTCAAACGAAACCTGCCATCGCGCCGCAATAACAGCCCAACACGCCGTCTTCAAGTTTCGACCCAATCGACCGCCCACCACCAGCAAGCAGTGCGCAACGATCACGGCGAGGGAAAGGGAACAGTACCAGGCGAACACACCATGCGGCCCTGCGCATCGCGTCCCCGGCCCACAGATCACCTCTGCTGCCAACGACAATGAGGATCGCCATCCGCGAGCAGCTCGCACTCCTCGTCCTCCTCGCCGTTCTCGCCGCGCTTGCCGTTGTGTCGATACCAACGTGGATCTATGTCAACGGCCACATCGCGACCAACCTCAAGGATGGCCTCACCCTGACAGCGTCCCTCAAAGCGGCCCGCATCACGTCCCAGATCGAGCTCATCCGGACAGCGTGCTATACCATTGCTTCCAGGCTGCTGTTGCAGGAGGCTCTGCAGCGCTACTACCAGGAGAACGAATTTGATTTTTACCAGGCCAAGATCGACATTACAAGCGCACTCGCCGTCGGATCCTCGACTGGCCTTCTCCAAGCAAGGATATACTCGCGGAACGGGACCGATCCCCAGATCCTCGTCAATGCGACAGCCTCGAACCCACGAACCGTCCAACTGCCATACTCGGCTTCGAATGGAGACCCCGTGTTTCTCGGCGACACGGACAACGGCTATCCTCCCTCGCTCTATCCCAACATCACATACGTGGATCTGGGGCGCCCCAACAGGCGTCGGCCCGCCGAGCGAGCCGTAGCCGCGGAAGCTTTCCCTGGCGTGAGGATCTACCAAGATGACGGGCTACTCCTCGGCCCTCTTATGCTCAACGAGACCTTTGCACTCATGTCATTGTCCGTGCCAATCCGGGACAACAGCGACGACTTCATTCTCGGGTATATGACAGTCATTGCCGAGGGCCACTCGCTCATACACGCCCGCGACTCGCCGGAAGGTCTGGGCAACACGGGCCTCGCCCTCATCCTCGGCCCCACGACGCCATGGAACCGCTTTCCGCTGAAGCTGCCCCCCGCCAGCAACAGCAGCTACCAGCCTGATCAGCAGGAATTTGGCGATCTCATGATGCACTTTGTTTTACCCCCGAACCAGAACAAATATGGTCTGGGTCGACACAAGGAGCACGTCTTCGACGCAGGCACGGCCGGCGATGATTTTCTAGTCGAGTCGTATCCGGCGGCCGTCAGAGCTTGGACGGAGCACAATCCCAGTGTAAACAATGCCAGCGCGATGCTCAAGACGCACAACGAACAGAATGTGGGCGTCTCAGTGGGCTATGCTCTCACGCAAACACCGCTTGTGAATTGGACCGTTATCGTGGAGCTGTCTCAAGATGAAGCATACCAGCCCATCCACACGCTTCGCAACATTCTCCTCGGTACTGTATTCGGGACGGCCGGGTTCTTGGCTCTCCTTGTCTTCCCTTGTGCCCATTTCAGTGTCATGCCTATTCGAAAGCTCAAGGCTGCCACTGAGCGCTCCATCAACCCTCCCGGATACGACGACGCATGCTCGGACACGTCCGACTACGAGGCCGAGTCACCCAATGGTGGCTCGGGGAACCTGTCCCACAGGTCCAAAAAGGGGTTCATGACGACCATATCGCGCTTGATGCGAGGGCAGACGACGAGAGTAGCTGGCGACAGGGATGCGGCACGACGCATGTTCAAGATCCCTGGCAAGGTCGACGAAGGAAAGCACGTGGTGACCGATGAACTGACCGAGCTCACGAGGACCTTCAACGATATGAGCGACGAGCTGGTGAAGCAGTATGTCTCCTTGGACGAGAAGGTCGCGGAGCGCACCCGACAGCTCAGCGAGAGCAAAAAGGCCGCGGAAGCCGCTAATGAGAGCAAGACGCTCTTTATTGCCAACATTTCGCACGAGCTCAAGACGCCCCTCAACGCCATACTGGGACTGTGCGCTGTCTCCATGGAGGAGGAGGACATGCTCAAGATTCGACATTCGCTCAAGGTGGTCTATGAGTCGGGAGATTTGCTGCTACACTTACTGGAGGATCTTCTGAGTTTTTCCAAGAACCAAATTGGCCACCAAATCGTCATGGAGCCGAAAGAGTTTCAACTGGCTGACATTCGGTCACAGATTGTGACCATCTTCGACAAGCAAGTCCGGGAAGGCAGCATCGACTTTGCGGTCAACTTCAGGGGTTCGGCGGATATGCCCGATCCCGATGATTCAGAGGTGGACGTTGCCGTCGGGATCAACCCGTTCAAAACCCAGAAGCTCGAGTCGTTGTGGCTCTGGGGTGACCAGCACCGCATCCTACAGGTCCTTATCAATCTGGTGAGCAACAGCCTCAAATTCACACCGGCGAATGGCAAGGTGGAGGTCAGGATCAGATGCCTTGGCGAGGAGCTGCAAAAAGATACACACAGTCGGGGTTCGTCGCGCTCAAACTCGAGGAGCGGCGCGCGCAAGAGGGTCTCGGGAAGCGTCCAGTCCGTCAGCTCCGGCGGTCATGGCTCGACGAGCTCGGCAGCCGGGCACACGGCGCTCGCTATCAACCCCATGGAACCAAGGACAACACCCGCAATGCAGGTCGCGGACAGTATACATTCGTTACCCTTCCAGAACGCCAAGGCGTACATATTCGAGTTTGAAGTCCAGGACACCGGGCCGGGTATTCCTCAAAGTCTGCAGGATAGGGTCTTTGAGCCGTTTGTGCAAGGGGATCCGGGTCTGAGCAAGAAATACGGCGGCACAGGTCTCGGACTAAGCATCTGTCATCAGCTGGCTGTTTTGATGGGGGGCAACATCACGTTGAAAAGCACCGAAGGCGTTGGCAGCACGTTCACTATGCACATTCCGCTGAAGCATGCAAGAACTAGGTAAGTGATACTGCTCGTGGCGACGGCCAGCGCGATCTTGAACTAACAGCATGTCCAGGACCGCCAGCTCCGCCTCCAGTGCCCACAAATCAAACGTGGAACACGTGGAAGCAGAGCCGCCTTGCCCCCCTGGTGTCACGAACGGCACTCGGGCTTCGTCGCCAGACGCGGCAGATGAGAAGCCGAGCCCTCTGCACTCACAGCCGCGCCTTGTGGGCCTCCGTCAGCCGTATTTCTCCTCGTCTGTAGAGAGCCACGGCGGAAACAAGATTGTCAATCCCATTGCAGCTGCTAAAACCGGCAAGGTGATGCCCAGTCTGATCCGCAGCCCGTCTGGCCGGAAACTACGCGTGTTAGTTGCGGATGACAACAAGACCAACATTGAGGTTGTGAGCCGTATGCTCAATCTCGAGGATGTCTCGGACGTGACGATTGCCAAGGACGGCCAGGAGGCATTTGACCTGGTCAAGGGCACAATGGAGAAGAACCAGCCCTTCGATGTCATCTTTATGGACGTGCAGATGCCCAACGTCGATGGCCTGCAGTCGACCCGTCTCATCCGCGGCATGGGCTACAAGTCCCCCATTGTCGCCCTGACGGCCTTCTCCGAGGAGTCCAACATGAAGGACTGCATCGCCTCGGGCATGGACGAGTTCCTGTCCAAACCTATCCGGCGGCCCGCACTGAAACAGGTCCTCAAACGGTTCGCCACCATCCCCGAGGAGCCGGAGCACCCGAGCCCGCAAGACGAGATCGATGAGAAGACGGCCCTCCGAGGGAGTGAGCAACCGCCCCCGACGACGGCCTGATCGGCTGGTCGTCGCGTCACATCACGCTTGTCGCGAAATGAAGAATGCTTTGCATGTTTTGATCTTTTTCTTGCCACTTAGCGGGCGTTCAATGTCCATTTTGGTCGGGTACAAAAAGCAATATGAGTTTGGGTAGAATATGGGATGTACATGAGATACCGAGTGTCAGGAGCAAAGTACCTGTCACGGGACCCTTGTTATTGTTGTTGTTGGGAAGCATCTTGAGATTTTATATAGGGCGTTGGGCGATGATGGACTACCAGACACGGGCAGCACACATAGGCATGTGTCTTTGCGTCGGCTTGCGGAAAGCATGGCATTTAATGGAAATACACGGCACCCATGCCATTCTCTCGAGCTATATCCTCGCAGTCTACGCGCAAGTCTTCACATCTCGTTACGTGAAATGAACAAGCATGAATGTTGAGGTGTCATAGCGTCGTACCTAATTCACCCAAAGAAACGTACATCCATCCGGCCGACCTGTTCCCATCCCAAGAAATGTTCCGGGATCCAAGGTCCAGCACCACCCCCCAACCCAGTCCCCGACCAAATGACCGATCGACCGCTGCCAAGTAGTAGCAGACGGAAGGAAAAACGCAGTTATAACTCCAGCGACGCGATTCCTGATCGCTCTCACCGACCAAAGGAACCAAGAATCCAGCGCCGCGCTTGATATAACAGACTTGAAATGGAAAAAAGAACAGAGCATAGTAAAGCAAAAGCGAAACGAAACGATAAAGTCAGCCGCAACACCGTAGCACCTGCACCGCCACATTAGAACCTACTCTAGATCTCCATCCGCCCGGCGATATCCTCGCTCATTAGCCTCTTATTGCGGAGCTCATCCTCATAGCTGTCGTCGTCCTCGTACTCATCTTCCATAATCTCATCATCCGAATACATGACGAGGTCGCCATCTTCGCCTCTGTTCCAGAACAGGCCGTCGTCCTGGTCACCGTCCTCATCCTCCGCGGGAGGCGGCACCAGCTTGCCGCCCCGGTCGCCGAGCCAGTAGTCGGCGCGCTTCGATCCCGACGTGTCCTGTGTGCTGCTGAGGGTAGACAGTTGCGCTAGCTTCTGCGGTCGGAGGTGTGGACTTGTGGACGAGATGACGGGGACAACCCGAACGTAGAGATAGGCGACCCTCTTGAGGGCGCGGTTGAAGAAGAAGTAGTGCGCCGCCCATATGGCCGACTCGTCCTCCTCAAAGGGATCCACGTCGGGATGATAGCCGATAATGGTGCATTCGTTCAGGCGCATTTCCTTGTCGATCAAGCTCCAGCATTGCGGACCCCAGACGGGATCGGGACTGGCCCCAAGGGAGGAGCCAAATGATTTCGCCTCGAGGCCGGGCCGGACATTTTGCAAAATGGAATCCAGATTCACCATGACGCGTCGCAGGTTGCGCTCACGCTTGAAGTCGCCGGGTCGAAGGACGTTTGAAAAGTCGTAGTGCGGGTGACTGGCATTCAGTGTCGCAATCAGGTATGCAAAGGTTCGGCGGCTGGAGAGCTCACTCAAGGGCCCAAACGCACTCGAATGGGAGAACATTTGCATGCTAGGCGATGTAGCGAGCATGTGCTCGCGCTCTGGTGGGCTCAGACTCGCGCCCAGCTTCAAGAGCGCGGCATGTTGCGACGAGAGGTTCTGATCAATGTTTCGGTATAATTTCTTGTCCGAGCCGGTGGATTTGGTGGTGTAAAGATCGCAACCGCCGGTAACGTTGCAATCGGGAGTGTTGAAGTTGAGGGCGCCAGTGACGGCTTCAAAACCATTCACAGGGAGGTACTGCGAGGGGCTGTCAGCGTCGCAAGATGGATTGATTTGCTCCGGAATGATCTAACCTTCATTGTGACGATTTCGGGTATACTCCTCGAGAACTTGGGTTCGTGCGATGGTCCCAGGGTGATCCGGACTTGTGTCGCGGGGGGATTGCGTCAGCCTGCTTGCACGGGCGGAACGCGAAGACTGTCGGTGTGTATTTGCGTATTGTGCGACAATCGCATGCAGCATCTAGAACACAGGCGTTAGGGAGAATGGGCGAGTATTACTGCGCTTGTTTTCGAGCTCGAGGCGGACGCCTCGTCGCAATGCGCGAGTGACGTTGTTGCTGTCGCGGATGGTGAATGCTGATTGTATCAGTCGTGTCGCATCGGGTTGCGCTAGGCAGAGGCGACTGTGGTGCTGATTGATGACCCTGGCAATCGGGTTGTATCTGCTGTCACTAGACACGTGGTCTAGCAAGCTCGAGAGCCGATGGGCATCGCAATGATCGGTCGAGTGGCTGTTGTGTTGTTGAGAATGGTTGGTGAAAGGGAATGGGTGGTCGGAACCTAGTTAGCCGGGCGTGATAAGGTAAGACAGGCCAAGGGTGCAGCCAAGGCAAGGAACAGCCACAAAGGAGGGGGTTCTGGGTTTCGTTGTAGTACTGGTGCAGTGCAGCGACCACGATGCTGCATCCGGACCGGACAGCACACGTCGCGCCCAGCGCCAGCATGCTCAGCTGATCGCCGCTGCGATTGCACGCATTGCCCGTGGCCGTTGTTCGTCCGCGCCGGTCGGTTCGGTGGTCTGTCTGTCTGTTGGGCCACTTCTTGTCCCCACCAGCACCCACCCACGCTACGGACGCCGCCCGATAGGATCAACCAGATAGCAGCGCTGATGGGCACCGAGTGCGCCGCGGATTGGTCTGGCGTAAGGGGCGCTCCTTCAGCCTTCAACGCTGTAGTAAAGCTTTCCCATTCGTCACCCCCTCGGACGCCTATGACGAATCGGGCTTCAAGCTCATTGCACGCCTCCCACACCATTGTTGTCGATGGCCATCGTAGCTCCAATCGCTCGCGTCTTGAGCTTTGTGCCATTGACTGCCAATCCACCATGTGGCTGCTTCGTGATCCGTGATAGAGCAATGTAGCCAGCTGAGTACTGCCGGTCGGATTGGTGGCTGTGGCCTGCGGTGTCATCGTCATGCGTCAGTACTCCATCGGTCCCCCACACTAGCATTGTCCGTTCACATCAAAAACGTCTAATGACGTCCAGGAAGCGTGTTCCGTGATTGAATAAAACAAATAGAGTATCTTGATATGCAAGACGGTGGTTGTCCACCGTCAAGACCTATGAACCAGGCTTTGCGAGCCCATCCAACTCCGAACGCCCTTGCCTGACATCGCTTGCCGTACCGTTTCATCGTCTTGAAAGACAAGGATGGGAAGACCATGATGCGGGCTCAGACAAGACCCGCATCTTTGAGGCTCTTCATTACTTCGTCTGAGTCCTGCCGACCATGTCAATCCCCGTCCGTGGCAGCAGCTGTGGCTCAACAACAGAATTATCAAGAAACACGAGGGTATGTGAGCATGTGTAGTCGCTGTGCTGGTCTCGCACGCCAGCAGACGGGTAGGATGGGTTCGTGTGCATACATTCGGTATACAAGACTCTACATGAGCCTGGTAACCTCGTCCTCGACCTTTTGCATGTGGCGTCAGTCCCAGCGCCGCAACAGCAGGCCACAACTCGAGAAAATGATCAGGGAAGAGGTCAGGAAACTTACCTCCATGTCTTCCAGGGAGTCCTGCTGGCCAATGCACCGGAGCACATTCTTCTTGCTGCTTTCTTGTAACTCGCCTGCGAGTAGCAGCTCATCGAGGATATAGTAGGCTTTCGTGAAAGAGAAGATAATGTCGAGCTCGCAAACGTTGCCGTAGTATTTGTCCATCTGCTCCACGTATCGGTGGATGATCTCGAGGGTGATGAGCTCGTTGTCCTCCGAGGCGCTGCCGGCGATAAAGAAGAGGGAGGCGTATCGACGATAGACGATCTTCGTGTCTAGTTCGGTCAGACATGGTAAAAAGTGATTCGATCACTGCGCCGTACCCTTGTACTCGATGAAGTTGCACATGCGCGTTCGACGGGCGAGGACAAGTTGAGAAACGTCCTTCACAATCTTGGCCTTATCCTTGGGGGACAGGGTAGTGAACCACTTGGCCAGGCGCTGGCGTTTGTCAGCCTTCTTGTACTAGGTACAACACACGGAGGTCTTACCACTTTGCCCTGTCGGGATAGGAGAATCAGATATCTGCGCGGCAAGCCATCAGCTACCGTCACAAGCGCGACGAGCAATGAGAAGCATACTGGATCGCCATCTTGACGAGACAGGCGTCAGCTCAGTGAAGAGAACGTCGTCGTCGTTGCAAAATGGTGCGAGTGGATGTTGTCTTGTGGGTTCTAGGAAAGAGTGTTGACACGGAGCAATTTTAGAGCTGTTGCTGGAGTTTGGGTTGGTGACGACCCAAGACTGCGGGGCGCTTGGAGACTAGTTGGTGCAGGGTAGGTGCATCACTGGTGCACGGTCAACCCCAGACGCCACCTGCCACCATGGAATCATGAAATGTTACTATCAGCGACCTACCTATCTGAGGCCTTTGATGGGCTGGATTATTTTGCATTGCACAATTCACCTTGTACTTCTTCAAAGTCTTGAGTCAGTGCTGCACTCCGCGACTCGCACATGCCGTTCGATTATCGCGAGCCTCTGCGAATCTGGTCTTTCCAATCGTGTGAGACACATTTGCTGAACACCTCACTCAACGCATTCGCCGCGAGCCTGAGCTCAGAAATAGCGACCCAAGAAATAATAGATTGATTAGCACAGCTAGCCCTTGAAGTTGCTAATCCGGAGTAACAGGTCCGCAAGCAGACCTAGTCAGGAACGTTCAATTAGTCAGCTCCGCCGCCATTCAGCAGGCCCGTCGGAGTGCAAGGCGTCTTCTGGTCCAGATGCCGAACGGCCGCCGATGCTTCAATGGTCAAAGGAAAAAATATCTAAAATCCCACCCTTCCCCGGGGACTGATCTCGTTTGCCTACAGCATCAATAACCGCATAAATAACAGCAACAAGAGCCCTCAAATTTGACTACCTGCGGATACTCCGCAAAACACATTCAACATGACGCAGCTCGTGTTGTCGACTGGGTGAGCCTACTACGCCTTGCATGACCCTCAGACACCCCGCGCGCATTCCCTACCATACCATGCCGACAGCCTCTCCCGCGCAACACGCTCTCTGCGATGAGACATGGCCCAACCCGAATATCATGGCGGCTAACCCTACCGCAGCAATGTCATGTCAACCGGCCCCTCGATCATTCGTAGACCTGGCGCAGCAACACGATCCAATCTCGAGCTCGTCAACTCCCTTCGCGACGCCTTCATAGCTGCCCAGCAGGACTACGCCCTTCAAGCGAACGGCGCCGCGAACCGTATCTCTGCTCTGGACATTTGGACCGAGCGCACGGGAAATGACGAGCTGTACATTCCCAAGATAAACTGGTCCGGTGCCGGTCTACGGGACGATGCGAGCCAGTACGAAATCACAGTCAAGCTGTTCCTTCTCCCGGACACCCCCGTCCAGGAGAGGGAGGCGTATGTCACGCGAGCTCTGGACCTGGTGCGCCGGGAATTGAAAATCGAGAAAATCCACCTCCTCGTGGTATCCTTCCCAGGCATGTCCTTCGAGGGCGACTGCGAGTGGGAGGCAGACAAGCTCAACGCGCAGCAAGGCAGCCTAGACGAAGAAATAGCGACATGGGCCATCTTTGAGAAGCTGCATACATCAGGCCTCGTGGAAAGACTCGGCGTATCCGAATTTGGAAGCGAGAAGCTGGACGCATTCATCAGACGAACGGCCGTGCCGCCTGCGGTGGACCAGATCAACCTCAAGAATTGCTGCAAGGTGCCGCCACCCCTCAAGCAACTGGCCGAGAAGCACGGCGTGGAGCTCAACGTACATACGGACTGTACGGACATTCTTCCCAATGGCACACTCAGAGAGCTACTGGGACCTTCGCCGGCAGGGGCAGGTGTTCTGGCCGATACAAAGGCTGGAGCGGATGGTCTGAAAGGGGAAGTGAGACCACAGTGGGTAGCGCGATACATGGCCTTTGTGAAGGACAGAGGTGTCATTGAGAACAAGGGGTACTTTGCCGGGGCGGAGTTGGACGCGACTTTATGATACCACGGTCGAAGAGAGAGCAGCTTAAAAGTACAGGCATGGGAGGGGCCGGGAAGCATCATTAACACCTAAAATGGCTCCTCAGGATTATCCTATCATACTTCGTTTCCGTCCTCTCATTCGGACGTCCTCCAATTTCTTCAGTACGACTGGCGCCTGTTTAAAAGTCCCCTTGTATGCCTCTAGCACTTGATCAAAGATGCACTCCGCTCGGGGATGCGTGCTTCCAAACGCGCGCTCGAGCACATACAGATCCACCGCCCGATCCTCTATGAGAAGACTCCCACTCGCTAGACCGAGGTCAATAATCACAATCTCGCCTTCGAGGCAGCCCTTTTCGCCCTCGGCCTCACCGCTCACTTCGTTCAGTGGCTTCGGGCTCAGCATCATGTTGCTCGTTGTCAGGTCCCCATGCACAACGCCCACGGCATGCATGTCCCCGATCGCCTTGCCAATCCGCCGCATCAGGTATTTGAGCTCCTCGTCCTCTTCTATCCCACACTGGCGGTCTCCGAGGGCCTCGTTGATCCGGACGCGCACCGGTGCGCCAGGCACCCACTCCAGCATGAGCCAGCCGCCCACCTCATCCGAAGCGTACACCCCGGGGACTCTGATGCCCTCCTTTCGACACCTCGAGAGAATGCGAGCTTCTGAAAGGATCCGATGCTTTGTGAGACGAGCATCGAGAGTAGGATGGCGCCAGGGTTTGGGGGGCCGGTACTTGAGAGCACATGGTAGATTAGGTGTGAGGTAGGTTGTTTTGTACAGGCGTCCTTCGGCGCCCTGGGTTACGAGGACAGGCTCAGAGGAGCAGGGTGTCTGCAGAATCGGCGGAAGGGGAAAGTCGCCGGACATCTTCCAAGGTGTTGCGCGTCGACTACCTTGCGAAATGGTGTGTGATGGACTCACTCGTCCCTGGCACCCGATGAACCTTCAGCCGGGTATTGGTTGATTGTCCGTCCTTCGTTGTTGCTGCGTGACTGTGGAGGGTGCAGCTGGGCAGCAATGCGAGCGGATACGTGCGCTGGGCTCCAATAGCGTCCAAAATGTGAGTGAGGTTCACAGCGTGAAGTGAAGCTGCTGATGGTGATTGATGGAGGGGTTGATAAGCTGATAGAGGGGCAGATATCGATAAGCCAAGCCAGACTGGACTGGACTCTGGAATGAGTGATAATCGGGCGGCGGGCCGCCCCATCGCAATGATGGCGGGGAGCATGCCCTGGAAATGGAAAGCCCTCCACGGGTATGGACAAAGGGGCAGAACGCGCGACATTGCGCCGCCGGGGAACCGTCATTCATCGAATGATCGGAGTGCGCGCTTCCGTCTGCAGAGGGCGATGGTGGTGCTGCCCGCATAATTATGTCATTTCATTCCTGGCGAACTCGTGTCGATCCTTCCAGGACGCAACGGGAACCTCTTGTGACATATGTCAAGATGCGCCAACGCGCTGTCTCAGACTCTCCACTACGGCACGATGCAGTAATGAGGCTCGCGATCACGTTTCCACCGGTCCTTTGAGAACGCGACAGCCACTGACGGCATCATGAGCGTTCGACGACATGGACATGTACCCGGAGTGTACCGAATAGGTTGAATACTGTATTTGGAGGGGACGGGTGCCCCAAACTACTTATTCAGGCACCTAATTAGCTGCAGCTGCAGGGGGCTCCCGGGCGGCTGTTCACATGGCACATGCCCTCACACACAAACCAGGTCCAGCCCCCTTAACACAGTAGACGGAACGGGAATTCTCCCACCAACAAGCCCCTCGAATCCTCAACAAACCCAACGTCACGCGCGCGGCCATCTTTCGATCCTTGGATTCTTGCGACTCAAAAGCCCTCAGAATGAATCGGTAGCGACGCTCGAAGCCCTTGAACCAAGTGAACCCCCCACATATGCGCCATGACAGTGGCGCCCGACTCTACACATGGCTTCCTACAATGGACCATCATCCTCGTCTTCACGGCGCTCCTCCTGGCCACCCTGATCCTCATCCAGACAATATCCACCTATGCGACCGCCTATGTTGCAGCGCCAAAGGATATCGTCACGTTCATTGACACGGTCGAGTTCTCCATACAGGAGAACGAGTCGTACGACCGCGACGTCACCAAGGTCCAACGTTTGGAGGACAAGGTCCGTCTGGGACAGCTCCTGCGTGAGATCCAGAAGCTCAGCGACGACTTGCGCGAGGATCTCAACAGCCTGGTAATTGGGGAAGGCACAACGACCCTGCGGATGAGCGCCCGGTTTCTCTGGGCGTCACGACGGACACAGCTCGAGGACCGCGTGCGCAGACTCGATCTCCTGCGCATGCGCTTCCTGGTCGTCTATATGGGTATCATTACCTCCAGCGCAGAGAGGAATCCGCCTCCGCCGCCACCACTGCCCCCGCCCCTCGAGAAAGCGACGCCGTACAGGCTCACTACGCCGCCGCATAAACCGATGCTCAAGAAGGCGGCAACCTCACATCCGCCAATGAAGAGGGGCCCGCCTTTGAGAAGGCTGGCGACGCAAGCAGTTGGGCATAGTGAGACCACTGGGCGCACTCAGAAGAGAGGTTGGGCTGGCGTCATGGAGGAGCTGCAACTAAGTCCCAAGATGATGCAGAGGCATGCATCTATCGAGCAAGCCATGGCGATGGAGAAGGCGGAGGCGGCAGCGGGTTGATTGGCATGGCTGGTGCGAGTTGCACGCAAAACCGGATGATGGGTAACGACTGATGAAACGATTTGACACTTTTTTTTTAGCATGGCGCGGGCACACTGGGGAGTACACGGTTGGATCACTTCACGTCTCTTTTATTTCCTTTCCCCCTTCACGATACAGGATACCCCCCTTTTCTTGCGGCCAGAGGCGTTGAACTGGGTTTCCGTACGCTGCACAGTACGGCGGGTACATGAGAGGATTGAGGCTTCTCTTAGTGAGCAGAAGCCTCCTCTGGGCCAGTGCCATTGCGCTCGCCCACTTTGGAAATATTAGAGAACGCATTTAGACGATGAATAAATGATGGAGAACATACCGTCGAGTGCGACCAGGAAGCGACTGACCATGTTGTAGCAGGCAATCGTTGCCGTGATCTCCGTGATTTCTTGGTCGGTGAAAAGTCCTTTGAGACGCTCAAAAGTTGCGTCCTTGACGTGCACATCCCTCGTCATCTCATCCGCGTACACCAGAACAGCCCACTGCTTCTCGCTGAGGTCGCTGCCCTCCTTGACATCACCCTCCAAGCGTTCCTCGACTTTCACAATCTCCATGCCCTGCTGGCTGACACCGGCCGCCACGGCCAGGGGGGCATGGTGCTTCCACTCATACCACGCCCTATTGCACACGGCGACCCGCGAGATGGCCAATTCCCTCAAGTCAGCGGGAATGGACGTCTTGGTGCGGACCGCACCGAGAAATGTGTTCCAGCCGTCGGCGACGGGAGGGGAGTGAAGCAACGCCAAGTCGAGAGACTGCAGAGGGCGAGGCGCACGACGATCCTGCATGCGCTGGACGATGGCTGCGTCTTCTGGGGACGAGGGCTCCGGGGGGTTGGCGACGTAAGGGATCCTCATGTTGGGCGGATTCTGACTTAAGAAGGGGGAAATACTATTGTAAGAGAGTGTCTACAGGAGTGTGCAATGTAGATTTTAAGGGCGACGTTATCCCGCAACACATCGACTTGGGAGAACATCTACCCATTTATTATACCACCTCGTAAGCGGGCTCTGCCGGACGGGTTGCCGGAGGCGGGGATGATGGCGCTCCACTCTGCCCCGAGAATCGCTCCCGAAACCCGTGGAGCTGGAACCTGAGCGCAATGGCGTTGGCAAGGTGGTTTCGACAGCGCAAGCAGTTGCGAGAGATGTCTAGAAGACCCTATGTAGTCTGCAATGAGAGCAGTTCGCCCTGCCAGAAGCTGTGGCACAAAGGGAAACGCAGGGATACATAAAGACTCGATACCTAGAGCTATTTGGGAGCCCGGTGGGCGATGGGGGCCAAGCGCACATTGCATCTAGCTACAAGCGACAGCGCATCATCTGCCGGTGCAGACCGCCTTTCTTGCATGATTTGGTACCGAATCCTCAGGTAGCGGTTCAGGCAGGCGCAATTGGGTCCCTAAGTTAATCTTGATATCCTGCGGTCCATGTCATCGCCAGGCAAGTGCGATACCTTTGAGCTGATGTCGGGTCACTAGATCTCGCTCCTGCTAAGGTTGATCTACATATTGGAGAGACAGGTGCAAAGAAGAGCTCGCAGCGTCGGAAAGACATCTGGACAGCTCAGAGATGAAGCGGTCCAAAATGAAGTCAGACTCACCCGTTCAGACTGGCGATACTGCCAGTGTTCTTCTATAGTATAATATGGATCCACAGCTCAGCCCAGCAACTCGCGAAAGACGCGCGCTGCGTCAGATCACGTGACAGCCTCTGGGCAGCGCCTCCCATTCACGCGATCACCTTTTCGCGACGCTGGCCACCCATCGCACCCTAGCTCTCACTCAATCCTCATCAATCTCTCGTCGAGCAAAGGTCGCGCCACGGCATCAGTCAACATCATGGCCGACATCACCCTCGACAGCAAGCTCTTCCAGGAGCGCATCTCCCACTTCACAACCGCCTGGAAGAATGACTTGCGCTCCAAGGACGGAGTCTTTGGTGGTGCGCAGTCCATCGTCGTGATGATGGGCAGAGTCGAGGAGGTGCAGAGCCTCAACAAGAACAACGCTGTTCACGTTAGTCCACTCCCTGAAAATGCCAACCGACCGCAAGAGTTCTAACATCCACTACAGTTCTGGCTTCTGGGTTACGAATTCCCGACGACAATGCTTCTGCTCACGCTCGACACGCTCTACGTCATCACCAAAGCAGGGAAGGCGAAACATCTTGAGCAGATTCAGGGTGGACGATTTCCAGTAGAGGTCCTTGTGCGAGGCAAGGATCCTGAGGAAAACTTAAAGCTGTTTGGCCAGCTCGCGGACAAGATCAAGGAAGCAGGAGTAGGCTAGCCACTACAGCCGTGCTGTGCAACATGCTGACATATTTCAGAGCAAGGTCGGCATCATCGGACGCGATAACTCAAAAGGCCCCTTTGTCGAAGAGTGGAAAAAAGTCATGGAGGACAAGTGCAAGGATGTGGAGCAGGTCGATGTATCCCCTGCTCTGTCCACGCACGCCTTCTCGATCAAGGATGAGAACGAACTCCGCGCCATGCGTGCCTCATCCAAGGCCTGCGTCGCCTTGATGACTCCTTACTTCCTCGACGAAATGTCCGACATCCTCGACGCCGAAAAGAAAGTGAAGCATTCCAAGCTTGCTGATCAGATCGACAAGAAGCTCGACGATAACAAGTTCTGGAAGTCTGTAGAGCTACCGGGCAAGGGCAAGCTGCCAAGCGATTTTGACCCTGCCAATCTCGACTTTGTTCTGGGACCTTGCATCCAGAGTGGTGGCAAATACGACCTCAAGTTCGCGACCGAGGCCAATGGCGACAATCTCCACGCTGGCATCATCATCGCCGCCCTCGGCCTGCGATACAAGTCCTACTGCTCGTCCATCGCGCGAACCTACTTGGTCGATCCGAATAAGTCTCAGGAGAGCAACTACAAACTGTTGTGCATGGTTCACAACTCCATCATTCGGGACATCCGCGATGGCATGGCCGCCAAGGATGTCTATATTAAGGCCCTGGGCATCGTCAAGGCCAAAAAGCCCGAGATGGAGAAGCACTTTTTGAAAAACGTTGGCTGGGGCATCGGTCTCGAAAGCAAGGACCCCACGCTTCTGCTGAACGCGAAGAACCAGCGAACGCTCAAGGACGGCATGACTCTGATCATCCAGACGGGCTTCCAAGACATTGAGAACCCACAGCCACAGGACAAGAGCAGCAAGGTCTACTCCATGATCCTCACCGACACTATCCGTGTTACGTCATCTGAGCCTGTCGTGTTCACTGCCGAGGCTCCGACCAGCGCCGACGCTAACTCTTTCTTCTTCAAGGACGAGGAGGAAGCGTTGCCTACGCCCAAGAAGGAGAAGAAGGACTCAAAGGTCGGTGCTGTTGCCACAAAGAACATTACGAACACACGCCTTCGCTCGGAGCGCACCACTCAGGTCAACGAAGAGAATGACAGTCGGCGACGCCAGCATCAAAAGGAGCTTGCAGCAAAGAAGCAGAAAGAAGGTCTTGCTCGTTTCTCCGAATCGACTGCCAACCAGAACGGCGGTGAGGTTAAGAAATTCAAGCGGTTCGAGTCGTACAAGAGGGACAACCAGTTCCCTTTGAAGATCAAGAACCTCGAGATTGTGGTCGATTCCAAGAATGCCACTGTCATCCTACCCATTCTCGGTCGTCCAGTACCGTTCCACATCAACACCATCAAGAATGCCAGCAAGAGCGACGAGGGCGAGTTCACGTTTCTCCGTATCAACTTCCTCTCGCCGGGCCAGGGTGTCGGCCGCAAGGATGACCAGCCCTTTGAGGATGCCTCGGCGCATTTCGTCCGCAGCTTGACGTTTCGATCCACCGACAACGAGAGATACACCGAGATAGCGACTCAGATCTCGAATATGAAGCGTGACTCGGTCAAAAAGGAGCAGGAGAAGAAGGACATGGAGGACGTTGTCGAGCAGGACAAGCTTGCTGAGATTAGGAGTAAGTCTCTTGTGATAGGCGACAGGATATTGCTAACCTTTCAGATCGTCGCCCTGCCGTCTTGGATAATGTTTTTATTCGACCGGCGCACGAAGGAAAACGCGTTGCAGGCAAGGTCGAGATCCACCAGAATGGTATCCGATACCAGTCGCCTCTCAACATTCAGCACCGCGTGGATATTTTGTTCTCCAACATCAAGCACCTTTTCTTCCAGCCTTGTGCGCATGAGCTGATTGTCATCATCCACATCCACCTCAAAGACCCCATCATTGTGGGCAACAAGAAGAAGACCAAGGACGTACAGTTCTATCGCGAGGCTACCGACATCCAGTTTGATGAGACTGGAAACCGCAAACGCAAGTACAAGTACGGCGACGAGGACGAGTTTGAGGCCGAGCAGGAAGAGCGCCGCAGAAGGCAAGAGCTTGATCGTCTTTTCCAGGGATTCGCCCAGAAGATTGCCGATGCTGGTCGCAACGACAATGTTGAGGTTGACATGCCCATTCGCGAGCTCGGTTTCCACGGTGTACCGTTCCGCAGTAACGTTTTCATCCAGCCCACAACTGAGTGTCTCATTCAAGTGGTTGAACCGCCGTTCATGGTCATCACCATCGAGGACATTGAGGTTGCTCACCTGGAACGTGTCCAGTTTGGTCTCAAGAACTTCGACATGGTCTTCATCTTCAAGGACTTTACTCGTCCACCGTACCACGTCAACACCATCCCCGTTGAGCATCTCGATCAGGTCAAGGATTTCCTCGACTCTTCTGACATTGCCTTCACCGAGGGTCCGCTCAACCTCAACTGGCCTACCATTATGAAGACAGTGACAGCCGACACGCACCAGTTCTTTGTTGACGGTGGTTGGTCTTTCCTGGCCGCTGAATCCGACGATGACGGCTCCGGTGAGGAGGAGGAGTCGGCCTTTGAGATGTCAGAGGACGACCTTGACGATGCGTCCGAAAGCGAGGAGGAGTCCGACTTTGACGGTAGCAACGCCAGTGACGATGACGACGGCGATGCAGACCTGGACAGTGACGACGAGGGAGAGGACTGGGATGAGCTGGAGAAGAAGGCGAAGCGTCGCGATCGCGAGGACGCAGCCCAGATGCGGGAAGACGATGGGGGCAAGAAGCGCAAGCGCTAAAAAAAAAATTCCTTGACTGGAGCACTGGGACATGCCAGGGCTCAGGTGGTGGAAGGGCTTCATGTTAACTTGTATCTGATAGTATGACAAATTAGGAGGCGCTGATGGTTCGTTCTCAAGGGGTTTTCGTTTGCAGACCGCGCTCGCCCGAGGAGTACAAGATAATTAATCTTTTCTTACTACATGCAACAGGCCTCTAGAGGAGCATTGAAACCACTCTATTCATACTGTACTATGGTGATAAACTCTCGGAACCAAAAGACATGGCAGGCACAGACTCCCAAACGCCGCTTCCCATCATCATACTGCCTGTCCCCTGTTCTAGTAGAGACCGTACGCGTAGGGTGTGCTGCACAGATCTACACCGAGTCGCCCTTGGAAGCATCCCGCAACCATTGCTCACTTGGTAGGAGACCGCCGCACGCCCCATAATCCGCTCTGCCCCGGCAGCGCTGCGCCGGCCACGGCCTCCGCGGTCTGACTCAGTAGAGGCTGGAACGACACGGAGCGCCCTTGATAGCGGCGGGCCAACTAGGCCTCGCCAGGCAAGTGACGGCCTGAGGCGGTCGCGGTGGACGGGGGGTTCTGGTTGGCGTTCTTGTTGGCGGGCACGTTGTTCCACGAGAGATAGGTGTGGTCGCCGAGTTTCCTGCACACGCTGTTAGCTGGACACACGGACAACAACTGATTCAGTGAGAGCGTACCTGGGCTTGATGAGGTGAGTGGCAGTGAAGATGCCGCCCAACAGGATGCAGACGCCGCCGACGACCATGTAGGCGATGCCGAGGAAGGGGTTGCGGCCGCCCATGACAGTGCGGGTACTGATGAGGACGGACTTGGTGCCCTTGAACTCGGAGACGCGGAAATCTACATCTTGTCAGCTGGTTTACGGCGAGTCGGGCATAGGCCATTGTACGTACGGTCATCGATGACGATCTCGTATTCACCCTCCTTCATGGAGTCCGCGTCGTTGCGCTGGTACAGCTTGCTGAAGGTGGGCAGACCGGCCGTGCGCATCCAGACGTGGAGGTGCTCCCAGTCCTTCAGGTTGGGAGGGGGGTTGTCGTCCGTGTAGCCGTTGGGGTACCTCTTGCGCCAGTTGGGCGGCGGCAGGGCCTCGTCGGGCTTGTACTTTGTCTCGCCGTACAGCGCACGGTCCGAGTCCCAGGCGATGCCGTTGGAGGTCATGTTATACGCCTCGGTCTCGTTGCCGGTGGCGCCCGGGGGGTTCCTCAGCACGGGGTTGGAGTAGGAGTCGTTGAAGAGGGAGTTTGCGATGAGGCCGCAGGGGTAGTAGGGAAGCCTGGCCGTCTTGTTCACCTCGAGAGGGTCGCACTCGCTGCCGTCAATGTCGTCGTAGGACCGGGCGCTCCCCTTGAGCTGTTCCGAGTCGAACGAGTCGACGTATCGACGGTGATTCTGGTAGAAGTTGGTGAGGTAGTAGTAGAAGAGGACCGGCGGGCCCATGCTCTCTGGGATGTAGAAGCGCAGGTAGCACTGGTCGGTCTCGATGGTGACGCCGCCCGAGTCGGGCACGTCGACCTCGACGTTGCGTCGCACGGCCCAGCGGGCATCGATGGACTTGTTGTTGGACTTGAAGGCGTGGTGCACGTCGCCGCTGTCCATGCTCTCAAAGCCATCGTCAAAGTCGGGCGCGTTCCGCAGGCAGTTGGTGTAGTCGAGACGAATCTCCTGGACCTGCGTGCTGGCCCAGTAGAGGAGGCCTCCGATGGGGGCGAAGATGACGCCGATGACGAAGAAGAGTGGCAGGACTGTCTTGGGTGTGAGGATGGGTCTGCGACACTGGTTAGCTTCTGGCGCCTCCTCGTTGCGTCCCTCCCTCGAGGGCTGCGCTGGGCGGGGGGAACGTACTGCCACGCCTTGAGACGTTGCTGTCTGAATGCCGTATCTATCGCGAAAGGTCAGTCACTGGGTGCTGTGTTTTGACATGGGCGAGGCCAATCGTACTGGCTGGGCGACGGCTCTTCTTCTTGTCCGGCTGGTTCGGACCAGAGTCGTCAGAGTTCATGGTGTCGACATGGTCGACACCTCGCGGCGCGTCGGCCATGCTGTGCGATTGGAGCTGTCAGGCAGTCGATGCTTGGGTAAATGATTCGGCACGTCAATGTTGTGTGAGTGCGCAGCGCAAAGTATCGTCGTGATGTGGGAGGTCGTGATGATGATGATGTGGGTTGGCGTGTCAATTCAACGTGCCCAGGCGCGAGGCTGCTTACTAGACTGCCTAGACTGCTTAAAAGTAGTGCCTGCGCCCGGCACTCCAAGGGCCCCGGGTTGCTGCTAAATTCCGTCAAAGGGGCCAGCTTCAGTGGGGACCTTGCATCTGTCTAGGCCTATGAGACCCCTAAATCGAGGTTTAAGGTTGTCCATCTCCGCTGTTAACGCTGTGGCTGTGCCACTCCGTGATGATTCGACACACCTACACGACCTGCGCCGCAGACGCGTCGACGCTTACCCGGGACAATGTGTTTCAATGTAAAAAGCTGCGTGAATGCAATGATATAGCTGATGCACCCGATAACAACCATCGCGAGCGAGTCCTCACCTGTGAGACTATAGAGCTGGATTTGCTAATTTGCCAGACCTCTCTTATTTCGCGCAGTGATCAACGGAACCATACATTCGTACTGATAACACGTGAGCCTGCAACCCAAGCATTATTTACACATGGGTATTTTAATTTGCTCCGACTCATCCCGGGCTTTGTTCGCTACCAGAAGCGACCTTCTGGCGTCCAAAGCAAGGCTTGAGCTAATCTCCAACTCCGTCCGCCCAAGGCCTAGTCATACCCTTTTACGACCTACCTAGGGTAATGATATGAGCTCGCAGCGGTTGGCATTCAGTCTCTCACTTCCAATGTGAACGGAAGCGCAGGGTGTCCAGCCGATATCGCGCCGCCGATCGTCTGGACGTGCTATGGCCTGAACGTCTTTACCGACCTGTGCCCACCCTGCCCATGCCGTTGCTGTGGAAGACGTTGATGAAGACGTTGATGAAGACGTTGATGAAGACGTACAAGAAAGTCAGCCTCGGTCTCCTCTCCAGTGCGGAAGCTATGATCATCGTCTTCGCCATGATACGCTGCGTGTTGATCTACATTGTATGTCGTCGGGTGGCTGTAGTCGAGCACGCCTGTCTGTTAACGAGTACGCCTGTCTGTTAAAATAGGCACTGATGATCCTAAGAACGGCGCGCCCGTCTCGGGTACGTGGGCTGTCCGGGAGACATTCGTGGCCATCATCACGACCAAGATACGCGGAGTAGGCGACTCGAAGGCGACCAATATGCTGTTCTCCACGAACGAGAGCGGATGGTAAACGGGTGCATGCCGATTCCGATGGAGGAAGGTCGATGGTCTGACCCAACTCTGGGCTCAGATGAAGCGCAGGACGAGAGGAAAGCTGATCGCGCAGACACACCTAAGATAGGATATGAATGTGATATTGGCGAGCATTGCAGCCGACAATTGCAGCCGACATTGACGGCGCTATCTATCCGTACATCGTGCGTGCTGAACGAGCTGACGCCGGCCATGCGCGACTCGCGAGACTCGAGACAAGTCGCTGGCGTCTTGGCCAAATCTTGGTATGGCTAATGCAGGCTGATCGGCCTGTCGGCAAGGTGGTGAAATGACGACGTTTCTGGGCACCCCGTGTCGATTACGTGGCCCAGCAGGTTGGCGAGTGACGCCCAGCCTGAGCCGTCATGGAAGCCGGCGATTGGGAAGCGATGCCCCCCAACGGAAATAGAGGCTTTGTCCACGTAGCGGCCTCGTTTTGGAGGTTGACTGAGCGATTCTTCAACGTTGAAGATTGGTAATGGCGATACGCGTACCATTCTCAGCAACCGATCGGGTTTCAGTGCCCACTACCATTGACCAGCCCCCGCTTCCACTGCTGCCAAGCCACAGTGGCTGGATGAGGCTCGGCTTCTTTTGAGCTTGGCACGGACCGGAGGCGCCGTCGTCGTCAGCTCCCGTCTTGCCGTTGGTACTGTTCACCGTCTTCACGAAGCAACGATCCGTTGAGAAGATTGAAAGACGAGAGAGGCAGGCAAGCAGTAGCTGAGCTCTGCCGTGTCTCGTGGGCCGTCGAAAAGCTGCCGCCGCGTCTTTGAATCGACCTACCCCGGACCCCGATTCCCAGACACGCAGACAAGCTTGCGTCTATAGCATCGCTCTTGGCCAGTCTAAGACGCTCACGCCGTGCAATCATGTATTGCGATTTACCCATGTGGGACCGCGCATGCGAAGCGGTAATAAAGTGTCGCGCTCATGCCTCTGCTTGTTGCCAAATGGCCATATAAACCGACTTGTCCTCGGCCTCGCCGCTGTGTTAATCGATTCCCAACGTCCGAAGCCGACGCACCCCTGTTGAGCCTACGTAACCCCTTCTTCGTTCTACTCCGTAGATTGAGCCTCATTTATTACTTGGCAGTTTCTTGCTTACTTGACTACTGGCAATCTGGTACCTCCGTACACACTGTACCTCCTGGCAGGCTGTCACCTCGGAGTTGATACCGGCTTTCGCGTCTGATTCACACTGCAATACCTTCCAGTACCCTACCCTGTGACCACTTGTCCATCGCCAAGCACAAAGGTACTTGCTTGTAGGTTGGCTAAACTTGCCCTTTTTGATCCTGCCCATGTCATTTATTTCTGAACTTACTCTCCCATTGTTTTTCGCATGACATCCCGCTGGTGGTCGACGCGACAACACGAAGGCACGAAATGGGAAGGACATCCAACACTAACACGGGATCGGTGCCGCAGATCATGAATACGCCTCCTTCGCCAGCCAGCACTGCGCGTTCCAGCCGGGAGCCCAGAGATACTGGGTTTCCCGAGCCTTTCGGGGACAGTGAGTAGATTCTATCACTTTTTCGCAACCGTCATGCCCTCTGTACTGACTGGCATCCCAGACTACAACACTACCCTCCCTCATCCTGATGCTGACCTCTCGCCCAACGCCACCATAAGCAGCGACAACCTCACGCCAGCACAGTCCATGACCAGACGACGCCTCAGCCTGCTCAGCAAACACCGTCGCACCATCTCGCAAGGCTCGACTCTCTCATCGCCTCTTGTGCACAGCGTACTCCCTCTCATCACCACGGGCATACCTGGACAGAGCGGCAGTGACAGGGCATCAGAGACGGACAACCACAGAGAGAGCATGGAGCCCAGGCGAGACGGGGACAACAGCCCCTCGTCCTCGCCTGCTGAAGATGACGAGGGCGGCGACAAGCGGAAGAGCTTGTTCGGTCGATTGAGGAGAAAGTCACGGGTCTAGGAACAGAGGCAGATTCTCATGAGAACAACGGCCCCTTTTCTGTTTTTGAAGCAACGGCGTTTGATGGGAGGAAGCAGCACTTGATAATTTCTATAGTATGATTTTCGATTAGGATGAATCAGGGACAATCAAGAGCCTCTGTAGGTTGTATAGCTGAACGGACTCAACAGCAATGGCACGTGGTAGCTTTGACCCTCCTCCACCCGAAAGACAACAGTCGCCTCGGGGAAGAAGGTCTTTCCCTCGCCAAAGTATGCCTCCGTGTCGAACTTGAGTGTCCATCGCGAGGCGCCCTTGATTCCGCCCAGTACACTGCTCACGGTGGGGGCTTGGCCTGACGAGGGCGAAGCGGGGAGCCAGAGCTTGACACGTCCGTCGGCGTCCGTGGTGGACTCGAACGCGACGGACGAGGGGGCAATCAGGGTGACATGGATATTGGCAGCTGGCTTGCCTGCGGTGGTGTCCAGCACGTGGCAGGTGATGGGGTCTTTGCCAGACATTGCTGAGGCGGATGAAGGTGATTGATGGCTGCTGCTCTCGGTCTTGATCTTGGAGGCTGGCGGGGTCGACGAGGGGTCGTTTGTTGACTGGGTGAGATCCGAATCCGTGGATTGAAAGTGTCCAGCCAAGTGAACTAGCCGAGAAGTATATGGAAGCATAAAATGTTACGCAAGATGGCTGCGCAGAAACTTAAATGTCCCATTCAGAGGGCGACCTGACGCTGAGATAACCTTCAAAGAAAGGTTGCGCTTGTCGCCGCCCTCCGGTATCTGTGTGGGGTACGCAGACTTATACCAGCTGCCTCTCCCAGGGCTACGAACCGTCGGTCTGCAACTTGGAAGCGCATGGCACTGAAATATCGCATGGTTATTGGAGCCCCGCGAATTAGCCACAGCCTTAGATTTGTCCCTATTCCGAGTATCAAGCAAGAGACCTCAAATACTGTACCGTACCCTACCTCACCTGGCATGATATATGCACCCCAACTACCCTAGGCCAATGACGTTGTGCGCCAACAGCCCCTCCAAAGCCACTGCCACTCACTCCATGATGGACCTTTCCAGAACCGACCCGCCAACTTCCTCGTGCACCCACAGACCGCGAGACAAAGCATCGCGAACGACCTCACCGTACTTCTGACCGCTGTCCTTCCTTTCCCCCCCTCGTTTCATAGATCCCCGCGCCTCCACGAGTACGAACCCCACGCGTCAAAGTCACCATGGCCGCCATCGTCGACGACGCCCTCGAGCCCTCTCTCCAGTCCCTCCTCGACCAGCGCTCCCTGCGCTGGATCTTTGTCGGCGGCAAGGGTGGTGTCGGCAAGACCACCACCTCGTGCTCCCTCGCCATCCAACTCGCCAAGGTGCGCCGCTCCGTCCTCCTCATCTCGACCGATCCCGCCCACAACCTCAGCGATGCCTTCAACCAAAAGTTTGGCAAGGAGGCCCGCCTCATCGACGGCTTCGACAACCTGAGCGCCATGGAGATTGACCCCAACGGCAGCATGCAGGACCTCATGGCCGGCGGCGAGCCGGGTCAGGGCAACGACGACCTCAACGCCCTCGGCGCCGGCGCCGGCGGCATGGGCGGCATGATGCAGGACCTGGCCTTTGCCATCCCTGGTATCGACGAGGCCATGTCCTTTGCCGAGGTCCTCAAGCAAGTCAAGTCCCTCTCCTACGAGACCATCATCTTCGACACCGCCCCAACCGGCCACACCCTCCGCTTTCTGCAGTTCCCCTCGGTCCTCGAAAAGGCCCTCGCCAAGGTCTCCCAGCTCTCAAGCCAGTACGGACCCCTGCTCAACGGCTTCCTCGGCCAGGGCGGCCAGCTGCCCAACGGCCAGAACCTGAACGAGATGATGGAGAAGCTTGAGTCCCTGCGCGAGACCATATCCGAGGTCAACACCCAGTTCAAGAACGAGCAGCTCACCACTTTCGTCTGCGTCTGCATCGCCGAGTTCCTCTCGCTCTACGAGACGGAGCGCATGATCCAGGAGCTGACCGGCTACGGCATCGACACGCACACCATTGTTGTCAACCAGCTCCTCTTCCCCCGCCAGGACAGCAACTGCGACCAGTGCGGCGCCCGTCGCAAGATGCAGCGCAAGTACCTCGACCAGTACGAGGAGCTCTATGCAGAGGACTTCAACGTCGTCAAGATGCCCCTCCTCGTCGAGGAGGTCAGGGGCAAGGAGAAGCTCGAGAGGTTTAGCGAGATGCTTGTCAAGCCATACGTGCCCCCAGAGTAATAGAGGGAGAAGGAACTGAAGAGTAAGTAGAGAAACTGGAGTAGCGTGGAGTTGCAGTAGACATGGGAAATACAAACGAAGCATTGTCAGCATTGTCACCAAGAAGTTCATTGAATGTGAGAAATTGTCAAGATTTGAAGGGACAATGCAGTTCCGCTGCTGCCCTATGTATAAGTACAACGCTGTTATCCTCAGCGGCGGTTTGTGCTGATTATATAGTACCCAGGCATGTCCCACCGCAACGCCAGTCAAATGCATCTCCCGACTTGTCCCATCGGTATAAGCCTGTTCCACGATCGATCACGCCCCTAGAGCTCGCGGAAATCACTTGGGCGCGGCCGCCTCTGCTTGTTCTGGTACCGATGGGGGTTGACTGGTTTCCGAAAGTACGCGTCCTCCTCGCCCTGTGCGCCGCCGCCGTTGTTGCCGAACGGCATGCCGAAGCCGTTCATGTTGTTCATGCCCATGCCCATGCCCATACCCATACCCATGCCCATGTCCCAGCCGCCGCCGTTGTTGAAGTTGTTGAAGCCACCATTGTTAAAGTTGCCTCCGTTGTTGAAGCCGCCCATCATCATGTTGGGCATCATCGGCATCCCCATGCCCATGCCCATCATGTTTGGCATCATGTTCATCATGCCCATGTTCATGCCGTTCATCATATTGGGGGCCATGGTCTGTTGTTGCTGCTGGTTATTCATCTGGTTCTGCATAGCGCGCGGGCCCTTGGGGATCTTGGGGTTCTCAAGGAGCTCGTCTGCAGGACGCTTCTTGGACACCGCACCGCCCGCGGGTTTTCCGTCCACCGGGGGCGAGTTGCCGTCTGTCTGGGGAGTCATGCTTTTAGGCCCTGTTGGCGGCGATTTCGCCTTACTAGCGGGCACTGGGGTGGGTGATTTTGATTTAGCCGTGACAGACGCAGGCTTGACCTCTGCTTCTCCCTGTTTCTCCGTCTCACTCTTCACCTCAACAGGCGTCCCCTCCACCTTGTCCTCAGGCTGGACCTCCTCTGTCGAAGGGGCCACGGGTGCCTCTTGGGCTGCCTTGTCGGCGGCTTCCTTCTCCTCTTCCTTCTCCTGAAAATATGCCTTGATCTTCTCTGCCATCTCCTCGTCCGGTGTGAGATCGTCAATCAAGACATCTCCCAGCTCGCAATTCGGGCAGACAAAGTCGCTCTCAATAAGAGCGTTTGTGATGCAGTCGTTGCAAAACGTCTTCTGGCAGCATGGCGTCTTCATCGGCTCCTTGAACATCTTCTTGTCAATGGAGCACTCGAGCCCCCGCTCCTGAATCTCCTTGTCCGCCACAGCGTTCGCACCATTAGTCTTGGCAGAAGACGTGTTGGCTTTAGCTTGGAATTTCTTCCACGTGGCCTTGTCGGCTTCGGCAATGACAAAGTCGCCTTCGGCATTGACCATGATGCCAGAAGGTCGCTTCGACTCGTCGCCTTCGCTCTGGGCGAGCACGGCGGCCTTGTCGACCTTCTGCAGGAATGAGCGCGGAATGCCGGTTGTGCGCTTCACGCGGGGCCGGTTGTCGAATTCAGGGTCATCATTGGTAGGGCACAGCTGGATCCAGTGACCCTTATTGCCGCAACGATAGCAGATGTAGCCATTTGGGGGGTCATGGTCGGGCACGTTGGCCGGGCGTTTCTGACCAGGCTGGAATGATGGTTGATGACTGTCCTTTGTTAGCTGCGCTTTTCTCTTGTCACCTGCGATAGTGCAGACATACTGTGACATCTTCTCCTGCTGTGCGTTCCATTGCTCGCCCTGGGCAGCGAACATGGCCTGCATCTTCTCCTCCTCAGTCATAGCCTCGTTCATCTGGTTGATGGCACTGGACGTGGTCTTGGACGCTGACGACTTGGCCGTTTGTTCTTTACGGCCAGCGTTCTTAGCGGAGACTGGCATCTTGCCCGACACATACCGCGCAGCTCGACCAGCACCGGGTTTGGTTGCGGGCTGGCGCCGAGCTATCACGGTCGTGGACCTGGGGATAATCTCGGTGTCATCATCGTAGACTGTACTGAAGTTAGATCTTGATATAACACTACTCCCACAAAAACTCTTACCATCGCCATTATCGTCCGTGATGAACAGGTCAAAGTCGGTTCCATCACCCAAGCCACTCTTGATGATGATTTCCCTCTTCAGCTCAAACACTGATATCCCCGTTCCATCAAACTCCACCCTTGTGGGTTCCTTCTGTGACTTGAACTTGAAGAAAACTGAAGAAGCCATATCTGCGTTTGGCTGAATGGAGAGAGAAGATGCCTTACTACACAAGACACACACTCAAATATGAGGGGGCAGGGGAGAAAGTCGGATAGTCAAGTTCGAGGGGCGCAGTAGAGAGGTGGTCGGGTGTACCTGTGTGAGTGTGACTCTGCTGAGCACAAGGGGAATATTTTTCTTTCTTTTTTCTTGTCGTCTTTAGAGTGATTGCCCTGTCCTTTTCGTTCTTTGTAAAGCGCACCGGCGTGCGTGGTCAACAATAGCAGATGACGGAAATGGGGTCAATTTCTTGTTTGTAATTGAAGGAGAAGAAGACAATGAAACGACAACAAGGTTCAGTCAGAATGGCCACGGCCCGCAGCAATGTTCTGTTCTGACCCTCGCTCAATAATCCTCCTGTGTACAATAAACCACTGTGCGCCGCCAGCGTATGTACTTCTCAACAAAGCTCCCCGGTTAGCGTGATGCTTCTACTCTATTTTGCCCCGACTGAATCGTGCTGCGTGTGCCAAGGGCTCGATCGGTCGCACACGAGCAACTGCTACGTCCGGCGCAAGGAGAAATCCGAGTCCGTGTAACGTCGATACAGAATGAACCAAGCGATAGCTTCAGTAAGAGCGCTGTTCGGTCGTCGGGCGATCAAGTGTTGATCGAGGAGCGATGGGGTGACTGGAAATGTTTGATGAAGAGAGGAGAAGTGAGGAGAGGGAGGATGGGGCCTGGCCTTCCAGTAAGAGGTTGCAGGTCCAACCTGATTGAGTAATCAAACCTCAGGTCACGGCACGCTGCACTGGACCGAGGTTGTCCCGCGAAGCCGGGGCCATGTCACGTGACACAGTTTTTTTCCCTCCCTGTGCAAAGGAAGCGAACATCAGGACCATACAGTAATTAATCCGTACTCTGTACTCTGTATGTGCCGTATTATCCGCAGTAGCTCGCCTTGTGACTAAGCGCCGTATCTAGCCGAGCGTTTGGAGCAGCCGCCTGGCACTTTTGATTTGGGGCCGTCCGCACCCAACTGCACTCAACAGCGCTCCCCATCCGCTGTGCAGTGCCGAGATGCAGAAGGTGTGACTGACTGGACTGACTGTTAATATGATGCCCCGCACTGCAGGCTTCCAGTTGTGTCGCCCCTCCAAGCTTCAAAAGACCCTCCGAGGGGCACTGACGGTATCAGCACATCCACGCACATCTTTAACGCGAGCTACCCACCCTTCTAGCCACATATCCTCTCCTGCTTCATCTCGCACATACCTCACAGATTCTATCCGCGCCCATCAAGCAAAGAAGATGGCTCCCCAGCTCGACGCGTACTTCAAGCAGGTGGACAGCTCCGCCGACGCCTTTATTGAGCGTCTGCGCAAGGCCGTCGCCATCCCCTCTATCTCTGCAGATGAGGCTCGCCGCCCCGATGTCGTCCGCATGGGCCACTGGCTCCACGACGAGCTCAAGTCCCTCGGTGCCGAGGCTGAGCTTCGTCCTCTGGGCAAGCAGCCACACAAGGAGCACCTGGATCTTCCGCCTGTCGTCCTCGCCCGCTACGGAAGCGACAAGAACAAGCGCACCATCCTCGTGTACGGCCACTACGACGTCCAGCCTGCCGAGAAGGCAGATGGCTGGGCTACCGAGCCCTTTGACCTGACCGTCGACGACAAGGGGCGTATGTATGGCCGTGGCTCGACAGATGACAAGGGCCCCGTCCTGGGCTGGCTGAATGCCATCGAGGCGCACCAAAAGTCGGGCACTGATTTCCCCGTCAACCTGCTCATGTGTTTCGAGGGTATGGAGGAGTATGGCTCAGAGGGACTTGACGACTTCATCAAGGCCGAGGCCAAGAAGTACTTCAACGATGCCGATGCCGTGTGCATCTCAGATAACTACTGGCTGGGCACAGAGAAGCCATGCCTGACCTACGGCCTCCGCGGATGCAACTACTACTCGGTCGAGATCTCCGGCCCCGGTGCCGACCTGCACAGCGGCGTGTTTGGCGGTACTGCGCAAGAGCCCATGACGGACCTCGTGCGCGTGCTGGGCACGCTTGTCAACACCAACGGCGAGATCCAAATCCCCGGCATCAAGGAGCAGGTGGCGCCCATCACGGCCGACGAGGAGGGCCTCTACGACAGCATTGCCTTCACCATGGACACGATCCACGAGTCCCTGGGCAGCAAGACCACCATCCATGACGACAAGAAGAACACACTGATGGCTCGCTGGCGATACCCTTCGCTCTCCATCCACGGCGTGGAGGGAGCCTTCTCGCAGCCCGGTGCCAAGACTGTCATCCCCGCCAAGGTCATTGGCAAGTTCTCGATCCGCACCGTGCCGGACATGGACATTGACACGACCAACGAGGCGGTCTACAAATATGTCAAAGAGCAGTTTGCCAAGCTTAACAGCAAGAACACGATGAACGTGTTCGCGCAGCACTCGGGCAAGTGGTGGAAGGCCTCGCCCAAGCACTGGAACTTCTCGGCGGCCGCCAAGGCGACGGAGCGCGTCTGGGGCGTGCAGCCCGATTTCACGCGCGAGGGCGGCAGCATCCCCGTCACCCTGACGTTCGAGGAGGCGACGGGCAAGAACGTGCTCCTGCTGCCCATGGGTAGCTCCACAGATGGCGCCCACTCGATCAACGAGAAGCTCGACAAGCGCAACTACATTGAGGGCATCAAGCTGCTGGGTGCGTATCTCCACTATGTTGCCGAGGAGCCGCAACAATGAGTCTACGTACTACGTACGTAGGCTTGGGTCATTGATTTAACTTGCTACCTAATGTAATACAATTGGATAATTACTAGGGATCTGTTGTGTCTCGGACCCCTACCACGAGCAGGTGACCCTTGGTCTTGGTGGGGGACCCCGCCTGACCTCCCGACGCCAAGAACGTCGATCGCCTCCAGGCCCGATAAGGCACTGCTGCCCACCTTTCTCCCCAAACGACTCATGTGTTCCCTGACTCGAGCGCGCTCTTCTATTCTTCTCAAAGAGTCGGCACGCTCGGAGACTCTAATTAGTCTGTCGACGCATCTGTTAATTCTATGCTCGTTCTCACGCCGAAAGGCGCTGCCGTTAACCCGCACGCTGCAAAAGCACACTTCACTACGTACTTGGTCGTCGCATGACCCCATCAAGTTGGATCACCCACGCGCGCTCTGTGTGAGCGTCACCGCTTCCCGCTTCCCAAATCGAACGTCCACGATCCAGGCCATACCGGGTTGGCAGACACACTGTGCAGCCTAGCAGACAGAAGATGGTTCGCGAAAGTGGCATCTCAGCGACCAAACCAATCTTCCCGACCTATCTGCTCCCCAGTCTCAGCCTACCGCTGCGTTTCCGACGACGAGCCTCGTCAGCGTCGTCCGTCCCATCCCTGTCCAACTCGACCAGCACGTCACCCAGCAGCTCCCCACCGCCGCCCACCATTTTGCCGTGCAAGCTCCAGCGTGTGGCGCCGGACACGCTCCGCTGCCAGCACTGCTCGTCCGACATTGCGCTGTCCGCGCAGATCATCTCCAAGGGTTTCACGGGTCGCCATGGCCGGGCGTTCCTCGTGGGACCGGACGAGGGCGGGGGCCTGATGAACATCCGGCAGGGGCGGAGCGAGAGCCGGCAGCTCGTGACGGGGTGGCACACGGTGGCGGACATTAGCTGCGGGACGTGTGCGAGCAAGCTCGGCTGGAAATATGTCGATGCGCGGGAGAGCGCGCAAAAGTACAAGGTGGGCAAGTACATTCTCGAGACGGAGCGGGTCGTCGTGAGCCGGAGCTGGGAGGACGTGCCTGTGTTGATGGGGAGCCAGGAGGTCAGGCATGGGGAGGCCAAGAGGAGGGAGGAGGAGGGGGGCGTGGTGTTTGACTCGGACGACGATGATGAGTGTGAGGATATCTTTTCTGGTGTTTGGGACCGGGACGTTGTCGCCAGGAGAAGGCGAGGTACACAGTCAACCAGAAGAGATGATGATGGGGAGTAGAGGCATGATGTGTCTGGTCTGAGTTGGTTTTATTTTAAGGCGTCGGGGAGTAGGTTGAGAGGGAACTTGGACATGGTCAGACATGGGGTACTAGGCGTATTTGCTTCGGTCATGTGGAGTAAGGGACTCTGAACAAGAGCGACATTGTTTGTACGGTAGTGCATGCCCCTTTACCGTCTCGATGTACAACAGTGGATTCATACCTGTTTATGCGCACGATGATCCAGTATGGGAAGGATATCACTTAGATCCAGGAGTAAGCTAATAAATGCTACTATATCATGGTGCAATTGCTTTGCCTCCTGAACCCTGCCTGATATCTCGGTCCTGATCCGGCAAGGCGGAATGGCCCCAGCTTGAACGAGCTACCGGTAAGTAGTACGTCAATGTTGCATTCCCATTCATGCTGACCGGATTCCTGGTTCTTGGGATACACGGACCCATGGCGCCTCTCTTCCTTTTACGCAGCCACGCCGGAGTACAATCTGGATACGCTCCACGAGCAATATGAGCTGTCGTCAGCCGGAATGCACACAAACCGCAGAGGGAGGAATATGGCATGCACCGCAACGCTGTGGCGTCGCCAGAGTGGTCAGAGGGGCCACTCGTCACAGCTGTGTACCCGTCCACAGCGTCTCTCATTGCCGTTGCGCGTACAGTGCTGGTTCAGTCTGATATCACAGTCGACAGGACTGGGGATCCTGAGCAGCATCACGTAATTCAGGTCTTGGTGGGGGGGGGGCAGCTGTACTGAAGAGGTAGGTGGGGTGACCGTGGCATGAACTGAAGATCGTTTAGTGGGGGTATCAGCACGAAATCGTCACATCGTTGCATGTACAAGGTATTTCCAGCGCACCTCACTTTTTCTCCTGGGCGCTCCCGCCTGTGACAAGTCCACGCTGCTGAGAAAAGACTGGACGCATGACCTCACCCTCCTGTGGATGATCTTGATGCCATCGGGTCTCCTCTCGGTCCGACGACTGGCCCCCCAAACAACCATAACTGTCTCGTAACATGCAAAGTCAAGCCGCTGTCAGTCATCCACCACCCTCGTCATTCTTCACCAAGAGACCCACGCTACAACAAGCCTGAGCCAGCGCATTGCTCCACTGCTTGATTATCTCCTACCCTAGATTACCGCATTGAGAAGAGCTACTACCCGCGTCATCACACAATTCGAAGCAGAAGGTTCTGCGCTCCTCCCGCATCCAGTCCAGTCAGGCCCAGTGCAGTCTCTTTACCGCCCATCAGTCGCACGCGGACACTTTCACCAGCCCTACTTCTTTTTGCACGTTGTGTGACGGCACGGCACCGCGAACACACCGCAATCGACTTGCATCACGACTGTATACACCGACCCCTCATTCCTCACCTTTATCTCACCATCGGACACGACCGACCTGCCTGGTCCCCCTCCCGTCGACCACCCTCACCGCTCCCGAGATAAGACCACGTCCAGGACGAGCAGGACATGGCCGAGCAAGCGAGCCACCGCACGAGAGGGTCCGAGGACTATGGCGTGTACGACGACGCCAAAACGTACTACACCTCGGACGATCGACACAACAAATATGGCCCTCGGACTCGGACGTACTCGCAGAACAGTCTCCTGCGCAACTTTGATCGGTTTGGCATGAGGGAGGCCCAGGCGGCGCCCTTCCGACGTGGAAGTCACGGTGCGTCCCAGGAGACAAGAGACTAGACTAAACTAGACATGGAGCGCAGCTGACCCAGGTGACGATAGATGAACGAGCTCTCGGTCACGGTCGCCGGTTCCTCGTCCAGGTGGACGCCACCCTCAAGAGCTTGCTCGAGCAGGAAGACGACCACAAGGCGATGCAGATCACCGTCGAGGACCGCGGGCCCAAGGTCATCCCCCTACGCACGGCCGCCTCGGCCGGCTACAACAAGTTCGACGTGCGAGGGACGTACATGCTGTCCAACCTCCTCCAGGAGTTGACCCTCGCCAAGGAGTATGGTCGTAAGGAGATCATCCTGGACGAGGGCCGCTTGAATGAGAACCCCGTGGACCGGCTCCACCGCGTGATCCGCGATCACTTCTGGGAGGGCCTGACCCGCAAGATTGATGCCTCGACGGTCGAGGTGGCGGCCGTGGACCCCAAGGACTGGACGGACAAGCCGACGCCCAGAATCTACATCCCCCCCGGTGCCCCTGAACAGTACGAGTACTACATGCGGGTGGCGAGGGAGCGGCCCGAGATCAACCTGGACGTGCAGCTGCTGCCGGAGAGCATCACCCCCGAGTACATCCGCGACCTCAACGAGAAGCCCGGCCTGCTGGTCGTGGCCACGGAGGAGGTGACGGACGACCAGACGGGGGAGAAGACGCTCGAGGGCCTGCCGTTTGTGGTGCCCGGCGGCCGCTTCAACGAGCTGTACGGGTGGGACAGCTACATGGCCGGCCTGGGTCTCCTCGTGGATGACCGCGTGGACCTGGTCCAGTCCATGGTGGTCAACTTTTGCTTCTGCATCGAGCACTACGGCAAGATCCTCAACGCGACGAGGACGTACTACCTCGGCCGCTCGCAGCCCCCCTTCCTGACAGACATGGCGCTGCGCGTCTTTGAGAAGATCAAGCACGAGCCCGGGTCCAAGGAGTTCCTGCGCCGGTCGATGCTGGCGGCCGTCAAGGAGTACCACACGGTCTGGACCTCGGAGCCCCGTCTGGACCCGGTCACGGGCCTGTCGCGGTACCGGCCCGAAGGTCTGGGCGTGCCGCCCGAGACGGAGGCCACGCACTTTGTGCACGTGCTGGAGCCGTACATCAAAAAGTACAACATGGAGTTCAAGGAGTTTGTGCGGGCGTACAACCACCGGGAGATTGTCGAGCCGGAGCTCGACGAGTACTTTATGCACGACCGTGCGGTGCGCGAGTCTGGGCACGACACGTCGTACCGCCTCGAGGGGGTGTGCGCAAACCTGGCGACCATTGACCTCAACTCGCTGCTGTTCAAGTACGAGACGGACATTGCGCGGACGATCCGCGGCGTGTTTGGCGACAGGCTGGTGATGCCCGAGGAGTTCTGCAAGGGGACGCCGTACGCGCCGGGCGAGGTGCTCTCGTCGGCGGCGTGGGACCGTCGGGCCAAGCGCCGCAAGCTGACCATGGACAAGCTCATGTGGAACGAGAAGGAGGGCATGTTCTTTGACTACGACACGGTCAAGCAGGAGCAGTGCAACTACGAGTCGGCGACGACGCTGTGGGCGCTGTGGGCGGGCCTGGCGTCGCCCAAGCAGGCGGCGGACCTCGTCCACAAGGGCCTGCCCCGATTCGAGGAGAATGGCGGCCTGGCGGCGGGCACGGAGAAGTCACGAGGCGAGGTCGGCCTGGACCGGCCCAACCGGCAGTGGGACTACCCGTACGGCTGGCCGCCGCAGCAGATGCTGGCGTGGACGGGCCTCCTGCGGTACAGCTTCAACGAGGAGGCGGAGCGACTGGCGTACAAGTGGCTGTTTATGGTGACCAAGGCGTTTGTGGACTTTCACGGGGTGGTGGTGGAGAAGTACGACGTGACGAGCGAGATTGATCCGCACCGTGTCGACGCCGAGTACGGCAACCAGGGCCTGGGGTTCAAGGGCGTGAACAAGGAAGGGTGAGTCGCTCTTTGCGGCAAGTGAGATAAAACGTGTGCAGAACTGACTGACAATCGATAGGTTTGCCTGGGTGAATGCGAGCTACGTGTACGGCCTGCAGATAATCAACGCGCACATGCGTCGCGCGCTGGGCACGCTGACGCCGTACAAGACGTTTGTGCGGGCCATGGAGCAGAACGAGGAGAAGGAGCTGGCGAGCCTGCAGATACGCTGAGCGGGAGGAACGGGGCTTTATGACCTTGCGAGATACAGACAGACACACACACACACACACACACACACACACAGTGGGTTGCATGTGGTGTGGAGTTTCAGCATCAAGAGACAGACAGACATTGTACGTGTACGTACGTAGCAACAGACGCTTGTGTTGCCTGTGGTTGGAGCCGAGTTGCGTGATGTCGAGCAATGACGTGGAGTCTCCTGTACAAGCACATGCAAGCTTCACGACAGTGAGCACTGAGTGGATGGTGCGTGTCTGTGCTAGTACGTACATGTAGGCATCTAATTAGTAGCTGAGACTGTGGAGGAGGTGGAGGGAGGAGGAGCCGCATTCGGCCTGATGCGGGCGGGTGAGAGAGGAGAGTGAGAGGAGAGTGAGAGGAGTCGACCTCGGCTCAGGGCCTCGAGTCGCCATCGCAAGGCTGAGTCATCCATCCCTGGCGTGTCTCGGTCGAGACAAGTGTAGTGGCCGATCGCGGGATCAGTGGTGGAAACGCGGCATGTCATAGTGGCGCCGTGTGTTACTTACTGACTGGGGAGGGGGGGCTGGTCTGATCTGAGCAGCTTTCACATGCCAGACAGATATCATGTCCCCCCCGATGAGACTCTCCACCACGATGCTGTCGTTTGCATGGACGCCTTTTTTCACATTGAGGAACCATTGAGGACAACCAGCATTTCAATTGAACTGATAAAGGACGCCTGTCAAGTCCACGTAGGCCAGGACTGCCGCTGCACGGGGCAACCTCCAGAGTCCAGATATGGATGGAGTCCATCGACTCTATCCTCTCCGGCTGAGACTACTCCAACACGTACGTACGTATGGGTGGGTCCGTCCATCTTCCCCAGAGTCTGACTTGACTACCTTATTAGACTAGTAGAGCGAACTAAGTGAACTAAATTCCAACAAGGGCATGATGGCACACTGGGCTGGCTGCTTCGGTACCTCGGCCAATCGCGGCTGCTGGGCGCCCCTTGACCCGAACAACGTCGCGCCCCCATCGCTCAACTGCCTCCTCTCGGCTACTCCTCCAGCCCTCGCTCGATCAAATGCCAGCAGTCGCCTGGCCTGGCCTGTACCCAATCCGGGCCATCCCGGGCTCTAGATCAGCTTCCGAGGCGCTGTCGGGTGTAGCACCGTAGGCATGGCACGTTGAGCGAGGCCCGACGTGCGTGCGTGGTGATATAACATGGAGGGCGTGCGTATGTCAGTCATTGTACATATACGTAGCTCCCTCCAGTCTGACTGATCGACCGACCATTTCCGCTGGACCGACACGTGCTCATCCATCTCGGCCTGCTACTCCTTCTCTAGTTCTCTAGGCTTGCAACTCTCCTCCCCTCCCCTCCCTCTCTCTCTCCCTCTCTGACTTGCTCTCATCATTCCGTGTCGTACCACACATACTGTCTGTCAACATGGCGACCAACAGCATGGCCAACCCGGCCGTCAACCCGGACGTCGAGGACGAGCTCTTTGCGCAAGAAGTACAGCAGGTCAAGGACTGGTGGTCGCAACCTCGCTGGCGCCAGACCAAGCGGCCCTTTACCGCCGAGCAGATTGTGTCCAAGCGAGGCCACCTCAAGATTGAGTATCCGAGCCACGCCCAGGCCAAGAAGCTGTGGGACATTCTCGAGAAGCGGTTCCAGACCAAGGATGCCAGCTACACATATGGTTGTCTCGAGCCCACCATGGTCACCCAGATGGCCAAGTACCTCGACACCATCTACGTCTCCGGCTGGCAGTCGTCCTCGACGGCGTCGGCCTCGGACGAGCCTGGCCCTGACCTGGCGGACTATCCTTACGTGAGTCTCGTCCACGCTCGTGGAAGGCACTGGCTTGACTGACTGACCTGACCCCCCTCGCCTACAGACCACCGTCCCCAACAAGGTCGGCCACCTCTTCATGGCCCAGCTCTTCCACGACCGCAAGCAGCGCCAGGAGCGCGTCACCACCCCCAAGGCCCAGCGCGCCGCCCTCGCCAACGTCGACTACCTCCGCCCCATCATCGCCGACGCCGACACGGGCCACGGCGGCCTCACCGCCGTCATGAAGCTCACCAAGCTCTTTGTCGAAAAGGGCGCCGCCGGCATCCACATTGAGGACCAGGCCCCCGGCACCAAAAAGTGCGGCCACATGGCCGGCAAGGTCCTCGTCCCCATCAGCGAGCACATCAACCGTCTCGTCGCCATCCGCGCCCAGGCCGACATTATGGGCTCCGACCTCCTCGCCATTGCCCGCACCGACGCCGAGGCCGCCACCCTCATCACCACCACCATTGACGCCCGCGACCACGCCTTCATCCTCGGCTCCACCAACCCCCAGCTCCGCGACCCCCTCAACGACCTCATGGCCCGCGCCGAGCAGGAGGGCAAGCTCGGCCCGGAGCTCCAGCGCATCGAGGACGACTGGCTCGCCGCTGCCGGCCTCATGCGCTTCGACGAGGCCGTCCTCGCCCACATTGACGCCGCCTCATCCATCGCCGACAAGGCGGCCCTCAAGGCAAAGTACACGGCCCAGGCCAAGGGCAAGTCCAATAGGGAGGCCCGCCAGCTCGCCCGCCAACTCGTCGGCGAGGACGTCTATTTTGACTGGGACGCCCCCCGCACCAGGGAGGGCTACTACCGCCTCAAGGGCGGCTGCGACTGCGCCGTCAACCGCGCCGTCGCCTACGCCCCCTACTGCGACGCCATCTGGATGGAGAGCAAGCTGCCCGACTTTGCCCAGGCGCGTGAGTTTGCCGAGGGCGTCCACGCGGTGTGGCCGGAGAAGAAGTGAGTCCTCTTTGTGAGAAAAGAAGAAAGAATGCTGACAGTTATCCCCCTCCCCCCCAGGCTCGCCTACAACCTGAGCCCGTCCTTCAACTGGAAGACGGCCATGCCGCGCCATGACCAGGAGACGTACATCCACCGCCTCGCCAGCCTCGGCTACTGCTGGCAGTTTATCACCCTGGCCGGCCTGCACACGACCGCCCTCGCTAGCGACTCGTTTGCCCGCGCCTACGCCGCCCAGGGCATGCGCGCGTACGGCGAGCGCGTCCAGGAGCCCGAGATGGAGCTCGGCGTCGACGTCGTCAAGCACCAGAAATGGAGTGGCGCGACCTATGTCGACGAGCTGCAGAAGATGGTCACCGGCGGCATCAGCAGCACCGCCGCCATGGGCGCTGGCGTCACCGAGGATCAGTTCAAGTGAGTACAGTAGGTGGGTTAGGGGAGAAACATGGAACCTACACAGGGATGAAATGTATGAATGAATGTTCCTTCTACGATGCGTCCGCTCTCACAGTCGAGGTGAGCGTCGAGTGTTCCATGCGTGCATGCATGATATGGTACTTGGTTTGTTCAGCGCCAGCCCATGGCCGGCAAGCAAGTGGACCAGCAGCAAGCGAGCTCGGTCTATTCTATTCTAGAGATACCGTACCGTACGCCACCGCGGCCGTCCGTCAAGGCCTTGACCCGTTCCATAAATGCGCAAAAGACATCCCCCACCCTCCCGTCCAAAGCAACCGTCGCAGCGGCCATCTGTGTGCGCCGTCCGCCCCGCGAGACGCCATCCTCCGTGGTCGTGGTCATCGTCGTGTACCTACGCGGCCGTTTGTCTATCCCTCTCCTCGCGGAGAATTCCATTTCAGTCCGCCTCCGCGAGCTGCATTATCAGCCGCGCGGCCATGTCCAGGAATGGATACGGACTGGTGACCTCCTTCTCCTCGAGGAGCTTCCCTTGCGCCGTCTCGTATCCAGAACACTTGAAATCCACCAGGTACACGCCCTGCTCCATCTCGTAGATCTGAATGTCGAGATGCATCGCGACAAAGCCGCGCTTGACGACACCCTCGGCCGACTGCTCGTGCACGCAGGGATCCTTGGGCACAGTGTCCTTGTCTGCGCCGTCACTGCCCACTACAACAGGAATGGCAGGTTAGCTTCCGCAAATACCAAAAGCATCCCGGTGTCCATCCTTACCTTTCACCTCCCAGCGCACCCGAATACGCCACGGGTCGGCTGGTAGCTTGTACCTCTTGGCCGGATCGACACTGAGACTCGACCCCTTCCCCGACTCGCCGGCGCTGGCATAGTCGTCCGCGAAGCTGCCCTCGCCACTGGGTGGCTCGCTGTCCTTGCCCTGCCGGGGGTCGTAGTCCTCATCGGGGATATAGGTCGCGCCCAGCTTCCGCAGCGCCTTGTGGATAGTCAGCAGGGCTTCCCACGGCGCGTTACGCGACCGGATGCCAAACTGCCAGCGCACAGGCTTCGGCTTCTTGGTCGGGTTGATGGGCGTCATGCCCTGCGGCCGCTTGGCCGCTTCGTCTATGCGTAGCTGGCTCCGCGAGTGGGGCTTGAGACGGCGGGCCATGTCCTGTTTCTCGGCGTCTGTGCGGTTCGACGGCGGCTCCTCGATGCCCGCGGCCGCCGGCGGTGCCACTGTGTCCTCGCCCGCGTTCTTCCTCTCCATGTAGTCTTTGTGGTACGTGGGGATGCTGCTCGGCAAGATGCCGACCTTGCTGACGTAGGGCCTTGCGCCGATGCCGCTGCCGGAGATGCCAGACCGTGACGACTGGCTCATCATGGGGCTTCCACCTTCAATCTCGGCTTGCAAGATCTCTGGGTGCTGATTCACCTGCATGAGCTTGTTCTCACGCACAATCATGTAGGCGTCCTTGATGGCCGATGGCTCTTCGGCTCGCAAGGCCTCCTCGACATCGACCTTTCCGTACCCCATCGTCTTGCTGATCTTGTCCGTGATCTCCTCGTGGAGCTTCTCCTGCACACGTTCGGGCGCATTGGGCGCAATGTCGCTCTTGGCAATGGCCTTGTTGGGGTCCACCCCGGTGTTGAAGAACTCCTCGGCCGGCCTCTGCAGGTAGACGGGCAGGTCTGTGAGGAACCACGGGTCGTCGCGAATCTCCTCAATGGTGGCCCGCTGCACCGGGTTGACGACCAGCATTTTCTTGATCAGGTTGGCCGCCCCTGCCGGCATCCACTGCGGAATGCTATATGTCCCTCTCGCAATCTTGGCGAACAGACTTGGGATGTGCTCGTCGTCGAACGGCAGGCGGCCTACGAGCAAGACGTACAAGATGACGCCGCAGCTCCACACGTCGACCTCGGGTCCCGCGTAGAGCTTGCCTCCAATGACCTCGGGGGCCGCATAGTTCGGGCTGCCGCAGCTGGTCTTGAGAAAGTTGCCGTCCGTCATAATGTTGCTCAGCCCAAAGTCGGCAATCTTGATGTCCTGATTCTCATCCAGCAGCAGGTTCTCGGGCTTGAGGTCGCGATGCACAATCTTGTGGCGGTGGCAGTACTCGACGGCACACAGCATCTGCTGGAAGAAGCGTCGTGCCTCGGGCTCCTTCATCCGGCCGTGGGCGACAATGTAGTCAAACAGCTCCCCGCCCGCGTACTCGAGGACCATGATGATCTCGGCGGGCGTCTTGATCACCGTGTAGAGCTTGATGATGTGGGGGTGCCGCAGCAGCTGCAGATACTCAATCTCGCGCTCCACCCGGCCAGCCATGTCGCGGCTGATGAGCTTCTTGCGCGCAATGATCTTGAGGGCGACCTGCTGACCGGTGCCATTGTGGATGGCCAGCTTGACCTTGCCAAAGGACCCTTCGCCCAGGGTGCGCACGATCTTGTACGCGCCGATGCGCTGCTCCGTCTTTGCTTTCTCCTTGCGGGGTGTGCTCATGGCTGCGGTGGGGGGTCGAGGCGATGCCGCCGACTCGTCGCCATGCTGTTTGCTGTGCTGCTGCTGTGGTTCGGGTGGCTGCTGGAGCTGTCGACGCACGTGGGATGACGAGAGAGAGATGGTGAGCTCCTCGTCCTCGAAGCGGCCGGGGGCCATGACGTCCGGGTCGGGTTGGGTCGGTTGGGTTGGGTTGGAGGGGAGGGAGCACCAGCGAGTGCGACGGCCTGCGGCTAGCGCGGAGACTGGCTGGCACAGGGCCCAGATGGATGTCGACAGTACGGGAGGCTGAGTGGTTAATTAATCAATCAGGGTACGTATCCGGATGGTTGCTTGCCCGGTCGCTTCGTCGGGCCAGGCCCCCTGTGTGTGTGCGCTGCGTTGCAGTCAGTCAGTGACGGGGGAGGGAATTTCGCAGGCGTCCAATGAGGAGGGTGTCGATGCTCGCTTGACTCGTGGATCCGGCCTGGCCTGCCTGACGTTAGACGGTGATAATGCGTCTGGCGATATGATAGAGTCGTGTCGTGTGCGACGCCTGGTATGGAGAATCGAGGTTGGCGAGAGCAAATGACGGTATCGGGTTGGGGCTGCTGGATGGTCGCTGGCCAACCGGCAGCAGCCGATGCCCTACTGGCTGCGCAGAGCGGCCTGTGGGTGCCCGCCATGACCGCCGATGGAGGGGGCGGGGTCCAGTCGCTGCAGGCCTGGCCCTGTACCTCCGTAGAACCCCGCCAAAGTTCAGGCCGATCCAGGAAGCGCCCGCTGCTTGGGATACGTACCTACTCCGTATATGTATCCGTACAGCGACAAGACTGGAGTTCCAGGCTCTCCGTGTCATGCTGTGGCGAGCGCATAGGGCTGCCTTCCAGTCCAGTCATGTCAAAGCGTCGACTGAAACTACCTTACAGGTAGGCGGCTGCTCTACAGTACCGCACCGGCTGTCGGACCTTTTCCTCCGCCTCCAGTCTAGCCTAAGGTACTCCGTAGTCCAGTCGCTGTTATCCGTGCGTCGTCCATCAGCCTGTTCGACAACGGGTCGGCAAACGCTAATGAATCACGTCAATATTGAATACCCCGAAAGCGACGGGAACAAAAGGCTGCGCCTTTGCAAAACGGCTCGGCGGGCGCTCTACGGCGGGCTTGTTGGTCTATTGCAAACATGATATATGACAGTTCCAAGGCTCAGGTTGCACGGCCTCGGCTTACCCTACGCATCTTGTCTTTGGACGTGCATGCATGCGCAGCTGACGGCTGGGCTGCACCCTGGATTCTCAGGTGCAATTCTATTTGATGCACGACATGGGCATGGCGCATGCATCTTCTTCCGTCCTTGGTGTTGTCTGTCGCCTTGGACACGAACCCCTAATGTCAACAACAGAGTCCAACATTTGGGACGATCGCGCCGAAGTAACTTTCGCTCTGCTCAGCCAAACAATCTTCGCAATGCTCTGATGACCGTAGCGGACACTAGTTCATTGCAATCTCCAATCAGCGGCAAATATTCGCCGTCGCATCGCCTCGGACTGCGACGAGTGCCGAACTGCGGGTGCATCGTGTCGTGCATAGTATCATTTATGACAGGAAACGGACGCCGACGAATACCGAGCCCCTCGCTCAGCCGTCTTGAAAAGCATCTGTCTCCAGCATAAGCAACTTTCGCTTGATCAAATCTCGCCCTCTCTCCGTCCATCTCCAACCCTCCAGCGACATCACCATGGCCGCTCGACGCATTCTCATAGTCGGGGGTGGAGTCGCCGGTCCCACGCTTGCCCTGGTCCTCGCGAAGCATCTGCCCTCTTCGCAGATCACGATTCTCGAACGCAGCATCACTCAGTCAGAGCTTGGCCAGGTCGTGGACGTTGAGGGACCTTCGCAGGAGATCCTGTCTCGTCTCCATCTCCTCCCCTTGCTACGCGAAGCATCCACCCGCGAGCAAGGCATCGAGGTCGTCAATGAGCAAGGTGAGCTGGTCGGTCGCTTGCCAGCCGGTCAGAGTGGTGGTGCGAGCAAAGAAATCGAGATCATGAGACCAAGACTGAGCGAGGTCATCCATAATGCTACCAATGAGCATGAGAATGTGCATTGGAGATTTGGCAAGACCGTCACCGCCATCGAGGAGAGACTGGACGACCTTCTCGCGCAAGTGTCCGACGTAGAAAAAAAGGAGACGCAAAAGGAGGAATTTGATCTTGTCGTTGCCGCAGATGGCCTGAGATCGGATATCGAGATCTCATCCTCCCGGCGAGCCTAAGGGAAGACTGCATCAAATCGCTGGATGTATACATCGCCTTCATCAGCTTGCCAGCGGAGGTGCAGGACAGACCATACAGCCGATTGCTCAGCTTGTCCGGATCAAGGAACGCCCTTATCAAACCCATTGACGAGAACATCTCATCAGCGTATCTCATCGTTGCCAAACATGATCATGAGCTCGGCCAAGCCAGGCGATCGAGGGACCCCCGGAGACAACGAGAGATCGTGTCGGCGAGATTCAGGGGGCAGCGGTTGGGAGACGGACCGTATGGCACGCGAGATTTTCACGACGGACAACTTCTATTTCGAGGAAATCGCTCAGATCAAGCTGAAAAAATGGTCGCATGGGAACTGTGTCCTGTTGGGTGATACGGCATGGTGTCTTTCGCCCCTGACTGGCCAGGGGACCAACACGGCTGTCCTAGGAGCGTATATCCTAGCACACTGCATCATCACCCACAGTGACAACCTTGAAAAGGCCTTTGCAGAGTACGAGCAGATGATGAGGGGCTACGTGGACAAGATCCAGGCAATTCCACTCGGGGTAAAGCTGCCCAAGCTGATCAATCCAGACTCAGAATGGCGCATCTGTGATCCAGTGGACGATCATAGGGGCGATCTCAAGGCTAGGCCTATACAAGTATATTCCAGAGTCAAAGGTTGATTACGAGGGACTACCCGATCTGCAATACAACTAAGCAGCGATAGCGACAGAATCAGGCCCAACCGGTAGTTGGCTGCCAGCAATGTTGCACTGCCTGAACACCCTGACCTCATCCTCGGCAAAGGCACCAACGACAGAGTGCAAGACACCTCTGTTGTGGAAGATGACCAGATCGCCCGCCTCCCAGTCATGCGCATAGACGCGCTGCGGCGCGATGCCTGGCCGCTGGAGGCGATACACAATGTCCCTCACCCTCTCCAGGTCGTCAACGACCGATCCGTCCTCGAGATGGAGGCGTCGGACCGCGGACGGGTGTACCTGCAAGGCAAGCTTGCCCGTGACGGGATTCTTCCAGCACATGGGAAGTGTCTGGATCATGGTCTCGTCGACGGGCGGCAGCTCCTCCGGCTGCAGCTCCTTGTTCTGCGAGAGGAGACCGAGGCCAGTGGGGCGGGACTTGGCGCCAGACATCCAGATGTATGGATGCGCGGCGTATTCCACCCTTGTGCCCCTGGCGAAGGCCTTGTCCTCCTCGGACAGCGCATCGTACATGGCCTCACCATTGACAAACGCCGTCGTGCCCAGAGGGACCTCGAGCTCGTCGCCGGTGCCGTCGTCGTAGCGGATGGTCTGTCGCCTGCCGCCGGGCACCTGCACGGCCAGCAGGGTGGTGGCCACCGGGGGCGCAAGACCATACAGCGCGGCGTCAATGTGCCACCTGTAGAACCTGGTAAAGTCCAAGTCGTCTTCCTCTGGGATGACGGTCTCGTGGAAAGTCTTGTGGTGGGGATGCTTCAGCGTGAAGTTCTCCAGCCCTTCGTACGACGGCACGAAGCCGTTTCCGATGACCTGGACCTGGGGCTGATGGGGGATGGTCTTGAGATCAGGATGCAGGATAGACTTCTTGGCGTCGAGCGTCTTCCCATGGCCGTAGGAGCCTGTGGCGGTAGGGTCGTAGCGCTGGGTGAGCGCATACTGTGCCTTGGGGCTGATGTGGCCCTGCTGCTTGAGGACGAGCACTTGATGGGTGAAGAGTGCCTCGCGGAGGACCTGAAAATCGGCATCTGCAGCGGCCGGTCAGATTACTGCACTGTATCGAAGAAAATGGAGTCTTTACCAGAGGAGGTTACCGATTGTAACGGGTATTCTCCCACATTATGTCTCTTTCAGTCATGCTCACCAGTCAGATTCTCCACGTCCACGTTTGTGACGTTGGCGCCGAATTGGAGGCTGCCCTTCATGGGCTCGATCTGTATGTGCGAGGACATGATGTAGTTCATTGGTAGAATTTGCTTTTGTTGTGCAAGTGGTTGAGTGAGCGAAGTATTTGTTCTGACATGAATGGGCCTGACGCTGTCTTTCTTTATCAGATCCAGCGCTACCGGAGAACGCCGGCTTCCCACACATCCTTATCAGCAGCAGCCTCGGATGAGATAACACTTTAAGACTCGGCAGAAGATATGACAAATAGACACCAAGATTAGGAAACTTGACTATTTACGATTGCCATTCACCAAAGCAGCTGATTCCTGCCACAGGAGCGAGTTCTTCAGTCGCTTCTAGCGGGCGATCGTTGCGCGCAAACCGCTAGGTGCTTGCTGGTAGTTTACAGGTTTTGTACATAGCTCAGCATGCAAATCATACAGCCTACTGCCCCTTTTTCGCCTCCTCTTTCAGCCTCTCTATTAACCTGGCCCTCAGAAATGGGCTCAGGCCCAGCATCCCCTCATTCGTCAACACCCTATAGGTCCCGCTCGGCTGGCACCTGCCCACGACTGTGCCCGCGTCGTCCACTTCGACGCTGCCCAGGATATCCTCCGGCCAGGCGATGCGCCCAAAGTCCGGTGGGTTCCTCCGGTCGCTCAGGTGCACCCAGCCGCCTCGGCCAGCACCGCCGGCGCCACCCTGCGCAGACGCGCCGCCCGCTCCCGATCCGCCTGCACCCCCACCCGCACCTTGCTTCGCTGACGAGCCTCTGTTTTGTCGGCGCTGTGCACCGGAGATGAAGGCACCGCCCGAGCCCAGGTTGAAACCGCCCGTGGACGCGAATGCCTGTGCCTGGTTGGTCACGTCACTGTCCTCGTGCCCGTGCTGCTCGACAACTTGATCCAGGATCTTCATGAACTCGCGGTTCTCCTTGAATGTGTTCGGTGTGGGGGGAATCTGCGACGTGGTACCAATGGCGAGGCGGCTGATTGGGGGGTCATTGTCGAGGTAGGTTAGAATATGGTTGACGGGGTTTTTCGGGTCTTTGAAGACTTTCTGGACATGTTAGACTACATGTAGACAGGCCTTCATTGCTGGTGGAGGAAACGCACAATGTGGTTATTGTTGGAGAGGGTGCTGACGCGGCGAGCGAAAAGATCTCTGCTCCTTGATACCCATCGGCAGGACGCTGCTGGAAACATCTTTTCGGTTTTGTCTGTAAAGCTGTGATGGTAGGAGCTGTGAATGTCTGGGCGATGATATCACCAAGGGTCCGGCGCGAGATATTCACTTATACAAAATACGTAACTAAGCGAACCACTCAACGCGTCGACGCGTCTCCACCCACCAGCCGCCTTGCTCTACCTACCATGGATTGGTAGACTAGTAGGCGACGCCATCACCAGCACTATTCTCCCTGGTGCAAAGTGCCCAAGCCGCCAGAATGGATAAGACGCCTGCACCGCTCTTTCGCAACAACAAGAACATCCCTCCATCTTCCAACTTACCGTCGTCCTCACCGGCCTTTGGCACCCCAGCTCATCCTCTGAAGCCCTTCGCTCTCAATGCCCCCAAAACGACCATCCTCCCCATAATCCTCCCGCCTGCGACACTCCGGCCACTCGCCTTTCGAACCTTTACAAAGAAACACTCGCTCACCTTAACCTCGTCTGCGCTACAGGAGCTAGCTGGCTTCATCGGGCGGCACTGCGGCTCCGGATGGCGGGAGGAAGGCCTAGCCGAGCGCGTGCTCGAGGAGATTGCGCGATCATGGAAGAATAGGAATGGCGGTGTCATGGTGGACGGCGCCTCGAAGGAACTCCACGATATCCTCAAGACCTTGGAGGGAAACATGTCCGGCGGCAAAATCACAGGGCCCAACCGAGGTCTGCAACGGAGTGACTCACTGCTCAGCGGCGAGGATGACCTGAACACGAGATTAGGTCTACGACCAAGCGGACCGCCTCGAGAGGACAGCAATGCAAGTTTTGGCATGTCAGCGCTGGGTGTGCAGGAAGAACAGGGCGACGAGGATGACGAGGCAAACGATCCTCGAGCGTGGCTGCAGGTGGTAGATGCGTACCAGCAGCCTCGTCTGCTGTTCAATGTGGGTAAGAAACACTTTGAGAGGGAGACCTCGAAGCCGTCGTTGCTACCGCCAGCCGATCACAAAACGACATTGTTCCGAAATCGATACCATGTCATCCACCAACGGATCCTTCGAAACGAAGCCTTTCAGACATCATCGGTCTCTGCATCGCGAAAGCACCATGTCGGGAAAGAGACGGTGGCCAACCAGCAGTCTCTAAAGATTACGCCCATAGCGAACTTGCTAGGACGCCACGGCTCTAGCCACATGCTCCTCGGCCTGCTGGTGACACTTCCGTCCGGTGGTATCGCTATTTCAGACCTCTCGGGCACTATCGCACTCGATCTCAAGTCTGCGGTCTCCATCCCGGCCGACTCGGCGTGGTTCTGCCCAGGGATGATCGTCCTCATCGATGGTGTCTACGAGGAAGAGGACGAGTCTCACGGCAAGGGTTTTAGTGGGACCTCTGGCGTGGGAGGTGTGTTGGGTGGTAAATTCCAGGGGTTCTTCATCGGCCAGCCGCCATGTGAGAAGCGCAAGGCAACGCTTGGTATCAGCGACGGAAGCGGGAGCGACCACACCATTGGCGGCGGGTTTGGATGGATCGATTTCTTGGGTGTCGGGTCCTCACGCGCTCTCGGCAGCAAGATGAGGCGCCTTCAGAATCGGTTGCTGTCCCCGTCGTTTGAGGGGAGAAGGAACAAGATTGTCATCCTGGGAGAGCTGAATCTGGACAATCCTCGGGCTCTGCAGGCACTGCGACAGATCCTGTCCACCTACAACACCCCCGAACCTCTATCCTTTGTCATGACGGGAAATTTCACCACGCATGCCGTGCTGGCACGTGGGGGGAGCAGTGGTGGCTCCATTGAGTATAAGGAGTATTTCGATGCTCTGGCGTCTGTCCTCGCCGACTTTCCTCACCTACTGCAAGCATCGACGTTTCTCTTCGTGCCGGGCGACAACGACGGTTGGGTCTCATCATTCACTGCGGGGGCATCGACGCCCTTGCCCCGGAAAGGGGTGCCAGAAATGTTCACATCGCGCGTGCGGAGAGCTTTCGCGACGGCAAACGCAGATAATGCTGCAGGTGTAAAGGGCGAGGCGATATGGGGGAGCAATCCCGCTCGGATGACCGTTTTCGGCCCAGAACACGAAATTGTCGTCATGAGGGACGACATGTCGTCTCGTCTGCGTCGAACGAGCGTGCACCTGAAACCTCCACCGGATTCTGGGCAGGATGTGCCTGAAGAGGTACAGGGAGATGCTATGGATCTTGACGTGGCGGCACCCTCATTTTCCACTCCGGAAGGAATGGACGTCAGTCAGACGAACGACGAGGGCGTGAGTGAGGGCTATAAACCGGAGAGCAAGTCGGACACCCACGCCGCGCGCAAAATGGTCAAGTCCATCCTCGATCAGGGGTACATGTCACCGTTCCCGCCTTCGATCCGACCAGTACATTGGGACTTTGCATCAAGCCTACACATATACCCCCTTCCCACCGCCATGGTGCTGGTCGATACCTCTGCGCCCACCTTTTGCGTGACGTACGAGGGGTGCCATGTGATGAACCCCGGGAGTGTACTTGTTGAGGGACGCAGAGGCGTCGGGCGATGGATCGAGTACGAGGTGAGTGGACTGGGGAGGATGAGGGAATGTACCTTTGGCATCAACAAAGGCACGGCCAAATAAACCGTATATGAGATAATGAAGATGCTAAAAGCATGAAATCAGGCCAAGACAAAGGCTTGTCGAATCACTAGAAAGAGATGTCCTCGGAAATTGAAGGTATCTTTGACTTAGAAGTGGCCATACGCATCGCATATATATCGAATGCGCGGAACCCCTACTCTAATAACAGCGATTCCTCATGTAGCACACCAAACAACCTTTCAATCTCCATCCTGACCTTTTTCAACTCCTCGGCTACTTGGCTCGTCACCAGCAGGTACGCGTACAAAAGCGCGTAGTCTTTCTCCTCCGCTATGACGAGCGCGCTCATCCCGCCTTCATCGCCCGCCTGGGCAACCATGTGGTCCTTCCTGAACTGGTGAATCCGGCCCAGCAAGCGATCCTTGTTCCTATCGACCGTAGGAATAGCGTCGGTGAGGGGGTATTCGAGCATGATGCACGAGGCCAGTACCTGGAAGACGTGACAGATACGTTGACAAAGTTGTACACGGTCCTCGGCCGTGAATTCGAGCAGCGCGCGCTCGCCCTCGGAGAGGCTGGCGCGTTTTTGTGTGAGGAGACGCATGGCGTAGAAACCATCGAGTATGTGTTTCGTGGAGCGCATGATGCGCCCGTAGGCAGCGTGGGGAAAAGGCCCTCGCAGTTCGAATTCATGCTGAGCCGAGTTGCGAAGAGACTCGAGTTTGAAGGCTGGGAATATTAGTCACATGTTGCTGCCCAGAGTACAATCGTAACTCACCGTACCGCTGCAGGGCAGCTTGCTCGCCCTGGCGCATATAGTCCAGCGTGCTCTCGCTGTCTAGATGCACGCCCAAGGGCCCTCTCTTCCAGATGAGACCCATCTGCAGATACAAAACAGACATGCCCTCGCGGAACTTCTTCCGGGCGGAGATGGGCCACAGAATACGGCACACGAGGATACCCCACACGATACCCAACGTCACCGCGATGACACGATGGTATGTGATGTCAAAGATCAGGGGGCTCGTGCCGCCCTCGTCGTCGTCATCGTCTTCGACTCTTTGCGAGATGCTGTACGCGTACAGGACAATGACATTGTACGCCAGTAGCGACATGCGTCCAAGAGGAGCATTCTTGATGGCAATGAGATAGAAGCTGTAAAGAGCGACAAGCCAGCCACAAAAGGCCAGTAAGAATGGATTCTCCATACCAACGAGCCAAGCGACAATGGCGCAGATACCGCCAATCAGCGTACCGTAGAAGCGAGAGAGGCCTGTCGTATTGGCGGCGCCAGTTGTCATGCCGTTGACAATCATGTACGAAAGGAGACCCCATTCTCCTCGCCAGGTCTCGTAGATGGGTCGAGTCGCCGGAATAAAGGCGAACATGGCCCATAATATGGCACCAATGCCGACTTTGATACCGAAGAGGACGTCTTCCCTGGTGAACCATCGCGCCGTCCTGAGCATCACCTGCGAAACCTTGCGGGCCCATTTGCTCGTGTTGGGAGCAGCCTCCCAGTTGAAAGTGTCTCGTCGCGCAACCATTTCATCCGGGATACCTTTAGGTACGGCACTCCGCCTGAGTCGACTTACGCCCGCCTTGGGCAACAGCTGCTCACGATCTGTCTCCTCCAGACCAAGAGGATCCGAGGGCGACGCAGGCTTGTGCCATCGTTCCCAGAACCTCAGAAACTTCCAGCTCCTCTTTTTGTGCTTGGTCTCAAATTTAAGATCTTCCAAAACGTCCAGGTACGAATCCATCTCCTCAGCAACCGCCTGCAGACTGAACGAAAAGTGACCACACGCAGCAGCCACTTCTTCAATGTCGGCCTGAATCTTCTCGGAGCGCACGCGGCCCATCTCAATGCTGCGGTAAAGCTCATGTAACGCGTTGCCTCTAGCCTCGTGGTATAGCGAGACTGCGTCCTTGAGGCTTTCACGGAGTTGATCGTTGACGGTAATCTCATTCTTTGGGTCTTCGCCAAATGGCGATTCACGTAGGATTTCGGATAGCGTGTAGGCCAGCGACTTCATAGAAGGTCCTAAAAGATTGATAAAATGGGCGAAGATATCGGAGGGGGCTCGGAATAGGGGTGTGTTGTCGAATGTCGGTTCTGAGCGATACATGTGGGCACTCTCCGCATCTTCGTCCGACTCGTTGATGACCGACAGTTGCTCAATGGCCTCGTCCATGTGGAAAGATTTGCTGCGCTTCAGTGTGGACAGGTCCTTGGGGTCCGCGCCAGGGGCTTCTTTTAGAAGCATGAACTGCGCCGCCAACGCGCTGCGAAGACCGCCGATAGATTGGGCCACAGTTTCAATGCACTTGGCAAGGCTCTTGTCTAGCTTGTACAGCTTCTCGGTGCCGACAAAATAGTGCTCATTCTTAGCCTCGCGGAGCATCTTGGTCATTTGCGTATAGGCCTTGTTGTAGTTGGCCGACATTTTGGCATATTCGGGCGAGTCCATCTCTTCCTCGGTGCCGTTCAAGAACCCCCTGGTGATGAATGATAACCTATCAGCCTGCGCGGCAGCTGCTTTGATCATGCATTGTCGTAGCACACGCCTTGCTGAGACGCGCCACATCAGGAGATTAACAACGACTGTGCTTGCGACCCCCAACAACAAAAGCTTGAGTATCTGCAACGGCTTCTCGCCCGACACGTACCCGCCTTGGATCGCCTCTTCCTTGGTTATGATAGTGATGATGGCAATGGAGGTCAAGCTGGAGCCGACATTTACAAGCGGTTGGTTGAGCCGCTGCTTCACCCAACCCACGAACCCCAGTCCGCCTCCAACGCAGAGCAGCAGTACCATGACGTGTGCGGGCTGGACGATATCGAACGCCTCCTTGCCCCAGATCACCACCTCCATAGATATGAAACCAATGAGTTCGGCGTACAGGATGGCAATGAACCCGATAAAGACGGCTTCGATCATGGATCCGACGGAGCGCGCGGGATGAAAGTAGACGGTGATGGTCGCAGAGACGTGTTTTCCGTCACGGTGGCCAAGGAAGTTGGACAATGGCGGGAAGAATGTACCACCGCTGCCCAGAAGATAGGCAAAGGTGCACTTTAGAACGGCGTGGCCTTCGTCGGATTGAAACCAGTACCAGAGTCCAATAGTCTTGTCCTTAGCCTTGTTTGCGACTGACTTGATCTTGCCGCTGACAGTTTCAGCTGTCGATAGGGTATCACTGGCGCCATCGCTGGCCGAAATCGAACTGGTAGTTCGGAGGGTGAACTGTCGTCGGGATCGCTCACCGGTCGCGGGTATAATGAAGGTACCATTCCTTGTTTTCTGTGTTGTTAGTGGTCGATGATTTCGTGCCCAATGATGCGCGACACTTACACCGCGTTTATTGATGTTGGCCAGCTTGGGACGCCGCAGACCCCAAGGCCCCGACTGGGAGCTTTCGTCGGGGCTCATGACAGCGTTTTCAACGAGATCAGCACACGATCATGTTTGACGGTGTAACCTTTCAGTAAGCTCCAGAAGCCAAGGAACGATAGAATTGGAGGGGGAGAGAGGTTGGTTGAGCTCCCTCTCTGACGAGGGAGCCCTTCATCCAAGCGAAGCGCCGTTTCGCGCCAGGGCCCGGACCGGCGCATAAGCCACAGTGACGACTGGACTTGGAGGTTCAGCCACAGCCGCACAGGGGTACCCACTTGAGATTTGGACTACCTGGTAGGATAACATCGTCACTGACTTCTCTTCGATGTAACGAAAGAGATTAACCTAGAATTGCGCTCCCCAGCACTCTCATCAGCCTGTAGGAATAGACCTGCAGCTTTTATAGGCCATACATACGCCTCTCCATGTGCAGAAGGTTCTTCACGACAATGGTTTCATCCGCTCGACGATTCGCCCCTCTAAAAGAGAGCTTGAGGCCAGCAGCAGGCGAGCTGCCTGTGCTGCGAGGCGTCGTCTTTGACATGGATGGGACACTCTGGTGAGTCGGGCTTGTTGCACCTGGCTTTCTTCATGCGTGTAGATATACATGCTTATACACAACCGGTCCTGGTTTGAATATCGCAAGCGAGACTGACCATCCCATGTAGTGAACCCCAGACATACATGTTCTCGGACATGCGGGCAGCCCTGGGAATACCAAAGTCCACTGACATTCTGCACCACATCGAACAGCTACCGGCAGACAAGCAGCCTGCCGCCCACAATGCTATCCGCGCCATTGAGCGCAAGGCCATGGAGACACAGAAGCCTCAGCCGGGACTCAGGGCACTCATGGACTACCTCGACAGCCGATCAGTGAGGAAAGCTATCTGCACACGGAACTTTGACGTGCCCGTCAAGAATCTACTAACGAATTTCCTCGAAGGCTCGGTGTTCCACCCCATCGTGACGAGGGAGTTCAAGCCTGCAAAGCCAGATCCAGCGGGAATCCTACACATTGCACAGGAATGGGGCCTCGTCCGTGACGACGGGAATGGCGACGGCAGCGGCCTGATCATGGTGGGCGACAGTATCGACGACATGACCGCGGGACGGGAAGCTGGCGCTGCTACTGTCCTGCTCGGCAACGACGTCAACAGGGACTTGAGTCAGCATGAACATACAGATCTGGTGATTCATAGCCTGGAGGAGCTCATTGAGGTTCTTGACGCGGGTTTCCAAGGGAGAGAGATCAATGTCAAATGAAAAAAAAATCTACGCCATTGTTATGCTAGACTTGCTTTGAGAGAATCCGCCCTTCTTCACTGTGCTCAGACATTGTATGCTGGGTTCGGGGGCAGGCCGTATTGTGGCTGCCTCCGCGCGTCTCTCGCCTCTCTGGCTTCCCTCCGCGATCCATCGGGTGTTTCGTTCCGGGGGGGTGGCGGCGCCATGTGACCCGAAGGTCCCGGACGAACGGGTAGCGCAAATGTAGTGGAAGAAGTCGACCCCGAAGGTGCGTGACCGCCAGTCTCGCTGTACCCGGCAACCTTGGGTATTGAGTTGGTGGTGTTGCCGCGGAGAAGTGGCGTTCGTCCGCCGGAGCTGGTGGCGCTGCGCGTTGGTGAGCGGCTAGAGGGCGCATAGTCGCGCGTCGAGACGTACCCAGTGCCAGCAATGGGGATCTCGCCCGAGGTTGGGGTCTCAATGCTGCGTTCGTCAGGGGCAGACTCCCTGGCTTGCTGTTGCTGCTGCTGCTGCTGCTGGGTCTGCGTGGGCCACTCCTTGGAACGGAGGAGATCTTGTGTCGAGGGCGACAGCTGAGGCGCAAGGTGAGATTTGCGGTTATCGCGCTCCATCATGCCGCAAGCCCAGGCACGTAGGTCAACCGGCGTCCTCTTGGCAGCCTGCACGAAAGGTTCGCGATCCTGGATTGGTTAGCACGCCTCGAATTTCACCTATATCCCTGTCGAAACTCACATATAGATCCTGCGGCGTAGGCCGCAGGTCGGGCTCTTTGTACAGGCATTTTTGAATCATGTCCTCGAGGATACTGGGGAACGCGTCGCTCTTGGGCAGCTTTGGCGCAGGCTCGTGCACAATCTGTTGGAGAAGATCCAGGATACCAGCTGGTTCGCCGTCGCCATCTGATAATTGCTCACTGGCGGCAAAGGGGAATTTGCCGATTGCGAGCTCCATGATAGACAGACCAAAACTCCACACGTCCGACTTGACGGTGTACTTTTCACCTTGGATTCGCTCAGGTGCCATGTACGTCGATGTTCCGACAAAGGTATCGGCAATGGAGTTGACCAGTTCTCCTGACACACCAAAGTCGCAGAGCTTGATGCCACCCTGCGAATTAACGAGGATGTTGGACGGCTTGATGTCGCGGTGCATAATGTGGTGCTTGGAGTAGAGATAGGTGAGGCCACCAAGCGTCGCCTCTGCGATCTTGCCCAGGACATCGACGCGGACTGGTCCGAAAACGCGTGATACCCAGTCAAGTGAGCTTCTTTGTTAGCCAAGATACCTTGCCCATGACCAAGAGAACTTACCCAACATCCATGTGCTCCATACACATGATAACGTCGTTGTTGTGGTTCAGGAACGCTCCGTAGAAGTTGACGATATAGTCTGAATGACACCCGTGCATGATTTGCAGCTCCCTTACGATCCTCTTCCTCACCTCCCTCTTAGCCTCCACATGAATGATCTAATTCTCTTAGCGCAAGTCATTTTCCCCTAAACATGAAGTCGAAGCATACCTTGCGAGCCATGACGGTGCCTGTTGTCAGATGCCGCACTTTACTCACGGTACCACCGTTTCCAGAGCCAAGCTCACGCACCACCTCCAAGTCCTCTGGTCGCAAATCGAGTTTATATTCGATCCCAATCTCGAGTTGGCCATCTTTGCCACCGTCATCGCGGCCGCCGGCCGATTCAGCGGTCGGGGGCGGCTTGGGAGCGGCAGGTGTCAAGGCGAGGCCCTTGACATTCTTGCGCTTCATTGTGCGCGGGGCAAATCCGTCGGCCATTTTGACGGTATTGTTAAATTCGACTTGAATAGATGGAAGGGACGGAGTCGAAAGGAGGAGCCGGACTGGATGCGTTGCCTGCCAAACGCGGACTCGGGTTCCCCGCGGTTATTGGCGATGGTTTTGATAGTGACGCGAACACGGACGGAGCGTGCTCGACGAGGTGGAGATGCTCTCGCAGGAAATTCGGCAGTCGTGCTCGCAGTAGTGTTTTTTCGTCGAAGGTCAAAGGGGTCTGCAGCAGTCGTCGAGAGCGATATCGCGAGCTGCACTCGTTGTTCGAGCAACAGATGGAGCGGACAGGCGAGGGGCGCAGGCGTCAAAGACTGGTATCGGCTCTTGGATGGGAGCCGTGATGATTCCAGTTACTCTGGAGTCAAGACAATTGAGAGTCGATCGGCCGGTGCTGAGCGTAGGATCACGCTCTCTATCGTACGGTACAGGGAGAATGGATGGATGAGACAGTTCCAAGTCCCTGAGAGGTGAGTGGGGTCAACGCTAGGTACCTTAGGTAGTAATACTCCTATCCTGATCGGCCGCATCTATCAGTCACAGCGAGAACGCATGCGGTAGTCGAAACAGTGAGGGGCAATGTGCGGCCCAGGAAATTGTACGGCTCATTGCTTTATCGAACCCCCTTATTATTAGCCACCCGGGTGATTTGTCGTTACGAGAAGATGGGAAGCTGGTCATACCTTACGATCATACCTGGTATTGATCATTAGGTCCAATGCCGCCCCTGAACGAGGGGTCATTCTTAGCGACTATTCTACGCGCCCATGCTCAACCTCTAATTCCTCCACAACTGCACACTTCGGCCCTTTCAAAGTCAATGAGAAGGGCTTGATTTCCTCGCATCATGACGTTAAATATGTTTTCGCGGCCTTAATTGATGCACAGAGCATGAAGACCCTCCAGAATTCCCTGACAAGCCGCTAAATCTCCCGGCTCTGCCGTCCGCGCGCCCCCAGTGTCCATGAATCTGCCAGCTTCTGAGGTGGCCTCAGTCCCATCATCCTAGGTGAAAAGGGGTAGCATCGGAATCGGTACGGGGGCATATGTGCGGTCGTCGAATATCGGGAAAGCACCTGGCGCGACAATAATACACTTGACATGTCTCGTCCACCATGACGCGACACTTGCTATCGAGCTCATATTTCAAGCCGCCCAAAGGGGTCAGGAGTTGCACATTGCTGTGCTGCCGAGCATTGCTGTGGCGTATCTTCGACCAAGTCGTAGGCGAACACAACCCAGCTATGAGCGTCTCATAGTATATCATACACCCAGATCATATCAAAAGGTTCCTGGTACATAACGCTACTGGGCTGTGATCGTACCCCTCCTTATTATGTTTCACCTACCCTGCGTGGGAAGTTGACCGACTCTTTGGGTATTGATGAACCAAGTACGATAGCAAAGTTTGGCTATCAAAAGCGCCACGGACGGCGAACGGGGCTTGGATAGCCGAGGTCACATTGTTCATATAATTCTGGCAGTTGAACGGAGTGGATGCTCCAGGCGCAAAGTAGGCAGTCGTGCATTTGGCTGTATGGTCATCTAGAAAGCTCGAAATGCCGGTAGGCGTGAGATCGAGTGTTCTCTTGCCATCGGATAAAAATATAACGAGTCTTGACTCCAAAATGGGATTGGATCATACAAACCTGTGTGGAAGCTTAATCCCCAGAAGAGTATTTACTGATGACATTTCTCTTTCACATTGTCTTGAGGGGTTGCCAATAGTGTGGTTGTCGACTTGATGAGTAAGCCTCCGGAATCGGAAAATCTTTCACCCTTGACACCATGCACCCCTGTACTACCAACGCGACGAGGTTGGAGCTCGATGCGATTCATTATTCGAATCTTCAGAGGCGCGCGAGGCCTTCCACGATTGACTGCGCCGAAACCTACCCCGACGTCTACAACTACATCCTCTCTAAAACATTGCTCTGAGGGTTAGGTGCGCTATTTCAACGCATTTGGCTTTGTGCCAATTATAATTCGGGACCTCTCCATTTGTCCCCATCGGCAAAATGAGCACGTCTATGCGCGACCTCATTTCGGGCGAGGCCGAGCTGGATGACGAAGAGGATGATGAGTCCTTCGATGAGGAGACCGGCGAAGCCCGTGAAAGGCAGAATGGAAACATCGACGACTCCAGCGAAGAAGAGGAGGATGACGACGACGAGGAGGAAGCGCGTAAGGTATGTTCACCTCAAACGGGCTGGAGAGATGGCAGAAGCTGATTTGACTAGGTGCGCGAAGGCTTCATCGTCGACGAAGAGGAAGATGAAGAAGATGGCGAAGCGCGCCCAGCCGTCAAACGGAAACGTGAACACCGAGACCGAGAAGAGGAAGAGCGTCTCGATGACGATGACTTGGACCTCATTGGCGAGCAGTACGGAGCGCCTGTCAAAGCGAAGCCTCAGGTGAGTCAGCGCACTGATTCAGGGATGCAGAAGCTGACGATGAGTAGTCCAAGTTCAAACGCCTAAAGAGAGGATACCGCAACGACGACGACGAACCGGCAAACGAGCCCCCTGGGCTGACTGAAATCTTCTCGGACGATGACGAGGAAGGCGCTGATCAACGACCGTATGGCCGCACCACCTTCCGCCCACAAGCCGACGAATTCGACGACTTCATCGAGGAAGATTTCCCCGAAGACGAAGCCGAAAAGTTGCAACAAATAGAGGATGCCGAAGTCGCGAGACCCAGAGACCGTGGCGTGGGTGCCATTGTCGACACAGCAGGCCTCGACAAGGACGCACTGGATGACATGGAGGCCATCTTTGGCAATGGCGAAGACTACGGATGGGCGCTCGAACTGGAATATGAGGAAGAAGACCGCGAACGCGAAGAAGGGCAGATCGAACTCAAGGACGTCTTTGAGCCCAGTCAGCTCAAGGAGAAAATGTTGACGGACCACGACAACGCGATCCGTTTCACCGACGAACCCGAACGATTCCAGCTGGATCGCGAACCCTTCAAGCACCTGCAACTGTCCGACCAACAGTTCCGTGAAGAGGGCCGATGGATCACCAATCAGATTTGGCCGAAGAAGAGTCTGCCCCAGGACCTTCAAGGACCGTTTGGCCGCGCCATCAGCAAAGTCCTCGAGTTTTTCATTGTTGACGAAGTCGAGGTTCCCTACGTCTTCCAGCATCGCAAAGACTACCTTTTGCACACGACGAAGACGCGCTCCAACCGTGATGATCCTGACAGCAACGAGTTCTCTATTTCTGCGGAGAAGCTTCTGAACCAGGACGACTTGTGGAAGATTCTGGAGCTCGACATCAAGTTCCGATCTTTCGTGGACAAGCGCAACGCTCTCAATGCGTCGTACGAAAGCCTCAAGTCCCAGTTTGAGATTGACGACCCCGTCGTGGAGGAGATGAGTGCCGAGGCCTTGACCATGGAAGAGCTGCAAGATGTTCAGGACTACCTGAACTTCCGCTATTCTTCACAATTACGAGAGCTGGCTGCTGCCAAGACCCAATCACAGGTCAAGCGACCAGGTTCTAAGATGACGATTCTCGATCGTATACGCAGCTCGCGCGCTTCGGAATTTGTCAAGGCCTACGGTATCACAGCGGATCAACTGGCGAAGAATGCGCTGCGACAAGGCAAGAAGGTTGCACCGGATGATGTCGCCAATTACCCCATGGAACTGGCTGACGATCTGCTCGACAACACCTTTGACACTGGCGAAGCTGTCATGAATGCTGCCCGTCAACTCTACTCGGAGGAGCTGTTTGCCAGTCCGCGGATGCGGAAGCATTTCAGAACGTCATTCTACCAAGCTGCAGAGATTAGCTGCAAACGCACAGAGAAGGGTCTACGACGTATCGATGATTCACATCCATACTACGAGATCAAGTATATCCAGAATCAAGGTGTAGCTGATCTAGTCCAACAACCTGAGCTGTTCTTGAAGATGATGAAGGCTGAGGAAGAAGGCTTTGTTGACATCAAGGTCGAGATGCCACGGCGGTACGACTTTCGAAGGCAACTGTACCAGGAATTTGAGTCAGAAAATTTCAGTGACCGTGCCGAGCAGTGGCGTGACGAGCGCAGACGGGTCCTGGATCTTGCCTACCCCAAGCTCGAGAGAATCACAGCGAGGAGCGTCAAGGAGGTTGTCCGCTCGTTCTGCCAAGACGAGCTGCTGCGAATAGTGCGCGAGGAGTACTCGAAACGCCTGGATCAAGCGCCCTACAAGCCCAAGGGCATGATTCTGGGGACAGCACCGCGAGTTTTGGCACTAACGAACGGGATGGGAGACCCTGGTCGCGACCCCATTTTCTGGGCGTGGGTGGACGACGACGGCCGCGTGCTGGAGCACGGCAAGTTTGTCAACCTTGCGAGAGACGAGGCACAGCGTGACGAGTTTGTGGATCTCGTGGAGCGCCGGCGTCCCGATGTCATTGCCTGCTGTGGCTGGTCAGCCAACTCGAACAAGATGGTGCGGGACCTCGATGGCCTGGTTCGTGAGAAGAACTTGTTAGGCACTGAATTTGAGGATCCCGACACGGGCGAGTGGAGAAGCGAGCCACTGGAGGTCATGGTGGTGAACGATGAGGTCGCGAGGCTGTATAAGGACAGCAAACGTGGGCATGCCGAGCATCCTTCGTTGAATCCATTCACCCGCTACTGCGTGGGGCTGGCCCGGTACATGCAGAACCCTATGAAGGAGTATGCTGCCCTGGGCAAGGACGTCTCGTCCCTGCTCTTCCACCCATGTCAGAACTTGCTGCCGCAAGACAAGGTTGACAAATACCTTGAGTCTGCCATGGTCGACATGGTGAACCTGTGCGGTGTCAACATCAACGAGGCCATGTCTGACACGTACATCGCCAACCTGCTCCCGTTTGTCGCTGGCCTGGGTCCCAGAAAAGCGACGAGTGTGATCAAGGCTATCAACACTAATGGCGGGAGTGTCAACACCAGGGATGAGCTAGTCGGCGATATTGACAGTGGCAAGGTTCCCGTCGTCGGTCCCAGGGTGTGGAACAACTGTGCCAGTTTCCTGTACATTGAGTACGATCAGACAAATCCATCGTCGGATCCTCTCGACAACACTCGTGTCCACCCCGAGGACTACGAGCTGGGTCGTAAAATGGCGGCTGATGCGCTCGAGCTCGATGAGGAAGATGTGAAGGCCGAGGTGGACGAGAACGGCTCGGGTGCCATTGTCCGCAAACTGTTCAAGCAGGATGAACAAGACAAGGTTAACGAGCTTGTTCTTGAAGAATACGCCGAGCAGTTGGAGACCAATTACCAGCAACGAAAGCGTGCCACGCTCGAGACCATCCGTGCTGAGCTCCAAGCGCCCTACGAAGAGCTGCGCAGAAATTTCGCCACACTGAGCACGGCTGACATCTTCACGACGTTCACAGGCGAGACAGCCCGAACCTTGTGCGATGGCATGATTGTCCCTGTCAATATCCGTGTGGTGAAGGATGATTTCGCCATTGCCCGACTGGATTGCGGCATCGAGGGTCGTCTCGAGTCTCACGAGGTCACCAACCGTGCGTCCCTCAAGGACGTACTCAGTGTCGGCCAGACAGCCCAGGCCAAGATCCTGGAGATCAACTACAAGGAATTTGTCACTAAGCTGTCGATGCGTGAGGACACGCTGCGGATACCATTCCGCCGTCCGATCAACCACGGACGTGATGGGTGGGACTACGACCTGGAAGCCGCCGACAAGGAGGACATGCGTGAGAAGGACAAGCACACAGGCCGCGTACAGCGTGTCGTGAAGCATCCCAACTTTCACCCGTTCAACTCGCGGCAAGCCGAGGAGTACCTAGGCTCCAAGTCGATTGGAGACGTGGTCATCCGTCCCTCGTCCAAGGGCAACGACCATCTGGCGGTCACGTGGAAGGTGGCCGATGGTGTCTTCCAACACATCAACGTGCTCGAGATGCAGAAGGAGAACGAGTTCTCTGTGGGCAAGCTGTTGCGCATTGACGGCAAATACACCTACAGCGATCTCGACGAGTTGATTGTCGAGCACGTCAAGGCCATGGCACGCAAGGCAGAGGAGCTGATGCGTCACGACAAATTCCAGAACCGGTCGCGGGGCGAGACAGGTACGTATGCTAATGGAAATTTGCAAGAAGAAGCGGGCGCAATGCTAACAACATACAGAGAAATGGCTCACGACCTACATTGACGCCAACCCCAACCGTTCGACATACGCGTTCTGCGTGGACACGAAGCACCCGGGCTACTTCTGGCTCGTGTTCAAGGCGAGCAGGACCGCCCAGTGTGTGGGCTTGCCTGTCAAGGTCATCCCCCAGGCCTACGAGCTCATGAAGTACCAGTACCCGGATATGCGTGCGCTCACCAACGGATTCAAGTTGCGTTTTCAGAACGAGTTCTCCACGATGGGTGGAAAGTAGGGAGATTGTTGTCCTGTTTTGATATGGGTTTCAGGGGTTGACGGGGACAATGTACCAAGAGTGGCGTTCAAAGAGGTTCACGTATTTTATTCACAAACATCAGCATGATGCAGAGGCGAGCGATGGCTGGGTAATGGAAATCGACCTGGCTGCCCCTTGCTCCATTTGACGCCAAGCCCGCCAGCTGATGTTCGACTAATTGTTAGATAGCTAGTACCACGAGGTCTTTCTTGTCAATGTTCTGGGGGTTCCGGACTGCGGGTACCTTGCATAGCTCTCTCGCCAAGTGATCATCCCCATCTCGTCCCGGCTTCGGGGGTTATGACAGACAATGGCGATATCGGAACCCGTGGCTCACTATCCAATGCTAGGACGGTTTAGTCGGTGCTCGTGATCAATCTCACCGAACCCAGCAGAATCTCTGGTGGCAGCAAGCCAGTGGGTCGACCTACCCTGAAAAGTATGGGGTACCCCGCAATGGTGCGTTGCGGAGGGTCTCCATGGATCCAGCAAACGTCATCAGCTCTTGTCTCTCTGCATGGTGGTTCGACTGCAGTTGATCAGGCTCTTCCGTGGAAAAAGCCAATGCGGCTTCGGTCTGCCGTATCGGATGGGAAGGGGAAGCCCGTCAACGCAGGTACCGGAGCATGCCATGACTCTGTGCTGTGTGGAGCCCGAAGCGGAGCTGCTTGATTCTGGGTGATTCTGACGAAAGGTCACGCGATGAACGCGACATCACCTCACGGCTCCAGCTCTACCGTCTACGTACACCGTACATACGTAGATAGGGCCCCTCTCACGTTTTATGCTCCCAGGGACTCTTGCCGTGCCAATTGGCCGATCTCATTGGCTGTTTTCGAGCCGCAGCGTAGGTCGTGCGCTATCCGGCCAGAGTATAAGACGCTTCCCGTCTGCCACACCCTCGCTGGTCTCGTTTGCGTACCACAGACAATCACTCGCTCTTCTCATCTATTCCATCACCTTGAGAGACGTCAATCGAATAATTCAACTTCATCCAGCGGTCATCGAGACAGGCACCACAATTGCCTTTGGTTTTCCACGAGTACTCCACGCCCAGCGAGCCTCCAAACAGACACTTGCCCGTGCTCCTGATAAGAGAACCGCCTTTCTGGGTTGCAACCTCGAGCTTCCCCTCAGCTCCATTCCACCTCAACAGTAAGCTACCAAATCTACACCATACCTATCAACCCTCCCCCCGCATCAGCCTTTCGGTTCCCTCTTCCTTTCCTTCATCCATCTACCGATCCATTCATTCATCTAACGCGCTCTCATCAAGCAAGCCATCTCCTTCCCATCAGTGCGATCATCCTCATGCCGTTCTCTAATGTGCATATCTCTCTAACGTGACGACAGTGACACGCTCTCACAAGGCAAACGATCGTGACCACAAGGGCATCGCCGAGGGCACCGCGCTGCCCGTCGAGGCGATGCCCAAGTTCTTTGCCAAGAGCGGCTTTGCGGACGTAGACCCCAAGAAGATCAAGAAGGACGGTGGTGGTCGAGGCAACTGGTACGTCCCCCCTCTCTTCTCTCACTCAGCCGAGCTGGCCCACTTCCAGCATCCACGCAACAGTGACTGACTTGACATGTGCACAACAACAGGGGTAGTTATGGCGACGACATTGCCAACGAGAACTTCACCTTTGTCAACCCCCGCCGCCGCTCCAACAGCTTCTCCATGTCCCACCACGTCAACGACTTCAAGACAAAGTTCGAGGTCCACGAGCCCGAGCCCGTCTTTGAGGAGGCGCTCCACGGCCCCATGCAGGATGGCGAGAATCTGGCCAAGACAGATTCCTCAGAGAGCGGGCGATCCACGGACTAGATCCTCGCCTGCGGTCCCCCTAGACCCCGCGTAGTGACTTCAAATGAGAGACATGGCATGTATTGGCATTGTGAGGAGGATTAGCAAAGGGGCAAGGGAATCTGTATCATTGTATCATCACGTATTCAGCCACCAAGGCTACGAACTAGCTATGAATGGAACTCGATGCGAAATCGAGACCTCTTTTCTTTTTTGTCAAATCACTCGTCTATCTATCTAGGGTGCTTCCATCGCCGACTTTTGACCACAGTGCCCTTCAAGTTGTGTCGGGCACATTTACCCGGTGATCTACGCTGCGGGTTTCAACACTCACTTCTGGATAGCTCACTCACAGGTCATCTTCGATGGGCTACATGATGGATACGTAACTTTGCGTCTTCATGCCGCAGTTGCAGATCAATGCCACCACCATCTCGTACTAATACCCACAAACACCGCCGGGCCTCTAGTCCCTCGTCTTGTCATATCCCATCAGAGGCTGACTTCCACGGAGATGATGCCGTGACACCACTCGTGTCCGATCCCCAACAAGACTGTATTGCTATCAACAAAACCGCCCCTATATCACCGATTAAGCTGCGCCGAACATCTCGTTCCATATAAGACCAGAGCAAAAGCAAAACGCCAGGTCGCTCACGAGGGGAGGGCCCCGACTCCAATGCAGCTGGCGAGTCAGGAGCTTCAGTAGCGGAAAAGGGGGAGGGGGTGTGAGGGGACGGCCATCACTCTGACGTGCGTGGGTCACACGGACGGATTCTTGACGGAAATGCTTTCTGCCTGTCTCTCCTCATTCCCACGGATCGGATCTCACAAAAGGTACGAGGTGTAAAGCAAATATCGTTCATTCATACATCATCAAAAACTACCCCTTTATGCCTTTGACGTGTTCGCTGACGCCGACGCTGTGGTTGTGGTCTTGGCCTTTCGCCTCGCCGGCTGATAAACGTCGTTAAAGTTCATGGCTACGCCCAGGAACCTCATGTCCACATCAGGCTGGTACGCCAGATCGCCCAGTAGCAGCTGTAACCTGGTGCGGAAGGACGACCCTAGATGCCGTAGCCGTTCTTGTAATGCTGGGAACTCGGACGCCACGCTGGTCGAGCCGGAGAAGTGGTCATCCTCCTGGCGCTCCAGCGTGCTCCGGACATCGGCCTCCTGACGACGTGTAAAGTCCGACACGGACCAGCTGTAGAGGCCGTCAACCGAGTCGCGGTAGTTGAGCATGAAGCGGAGTATGTCGCCTAGTTGGGCGAGGTACGATGTCCGATCATCATCGTCAGCCGTGCCGTGAACGCGCCTCTTCGGGCCTAGGAGACCCTTGTGCGTAATGTCGTTGAGATAGGCTGTGTGCGCCTTGATCAGATCGTCGAGTGTGCAATCCTCCTTGGTGATGCGCTTCTGTAGCTCGCCCCATGAGGATTCAATGACCTCGAACAGAATGTAGTACTGCAGCTGCCCAACAAAGTGTATCATCTCAGCCAGTGTGCCGCGCGTCGACTTCCACGTCCGTGCCACCGTTTCGTCGCTGCTTTGGAGCACGCCGCGCGCCCCTGTCATGCACTTGCGCCAAGTCGTCAGCAGTGCGAACTCGACACGCTTGATACGCCACAGGAAGTTGAAGACTTTGAGGTACTGTCGGTTGCCCCATTCCGTCACCACAACATCAACTGGTGCGTCAATCTTGTATTCGAGCGTGAAGCAATCCCACCCAATATCACCGTGCGAGAGTTGCAGCATCCGAGCATCGAGGCGCCGCAGGACTTCGGGCGAATCATGCTGTGCGTTTGATCCACGGATAGCGTGCTCCAATTGCGCTGTCAGGGTGTGTCGATACTGTGCGCCGGCCGGGCGGTCCAGGTTGGGCGCCAAAGACTCCATGAGAAGAGCGATGAAGTCGCCTTGCCCCAGCAGAATATAGTTCTTGAGGGCTTGCAAGTGCTCAAAGAGATGGAACTTGTCGGCCATCAGGTGTATCAGTCGCTTCATGGTCGTCTTATGCGCCTCGTCTATCCACGCCTCGAGCGTCGTGGTGTCGCCGTACCTCAACTCTTTCGAGGCATCTTTGGAGTAGTTCTCGACCCACAGAGAGTCGTTGCAACTATGCCTGACAAAGTTGAGAGACTTGCCGATGAGAAAGACCTTTTGCGCAAAGTCTTGGGTGATGATGCTCGGGACCATCTCCTTGTCGATTTCGAATCTGTCCTCCCAGACATTGCCATTCCCCTTGCCTTTTGGATCCGCATTTGGAGCCTGCTCTCTGACGAAGAACTCCAGATATGGATCGGACAGTTCGCCGTCGTAGATCCAATGCCGGAGGAATTCGTAGAATGGGCGCGTAAAGCTGCCTAACAACCGCTCGGCAAAGGCGGCCACCACTGGATCACCGTGTGACGACGAGAACCCGTGAATCAAAGAGATTAGCTGACCGCCCTTTTTGTTTTCCGACTCTTCGGCAATGAGGCACAAAAGTCTCAGGCCCATGGTAGCTTCCCTTGTCCAGACCACACACCGCTTCAGGGTGACCCCAGCTTTGCCGATACCGCCCCTAGGGGCGGAATCATCAATGACAGCAAGAGCCCTGCGTATTTGTCCCTCCAAAGTCGCGATGAGGGTCAAATAGGCCCTGAGCTCACCACCAACAGCAGCACGAAGGCTCTGGCCCAAGAGTCCCTTTGCTTGACTTTTGCAGAAAGAGTCGAGCCGACGGTATAGAAGCGATGGCTCGGCGAGGGTGTGCAGAAGTGACACAATTGGGAGTGGGAGGGTCGGAGGCAGCTGCAGTGTATCTTGCTTTGTGAAGGGGAGAGTCGTCGAGGAAACGCCCTGAAACGTGAAAGGAAGATCTCGTAGGATCGCAGTCTCGGGTGGATCGATGTCTGTGTAATTGTTGGCGAGGAGCGTCGATTTCAAGGATACGTCGCGCTTCGGTGTGCCAGGCACAGCATCAGGTTGCGCTGGTTTTAGATCTGCTTCCTTCTGCGAGAACTTTTCGAGGCCCTGTTGCTGGAACGCTTCTCTGAATTGTCCTTCGTCTGTCTTTGGCAGTGGACCCTGGGCCCTCGTGCTTTCGCGTCCATGTCGCCGGAGCGCATCTCTACTGATTGCCTCGCGGTAGTTGGGCGCCGAAGGCTTGATGGGACTGAGAGGGAGAGGTTCGCTTGGATCCGGCGAATCGGCGAGCTGATACAGCATGTACAGAATGGCCCATTTATTTTCAAGTACGGGTAGCGACAAGAGCTTCGAGTACAGGTTCGAGAATTGGAGTGCCTGGTTGGGATCGGTTTTGATCAGTTTGCGCTTGATCAAATCAGAGGCATGGTTGACGTCCGCTACAACAGCGGGGGAGGCAGGGCTTTCCCATTAGTACAGTCCAGAGATTCCCAATGAGGAGACATACTTGTTGTCTATCAAAGATTTGGCGAGCTCGAAGCAGGTGTCATGGTGCTGCTGCGCGGCCTGGTCGTCTTGGGCAGGATCTCGAGGGACGATGTGCGCAATCAAGTTGTCAATGGCGTTGGAAATACGATCGGGAGGCATGGCTGCATCCTCGCGATGCGCGCTTACCGCAAAGATTTGCGGTCCCAAGGAGACACTTTTGACAAGCGCAAAGGCAAAGACAGAAGCTTGTTGTTGAATCAAGATCCAAGTCTAGACGCGGTTGCGGCCTGGAGACGCGATCTGAGGGGCTTCGAGGTCTCGTTACCGGGTTGGGCGCGCAGGTAGCGGGTACTTCTCATAGCACGCAACTCAGGTACGGAGAAGAGTACCCTAGACTTCTCCAACTTGCATCCTCAAGTCGGCCGAGCGCCAAATTTCCAACGCTCAGGCACCTGCATCTGCACGACTGACCTCAATCCATCAAGGGCGCAATACGTCGCCATCGACTCGCACGCGCCAACCCGTTCAAACCATCGCATCAACCCAATTGATCGAGTCGCCTGGCTCTAGATTACCAGGGACCTGTATCTCATGCACCATATTCCGCCTTTATAGCCGCCCTGCCGAGCCCGGCCGCGACGACGCGACACACGCTGGCCGTCGCTAACCTCGGATTGTCGATCTTTGAGGCTACGGGCACAATTGCATACCTCACGAATCCTGCCAACTTCCTCGACACGGCCTCAAGATGCCTGATATAGATCCATCGGCTCTGAGCCGCCCTTCAATAAGCATTGGAACGCCTACACTATCGTCCAAGGCGCTGTCGGCAACAGGCGGCTTGTCCAAACCCAAGTCGAGTCAAATCATCCCCACGCGCATAGATCTAGAACCATATTATGCGGCGATCAAGACTGAGATCCCTTCGGAAAAATGGACCCTATACAAGGAAACGGTCGCCAACTTGGCATATGGTAGTTGCCTTTTCGCCAGAAGGATGAACCTTTCCACTAATGAGCTCCAGGTCGCCTAAATCAATCCGAGTTCTCTGCGATCATCGACCCCTTGATACAAAGTCCCAATGGCGAAAAAGTACATCACCACAACCGCCTGATCATGGCCATGATTGCCAATGTATCGAGGGAGGTACCAGATCCTGGACAGGCTGCGTGGGTCAGCGCCAACGACAAGCCCACCGCTCCTCAGGGCAGCAAACCTGTCACCGGCGATGCAGCGGAAAGACTTCTGAAAGGCGGCGTGATGCAATTGCCAGCCAGAGACAGACGGCGCATCAAAGACTTATCACACAATGATGTGAGTATTGGCGTGCTTGAATCTTGGACTAGCTAACGGGTGCAGTTCGAGCCCCAGCAAGAGTTAGCCAATGTATTCTCAGATATCAGGCGCAAGCCAGCGCCAGCTCCCGAGCTTGCGCAGAGCGCGACAGGCGTCATGTCCAACATGAGTAAGCACCATTGCCTGACGAAGTGACGCAGATAAACTGACCATGCAGACTTTGATATCGAGATTAGAAAGCGGTACAATGCGCCCCTCGCCATTGAATCGGGCGAGTTCCCGGATAGTAATGTGGTGAGCGGCCGCATGCTCCCATTGTGCTACGAGGCCGGTCTGGCAAGTGGCCATTCCCCCGAGGCACCTCAGCTTCTCACCGTGGCGGTGGAAACCTTCATCAAAGAGAATCTAGCAACAATCTTCAGCCGCACGCGAAGTAATGGACCCGGCGATGCCGGCAACGCCGGCTTCGGCGTGGGAATCAATTGGATCCAAACGGCACAATATTCGAAGCAGCTCCATCTCGAGGAGAATCTTGCGCAGAACGGGAGATTGACCAGGGATAAAAACGGTCTTCTGCCGGTGGAGGCGAAGGCAGCGAGCGAGCGCGGCCCCTTGACTGTTGCCGATCTTCGCCTCGCAATTGAGGTGGGCGAAACAGGGTTCTCCCACTTCCCTGCCTTGCGGACACAAATCTTGCAAGGTTATCGCGAGGGCGAACTCGAAAATTACAACGAATATTCCTACGTCTCTGGACACGAGACTACGGACCAAGCGGACGAATACGTCCCAGCACTGGTCAATGGCGAGGCAGATGCCCCCGTGCTTAATGGGATGGGAGAACCCATGGACGTCGACACTACTCTGGAGTGGGAAGGCGCCGAGGATGGCGACATTGACTTGCTGGACAATGTGCTCGATCAGATATTGGTTGGCACGTAAGCGCCCAAGACACAGGTTTCAGTTGTGCGCAACTGCAAAACCATCCCACAACAAACGCCTTTCATGCGCGCGAGAACGCATAAGAAGCGCACATGGCACCGATTCTGAGCGATCGGTGCGCACCCTTCTGGACTTCCGCCTATCCTCAAAGATGCCATTGAGGCCCCCTTCCATGAGCACTTCATCGTCGCTCAGCCATGGTCGACAGACCTGAGCTGCCCTGCTATATCGATTATGCAGCCGGGTGACTCGGCGATGGTCATGAGGGCAGGCCCAAGGAAGCGTTGGGCAGCCCATTTGTTACTGCACCCCCTCCGCAGGCACGTCGACATGCAGCGTCCCTCAGGTGGCAGCTTGCACGCACGAGCGGCGCCAGCAGTCAAAGGCCAGCCAGCGGGGCTTGATTCTTTGGAAAAAACCCGACCAGCTCTGTTTCGGAAATTCTAGGCCCGATGAGAGCAGCTCAGTGCCATTTTCCAAGGCCCCAAGCGTGGGCTAGCCAGGAAGAAGGACCATTCCTTGGAGACTCGGTCTACGTTCTGAATAGCGATGGTGACCCGGGCCATCAGCGATGATGTCCAGGACGATGTTGCTCAAGATATTTGGAGACGACCGTCATCTAGTAGAGAGAACGGACTCGTCAGGCGTGACAATGCTTTGGTTCATTCGAGATACCCCCCTTTTTTTTTAATCATCTTTCGTCATCCTATGGCGAGCCCCGAAGAAATTACCAAGCAGCGCAATCCTTGTTAACAATATTGCCTATCACTCAAAGCAATGCGATACCTGACATTCACCAATACTTTGGAGCTTCCCAAGGTTTTGTTCCCTGCATGAACTATGAAGCAACTAAGTTACAAGCCCAAGTTGTGGAGCTCCGGCTTTTGGGGAGTGTGGAGGTGGTCTGTGCGCGATCGATAAGCGTTCTGCATCCAAGCTAAACAAAAAAATAACCGAGTGCTCGGGAGCGAACCATGGATGTGCGGACGCGCGATGATGTCGTGCCAGGCAGATCCGGTGCGGACATGGACATACGAGTGTATAACGTCTGACGCCGGTGGCTGTGGTCGCGTCGTCGTTTGCCTGGCGATCATCGACTGACAGCGCTGACTGGGCCTATGACGTTGATGGGGAGGAGGAGGAGGAGGAGGAGGGAAAGACCGAGCGAGGTGAAGGAGCCTGCCTCGACGCTAAACCGCACCTCTGGAAGTGGATCGCCGCGTCTCCCCGCTCGAGGCAGGAAGTACGTACGTACTTGCTATATAACTGGATTAACTGAGAAGGGAAGGCACTCGATGTTAGATGAAGAAAGTGCTTCACAATGCTGTACGAAGATATGTCCTTTGCCCGCATTGAGGCTCTAAATTAGCTCTTAGCCATAACTGGTAGCTACGTCTGGATCCTGTAGCCGTTCACTGGGGACCGTTGACGCTTTGACCGCATAGAGGGCCGTGTCACCGGCCGGCCTTCTAGAAGCCTTCTCCTAGGCAGGTGGCACTGACCCTTTTTGAGTTGGCACCTGTGAATCCCCCCACCATCATCCATCCGTCCCTCCAGCTCCGGTTCATCCTCACCAGCACCAGCACCTCTTGGTCTGCATTCAATTCATCAAGCTCTGCGGCGACGCCAAACACTCGCAAAAGTAATTGTCGAGACGCGCAGGTACTGAGGTACTGAAAGCGCTTCGCTACAGCTTCCTGGCTCCGACATCGCTCGAGCACAGTGTTGCGCTTGCCCGCGGTTTGTCAGCTCTCAGCTACAGCCCCTCTTGACGACATTGTCAGAGCAAGTGCTTCAGAGACAGCTACCCAGTCCGGTACCACCTACCACAGCCCCGACTACATAGTGCCTGTCTCGTTACATCCAGGTCCTTCCCAAGGTAAGGCACCCAGCCTCAGAACTCTTCCATTCTCTCCTCGTCTCGTCCATCGCGCCCTATCCCCGGTCGCCTGCACACAGTCACCGTCACGATTCCGCCTTGTGTCGAGCTGTGCTTTTGTCATACACACCTGCACACTCAGCTTGGAGTCTCAGCCGGCATTGCCGCAGCTATTCGTCATATTTCACCAAGAGGGCATTTCGACCTGGTTGCTGCCTACTTGAACAAAGAGGTAAGGAAGCCTGTCGCAACAACTGCATCGGCAGCTCAGCTGCGCTTTTCCCAAGAGCTTCCCTTTGAGGTGACGCAACTTTGTCCGTGCCCACAAGAGTCTTCCGAGCTTAGAGTGGTACTCCAAAGCTCATCCCTGTTGGCGCTCTTACACGCGCTGAAAGCCGAATCATTGCGGGATGATGGTCCCTTTGGAGGGATGCGCTTGGAACCAATCTCGCACGAGCTCAACTCGCAGCATCCAAAAAGTTCAGAGCATGGAACCAAGCTGATACCCCTTTTCATCCACTTCTCTCACACTTCTCAAAGCGCCAGATGAGAGGTATGCGAAGCTAACAATCAACTACCAGGTCTTATAAGTGAGGAGCCCAGGCTGTACGTCTTCCCACCTTCAGTCCCTCCGTTCTTGCTGGCCATTTCGACAACATCTCTGCAACTCAGCGCCGCTTCTGACCAAGAAATCGCAATCTCCCAGCAGCTTGACTAACACCTGCATTCAGACTAGTTATCCACTCGCCTTACTCCGATCCACCGTCTATCCATCTTTCCGAACTCTACCATGTCTGGCCAGTTCAACAGTCCCTTCGGGGCCAACGCCAACCCCTTTGGAGGCAAGATGCAGAGTTTAGCGGAGGAGGATGAGAATGGTGCTGCTGCTCCAGTGTCCTTTGGCGTTGACGGCTCTCAAAGTGGTCCTGGTGACGCTAGGAGCCGTCCAAACCCCGATAGCTATCCTGCACAGTACAACTTCAACCGTCGTACATCAGTGTCGGCCGAATCATTGAAGCCCAGTGCCGATGAAAACGACAACTGGACACCCCCATACCACGAGAAAACCCCAGACCAGATTGAGAGACTGAAGAAGGCCATCGAGGGCAACTTCCTATTCAGCCACCTCGAGGATGAGCAGAGTGCACAAATACTGGGCGCGCTGGTCGAGAAGCCGGTTCCAGCAAAGGACATAAAGGTTGGTCATGCTCCAGAAGCGCTATGCGTGTGATTTGGCTGACATGGTAAAGGTGATCAGCCAAGGTGACGCCGGAGATTTCTTCTATGTGGTAGAAAAGGGCTCTTTCGACGTCTATGTTAACAGCACTGGCCAACTACAGCCCGGACCTGACGGGATGGGATCAAAAGTGGGCACCATCGTGGCTGGTGGTTCTTTTGGTGAGCTTGCTCTCATGTACAACGCCCCACGTGCGGCTACTGTGGTGTCGGCCGAGGCGAACTCGACACTCTGGCAACTCGACCGTGTGACCTTTCGCCGTATTCTGATGGAGTCCACCTTTGCGCGCCGTCGCATGTACGAAAGCTTCCTCGAGGAAGTCCCTCTGCTGTCTTCGCTCACGCCTTATGAGCGATCCAAGGTCGCCGATGCCCTCGAGACAAGCAAGTTCGCGCCTGGCGAAGTCATTATCAAGGAAGGTGATCCGGGCCACTCATTTTTCTTGCTAGAGGCTGGCCAGGCGGACGCTTACAAGGGCGATTCAAGCAACACGGTGAAGCACTACAAGAAGGGCGATTTTTTCGGTGAACTAGCACTCCTCAACGATGCTCCTCGAGCCGCTAGTGTCGTCGCCTCGTCGGATGTCAAAGTGGCCTCGCTGGGCAAGAGTGCGTTCCAAAGGCTCCTGGGGCCAGTCGAGGGGATCATGCGACGCACCAAATATCAAGGGGTCAAGTCAGGCGTGGAAGAGATGGACCCCCTGCACCGCGGCTAGTCGGGGCAGCCGCCAATTGTTTCGTCACATTAGCATGGAAAGCAGCATATGATATCATTCGTATTCTATCTGCTTTGGAACGAAATCCACAAAAGGGAGTAGCCATGGCAAGGGCAATAGTGTCAAGCTGGAGGACCTTGTCCCTGGGTTTCCGTCCAATTGTAGGTGTTTTGAGAGGATTTTGCTGTATCTGTATTTCGCTTGCTGGGGAACAATGATTACCCAGGCATTCAAGATTGTTTATCCATTGATATGAATTCATCAATCTCACTCCCGCTGCTGCTATGCTATTACTGTTCGTCCTGCCCGGTCTTTCCCTGGTTCTTTAATTCAGCGCGGATTTGGCTTTTTAGCTCCTCCACAGCGACCTCTGTCTCCAGGACTCTGCCCACGCCTTTCTTCCATGTTTCTTCCAGCATGGTCAGTTCGCCCCTGACGTCTTCCTGTCTCCGTTGCCGCGCGAGGTTGACAAGATCCACCTCCTTTTTGGTCGCCGCCAGCTCTGCCTCTAGTCTCTTGAGCTCGCCCTCGAGCTCATAGTTGCCGATCAACCACGCGTTTTTGCCGTACCGATCGAGCAGCTCCAAGTTCTGCCGCCGCGAGCTCAGGTACATGTCGGTAATGTGCGCATTGTCCAGGACCTCTTTCAATCGATCCGCGCCGGCATCACTACTTGGGGTCTCCTGGGCCTCGTAGCGGGAGAGCGTGAGAGTTTGTAGCGGTGCTTGCGCGGCCACGCGTTCGAGCTCGCTCTGGAAGATGGGTGTGAAGTTGGGGGCGGGCGCGGCGGTTATCGACGGGGGTGGAAGGACGGCTATTTCGGCCGCTATGAGGTCGTTTGCCGCTGCGAGTTCTGATTCTGACGGCTGCGAGTCAATGTCTGCGGTACGTTAGCGGGCGATGAGGGACGGTGGAATCGGCGCGGGTGAATGAACATGGGAGAGATTCGTGATATGCTGGCGGCATGGGCATTGTTGCGGTGCGGCTCGAGGACGCGGGTGAGGTTTCCGTGTTCAGCTGAAGCAGTGGATATAATCTGAAGTGGTTTGCTGAAGAATTGAAGCAAGCGGAATGGCGGGTGAAATGTGAGGTTGTTGTTGTATTCGGTAGTGAATCGCTAGTTGCTGATGATTTTTGGACGTTCGGCGTCGCGATGGGAATTCCGGTTGTCGACCGGCATTGGCAGCATTCGATCACGTGAGACCTTTGTCGTCACTCTCCGATGCTCTCGCCGTCCACTGCATTTGACACAAAAGTGTCTATCTACTATTGAGATCAGAAACCACCTTTCGACCATGCCACCGGATCCTTTACATGAGTTTGACCAGGTCCGACTGACAATATGAGGCCTCCAGAAGCTGGAGGCGCGATGCGCAAGCGCTTGTTGCCACGCTTGCGGTATTGGCACGGAGAAACCTCATGCTCGGGATAGTAGAGCCCGCCCAGCCAGCCCGCAATGAGGAGGAGGAGGAGGAGGCGGCGGCGGCGGCGGCGGGTCTCACCGTGTAGGCGATGACAGCGGGGGGCCGATGTACGGCCAGCTACCTACGTACTTAATAGACGATCTATTCATGTTCGGGCCGCTTTCGTGGGGTACGCACCAGTCTTCCTCGGTTATGAGCTTACACAGTTAAGAAGAGCTTCAAGACATCAACCCCCAACGCAAGTGTACTACTTCACTCTACTTTGCATCACTCAAAGTAGCGTTCTGGTTTCACACGAATCTTGACTCCAGCTCGGACTGATACCTCAGATCCTCTTCTCACCAGCCAGTAGCTACCGGCCACCCCCGCAAATCAACGAGTGGGGATGGATTTCTCGCATTATGGGGAGGCCACGCCCGAGTGGACCAGGTTAATCGAGGAGAACCCAGATGCTCTGCGAGAGGGCTTCGAAGGCAACGAGATAAGCAATGCTTCCTCTCTACGGGCTGCCGTGGATGGAGCGAGAAGCAAGGCCTCGGTACAGCTTCTGAGCGAAAGTGGCCTGGACAAGCAGGTCACTTTCCAGACGATCAAGATACCCTGCAAGGGGTCTCACGAGATCCCCATCAGGGTGTGCAGGCCGCGCGCCGGTGCTCGGGCTACGAGCAACAAGACGCTGCTGTTCTTCCATGGCGGCGGTCTCCTATTTGGTGACGAGACGACAGACGATATTGTGATGGCAAACATGGTGGCTGGGACCGGGGCCGTGGTGCTGAACCCTGTGTATCGTCACACCAACACCCATTCACACCCTGCGCAGACGGACGATGCATGGGATGCGTTTGAGTACATTCGCTCCAACGGAGAAAGCCTCCAGATCTCCACGCAACAGGGCATTGGCCTCATCGGTGTCTCGGCGGGGGCCCTGCTCGCAGCCGGCGTCGTTCTTCGTCACCTGGAGCAGAACCGTTCGGAGGGGACACGACCCATAATCAACGGTCTCGTGCTGTCGATTCCCTGGTTGATTCACTTTGACAACTATCCGTACCACCTCTTTGCGTCGCGGGAGGTCACGTCCATGGTGCAGTGCGCGGATCGACCCGTGATCCCTCTCGAGCGCGTGAAGCTCATGAATGCGCTTCTGAACGGCAACCCCACGGACCGTGTGCTGAATCCGGGGCTGGCTCCCGAGGCCGAGCTCAAGGGGTGGCCCAAGACGTGGTTTCTCATCGCCGGGGGCGATCCGCTGCGTGACGATGGCCTGCTCTTTGCGTCGCGACTACGGGACATGGGCGTGAGGGCGAGGGTCAACATCTACACCGGACTGCCCCATGGGTTCCGGCGATGGACCTCTCTCAGCGGGTCCAAGGCGTTTGATGCCAACACGATGGAAGCACTGAACTGGGCGCTCGCTGAGGAGACTGGGGCGGAGGCCAGCGAGGGGGAGGAGGAATGGAGTGAATACGTAGACAAGTGAAGAAACAGCTTTCAGTCTGAACTTACTATTCCATGAGAGACAATCTGATCGATGTCTTGCGGTTGAGGGTACCCAGGTGCTGGAAAAGCTTGAGTGTTGTGACGGCATGCCGCCTCGGCACAAGTGAGACCGGGAATCTTATTCCTCGGATCGATCCAGGAGCTCAAGAGTCGATCGCCATCGTATTTCTCTTACTTATCTAATAAACCAACCAGTCGCGGTGATAACTCGAGGGGTACCACGTCGTCAGCCACGAGATCAAGAGCCTCGGTTCGTCAGCGAACCTCTGGACGCTCTCGCAAAGAGACCCTTTCCGCAGACAAAGTGTGGTCAGAGCTACCGGAAGAGAGCTTCACTCACTCTGCAGAGCGGCCCGTGATTCGCAGGCACTTGGTGCGAGCATGTGGGTGATCTACCATGGGACGGTACAGAGTACGTGGGACGCGAGTCTCGGCAGCCGTGCATCGGCCCAACAGCGTGTAGACCCAAAGACTTGATGAGTATCCGTACTTGTGGCACCAGCAAACCAGCTGCCGACCAAGAGCTGCAGAGGGGTGCTGGCTGGCCCGAGGATGCTAGGGACGGACGGATGTCAAGTGCCATTGGCCCCTCTTGTGATAGTGAGCAAGGGCTGTGATTTCGGGGTTGGACATGGATGCCTCGGCGAGTACGGACCTTGCATGATGCCGATCTGTCCCAAGGGAATTCCTGACGCCGCGCGCGCATTGACAGTCGAGAGCCACGTTGTGTTCGCCTCGCCTCGCCTCGCATCAGCGGCATCACACGCACAGTGCCCGACCCCAGACTGGGCATGCCCCGGGGAAGGTCGGAACGTCGATCCTGGGGGAGTGTGCATGGTTTGTGTCAGTGTGCGCCGCGGTGGCTTCACAGTAATCACCTTTCTGCTGGTGCCGTTGACTCAGGCCGCCGGCCGTTGGGATCCAGTTGCAATTTCGTGGAATGGACGGCTCCATCCGCCCATTGGGGAAGGGAAGGATCGTGCCGACGGACAGCTACTTGTGTCAAATGGATGGATACAGGAAGGCGAGAGAAGACGCTCGATCCATGTCGATTGGGCTTCAAACTCGGCCCTGTCTGCGACCTTGTTTGGGCAAGACAGGTGAGTCGAGTTCCTCGGGTTTCCAGAACAGTTTCATTCCTTCTGGGCAGGGGGCCGCGCTGCCCCGGCCCCTTCGCAGGCCAAATAAATGATAAATGAAGCGAGCGAGCGTTCCAAATCCGTGTCTACAAAGGATGCCCTATAGAGCCACACCCTCCTTGATTGAGGTTCCAGGCGATGAAATGTTTGCGCGACAGAAACGCGGCCAGCGAGCCAGGCAAACAGGCAAGCAAGGGAGCAATCTCGGTCAATAGCCAAGCTGTGCGATCGCGCCAGGAACTCAAGAGACAATGCGGATACTGGTGCTTACGTCTGTGCTATGTGGACGGGCGGAAGCTGGGTTACCGGTCAACGGTGTGCGGTCACTCCAGACGGCTTGCTCGGTGATTGATGTCGCGAGGGACATGACACGGACTTGTGTGATAGGTCTGGTAGCGGCCAACAACAAAGATAATCATTGACAGACGAGGCGAGCTGCCCCTGAGCTGAGATGACAGCAGCGCGCATCCATCAACGACTGGCTCTGCGGGTGCACTGTGTGCATGAAGAAGAATGGACGTGCGACGACCTCAAAAGGCCAGCTGCCCTTTGACGCCTCACGTCGATGCCCTGGCCCTAGGATGCCCAGTCACCACCGACAAAGAAGCAACGAAGCGGCGCGGGAAAGGCGTTGGCCGAAATGTTTGTGAGACCTGACCTGGTAGGTATTCCAATGTGAGAATGGACGGCTGGGCAGCCTCAGCTCCATGTTCCCCAGGATTCTCCTTTCCAGCGAGCCTCACTATGCGCACACCCTCCCCTGCACACAGTATTTCCCCCCACGGGCCCCCGGGGAATCAAGACGTCGGATGCCGTCGCGAGACACGACAGATAGACACACAAACAAGAAGCAAATCCATTTATCATCATTTATTTTCGTCCAGGCAGACACACCGCTCTGCCGGCCCGCCCGAACCCCAGGCAAGTATAAGGTATCGCCTCTCTCCCGAGCTTCGGTCTAGCCTCCTCCCCCAGATCGCCTCCAACTCCACAACCATACACTTGATACCTACTTGTGCATACTACCTACAACCTCCGACACCTTAATTGACTTCCAGTACAGTACGGAGTATACCGGACACACAGGTATGCCTCGAACCCTTTTGCTATCATCTCGTTCCATGTGACCAGACCACTGACCCTCATCAGAACACTCACAATGCATGCTACTCGGATCCTCGCGCCTCGGCCCATTTCTCCCACCCAGCAGCACGCGCTGGTCAACGCCGGCACGCCCACGACGGAGCTACTCAACAGCCTCGCTTCCAAGCTTGATCTATCCGCAACACGCCGCCCCTCGACGCCGCAGCAAGGCGACTATGTCGTGCCTGCACCACCACCACCTAGTCCCATTGGCTTCCGAGCCGAGCATTGGCCCGCTGGCGTGCGCTACTGAGCTGCGCCTGGACTCTTCTGTCCTTGGCGAGGGCTTGTACGATACTGTGTTTTGAGTGATCTATTCTTGTTGTTGTTTCCTGGGCATATAGACAGCGGCTTGTATTCATTCTGGGAAAGGAGAACATTGGGTTATGGAGTTGCCAGTTTGTGGCCTTGTCTTCCTCTCTAAAAAAGTCGTTTACAAGGATTTTCCAAAGCATGTACGGAGCGAACACTCAATTTTTGAAACTCGCTTTCTCACGTGCATGATTCGGACTTACCTACGGTAGTACCGTATGCCTGCGTCCACGTTCACATGCAGATGCTTATATTTTCTCGAAGCGTACCCATGGTCACCGTTCTCTGGTGTGCCACCCAAGTCCGATGATGTGACGCCAGATGTGTATGACTCGCTCGGATCGTATGTTTAAGGACATGAACGGCTTCTTGGCTGTGTGTAAGCCAGATACGCATTGTATGAATCTGGCACTGACCTTGCAGGCATGCTTGCCCTGAAAAGAGGCTTCTGGCCGACACTAGCGAAGTCGTCGCGAGAACAGTCTTTGCTGACTAGATTAGATTCTTCAAGCTTCGCAAACGCATATTTACTTCCGCAGTACAGCTCATTTTAGCACGTGTCAAAAATAATGCTGAATACATTAATCCGCAAAGCCAATTGAGCCAGGCGATGGCGCGCAAGGACGCGCCAAGCCCAGCACTGCGCGGCCCGGACCCGCTTAAACACCACTATACACGGTCCGCCCGAGGTGAAAATGTCGCGACGCGTCAAGACGCGTTCCTGATGGCATCGAGACCCGTTTCCTAGCCAGCCAGTCTTTTCTCCACTCCACATCTTAGCTACAAGCAAGGGAACCAGGCCACTTTCCAACTGTTCGTCCTTCTCATCGAATTCTGTTTTGAACGCTGAGCAAGCGGGTTCTATTTCATTTTCGCACGGTGTCTGTCTCTGCTGCATTGCACTTACTTGCCTGCCACAGAACTTCTGAAATCTGAATTCTCTCAATTTGCCCACCCCGCGTCCCCCTTCGCTACTGCCGCGTCACATACAAGATGCCTCGTCCCGCGAAGCGCATCAGGACGGCAACTGAGACGGCAGCTGCTCCTTCCTCCACGATGCACGCGTTCACCCGTGTCTCCAAGAACAACGCGCTGCACGCGCCGGCGGCGAAGAAGATCCTCGAGTCCACCACGTCTGCGAACAAGAAACGCAAGGTCTCCTGCATTGACATTGACGACAAAGTCACACTCGCGCCACACCAACTCACTACGACCAGCAGCGAGGGCGATGTTGAGATCCAGCTTCCCAAGAAGCGGGCCTGTCGACGGCCGCAGGAACCTGCACTCGTGACGCCGGTCGCGCCTGTCTCTGCTGCATCTACCCCCGCCACGGCGCCGACACCGGCAAAGACAGCTCCGAAGGGCAAGACGACGGCCAGAGCGAGCATGTCTCGGGCACAGACGGCGCACAAACCCTCCGAGACGACTGTCCTCGGCAAGTCACGACAGACCAAGAGAACGATCCAGACCAAAATTGACGGTTTCGGCAAGAAACCGAAAAAGGACAATGAGTTCACTGGCGACCTCGCTGACCTCGTCAGTCTGCACCAGGCGTTTGTCAACACCATCTTGATGCAGTTCGCGCACAACGGAACCGCCTCGCCCATTCACTTCCACACGCTGGCACCACACGTCACCCGAGCATGGGGCAAGCGGCAGGTCTCCATGGAGGATATTCGACGCTGCATCGCCGTCCAGGCGTGTGCGCAAAACGGGCAGACCTTACCCTTCATCGTGTCCGACTATGGGCGCGGCCAGGTGTGCATCGAGCTGGCGCCCGATCAGGACACAACCACTATCCGCCAGGACCAGCTCTGCCAGCAATTCAAGGACAACCTGCGCCGCATCGCTGCCGACCGGGCGGCGGACGAGATGGCCGACGTGGACATTTCCCTCGGCACGCTCTCCATCGCGGATTTGCCCCAAGCCGCTGTGGCGCATCGCCCTATGGGCATGAGCAACCCAGCCATCGGCAAGGGTCAGCGCGCCTTGGCGGAGCTCAAGAACGGTATCGAAGCCCAGCGTCAGCAGGAGGACGCGAGCAGAGCGACGTTGGCATCCATGCGAAACGCGGATGGATCAAAGATGAGTCTGCTCGACCGTCTGCGGGCCAAGCAGATCGCCAGGGAGCAGGGCCCAGCGCCCCCCTCGGCGGCCGAGCTCGAGCGACAAGCTGCGCTGAGCCGAGCGCCCGACGTGGCCACCACCCTGTACATGCTGAGCCTCTCCAAGCCGGCTGGGCTGCCGCGCCAGGCCTTCACCATGCAGGCCGTGCTCGACAGCCTCCGGGACTCGCTGAGGACGCCCATCTCCAAGGATGAGGCGACCGGCGCGCTCAAGGTGATTGCAGCCGAGGTGGCCCCCGAGTGGCTTCGCGTCGTGGCCATTGGAGGACGCGAGAATGTGGTGCTGCAAAGGCGCCAGCAGCCTACGGAACGCGTGATCCGCGAACGTGTAGCCAAGTTGCTGGGCTAGAGTACTCTTGTGGAAAACGGTCTGTGGGAGACGTATACAGGGGGGACATGTGGATATGGAGAGCCGGATGACTTTGGATGGATTTGATTTTTTTTCGAGGATACCATGGGAGCATGCAGTATTAGCATTTGACGGCGTTAAGCATTGGCGTTCATTTCACTTGACGACACTTGTCGGTTGGTGTAGCATGTAGTTGACTAGGACAGTCTAGTAATCAATGTCTCTCGTCAAGCATGGCTTATCCAGTGAAGGTCCATCTATACCAGACTACGATTCATTCACCAAGGGTGCCATGTAATTGAAGCGCTCGATGGGAAGACCGACCGCCGAACGGGGCTCGGACTTCCATGGCTGGAGAACCAAAAGCCCTCGAGAACACCTGGACTGCGCAGCAATCTGATCTCTGGCTGTTGAGGTGGACTCAGGTCCTGGACTAGCCTTACGATACCATTATGGTCCTCTACGTCTGCGAGACGATTCTGTGCACTGCCAAACTTTGCAGTTATTGCCGCATAGCAAGTATCGGGAGTACTGTTGCGCTGCGGCGTGAAATGAGCCGGTCGGGATTAGAGCGGGCGATGGATCTAGAGATTCAGATAGCCAACATCCTCCCCAGTTCGGCTAAGGCCGCCATCCATGTGTGGGGACTGAACGGGAAGACCCCGATCCTCGGCCAGGACGGTGCCTTGAAAGTCTATATAGGACGGACATGTCCCGAACGGACAACTTTGGGCATCTCCTGGTTCGGTCCTGCCGCGCAGGATTCTTATCCGTATCTTAGGATGACGTTGCTTCAAGCTGCTCTTGCCATCTTGCTCCGAGGCAACTGATTGTCAGTCAACCTTTGCAAGCCTCCCAAGCTATATCTTTTCCTGTTCTTCTTCTACGCCAGGAGGCTAGACTTAGTCCGTCGGTCCCATGCGTCCAGCAGCCGGACTCCGCCATACACTCCGAGTCCAGCAGCACCGACCGAGCGTCAGACGAATATGAGCGCATCAAAAGGACCCCAATCGGGGTCATTGTCGGCTGGCGACACAGCCGGTCATCCAGACAGCAATGACGACACGGATAAGATCCAGCTAGAGACTATCAAGCCTGCGCGCGAAGAGGCTCTGTTCCGTTCTGGCTCCCACGTGTCTGGTCCTGATGCTCTTGAACCGCCTCCCCGTGACCCCAGGGACCAGTATCGGGAGGCGGGTGACGAGGTCTACGAGCGTCTAAGCAGAAGACGCAAGATTCTCGTCGTGGCCGTCTTGTCCTTTTGCGCGCTGCAGTCTCCCATCTCGAGCACAAGTGTTCTGGCCGCCACGCCCGAGGTCGCCAAAGAATACGGCACCACAGGGTCCATCATCAACATTAGCAACGCCGCATACATGGTGTTCATGGGTCTGTCGCCCATTGTCTGGGGTCCTATGAGCCAGGTCTTCGGGCGACGACTGGTCACCCTCGTAACCGCGGTTGCCTTTTTGGCGCTCAGCATTGGCACCGCACTCGCACCGAACCTCGCGGTGTTCTTCGTCTTTCGTGCCATCACAGCCTTTGAGGGTACGGCATTCATCCTCATTGGGGCCGCCAGTATCGGGTGAGTTGGCAAGGAGCCCCTTTCCCTTTCCCCGGCTCTCGAGAAGTGCTTGGCTCACTGTTTCAGTGATATATATCGTCCCACGGAGCGGGGGACCGCCATGGGCTGGTTCATGTCCGGCACGCTGATCGGGCCTGCCTTTGGCCCTTTCCTGGGTGGCATCATTGTAACCTATTCGTCGTGGCGCTCCATTTTCTGGCTGCAGACGGCGCTCGCTGGCACTGGATTGATTGGCGTCTTCTTCCTGGTGCCCGAAACTATCCATCACAAGAAGATCGACGTTCTTGCAAACCACGGGAGGAAAGATCGCATTCACGCCATCTTTCGCATGATCAACCCGCTCCGTGTACTCCGCTGGTATCGCTATCTCAACTTACTCCTGGTGGCAGGTGCCAGTTCCGCCCTCGTCTGGAACATGTACAGTCTTCTTACGCCCATACGCTATGTCTTGAATCCTCGCTTCGATCTCGAGACACCTCTGCTGTCGGGTCTGTTCTACCTGGCCCCAGGATGCGGCTACCTTCTGGGCACCTTTGGCGGTGGTCGCTGGGCCGACTGGACTGTGAAGAGATGGATTCGCAAACGCGGATCCCGTGTACCGGAGGATCGTCTCCGTTCCGCACTGCCATTTGTAGGCATCGTGATACCGGGTTGTGTCCTTGTGTATGGCTGGTCAGTAGACCAAGCCAAAGGCGGTATTCCTTTGCCTGTCATTGCGCTCTTCTTGCAAGGCGTTGCGCAGCTCTTTGCCTTCCCATCCTTGAACACATACTGCCTTGATGTGGTGCCGGGCCAAGGAGCAGACGTCGCCGCGGCCAACTTCTTCTTGCGATATCTCGCAGGGTGCCTCGCCAGTGCGGTGGTCTTGCCTATCATCCAAGCCGTTGGCGTCGGGTGGTTCTCGACCATCTCAGCAGGGCTGATGGTTGTCTCAGCCGGTGGCATGATGCTTGCGATCCGTCGCGGAGACTCTTGGACACGAACACTCGAAGTTGGTCAGCATGCTGTCTCCAAGAAACCACCGCGTGCCCAGGAACAACATCCTTCAGTTGACGTTGAGCGCTGAGCAGCAAGAAGGGCAGCAGAAGAGCCGAGTCCACACCAACGAGACTTCGCAGCTGTCATGTTAACTGCGCAAGTAGCCGTGAGACTACGTGGAATACAACCATTCGTGGCGGACCCATCACGATGTCGGACCGCCATGTTTTCGGTTACAGCTTGATTCATGGGGTTTCTCATTACTGATCAGCCACTCATGATCATTCAGATCAAGGTCTGGCCAGCTGTACGGTTGTAGCAGGAGTGTACAAACAGCGAGGTGCCTGTAGAGACCAGACGAAATGAACGCATGTCTCATACATGGTGTCATGATGTTGACTTCCAGCCATCCGGAATGTTGGCGGGTACTTCATGCTGGCATGCGCTTGATCCGGCCGGCAAGGCGGTCGCTAACCGATCACGATAGGTGTTTCGATCTATCGAAGCTGAGTATGGAATGCACAGAGAGCATCTGTTAGATCCCAATGATATTGACTGCAGTCAACGATCACAATTTGCTTGCTGTTAGTCGATAACGTTGCGTGCGAGAGAGCGAGAGACAGCGATCTCCCAGCCTCCAAGAGTTCGGCTGAGACTGTAAAAAGCTTGTCTCTTCCCGTCCACCACGGAGTTAGTTCTTCATGAGCTTGACGAGACGCTGTGAACCCCTCAACAGAGTCAGTCTCTGCCACTCTGCCTTGGTGATTTTGCCACACGAATCTATCATCGGATACGAACTCGCCAAGTGATCCCCCGGTGCAGGACAGGGGATCCAAGACTATATTGATCATTGAAGAATCGTACAAGTACATAAGGGACTGGTGCCATTGGCCCCGAAGGAACTCCTGTCGGCCCGTTGGGTGCCAATTTCTCGCTGCCAGGATGGCTGTGGGGTGCAGTGCGCTTGATTAGGTATGCCGAGCTGCCAAGCAGCGTGTGATATGTCTCGCTCGTGTTGGGGCTTGCGCTGGGTGCCAGAATAGATTCTACTGCAATCAGCCTAGTGTGAGCCGCAGACAACGAACGGCACAGGCTGCCGATTGCAGACAGTTGGCGGCATGGTGGTGTGGTGATGGGTGGTGGGTGTGAGAAAGTGTCGAACCCTTATCGACGTGGTGAAGATGTCGAAGACTTGAGGTGGTCGCTGCCGCTGATAACACCGTCTGCACATGACGTCGAACCGTTTCCGGCCTTTGCGTCGTCTCGAGGCGCCTGCCGCGCCAGCTCTTCCAAGCATGTCCGTCCCGTTGATGATGGATGTGGATGAATCTGGCTCGACTCAAGCTCAAACGTAGGGGTAGGGGAGGGGGCTGGCCGCGTGTCCCATCAGTGGCGGCGCACGTCACTAGCAATGATATTGCCGGCTATGGTGGTTGCTTGTCTGGCATGGCAATGAGCTTGAATGGCTGCGCAAAGAGTGCAGCAGGAATACTATCTTTGATACATTGATAATGATAAGATTGAGTGGATGCCATAATGCAGCGTGCGCAATCGTTGATGACCCCAACCCGGCTCGCATACGAGATGAGGTGAGATACGTAGGCCTCCGCCAGTAGGGGGCTCCGCTAGGGGGGGAACTTGAACTGAGGGAGACGATTCATCGACTTATTGCTCGTAGCGGAGAGATGAGTAGATACCATGTTTTATTTCTGGCGACAAGGGCAAAATGGGATTGACCTTGGAAAATTGCGTTTATGCCTCAGAAGTCAATGGCGAAGGGGAGGGTAGGGTGAAGATTCTCTCTCTCTCCCTCGTGCTCGTATTGTTAGCGCCAACGTGTACCAGTAGCGCCTGCCCTTTGCACATAAACACTTTTACGTTCGGGAAGGCGCCGGCTGGTTACCTGCATCATTACTTCATACCGTTGTGGTACAGTCAGCATGATCAAAAATATCAGCGAGATTCAGAAGGCCAGTGTCTATTGATTAGAAGTAGAAATGCCGTGGATTGTGATCACGAATCGCTTTCGAAAGGGTCTTTGCCGAGCCCGGTTCGGGTCACTGCACGCAGCCACGAATCCGCCCTTCCCGCCCTAGTTGATGCAAACACGAGATTGGCACCTGCTGTCCGTTGCTGACAGGCACTAGGATCCACGGTGGAGCCGCTGCCGCTGCACTCAGCGGGCATCAGTGATCGGTCTTCGTGATCGAGTGCGAGAGGCCCAGAGCCAGCGACATTGCCAAGGGATTGGCTTTTGAGGCTGTTCCTTTCCATGTCCGGCAGTGAGCAGTCTAACACGATGTCCATCATATACTATACGTAGCTCGCCTTGTCGACTTTGATATTTCGTCCTTCTTACCACTTCTTAATTGCCTTTCGGCATCGTCCTTGTTTGCCTCCATACGGTCATTGACACCCGCCGTTCGGTGATCTCGGATACCTCGTCACCTTCACTAGCCCCCGCCCCTCCTCCGGGCGGACACCAGCCCACAATCGAACAGCAGACCTCAGCAAGGCTTATCCTACAAGTACCTTGCTTTGATCAAGGCCTTGACTACAACACACCTCGGCTCACCAGACAATCGGATTGGGAACAAGGCTGCAACAAAAGAAGAAGACCACCAGAAAGCACCGTCAGCAGCCGACGACTACTATCCCCAGCCAGGTTCTTCAGCAAAGACTGGACCTTCACGGGACGAACACGACTGGACAGACACGCAGCCTCCGGTCTCAGCCTCTCAGCAGAGTCAGCACGTCCAGTCGATACTGTCGCAGCGTGCGGGACCCCCAAACTCAGTCAACGGCCACCATCAGCTGATTGGCCAGCGCCCGTCGCCCCCTGAACCGCGTCGTCGCCGAGAAAAGAGGACCCCCCTAATAATCATCCTCGTTCGCGGCCAGAAAATCCCCGCCAAGTTGCCAACGGTCAGCCCCTTTGAGATACTTACCTGAGGATTTGCACCCACCGGCACCCTCTGGTACTTGGCTTCCCACGTGCGGTTGGTGGTAAAGCCTGGTCCCTAGCCGGTCAATTTCTCTCCTGCGCCACGCCCTGTCGCGACCTGCACCCGGAGATTGGCGCCTTTGGGCCCAGCGTGCGCTCCTTTTTCCTCGCTCACAACCGCCGACTTGGACTTTTCGGCCTTCCTCCTTCTCCATCTCCAGCCTTACGCTCGCCATCCCTAATTTCTTCATCCTCCTCTCCTCCCCTAGCAATTCCTCCCTTGCGCTGTGCTGCGGTTCATTCGCTCGCCCAAGCCAGCCTAGCCTCGTCTTGTTGTCTCTCCCTCAACCCTCGTTCCATCCCTCGGCCCTCCCGCTCGTCGACGCGAAACCCTTTTCAACGCCATCACTCGCTGCTGCGAACTTTGAGCCAACGTCCGTCCGTCCGTCCGTCCGTCCGTCCGTCTGTCTACGCGGGACGTGCTGCACTTGTGAGGGTGCACTCCGACCACCAGCACTCTCAGCATCATCACCGCCATGACAATTAGCAGTCGGTCGAGCTCTCATGCATCCATGAACCGAAACGATGACCCCCTGCTTCCCTTTGGGACAAGTGGTACAAAGTTCGACAAGCCTTCGATGAAGATGCGCGTGCGCTCTGTGCTCTCGCGCAACATTGTGCGACGAGTCTTGATTTGGGCAGTGGCCAGCATCCTGCTCGTGTCCATTGTCCTGTACAGCAAGAAGCCTGTAAGCCTCTACGATGTTGCCACCCATCATCAGGGCGATGCCAAGTCTCCCGGTGATGGCGACAAGTCAGCTGCTGCCGGCGTGGGCAACACAAACTCTAATGGCCTCAATGTCGTCGTCTCTGAGGACGACGCGGACAGCGATCTCGGCGATGATGGGGAACCTTTAAGTCCCGAGGATAAAGAGGCTAAGAAACAGTACCAGGATGACCTGAAGAAGATGCCGTGGCTTCGCTTCAAACAGTTCGTGCCCACCCACTTGCTCGTAAAACCCTGCATGTTTGCTAATCTTTCATCTAGTCTCGATGGTTACTTCAACGGTCTCAAAACCATTGTGCCAAAGGTCGACCACATCTCCGAGTACCCCAATGTGGACGTCAAGGCTCCTCTGCCGCCTCCTCCCATGTCTACGGAGATCCCCAAGCCCCGACCTTACGAACCCTACCAGTTTGAGGGTGAGGTGGCTACCTGCTATCTCGACTCCAACAGGACGATCCCTGCTCCTTCCATCTACGCCTACGACGGTCTCCCGCAGAACTACCCTGATCCCGTCCTGGGCTCGTATGACATCCTCGGCATGCGTGACGACGTCTGCTTTGACCGCTTTGGACGCTACGGCCCATATGGGCTTGGCTACTCCAAGAGCGCTGGTGGATCCGGCGTCGGCGAGGACACGGAGAGCCAGGGGAACGAGTTCGTTTGGCAAACAACGGGTCAGATCGACTACACGGGCATGAACTGGCAAGCCGCACAAGAACGCTGCCTTGAGGACAACCAGGCTCGCTTCAAGCAGATTGACCCGGAGACCGGTGAGCTCGAGAAGAGTGACAAGAAGATGGGACGCACTGCACTTGTCATGCGCTCCTACACCGGCTTCAAGTGGACAGAGCACGAGATCCTCAACTTCCGCGCGCTCATCACCGAACTGTCCCTCAAATCCAGCGGCGAGTACGATGTTCACATGCTACTGCATGTCAGGGACACGGACATTCCAGTGTGGTCGGACGACGTGACCGTCCAGCGCCTCCTCGATGCCAATGTGCCCCCCGAGTTCCACGGCATTGTCACCTTGTGGAGCGAACCCCAGATGAGGCTGTTCTACCCTGGCAAGTTTGGCGAGACCTTCTCGAACCCCAGTGGCCGTGACATTCACGGCGTGTACCGCAGCGGCCACTTCCCTCTCCAGATCTTTGCCATGCAGCACCCCGAGTATGAGCACTTTTGGAACTGGGAGATGGACATGCGTGTTGTCGGCAGCTACTACGAGCTGTTTGACCGGGCGGGCAAGTGGGCTGCCACCGAGCCGCGCCCTCTGATCTGGGAGCGTGCCGCTCGCTACTACATCCCCTCGTACCACGGCTCCTGGGAAGAGTTCTCCAAAATTGTGCAGCAGGACACTGTCCGCTCCGGTCTGTCTTCGCCCTTTGGCCCTCTGAAGTTCCCTGGCCGAAAGTCTCTGCGCTTCGAGGCCAAGGGTCAATCAGTCATGCCGGAGAACTGCGGTGCGCACTCTGACCGCAGCATGTGCGGTGTGGGCGAGGCGGCCGATCTGATCACGATGAACCCCATCTTTGATACTGATCAGTCCGGGTGGTTCTTCGGCCTGGACGCCACCGGCTATGCGTCTACTCCCCCTCCCCGCCGCGCCTCCATCATCACGGCCTCTCGTCTCAGCCGCCGCCTCTTGATGGCAATGCACGAGGAGGTCTGGAGGCACCACCACACCATGTTCACAGAGATGTTCCCCGCCAGTGTGGCCTTCCACCACGGTTTCAAGGCCACCAATGCGCCACACCCCATCTACCTGGACCGCGCCTGGGACCCCATCGGCTCCGCCCCCGACGCCGCGTTCAACGGTGGCCGCGACCACTCGACGTCGGGACACGGCAGTCCGTTTGACATTGCCAACGAGCACAACCACGCCGGATCGAGCTGGTACTTTAACAGCGAGTTCTCCGGCATGATCTGGCGCAGGTGGCTCGGCTATGCGCAGAAGGATGGCCGCGGCAAGTTTGGAGGCCGCCACAACGAAGGCAGCGAGCGCGGTGGCAAGGAGGAGGAAGAAGGCCCGTCGAGTAGTGGTCGTCTGTGCCTCCGCAGCATGCTCTTACATCCCATCAAGCACGAGCACCCCAAGGATCCCCGATGATCGGCCACGCAGTATGGTTTTTCTTTTCTTTTTCTTCAGTCACACTGCAACATTTACACAACCACGGGTGGACATGACCGCGCTTTTACGGCAGGTGACGAACGAACAGGCGTTTCGGGTTGGCGTACACAACAACTACTACCCCATGTCGGACGCTATATAGGGGGGAGGCAAGTGGCTCAGCACTTTGAGACCGACTGAGTCCTTGCCCATCCACCACGTCCGTGTACACAGCAAAATGGTTGGCGTTTTGTTTATGATTTTCTTTTCATTTACAAATCCCCTTGCCTACTTTCTCTCTGCTCGGGGATTGGCATAGCTTGCTTGGTGGGGCGGTACTGCATCTACACATTCGACAACTTTTTTTTTTTAAACTACATATCATGTTGGCGACGGGTTAGTCAACGCGGAAGAACGAATGGGCAGGAGAGGCCAGAGTCAGACACGGAGGCAGAAAGACTGTCTGTGTGTGTATTACGGGGACGACCATGATTGTGTGACAACGTGAATAGAGCATCTGAGACATAATCTAATGGACGATATGAGATGAAGATGCGGTCCATTCATACTAGAATGTCGAATGCGAAATGAGTGTCTTGCTATCCGTATAATGCAACACGTGGAATGATGGGCTTGAGCGCGCGTCGCGTCAGAGCTGATGTGGGCGTGGGGCGCGTTTCTATGTGTTGCTTTCACTGTAGATGGACATCACGAGCAGGAGAACCATGCTGTTGAACCGAGAGAGCAAGTGATATATGTTCCTGTCGCCCGTCACTCGTTGGCCTCCCTCCGCCGCCCAAAATGAACAACCCAGCAAGCAAGCAAGCAAGCAGCGCAAAGCACCAGCAAGGCATTAACAAACAATAAGGTGACCCAAAATCCTGCAAGCAACCTCCAGCACGGCATGTACTACAAAAAAAGCTTGTGGTATCCATATCGAAAAAAAAAGGAAGAAGGGGGCTGTTTCGCGCGAACTCCTTGGCACGCGACACCCGTTAAGAAAACGCCTCCCAAACGCCCGTCTTTGAACAAGGAACAGTGTGACGAGCTCATAAAATGGACACATCTTTTTCCTCGTGAACCAGCGATGCTCACCGCATTTTCCCACTCCATCATCCAGTCAGTCGCGGCCGAGTGGCCTATTTCTTGAGGATGGCATCGTAGAAGCTGGCGATGCCGGTGATAGCAGCGCCAGTCAGGATGCCCTGATAGCCACCGTAGACGGCGCCGTTCAGCCTCGCAATGGAGGTCTCGGGCAGCAGACCATAAAAGGTCACGCCCTGTCCGTAGACGAGGAAGGAGACCAGGGCCTTGGCGATGCTAAAGGTCAAGGGATCGACGCGGTACTCGGGGCCCTGCACGGCGGCGCGGGCGCGGGTGCGCGCGCCCGTTCCCGAGGCGCTGTGGGGAGCGGTGGCACCCAGGTTGAAGAAGAAGCCGGCAAAGGTGGGCACGATGAAGCTGGTGAAGAACCAGACGAGGGCGGGCGACCAGAAGAACTTGGAGACGAGGGTGAACATGTCGGGCAGGTAGACGGGCCAGTCTGCGCGGGTGACGATGTTGACGCTGGCGGGGACGGTGAAGGCGTAGACGCTGGGCAGGACGGCGGGGCGGATGAAGAAGAGCTCCGTGGCGGCGACGATCAGGACGAGCGCGTGGACGCTGGAGATGCAGTCGCGCGCAGCGACGGTGGTGTCACCCACGCCCGAATCGCGGTACAGGGACGAGACGTGGTTGCGGACGGCCACGGTCGAGTTGTCGACGGCGCGAGCAACGTCGGCCGGCGTCGCAGGCAGGGGGATACGCGCGACTTGTTGCGACAGCGTGCGACCAGGTGTCTGGACGAGGGCGGTGGACCCAGTCTCGACTCTGTTTTTTTGCCCCTTCTGTCAGTGACTGATGCCTGTGCGATCGATGGATGCGCCGGGCCGTCGCGAGCGCGCGCTCGTGTCGGGGTAACTCACTCGTTGACCATGTCCTCTGCGGCCTTGGAGGCCTTCCTCCTGGCGACTTTGAGGGTCTTCTCGACGTCCTCGCCAATCGATTCGCGACTTGACTGGGAATCGCGCTTCAGGGGAGAGCCAAGGGCCTTGGAGCGGCTGTTGTAGTAGCCGGCCAGGTCGGAGCGCGACGACAAGGTGGCGGCATTGTCGGCGAGGTAGCTGTCGAGGGTGGCCTCGATTTCACTCTTCAACTTGCCGTTGGGTCTGTCATGGCATCGCGTCAGCATGTGTCGGCGAGGAGAGGGGTTGAGCGATGTGTGGGGGGTGGTTAAAAGGGGGGGGGAGTTGAGGCAGGCTTCGAGGTCTTGTTTGGTTCGCGCGACGCGACGATGCGCGCGAGGCCAGCCGGCGGTGGCATCCATTGCTACGTCGCAAGTGACGAGGAAGAGGAAGAAAGAGGTATGCATACATTTTGAGGTTGAGTTTCTCAGCAAGAGTCTGCAGGTCGCCCTTGCGCTGGGCCTTGAGCCAGCTGTTTGTCGAGGAAGCGGTAGCCATTGTGTGCTGTTGTGACGATGCGGTCAGGTCAGGTCAGGTCAAGCGCGGGCGCAATAAAGTTGGAGCGTATATTTGTTTGTTCAGCAATCCGCTGAGGAAGAATTCGAGGGTCAAGGGTACAGATACGATGCCTGTTCCCTGAGAGATCGATAGTGCGACAGTACGCGACCAGATAAGAGTGTGGCTGGTGACGGGGGGATTGGAGCAAAAGGGAAGTTTTATAGCATCGCGGCCTGGGCGACGATGGTGATGATGCTGGCGGATTGGGGGGGTCTCGGGGCCTGACAGTTGGATGGGTGCGCTGTGCGGGTGCCCTGCCTGCACCTGGGGCTTGGCTTCCGATTGTTTATGTTGTGATTTGGGGGGTCAGCAACACCCGTGTTAGGCGGGTGCGCGTTTTTGGCCGGGCCGCCTAGCACTGCCAGCAGTGGGCATTTCTTCACGTCCAGTCCCTCTCTCTACCTTACCCACTCATCAGTGCTCCCCAGCCACCGCCTTTTGGCGACCAGACTTTTCATCGTCCGTGCAGCCTGCACAGTTCTCTGCAAACGGGGACAGAAAGCGGTGGCTGGTGAAGACTGGAGACTGGAGTCGACGTCCATCTGCTGCGGCTTCCCAGTCAGGTCACACAGGTGGGCACAGCGACCAAGTCAAGTCGCCTACCCGGTGCTGCTGAATACGGCGCTCCCTTGCTCGGTGCTTGACGCCAAGATGATCCTTCAAACCATCCATGGCGATCTCTCCACCAGTTTGTCGACCTCGTCTCATTTCGCGTCACCTGCTACGCGCCTGCTGCGCGCCCAATCATTGCACACAATCACAGCGACCAGCCTGCAATGTCAGTCACCCTCGCTGACGGAGGATAGTATAGTAAACCCCCTCCCGCTCTCCTCGTGTTGACTGTCATGTTGTGATTCATTGTTCTATACGGATATGATTGGCGTATGTCGTGATTGTGTGCGTACCGAGCGGCCCTCACTCCTCCAGCCAGTCGACAAACCTCTCCTCGCCCCTCTTCACGAACCGCAGGGCCACATCGTCCCCGCGCAGCTTGAGCGTAAGCAGCGAGCTCGCCCCCCTAATGGTTGCGTCGCGCTTGTCAATGGCCTTCTGGTACAGGGCCCGTCGCTGCGGCCGGTCCATCGCCGCCACCTCCTCGTCCGTCGCCCACTCGTCCACCGCCAGCTCCACGCTGTACTGGCGGAAGAGGACGGCCAGGGCGGCAATGACCTCGACCTGCGCGATCCGGCGCCCCAGGCAGGCGCGCGCGCCCTCGCTGAACGGGATGTAGGCGCCTCGCTCCGGCCGGAAGAGCGACGCGCTCGTGTCCCGCCCCTTGAACCCGCCATAGTCCTCGCCCTCGTCCTCCACATCAAACTTCTCGTCGCTCTTACTGTTGCGGAACCAGCGCTCGGGCACGTAGTCCAGCAGATCGTCCTCGCCGGGCCGCAGACGGCTCGGCTTCTCGGGCCAGTGCTTAGGGTTCATGTGCACGCCGGCGGCGGAGAGCGTGATGATGGTGCCCGCTGGCACAGCGCAGCTCTTGCCGTCGACCACCAGGGGCTGGTCCTGGCTCGGCGTCACAATCTTGGGCATCTCGATGACGGGCGGGAGCACGCGGAGTGTCTCGTTCATGCAGGCGCCGACCATGCTCCCCATCAGAGGGTTGAGATACTCGTCGTAGTCCAGGTCCTCCACGTTCTTGTCGCCCAGCAGCTCGTCCAGCTCCTTGTGGAGTCGGCGCTGCGAGGCGGCGCAGCTGGCCATCTGGATAAGGGTGAAGTGGATGGCGTTGGCCGTGGTCTCGTGGCCAGCCACAATCATCACGAACGCGTTGCCTCGGATCTCGTCGCGGCTCATGACAGCCTTCGTGTCCGTCTTGAGCTTGGCTTTGCCAGCCGAGTCGACGTCGTACGATGACCGCACGAGCTGGCCCATGATGTCCATGCCCTCGTCAGTGTGCTCACCTTGGCCAGCTTCCCGAATCTTCACATCAATCAGCTCGTCAATGAACTGCTCATAGTCGTGGCGCGACTGGACGGCCTCGCGCGTGGGCTCGTACGGAATCAGCCCTGCCAAAGTTGTCAGCGGTGGTCTCCCTTTTCCTCTCTCTCTCTCGGCGGCGTAGTTAGCCCTTACACAGTAGCCACGAAGGGACGAGGAGCAGCGTCAAGACATTCTCCAGCAGCGTAGCCATTGCATTGACAAAGCTCATCTTGTACCCCTGGGGCGGTGCGACACTGCCGTACTTGGCACTCATGGCATCCGCATCCGCGGGCATCTTCTCCTGCGGCCAGGGCAGCTTGAGCCCAAAGCCCACGTACCCAATAATGTTGAGCGCCAGACGCATCGTGTCGTGCTCCGCCGTGTGCAGGGTGGCCCCGCGACCCTTGGTCTCCTCCCAGAACCGGATCAGCCCGAGGCTCTGGCGGATGCTCTCCTTGAAGACGAGGGCGGCGTTGCGCTCGTTAAACGAGGCCGCGGTGACCTTGCGGTGGTGGCGCCAGAGCGGGCCCTCGGACGTGAGTACGTTGTTGCCAAACTGGGTCAGAATGTCGTACTGCGCCGTGTGCTTGGGGAAGTGATCCCGCCGGGTGGTGATGGCGCTGATGGCGCCCGCCTCGGCGGTGTACATGTGCAGGCCAAAGGGGTGCACCAGCAGGAAGGTGTCGCCAAACTTGGCAAAGTGGTCGTGACGCCATTTCCAGGAGTAGTCAGTGGTCAAGGGTCTGCAACGATCTGGTCAGTCGAGAGCAGGCATAGACAGTCAAGGATGGAGGGAAGACTCACGGCAGCCAGGCCTCCCATAGCGGTTTGGGCAGAAGCTTGATGGCAGGTGTCCAGAGCGTCTGGGTCATCTGCCAGGGAATCCACCATGGCGAGCAAGCTGGTGGCGCGTCAGCTCATACCATCCTATTCATTAGCGACAAGTGAATATCAACATACGTGAGATGTAGTATCGTATGCCGCTCGCCTTGGCTCTCTGCAGCTGGCGCCTCCAACTGCTCAGCGCATACGAGAGCCACAGGACCGCTAGGACCGCGAAGCCCAGCAAAAGTGACCGCATTCTGTACGAGAGGTCCTCAGTACCAACTATTACTATGTAATTAAAGACAATGCGTGAAGAGTGGTGCGAGGGGGCCTACACAAGGCGGTGGTGAGGTGCATGGAACTGTGTATGCACATGTACCAGGCCAAACGATGATGCCCTCTCGGACCTGCCTGCCTGCCTGCCCGCAGGCTGGCCACTTCACGCGTGCGATCTGGCGTTTGATGAAGGAGTCGGCCGCCGCCAGTGGGGGGCCAAGATCCCGGGAGGAGGGTGTTCCGCCCCGCTAGAAGATGACAAGGAGCGAATCAAGTTCGACGTATTGCAGTCGTCCAGCTCTGTTAAGAGATTGGTGGTGAATACAGAGTACGGAGTACGTAGCCCTGAGACACTAATGTGACAGCTGTACACGACATCAGAAACAACTGTCAACACGCGTTCTCGTCTTGATAGTACAGGCTACAGCTCGATGAACGAGGGTCAGTGGCCAAAACATCGTTCACGCAAACCTCACTTTCTGCAGCCTCACAGGCGTACACATAGACAGCCTCATTCAAATGCACACATAAGTACGGATAGACAGCCTTATCCGGCCCACGCGCATCTAATTGGGACGCAAAGTGATTCTGTGGGCCAAGCGTACATAATAAATCTTACTCGCGCACTCCGGGTGTCCAACACGTGACACTCACATGCGCACCTAGTGGCCGCCGTCCGTCCTCAGTGATGCAGCCTACCCTGGAGACCATGGCCCAATCTGTCTCCAATGCGATAGTGCTCTTGGTAGGAACCAAAATTAACAGAAACATTTTGAAAGATACTGATACACATTTGCCAACTGATACTCAAATGTATTTCGACATCAAGTGAACCCCTTGTTGCGCATGATGCACCACAACCTACCTGTTGATTTGTACCTTGCAACCGCAGTCACTGGTCGGCTGGCGCCAGAGCACCGCCAATCGGCTGAGCCAAGGCAGCAGCCTGGCAAGGACAGTCAGAGAATCCTATCACCACACAGCATGTTCGCTATTCGACTCATAGTGATGCTAGATGATGGAGAGTCATACAATCCTGCACCAGCCACGAGCCGAGTTGGCACCCCGACGGCCTATAGTGGGTCATCCTCACCGGCTTTAGCTCTCCTGAGCCAAAAGAGGTGCCAAAGACTCCCCGCGTCTGGGCCCCACCAAAACGCACAACCCGCCAAAAATTCAACGTCGCCCCGTCCGACCTTGACCGACGCATACTGAAAAGAACGAGATCCCCATCCGACACCAACCACTCCGACTTTATCGATCATCACAACTGCCCGCCATGAGACCTATTCTCCTCGCTGGGCACGAGCGTGCGCTCACCCAGATCCGGTACGGCCAGCTCTCCCTGCCCATCGCTCTGCGCCCACCCTGCCCCTCCAACCAAAGCAGAGATCCTTGAGAGGAGGGGCTCCACGATGGTCGCGATGCCCTCAGAACCCGTGCCAGGAGCTAACACAGTCCCCAGCTACAACCTCGATGGCGACCTCATCTTCTCCGTCGCAAAGGACCAGCACATCTGCGCCTGGTACTCCCACAACGGCGAGCGTCTCGGCACCTACCACGGCCACGTCGGTGCCATCTGGACCGTCGACGTCGACCCGACCACGACCATGATCGCCTCGGGCTCCGCCGACAACACCATCCGCCTCTGGGACGTCAAGTCGGCCAAGAACCTCAAGACGTGGGAGTTCCCCACCGCCGTCAAGCGCGTCGAGTTCAGCGAGGACGGCACCAAGCTGCTCGGCGTCACCGAGAAGCGCATGGGCTACCTCTCCAACATTGTCGTCTTCGACATCAACCCCGACCCCGCCGCCGAGCAGACCGACGAGCGCGCCCTCACCATTGTCTGCGACGAGAGCAAGGCCACCGTCGCCGGCTTCTCCTACCTCAACCGCTACATCATCGCCGGCCACGAGGACGGCAGCGTCAGCCAGTACGACGCCAAGACCGGCGAACTCATCGACAACATCCCCATCCACGAGCTCAACCAGCCCATTGTCGACCTGCAGTGGAACGCGGACCGCACCTACTTCATCACAGCCTGCAAGGACAAGTCGGCCAAGGTACGCATGCCCCCCCCCTCCCCCGTTTCGTTTTCTCAGAGTAGCCCGATACTAACACAAACCCAGCTCGTCGCCGCCCGCGATCTCACCGTCCTCAAGACCTACCCCGCCGACACCCCCCTCAACTCGGCCACCATCACACCGAAAAAGGACTTTGTCATCCTCGGCGGTGGCCAGGCCGCCATGGACGTCACACGCACCTCGGCCCGCCAGGGTAAATTCGAGGCCCGTTTCTACCACAAGGTCTTCGAGGACGAGATTGGCCGTGTGCGTGGCCACTTTGGCCCCCTCAACACTGTCGCCGCCGATCCCACCGGCAAGTCGTACGCCTCGGGCGGTGAGGACGGCTACGTCCGCGTGCATCACTTTGACAAGGGCTACTTTGACTTTCTGTACGAGGTCGAGAGGGAGAGGATCAACAGGATGTCGTGATGCGCTGAGAAAGAGACGCGCTTTGAACTTTTTTTCTTCTTTTTTTTTTTTTACAAATGGGAAAGAGACCAAGAAAAACGCTCTTCTCCTTCCTTCTTCTTCTTCGGCCTCGGCTTGCTTTCTTGCATTGGTTTGGCGTTAACGGTAGGGGAGGCGGGACAAAGGCCCGCCAATGTCGTGTTTCCGGTCGAGACGAGACAAAACGAAAGGAACGAGAGGAGAAAAGGGGGCGGCCAGGCGTGGACTTGGGAGGGTCGAACTAGATCAGCTAGTAGCGTGATTCAACGTATGTAATTCGTACGTATGTCATGGATATTGCTTCTTCCTCGAATTCATCATCAAGCTTCTACAGTGATTTTAGTTGCCAAATGTGTAAACCTGTCAGTTCACGACTGTGCCTCGTCCTCAATCCAGCCAGCCAGCCAGTCAGTAATTGCACCAAACGCCTTGATCCAGTTCTATGCCGTCAACGCCCCGCGAACCGCCCACAGTGGCAACTGTTTACTTCTTGCGACCCTTCTTAGACTTGGACACCCCTGCCGAAGCAGTTGATGCAACGCTCGACGCCCTCGAGGGCGCTTTAGAGCTGGCCTTGCTAGCCTTGCTTGACTTGACGTTGTCGAGCGCCTTGTTCTGCGAGGAGACGGTTAGTACCTGTTTCCACATGCTCTGCGAGCAGCATTACCTACCTTCACGCCGTTCTTGGTCTTCTTCTTGGGTGGCGCGGAGCTCAGCACGCTGTCTTCGTCATCCTCCTCTTCTCTCTTCATCTTGCCATTCGCGCCGTTCTTGGACGGGACGTCTTCAAACTCCTTGACGACCGTCGTGATCAGCGTGGTGCACCGTCGCGACAGCTCGATAGGCGTGCGGCTGAGGAAGAACCAATCGAATCGGAAAAGGGGCGAGTCCCGAATGTCATCCCGCATCTTCTCGTACAGACCCTCCGAGTCAATGCCGTATCGGTCGAGCAACACCAGCAAAAACCTGTCCTCCTCTTCCGTGTAGACCTTCTTGTTCGTGGTCGAGACAGAGTAGTTGACCTTGAGCTGCTGGAGCGGTACGCGGTACTGCTGCATCTTCTTGCGCAGGAGCTTCTGATGGTGGCCGACCCGTCTGATGCGCTCCTCGCCATCCTCAATGACACGCAGGTGCTTCTGGTAGTCGGGAATCTCCGTGTAGCGTTGCCAGAACACCTTGGCGTACTGCTTGATCTCGGCTGGTGTCTTGCTATCAACCTCCTCCGAGATGCCCTCATAGTCGGTGCGTCCTGATTTGGCTGATCCGTTGATGAATTGCTGGAAATCTCGCTTGTTCCATTCGCCAAATCCCTGCGTCGCCAGCTCTTCCTTCTCCTGGCGTTCTGCTTCCGTCAAAGGCTCGGCGTTGTCAATCTCTTGCTGCTCAGCGTCTCGCTCGGCCTCGCGCTCGGCCAGGTTCTCTTCGTCTCCTTCCGGCAGCGGCACCTTGTACCCAATCTCCTTGCGGTGGTGCGCTGTCTCCCGCTCCTGCAGCTCCTTCAAGCGGGCAGGGTAGAACTGGTAGTCGTGCACGGGCACCTGCTTGGGCGCGCGGGGTGCCTTTGGCTTCGTCTCCTTCGAGGGGTTCGGATACATTGTCTGCCGGAAGTACTTGTCCATGGAGTATGACTGCTCCTTGCGCTCACGCTTGGACGGGTTGATCCAGCTCATGCCAATGTCCTTCTTCGTGTTGGCAAAATTCTCACCGTTCCATTCGTACGCCGACTCTGATGTGAATTTTTGCAAATCATCAAGACCCAGTTTCTCGTACTTGGCGTTGAGCTGCTTCGTGCGGTCTTCACCCTGAGCCAGGATCGCCTCGATATCATCATCGGTCACATCAGAGCCCTTGGCGGCGAGGCCAGTGCCTTCTTTCTGTTGGAACACCTTTTCCGCGCCGTGCTGGATCATGTTCAACAGCTCGTCCTTGTTCGCAGCGGCCTTGGCTGCAACCTGGGCACGGCCCTGTTGAATGACCAGCTGATCCAAACGGAGCTTCTGCGCCGCTCGTTCCAAAACCTTCTCCTCGATAGCTTGATCAGTCACGAATCGATACACGACCACTTGCTTCGTCTGGCCGATTCGATGCGCACGATCCATAGCTTGCAGATCGGCTTGAGGGTTCCAGTCGCTGTCGTACAGAACGACAATATCAGCTGTCGTAAGGTTGATGCCCAGGCCACCAGCACGAGTCGTCAACAAAAAGATAAACTTCTCCGACCCTGGCTTGTTGTAATCGTCAATGGCCTGGATACGATCTTCGTGCGCGGTGCTACCGTCGATACGGCAGTATTTGTATTGGCGGAACACGCAGTAGTCCTCAAGAATATCTAGTAGACGACTCATCTGGGAGAAGATGAGCACGCGGCTGCCCTGCTGCTGCATTTTGGCCAGTAACTTATCCAGCACTGCCATCTTGCCTGCATTGTAGACCAGATGCTCGTCAGTGGTATAGGGCGGACCAGGCTCGGCACCCTCGAAAAGATAGGGATGGTTGCAACATTTGCGCAATTGCATGACGATGTTGAGCAACCTTGTCTTGGACTCACGCTTGCCGCCTGCGCCATTGACAGCATCAATGTCCTTTTCAAGAATCTTCTTGTACCACTTGATCTGCATGTCGGACATTCCTAGGTATAAGTTGATTTCTTTCTTGGGCAGCAAGCTCTTCTCTACATCGCTCTTGACACGGCGGAGCAAGAACGGTCGGAGGATGCGATGAAGCTGCTGCACCACTCGATCCTGGTCCTGGTCCTCGCCCGAGAACCACTGATCGAAAGCCTCTGCGTCACCGAACACATCGGGTAGCAAGAAGTTAAGCAAAGCCCACAGCTCGTGCAGGTTGTTCTGCAGTGGTGTGCCAGTAATCAGGAGGCGGTTGAGCGAATGGAACAGTCGGATGACCTGAGACAGCGAGGATTCCTCGTTCTTGATACGATGGGCCTCATCGATGATGATGTATTTCCAGGGCAATTTCTTCAGGTGTGTTTTCTCTCTCAAGACCATCTCGTAACTCGTGATGCAGACGTCGAATTTGGCATCGACTAGGCGGTTCTGAATAAGTTCTTGTCGCTCGTCCTTGGCGCCCTGAAGAACAAAAACGTCGACTTCTGGCGTCCAGCGTTCAAACTCGCGCTTCCAATTGTCCAGTGTTGATTTTGGTACGGTGACAAGATGAGGTCCCTTGATGTCGCAAATGTGACGCAAGTAACCCAGAAAGGCAATCGTTTGCAACGTCTTTCCCAAGCCCATCTCGTCTGCAAGAATGCCGGAGATACCGTTCTCATGTAGTGAAATCATCCAGTTCAAGCCAGCGACCTGGTAGTCGCGCATGGTGCCTTGAATGAAGGACGGCGATTCTCGAAAGACGGTCTCGGCAGCGCCACCGCGTTTCTCGTCGCGGATTAATTCTGCATCCTCCTCGGCTTCAGTGCGACGGACACGACCGCTGCTGGCGCCGCCTTGACGGCCCCCGCCCTTCTTCGTTCTGCTCGACTCTGCGTTCTGACGATCGATTTCGGCCATGACTTCGCGAATCTTGGGGTCGGGATTAGTCTCAATAAAGTGGCGGAACAAGTCCGTCAGGCCCAAGAGGTATCTGAAGCGCCGGATCGTGTCATCCTCTTTGTACTGTTCGAGACTGTCGTGTTTCTTTCGCAAGACTGCTTTCTGCAAGTGGTTGTTGTCAGCTCGCCTCCGGCGACCGTCGATGGGTTCGCCGACAACGCTGCTAGCTGTGGTATTTGGTTGCGTATCAGAGTCGGTGTAGTCAGGGGTCTCATCGACGTCCTAAAATGCAGGTTAGCAGGGAACCAACTATCTCTGGGGACGACTGGAGAATTCCATACCATTGTGTCGACAGGCCGAGCATCCTGCGCCTCAGACATTGATGCGTCGGCGTCCGTGTCAACACCGCTGTTGCGCGACGATCGTGGGGCCATGATGGCTGGCGTTGATTTTTGACGACCAAACCTCTTAACGCGAGCTTCCAATCCGAGACGCGTCTAGAGGCTTGCAATATCGCGTTTGATACAAATTGCGATTGAACGAGTGGCGGAGACGGTTTGACGCAGAGCTTCACTATTCTGCGAGAGCCTGGGAGCTGTCATGGACTGCAGGTTTAACGCGACAATTGTGAAGTGAGATGGATCTGGGGAGGCAAACTACGAAAGTTGAATCTCGAGATGCACGTTAGAAGGGCGACTTCGGCGTTAGCGCGATGGCCAAGTACCCCTGCAACACGCCCCACACTCTATCGGCGCGGAATAATGATAACCCGGAAGGTTGTCAGACTTGCTTAATTACTACCAGGTTGATTGGAAAATTGGAAAATCTAATATCGTATAATTCGTGCTTTACTTCAATAACGCAATTTTGATAACAGGAACTATCTGAGATATGTCCAAGCTGTTATTCCGTAAATGATCACGTGGCCCGCACTTGAGCGGGCCACGTGCTACATATGAGGTACCTGTTATTACCCCTCGGTTAGTGCCGTCTGGATTTCCAGGCGTCAGGTATTAGATTTGCAAACGCCTGAGACCCAACCTATCACCCATCTCCAAGCCACACATCACCCTTGCCAGACTATCTCAGCAACATCATTGACGATCTGCGAGTCTCGCGGTGCTTTTTCTTTCACCTTCTTGGTTCCAGCATTCAACAAGACCACCCTGCCTATCGACACTAGGAACGTTGAACGCCACTACCCTCCGCTTGGGCCAATTCTCCAACACAAACCAGTCATTACTCGTACGATGCATCGCCCGCTTGGGTTCAACACCTTCTTTACTAACTCTCCATGCAGTAACATCCTTGTCTGGTTGGAAATCAACACGATCCGGTATGGACGCCAGCAAGTCTGCCCATTATGAGTCACCTGAGCAGCTCCTCGATGTTTTCAAATCTGCCGCCTTGTCTGTTACGAAGTTGTACAAGTCGTCGGTAGCAGCAGAGACAAGAGCGCGAGCGGAGGGATATCAAGACTGCCTCGATGACTTGCTCGCTCTGTTAGAGAAGGATAGTCAGTTGCTGGAGGGAAACAGTCGGTCACGCCTACACAGGTGGATAGCCGACCGACGGACTGGAAGAGAAGCGAGCCCAGCCGTCGCCGAGAGCGATGAAGACGAATCCGACAAGTCTGCTCCAGTGCCAACCTCGACTTCCACCGCAGCCCCCTCAACTACGCCAGCCCTCTCGGCACCGGCACCGGCGACAGCTCCTGCGACAGCCCCTGCGGACGTTGCACCCCAAGACATCCGCGAGCCAGAATTCATCGTTCCCAGCCAAGATAGCTTCACGTTCCAGTCCGACCATCAGTATCCTGACATCGAGCTGCTCGACCTCTCTGACAATCGGGCACACAACAACGCCTCCAATAACCATGGCTCACGAACAAGGCGGAGTGGCAGGACTGGGACGCGACAAGCCGGGCCGCTTGGCCGCGGTGCTGGCGCGAAGCGGCGCCTGGGGGTAGACTTCAATGACTTCTTCGACTTTGGCAAAGATGGGTTTGGTGGTGGGAAGCGAAGCAGACACACCTAATCCTGATCATCGGTCGAGGGACGGACTTTCGTTTGCACATATCTGGTCAGAACCACTAAGATATAGTTTGAGCGACGCATTGTTACGGAGGGTCACGGAAACTAGCATACTGCATGGGCGGCGTTTGAAGATGTAACGATCGGCATGGGCGGTGTTGTGATTTATGGCCTGAATACGGTCGCAAGATACCTCGAACCAGAGTGTTCGCCAATACAATGAGCAATGATGATGCCCACAGATTTGCATGAGGCTACCTACACGTGATATAAGTCTAGCCTACGTCTCAGGGCCACAATCTCGTCGCTGAGCTCCTGGTTCCTTTGCTCCAGCCCATGGACTCTGTCTTGTGCATCAAGAACAATCACGTCGGACAGTTGTGCCAGCCGCCAAAGACGCAATGCGATGACCAGGGAGCCAACGTCTGTAACCACCCCACTCGTCATGGTACCCATAATCAACGCAAGCCCAATGATGGCTGAGTCGAACACATGAAACTAAGAGGCTAGATACCTGACAATATCAGCTTGCGAAGCCTCAAACTTATCACTGGCTTGGCTTACTTTGGCCCGAAAGCGAAAAGACATGTCACCAGTTCCAGCACGAATACCAAGCTGAATCTAACCCCGATACTCTGGAGCGCCTGCGAGACTGCTCGTACCCACGGCTCTTTGCTCTGGTGCATTTCGCACGCTGTAAGCTTAATCAAAATGTTCAAGAGCAACAGTGCTACGTCTACGGTGACAAGACCTAGAATGAAGTAGTCCTTGGTTCGCGAGGATAGTATTTGACGTGCATTGGCGCGATGACTATTGAACGAGGATGTGAGCTGCACCTGCGCCTCCGAGAAGGAAGATTGCTCGCTCTGTGGATGTAGACTGCTGATTAATTAAGGGCTCAGCTTCGACGATGGCGCTGGCCATGTTCGCGAACTTGCATAAAGGAGATAGTCTGTCGACAAGGACGTACCCAGATTACCTGGTACTATATGGAATATGATGCGCCTTGAAGAGAGCAGCCTCGGAAGGCCTGGGTCACTGGTCACATCTCCGTCATATGGCTGACTACCGGCAAGCTTTGGAGCTAGCACCCTTCCCAAGTAAGGTATCGAAGAACAAAGTAAGGGAGCCTGACGATGGTCGTGTGTCATGCAACTGGCGTGGGTTGACTCGAATGTTCGGGGTCCGATAATTGCCTACCCTGCAGCCACATCTCTAGCCTGATCTGAACCCCACATTGAGCTGAGAGTGAATTCGTGACGTGCCGGCCGATCAAACTCACAGCATCTTTGGGCGCGCAGAAAGTTGTGCCTCACGATTCAATCTGCACTTTGGGCGCGCCCAATCCTGCCTTCGCAAACTGTATAGCCACAGCCTTTCTATCTTCCCTGGCCCTCAGCATCGTTCCTATCGACTCCAGCCAACCTTTGTATGTTGCACCCCTTGTCTACACTACTTGTGCGCGACGCGACTCGCCCTGGTCGCAAACACACCGTTCTCTATGCTAACTCTAGATTGCACAGCCTCGTCAAAATCCAAGCGAATTTCCGATCGCAGCTAGCATCATGTCGGACGCCGAACAGCCAGAAGACGTTCCCATTGTCGACCAAGATGCCAAGAACGAGGGCGAAGTCGACCCCAACGATGAGGTTCGTCAGGTAGTCACAGTGGATATGTCCCATGACTCCCATGATTCTACAGGATCTTGCAAGAGGTGGCACTGACACACGGATTTACGGCTTATAGGAAGAGATCACGGCCATGAAGCGCCGCGTGAAAGAGATGGAGGAGGAGGCTGAGAAGCTACGGGAGATGCAAGCTTCGCTCGACAAGCAATCCGCAGATCTCGCCGATGACAAGGAGTCGGTTGATGCGCGTAGCGTCTTCGTGGGCAACGTGGACTACTCCGTCTCACCAGAGGAGATCCAGGAACATTTCCAGAGCTGTGGATCGATTAACCGAGTCACCATTCTTTTGGATAAATTCACCGGCCAGCCCAAAGGGTTTGTAGCACCACGCAGATACGGCACGAATATTCTCTAATGTGGATCACAGTTACGCCTATGTCGAATTCTGCGAACCCAGCCTCGTCGCCCAGGCCTTGGTCTTGAACGAGAGCGTTCTCAAGGGCCGCAACATCAAGGTCACCCCCAAGCGCACAAACGTGCCCGGAATGAGCCGTGGAAGGGGCCGTGGTCGCGGAGGGTTTGGCCGGGGCGGCTTCGGACGTGGTGGTGGTAGCTTTCGGGGAGGAGGTGGTCGCGGTGGCTACCGAGGCGGTCGTGGACGAGGCTACACTCCTTATTAGGAGCAGGGACTTGATACTTTGGAAGCGGCCCCTCAGGCGAGGCCTCTCGGGATTCCGTTCCCCGGGCCGCAGTACACAGCCCCTGATCTGGTGATGGGTAGGATGGGTATTCCATTCTCACATGGCGCCTATGCTATTCGTCGAGATGTTTATTCCCCGCAATGATCGAGAGACGGACGTGCGACTCTCCAGCACTGTCTGTTGCGCAAGGCAAGCCGTTGTCGAGGAAAGCAGCAGCGCACAAGACTCGGCAGCATGGAGGGTTCGAAAAGGATGAGTAGTTTGGAGTTCAGGTTGGCATTCTTGCTTGGTTCTTTCAATCAAAGTTTGGAGCCTATGGCGTACCGAGGCCCTATTAAGATATTCCCTTTTCTCTTGAACGACATGTGCATGAAAAAATTATGGCTGTGAACGATGCGTACGTAGCCGAACGAGCTGTACGCCAAGCGTGCCTTAACTTACAACTGGGGCCTCTGTCATTGAGACTTGGTGAGTAATCATGTCAAGCAAATACTAAATCAGCGGAAGAAGCACCTGTCCATGGTCTGAATCAGTCTGATACGCCCTTTCCCACCCAGAACAAGGATTGATGCGCTGTGATCGGTGATCGTGTGCCGTATTCCTCGCTGCACCTTGGCGGATTGGCTTCGCCATGCCGTCCACGCGGCCTGCAACTCTGCCAAAGGACAGTCGAAAGCCAACCCACGCGATATCCGGTACGTCCAATGTACAAAGCAATGCGTGATGGCCATATATCTACCTAAACTCGAGTAGATATCAGTGTTGCGGAGCACAGAATTCGCGTGATAATTACTTCCTCCACTACCAAGGCCGGGTGCGGCTGCATATGAACCCATCACCATGGACGGAGAGTTCGACAGTGATCAAAGTCAGGCGACCACAAAGATCAGTCCAAGCTCGACAATTCTATCTGCCATCACGTAGTCGTATCTCATATTGAAGGCAGAACAATTTGATTTGGAAGGCCGCCTTGAAGTGCCACTCATCATGGGTGAGCAGCGTGACAGGTCCGACTGATTCCAGCCGCCTTGACCACGCCATTCCATAGTACGGTCTGACGGGAACGCTGCTGATATCAACGTTGCATAGCTTCACAGTGACAGCATCTCAGAAACACATCTTCAGCGTCTAGTACCCAGCAATTGGTGCTATTTACCTACCTATCTAATGCAAGTATGTCGCGAAGCAAAAGGACATGCACTGGAGCCCGTTGGGTAGGCGCCAAGGGGTTCTCACCACGATTTGTCATTTAAGCAGCTGCATCAACTGTTCGTTTCGATTAATTCCATATGTTCAGCTGTTGTTGCTTCCGGGCGACTGTATCCGCGGACTGGGCGCTAGACTTACGATCCTTGGTCTCAGTATGCTCACATTGTCGTGACAAAACTTTACAAAGAATACTGTAATCGAGCATGACGTTTGGAGCGACTGCTAGACATACGCCCCGTAGAGCCATCTTGCAGTTCCAGGGCCTTCCCAGTCCAACCAACTCCCATACGGACCTATCGATAAGCACCCACCCAAGCAAGACCCGGCCCAGCGGCCTACCTGGAACCATACAGGCACCTTAGCCCAGGTCCTGTGGCCCCTCGTCTGTCAGCCGCCCGCTTGTTACAGACGAACCATCCATTCATCATTCCCCTCCATCGTTCTTTCATCGAATCTTAATCGACGACCACCCAGTCCTGCCGCCACCGTCGCCACTTGGGTTCCCCTTGGGCTGATCGTCCACCCGAACGATACGGCCGCATAGTAGCGCTTCTGTTCTCCGGCCACGGTCCCCAAACAACCTCGAGCGACGCCAACCTACGCCTCCACGAGTCGTGCACAGCCCCAGGTCCTGCCACAGCTGTTGCGTCGGGCCCAGTCATCATCGCTCGCTGGCTGCATCTTGCTTTCAACTGCTCGAGAGGCTGTGAACGCCTGCCAAACTCGCATCTACATCTCCTCGCTCAAATTGGTGGTGCTTGAACCTAGCCCAGGCTTGATTTCGCTCCGACAGTATTCGACGCCGTTGGTGGCCTCTCGTAGCGCTCTACCATCAACTCGACGACGGTCAATACAAACATGAGCCGTGCCGAATCTTCGCAGGCTGGGTGAGTGCTCCCCTCTTGACAACTATACAGAGAAAGATTTGAGTTAATGCTTCTGTAGAAGGCCCAACCTCCGCGTCACAAGTTCGTCGCCCTTGCCGACCCAACTATCGACATCTGAGAGCCATTTGTACTGACATCGCAGTTATCGCCGCCGATGGCCTCTACAAGCGAGATGTATTCCGTACGTACCGCAAGTTGCGTCTTAGGGAACCAGTGCACTGACCGCTCAACAGGCTTTCCCGATCCTTTCGCGGTCGCTACCGTCAATGGCGAGCAGACAAAGACGACGGCCGTCAGCAAGCGCACACTGAACCCGTATTGGAACGAGAGTTTCGACTTCTGTGTTAACGAGGGAAGCATCATTGCGATCCAAGTCTTCGATCAAAAGAAGTTTAAGAAGAAGGACCAAGGCTTCCTCGGCGTTATCAACATTAAAGTCGGCGATGTTATGCCTGAGCTAACACCCGAGGCTGATGGTCAGTTTTGACATCGCTAGCTGCTGTGAGGGAGTCTGCGTAAACTAACTTCCCAACAGAACAGATGCTCACTCGGGATCTGAAAAAGTCGACGGATAACCTCGTTGTTCACGGCAAGCTCATAGTCAATTTGTCCTGCGACCTCAGCGCACCGCCTCGCGGAGCACAAGGATCTGCAGCCTCCCGCCCGAATACAACCGCAGGCTCTTCCAATCTCTCCACACCGGTCGGAGACGGACGGCCCGGATCTTCCATGTCTAGCCAGAATGGCCCGAACTTGTCGGCCGGGGCGGCCTCGCTTTCTCAGCGACCATCCAGCCTCAGCAACAACAATAGCAGCTCGGCCGGGCCCGGAGGAGCCAACCGTTCGGCCAGCCAACTCAGTCCATTTGAGGATGCACAGGGGCGCCTTCCTGCTGGGTGGGAGCGTCGCGAGGACAACCTCGGCCGAACTTACTATGTCGACCACAACACCCGTACAACAAGCTGGAACAGGCCGTCTGCCAACGGCGCTGCCGATAACTCGAATCGCGAGGCCGCCACACAAGTAGAGAGGCAGAGGCACCGTGACCGTACGCTGCCAGAGGACCGCACCGGGGCCAACTCGCCCACTTTTGGCTCAAGTTCCCCATCTCAAGCCGGAGGAGGAGGTAGTCCACCCCCGGGTCCAGCGAGTGCGGCTGGTGCCGCCAGCAACACAACCATCCACACTGGTGCCACGAGCCCTGGCAGTGGAGAGTTGCCCGGTGGTTGGGAGCAGCGGTGGACACCGGAAGGCCGTCCATACTTCGTTGACCATAATACGCGCACGACCACCTGGGTCGACCCCCGTCGCCAACAGTACATTCGCATGTACGGCGGTCAGAACAACACAAATGGACAGATCCAGCAGCAGCCGGTCTCGCAGTTGGGTCCCCTGCCTAGCGGGTGGGAGATGCGCCTGACGAACACTGCCAGGGTCTATTTCGTGGACCACAACACGAAAACTACAACCTGGGACGATCCCCGACTACCAAGCTCGCTCGACCAGAACGTACCGCAGTACAAGCGTGACTTTAGGAGGAAGCTCATTTACTTCCGCTCCCAGCCCGCGATGCGCATTCTGAGCGGGCAATGCCACATCAAAATCAGACGTTCGCATATCTTTGAGGATTCATTTGCTGAGATTACCAGACAATCGCCGACTGATCTCAAGAAGCGACTCATGGTCAAGTTCGACGGCGAGGATGGTCTCGACTATGGTGGTGTGTCGAGGGAGTTCTTCTTCTTGCTTTCCCACGAGATGTTCAACCCCTTTTACTGTCTGTTCGAGTACTCGGCCCACGACAACTACACACTTCAGATCAACCCTCACTCCGGTATCAACCCTGAGCACTTGAACTACTTCAAGTTTATTGGTCGCGTTGTGGGACTGGCCATCTTCCATCGCCGTTTCTTGGACGCCTTTTTCATTGGTGCCTTGTACAAAATGGTGCTTGGCAAGGCGGTGTCTCTGGCTGATATGGAGGGTGTCGATGCCGATTTCCACAGGTCGCTTCAGTGGATGCTCGACAACGACATTAGCGGTGGCATTCTCGAGCAAACTTTCTCCACCGAGGATGAGCGCTTTGGTGTCATGACCGTGGAAGATCTCATCCCTGGTGGCAGGGACATTGAAGTTACCAACGAGAACAAGAAGGAATACGTTGACTTGATGGTCAAATGGCGCATCGAGAAACGCATCGAAGAGCAATTCCAAGCTTTCAAGGAGGGATTCCAGGAGCTGATTCCCCACGATCTCATCAACGTTTTTGATGAGCGCGAGCTGGAGTTGCTGATTGGTGGTATCGCCGAGATCGATGTCGATGATTGGAAGAAACACACAGATTATCGCGGTTACACTGAGTCGGACGAGGTGGTGCAGCAGTTCTGGCAAACCGTACGATCATGGGACGGCGAGCAAAAGTCGCGCCTGCTGCAATTCACTACGGGTACCTCGCGCATCCCGGTCAACGGCTTCAAAGATCTTCAGGGCAGCGATGGCCCTAGGCGATTCACAATCGAGCGAGCTGGCGAAGCAACAAACCTTCCAAAGGCACATACATGGTGAGTCGCAAAAGACGCATGGAGATGACTTTTGACTAACGGAATCACAGCTTCAATCGGCTGGACTTGCCGCCGTACAAGAACTTGGAGACACTACAACAAAAGCTCACAATCGCCGTAGAAGAGACCATGGGCTTCGGCCAGGAATAAAGAAGGACCAGTGTATATATCGATTGTTTGACAGCAAGCGGTCGTCAATCGGGCGGCAGAACTCCATTCTCTGCGAAATCAACATCACCAACATCTGTTACTGACTTTGTTCTCTTTTCATTATACGCTCGTGTCCTGGGTTCTTCGTATTGGGATGGTTGGCGCTGGTGGTCTGCTTGCGGCCAGATTTCCGAGCACACACTGCGCAGGTAACTAGCTAGCTGTCGATGCATAGAACAAGATCAGACTTGGACAGTGGCCACGTGCCGGCAGCACCATGCCGTACGGTCGGTTTGGTTTTTCTTTTCTATGTATACAACGTCAATGACAGGACACCGCGCAGTGATGCACTTTGCGGCACTCGTTTGAAAGAAGTCTGTTGCATTCGCGATCAGGTCCGCGTCCGACCATGGCCTGTCTAATATGTACACTTGACAAAGGGAAGGTGGCATATCAAAGCCGCCAAAACAGGCTTCGGTACTAGATCTCAAGTCGCTCCCCGCGTGTTCCCCGTTCCAGATTGCTCCATTGTCCGTCTGTCTCTTTCTTTATCGCCTGTACCACATCCTGGTGATCTTGGTGTTGCGCATCTTCCTCTGCAGCTGGAAGATACCGTACATGAGCGCCTCGCTGGTAGGCGGGCAGCCAGGCACGTAAATGTCGACGGGCACGATCCTGTCACACCCCCTCACGACACTGTACGAGTAGTGGTAGTAACCTCCACCGTTGGCGCACGAACCCATGGAGATGACCCAGCGGGGCTCGGGCATCTGATCGTAGACCTGGCGCAGGGCTGGGGCCATCTTGTTGGTGAGAGTGCCCGCGACGATCATCACGTCGGACTGACGAGGAGAGGCACGGAAGATGATACCAAGGCGATCTTGATCGTATCGAGGGGTGGAGAGGTGCATCATCTCGATGGCGCAGCAGGCCAGACCAAAGGTCATGGGCCAAAGCGAGGATTGACGAGCCCAGTTGGCCATGATGTCGAGTGTTGTCCTCGCCTCTTGTTAGCATTTTGGCCGGGGAGGTGCAATCGTGAAAGACATACAGCGCATATTGGACGACGCTCTTGGGCTTCTCCTGCGAGGGGAGAGGGACCTCACGACGCGGCTTGGACAGGCTGCTCCCGGCACCGTGGGGGGTGACCGCGCTGGCTTGGTGCTGGGGGTTGGTCGTCGAGAAGGCCGCGGCAGCGACGGGACGGAAAGGAAGGATGGCGGTCGTGGGCTTGACTATTTCCAAGAGCAGTGTCAGTCCCCCATTTCTATCGGCTCGTCTGGCGTAGTAGCATTTTGACGCACCTCGCAACGCCATTGCGGCGGCTGTCCGCGCCAAAGGAAGCATTCTGTCTGTTGGTTCGTGTCGCGGTCGGGTTCGTGTCGCGGTCGGGTTCCAGACGCGAAGACGGAAGATGGTGGGAGTGGAGAGGAGGCGCTGTTGGCCGGGGATGGGTGGTGGTCGATATGGTTGCTGGCGGTGATCGTTGACGTTGAGGATATTCGCCTCCCGGAGGAAAGCACAAATGCGTGGGCGATGATTGGCTGCCGGCTAAGACGCCGAGGATTAGCCTTGGGTTGTGATGCACCCCAGTTTATGTTCTCGACAGCATTGAACATTGCGGATCATGCTCGTCCTCGTACGTAATCAGGGTTGAACTCTGAGCGTGGCCATTTGATTCAGAATTTCAATTGTGATTACGGAAATACATTGTGGAAGCCGTGCTTTCTCAGTGGAGGCACGCTGTTCTCACAGGACTGGGCGATAGTGATGTCTCCATGTCCAGGCTGAGGCCATTGATGACGAGCGAGCGCATATGCGTTAGTCAAAAAGCTAGCCGCAGAAGAAGCCGGTCGTAGTGGGCGTGCTGAAAATTTGCCTGGGATTACCTCTGCACTCGTCTTGGTCGACATTTCATACCCCAGACAAGTTCCTTAAACGCGTGCAGATTCACCCCCGGTGTCGGTAGAGTAGTGTCATCGTGGATTGGCTCGTTCTATTAGAAACAGCGACAATCTACAGAGCTGCCAGTGTATTCTCTAGCGACTTGCCCGTAAGCTTCTCAAATACCTCCTTGTACTTGGCACGCGTCTCCTCCACGACCGTCGCCGGCAGTTCCACCCCCGTCTTGCCCTTGAGTCCCTTCTCCGTCAGGTAGTCGCGCACAAACTGCTTGTCAAAGCTCGGCTGGTCAACGCCGACCTTGACGGGCGCCGGCCAGAAGCGACTGGAATCGGGCGTCAGCACCTCGTCCACGAGAATGACCTCGTCCGTCGCCTCGTCCAGGCCAAACTCAAACTTGGTATCAGCAAGAATGATCCCACGCTCCGCGGCATAGTCCCGCGCCACCGTGTAGAGCCTGAGTGCAAGCGTCTCAATCTTTTCGGCGTACTTGGCCCCGATGATCTCCGCCGCCCGCGCGCGAGAAATATTCTCGTCCGAGTCGCCCTGCTCAGCCTTGGTGGACGGCGTGAAGATGGGCTCGGGGAAGGCTGACGACAAACGGAGACCCTCGGCCTGCTTGTCGCCGTGCACGGTGCCGGAAGTCTGGTACTCCTTCCACGCGCTGCCAGTGAGGTAGCCCCGGACAATGGCCTCAATGGGGAAGACCTTGAGCTTGCGGATCTGCAGGCAGCGACCCTTGAGCGCCTCAAACTCAATGGTCGACAACCCCTGGCTGGGAGGCTGGAGAGAAAGCACGTGGTGCTTGAGCTCGGGGACGGCCTTGGCGAGCACGTTGAACCAGTGCGCGGAAATCTGGCAGAGGACAGCGCCCTTTTCCGGGATGCCGGTCTCTAAAACGACGTCGTAGGCTGAGATGCGGTCCGTGACCGCCATGAGGAGCGTACCCTCATCGAGCTTGTACAGCTCGCGAACCTTGCCGGTCGCGATCTTCTCGAGGTTGGGTAGGTCGATGGAGGTGACTGCGTGCAGCTGTGTAGACATGGTGCCTAGATTTGCTCAGGGGCTGGACAGATGCGCTAACGATCCGGTACGAGTTGTTCAAGCTCGACAGCGAGTGAATCGTCGAATGAGTGAGTTGCGTTGATGAGTGAGCAAACTTGAGTGACGAAGTGGGATCCACGTGACCAAGTTCACGCTGCCGTGTCCGTCGGGCGGCCATTAGGTGCACACCCAAATAAGGGTCACGTGCTGCGCACCCTGGGTGAGCATGTACATATAAGATTTCTTACTACACGTACGTACATGTAAGCAACACCCCATAAGTCCACGTACCAGCCAATCAAACACCTCACGCCGCCGTAGCCTCATGGCCGCACAGGCAGCCTTAACGCCGTTACGGAGTACGTATACACATAGGCATGTACACGTATAGTCTCTGAGACACCACGACGACACACGCACTAAATCCTACACGGAGGCAAACAGAAAATGACCTGCGCAGTTGCCATCGCGCTGTCCTGGAATACAGATGGCACGGAAGAGCTGCTACTATATAGTCACTGTTCCTAGCCATGTTGGCACTCACAGAGTCGTAATGTGGCTTGCAGGCCCGACCGAGCACGACGAGAAAGGATAGACTTTATTTCCAGATAACATCGAGTACAAAGTCAGCACTATGACGCCATGTGTGTAGGCTCTCGATATGACACGCACCTCGTTTATCAAGAAATCAGTAATTACACCGCGTAGGGTCTTTAGAAACTCTGCAAGGACACAATGTCTGATCATCCATGGGTTACCACCCTGCCAAGATTGCGTGTGGCTTGCTATCGTTAACGAGGTACGTACTCCGTACGCTACCTAGGGTCCTGTCAAATGCGCGCCCCCGTCAATGTATGTATCTGACTGGGTGGTTCTCCTGGACATTCAACCCAAACCATCACTGTCTCCCCTCCTTCTTGAGCTGGGCCTTTTGCATTAGATACCGACGTCCTGCCTTCTCGCGCAACTTTCCTGACTCCAACACTCGCTTTCTACGCTCATCCCGCCGTCCGCGCCCGGCCTTAAGCGCAACGACTCGACCCCGATTCGACACTCGCCCACATGAACTGAGCCGGTTTCGCCGTCGCGGCGCATTCTGACAATAGGCGGATAACACGAACGCGAGCGACCCGTCATGTTCAAAGGCTTTGACGTTCGCGTCTGGCCTTCGCGCCTCGTCGTTCGCTACTTTGTGGTCTTCGTCGTACTCGCCTTCCTCTTCACCAATTACTACCTCTGGTCCGACTGGCAGACGTGGGATGTCGATAGCTATCAACCGCCCTCGGGCCCCGGGGTGGCACAGCACCCGATCAAGAAGCTCATGAAGGATGCTCGTGCCCGTCACAACGAGCAGTTGTCCCGCAGGAGTCTCGACGTGGCAACTGCAGCGGCCAGGTATCGAGAAGCTCGTGGGAGGCATCCCCCTCCCGGGTTCGACCTCTGGTTCCAAGCTGCGCTGGACACGGATGCGGTGATTGTCGAAGACTTCTTCGATCGTATATACAAGGACTTGACGCCGTTCTGGGGCATGGACACAAAGATGGTCCGTGACAGGGCACACTCATGGCCATGGGTTGTGAGGGTTCGGAACGGCACGGCCCACGGTGACGGCGATGTCGAGGGTCGAGTGCCATGGTTGCAGCTCTGGACGGGGTTGGTGGGAGAATTCGCCGAGGGGATGCCCGATGTCGACATGCCCATCAACTACATGGACGAGCCCCGGCTTCTCGTCCCTCACAATCAGATCGCCAAGTTGGTGGCGAAGGAGGCCAAAGAGCGCAAGATGCCAGACGCCAAGGATGTGAAGAGAGAATACCAAGGCCTGGCTGCTGTGGATGAAGCCAAGCCCAAACTATACGATCCCCGGTGGTACGGCTTCTCAGACTCGGACTATTGGTCTCTTGCCGCGAAGACGTGCGGTCCGAACACGCCAGCCTACGGCGTGAAAGCCGAAAAGGACTTCTCGAAGCCCGCCGAGTTTCCTAGTCACTACAAGCCCAGCTACGTCGAGGAAGGCTACATCCTCAATTGGACCTCCGCCATGGACCCCTGCGAGCAGCCTCACCTACGCCAACTTCACGGTAGCTTCGTCGAGCCCGTCAGCATGTCCTCGACGGACGAACTCATCCCGCTCTTTGGTGGGTCAAAGCTACCAATGAATAACGAGATTCTCATCCCTGGTGCCATGTACCTGACAGACGACGAGTTCTACTCAGGTGGCGAGTCTCATGGCCCGCAGTGGCACTGGAAGAAGACAGCGGCTATCTGGCGCGGAGATGCCTCGGGCGGTCGCGCAAAGGCACACACCTGGCACCACTTTCATCGACACCGTCTAGTTGACATGCTTAACGCGACGACTGTGTCCACAGCCGAGGCTTCGGGCAAGCGCCCAGTGACATTCGAGCCTCCTGACACAAGCATATACTCCTCCTCCCGCGCGGAGAGCAAGGAGCTTGGGAAATGGCTTGGAACTTTTGCCGATGTCGGCTTCACCTACTTGTGCCCTCCGGGGCAGTGCGATTATCTCACAGACTTTTATCACGTAGTCGAGCGGATACCGATGAAGACGCAGTACACGTACAAATTCCTGCCCGATGCTGATGGTAACTCGTTCAGCGCGCGATTCAGAGGTTTCATGCGATCGACGAGCGTTCCGCTCAAGGCCACCATTTACGCAGAATGGCACGACGACCGGCTCACACCCTGGGTCCATTTCATCCCACTGGACAACACCTACCGCGACCTCTACCCGGTGCTAGAGTTCTTCGGCGATGGCCCTGGCGGCCAGGGCGATGCTGCCGCTCGTTTCATCGCCGAGAAGGGTCGGATCTGGGCGGAACAGGTGCTGCGACGGGAGGACATGAAATTGTACGTCTGGCGCTTGCTGCTCGAGTGGGCGCGCGTGTGCGACGACGAGAGGCACGCACTGGGCTACGTTGACGATTTGTTGCTGTGACGAGCTCTCCTCGTGCTGCGATCACGTGAGCCGGCGTTTTGGGTGCATTACTTCTTCACTTCTTCGATGCATATTAGATTGTATTGTAGTCTACTACCTCATCGCGCAGCCACCGTTGGACATTGGTTCGGCGAAACACGTACACGGCAGCTGATAGAACAGCACCGGGCTCCACAAATTGACTGGATATGTACTTGTTCCTCTTAGATTTCATTATACCGAGTAGTTGGCAAGTCCTGCCTGCTCGTTGTTACTCTTGCTCCAACATGTGGCCTGCGACTATAATTGTAAATCTGTCACGGCCGGACGACTAGGCTGGCCCTTCAAGTGCGCCGACGAACCCTTGAACAAACTCTGCCATATGAACGCCTCGCTCAACAGGAGCTCAATATCCTTCTCTGTCCATTCCTTGGTGGGCAGGCGCTGCAGAAACATCATGACTTCCTGGAAGTCCATGTTGACAAGTTTCGATGACCACTTGACCAGGAACGCAGCGCAGACGTAAAGATGGAACTCGGAGAAGCCCTGTTCCTCAGCCTGCGAAGTGTTAGCGGATCATTCAAAGGACTGCTGCCAAGGGCAGGTGTACGTACGAGGTAGGTGTCCCACATGCGAATAACATTGCGGACGCTGACTTCCCGCATGAGCAGGCAGTTCATCCAGCGGAAGCTGAACTGAATGAATTCCACCCCCTCCTTCTCAAGATGTAGCGATAACTTGGAGTCAATGCGCGCCGTAAGATCCCTCAGGGCTGCAACTTGCCGTTGGATGCCGGGCTGGGCGACTATGTAATGGTCCTGGATCCCGTCCAGCAGCTTCGTGAGACACCAGAAGGAGTCTGCCTCGACCGCGTCAAGCACAGTCTTCGGAAGCTGCCCCGGGTCCATGCCAGACTCAATATTGCTGTCTGAGATGTAGAGACCGAGGAACACCTGCCAGAAAGGTGTGACAAGATCGTTGATACCCTGGACATAACCACTGGCAGGGTGGCGGACGGCCCACAGGTACAATATGCGCTCGAGCGACCTCTGTGTCGCTTCGTAGCTGTATAGCTCAATAGACGGGTTTGTGCGGGGAACATCGATACTGATCTGATGCCAAATAGCCTCGTCTAAACCCCTTGCCCGACCGGCCGTTGCGCCAGAGGTGGATCCTCGTTCGAAAGCCTGTCGGACGCCGTCGAGGTACTCTTTGCGCTTTCTTTCTAGCGTCGCAACTCTCCTCTCGCTGTTCGTGGGCAGATAGCTTAGGAGCAGCTGCCAGGTCATTGCGCGCACCTCCTCTGGCACTCCAGACCATGCCAATCCTCTCAGATCCGGCAGGGGTATCGTTGATGCTTGCAGTAGCTTCTTGAATTTGTTAATCCGTGTGATACGCGAGCTGATCGCATCCGCTTCCTTTGAGCTGGCATTGCTGGGTATCGGTGGGTAGCTGATGAGATGCAGAGCGTTGGCTGGATCTACCTATGGTCAGGGCCGGCTCTTACTTCCAGGTCGGCAGACATACCTTTCAGGATATCCTTGTATTGAGGTCGCAAGATCTTGCCCTCGCTCTTTTTGGGCATCGGATAGGAAGGCGCTGGTCGCTCGATAGCGATATCGGCACTATTCGAGTATCGGCGCGCCTGCGTGTTCAAAGTAGAAGCCATCGCTGCGGGCGCGAGGGTAGTCGAATCTTCCCCTTTGCGCTGTGACTCCCTCCGCCGCGTTCTTCTCTTCATGCTTGAGAGGCTTGGCAGCCCAAAGTCGTCCCCGTCGTCGTCGTCATAACCCATCATTTCGTCCTCGTCTGCTTTCCAGTCGTCGTTCGTATTAGAGAGAAAGTTTATGTAGTTTTTATAAGGGGGCGAAGTCGTGCCGCCCGAGGCTCTTGGCGGAGGCGACGCATCATTAAACCGATACTTGGAGTTCGAGGCGCCAGATGGTGGTGTCTCGGGGCGGGAGTTTGTACGCGAAAGGCTCCTAGGACGGTGGTCAGTGGCTTTGCTTTCATAGCGACTCCGAGAATGAACATACAGCGAGTCGAGCTTTAAAATATCGGCATGGGAGTAGGCAGCGCCAATCACCAGGTTCTCGCGACCTGATCCCACAGGCGTTGTGACGCTTCGCTTAGCAGTGTCTCCTCGAGGAGGCGGTCTCCAGAACGGCGAGCTAGACAAGATCAGAACCATCTACTCGTACCGCAATCGTAAATCAGACGTACTCAGATCTTTCTGCAAATTGGCAAGAACTCTTGGTTAGTCTCTCCGCCATGTATTTAATCGCAGGGGTGCAGCTTCATCATACCGACTTGAATCATTTCCTGCGGCAGTGGGGCAGTCAGTACCGATCGCCATTACGTCGTTCGAGGTTGGAGGGACTCACTGACTGAGCAGGCTTCTTGCTGCTGCTGCCGCCGGAAGAAGACCACATCGTCGGCGAGATATAGGATGTAGTCTGCGGCGCAGTAATATCACATCCTCAAAGTTGGTGGACGAGCGCGAGGCTATGCTGGAGCCTCGGACTCGACTGGCTGCGTGCGTGGGACGAGTCTTGTTGGATGGAGATGAGGAATGGCATGGCATTGGCAAGGTGCGGGCGGTTAGCGTGGGATTGCAGGCACTGAATGCACTAAGGAAGGTGCGACCGTGTGGCTCACGCTCTTCCCAGTCGGCATATAGAAGCGAGCTGTCATTGGCCAAAATTCCTTAGTAAGCAAACCGCCGAGCCGGACGCGCGCGCAGGTGCGCGCAGGTGCGCGCAATCTCCTTCCAAATCTTGCCTGGGCCTGGGGGAACAACATCCCCAAGCAAACCTCACAACCACTCGATTTACATCCAATCCTCTGCGCCTTTCGCCTTTCTTTTCCTAACCTACCATCGACGCGCCAGTCTGTAATTTTAAACGAGATACTAACCAATCCGAACCTTTGTGCTTCGCGGCGAAATTCTTGCATCATGGCTGACCAAGACAACTTTGAGGAGGATCTTTTCGCAGACCTGTACGTACATTTCGCGGGTGTGCAAGCACTTGGCTCGGCTTTCCCACTATGGCCAGACAGCTGACATGCGAACAGCTATGACGACAATGACGCATCCAAGCCAGCACCTGCCACGACGAGTGGAAATGTCGCTGGATCAGCTCCTGCTGCTGCCGCCCCTCAGGATAACGGGGCTGCTGGAGTCGAGGATGCGAACAACGACCAGGAGGAAGACGATGACGACGACGATGACGATGTCGACTTTAACCTAGGCGGACCCTCGACAGGAATGAACAGTCACACTGCGGCCGCCGAGACCGTCTCTCATAATATGCCAGAGACGCGCGATTCTCACGATGTATACGGGGCCCATGATAGTGGACAAAGTGTGCAAACTCCCACATTCGGATCCGTGCACAAGGCAAGTGCCAAAGACGATGGGTAAGTCGAAATTCTGTGTTATAACCTGCATTCGTATCTTTGTTTTGCTCTTGGACATTTCTGGAAGAGCGAGGAGCAAGAAAAGAAAAACCAAGAACATCAAGGCCACATGGTTCTCGTCGGTGGTTGCACAAGGGCACTGGAAGCTGGCATGAATCCTGCGGCGCGGGCTTGGGTTTCACCAGGCATATGAAGAGAAGTGCCAGCTTCGGAAGAATGGCGATCCACAGGCGTGGAAACAGAGCTTCAGGGTGGTCGAATACCAATATCAAGGCGCCAATGACGGAGTCACGCCCCTGGATGTGAGAAGCATCTGCGCCATGAACAAGGAAGAATTGTGTCTCCTCGATTGTTGTCGAACACACAGTAATTGTCAATTATGGCGTGGATCAGTCAATTATGGCGGGCACTTGCGGTCTAGACACCAACACGTGGCGAGCTGGCAGACCAGTCCCAGCGAGTACTTTAGTACTTGAGCTAGATCCTAGCCAGAGGCAGACAGAGAGACAGTCGACCCGATAGCACCAGACGAGAAAGAGAACACACAGAGTTGGCCGATAAATGGTACCTCGACAAGTTCGCGACGTTCTCTTGACTGCCATCTATGTGCGTCGGATGTCCCACTCTCGACAAGACACTCGAACATGTTGGGCCTGTGCCATCCGACACAACAACTACACACGTGGGGGATGCTGCTTGGAAGGACTATAGTCATCTCCAGTCATGCAACGACCAGCCTTGTGGATCTCGAGGAGCAGGTGGAACAGACGGCTTTATGTGGCTACCTCACGCCGTCACTTTGAGGTGTGCACTATGCAGCCTTGTGGATGTTGCCTCCTATATTTCCCACATAAGGGGCGGTTCGCAGCCAGCCATGGGGCCCTGCCGAGGAATCACGACATGCGGCAGGGAGAGAAGTCACCATTTGGCACTCCTCAAGTTGTTGCCTCGCTTCTTCCGCCATCCTGATCTTGTCCTATCCCAACAAGTCGTATTTTGCGCATATCGGATATTTGCTGGTAGACACAGTGAATAGTAACTAATGCTTTGCGTGCAGAAAGATGTTCATTGGCGGCCTTAACTGGGAGACCACAGATGGTACGTTGAGAGAATCTGGCAGGCTTGCGTTCAGTCTGCGAAACTGACACCCCTTAGAGTCTCTTCGCGAATACTTTGAACAGTTCGGCGAGGTCGTTGAATGCACAGTCATGCGCGACAGCGCTACTGGTCGCTCGAGGGGTTTCGGGTTCTTGACGTTCAAAGAGGCCAAAACCGTCAACACAGTCATGGTCAAAGAGCACTTCCTAGATGGCAAGATTGTATGTGACATTCCCCATTTCACAGGCCGGGAGACTAATGCACTGGGTAGATCGATCCCAAGCGCGCTATTCCCCGCGATGAGCAAGAGAAGACTAGCAAGATCTTTGTCGGAGGCGTTAGCCAGGAAACCACCGACCAGGAGTTCAAAGACTACTTTGCTCAATTTGGCCGCGTAGTCGACGCCACGTTGATGATGGACAAAGACACTGGCCGACCTCGTGGATTCGGCTTCGTGACCTTTGAAAGCGAGGCGGGCGTCGACGCCTGCATTAATGTGCCGTTGGAGATTCACGGCAAGCCCATCGAGGTGAAGAAAGCCCAGCCGCGCGGTAATTTGCGGGAGGAAGAGGAGGCACAGAAGCGCATGAAGTTCCAAGGCCGAGGCGGCGATCAAGGCCAGGGCAACATGGGGCAAGGCATGCAGAACGGCATGACGCCCCAGCTCATGGCGCAATACTTTCAGCGCATGAACCAGTACTTCCAGATGATGCAGTCGCAGATGGCTATGAGAGGTGGCATGGGTCAGATGAACCCCCAGATGATGCAGCAAATGATGCAGATGCAACAAATGCAGCAAATGATGGGGCGCGGCGGCGGCGGTGGTGGCGTCGGAGGCCAGCAGCAAATGAACCCTCAGATGATGCAACAGATGCAACAGATGCAGCAGATGCAGCAGCAGATGATGAACCAGCAAGGCGGAGGTGAAGGTCAGGGCGGGAACATGGGAGGCGGCGGCTTCAACCAAGGCTTCCAGCAACCTCAGCAGGGCGGTGGTTTCCACGGCGGAGGTGGCGCCCGACGGGGTGGGCGTGGAGGCTACGGCGGCGGGTACGGAGGCGGAGGTGCTGGCCAGCAGCAGGGAGGCTCGCAAAGCTCATATGAGGGCATGTACGATGATCAACCTCAGCCAGCAGGAGGCAACGCGCCGCCCGCAAATGCGCCCACCGGCCCGAAGAACGCAGGCCGCCCTGGCGCCAACTACCGCGGAGGCGGCCGGGGAGGCAACCGTGGGTTTCATCCATATGCGAGATAGATTGCCCGAGTGGACGATTGGGCGTGATTGTGCGACTTTGGGACATGTGGAGGACCCCTTTGCTACCGGCAGGACACCACCAGGAGTCCGAGAGGCAGCGCAAAGAGGATTACGGTCATCAAAGGGGCGGGCAATCTAGCGAACCATGAACGGTTCAAGGTGTACGGCAAGCCAGGGAGAGTGCTTTGGCGTACGTCCTTACGCTCGGGGACAGCCCTGAACCTTCTAGCCTCCCCAAGGCTTCTATCAGAGGTTCACATGTAATTTAAACAACAATGCGATTTTTCTTCAGCCAAAAGCACAACAAGGCCCGTGCTTGACCTCCCTCTCAAGTGATATGCGCACGTCAAGGAAATACGGAACTTGGTTTCTCTTGTGGGGTGCCCGTTGACATGAGGACACAATTTGTCTCTTGGACTGCCTCTATACAAGTATCCACGATGAAGTACACAGTAGTTATTTACAAATAAGACTGCCTTGATCAACCTCTGCTGCGAGCTAGACAGTCACATGACTATTTCTTGGCGTACCTCTTGACGATCCAGGATGACGACATGAATGAGTTGCGAGCTCCGACCAGGAAGCTGGCGCAGTTCCTACGTAAGTCTTGTGGCAAGGGAAAACTTGCATCGTGGCTTGCGACTACGCAACTGTGCATTTGATGCGCTGGACAACTTGGAGCTTCCTTTGTTATCAAGGCTACCTAAAATCGAATGGAAAGCTTGGAAATGATCATGCAATGTCGAGTGCGTGGTCGATCAAAGTTGAGCGCGTTTGTGTCGTGTCGCGCGCACTGCCCTGTAATGTAAGGTAATTAGTCTCCTGGGCTGGAAAGGGGTTGGCTACCCGACCCACTACCGGTCCTGCGCGTGGGGATGGTGACGTTGTGTTAGTGCAGAGGTATAACCTGCTGGGGGCGTTAATCTCCCAGTCAGCCCATCCCAAGCGTGATACATGTACCACTTCGCTTCAGTCGCAAGCTCCAGTCCCCGACTCTGATACGGCCCCCATTGCTGCCGACTATCAAGGAAACCTGCTTGCGCCTAGCCTACCTTTACCTCACCTTTTATCACTACTGTCTTCTCCGTGAAGCTCCTTGCATTGCCTCCTCTCCCCTTCGCCAGAAGCCACTGCGGTAAAAAGCACCCGCTTCGATCGATAAGACCACCATGACCTCTCCAGCTTCAGCAGCCGGCAAGCGCAAGCGCACTGCTGCTGCGTCTACCACCGATCTGCCCTCAGCTGCGCAAGCCGTCGACAGCACAGCCGACCGCTCTCACGACGAGAACGAGAACGAGGCAAATGTCAATGCCGGTACCGAGTCCACTCCCACACCTAAAAGGCAAAAGTCAGACCGCGACGACGACGCCAAAGATGAAGAGCGCGCCGGCCGCAGCAAGACGCGCGAGGCGATGCCCCCGCCCCCGATTGGCACTCTGACGCATCCCGTCGGAGGGTACAAGACCAATCAGCCGCCCGTGGGAAGGCCGGTGCGCGTCTACGCGGATGGTGTCTTCGACATGTTCCATCTGGGGTGAGAAATGGCCCCGAGTTGCGTTGGATGGGGACGGTAGACTGACCAAGAGGCAGGCACATGCGCCAGCTCGAGCAAGCCAAGAAGGCCTTTCCCAATACGACCCTCGTCGTTGGCGTCACTGGCGATGAGGAGACACACAAGCGCAAGGGCCTCACGGTCATGTCCGCGTGCGAACGCTCCGAGACGGTGCGCCACTGCAAGTGGGTGGACGAGGTCATTGAAGACTGTCCTTGGATCGTCACGCCCGAGTTCCTGGAGGAGCACAAGCTCGACTATGTCGCGCACGACGACTTGCCGTACGGTGCCGCCGAAGGCGACGACATCTACCAGCCGATAAAGGAGGCGGGCATGTTCCTCGTCACGCAGCGCACGGAGGGTGTCAGCACGACTGGTCTCATCACGAGGTTTGTAGCATGCGGGCGTACGATGGACAGACATTGACCGTGGAACAGGATCGTCCGCGACTACGAGAAGTACCTGGCCCGCCAGTTCAAGCGCGGCACGCCGCGCCAGGAGCTGAATGTCAGCTGGCTGAAGAAGAACGAGATGGACCTCAAGCGTCACGTCCAGGAGCTGCGCGAAAACATCACCAACAACTGGACGAGCACAGGTCAGGAGCTCAGCCGTGAGCTGCGGCAATTCTGGCCAGCTAGCCGCCCCGCCAGTCCTGCGCGCTTCAACAGCAGCGGCTCCGTTAATGACGCTGCGCGGTCGCCCACGGGCACCACAGGCACCACGGGCGCCAACTCAAAGGAGTTCCTCACGGGCTACGCCGTTGGCCTGGCAGGTGGCGTTCGATCATGGGTATGACATTACCAGCTGCACGTCTTGTCTTTTAAGCAGAGGCTAATCCCACTAGATGACAAAGAACCGAAGGACAGTCGGCGACAGTCGTCCCGTCAGTGATGACGAGTCGGACGACAGCGATAGCCACGGCAACAGCAATGGTACTGGATCCTCGGCCAAGGCCAAGTCCCCCAGCGACATCCTCGAGCCGACGCCCATCAGGCCGTAAGTATTGCAACACACCTGGAGAGTCTAGGGACGGTCGTACCACAGCGTCCACAAGGGGCCATGTCAATTGACTCGGCTGTGTCGAAAACGGTGAAAGGAGTGGCTCTGTGTGTTTATAGTAATGCATAGAGGCAGGCGGAAGGAATTCTTTACAACGGCGCTTCACGGATATGAACAATGGGATTAATCACGTTGGTCTACTCTCGCCTTTGGGGGCTGTTTCGCTGCACTGCCGACACATGGTTGCCACTTGTCGTACGGCAGCAGTCACTGTCGGAGCGGCCCGTTGGGCCCGTTGGGGGCTATCATACGTTGCATTAACTTTCTTGCTTCAACGCTCACTATGAAGGGCCGTGGTCTGTTAAAGTGAGCAGGGAAGCCTTGGCGAGTCGTGACGTCGAAAGATCTGTCCTTGTTCCGGCTCTTTCGAGCATCTGCTTGCTGTGTCCTCGCGCCATGCTACAGCCTACAATAAGGAGCATTATTGCCTGTCGTGGCCAATGCCGAGGTGTAACGATTTCTGACCGGCTGGAAAGATTCCACGCGTGGCCATGTGGCTACAGGATCACGATTGACGATGATGGGCGTGAAGCCCGTTGGACAGTCAGAGAAAGGGGGCGTGTAAAAGTGCGAATCTTGACAGTTACAGCCTTTGCGATCCTTCGCAGCATGTGCCGCCAGTCCAGGTTGTTCCAAATACTCCGTCTCGCATGCTGTAGAATGCGTCTTGTTGGACCAGATCAGATCTGGGCTTACATCGGTCATCATGGATGGAACGAGCTGCGCTCGAATCATCTACCGCAAGTGGACCGAAATACTCACGGCCATTACCACATCTGGCTACGCATGCAGCTTGCCATCCTGGCTCTCTGGGACCTGGGTTGTGATTCAAGAATACTATTTATTGTTTAGCGCGCACCGCAGACCGCCGCGGCTGACATGCGGTTCACCTTGCTAGGCGCTTGGCATGGCCCTGTGGTCCGTTGGCGAGGAGCATTCGCGAGCTTCCATTCTGATTGTGTCGCGACCTCTGCTGAGTCTGACAAGCGAGTGATCGGGTGAGTTGGCAGCTGCCCTAAAATTGATTTCTACCAGTACATTCGTGAGACTCTAGCCCCTTTTCGGGCGGATGTCCAGGACTCTACGTAATTAGTCTACCAAGGCTGCAAGAGGGACTGGAGAGACGGGATTTATTTATTACCAGACTCAAGTAATAGGGCCAGGGCTTTCGTAGCGCCTCCGGGGAACCAACGAGTAAACCCCGCGCCCCCGTCATATTTGATCTTTTTGAGATGCCCGTCAACCGGGTTCGGCCGAAAGACTGTTGGCAACTTGGAGACTCCAATCGTTTGGTGATGGCTCGCGAGGGCTACCAAGACCCGGAGATACCCAGCGCTGTGCGTGCCATGAATGTCTCGGACAGAGTCAAGTTGCGCTCGGAAGGATGAGTGTTCCTTGTTGGACTAGGAGTTGAGATTCGGCATGGCAGGACTGTCTTCCCAGTCACAACGATAGAGCTGTAATTGCCTTGCGGTATTAAGCCGCCGATCAGACCAGGCAGGCCAGACATTCGTGGGCCCCCGAGGATCGAGAGTGTTGCGTTGCACGAGACTGAGAGACGTCAATGTCGGCCATGTCCCAAGCCCACGGTGCCGCATCCATCGCTGCTTGCCGATTCGTGCTAAAAATAGCACTCGCGAACGCAGGAAGCGCGACGCTGCGATATTTGTCGGCCATGATGGCGGACTCATGAGTGTCTCTGAACAACGAGCTTCCAAATCCGAGCAACGACAGAAACTGGCGACCGACAAGCTGGTCTTCAATCGAGTATTTTCCAATCCTTGCAATTGAGCGACTGCCGGAAGTGGCTATTCAGTGGAATGCCCATAGACTTTCAAGTTTCGGCGCAGGTGCTCGTTCAGCCCTGTGCCTGAGTCCTGACTCCTAAGCCCTGACCCCCCCCCCCCCCCCCCCATGATGAACCCCGTATCCTGATTCCTCGACCAGCTTTTTCTTCCGTTGCTTTTCGCTCCACACGCACCTGTTCACCCCCCGCTCGTCGCTTGTCGCTTGCCGGCGCCTAATTATTGATCCTTGTTACGGTCTTCACGGAGTACGTACGGACTCGTTGTTGGTGTGACATTCTGCAGGTCAGATTTGGACCTTGGTCACTTGTTGCCAGTTGGTGCCGTCGGGTACTGTTGGCTCGTTCGTACGTGGGCCTCTCGGTACGAAGCGACCAACCATGTACTTGACAGTTCACACAGCCACTCCATGTCCATGTCCAGTCCTTTCTTTCAGTTGGTCGTCTCGCACATTGACCGACTGCCAGTGAATGCCTAGTGCCAGTGCGGGACAATGGGTCCAAGAAACGGAGATGGGATCACGTCTCTCTCTCTCTGCCTCTAGGTCGCTCTTTGCTTGAACGCGTCGGTTGGTCCTTCTGGGACTGGGACTGGAGAGTCAGAGACCGGTGCGCCATGATTCTGGATTACAGGCAGGGTCGATTTGACAAATAGAGCGAATGCCCGAATGCCCGAATGCGGCAAAGCAGGAGGGACCTGGAGGCTGGACGTGGAATTCACCGACACCTTGTGGTCCCTCTCTTTTCACCACCCGAAGTCATTCGCCGAGTCGTCCCCATCTTGATCCTCTTGCACGCAGAGAGAACCCACCAGAGGCTAAACAACGGTGCATGCGCCCTGCATTGATCAATAGGGGGTCTGTATAACAGATTCACTCAGCCCGCAGTGCTGATGCTGATTTGCACCGAACCAAGACTGCAGAGCTGCAGAGGCATCACCAACACGTACGTCCAGAGCGCCTGTCCTCCTCTATGTGCGCACCTGCGCAACGTTCCGCACAGCAAAGGACCCAGGACGATTCGATGCCGTGAGGACTGGGGAGCTTGACAGGGTTGCCATGTCGTTCATTCCGACGTCTGAGCTGGGCACTGGGGGCCGAACACCCGAGGATAAGTTTCTACTTGACAGAGTACGGATACTCGATCTGCTCATAATCAATGGTCGCCTGCCCCTGTTTCCTTCCAAGAAAGACAGGAGATGCACGGGCTACAAACAGACGTGGAGCCTGCCAAAGCAATGCGCTGCCCCAGGCCAGGCGTCCGTACTCCAGTTGTTGGCTGGCTCGCTGCCACCAGCCAACACCATCAAATACCTCCGTGCCCCTTATAATAGACGGAAAGTACCCAATGGCATTTTGGTTCACTCAATGTCGTCCGGCAAGGCTGTGGACCTGCAGATGGACCAGAGGCACAACACACACACACACACACACACACACACACATACGCTCTATCACCTCAACTAACCAACGTTAAACGACAACTGCGGTATGTCGTGTGCCTGCACACCACAAATTCATTGCAATTACTTCCTCGCGGCCTATTTACCTTACAGGCTTAGCTCATGTATTCCTTGCCAACCAACCGCGTGCCTTAACTGTAGCCTGTTGGCTGAGCCGCTCGGATCGGCGCCCTTATACACGCACTACACACCAACGACTGGATTTCTACTGTTCTTTTTTTTCCCCTTGCTCGACGCACCTCTGCTTCAGCGTCGCATCTCTATTTACATACATGATCCGCCAGTCCAGATCGGCAGTTGATGCGCATATCTGCGAAACCCAGGGTGGGACTGTGCCGCTCTCACTTCTATACTTGGTCTCTTACTGTTACCTCGACCCGTTCCTCGCGCGTGTGCGTCGAGCTTGTTTTAACAACAAACTTCCATTTTAATCCTTCATCATGGCCAGCCTAAGAGAAATCATGAATGCCGATGAAGACAGCCCGGACTCGGATTCGATAAAAAGGGGCCATCGCGCGGCGCAGGGGACTTTGGCAACCACCGACACAGTGCCTTCGACCTCGACCTGTGCCTTTCCCACCGGCAGTTGCTCTGACATTTTGTCTGCGCAGAGGACCAAGACGCATAGCCCTGCAGGACCATTGCCTCGACCGTCTGCACCCAAGGCAGTATCGTTGTCTCCCGCGTCATCTGTGGCGGGAAGTAGAAGCGGCAGCACCTACAACTCCAGCAAGGACCCAATGGACACATTATACTATGATCATGGCCACGGCTATATGCCAGGCTCAGTCGAACCAGCTGGAGCGCCCTCCAGGTCCTACGGGGACGGTTCAGGGACCGAGAACCCCGTGAAACTGACGCCTATCACTAGAAGAGTCAGCCGGGCCAAAAAGGGTGTCCCTGTGCATGTCTGTGACGTGTGTCAGAAAGTGAGAATCTCGCTGGCAGGTTCTGATCGTTATTGCTGACCTTTCCGACAGACTTTCACTCGGGCGGAGCACTTGAGGTTGGTCAAAATACTCGAGATTTTCGAGCCGAACTGACGCTGGACGTCCATCCAGGAGACATAAACTCAGCCACTTACCCCCAGACATCGCGTGTACTGTGCCCGGCTGCGACAAGGTATTCCATCGCCGAGACTTGTTCGAACGTCACCAGCTACGACAGTATGAGTCCCTGAGTCTTCGTGCGCAAGTGAACACGGCTGACATCCCATCTACCCGCAGTGAACAAGACATCAAGATGCATGGCGACTCGCCTTCCGGCTCGAGCGCCAACGCGCCCGTGAGAGGCGGCAGCAATCTGTCACCAAACACCGCATCGCACAGCTACCCACCTGTCACATCCACCGTGGGCAGCTCGATGCCAGGGTATGCTGATGTGGCCATGGGTGAGGCTCCATGGGACTCCATGGGCGGTTCTGAGCTGTATCCGAGCGCCAGCGGGCTTCGGCCTGCCCCGGTAGATGCTACCAATCACTACAGGATGAGCCCAATGTACGCAGGTGCCTATCCGTCGGTCAGCACCCCCTGGGCAGGCTCGGACGTCTCGCCAGCGACGTCTGGCAGCAGCAGCAACAGCAGCAACGCTGTGGTGGCTGATCCTGTGCTACTGCAGACCTCTGGCCTCGGTGCATCATGGACTGACCATGGTGGGCCGAACCCTGCCCTGGGATCACCAAGCTACTACGCGTACACGACGTCGCCGCCGCCGGTCAGCTCGAGCACGGCCTACGACACGGCCATGGACTTGGTGGTGCCCGACTACAATGAGGGTGGCGCCGTGCACTCGCCTGATGCTCTTTTGCACAACACTGTTCGTGAACAATCCCCACCACTGGCTGTGGCTCAATCATCTGAGACTTTAGTCACCATGCAGGCCGCGGTCCCGACGGCGGCGCGAGTAACAAGAGGCCAGGGCAGCGACGCCCGAAGCCTAGCGATGTCGTCTGCGCTGGTAGCGCCCATGCCGCTCGAGGAGGAGGCCCATCATACCATTCCCGCGTATCTCGAGGTGTACTGGGACAAGGTAGATCCCTTGTACCCCTTTATCCACAGGCATACGCTGGAGAAGTTGGGCCAGCCTCCCGAGCATCTCGATCTTCTGCGGCGCGCGATGGCTGCGGTGGCGACCCAATTTCTCCAAGCCAAGACTCATCGCGTCAACGGAAACGCTCTGCAAGCGTCGGCTTGGCACGAATCCAAGGTGGTGAGTAGCATGGCTGGGTTGGCACCGTGAATCAAGACACATGCTGACGGGCAGTTAGTACACAGAAGCGGAAAAATGGCCATTACCTATCATGCAGACCATCTTGCTGTGTGAATACTACTCGAGATTCAGGGGACGGGAAAAACAGTCGCACCGGCCATCGTTGCGCTTCGCAAGACTGTATCAAATGGTCTGTTCATCCTGAGCCACGGAGAGCCGACCATGAAACTGCCTTATGCTCACAATCGTATAGCTTGTCGATGGTCAGCAGGCAACGGCACCGACCGCGATTCGAGCGAACAGCCTCTCGTCTTGGTATCACTGGATTTCCATGGAGTCTCGTCGACGAATACTGGGCGTATGCTTCATGCTAGACGTCCACAGCACGTGCTACTTTGAGCAGCCCGGGCTCCGACTTGCCGGTCTGAATTACAGCAGCCCGTACAAACTGCCGATACCACTGTCCGCGAGCTCGGAGAGGCTCTGGGAAGCCACGGATCGTCACTCGTGGAGCCAGCTGGTGCCCTCCGCCGCGCCGTTGCAAACCATGGCCACGGCACTGGCAGGGTCGATCACGGCGGAGGACGTTGCCGCCATGCCTCGATTCGACGCGGCCATTTTGCTGGGTGCCTACCTGCTCGCGCTCCCGAAGAGAAAGGACCTCACCCAGGTGAGCACGACGGGTGGCCTCAAGCTGAGCAGGGCGCCCTATCTGCTGGCGACCATCTTCCCGACGTCACACGTCGCCAACACGTATCTCGCGCTGCACTACACGCCGCTGCACATCCTGCTGTCGGTGTCGGGCGAGAGCTGGGTGTTCAACAAGAAGATTGTGAAGCCGACGCTCTTCTCGGCGAATCGGCGAACGCTGGAAGCCTGGCGCCAGTCCAGCGACGGCACAATGGCCGCGAGGTTTGCCGCGCGCGCTCTTGGCGCCTATCTCCAGGTGGATGGGCCGCAGAGCGTGGCCGAGACCGAGTCGTTTGTCGAGCGCCGGCACGGTTCACCCTGGAACGACCTCTCCGACTTCTGGGGCCTCTACGTGTGCACGCTCATCTGCTGGGCCTACGGACGAGGAGGAAAGGCGAGCGACAGGGACGTGAGCCGGAGGGCCGGGCTGCGGTGGATCCTGGAAGCGTCGCGGCGGGACCCCGCACAGTGGAGGGACTGGCACAAGGCCGAGGACACACTTGGGGTGGTGTGCCTGATGAGGGACGTCCTGGGCAGGGACTGCGTGGGCGGACGAAACATCTTGTTTGCCGACTCGGTGCGGGTGCTCCGGCGACTCAGCGGGATAGATGCCGCCGAATGATCTGGGTGAGGGAGAGCGTAAGGACTGACGATGGGACATGAGGACATGATCTTGACGATGGGGCATGCATGCGTGGGCAGCGTGAGGAGGTGTTTCGGTTTGGGACATTTTGCTTGGGGGTTGGGGGCTTTCTAGACATACATCGCAGGTGCAGAAGAAACAAAAGGGATTGGCACGCCGTACTCTCTCGACAAGTACCAAGTATCCTTGTGAGGGGTGGTGCCAATAGCTATGAGCCACTATGCTTATGAGGCCTCAGGGCTACCCAAGGCTATATGTAGAGTGGAAAGGTCTGCACTTTCGCATACCTGTAACCATTGACACAAAACACTCAAGCATGTGACTAAATTCCAATGTGCCCCCAGCGCTAGGGACTATGTCGAGAGAGTGTCACATGTATTAGGTTACTCAGAGCAAGAACACCAACTCTCGGGGGCCCCTCGCTTGGCTTGCGCGCTCATCACGTCGACCCTACCCTGAACATGTACGTACATACGTATGTACGTTGCCGCATGAAACGTGCTTCATTGACAGGTGATAATCAAAAGGTTCATTCCCGTATGACGTCGCACTCCGTGACCATGTTCCGCAATCTACATTATCTTGCTTTGCCCCGGGACCTTGGCGTTGGGATTAGAGGGCTGGGGACGATCCTACTCTGCAAGTATTTGTTGGAGAAGGGACATGAGGTCGTGTGAGGTTAAGTGAGGAGATGATTGTGCCTTGGACCTGGGTTCTTCTCGTGAGCACATACTTGTTTGTCGTTTATCGACACATGGTGCATCCATCTGCTTCGTGTCTCTGAACAATTGTACATGGGTATACAAGATGCCAAATGACGCAAGTACGTAGCATCATCGTGCCTCGGCCATGTCTATCCTGGGAGAGGACCGGCCAACGATGGACTTCATATGAAGTCAAGGCCTCGAGGGAAGTGAGTGAGGTTGCAAGGTTGCCGAGGACTGGGCTTGGCAGCCCCGAGAGAGAGGCCGCCAGGGGTTTGAAGGACCGGGCGGTGGTGGCTACCAAGGTACCTTTAGGTAGGTAGATAGGTAAGTACCTCCTTACCTTACTACGTGCGTACTGCAATTGTTTCAATGAGGAAAGTCGAGCAGGCTGAATTGAATCGTGCTCGGATCTGAGGGATTAATACCTCGTGTAGCACTATGAAAATCCGGGCTACTACTTGCCTAGCTATCCGTAGTTCCGTAGGGCAGTGAGTACGTAGTAGTACGTGGTATGTGGTAGAGCTCTGGACTGGACCCGGGATCGAGATGCCGTGCCTAGACTTGCTTTGGTGGACGTGGCCCATTATGGTGAAGCAATATCCGTGCCAGTAACCTGTTGCAGGTAGGTACCTCTCTACCTACGGAGCAATTACCTTCCATAGTACGGATACTACTGTACGTACGCGTAGGCACGGGATGATAAGAAGACACTCGTCAGAGGCCCTGGCTGGGGACAGGTAATTACTTCGTGGGCAAGGAGGCACTTCTGTCAAGTGGCAGAGAGGAGGGTCAAGCTCAGTGTCTTGTGCCGCCTCTACAAGTACAGAAGCTACTGTCCCGCGCGCGTCTTGTCTGTTGCAACTGTTTGTTTCTGGAACAAACCCCCATTCATTGCTTGCGGCTGACGGCTTCTGCCAGCGCGACCCTTGCCCACGCACGTCACGTCCTCTTCGCCGCGTCGGAGAAGAGGCTGGAATTTTTGTGGACAATCAGGGGTTCGCTGGCCGTTTCTTCATTTCATTTCGGTCTCAGTGACAATTGTTCAACTTCTTACAACTTGCCCTTTTGAGATTACCAATCTGCCTGCCTGCTCGCCCCCTAGGTGGCTGCCTATCCTTCTGCTGTGCCCCGACCTGTGCAACCCGTACATATACCCGTACAAACACGCGACTGGACGAGCGAGCCACCGGCGACGAGTCCAGGAGAGAGCCAGAGAGAAAGACACGGAAGGGAAAGGGAGAGTTCGCGTCGAGCTCGGATGACCATCGACAGTGCCGTGCAGTGCAGTGAGTTGCGTCCCAGATGACTGGCGGTGCCCACCAGGACTGCGTACAGTTGGGATAGGACTGGAGATCTGACATGGGATCAGCTCGACGCGACAACCACACCGGCCACACCTCGTCCTCCTCAATCGTCGTTACCACGCACGCGCGCCCTCTTCTCGAACGAGTCCAGCATCTGGGAGACACCATCGGAAGACGCTGACGCCGCAGTGGAATGCTGCTGGGCTGTCACGCTCTGTTGGACGTCCATTCCCGAGGTGTTTGAAGTACCTTACGACTGGAGCTTGGCTTATCGATTAGCAGCCTCCAGTCCATGACACGCCCGCCGCCTGCCTAAGGTACCTTATTAGGCAGACTGGACCCTCCCATTGACGGGACCTAGCGCTCCAGGCCGCCGAGGACGATCCAGTCACCATCAGCTTCTATCCGCTACTGCGTCCGTTCAGCACGGGACAGTGCCCAGTGCCTGCGCAGTGACCCCACCACCAGCGACGAACAGCCCCAGATCCACTGAAGCTCAAGTTCAGTCCCCCCACAGCTGTCGCTGCGCCGTGACGCGTCCAGCGCATTGAGAGAGCCAGGCAGTGTACGCCCGGCCCAGCAGCGTCGCAGGTGCGCAGCTAAAGCAACCAGCCTGAGGTGGTGTTAGAGGTGGTGCCCTCCGTCCGTCTATCTCATCGGGACTGGACTGACTGGACGGCAGTAGCCAGAAGGGGTAAGGTATTTAGCAAGCTACCTACAAAAGGACCTACCACACACCCACCATGCAGCGCATCATACCAAACCGACTCCTCTCCTCATCCTCCTCCCTCCGCCGTCCTACGCCACAGTCTCGATCCTCCTCCTCCTCCTCCTCCGCCAACTCGAGCCCCCAGCAGACCCAGCCTGCACGCAACGAACTGTCCACCTCGCCCAGCGCGAGGAGCACCCTCTACAGGATGCGCAGCAACCGAGACTCTGCCAGCCCGGCCAGGGACATGGGCAACGGCCTCGTCCTCAAGGTCGACATCCTCAAGGGCCGCAACCTCGCGGCCAAAGACCGGAACGGCACCTCGGACCCATACCTCGTGCTGTCCCTGGGCGATCGTCGTGCCGTCACACACACTGTCACCAAATCGCTGAACCCCGAGTGGAACGCCGTGGAGGAGCTGCCGCTCACCTCCATCAACAGCCTGCTCCTCGACGTCGTCTGTTGGGACAAGGACCGCTTCGGCAAGGACTACATGGGCGAGTTCGATCTGGCCCTCGAGGACATCTTTCACAACGGCCACACGGCCAAGGAAGCCAGGTGGTACCCGCTCAAGAGCAAGCGCCCTGGCAAGAAGACCGGCCTGGTCTCGGGCGAGATCCTGCTGCAGTTTACCCTTCTCGACATGTCCAATGCAGCCGCCACCCCGGCCCAGATCTTCGACAAGTTCTATGCGCTCGTCAACAGCGTCCCGATCAATGCGACAGACTCCTCCGCTGCTGTCACCCCCTCGCGGACACCTGTGCTCTCACCCACAATCCCGCGCTCGACGCCAGCCTCCGCGGAGCCAGCCCTGTCCAACAACGGCGCCATCGACGACGACGACGCCGACGATGATGATGATGATGATGATGATGACGACGACGACGACGTGAACGACGAGTCAGAGTCATCGGACGAAGTCGACGACCCCTCGAAACCCGACAATGCCGAGAAGCGCAGAAGGCGTCTGCGCGTCAAGGGGTTGAGGAGAAGAAAGAGGCGGGGCGCCTACGCCTTCACAAACGGCGAGCAGGACGTCGTCGGCGTACTGTACCTCGAAATCGTCAAGATCACCGATCTGCCCCCGGAGAGCAACCTCACCCGCACCAGCTTCGACATGGACCCCTTTGTGGTGGCGTCTCTGGGACGACAGACCTTCAAGACGAAGCGTGTCCGTCACAACCTCAACCCAGTCTTCAACGACAAGATGGTGTTCCACGTTCAGGGCCACGAGACGGCGTACCAGCTCGCCTTCACCGTCATCGACCACGACAAGTACTCGGGTAACGACTTTATCGCCTCCTGCAGCCTGCCGATCCAGGAGATTATTGAGCAGGCGCCCGAGGCCAATCCCGAGACGGGGCTGTATGAACTGAGGGACCCGGCCGAGTATTCGCGGACCGCCTTGTCGACGGGCACCAAGAGCCGCTTGAAAAAGTTTGGCATGTCCCGGTCCTCCTCTACACAGAGCTTGACCAAGCTCATCCGACCCGGTCTGAACAAGAGTTCCTCGGCCGCGAGCGGCATCTCACAGGTCTCGGCCGCGGACCAGGCCGCGGCCGCGAGCCGCAACGGCATGCTGGCGCCCCCCGAGCACGCTACTACTACTGCTCCAGCTGCCCTTGGTGCTGCGCCCACGTCGGCACCGGCGTCCGAGCCAGCTGCCGAGACGCCGGGGGAGGCCGAGGGCGACGACTTTGCGAGCGTGACGATCCCTCTGCAGCTCAAGAACCTAGAGAAGTGGGAGGCCAAGCACAACCCTGCCATCTACCTACGGGCCAAGTACATGCCCTACCCAGCGCTCCGCCAGCAGTTCTGGCGCGCCCTGCTGCGGCAGTACGACACGGACGACAGCGGCCGCATCAGCAGGGTGGAGATGATGACGATGCTGGACACACTAGGCTCGACGCTCACCGAATCGACGATTGACAGCTTCTTCCAGAGATACCCGCACAAGGCGGCCGACAATGAGGACACCTGGGAGCTCAGCATGGACGAGGCGGTCCTCTGCCTCGAGGACCAGCTCAACGCCAAGTCGAAGCCGCCGACGGTGGGCGAGAAGCTGAAGCACATGGTCCCGGACATGAAGAACCTGCAGCTACCAGAGGGGGACTCGACGAGCGCCTCGGGCGCGAGCACGCCCGCGGCTAGTGGCATCTCTCAGGGGGCTGTGCCGGAGATCACCAAGGTGGTGAGCGACGAGGGCGACCTCACGCTGGACAACGACCCGGCGGACAATGGCGAGGAGCACGTGATTGAGATCAAGGAGTGCCCCATCTGCCACCAGCCGCGTCTGAACAAGCGCAGCGACGCAGACATTATCACGCACATTGCGACGTGCGCGAGCCAGGACTGGCGGCAGGTCAACACGGTGCTCATGAACGGCTTCGTCACCGCCAGCCAGGCGCAGCGCAAGTGGTACTCCAAGGTGATCACCAAGCTGTCCTACGGAGGCTACAAGCTGGGGGCCAACTCGGCCAACATTCTCGTCCAGGACCGCCTGACGGGCCAGATCAACGAGGAGAAGATGAGTGTCTACGTCCGGATGGGCATCCGGATGCTGTACAAGGGCCTCAAGTCGCGCGACATGGAGAACAAGAGCATCCGCCGGGTGCTGAAGAACCTGAGCATCAAGCAGGGCCGCAAATTCGACGACCCAGCCTCCCGGGACGAGATTGAAAAGTTCATCCACTTCCACCGCCTCGACACGAGCGAGGTGCTCCTGGAGCTGGACGAGTTCAAAAACTTCAACGAGTTCTTCTACCGCGCGCTCAAGCCGGGGGCCCGGCCCTGCTCCGCGCCCGACAACCCCAAGATCATCGTCTCGCCCGCCGACTGCCGCAGCGTCGTGTTCAACCAGATCAACCAGGCCACCAAGATCTGGGTCAAGGGACGCGAATTCAGCATCAAGCGGCTGCTCGGCAAGGCGTACCCGGAGGACGTGCATCGGTACGACGGCGGTGCCTTGGGCATCTTCCGCCTGGCGCCCCAGGACTACCACCGCTTCCACATCCCCGTCGACGGCATCATGGGCGAGCCCAAGATGATTGAGGGCGAGTACTACACGGTCAACCCCATGGCCATCCGGTCGGCGTTGGACGTCTACGGCGAGAACGTCCGCATCCTCGTGCCCGTGGACAGCCCCGTGTTCGGGCGCGTCATGGTCATCTGCGTCGGCGCCATGATGGTGGGCAGCACCGTCATCACCCGCAAGGAGGGCGAGGAGGTGAAGCGCGCCGAGGAGCTGGGCTACTTCAAGTTTGGCGGCAGCACGCTGCTCGTGCTGTTTGAGCCGGGCAGGATGAAGTTTGACGACGATCTGGTCGACAACTCCAACGGCGCCCTCGAGACATTGGTAAGTTGCCAAAAGTGCGTTGACAAGATCGTAGTATGGGCGGCTAACACTTCCAGATCCGCGTGGGCATGTCCATTGGTCACTCGCCCGACGAACCGCAGCACACGCCCGACATGCGCAAGAACGACCAGGAGATCACCGAGGAGGAGAAGCGGATGGCGGCGCGCCGCATCCAGGGCAGCATGGCGGCGGGCGAGTCGCCAGACGACAGCGGTGAAGATGCCTCTCGACCCAAGCGGAAGCTGGGCAAGGCGCCGACAATGAACACGCTGGCGGCGTCGGCGATGTAGAGGGCTTGGTTGGGTGGACGAGGGAAGACTCTTTTGTTTTTACTGTTTTGTTTTTTTAGAGAGCACGGCATGCAACTACTACTACTACTACTACTACACACGGATAGAAGAGGAACGGCGGAGGCCTACAGGAGCGAATGGCCATCTTGATTTACATTTGCTACGCATTGCGTACGTCCGTTGTCCCTAGTGTCTATCCTCTGAATCTACGTATCATCACGTTGAACATGGCGCGCGGAGTGAGAGCATATACAAGGATTGACGAATTGCATGATGATCAGCAACGGAAAGTGACAATGAAAGCTAAAGAAGTATTAAGGGTATGATGCTCCAATTCAACGCCAAGAACGCCCATGTCCTGTCATGTCCTTTAGCCAGCCAGCTGCCATCTTCCTCCTCCTCGACAACGATCAACGGGCCCAGGGGCTGTCGGACTCTCGCTTCGCCCCAAAACTGCCGGTGGAACTTGAACTTGAACTCGAACTCGAGCTTGACCGTCTGGGCTCCATGACTGCTGGTCCGGTGGCTGTTGTTGTTGCTGCTGCTGATGATGAGGTGGTGTCGGGTTGTTGGCGTTGCTGGCGTAGGGACGAGAGGGACGAGTGGATTTGCTTGCAGAGATGCAATGTGAGGGTATGTGAGGGCGCCATTGGGGCGATGGTGGTGAGCGTCTTGGGCGTGCCGTGATGGTTGATGGTTGATGTTGCTTGTAAGTGCGTCCGAGTGCAGTGGGCGCCAAGACCAGGCTGAGATTGGGGGGGGGCGGGGGGGGGGGGCAGAGTTGCTAGTAATTGTGATGGGAGCTAGTCTGGGATTGACTCGGTAAATAATGTACTGGAGTATATAGTATAATATGAGAGAGAGAGCACCTTACGAGAGGGGGAGAAATAGAACGGATAGGGACGGGCTGGTCAGCAGAGGGTGAGGAGGGCGTAGTAGAGTGGTCTGATGTTTATATCGCCAGACATGATGTGATCCGTTCCGTTTTATGAGCCCAGGCCCAGCCAGCAGCGCCTTTCCGAGCAATACACCCTACCAATCGCAGCGGGCGGGGACAAGGCATCAATCAATTGTCCCTAATCAGGGAGGTCACCAAGGGACCAGACTTACTCGTTGGGGGCGTCTAGAATTGGGGAGAGCTGGCCCGCTGGGACGGGGGCGGCTGGGTCGGCTGGAAAGGCGATGGAGGATTTGTCGGAGCCTGAACATGATTCGATTCATGCATCCATTCATGCATGCACACACGCACGCACGCACCAGACGCCTTCTAGAACAATGACCCTCCTCCTCACCTCCCACCTCGCATGGCGACGGCGGCAGTACACACAGCCAAGCATGAGGAATGCAATCCATTAAAGCCAGCTAAATCGAGGTATCAAAAAGATCAAGCAGAGTGAACAAACAAGAATCCGTCAAGCATACGCCTTTGCGACCGTCAAGGGTTCCACGTCCCGACTTGAAAACGCAGCGTGACCGACTTTGCCCTCGGTGACCACGCCCCACGTCAACGGCAGAGCCGCAATGTCTGCCCCCTCGGCAGCAGAACGATGACACCGCGCGCTGATGACTGCCGAGCACGAGCCGCCCTTGAGCGACAGCGGGTTCCCGGGACGACGTCCTTCGTCGCTTGCCGGCCCAATGTCGGATCTCCTCAGCGACAGGCCCAGGACCATGACGGCCGTGACGGCCAGGAGGCCAATCAGGATCACCAGCGGCAGAGGGTTGAGGCTGATCGTGGGCGTCGAGTCCAAGGTCGTCAGATGGAACGACTGGCTCAGCATGAACCCCTTGGCCACAAAGAGCAGGAAGAGCACCCACGACAGCGGCCGTGGCAGGGACAGGTAGTACGATGTCGTCTGCGCGCCCAGCGGCTGGCCAGACGAGATGCGCAGGGAGCAGAAGTTGCCCGGGATCGCAAACTGCGAAAACTCCCGGGCGAGGTAGAACACGGTCAAGATGGCATTTGTCGAGAAGTAGAGGGCCGCCAGCAGGAGGTGCGGCAGCGCCAGCAGCATGGACTCGCCGAGGCGTGGGATCGACAGCGGCAGGGTGTATGTCACCGTCGGCTTGTTAAAGGACCCAAACGCGTTCTTCGGTCCGTCCACGAGGGCCATGCCCAGCATGGCCCCGGCCATGCCCGTCGGCAGCAGCCAGGTCACGAACCACCCTACCCATCGCACCTTGGACGGCACCGCGATCCACCGGTGCGTCTGCGAGAACCAGTACCGCGCCTCGCCGCAGCCCCAGCGCCCAGACGTAATGTCCGCCTTGGTGACGAGGCATGCGCCCTCTGTATCCTGGTCTGCCTCGGTGATGAATGAGGCTATGGCGTCGCCGACGGTCACGAGCGGATTGCTGGACGCCGGTCGGGCGAGTGCTGCCGCCAGCCCCAAGATGAAGACCAGGTTGAGAATGGCCACGGCGCCTAGCAGAGCGCCATTCATCATGAGCTCGCAAGAGGCCCCGTCGTCGTTCCGAGTCGTAAAGAGGATCGAGTTGTAGCTGTGGCCGGGTCAGTCAGCGTCCTTCGATTAGTCAAGAAGAAAAAGGGGCTTCGGTACGCACACAACCTGCGCGCCAACGGCCATGACAATGATTAGGGCCGACAGCAGAGCTCGACTTGCTGAAATAGCTTTCAAGTTCCTCACCGAGGGGATGCCGATATCCAGCGCCCTCTGCTTGCTGTGCGCCGCCGCCACCTCCGTCCGTGTCGGGCTGACCAGCACCTGGCCAACGTAGTTGGCGCACACAATGAAGAAGACGGCAAACACGTTCAGCGGCACGTGTAATCCGAGATCGATCGAGCTGACCCGGCCACAGGTCCCCTGCAGCATCGTCGTCGGCTCCGCTTCCAGCCGCCCCGTGGTGACGGCAACGACGACACAAACAATCGCCGCCAAGAGGATCGCGAATGCAAGCGACATGTTGAGCGCGATGCCACCCCTCCACCCGGACATGAACCTCTTGAGGAAACTTCCCTTCTTCCCGTTGCCCAGCATGTCCTCCAAGTTACCCCTCGATCCCATGCGCGAATGCGTCGAGAAGAACTCGGCCACCTGCGAGTGCTGGTTCCTCGTGTGGCCCGGCTCCGCGCCACGACTGCCACCCTCGCGCTCGTGCTGTTTCCGGGCGAGTGACTCTGGGGTCTCGCCCCTCATGAAATTCACCACATAGTCCGGGATGATGTCGCTCCCCAGGACGCTCGACGCAGGTCGAAGGTTGATCCATCCGCTGTTTCTCCTCAGGAAGCTCGTACTGCGCGAGTTTTGTGCCGAGTGCTGTGTGTATTGTTGCGTCGAGTGTTGCGTCGAGGGTTGCGTCGAGTGGCGATGTGAAGAACCAGCCATGGACTGGGCGGTAAACGGCCACCCAAATGTCGGTCGGTTGGATGAGGACGTCGTCACATTCCGAGTCGGAGGCGGGCTTTCCTCACCCGGGATCTCGGGGATACTCTCAATCGTCGTCGAACCGTTCCTGGGATGCCTGTAGGAGGACGATCCCGTCCTGTGCCTCCCGTTGTTGAACACGCGCATCTTCCCCGTTGCTGGGCCCTAGGCTAGGGCGTTGTCTCTTGTTGTCAGAGTGGAATGAATGTGGCCGTTGTATGAGAATCGAATTGTCAAGCTGCCAGCTCACACGGATCGCCGTGGACGAGCGAGTAAGAATGGCAAGAAATGAAGGAGGGTGTGGACCGACCAAGCAGTACCTGCACGAAAGAAAGAGTGACTGTGAATCGAAAGAAAGGAATGAATGACAACGAAGCAACCGCAAATAGCCCAGGCCAGCATCTGATACGAGGAGGGGAGAGAGAGAGTCTCGCTCTCTGACTGGTGGCCACGGCATGAATATGTATGTACGTACGTACGAGCATGAGAGCCAGCCAGCCAGGTGTGTCGTTTTCGTTGGCCAGGGGTGGACTAGGGGCGCACGGCGGATGACAGGGGAAGGCTATGCGTTACAGAAATGGTCGTCTCTTCTTTCTGCTGGGGCCCGAGACTCATAGTGAGACTTGGGAGTCTACACCAACAAACATCCTGGCGCCCGACGGGCTCAACAGCCTCGAGGGGCATGGCCAAGCACAGTCGCCTGAGAAGAGTGAACTCGAGGTCAGGGCTGGGCTCAGCATCAACTCCAGAGCGACATTGTGCCGCCTCTCACGCAATTCATGGAGTCCAGTCTGCTCAACGTCGCCCAGTACATCGGACATGAGAGGAGGACGAGGAGGACTCGGTAGAGGACGAGAGTCAGTGGTTGCACGAATTCAGCCCACCGACCAGGGTTGCCGTTTCATCTCGCGGGTCCGACGCCAGGGATCATTAATCTTCGGCAGTGTACGTAGCAATTTCCTCTCGCTTGTCCAACCCACCCTGGCAATGCGATTGGCAACGCTTCTTTTGCAGATGGCTGAACTGGTAAAGTCGTGGACCTAAATAAAGGTGACTGGCGATCCGTGACGCTGTGTCCGGGTTTGGGTGTTCTTATAAGTAGTTGGTACCCATGGCTGTACGCCGTAACTTGCTTTGCAATCTGCAATGCGTATCATACATTCATGCATGCATCCACCCCCCACTGCGGCATGGCTTCAACGGTCCAACCTCTGGCCGCCGCCCAGCGCCAGGAGGCCAGGTTTCAATGCGGGTGCATCAAGTCGCCCTCGGAGATTTCCAAGGATGGCTCGGGAGATGCGCGGGAGATGCGCGCAGGCTTATATTAACCTAGATTGGCGACGCATGGTCGAGACAACGATGTTCTCTATGGGAGGTAGAACATGTGAGGGGAGCGTCACGCTCATCAGAGGCGGGATGGGAAGAGGGAGATGGTGTACTTTTACTATCAGAAAGGAAAGAGAGACCGTGGCATGGATGCAGAGCACCTTCCGTGGCGGGATCCAGACATCACGCCCATTCTGCACAGTCTGCAGCATGACTTACCCTGTACCACAAAAATTCATCTATTCACAAAGAGTCCAATGCATCAATCACATAATGGCTACTTTGTGTAAAACCACTGAGATATACAGGTTGTCTGCTATTTCAATGGGTCTCGTGAAGTCTTGACCCAGGCCCAAACGCCGTACATGAAACGTCGTAACGCTCGCCGCAATCCGATGTCCAGTGAGAAAACGAATGATATGTATCCTCTTCACCAACCCTGGGGACGCCAAAACAAAAACGCCCACCCGAGTTGTACATCATGCTTCGCTCCTCTCGTAAGCAGCTCGACCAATCAGTCAGTGACAGCGCTCTCGTCTGCCTGCTGCTCCTTGCCCTCGGACGACACGCTAATGTTCGCGCGAGCCGTCTTCTGAGACTCCACGAACCTGTCATAGTGCTCGGGGTCAGCCTCTTTCATGCACCGCAGAACCATCTCCCGATCCTCCTTGAACACCCGCGTCGGCCCCTTCTCCTTCACTGCCTCCAGAAGCTCTCCGCCAATATCATCGGCCAGGCCAGTGAGGAGCTGGACATGCTTGGGGTCGGAGCCAATGTCGTCAATGGTGGTCAGGAGATCAACTTGCTCCTTTGTGAAGAACCCTGACCGGAAGCGGTGGCCAGCGCGGTGGACGCGACCTTCCTCCTCCGCCAGCAGCTTGGACAACACGGAACTGGACCGCGACAATGCCTTGGCTGGGCGTATCTTCGAGTCATCCTCGCCATCCGAGATGGCAGTAGTGTCATCGCCGGGAGGCGTCGTAGATAGATCCTCCATCCGCACGTGGAGCTGAGGCGGCGGGGTGTCTGTGCCAGGCACACCACCTTCCCTCGTGTCTGGGTACTCGTCTTCGAACCGTTTGATGATGCCCTTGAGCGTGTCATCCAGGAAAATGAGCTTGCGAAGATTCACCTCGTCTGCTGGGTTGGTCCTGGCCTTGACAAGCGCAGGCTGAATACGCAGACGGATCTTGCGGGCTCCGGCCAGGAGATGTTTGGACATGTCTTTGGCTTTCCCGGCTGTTGCTAGTTTTGTGGCGGCATTGTCGCCGTTGGCATCGCGAGTAAACTCGCCTGATGGTCTGCGCGAATCGTCACCCCGGTTCTTCAAGCAGCAAGTCAAGGCCTTGACAACGCCGGTACCACCAATGACGTAGTCTTCATCCGGCGCGGGTTCCTCGTCGGTGTCCATATTCTCAGAGTCAAGCACATCGTGGCCGACCAGGTGAGCCAAAACGTCTGGATAGCCCGGTGGAGATTTGGTTTTGGCACCATTCTCCGTCTGGGCTTCACCAAGCGCCGCTGAAACAGCTGCGCCAATGTCGGGGTCATGAATGCGCTCCATGTTGCGCAGACAGTAAGCGACCACCTGCTTCGCCATGGCCTTGACAATTTCGCCTGACCCCTCGCTAGGCACTTCAATGTCAATGCAGATCAGGCTCTTTGAGAGCCTCGCAGCAGCCATCAACGATGCATGCAGTGCGCACGCCTCTTCTTGATCCTCCTCTGACCGTGCGTCTGCAAGCTTCACTAGGTCTGCATTCTCCAAAAGGTTGATGTGGGCCAGGGAGGGCACCTCGGGCAGGATCTCAATGAGGGCGATGGCCTGCTCGGCGTTCATTCCCACATCCTGTAGATGAATACGCTTCAATGGTTTCATCTTCGGTAGATTCCTGCACAAGGGGTTAATCCACGCGTCGCGAGCGAGACTTTGAGACACTTACTTTCTTAATAACGCCAGAGATCGCTGTTCCGTTTGGCCGGGCGGGAAGAGATCGTGATTGTGCGATAGGTCAATGAATCGGAAGTTTTCGAGTTTCGTCAGGACCGAGAGGATCGTGCCAAGCGCGATGTAGTCGATATTGCACGCCGAGAGACTGAGTGCCCACAAGGGATCAGTCTCTCTGAGATGTTCCGCAATCAGACCTATGTGGTCACGCAGGTCGTTGCCGCCGAGATCGAGGCCCACGCACTTCCCTGAGGCTAGGAACTTGTTCACGTGGGCAACACCTTGCGCATCAAGCTTGTTGTTGGCCAGCCCTAGGCGCGAGACGCCGCACTTGATCACGCCATCAATGATCGTGCCCAACTGGTCCATGGCCGGGAGCGTCTCGCCAAGGTTGAGCAGTTCCAAGGATCCGCCAAGGCGATCCGTCAACGCCGCTGCGAAAATCTCGGCAATACCTTGCGGGACAGACACGCCGTTGGGGAGGGTGCCTTTGCTTTGGCAAGCTGCTTGCCGAGGAAATTGGACCCGGGACAAGTCGAGGTGCTTGATCGACCGGCAGTGGTACAAGAAGAGAGAGATATGTTTCCAGCCATCCGGACCAATCTTGTTGCTCTTGATGACCAGACGCTCAATGACACCCCCTTTTCCCTCAGGCTCGTGTTTGGCTTTCCTGCGCTTTGGGTCAGGGCGACGGGCTGCGAGGAGCCCCGCCAGTACCATTCGCAATCCCTCGTCGTTCAGGTTGCAGTCCTCCAGGATCAGCTCTATCACCGGCACAACCGCCAGATAATCACCCAGGGTTGTAATGTCCACGCTCTGAAGATAATACCCGGTAAGATCCAGCTTGCCCACCACCCCTGTGGCCTCGGACGAGTTGGTGGGATCGAGCAGCTGCTCCGTGACCTTTTTGAGTATCGGACTCTCCCGTAGCTGGCAGCATCGGCGGTATATCCGGACAGGGTTGATCGTGGGAGAGTGCTGTGTTTTTGGGCTGTCCGAATTGTCGTTGCTGTCGCTAGAGTCGCTGCTGTATCGAATCTCCATGGGAATCGAGCCGTTGGCCTCGGCCAGCTTTCGCTTCTTCTCCTTCCTTGCCTTCCTTTCCTCCTCGCTCTTCTTCTTCTTCTCCTTCTTCTTGGTGTTCTCGGGAGCCCCATGATCTGCCTTGGGCTCAACTTCAGCAGGCTTGGCAGGCTCGTCGACAGCAGCAGGGGCCTCGCTGGGTATAGGTTTGGGCTCCACAGGCGTCAGAGGCATTTCTCCGTGGGCCTCCTTCTTCTCTTCCATAGCCTTGGGATTCTTCAGCGCCTCGCCTTCGCCCTTCTCGGTGACCTTCTTCTTTGATGCCGTATCCACGGGCGCGCGCTCGTTGACTTCGGGGTCCGCGTATTTGGGCATTGGGGCAATCTCGACATCCACACAGAAAGACACCTTCTTCATCTTGGCATCCTTGAGCTCTGAAATGGGGCATCGCTGCCTGTTCTGGTCCACGTTCAGGACCCGCCGCTCTACAAGACCATTTCCCGTCCTGGCGGCATGGTGATTGGCGCCTGATGACGAGAGGCGCCTGAACACGCCCAGAATCCCGGCCTGGCCAGTCCTTGGAGGAGCCGGTGTATATGGTCCATTGCCTGTCGGTCTTTGTGCCGGAGGCAGCACAGCACTTCTGGAGTTTCCCACCTGGGGGACCCGAGGCTGGGACGGTTGGGGTGGCGTGGGCGGCGTCCCGACCGTATCTTCCTGCTCGGGGATCTCCTGTGGTGGTCCATTCAGTGCATCGGAAGCCGCGTGGTTCGATGAGAATTTGGCCGAGATATTGGAGAACCAGGAATTGCGCCGACCTGGGGAGCTGCCCAGGGGACTTGTGCCATTCTTCTCTACAGACCCTGACCGTGATCGTGAACGCCTGCCTATTGGAAGTGCTTGGCTGTTTATGGCAGCGGCCGCAGCAGTAGTAGCAGGTGCCGCATGGCTGTTGCCATTTGGGTGGTGGTTGCCATTCGGTATCGTTTTGGCTTCGACCGACGTCGGCTTTGAATTCGGGCCGGTTGCTGCTCGCGGCTGCGCGGGAGCCGGTGTCTTCAATGGAGGCGATGAAGGCTTCTTATTAAACTTGTCTGTAGTTGTCAGAATCGCGACCGCAAGACCATGGGCATTGGTTGCAAGGCGCCAGCTGGCTTGGAAGACAAGGCCGGGACAGCCGAGGCGACAATGCGAACGAGCATACCTTTTGGAGAGGCCTGTGTCATCCAACTGACATCAACGCCGTGCACTTGTTCCATACTTGACATGGAAGCGCATGAGAATACAAGGGGCTAAAACCAACGCGAGACAGGAGCTTGGTCAAGCACTAAGAAAGGAGTGAAAGTAAGTGACCAGACGCTGCGATTTGATATGTAATGCACCGTGGTGGCCGATCGTCAGCCTGAGCAGCGCTGACTGGAGACTCGGAGAGGACTGGAAGTCGCTCAGCGTGGGTCCTGGTCCTGGGCTTCCAGTCCGGTCCAGTCGGTCGGACGCTATAAGCGTTCAGTGATCAGTGATCAGTGAGCACCGAGGGGACATGGAGGGTTCACTGTTCAGTGAGACAGGGACTTCTCATGCCCTAGCGCATCCCCGGTGCGAACGTTGGGCGAGCAGACGAGCAGCGGTGAGCAAGGAGCAGCTATGCTCGCATGATCTAGAAAATCAAGATCAATGGTGCAATTCGCATGCTATGGTCAAGAGGCTTCTCTGCTTGGGCGAGGAGGGTTCGTATTGTGCAACTTCAAGTGGTAGAGCGAGTGATTGATTGAACTGAAGGCGGCGACCGACGGAATGGGACCAACATGAGGGGGCTACTGGACCTTTTCGAGGCAAGAGCCGGCCAGTAGGCGCGCGCGCTCCTTCGTCATAGCAGATCGGAGGGCTGCGGGCACATGCTCGGTCCCACTACCGTGCGCCCTGGAGCCAATCAGCATCGCATCACCCACGACAGTCTGGGGTAAGGCATCCACTGTCACACCCTGGAACTCAAAATTACCACGCTGAAGAAACGCAAAAGGGCTGCCAACGTCATGTCGGTTGTTTCAACTGTGACGACGGACGCGGGTTAATGTTCACCTCAGATGTCTCATCGGGATCTATTCGGCTTTTGGTGAGGCACCGTTCGCCACCGCTGAACCAACCGGGCGTCCCACAGCAGATGGTATCCATACCGAGACTCGTCTGCGGAGATCAGCGCAGAGACGGATACGCTCCAGTCCCTTTTGTTGGTTCAAAAACCCTCACCGGGGACCATGGTGACAGACGTCACCGCCGCCTGTCAACATTCTAGTGCAACCACACCTCCCACAACCATCGGCAAGATCCTCCATGGGATCCGCATGGAGTGGCGGCGTAACAAGCACCGCTCACGCAAGTGAGAGCTTCACCGTGCTGCAAACGGCGCGACTCAAAATTAAACATGTAGCTTCTGTGTAGGTACCGCAACACCCCGTGTCTTAGGAGGATCAGAACAGTGTTCAGTTCTGGAAAAAGGGTTCCTAGAGAGCATGCACCTCTGCGATCTCCTGACTAGTGTCGGACACGTCTCGGACGCCGCACATGCGGGGCCACCGGACACTTCGCGTGAATCAATTCCGTGGGAGCAAGTACCATAGCAACGACAACAAGCACAAGTATGGGCAGGCTTCCAGCGGTAGCTTTCAAACAACCGCATGATATTGGAGCGCAAGTGCTGGGTCGCAGGGAGACCAGGCAAATGGACGTGGACTCATGATACTTTTATTCATTGACCATAGGCAGACCTTCTGCACAAAACTCCGAAACCAGGCCCAAGCCGTGAAGTAAAACCCTCGCGATAGATTGAAGCGGACAACAATAGTACTCTACTCCTCGTCCAGGATCTCCTGGATGCGCTCCTTGATGCCAGCCTCCTTCTCCTCCTTGGTCAGCTTGCGGTCCTTGTGCTTCTTGGAGATCTCCTTCCACTCGGCCTTGGACTTCTTGGGCGCGTCGGACTCAGCCTTCTTCCAGGGGTCCTCGCGGATGGCCTTGTGGGCCTCGGCGTAGAGGTCCTCAAGACCGTCGGCCTCGACGTCGTCGTCGACGTACTGCTGGAACTGGGAGGCGAAGCGCTCCTCATCGTCGTCGGCGAGGGTCTCCATGTACTCGGCCACGTGGCCACCGAAGATGTAGCGGCGGAGGGTGTCGGCGTCGAGCTCCTTGGACTCCATGTCGTAGCCGGGGAAACGCTTGTCGGAGTGGGGGATGAGGATGCCACCGTCCGAGGCACCCTTCATGGCACCGAAGACACGGGCACCGGTGGAAGTGCGGGCAAGACCGACGTCGAGGAAGGCCTTGAAGGGGCGGCGCTCCTCGCCGTCCTCGCCCTCGGCGGCCTCGGTGAGGGTGAACTCACCGTCAGCCTCCTCGACACCAGTGAACTGCTTGTCGAGGCCGAGCTTGCTGAGGACACGGCGGGCCAGAAGGAGACCAGTGGCGTAGGCGGCAGCCCAGTTGGTAAGACCGTGCTCGATGCCGTAGGCCTTGAGCTCGTGGCCGTAGGCGGCAGCGAAGACCTTGTCGCCGGAGACCTCCGAGGTCACAATCTGGGTGATAATGTCCTTGTTGGTGAAGCGGACGACCATGCGGTACTTGGGCGCATTGTACTTGTTCTTGGCCTGGGTGATGAGGCGCTTGCGGGCGTAGTAGTCGGTCTTGCCTTGCTGGCGACGCTTGTACTTGGTTTGGTAGCGGCTGGGAGCAGGTCAGCATGTGACCGTTGATCCCCAAGTAGTGGTGATGGAGTACTCACCTGTAGTACGCGCTGTTCTTGACCAACTTGTGGAAAGGCTGTCAAGACCATCGAGTCAGCAATTTGCGCTTCAGAGTGCTCGTCCTCCCTTCCGAAGCAACTTGCGTGGACTCTCCCGAGCAGAGAAAGAGACGGACATTTCTGTCCTTTGCGAAACAATGGCACCACTACTCCTCAGAGGAGGCAGTGGCCCAGGATAGGCCTGTTTCAACTTACCATCTTGACGGTTGTTGCGCGTTGCGGCTTGTTGTCCTGATGATCAAGGGAATGGCTCGTCAAAGTGCAAAGGCCAGGAGAAAAGAGAGGGCGTAAATTTTGGTGGGGGATTTTTCAATTCGCAGCCCTAACGGCGTTGCACAGCGTGCGGCCCCACTCCCGTGAGTTCTGTGCAGTGGTGAAGCTGCAACGGCTCTGTGGTCGGGGACGAGTCACATGACAGGCGCTTGACCGGGTGTGGCTCATGTAAGGCTGCGCCACAGTGAGCCGCTATCTTATCGGCCAGGGCCCTAGAGTGCATGGTCTCGCCGTCACGGCGCGCGAACTGCATCGTATGAAGCCATTCATTCCTACCGGCGCGATCACTGGGAATTCGCTTGAAGCTGTACGAGTCTGGCTATTTTAGACATAGGCAGCGTTACTTTACATACTGGGGCAAGGCATGCTCCCCAGAGGATACTACAGTGGCATCTCGGGCCCCTATCCGGCACCCTTACCTGTATCTGCTGCCAGCGTACGGATACAGACTCGCCTGTCTTTGTCGCTCAGGCTACTAACGTTACGGGCCACATCCACTTGCAACGCCGACCGCCGATATATCCCCGGTAGCCCCAACAGCCGGATAGCAAGCGCGACCTCGACTGCTAGCATTACTCAACCGTCACCCTCGTCACCTTGCCCTGCAAAGAAGCTGAGGAGGAGTAGCAGCAACATCAACAACCGTCTTTGCTCATCACAGCTTTCTGCAGCGTCCTATCGACGGCTATTTACTACCTCAGCAGCCATGGGTGCCACGAAGCTCGATGGCACGGCCATCGCCAAGAGCATCCGTGAGCGCTTGGGTCGGGAGATTGCCGAGAAGCAGAAGCTCAATGCGCGCTACAAGCCTTCTCTGAAGATCATCCAGGGCATGTGCAGCTCAATGTAAACAATATCTTGTAGCCCTGGCTAACTTTGCAACAGTTGGCGACCGCTCGGATTCGAGTACGTGTGCTTCTTTCTTTCTTTCTTGTCTTGATACCCCGCCCCCGCCTTGGAGATGTGAAGAAAGACGCATAGTCGCCCAGCCACCGCGCTACCCCCTGATACGGCCATATGCACGAGCGATTGACTGACAGATCCATCTAGCCACGTATGTTCGAATGAAGCTCAAGGCTGCGGCAGAGGTGGGTACGACAAGTTGGCGGTTGTGGACGTTGGGCTAACAGTGAGTAGGCGGCCATTCAGTGTGAACACATTTGCCTCCCGGAGTCTGTCACTGAGCCAGAGGTGCTGGACAAGCTTCGGCAATTGAACAATAACCCCGAGGTGCACGGCATTCTCGTGCAGCTCCCGCTACCCAGCCATCTCTCCGAGTACAACATCACCTCAGCGGTCGCTGACGAGAAGGATGTCGATGGTTTCGGGACTCGGAACATTGGCGAGCTCGCCAAGAAGGGCGGTCATCCCCTATTCACACCCTGCACGCCCAAGGGTGTCATGTATCTGCTCCAAGAGGCCGGAGTTTCTCTCACAGGGAATTCGGCCGTCGTCATTGGGCGAAGTGACATTGTTGGGAACCCCGTGAGCTACCTGCTCAGGAATGCCGATGCTACAGTCACCGTGTGCCACTCCAAGACGACAAACCTCGAGGAAATGGTCAGGACTGCAGACGTGGTGGTGGCTGCCATGGGACAGCCCCGGTTTGTCAAGGGCGATTGGATCAAGGAGGGCGCGGTCGTGATTGATGTCGGCACCAACTTCATATCTGACGACACCAAGAAGTCGGGATATCGCCTGGTGGGCGACGTCGACTACGACTCGGCGGCCGAGAGGGCCTCTGCCATCACCCCTGTCCCGGGTGGTGTCGGTCCCATGACAGTGGCCATGCTTATGCAAAACGTCGTGGACGCAACGACCGTCTACTTTGAGAGGCAGAAGCTCCGGAAGACTGTGCCCCTCCCTCTCCACCTCAAGGACCCTGTCCCCTCGGACATCGCAATCTCGAGGGCACAGCAGCCTAAGCAGATCACACAGATCGCCGCCGAGGTGGGCATCTCGCCCCATGAGCTGGAGCCTTACGGCGCCTACAAGGCCAAGGTCGACCTGGATCTTCTGCGGCGTCTGGACCACCGCCGCAACGGCCGCTACGTTGTGGTCACGGGCATCACTCCCACGCCCCTGGGTGAGGGCAAGTCGACCACAACCATGGGTCTGGCGCAGGCTCTCGGTGCTCACGTTGGGCGCCTGACCTTTGCCAACGTGCGCCAGCCCAGCCAGGGTCCGACATTCGGCATCAAGGGCGGCGCTGCTGGCGGCGGCTACAGCCAAGTCATCCCCATGGATGAGTTCAACCTGCACCTGACTGGTGACATTCACGCCATCACCGCAGCCAACAACTTGCTAGCTGCCGCCATCGAGACGCGTATCTTCCACGAGAACACGCAGAAGGACGGGCCCCTCTACCGCCGTCTTGTGCCCGCCAAGAACGGCGTCAGGAAGTTTGCGCCGGTCATGTTCCGCCGCTTGCAGAAGCTCGGAATCACCGAGACCAACCCCGATGAGCTGACAGAGGACGAGATCCACCGTTTTGCTCGGTTGGACATTGACCCAGAGACAATCACGTGGAGACGCGTGCTCGATGTCAACGATCGCCATCTCCGTGGCATCACCGTCGGCACTGCGCCTACCGAGAAGGGCCAGACACGCGAGACCGGCTTCGACATCTCGGTCGCCAGCGAGTGCATGGCGATCCTCGCCCTCAGCACCAGTCTAGCGGACATGCGGGAGCGTCTTGGCCGCATGGTCATCGGCTCGTCAAGGAGCGGCGACCCCGTCACGTGCGACGACATTGGCGCTGGTGGCGCCTTGACTGCGCTCATGAAGGATGCGATCAAGCCCAACCTCATGCAGACACTGGAAGGCACGCCTGTGTTCGTCCATGCCGGACCCTTTGCAAACATTAGCATTGGTCAGAGCTCCATCCTGGCCGACAAGCTGGCTCTGAAGCTGGCTGGTACGGAAGCCGATGAGGATCACAGCGAGAGGGCTGGCTTCGTTGTCACGGAGGCTGGCTTTGATTTCACCATGGGCGGCGAGCGCTTCTTCAACATCAAGTGCCGCACGTCTGGCCTCGAACCGGACGTCGTAGTGGTGGTGGCGACCGTCCGGGCGCTCAAGGTGCACGGTGGAGGCCCGCCCATTGCGCCGGGCGCCGCGCTCGACCCGGTATACAAGCAGGAGAATGTCGACATCCTCCGCGCGGGCTGCGTCAACTTGAAGAAGCACATTGAGAACGCCAAGTCGTTCGGCATCCCCGTCGTCGTGGCCATAAACAAGATGAACACCGACACCGATGCCGAGGTCGCCGTCATCCGCGAGGAGGCCATCGCCGCCGGGGCCGAGGACGCCATTCTCTCCAGCCACTGGGCGGAGGGCGGCAAGGGCGCCGTGGACCTCGCCAAGGGCGTCATCGCTGCGAGCGAGAAGCCCAAGGAGATGAGGCTGACGTACAGCCTCGAGGGGTCGATCCAGGACCGCATTGAGGCCATCGGCCGCAAGATGTACGGCGCGGAAAAGGTCGACTTCAGCGAGCTGGCGCAGAAGAAGGTGGACATGTACACCAAGCAGGGGTACGGGAACCTCCCCATCTGTGTGGCCAAGACGCAGTACTCGCTGTCGCACGACCCGGATCTGAAGGGCGCGCCAACGGGCTTCACGGTGCCGATCCGCGACGTGAGGATGGCAGCTGGCGCAGGTTACTTGTATGTTTCATGTTTGTCCGTTTCAGTGATATCCGGTGCTAATGAAAGTAGGTATGCCCTTGCGGCTGACATTCAGACCATCCCTGGTCTGCCCACGGCGCCTGGGTACCTCAACGTCGACGTCGACCCCGAGACTGGCGAGATTGACGGTCTCTTCTAAGTGTACAAACAACATGCATCGAAGGATTCTGGATGATGGTTATAACTCAACGTGCCACGATATAGGATTGGGATGGGAAGAAGGGTTGGTGCATGCATTGTCGAATTCAACACAGCGAAGGTACATGTCATTTTTCTGGGGATGTGATACATGAGTCTCGAGATGGTCCATTGATATAGAAATGCAATGTCTCGTGAACTACCCGAGCGTGGTGAAGCGTATTGAATACTGGTGTCTGTGTCTGCCACGGCGAGCCGAGGTTGTTTGTCGGATTGCCGACGGACGGACGTGGGGGATCGACCGCCAACACGTTCAAGGCGCGCTCACTCACTTCCAGTCCTCACTTGCACTCAGGACAGACGTTCACCAGTTTCACTCATTTGAAGACCTATATATACAATCAAGGCAATCAGCCACCGTTCACCATGGCCACGCAGCAGCAGCCCAAGGTCCTGCTCTTCGACATTGGCGGCGTCTGTGTACGTCCCGTCTCACACACCCATCCCTCACATTGCTCACCAAGCTAACCATTCCCCCTCAGGTCGTCTCTCCTTTCCAAGCCATCTTGGACTACGAGCTGTCACTGGGCATCCCACCCGGTTGGGTCAACTACTCCATCTCCCAGACCAAGCCCCACGGCTTCTGGCACCGTCTCGAGCGCGGCGCCATACCCATGGACCAGGCCTTCTTTGCCGGCTTCAACGCAGATTTGCACCACGAGGGCCGCTGGCGTGCCTTTTACGCCCGCGAGGCGGCCAAGAAGAAGAAGGACGGCCACCAGCTGTCGAGCAGTCACATCCCGCCCGTGCCGCGCATGGACGGCGAGTGGCTCTTCAACGAGATGATGACGGCGAGCAACCACCCGGATCCGTGGATGTTCCCAGCCCTGCAGGAACTCCGGGCGAGTAGGCGGTACATCCTCGCCGCGCTCAGCAACACGGTCATCTTCCCCGTCGGTCACACCCTGCACGCTGAACCTCCGTTTGAAGACCCTGTGCGGAGGCTCTTTGACGTGTTCGTCTCGTCCGCTCACGTGGGCATGCGCAAGCCAGACCCCAAGATGTACCAGTATGCTCTGGAGCAGGTGGATAGGTACGCCCAAGATCATGGCAAGGGCTCAGTCGGACCGGGCGACGTTGTCTTTCTAGACGACATTGGCGAGAACCTCAAGGAGGCGAAACGTCAAGGGTTCCAGACCATCAAGGTACCGCTGGGCAGGACATACGAGGCCGTGGGAGAGTTGGAACGTATCACAGGCCTGCAGCTGGACGGTGGTCACCCCAAGATTGCCATTGAGCCGAAATATCCAGCGCCAAAGGCGAAGATGTAATGGAACTGCAAAAGCAAAAAGAGGCCATGTTGGTCTGCACCTTGTCAAGAGCCGACAGCAGTGCAGACATGTCCATCAAACACCGAGTTGCACTAGCTACTTTATGTTACCGGTAAGAGAGAGACAGAGATCGCCCTCGTCATCTCGATCAATAAAAACAAACGCCAGCTAGAAGGACAATGGTATCATGAATCACAAGCCCTCCACAGTCCAAAACGCCGATACAAACAATGTAAATCTCGTGCCCGAACCAATCGCCGGTAGCCATGTCAGCCACCCCTGTTTGGCTGTCAACGTCGGAGCAAGGCTCAAGCACGTCAATCATCATCCAGGATTTCAATCACTGCGGACTTGTTGTTGACTCGCCTCGCTGCGGCAAGGGACTTTTGCTCGCCGTCGTCCGTGTCCAGGTCATCCGGCTCATCAACAGCAGTCCACGCGCCGTCGGCGGCTACCTGGATAGACTTGACCATCGGACGACCAGCCTCCACGAGGCTGTCCCGGACGCCTTTCAAGAAGAGGTCGACAACCAACACTGACGGTCGCGCGTCTGCGCCGCAGATGGGGCATTTCCACTCGTCGACAGCCGAGGGCTCCTCTGCGGACGTCCTCCCCGCTGTCTTCTTCCCGCTCCTCGTGTTGAGCCAGTGGGTAAGATCGAAGCATTCCAGGTGCTTGCAGGCTTTTCCTCGCACTGGAACAGTGAACTGCAATGAGCTAAAGGGGTCTGCCAAGGACACGGTAAGGGTATTCGACGCAAAAGCGACTTCTTCATCGTCGTGAGCTGCCTGGAGCCTCTGCGCGATAGCATTCTTTGTCTGCTCCGCATCCATGGTTTGCCTGGTTGTAATAGATTGCACAAGGTCATCGTGCTGTCGTGTAACCACGCATTCCACGGCAAAGAAGAAGTGCACCCCTCCAGCCACATTCTTCTTATTCTTGGGCACGCTTATTTTGACCTTGTTCCGACCCTCAAGCAGAAAATCGCTCAGCTCAGCAGGCAAATCGCGTTTGAAATGCTGCTTCCGACCGAGTTGGATAGGTTGGTCGTTGATCTGAACATAACACTCCGCAGGCCACGAATTCGGCCGAACGGCCCAATCTGACATGGAGACCTTGTCAGAGTCCGGCCCCGACTGCGTCAAGCAGCGCAGCCGCCAACGATATGTGCCGTGCGAGAAGAGCCTGATTGGAAGACCAGAGTGGTTCACTGCTTTTTGGGGCAATGCCGCCAGCTGAGCAGCAGAGACGTCGAACTCGAGAGCCTTGATCCCCATGGCAGCGCCCACCAGCACTGGCACGACTGCAAACCCTTCAATGTACTGGTAGTGTCTGCCAGCGGAATCATTCGTAGGCTTTCGAGAGGGGCTGCGGAGTTGTGGCAGATGCGCAGCCATCTGCACGGTTTCCCAAGAATTCGGCCCCGTCACAGGATACCTATGCGGGGGAATGGCCCTTACGGTTCGTCGAGGCCCAGGGGCGATGCGCTGTTGGACGGCAGGCGTCGATATAGGACTTGGTACCGTTGGAAATTGCTGTTGCGTAGCCGTTGCATTCGATGGCAGAACCAAGTCGGGGCCTACCTGTGTCGGAATTTGAGCGGCGGCAGCAGATCGGTCAGGCGCAACATGGTGCTGCCTTGCCGAGTTTCCCGACCCTATGGGTTCCACATCGGCGTCGCTTCTCGTTGAGGACCCTCCAATGCTAGCAGGCCCGGCTATATCAGTGACAGCGGCCATCGTCGGAGTGTTAGTGGTCATCGGCGACTGCAGGCTCTGGGAAGACGCTTCGTGCAAGGGCGGACTATGGATGGGTTGAGGCTGAGGTTGCTCAGGTCCATTGTACATCATTGCAGGACCAGGAACAGCATGCCGTCGCGGAAGAGGCACGTTCGGTTGCTGCCATATCTGCTGGGCTCTTTGAACCTGAGGCTGGGATTGCGACGGTAAGATATGGTCCAGCCGGGCGTGAGCCACCTGATGGTGCGGCTGGTGCCTGCGTTGAGCGTGAGCTGGATGGGCTTGCTGATGCGGACTGTGATGGGCGCAGTTTTGGGGCGGATGCGCTTGGAGTGGCGCGTTTTGGACCTGATGAAAGCGGTTCGGTTGACCTTGAGTGACATTATGGTGTTGGGGCGCTCCAAGCCCGCGTTGACCCTGTCCCTCCAACTGCCTTTGTGCCTGCCAGGGTTCAAAAGCTTGTTGGGCTGGAGGCGACTGAGCTGGGTTCGGAAGTTGAGCCAATTGGCCTGGAGGCCGCGGGTTTTGCGGCCAATGCGCGGGTTGCTGCTGTGCGTGAGCCTGCTGTTGCACGTTGTGTCGATGCTGCCAGTGTGGTTGATGCCCAGAGGCCATGGGCTGCTGCTGTGGAGCGTGAGGCCCGGCGTATGGTTGTACCTGCTGAGGTGTCGCGGCTTGGCCAACTTTGTAGGCTTGGATCAGCTTCTTGTATCGAGATTCATTGAGGCCCCGGAGACCCGCAAGCTGTTTCTGATTGCCAATGCCTGAAAGTGCAGCCTGCTCAGCATAATCTTCCATTTGCCAATGTTCGTTCAGATCCGTAGCGTATTCATCTGGAACAAATCCCCGTCTTGTAAATAGGTAGAACATATGTCGTAGCAACGATGACCGACACTGAAACTGGTGTGTCATAATGTAAGATGTCGCAGGTATCTCTTCCTGGCCAAATCGGTGCACATATTGCTCCCACTTCGTTGCAAGGTTGGAGAGAAACCGTGCTACCAGAGATATTTGGTCGGGTGCCATTCGTGTCTGTGACATTGCTACCGAGGTTTCTGGGAAAGTAGCGAACCAGATCCGGTGCTTGTGACCTGCATTGCCAGTGTACCCAAACAGCGAGGACAATACGGAAAAGGCACAATGTATGTCAAGTGGCTCTATCGGAGCGCGAGCAAGAGCCATACAGGCCTGGTTCTGGTCGATCAACCAAACATGGAGCAGTTGATGGACGAGTACGTAGAAGTCATCGGAGTTAAGACAAGCCTCCCGCAGGCCTTTGAACGCAACCCGCAGCACTCCGTTTGACTCGATTTCATTGCCCAAAGTGCTGATCTTGGCTTCGATACGTGGTACGTAACTCTGAATGCCCGAGTGCTGTTGCATTGTCTCGGTACTTGAGGAAGTAGCTGCCATATTTCCCGATCTTTTTGATGGCTGAGTAGATTCGTCCTCTGCATCTCTTGCCCTCTTTCCTTTGTCGGAGCCGTGGCCATGTTCACGAGATTGAGTACGCGCCGGAGACATGGCTGGCGGCTCTGTGAGAGCGACTACATCCTGCAAAATAGGTGTCCGGGCTGAGACCCTGATCGGGGGTGCTGGTACGACAGATGGAGAAGTCGCTTGAGTGTGTGTTGGTGACGACCCGCTTTCCGTTATAGGTGCGAAGGCGGTGGAGGTGTTGTATTGAATGCTTGTCCGCGCAGTCGGGTTAAAAGAGTCTGGCTGTGCGCCAGGACTCGCTCGGTGCGTGTTTGTGGGGGGGCTCGACTCGTTGGTGAGAGCTGGCGATGGCAGAACGGATGCGTCGCTGCTACAAACGGTCAGCATCCCAGGCAACGAGACGGTGGCGTTTTGCGTATTGGCATACTCGAAACTGCTCGACCCCTTCTGGACAGCCTGTGCTTGGAGTGTAGGGACTTGTGCTGAATAGTCCGACCTTGTCAGCCGAGGCGCTCCTGGATCATCGGTCTGCTGAAGTGCCAGGGTACTATTGGAGTCGTCTGAGGGAACTTGGACCAGTAGATGGTCCGATTGCGTTGGCCGAGACGCTCTAGGAACGTCCGTCTGTTGAAGTGCCCGGACACTGAGGACAGCGCCGTCGGAACTTTCTGGACGGCCTTGCGCGCCTGGTGTTTGAACTGATCGTGTCGTCAACCTCGCATCCCCAGCATTTCCCGACAGCCCATTTTGCATCCACGGCCTTGCGCGAACCCCTAGGAAGGCAGTGGCTGTGTGATTCGTAGCCTTGGCGTTGTTTTGCGTTGCTGCGTGTACAGGATCTCTGCGCGTTTTCGAGGGCGACATTGAGGCAGGGAATTCCCACTACAGTGACTGGTGGCGTCCGGGAGGAGATGGCAAAGGATGTCGTGGTCTAACTTAGTTCGTCCGAGATTTTCTCCCCTCGACTCCAACCTGACATGTTTTCGAAATTGGCAATCATCGAATTTGACAAGCTTCGCTCACTGCGGCTTCGGCCAAAGGTAGAGAAGGCGCGTCCTGGTGTTTGATCTTTTCGACGGGCCGGCACGGCTTCTCTGTGTTTGTCGAACAGCGGCTGCGAGAATTGGCTTGTAGAATTGGAAGAGCTCGGGTACGGGCGTTGGTCACGGCGCGGGGAGCTACACGTTTGTATCGACGTTTTGCACGTGGCCTATCATGGTCTAAGATGCTGAGACGAAGCTGATCGGAACCAGAGCCTGGTGATGATAGCGTCGAAGTGGACCGCAGGTGAAGGAAAGAGTGAAATTAAGGTGACGGAAAGAGCGCGCGCGCATCTATTGGTATTCGACTGATTCCTGCTTTAGTCGCGCCTACCTTCCTGCACAAAGAACGCTACAGTGCGATGTTATTACAGTGCAACGATAGCAGGGACATGAAACCTGCTATTTCATCCGTGTCTTCCTCAATATGATTTCCTCAATGCAACGAGCAGAATCTAGTCTAGTAAGTAAGTACCTTGGCTACAACCTAGCCAATATCTGAGGTTCAAGCCCCCAGTGTTGTTGAACACATTGTACTACGTAAACTACTCAATCGTATACGTAGTGCATGCACGTGCATATACGTATGTACTTTGCATAATAGGGGAACAAAAGTAGTGTGTAATTGTGTTCGGACTGTAGGCCAGGTCCAGTCCTTCTTTTTTGGGCTCAGGAGGCACATTACTGCGCATTTAGTCTACTGCGCTGCCAAGGCAATGCTTGACCTACGGAAAATCTCTGAGTACGCAAATGCTCTCCAGTTTCGCTCCCCATTGGTGCCAGCCGAGAAACAAGATATTTTGGCTTTAATAGATTGCAAATGGTCTACTAGTCTAAACCATGTTCAAGGCCAGTCCTTTCGTGGTTTTCAAAGTCTGCGCACGGATAGCACGCGCCCGCCTGTTGATGTTTGAAACACTCATCCATAAACACTCGGACTTTTGCGACGAATGGCAAGCTTACCAGGACAGTCGATGAAACTCTGCTTGCGTTCATAGTGTGCTCGAGGCGATAATCTAGGGCAGGTGAATATTGACAGCGAATGACCGGAACCAATCATACTGTTGGGCTCTTCTTAACTTGCATCCGTACAACGGTTCAACGCGGAATCCGTTCACGTCGATTTTTTGGTCCGAGGTCCATGCTTGTTGTCTCCGGTGGGCTCTGCAACCCCTCCTCGCCCCTTTACCGTCTGCTAATCGCATCGAGGGATCAGCTGTGTCGTTGGCAAGATAACTTGAGGCGCCTGGTAGCTGCTGTCCGCAGGTAATACAGCCTACAAGTAGTGTCAGCAATGCACCAAGCTAAGGCGGCCCACCTTTGGTCGAGAAGGAAGGCACCGCTTACGTACGCTAGGCTTGCGGCCAGATCCCTCCTCCTAAGGACTGGACTACTATAGTGAAGTGAGGTACGTACTACGGATAGGTGGTACTGTACGTCCGTACCTGTAGTGATGTTCGTCAGACGTAGGCGCTAGAGGTACTTACATTCCCCCCTCAATCTCCTTAGATAAGAAGGTACCTACTACTGATCTGCCTGCCCGTACTCATTCGTTGACAATCCCCAATCGCGTGTCGCTCACACTCCACCATTCAACAACAGCCTCTTCATCCGTCAAACCCCAGTACACTCCATGCCGACAGGCTGCTCGTCTTATTAGATAGCAGCTGTTGGACATCGTCAAGAAAGTCCATGGCGTTACCTGGACATCGCTCCACGCTGTGCTCTGCCTGACGAGAAGATCATCCCCGTCCCTAATAAGTAACCTAGGTCACCACCCCACCTGGCCACCCTCCTGTCTCACCTACGACCGATTCGTTCGTTCTCTTCCCGGCCAGCACGCTGCTTGCTAGGACGACAGCTCCACGCCGACGACTTCATTTGACACCTCGCGACGCTCAACATTGACTCCGACTATCGCGACCATGCCGTCGCCGCCGGCGCCCGCGCATTCAGCGCCACGTCCTCAGGTGGGCGACTTGCTCTTGGTCATCCGTAAGACCTTTGAATTCGCAGCTGCACTCTCTACGGTCTTGCTAATGTCTACATGACAGATGACTTCGAGGCCAGAGGCTCCGATGAGCTTAGCCTGTCCAAAGGTGATCGAGTCGAGTTGGTGGAGCGCGATGACGAGTTTGGGGATGGATGGTTCATGGGCAGACAACTCGCGAACGGCAACACTGGCCTGTTCCCTGAATGTGAGTCCTCATTGCGCAGGTCTTCGTCTCTTCCGATCCGGCTGACTAGCCACTTCTAGTGTACACGCGCCCCGCGCAGCCTGCTTTGGCATCTTCCTCGGCCGCCCCATCGCCTCTACTTCCCCTCGCAGAGGACCCTTCCGAGAAGCCTACTGCCATGGTAGACGATCGCTCGCAACCACCCAAGTCCCCGTCTACCGGACAAGGCGCATCGCCCTTGACCCTTCCACTAATGTCAAATCGACCCGAAACGAGCGAAACCACAAAGTCAATCGATCTACTCGACAAGGCCGACCCTCCGCAAGATAGCCAAGTCCTGAACGAAACACTCAACGTCATCAACGAGCACATCACCAATTTAAGATCTCCTGGGAGTAGCAATGCCCTTCGGACCCCTGCCATGGACTCGGGGAGCGAATACAGCGCTTCGATTCACCACCGGATGTCATACATACACGGAGAAGAGACGGACGAGGAAGAACATGATACGCACACGCGCGTTGAAGTAGTGGCCTGGTCACCTGATGATGTTGCCGAATTCTTATTCACCTCCGGCGTTGAGAAACAACATTGTGAGGTGTTCCGGGATCAAGAGATATCGGGCGAGGTACTTCTCGGTATGGATCAAAGCTCACTCTTCATCAAAGACTTTGATCTTGGCTCTGTTGGGCGCCGCTTGAAGACATGGCACCGAATCAAAGAACTGCAAGACGAAGTAGGAGACGAGAGAACCCATACCCGACGCACAACGCAGACGTACGGAAGTGATGTTGGATCTGAGGATGCGGGGCGGACCCGTGTCAGGACGAGCACTCTCAACTCAGTATCGAGCGCAAACCGTCGACTGTCTTCCAATAATGCACCTCCGATGCTGACACCTATCTCGAGCAACGGAACCGCTGATAGTCCGACACGCATAGGGCATGTCAAGCGGCCGTCAGCGGCATCTATCAGGGATATGCACCACTCTCGCCGCCATTCATCCACAGACTATCAGGCAAACGCACCGAGACTCAGCGTCAACGGAACCTTCCCCGGCGCGGAAGGCTCACACAAGAAACAGCCCTCCTTCGACCGGAATTGGACACTTGGGGCGGCTGCCTCAAGGCCACTCTCCCAAACGGGCATGCGAAGCGTTGGTGGTCCCAATGATGGTGAACTGCAGGACTCGGCTGTAGACCTGGATCGCGGCTACTTCTCGGGTACCGAAGTAGAGGAGCGACCACGTAACTTTCTACGAAAACGCGATAGCCTCGCACACTCGCGCAATTCGAGCTACGCGGACGAGCAGCGCATCCGCAGTGCCACCGCTCACACACGTCATTCGCGGTTCGGGAGTGATTCGTACCGAGACAGCGCGCCTCAGACTGCGGCCCAAAAGTACTATGGTACCCAAGCGGGTCCCCACCGAAGGACAGCCTCGACCAACACAACCGAGTCGCTGCGGCCGCTTCCTCCAGCCAAGGACGCCCAGTCTCCCGCTGTTACCAGGCTGGAGTCGACAAGGGGATCCCGAGGACCGATACCCCCGGCCAAGGATGGCGACTGGCTGTCATCCCTGGCACAGAAGCCAAAGTCGAAATCGGGGGGCTTTGGCATTCGTGCCATCTCTGACAACCTAGGCCTTGACCGTTCCAAAAACAGCACCTCTGGTGATTCTAAAGACCAATCGTTGCCGTCGCCAGCCATGACAGGCTCTAGTACGCCTTCTGGTGGCCCCAGTTTTGACTTGGAGTCGCCCAACACCACCCAAAGCCCCAGCGCTGGCGGTGCACCCGTGAGCCGCAACAAGGGTAAGAAAGGCAAGAAGGAGACAAGCGCCTACACAAGGGGCCTGCTCAATATCACGCCCAAGGAAGCTATGCAAGATGCCGATTTTAGTGGGTGGATGCGGAAGAAGAGTTCCAATCTGATGACCACCTGGAAGCCGCGCTTTTTCGTGCTGAAAGGACGACGTCTGTCATACTTTTATTCCGAGGAGGATGAATCAGAGAAAGGTCTCATCGACATTTCGTTCCACAGGGTTCTGCCAGCCGACAATGAGAAGCTGACGGGGTTGCACGCATCCATTACCAGTGCAGTTGGCGGCCAGAACAGCAGGGATAAGGAGGGACTCGAGAAAGGCGACGACTCCATGTTCATCTTCAAGCTCATGCCACCGAGGGCTGGGCTATCAAGAGGAGTCCACTTCACAAAGCCCACCGTCCATTACTTCGCTGTGCCCAACCTCAAACAGGGTCGGCTGTGGATGGCCGCCCTGATGAAGGCTACGATTGACCGGGACGACTCGCAACCCATCACGACGACTTACCAACAGAAAACCATTTCGCTCACCAAGGCGAAGCAAATGCGCTCTCGACCTCCGGCGCTCATGAACCTGGATGAAGCGGCTGAAGAAGACCAGAGTGCACCGGCATCAACAACGGCAGCGACAATGAGCTCGAAGCAAGACCCTCGCGGACTGGGCCCATTGGGCGGAGCGGTTCCCGCCACGCCGGAACTTACTCTTGGAGATGGTGGTCAGAACGGCGACGGTGCGGCAGTCCCTTCACTCCAAAGTACGTAGGCCATACTTTGGCGTTGGAAAGTGTGACGCCAGGACTCTCGAGGACCGCCAACATTAAGAAGGGGCTGAGCGAGACACCCCCCACCGCAAGGAGTTATTTTCCTTTGTGGCATTGGGCTTCATGACCCAAGCGACATGTACGACGCGACGATCCGAGCAAGCCATGAAACAGCCTGTCTTGTTCCCTACAATACCACCTACTATCCGCTCTGTACGAGTCTTTTTTTGTGTTTCCCCTGTTTGACCTGAGACATTTCTTTATTGATTACATTCATGAAGAAAGGGAGATCTGCTAGGTTAGAAAGGCGTACACACAGAGGCTTCTCTAACCTGAGCGATGAACGCAGAACCTCGACGATACCTTTGTTTTTGCCCTCCAAGTCGACGCCATCATCTTTGTCACACAGACAGTCACTTTTGCCTCTAGGACTAGGAGGAGTATATAGACATACTGAAATGAATTTCACGTCGTAATGTCACGTCTAATCACATACATCGCGTTTCACAGTTCTATAGTGAATGTTCAATTGTTTTTTCCCAATCGTAGTCGTCGTGGTATCTTGAGTTCGTCTGTTGACAGCTGATCATGCACCCGAGCAATCAACGCACGGCTTTCCGGTATATGCTCACGCTGCCCTTTTGCCCATCCATCCAGTCAGTCAGTCAGTCAGTTTTAAGGGAGAATTTTTGTTTCCCCTATACTCCAAACTTCAACCTGAGAAATGCAAATTCGCTATACTGTTGTGTATGTTTCCCAACGCCAATCCAGTTTCCCCAAGTTGCTGATCCTCACCCATCATGAAAAGCACAAAGGTATTATCAAGCCCTTCCGCCGATCGAGAAGCCAGCCGCCTCGCGCCCGAAAACACCCAAGATTGAAGAAGAGAAAGAAGGAGAATGATGCAGATGAGGAGTGGGAGGACAGAGAGGGAGAGGAGGAGACAGCGGCCCTGAGGCACGGGGTCTGAACCCATGGAGGGTTGAGTCCGCTCGAAGGAGACGAGAAACTCTAGTTAGATCCGAAGATTTTTGGTATATTCTGCTTATGCCATGTTTCCAGAGCAGACTCACTCTGGCGCTGAATGCCGCACCGGCGATTGTTCTTGAGGTTTCGCTTGCATCTGTGTCTGCGTCTGTGCTGGGGTAGGCACAGGCGACGCGATCTGAGGAGTAGCAGCTGTAGCAGCAGGAGCAGTCGACATGACGGGTGCTTGGTTTGGCGGAGGCGGCTGTTGGACCACGGGAGTCGGTGCTGCGCTCTGGGACGCCGTTGTGTCGGGCCTCCCCGTCGTGGCTTGGATCTGGGGCTGTCCAGATGGCGGCACAGACGCAGGCTTGGAAAGAACAGGCGAAGCCGGAGTGGCTGCCTTCAGCTGCGGCGCTGGGGAAGCCTGTGTGTTTGTGGGTGTCTGTGTTGTCTGCGCAGGTTGAGGTGCGGGAGCTGGTGTTGCACTCTGGGCTTGCGGTGCCACAGGCTGAACTGGCTGGGCTGGAGCCTGAGTTTGCTGCTGGGGTACCGTAGTTGCAGAAACAACGGGCGCGTGTACGGATACGGATGACGGTGCAGGCGCAGCCGCAGGCGTTGGGTTTTCCGCAGCCCTGGGCATCGAGACCGCTGCAGGTTGAGCAGCCAGAGCTGGCGCAGGTGGCGATGCCGCACTAGGTGCTGGTGTGGCACTCGCCAGGCGATGCGTGCTTTGGCGACGGCCTCCGCCAAGCAAAGAGTGCAAGCCATTGAGCAAGACGGCCTCTAGATTGCCTGCCGGGAAATTGACGCGACTCTCCGTGGCGAGTCCTAGCTCTCGGAAGATGACACTATGGAGCAGTGTGGTTCGCTGAGGCTCCGAAAACTTTCCTCGCAGAAGCTCATGGCTTTTCTCGCGGAAACCAAGTACGGCAGCGAGAGTCCCTGGATCGATCAGTGGGGGCTGGTTCGGCAGGACAATATTGGCGAAGCCTTTGTAGCACGTGGACACCAAATTTGCGGGTATCTCAGGCGGTATAGTCTCGTCTCGGAGGCCTGCGAGACGGTCGAGAGCGCACCAGATGATAGCGTCTGGGTCTGGGGTCCTGGCTGCCCGCAGGCCCGTCGCTATCTGTTCGCGGAGTTTGCTGAGGCGCGCCACAATCAGCGGGTTGACGGCACCTCTGCGTTGCGAATCACTCGGCGATGGGGCAGTTTGGCCGTTCGGAGGCTGCGCAGACCCCGAGGCAGGGGCTTTGGAAGCAGCGTGAACATGCTGAGCAGCTGACGCTGGATTATGCGGAGAGTATCCCACTGCTCGGACTTGCTCCAGCGTGCCATGGTTCTCTACTGTAGAGTGGCCCGAGACTCCTGTCTGTGGCATGCTTCCTTGAGTAAAGCCAGGCACACCCTGTCCTGGTTGATTGGGCTGCCCGTGAGCAGAGTTGTATGATGCCTGGGCACTCATCGTTTGCTGTGGCCGCTGAGTTTGCTGGGGGATCTGCTGAGGTTGTTGCAGCAGCTGCTGATGTCCGTTGGTTTGTGTAACACCAGGTGGGCCGGAGCCTGACAACGCGCCAGTTTGATACTGCTGAGATGCAAGCGGTTGTTGGTGGACCTGGGTTGGCTGCGCCTGGCCTGGCTGGGCCATTTGGGGGTAGTGCGTCTGGTAGTTTTGTGGCATTTGGTGTTGACCAAGAGCGCCCGGTGGATGATGATAGCCCGAAGGAGGGAGCTGGCCATGCAACGAGCCGCCCTGGCCCGTTGACATGGGGGTTGATCCAGGCTGCATTCCGGCGCTTTGCTCGGGGCCATCAGGTTTTCCCTTCTTCTTGCCCTCCTCCAACGACATGCCCGGTACGCGAGTCCAGAGATCAGAAGCCTTGTTCTTCACAAAGCATGCGTTTCCAAGGAGGTTGTGACGGACGCTGCTCTCCCATCCCTTGGTGCCCGCGCAAAAGTGGAAATAGGGCCATCGGCTGGCGATGCGCTTGTAGATCTGCTTCAGCGATAAGCCATCGGGGTGTGCCCCCATGAAAGCCTGGTCGATCAGCTGTGCGTAGTTCTCCGATGGCTTGATCAGTTGCTCGTCGGTATAGTCTTCCCTGTTCAGCTCCAATGGAGGTGTCTTGGGCCGGGCGACTTTGCTGGGCTTCTTTGGATTACTGGACGGCATATCGTTGTCGGACCCTGCATCGCCATATTCGGGTTCCTGACCATCCGTTCTCGGCCTCTTCGCCGCGCTCTCCTCCATTCCTTCGGGCAAGGGATTTTTGCGCGGCCGGCCAACCTTGCGCTTCAGGGGAGGCTCTGCGGGCTGTTGGTGTGCAGTCTCCATCCGTTGCTGTTCTTGGAGCAATTTCTTAAACTCCCGTTCCTCCCGCTTAGACATGTATCCATTCTTGGGTGGACGACCCGGGCCTCTCTTCCTAGGCTCTCCACCGCTGTGTTGCTCGTGGTATTGTCGCAGCTCCTCCACAGTGGTTATTCCTAGCGGGATCGCGGGCAGGCTCATGGGCACAGGTATTCGCGTATCGGGCGAACCTTCTGCTGTCGGTTGCCGGCTTTCGTCATTGCTGGCACCAGCCAGCGCTGCGGCAGCAGCGGCCATCTGTGCGTCATCGTCTGCCATTGTGTCCTCCATCTGGATATCTCCGTCTGAGTGGTGTTGTTGCGCTGCTGTCTCCGAGCCACTTGTTACTTGCCGATTTGTATCGTCAGGCGCGTCCTCCCGATCCGCGTTGACCATTTCGACCGATTTGGCTGGAACATCAGGGGCCTCAGCCCTGGATTTGGCTTTCGTCTTGGCATTGGCCTTCGGTGCTGCTGGAGCTTCGTCGGCGTCGTCCATCTCCACGTCCTGTATTTCCTTTGGGTCGATTGAAGATAGGGAGCTTGTATCCCGCATATGGCCTTGTCGTCGGGGGGCGAAATCAAAGCTCATCGTCTTGCCGCCGGTCGCTGGCTGCTCATGGAGACGCTCCCCTCCAGTTTGGCCTTTCTCAAGGCCAGTGATAACAAAAACAAAGTGAACATCCTTGACCTGTACGAAGTCGCCAGATCTAAGAACGACTGTTTTGTGAGGCGCCAGGAAGTTGTCATCGATGAAGATTCCGTTGCGTCCGAGTGCTGTAGCCTCAAAGACACCACGCTGGCGATTGTAGCTGATCTTCAAGTGCTTTCTAGAGATGGCTTTGGACCGTTTATGCGTGTGTTCCCCAGGGGAATGAATTGGGAGGAACACGACCGCCTCGGGGTTGACTCGTAGAGCCTTGGTGTCGACTGCCACCGCCCCAGGCGTGGAGTGGTACTCACGTCCATGGATCACGGCCTCTCCTTGCTCTTCTGCTGGGAAAGCCTTCTCAGCACCAGTACTGGCCTCCTTGGAGGGAGAGTCGGATTTGTTTGCTGGGACTTGGGCATCGGATCTTGAATATTCCGGACCAAGAATGCCTCCCTTGTGGCTAACAATGGATTTGGGAGCTCTCGGCTCCGAAGGCCTTGATCGGCCTTCACGGTCGGCTTTCATACAGTCGGCTTCGAATTGCTCTTGGAGTTCGGCCATCTTCAAAGAATGGTCGATAGCGGCCTGATCGCGACCAAGAACGACGCCATAGGTGTTCATGCGAAATGTGCTGTCAGCAAATTCAAGGCGCGCAAATGACCGGAGGTGGTCAGCGTCGTCATCCTCTGCGTTTTGCCCACGGCCTTGGTCGCGCAGACTCGGTGGATCAATGTCGAAAGTCAGACTGGATGGCGCAACCGTCATCAGTGGCCTGGGGTGACCAAGACCAGGTGCGAATTCAGCGGGTTGTGGGAAGTTTGCGAAGGACATCATCTCTGTAGTCAGGCCCGGATAGACCCCGCTGCCTTTGGCGAATAATGCATCCAATGTTTGCGGGTTCGCGTTCGTGCCAGCGAGAAATGACGATTCGCCAAACATGGGCAGTTGGCCGCCAGTAACATCGAAAGCGTTCTCATTCGGGTTGGAGTAATCCATCTTCACCGGATCTCCGTCGTGTTTGCGGTCCGGCTGAGTGGCAGAGATGGGTCGTTGGGAGTCTTCCGCAGCTGGTTTAGTTGATTCGTTCAGTTTCTTTGCACCTCCCGTACCGGGCATTGATAGTGCAGCTGAACCTGAAGGATTCTCTGTCGCTTTGTCCGGGAGAGCCTGGTTGAGCGGTGGAGACCGCTCTGGTTGCTGATGTGGTTCGAGTTTGATAGTTGAGGAGTCAGCCGCTTGTGCAGCGCAAGTGTCCTGAGACACTGCAGCGCTCTTCTGACTGCCAGACTGATCTTTGGCAGTGCTATCTGTTGGTGATTGTGCACTCTGCGGCTCGGATTCCTCTTTGGCGCTATTCGGATCTCTGTTGCGGTCTGCTTCAGAATATACCCTGTTCACGGGTTGAAGTTCTTGATGTGCGTCCGAGAGCAGCGCTTCCTCGTTTTTAATGTGCACAAGATTTTCGTGTGCGGCCTCATTTACTTTTGATCCTGGCCGCCTAGCTGAACTTTCCTCAGACTGGCCTTGCGCCGTCGGCAGCGAGCCGGGCTGCGAGAAAGGGACTATACTTGACACGCTGTCGTCTTCTGCAGTCGTGTTTGTATGCGCGTAGTCTGTGCTGTCGCCTAGCGCCTGTCCGTGACTTCCTGCACGTCCTCGTTCTTGGCCGTGGCCGTGGTCGGGTGGGCGAGGATCAAGACCAGCTGCGAGCCCTGGTATGGCAGCAGCCACGGCGCTGGACGAAGTCATCGCTGGGCCACTGCGAGACTCGACCTGTAGTGTCGCCGCTCGTTCGTGGCTGTGGCGAACCGCCTGCTCGTCGCGATCTGTATAGCCTTTGCCTTTGCGCAGTGTCGCGAAGGGTTAATTCGACGCATTGACCCTGATGTCCGTGACTTTGTGCGCGCGTCCGAGCCGTCTTTGCTGCGAGGGTCGGGTCGTTGTCTAGGTCGCGCTTGCGCCGCGTCGAGGCTGATCGGTCGATGGCTGCTGGAAGATGGAATAATAGTGTTGCAGTCGAACTTGTCCCCGGCCGCGATGCCGACGGGATGTTGATGGGGGCGTTTGTTGATGGCCGACTCTCATTGGACAGAGCTTATGGAATCTCCGCTTTTGTCTCTTGCCTGATATTCTCACCGACAGGATTTCACTTCACCGAGGAAGGAGCTGCCGACATTTCAATCACTCTCAGTCAATTGCGAAGCAGCCTCAGAGAATTCTAATGTTGCGGTCATAGACTTGAAGTTTACGCGAAACTTTGTCTTGCATCATAGTAGAGCCAGTCCCTCAGTTCAGTGCTGGACCCTGGCGCCCAATGAACCCCCTCAAAATGCGCAATAAACGCCGCTCAAACTACATGTAAACCAGCCGCCAACGCGACAAAGGCTATCGAAATTGAAAGTTGCATATTTCAGAGCTTGTGATCTGTCTTCATCCCCTGTGGGAGGCCTTTTTCCGTGACTACACTAGAAAAAACATCCAGGCCCTTGACACCAAATAGTTCACACCATTCACAACTCTTGCATAAGTAGGCTAGAACTTTATTCGGTTGAGAATTTGAAAACGACATTTAGAGTTGAAGGGTATCACTGGCACTGACTGAGTCGGGACTTTCGCTGCTTGCTGCCCACATCACTCACAGCTACTTACTCATCGAGACATACTGCAAGACGACCATTATTTATGCATGGCAAGCAAACCCATAAAAAGTCCGGCCAAATGCTTGGGTGTATATTCATAGCGCGTGTAGTCGTTACGTCGTTACTGGAGCAAGCGGTCTCGTTCCGTCGCCGGGCGTGTCTGCTTGGTGTGTCTTTCACGCAGATATCTATCCAGTTCGTAGGCTCCGTGACACAGCAGTCCTGCCAGGAAGCCCAGGGCATCGTTTCTGAAGGCTAAGATTCCACCCGCCGTAGTCAGCATCACAGTCCATCTCTCCATGCGCTCCTCGTCTGTCAGTTCTCGCTGTCGCCTGTTTCTCAGGCCCGCCGCGGCCTGCCAGAGGTCAGGGGCACCATTGTTTAGGCTGTTGCCTACCTTGGCTAGCTCAAGGCCTGACGCGAAGACCATGATGCCCAGAAGACTCTTGGGGTAGTAACGCAGAAGATCAACAAGAGTCTCCCCAAAGAAGAGACCCGACACCAGTTTGAAGAATCCAAGCATGACAACGCTTGCTCCACTGCGAGCACCAAAGCGATACTGAGCTGCTAGACCGCCAGCGCCGTGACACATTGGCATGCTACCGAACCATGTTCCGGTCAGATTCATGAATGCCACGCTCAAGCCCATGGACGTGACGGAAGGCGCTGGAAGGTCTGGCAACAGGTCACTTGAAAGCTGACTCACGGCGATGATCGAGTTGAGCGTTGTGAGGGGTAGCTGCCCTATCGCCATCCACAAGGCTGGGGAATCATGTCCATTGACCCATTCAGGCATGACGAGCCTTGGATGCCAGAATTGCAGTCCTGGTGCTCGCGCGTTATCTTTGGTCCCGATGCTGACGGCGGCAAACAGGATCGACATGACAAAGAAGCACAACGCATACGGAAAGCGCGGGAGTCTTTGGCTCATTACAAGGACAATGAACGCAGCAAGAGCCCACACACGATTGTCAAGAGCAGGGTCAACCCAACGAAGCGGTTTGAGAAGTGATGATCCAGCGCCGATGACCAGTGACAAGCCGGCGCCCAGCTGGATGCCCTTAACCACGGGGAGTGGCACGACACGAACGATCCATTGTAGAAGACCAGTGACACTCAGCACGAGGACTGCGGCACCGACATATTGACCTGCAGCGATCACGACGTCCATGGACGGATCCTCGCGCGCTGATATAGCTGCCGATGCAATAGCCTGTCCAGCGTCAGAAAGGAGAGCGATGCGGGCGCTTCGGATCTGCGAACCTTCATGGGCTGCACGGGCAGAGGGATACCAAACAGTAATCCTGTCAAGATATTGAATATGCCCGAGAAAACCAAGGTTGAGCCCAGTTGGATGGAATCTTGCAGAGCAAGGGCGACCATCAAAGGGAGCAAAGTGCCCAGGTCACCGAGCGAGCCAGAGAGCTCGGCCCAAGGTGAGCTGCGCAAGGTTGCGACATTGTGTCTGGTGAGACGCTTTATATGAGCAGCCCACTGCGCCATGGCGATCCGATTTGGGGACGTTGGCCGTACAAGTTGCACAAATCGACTGCCAGCCTTGACTCGTTGGCGCTTCTTTGATCAGTGATGGTTGGATCGGAAAATGGAGAGTGAGAAGGCAGAAGACAGTGCGCTCGGTCCGGTTACCCTGGAGAGGAGGAGTGTGACTTCACAGTGCATATTTCTTCTCGCTTTATGCGGTGTGGTCGGTAATCTCCAATAAGGTAAAGTACGTGCTACGGATACCTGGTAAGCATTGAACACGATGCCGTGCTTGCCGGTTTTTGCCGGTCGAGATGATCTTTCGGTAAGTGGGATTTGAGACCATCGACTCTCCTGCTGCGCAGATACTACGTGTTACAGTGCGGAGTACACCTAAACGCTGAAAAGACTTGGTCACGGTATATCGAACTCTTTGCGAAGGCAGCGCAGTCTCCAGGCGCCACAGCGATTGTGGTGATGTCACCAAGAAACATTTTAAACTTGGGGGCGCGCCCTTTTAAGTATCAAAATAAGCAAGTCTCGTTCCTGCGTGCGATGCAGCACTGAAATACTGCAGTCTGCGTGTCCGTGTATCGTCGTGCGCGGATGGTCCAACACCGAACGACGAGACTACGGATACCTATGAAACAATTACGTATGTCGGTTGGCGTGGTGTAGCCATGTCGGTCCCCCGACGGGCGCTTGTGGGAATGTCCGAGACGGGAATAAGACGAGGCTATCAACAGTCCTGCTGGTAAGTGCCAAGACAAATGCGCCTTGCGGAGGTCTACTATGTACAAGTACAGTGCCATGTGGTCCAACGATACAATTATATCAGGGCCATTTTCAGGTTAGGAGACTCGTGAAAACGTACTACTTATGTACTTACTAGACTAGTGCGCCAACAAGACTGGTCTCCTAGAGGCATGGCTGGCTGCGAGGCAAGAGAATTTATTATTAGTGGGCAGCAAAGACTGAGAGAGCCCGAGACTTGTTGCATGTTGTTGATAGACCCTTCGGATCGGTATACTGGTAGTGCGTTTTATGGCGAAGGCGCGAGTGCGGTACGTACTGAGTCTTTTCTTCTGCCTGAATTATGACATCGGCCGGCTGGGACAGTACGTATTGCTCTTTGAGACCTTTGTTGCTTACTTGTGCTTGCCGATAGGAGAGACAGTCACTGCTAAACACATCGTCAGGCGTGCGTCGAGTGGGATCAACCGTGTCCGGTAGGTCGATGGGCGCCAAAGGTTGGAGGCTCTGTTAATGAAGGGAGATCTTCACTCTTGGATTTCTAATTGTCCTCATCAGTTGGTCGAGATATCGCCCCGGCATTCAGTGCCTTGTGGGAAACACGCTTGCATGGCTAGGCAAACCGCATCGGGGATCTGTGGGACTAGAGAGCTGGGCGTCGTCGCGTGACTCTGGGGGGCGGTGTTCCAAGAACCCCCAGCACCTGATTGATTGCAGGTTGACATGGGCATCCAGAACCACGAACGTTGTTGGTGCTTGACGATGGCAGTGACGACAAGGGCTCAAAGAGGCCGCCAATCATTGATCGGTCAGATACCATCACGCGGCGGTCAACACTAATAACTTCGGAATTCGATCCTGGAGGAGGATTCGGCACACAGGCGCCGCGAGAGCCAGGCAAGAAGACTATAATACTGAGAATTACGAGGAAAGGATGTCCCAATCTAGATGTCTCATCGCAATGAGACCCGTAGCAAGTATCAGTGATAATGCCGCTACGAGAGCGCCTTGTACCTGCGTGCTGGATGGCGAGACCGCGAGAGTGTGGAAGGGAGCCCGGACCATCAGGCGTTGCAAAAGTGGAATGGCATCTCTCTGCCCGGTCAGAAATTCGCGCATGACCATCGCTTCCTCGGAAGCGTCGCGGGCAGCTTCTCAAGCTAGGCGTCGCCGTGACAGGCTGACCGGGAGCTGCTGGGCCGTCCACCTCGTCGCGCGAATTGGCGAATTGCCGTAGTCCCGAGTCGCGGTGACGGGAGTGGTAGACGCATGCAGCCCGCTAGATGTTTCGTGCCGCACGCCCATGGATCATACTGTGCGTGGGGTGACCCATACGTGCTCAAAGCTGGTCCATTGGATAAAGGATGTTGTCGCTGACGCCTTGCACCTTTCCCAAGGCAGATGGCAAAGATGAACACCAGGGCACACCTTGATGAATTTTACTTGGAGCTTACTGATAATTCTCCAGGCTCGGCCGGCCGGTGCATTGGCTCCCTCTGTCCCGAAAGGTCGAGAACATCCAAATTCACTGTGTGGGTTCTTCCCGGGGGCGTTGTGGGAGCCAGACGCAGGGTTCTATTAACTTCAGGAAGCCCGTTACTGGAGCTGACGATTTTGGCAGGAACAAGGGCCGGCGCGCGATGGCCGACTAACGATAGAGGACCTGATGGCGTCGCCGAAAAAGCGCGCATGGGCAACGCTGCTCTCAACGTTGACAACGGTTGCCATTGATTACAGGCTCCAATCTGTTAGCATGCAAGCGTGCAATTCATTGCAGCAGGTAATTGGGAAACTCGCGGTTGACTGAATCGGGCATGACGTAGTGGATGCACACATCGGCAAGGCCCCACTCCTGGCTAACACGGCCAGGTGCTGTCGGCGCTACTGCACTAACAACAGAAACTGAACAGCGAGAGCCTACAGAGGGGAACATGGAAGCTGGAGGCCGGAGGCAGGCGCCCCACTGCTGGCCCGAATCGCGCCTGCGTCGCCCACTCGCCCACTGAGACGCTGAGAGCGGCCTTTTTGGGTGCATTCTGATGATCAAACAAAACCACGGCCTGGCCCTTCTTTGAGTGCACCTCGTTCCCATTCTCTTTGATCGATTTCTCTCCGTCCTCTGCCATTCGGCTGTCTCGATCCCTCCACCTGCTTCCTCTCCTCTCGCCTACCATCCTCTTTAGCTCCACGCAATAGACAAGGTAAGCAATCTTCCAGTTTCCGCTGTCCTGCCTGCTGCCTGTGACGGATGCGATGCTGGGCTGCGCAACGAACGACGAACGATGGGATGTACCGCACCCTCCTCCGCCGCTGCCTATTCACCACCTGGCGGTCATGTCAACAACGATCACCGGCGCAAATGATGCGACTGCGTGGATTCGTTTCGGGTCACCTGCGATTCGACAGGTTTTCCAGCTCGTCCAGTGACGTCTCGCCAAAACACCGCGCCTCGCCCTGGGTCGATTCGACCGCACGAGCCGTCCTCAAATCCGCCAAACCTCACGGTTTTACCGCAGCGGCACAGACGCCCAATTGCTGCCTGGCTGGAGTACGCTTCAAGCGCGGGAAAGCTACTCATTACTTCACGTTCTGCCGGACTCAGCTCGCTCGCATGCATGGACTCGGAGACATGGGCCCGCGCACCTCAAAGGACCGCCAACTAACATGACGTTTGTCTTCTCTTAGTCGCACGACTTCCCCCCACCGACACAATGGCCGCCATCAACACTGTTGTCGTCCGCGACCTTGTCGCGCGTGAGCTCGTCAAGCGCAAGAACTGGGCTCAGCGCGAGCCCGGGGTTATCACCGTCTTCTGCATTGTCGGTGCTGGTACGTTCGATACGCAATCGCACTCGCCCCGCGTTTTGATCTGACGCGCCTCCTAGTCGCAATTGGCCTGATCGCTCTCTGGATCTACAAGTTCATGCAGAAGCGCAAGAGCGCCAAGCAGCAGTTCTAAGTGGCCCGCGAGTGAACGCGAGGGATTTTGGACACTGTTTCGCCAAAGAGAAAGACCATAGAGAGTGAAAAAGATGCGTGATGCAGGATAGTGTGCGAGTGAGCGCTGGCTGGCGTGTCGGCGCACAATCTAATTATACCTAATGGGTCGGCGCGGCATGCCATTCTCTCAGGCGGTACATGGGCATGTGGTGGACTGCCAATCAATTCATGGTCGGCTGAGGTTGGCAGGCAATTTTGGCGAAAGTGGTGTTATCTTTGTTGCCATGTGGTACTGCTTTCTCCTGGGCGGTGGTCCGGCACGAAAGGCCACGTTCTTTGTTCCAGCGTGCCCCCTTTAATGTTTTGGTTCTCATTCATCTGGTGCTGTCTGAGACTCCGTCAAATCTGTACCTGCTAATACATTATTCACATTCCCGAAACCGAACGCCGTTCGTCGGCTTGTGCCAGTACTCTACAACAGTCTATAGGCCCTCCTTTGCCAACATGTCCGCAATGTCTAAGTAGAACGCAATCGCGTTGAAGGTCCTCTTCATCCCCATCCACTCCCTCACCATCCACTTGACCTGGTTCGACCAGTTGATCAGATCAAGATGACTGACACCCACCAATGTGCCCTTGTAATCGCCCCAACGGCTGCTGTCAACGGCAACCAGTCCGTCGTTTGCGCCCTGGGCCTTGGTGATGGCGTGCCACGACTGCCGGAACGGGCTCAGCAAGGGTGGTTCTGTGGTCGACGCCCCATATGAAAAGTATCGTGTCGAGGCCGAGTCGGGTGTCGCGGGGTTGAAGACCTTTGTCATGTGCGACGTTGTCAGTTGCGCGAAAGCGGCGGTGCCGAGACCGAACCGCTCAATCAACCCGTAGAGCTTGGGCAGATGGACCATAGCCTGGCCGTCCTCTTGCAGGAGCACGTCTGCGAATGAGCTCCCTCGGTGGGGGCTCGCGACTGTGACCAAGCTCGCAATGTCGACGTACTTGGGAGGGAGATGCGAGATCATGTAGCGGGCGTCCAGGCCGCCCATGGAGTGCGCGATGATGTTGACTCTGCCGTCGCGTGTGGTGCGCGCGGCCGCGTCAATGTCCTCGCGGAGTTTCTTGGCGCGGTCTTCGATGGAGGAGGACGGCGGCACGGAGGCGCAGATGACATGGGCGCCCTGAAGGGCGAGGGCGTCGCGGATGCCGCGCCAGTATTGGACCGAGGGGAGGAGAGGCGTGAGCTGCAGCTCAGAGAAGCCCAGGAGGCCATGCGCGAGGACGATGGGGTACTTTGGTGTTTCTGTAGACACAGGTCAGTACTGTGTAGCTGGGGCGAAGGTAGTCCACGTTGACTCACGATAACTGTCGCGGATCGCTGCGTAGTCGTCTGATATCTCGCGTCCTAGCTCACGGATACGTGGATCGTGGTTCTGCGGGCGCAGGGTGGTTGAGGCAAACGATCGACATTGCGGAGGATGGCGAACGCAGTGCCGGGCTTGGGCAATTCCTGTGAAAGAGCGCGCGCTATGAAAGCGTCGGCATGGGCGCATCGCTATTTGGCAGCTCCAACATGGGTGTCGTGTCTGCGACGTCTTGGGGTGGATTTAGAGTCACGATGGTGAAGTCCAGTTTGGTCCAACAATTTCCATGTCGTGGAATGCGGTTTCAGTGGGGCGCACAGTATTGACGTCACTGTGCGCGTTGCCGAGCCCCCGAGTGTCTTGCGCATAGAAACCATAGTCCTTGATGCTCGTGTCTTGGTGTTGGCATTAGTATTACTAGGATTGCAGTGTCAATATTGCCCAGGGACCGATCCACGCTGCCTCGCAATGGTGCATTACATATTGTGGGTGTGACTTGGTACTATTCGTCGAGTTTGTTAGCCATGAAACCCTCAGACGTGGTATGTGCAGTAATACGTAGGTCATGTACATGTCCCTTCGACGTCCCGAGCACCCCTAATGGCCGGGCCTTTGGCGAGCCTCAGCCCTTCAATCTCAGCTCTTCTCCGTGGGCATCTGGCTAGGCGCGTTCTCATTCGTAACACCGCTATACGCTGGCCTTTCCTGCATGCCGTCGAATGGTCCAGCCAGGTTTTCGGCCACGGCCTCCTCGTAAGTCGGAGGGGCATCGTCATACGCGGGGGCGCTCTGTCCAGCTTGCAGCTGAGGAGGGTACAGCGGATCATGTGCTGGTGCTGGTGCTTGAGCCTGAGGTCGTGCTGGTTGGCCTCGCCCAGCACTTGGCCCAGCCTGTGGTGTTGAATTCTGCCGCGGCGGTAATCGAGGACCTGGGTTGTTCATTGCGAAAGTCGCACGCCCTGGCGCTGTGGTTCTGGTTGCTTCGAGGAGTTCAGCAGGCGGGGTGATTCCCGAGAAGACCTCGACGTTTTGAAACTGAAGTGGCAGGTGTATCTCCGGTGCTTGGGAAGAACTGCCATTCAACAACTTGCTGGTTTTGCTCGGCGGCCGCCCCCATGACACTCCGATTCTGATCTCCAATTCATATCTCCTACTGAGGTTGCATGCGGTGAAAGACGGCGCTACGGTGTTGGGGAGCGCAGTCGTATTCCATAATGAGTCGGGAACCACAATCTCTCTTCCTATTTCATCCGAGGGCGATGCTGTCAGCGGTATTGCTAGGTTTATGCTGGAAGCGATGACCCAGCGGTTGGATCGTCGGCTGAGGATGCTGTGGCATCGGATTTCCGTATACCCAACTAGATCGGCCTGAAAGGACGTAAGAAACACCTCGTCGGGGCAGTTGGCTAGCTTCTTGGCCACGAGTCGAAGAGGGACAGGCTTGTTGCAGGTCAATACCGGTGGGTGAGGCAATCTCGCCGAGATCTCGACGGAGGGCGCTGGAGCATTGCCTGCGTCTTGGGCACCTTTTGTGTCGCTCCCCAGCTTGGAGTCATCTCCTTTTTTCGGGAAGAACGAGCTACGCTTCCTTTCGGGCTGACCGGGCGACTGTAGCCGGAAGGTAAAGGGACGACGTGCAAACGCCTCCTGCCCTGTCTTGGGTGGTCTTGGAGGTTCGATGGGCATGAACTTGAGTCCGGCCTGAAACCGCCAGTTCTCTTTCAGAAACCCAGGTCTGTGTACCGTGACTTTGATGTAGTACCTGATCTCGGCTTCCATAGGGAAGCCCGTGAGGGAAGGCGGCAGTGTCCTTGTGACATGACGTAGGAATAACTGCTTGCTGCCGTCCATGACTCTCACGCCTCCCATTCCGAACAACCCGCCCCCTTGGCCAAACCCGCCCATGCCAGCTAGGCCTCCTATCTTCGACATGGCCATGTGGTCGCTGCAGGCATTGTTTATGGGGAGCTTGAACTTGAAAGGGAAGGAGTGTTCCCCAGGCAATAGCGGATGAGCGCCATGGGGGTTATTGCTACTTGAGTGATAATCATCCGGGAAGACTTGCTGGATCTTGTAAAGGAGCTTGTGCGTCTCGCTGACGGTGCTCCCTGGAGGACCTGGTAGCGGACCTTGCCTGAGGTCCTCGTGGGGGTGAGGCACCTGCAAGGCTGTGGTTGACTCGCCCTCGAGCTTGACAACAATGTTGCCAATCTGCTCGGCGCGGTTCACCGCAAGCACAACTCGCCCGGAGACATAGTCCAGGTTGGTGTAGAATTCTGGCCGGTTGTCCACCACAATCCTGATGGACATGGCTACGAGAAGGCTGACCCTGCAGCGCGGACCGGCTGATCAGCAAGATCCTGGGCCCTGGGTCGCTGAGATCACTGAGCCTTGGATGATGTCAGGTCGTGCGACGCGAGGATTCTCAGATGGTCAACAGATTGTGCGAGTATCTATGCCGACTTGCAAGTTGAAGCTGTAGCGTCTGTAAGTGAATATGACTTTGAGGTGACGCTGGGATCATACTTGTTGCGCCGGGCGCGTGTCTTACCTTTTGTGTGGCTACTTTGGGGTTCTTTATCCGTCGCTTGAGGCTGGTGACGAGGGCCTCGTCACCAATCTTGGGCTGAGCCTCGCTGACCAGCTAAGCCACCTGAGTCGTGGCTCGCGCCTGTGGCGTGCACGTGTGGCGTATCCTCGGCCGGTCGGACCCCTACAATGCCGACTACTAGACTACCTAAGTATCCATAGCAGTACAAGTAACAAGGGAGGCAGGCACGGGTAAAAGGCGCGTACCTCCCCGCTAGATCGCTCACCTTCGCAAGTTCACACTTCTTGATCTCCATGCTTCGGTCCGTCTGCGAGCCAGGGCGGCAGACGGATCCTATCCCGACGGAGCCATGCACTGCGACTTTCTTGATCGGTCACAGTCACAATGGGACACTGTGACTCAGGCTGCATGGATGCACGTTGGCTTCGAGTACGTTCGTACAGCCTACTGGACAGCTTCGACCGCACAAGGCAGCGGGCGTGGCTATGATCTATCACAACATTCTTCTCGAGTCAAAGCCAACAACAGGATGGGCAAGCAGGCAAGTTTGGTGTCCATCCGTCTCTTCTGCCCTCGAGCGGCTCGGCATTAAGAGGTGCAGGCCCCGACACGTCTGCAGCTCCTCGCGGTTCGTTGCGCAAGGCTGAACCAACTGCATATGCCCGGCTGGCGACTCCACAAGTCACACGTCTCCTGTCCGCACACAAGCATCGGCAAATGAGCCATGGAGGCGAGCTGTTTAGCTCTGAGCCTCTGAATGGTTCCCTGGCGATTTCATCCACCAAATCAGAACTCGACCTTCCCAAGTTCCCCTAGCTGATAAGCGGTATGTACGTTCCATAGCGGCCCGCATGTGGGCAGCCGTCAGCGCTGGCGTGCCTTTCTCCATGCCTAGTTATCATCGCCAATTTGCCTGAGTCCCTCACTGCCTCTACTCGGAAGGGTCGTTTGTGCATCAAACGCGGCCGAGCCCGCAACCAGCTTTTCGCTACTGCACCTCACTCCACACATTCACCATGTCGGGGTAGTATTGAGCAAGCACACCACCTCCGCACTCAGTGGTTACGAGCCTGCGCATACTGTACCCTGGCCAGTCGGTCAACGCCCTTTTGCCGCTCACAGCCGATCGGGTATGTCTGAGTCGACAGGCACAAGACAATCTGCGCTTGATGGACGAATGAATCACCTCCAAACCAACGCGCGGGGCGTTTGCCCCCTCATCTACGCCCGCGGTCCATGCTTTTGGTACTCAACATTGCTTGGGCACGGTCTGCAGACACTGTTCATCACTCACCTGCCAAAGGCGGTCATGGTAGTGCGCAACCTGCGATCAGAGGGCCCAGGATGGTTGAGACGTAATCATGTACTTGTCACTACATGACTACACACTCTTCATTGAAGGTGCGCCGTGCCAGCCCTACTCGTACGCCGCAACGGAACCAGATCATCCTCGACAGACCCGAAAGGTTGAACACAGACGGCACTTGCGGATCCTTTCATGCAAGGCGGCACAACGTCGAGTGACACTGGAGCAATTAGGTCTTTGCCGCGGCAGAATGTGTGGGTGCGCACCCCAGTGAGAGGCATCGCTTGCCGCGCCTTTCTGCAGCATGGGCTACGCCGCATGTATGCCGGCGACTTTTGGTTATCACCCAAAGCCTTCCTAATGTGCCCTGCTAGGTGCATGCAGACAGAACAATGTATATATGCCGTGTCTCTGCACCTCGCCCCCGGGGCTCTCCCTGGACTGGGCACCACCAAGCTCTGCCATGACACTTCCGGCATCTCAACTTATTAAGAGCTCATAATGGCGGGCGACTGTGGCTCAGTCTGCCCCGTGGCGGGCGGATTCTACAGCGCCAGACCAAACATAGGAGCCAACGGGGCCCTTGTCGCCTTGTTTGCTGCGTTGGTGCCACTCTGCCTCTTCTACGGGCTGCGATACCGTACCATCATCTTCTCCGGCTTCCTGTCGACCGGCTGTCTGCTCAGTGCATTGGGCTTTCTCGGACGCCTTCTCCTCAACAGCGCGCCCACGAGCCCGGGATACTTCCTGCTGTCGTTACTGGGAACTGTCCTGGGGCCGGTCTTCATCGCCGTGGCTGCCTTTGAAGCATTGCCGCACATTTTGAATGTGTATGGCGAACGGATCAGCCCAGTCAGGCCCTGGGTAGTGGCCATCACCCTTTACGCCGCTTGCCTTGTGGTTGGTCTGCTGGAGCTGATAGGATTCTGCTTGGCTGTCTTCCCCCCAGGCATGGATGTACGTCCGACAGTACTCGCTTTGTTGCATGCTCTAACTCACAACTCACAGCGTAATAGCGGTACAAGCTTGATCGCAGGTGGGCTAGGCGTGCAGCTCTTGACCTTTGTGGGCTTCACAGCCGTACATGCTTGGTTCAGAATGAACCTCAGGACCAGGCGGGCCGACATCGATCCGAAACACTCTGCCCTGTATGAATCGACCAGGTTTAGACGGTTCTTGCTTTGTATGTGTTTTCAGGTGTACGGACTGCTGCGTGCGTGCAAAGGTGTCACTAACATCCGATAGCTACACAGGTTGCCGTTCTTCTCTTGGCCGGATACTCGACGTACAGGATTGCCGAGATGGCGCAAGGCATTGCAGGGTCCTTGTTCCAGAACCAATATGCGACCTGCTTCTTGGATGGACTCGTCGTGTGGCTGGCGGCCTTGCTCTTGTTGTTGCCTCACCCGGGGTACACGTTTCGTGCCGCCTGGGGACCAACATCAGCCTTTTGCCATCGCAAGCGACCACAACGTCGTCGGACGCCGCCCACGTCTCTCAACCCAATGCAGGATCGACCGGAAGGGTACAAGGCGCATGCGAGGTACGACCCTAATATCCGAGCCCAGATCTCGCCCACCTCGCAGCGATCGCCAAGGGCACCCGAACATCCAGCCAACTCGCCCGGCCTGCCCTCTCACCCCAAGGCTTCCCTCAAGACGACGAGCCCGCTGCCCTCGCCCACAGAGACAATGCAGACGACTGGCACGATTGAGAATAGAACCAGCTTGAAGGCTGAACGGAAAAGCAATGTCCCGCCCAAGAGGTTGGTTGAGGAAGATACCCTCTGGTAGGAGGAGGCTTGAACCGCCATGGCGCCTGGTATTCTCTTGTTCAGTCGGTGCAGCGGCGCTGCCGATCGAGCATTGAATGAGATGATGTTGATACCTTGGGGGAGTTAGTTGCTTTGTTGCGAGGGAGTCGTGAAGCCACGTGTCGGTACCCTTCCGTGTTAGCATGCATGATCAGATATCCAATTGCCGTTATATTAGCAAGCCAATCAATCACACATTCACAGTTAACAGTGCACAGATGTTTTAGATCTTTTTGTCCTCCCGGGACAACTACGAGCATCCAACATGCTTGGAAAACCTGATAGTGCGCTTGAAACATAACTTCTATACATGGGACAATTTGTCATCAGACATAATCCGGCACAGTCAACTGGGAATAATCGCAATGCTGCTCAAAAATATTCGCCCCAGGCCGTCCGCGCCTGCTTCTCAATTAATGTACGCCAATTTGAGCACTGACTTGACGCTCCTCAGCAGCCTATGTCACTGTATGGACATGGTGGGTGCCAGCAACTTCAGGGCAGGCCCCGCTTGCCCATGGCACGGAGTTTGTTGATAGCCTCAGTATCAGGGTAGTTCCTCTTGGGGAGGCCACGCTTGCCCATGGCACGCAGGTTGTTGATAGCCTCGGTGTCAGGGTAGTTCCTCTTGGGCAGGCCACGCTTGCCCTTAGCACGGAGCTGCTTGATGGCGTCCATGTCAGGGAACGAGCGCTTGGTACGTGTCACCTGGGGCGCGCTCCGCATGCCCATGGCGCGGAGCTTGTCGATGCCCTTGGTGTCGGGGAAGTTCCTCTTGGGGAGGCTGCGCTTGCCCACGGCACCCAGGTTGTTGATGGCCTCGGTATCGGGGAACGAGCGCTTGGGGTGCGAGCGCTTCCCCATGGCGCGCAAGTTGTTGATGGCCTCCACGTCGGGGAAGCTGCGCTTGGCGGGCTGGTCCCCAGGGATCTGGATGTCGGGCAGACTCCTCTTGCCCATGTCGCGCAGGGCATGGATAGCGTCCATGTCAGGGTAGTCCCGCTTGGCGTACTGGATGTCGGGCATGCTCCTCTTGCCCATCTCGCGCAGGGTTTGGATGGCTTCTGTGTCGGGGTATGAGAGGGCAGTCAGGCCCATCTCGGATCGCCTGCCAGACGGGGCGGCGATTGAGGCGCCCGCGAAGGCGAGGAGGGAGAGACCGATGTTGACCATAATGATGGTAGTTGCTGAAGTATATAAGGAAACGTAAGGAAAGCTTTTAGTGGTGGTCGTCTAGCTTTCAAAAGGAAATAAGGGTACAGACAGACAGACAAACAAGAGACCGGCTCTTGTTAAGGAAAAGGTAGTCGTCGTGTTGGCGTAGTTGTGGATGATGGGGAAGAGACATCGCGTGAACGTTCCGGGACGAGTTCGCTTGGTTTATATCTTGGGCGACCTCAAAACGCTGACGCCTACTCCCAATGACAATGATGTTGAATTGTCATGGAGAGGCGATCTGACGGGGTGCATTTGAGGCTCTGCAAGGGGCCGATCGTCGTAGGATTCCAAGGGTCCAAGATTCCCCCGTTCCTGGTCGGAGACGTCCACACCGACGCCTGGGGTGCTTAATGGGCGGCTCTTCTGCCGATCAGGTCCGGACCCGAGGTTGTATGGGCACATCCGGGTTGTAGGATGTATTTTGATGGGTATTATGTGCCGTACGCGTGGAGGCGTGGAGGCTGATCATGTCGTCGCTGGTTGTTCACTTGTTTCACTTGACTGCGCCGCTCGCAAATCTGCGTTTCTGAGCGCAGAGCAACGGAATATCGCTCTTGCGCCAGTTTCTCCGGTCACAGAAGTTCTTCTAGGGCTGCCGGTGGGCATTAATGGGTACTAGCTTGCTCATTTGCCAAGTCACTCACTCCTATAGCACCCCTCGACTGGGCATGGAGGGGAATACGATTTTTGCACAAGTTCACACAAATTCACCGTGAGGCCTGGCCGCCAGAGACACTCCACTCCTGCTTAATTCGAATGCCTGAGTCCGTGGGGTAGATCCCGTGGTCGCTGTTGTCGCTCCTGTACGCGCGACCTACCTCCCTGTCGGTGGTGACGGCTGTGTGAGCGCAAGAGTGAAACACAGGCGAGAATGACAGCAATAGACGGCTCGAGGCCGGAGAAACTGCTGGCGAGAGGGATCGAGTACTGATGTCGTCAAAGTCCTGCTAGATGCTAGACAACGTGTGAATGCAGAAGCCACTGACCACGCAGGTTCTGCAATCGCATGTTAGTGGACATGTTCGTTGGGATGCCGGAGGACTGGAAAGACTGGGCAGAACTCAGAAAAAGCCGATGCTGGACACGCCGATGAGGATCATCTTCAGGAGCTCGTTTTTTTTTACCCTCGGATCCGAATTTTGTCTCGTTGACGCGTCCAAGTGGTACAGTAATTACAGCGTAGACTGTCGTTGTTAAAAGACCGTAGTCGCGAGAGTACAGTTGTGCACAACGTTTACGTGTACGAAATCTTGAGGGGATGTTTTTTCTCAACCGCCTCCCTGCATTTTGTGACAGGTCGGATATTCACCCGCATCATTCCCGGTGCACCTTCTCTAGCTTTTTGCGATGGCCCGTGGGACTCGAGATTATGACTTGAACGCTGCGAGATCTGCTGGGTCACTTCCCTTGCGTACGAAGTAAAATTTTGGAGATAATCCCGATTCCAATCTCCGTCTTAAAAGTCGAAACCAGGCTTCGCTTAAAAAAGCTGAACGGGCTGGTGGTTCACAGCGGCCAAGTGGTGCCGGACACTTCATACGGCCCAGCCGTAGTGTGCCTTAGCGCTTCACGTTGCCTTTTTGTAACTTGCTGGGCAGGTCGGGGAAGGGGTCCGGGAATCGATTCTCTTGTTGTCTGGGGATGTCAACGAACAACTGGTGGGTACTGTAGGCTGTAATATGTACTTGTAATATGTAGATTCTCCAGTCCACGCGCTGGACGATCTCGCCTGTATGTATCCGTACTGTGCCTCACTATAGCAAAGTTAGTGGCGGAATGCGACAGCAGGCCCAAGATGAAGATACAAACATTGTGATGATGCAAGTGCTGGGTACCTTCCTAGGGAATTAGGCCTTTTGGGGTGCAGTATTACCAGGAAGTCACGTCCCTCATATCGGAGTATTTTTACCTTCTCTATCCGTACCTTACCTGAGCCACCAGAGTCCAGGCTCCAGGCACCACCGCCCAAGGTTCCTGCCAAGGAGGGTGTCTTCGGACTCCGCACCAACTTTTGCTCTCTGGCAATCTCTCCATGTCGATTGAGCTCGGTCGCACTGATTAATTAGTCCTTCCTTTATTCTACTCATTAACGCTGCCGCCTCCAGACTCGACCCTCCGTGACCACTGTCACACTGTCGACAGCAAAATACGTACTATGTGACACGGCAAACTGGTTATAATTTCAAGGTATGATAGCTCCCAGTGGTTTGCGCTAGCGACGGACATTCCCGAACCGCCGCCGTCTTCCTTGCTAGTTGCTACTAGCTCACTGGCTAACAGCTGTTAGTCAAGTGAGTGCCAAGGCCCAAGCGGCGATGCACCCTCAGTTTGCAATTGTTGGATTCGGTTCTCTGCAGGGTCAGTCGCCAAGCATTCATCGTCAACATCTCCCTCTTCTCCAGCCCTCTACAACGACCAACTGGATGCTGCCCCTCGTACCAGCCCACCAATCCTCAATGACCGCGCTATTCCCACAGCGATTAACAAGGCGGCTAAGTAAAGCGCCCATCAGGCACTTGGCGACGTGACGAGCAGTGTACATACATCCCTGTATGAACGAGAAGCTCTCCCCTGCATCGTGGGTGGCCAGAAGCTTCCTCAACCTCAACTTGAGACACGCCCGCCCACCCACCAAAGTCAGCGTTCACTCCGCAGAGCTACATCGCCACCGCCACGATCGACGCCGTCGCCATCTTGGCCACGGCCGTCGTCTTTGCCCTGACTGTCTTCTTCCTGATCTCGAGCAAGGACGATGGTGATAGCGAGCCTAAGCTCCTCAAGCTTCCCATCATCGGCGACCTGCACAGCTCGCCCGTTGGCAAGCCTCTTCAGAACTGGGATGGCTGGTCCAAGGCCAAGGTCGCCAGTGCCACGCCCAAGCTCTTCGCCATCATGCCCACTGTCGTCATCAGCACCAGCGAGGCCGCGGCGAAGCTCCTGAGCAAGCAAAGTGCCTGGTGCAGCAACGGGCCCAGCTCCGTCAGCGTCGAGATGATCACTGGCGCCGCGCCTGGCCAGTTCAAGTCCGTCCTCATGCACGACATGGAAGATGTGAGATCCAACTCTGCCCGCATGGGCACATGATGATGAAAACTTAACCCCCGGATAGCACATCCGTCTCCATCACCGCATCCTCGCCCCAAGCCTTGGCCCCATCGCCGCCCCCAAGTACCAGCCTGATATACAGCTTGAAGCCAAGCAGCTGCTCATGGACATGCTCGCCCTTCTCGAGCACTCGGATGACAAGAACGTCGTCCAGAGCGCCCCAGTCTACCCCTTGCTGGAGCGCACCCAGGCGAGCAACAATCTCGCCCTGCACTACGGTCTTCGGGTCCCAACCGTCGGGTCCCCCATCTACCACGAGATTGTCGAGATTCAGAAAAAGGTCACCCATACCGCTGCCAACCCGGGCATTCCCGACTTCATGCCCGCGCTCCGCCACCTCCCCACTGCGCTGTCCCCTTGGAAAAGGGCTGCCGACAAACTGTACGAGGAGCAGACATGGCTCTACATGAGGCTCCTGGAGCATGGTGACGAGGCCGAGGGCTGGAAAGCAACGAAGCAGGCGTGGACTGTCGTGGCCAAGCATACCCCGGACGGCATCCCCGACATTGATCTCGCGTACACGCTGGCCACAAGCATTCAGGACGGCATGAAGACCAGCCCCGAGCCCTCCTGTGATTGTTCATCGCGGCCATTTTCTCCAAAAAGGACTTCATGTCTCGTGCCCACGCGCTCTTGGACAAGGTGGTCGGCCGCGACCGTCTTCCTACCTTCGCCGACCGCCCGCAGCTTGCCTTTATCGACGCCGTCGTCCCAGAGCTGATGCGCTGGCGGCCTATTTCCCCGAGAAGCATCCCGCGGCGCGCCGACCGGGCCGACGAGTTCAAAGGTGTGCCCACTGTGAAGCACATTACGGTCTTTGCAAATGCGTGATCCATTAGACGGAACCCCGAGGCCTTTACGACCGAGCTTGGCGAGCTGGAAAGGTTCATCCCCGAGCGCTGGCTCCAGGGAGAGTGGATGGACGAGGACGTCACCTTGCAAGGCGAGGTTCGCACGTCCCTGCGCCTGCCGGTCTTTGGCCAGGGCCGGAGGAGCTGCATGGGGAAGAGGGTCGCGCTGGATGGCAGCTTCATGCAGGTGGCGGCCATGCTCTGGCCGTTTGACGCTGAGCCGGTCGACGAGATCGATGACCTGGAAATGGTCATCGTTGGCTTCATGACCGAGACCGAGCCCAAGCCGTTCAGGTTGAGGCTGAAGCCGAGGGTTGACTGGGTGCGAGAAGTTGTGGGCAGGGAGTATGCCAGTGCGGACAAGGACTTCTGCAGTGTCCTGGGTGCCGTGATTGACGTTGAAGGTGAATAGCAGTGTTATGGAAGAAGAAAAAGAAAATTGGGTGCTTGAGGGGAAACTGTCCATGCACGCTCTTACAGATACATGCGTACAAGCCCCACGAAGGGGGAAACTGAGCCCGATGGCTGACTACACTGTCTAACAAAGCTATCTGATCACCAGCTGTACCGGAACATGCGATCCTCCTTGTCGGTCAGGTCCGACTTGGGCTGGCCCGTCCTGTCCAGCACGACATGGCCGTCGACGGCACCGTCGAAACCATCCTGGGCGTCCCTGGCATCCCGCCTTTTGTTGTCTGCGACGCACAGCCACCTGTACAGGACCATGGAGCAGAAGAGGAGACCCCAGGTGACGAGGGCGGTGATGACGCCCTCTGTGTAGCGGGGCTTGTTGGTCCAGAGCTGCGGGGAGCCGATGCAGCCGGCGCAGTAGCCGATGAAGAACATGGTGTTGACGACGGCGCGCTTGGTGTTGCCCTTTACGTTGGACGCGGACAGCGAGAGGAGGATGGACATGACGGAGGTGATGCAGGAGGCGAGCCAGGCGGAGACGATGATGCCCCAGTGCGACTCGAGGGGCAGCTTGATGAGCAGGACATTGCCGACGACGGGGGGGATGACGAGGGCCATGACGACAAGGGTCCTGTTCCGGGGGAAGAGCCAGCAGAGCAGGACGCCAACCCAGAGCATGGCGACCTGGACGGCGCCCGAGGGCGCGGTGAAGAGCATGGTGTCGAGCTGGTCGTAGCCAATGGCGTTGATCATGAGTGAGGCAAAAGTCAAGACGGGGCTCTGCATGGTGACGAGGACGCCGAACCAAAAGACCATCCAGGCCTTGGGGTCGAGCATGGTCTCGCGCAGCTGGTCGAGGGAGAAGGACGTCTTGTCGCCGCCCTCGCGGTCCTGGGCCATGCGGGCCGAGAGCACCTCCTTCTCGCGCGGGCTGAGGAACCAGGCGTCCCGGGGCCCGCCGGGCATGAGCAGGAAAAAGGCGACGCCCGAGGCGACGGTGAGGGCGCCGCAGACGAGGAAGAGGACGCGCCAGGGGGCGAGGCCGAGGGCCGTGTTCTTGCCGATGCCGTACATGAGCAGGCAGCCCAGGACCTGGGCGACACCGTTCATGGTCACCCACAGGGCGGTGCGCAGCGCGTGCTCGTCCTTGCGCCACCAGATGGACGTGATGGTCACAAAGGCAGGGGACACGGCGCCCTCGGCGAAGCCGAGCAGGAAGCGGACGGCCGCGAAGGAGGCGTAGGACTTGGGCGCGGCGAGGCACATGCAAATGATGCCCCAGATGATACTTAACACGGTCAGGACTGTAGTTGACACAATGGAGAGAGACTTACACCGTGCCGCCGACAAACTTGGTCAGGGGCAGGCGGGACATGAGGTAGATGAAGGGATACTCGGATACTAGCTGGCCGATGTAGAAGATGGAACTGCACCACGAGTACTGCGAGGCGGTGAGGTCGAGGTCCTGGATGAGGCCAAAGACGCCGGCGTACGAGAGAGATTGCTTGTCGAGATACTGCAGGAGGAAGACGAAGCACATCTGCGTGCATGTCAGCATGCCACTCACTTGGCGATGGGAAGGGCTGGACGTACAAATGGCAGGACGACAAAGTCAATCTTGCGAAGGACAGCCTTTTCCTCCTCGGGCGTGTAGGAGACGTGTGCGTCGAGCACGACGGGCTGTACGCTCTCTTCCTTGCCCGTCATGTCGACGGACGAAGGCGCCCTGTCGTCGGCCAGAGCTGGCTTCACGCTGTTCTGAGCATGGGCCATAATGGATGGTGCAGTCCCTTGTATCTGTCTTTCTCCGGTATGCTTGGGTCGATGCAGGAAAGAGGTGAAAGTTTGTGAAGAAGAAGAAAAAGATGACAATGGTATCGAGCACATGCAACGAGGCAGCCGTGATACTTCTACTCCACGTGGACTTCCCCGGATTCGGGCTGCTGCAGGCGAGAGATAAACAGCGACATTTGGTAGCGTCGCCATCATCTCCAGTCTCCACCGTTATCAAGAGCCCACCAGCATGGACCAGCCTGAGGGAAGTGATGGGTCGTCACGATTGAGAGTTCGAGGCTGGGATGAGAGCCCGCACGCGAGACAGGGAGGGCATGTTGCCGCTGTCGGGAGGATGGATGGCTTGCCGATAAGCATCGTCGGCAACGTGGCATCGGCAGGGTGTCGCGGCCATGCTGCCGACGCTGAATGCCGGCCATCGGACCGGGGAGAAGACGTCGAATGACGGAGGGAGGCCGGGGTGCAGAATCGCAGACTGAGAGGCGGCTGCCGCTCTGATAAAAGAAGATGATACAGAGGCGACTTGCTCCTTTCACTCATTGAACACGGTCACAGTGTGAGTGAACTGAGGCAACAGCAAGCGACATGGTGCCAGGATCCGACATCAAGCCTTGGCTGCGCGAGGCGGCGACCAGCCGGGCCTTGATCAACGCCACCGTCGTCGACGTTGTCAATGGCACGACGGCTGCCGACTCGACCGTCCTCATCTCAGACGGCCACATCACATCCGTCACAGCATCGGCGGACGCCACGATCCCCGAGGGCTACGCCGTCGTCGACTGCCGGAGCAAATTCATCTGCCCCGGCCTCTTTGACGCGCACGTCCACTTTTGCGCGGTGCCTGGCTTCGCCGACCTGTCCAAGGCCTTTGGCAATCACCGCGACGTGTCGCTTCTGCGGCAACCGTACGTGGCGGCGCAGATGCTGCACCGCGGCTTCACGAGCGTGCGCGACTGCGGTGGCGCACAGCTCGCCTTCAAAGAGGCCATTGCCGAGGGCGTGTTCCCCGGACCGCGCGTGTTCATGGCCGGGCACGCGCTCTCGCAGGCGGGCGGGCACGGCGACATTCGCAGCCCGCACGACGACTCGCTCGAGTGCTGCGGCGGGCATACCAACGGGCTGGGACGGCTGTGCAACGGCGTGCCCGAGTGCATGACGGCGGTGCGCGAGGAGGTGCGGTCGGGGGCTGACTTTATCAAGATCATGGGGTCCGGGGGCGTGTCGACGCCGACGGACGCGCTGGAGCACCTGCAGTTTACGCGGGACGAGATCCAGGCCATGGTGGAGTGCGCGGAGAATGCGTGCACGTTTGTGACGGCGCACGCGTACACGACCAAGGCGATCCGGCACTGCATCGACAATGGCGTCAAGGGCATCGAGCATGGCAACTTTGTAGACGAGCCGACGGCGGCGCTCATGGCGGAGAGGGGCGTGTATCTGACACCGACGCTCATCACGTACAACCAGATGGCGTCGGAGCGGTGGAGGGGCTACCTGCCGCCCGAGTCGCAGGTGAAGAACACGGAGGTGTTCGATGCGGGCCTCAACGCGCTGCGGGTGGCCTCCGAGGCGGGCGTGATCATGTGCTACGGCTCGGACCTGCTGGGACCGCTGGGCGCGGCGCAGACGCACGAGTTTGCCCTGCGCGCGCAGGTGCTCTCGTCTGCCGAGGTGCTCCGGTGCGCGACGGTCAACCCGGCCCGGATGATGGGCTGGGGCGACAGGATAGGCCAGATCAAGGAGGGTTTCGTGGCGGACTTGCTGGTGTTGGACAAGAACCCGCTCGAGGACGTGACGATACTGGACGACTCGGAGACGAACCTGCTGCTGGTCGTCAAGGAGGGCCGCGTGTACAAGAGCCGGTGGGCGCAGTGTGCGGAGGATGCGGCGGTGCCTGTGCGGGTGCAGGTTGCGTGATTGCAGAAGTTTGGATGAGAGAACTTGGAGTTTTGGTGGTGATGTCTGGCTTGGTTAGATAGCCCCTTTTCCAGGAGCTCAGGGGTGTGTATGTACACAACATAGGCTGGTGACTTGCGGTTGCGCTAAGCATCACAATGGCATGTTGAGAAATGAATGGATGAATGAATGAGAGCGACACAAGCCACCTTTTTGCCTTTATTACGTATACAATACTTTGTCAGTTCGGTGACTGACTGAGTAGAGAATCTCCCCCAAACCGGAGGCGGCCGCTATGATAGTTAGTCGCTTATGGGGGCAAGTGGGTCGGTCGGTCGGCCGGTCAGTCGCGACTGCCTACTTTCCTTTTATCGCACCTTCCCTTGGACTTGATGCTCAGGAATTCGCACCTCACTCTTCACCATCCGCTTCTCCTCTTCTCCTCTTGTCCCCTTCTTCCCTTCTTCCCTTCTCATGGCAATCTAGACGTTTGTTCATTTTCATGTTCGCCCCTGCCGTCCATCGTTTCGTTCGAATCGCTCAGTCGCTTGCTCACTCCCTCTGCGCTCAGTCGCCCTCTCCATGTGAGTGAAGATGAGCGAGCTCGCCCTCGAGCGGCGGCGCCTCCGACGACGCGTTGCCGACGACAACCGCAAGAGGGCCCCCAGAGCGTACGATCCTCCGCATCCCACACCCAACGATGGTCCGCTGCCGTCTCCAGTCCAGTCCAGACGCTGACTGTCCAACCCAGATGCGATCGCTGCAAGGCTAGGAAGAGTCGCTGTATCGAGAGCACGCCAGGCACTTGCCGGCGATGTGAGGCCAAGGAGTTGACCTGCATCTACGACGACAGGCGCCAGAGCCCTGATCACACGGATGCGTCGCCTCTCCCAACGGCCGCGAGGCAAGCTGCTGCCCGCAAGGGCACGACCCCTGGTGATGATAACATCTCCATCAACAGCTGTACGTTTGTTCCTCGCGCCCCTGCGCCACGACACGCTCAGAGACTGACCCTCGGAAGACCAGACGGACCGCATCATGTGGCCTCGCTTCCTCTCCCGCCTGCGCGAGGCCTTTTCCCTCGACGTCCAGAGCACCCCCGAGGCACACGACATGATGGCCATGCAAGCCTCCATCTCTGGGCCCCGGAGCCTGCTCCCCGCCGAGCTGTTACGTCTCCGACGGGCCATTGACGCCTTTCCACCGCGCCCCGTCGCAGACTACCTGCTGGCCGTCTGCATACGCCACGGGACCGACTCCTTCTTCTACTTTGACCAGGCCCACTTCCTCCATGAGATTGACGAGTTCTACAACGACCAGTCCTCCCCTCTGCGTGGCGACATTGGCTTCATCGGGCTGGCCCTCGCCGCTTTTGCGCTCGGCAGCCAGTGGACGCCCATGGAGAGGCCGAGCGAGGGCCCAACGCCATCGTTGGCAGGCGATCATGATCCCGGCACCCTCTTCCACTCTCATCTCAAGACGCTGGTCCCCGACTTGATCGAGCGCCCGTGCCTGCGCAACATACAGGCCTTTTACATCATGGGCGTCTATCTCATGCCCACCAGCGCCGTCGGCTCGTCGTACGTCTACATTGGCCTGGCACTACGCAAGGCCCTGGCTTTCGACCTGCACCAGAGCGCCGACGAGGCCAGCATCGACGAGCGCGAGCGCGAGGTCCGCAACCGTCTCTGGTGGTCCATCTGGTCGCTCGAGAGGATTACGGCGCTCAAGCTGAACCGCGCACGGAGCGTCGACATTGAGCATGTCACCGTGCCATTGCCGACGCCCATGGCGAGCCTGGACCAGGGCGACAGCCGTATCTTTGACAACGTGCAGCACCAGATTGCCATGGCCAGGCTCGTCAAGATCCTCGATGGGGTCACCGATGTCGGGTTCGTCTTCCTCCCATCTCCTCGCTGGTTTACACTCACCTTTGTATACAGAACTCGCCCGAGCGCAACTGCCGTCCGCCGTCTCGAAGCCAGCCTCAAAGACTGGAAACATTCGCTGCCCTTACAGTTCAAGCTGGCCAACATCAACACCCGCGACTCGAGCTACCGCGCCGTCCTTCATCTGTACCTCAACTACTATTACGCCTGGATCGCCATGGGCAAGGTCTCGGTAGTCACGGTCGTGCGAGACCATCTCCGTCAGAACTTGAGTGGCCAAGGCCCTGCGAATACACCCGCTCTCGACGCTGCGGTCCGCGACGTGTCGTATGCTTGCACCAGAGCCGCGAGCAAGATCCTGCGCCTCTTTGAGATGTTGAACAACACGGGCAACATTACGCGCTTCTCCTTCACAGACTTTCAAGGCTGCAGCATCGCGACCATTGTCACGCTGCTCTCCGGCATCCAGGGCCGTGACTCTGGATACGAGGGCCGGGTCACATTTGGCCTCGACTGCCTGAGGAAGATGGCGGCCGGCAACATGACGGCCAAGGTGGGCGTCCGCTTTGTCGAGGCACTGCAGACGATTGCCGACGAGGCAGTCATGAAGCTGCGACGCGCCGAGCACGATCATCTCCAAGTTCAGCACGAGGTGGGTCTTGACTCTGGTGCGGCCGAGTACACCCGCTGGGCGCAATGGCTGTCGCGCGCTGAAAACGAGTTGCAGAGCTTGGGCAGCCCGCTAACAATGGCGACGAACGTTGCGCAGCCGCCCGTCATGCTCGGGGCGCCGCCGACAACGGACAACAGCAATCTGCCCATGACGCCGTCGGTTCGGGATGCTTCCATGTGGGATCACCCCACAAATGACTCCCTGCTGCCGCCGCCGCTGGCACCCTCGGCTGCTGCGCCAGCACTGTCGACGTTTAACGCCCGGCCGATATTCGAGCACTCCAACAACAACGGCGGTTCCGGAGAGGAGTTTTTGCCCTCGTCGCTGTATGGCGACGATCAGAATTTCCTCATGGGCCTCACAGGGTTGGATGTCTTAGACTTTTCGGAGCTGACCACGCCATTGTGAGGAAAGTGAGCACCTTGCCCTGCAGGGTCCCAGAAACCAAAGGAAAAACCTGACGCACACCAAAAAGCTCCCGCGTATCCATCCGATGTGCATAAAGTAATGCATTGCATTACTCAGTCGTCAAGTCGCGCTCGGGCTCGACCACACGCGTCCAGGTACGGTACACGTACGCCTGCTGTTTTTGTGCACACAGCCACAGGCTTTGCACAATCATGTCCTCACCTCCCCCTGCCGAGTGACGCAAAGTTGCAGCGTATGGAGCAATTCATGCCGATCAGGAGGCCCAGAATTGGCAGAATACGAGCCTAAGTGAAGCTGGATGCTTGGCTTTGTCTGGCCCTCATAACAGCGGCACTTGTTCCATTTTCCTCTCTGCTTCCACACTCAACTTCTTCCCTTCTTCATCATCATCACCATCGTTAAAAAAACACACACTCGTTTCGACCACACGATCGCTTCAGCAGCCGACATGTCGACCACCCTCTCCACCGTGCCCACGCCGTCGGCGGCCACTTGCAACAATGTCTACGTGATCCCCATTCAGGACAGCGCGTGCGCCATGCCCTACTCGGACGACGCCGTCGACTACTTCGAGTCCTGTTGCAAGGGCGCCAACGTCTATTCGTACGGCGACGACTGCGGCCTCTACTGCGTGGCCAGCGGCCAGACGGTCGAGGACCTAACGGCCTGCCTGATCGACGAGGGCGCCCAGCACGGCCAGGTCTTTTGCTCCGGCAACACTACGGCCACGGCCACCGGCGACGGCGAGCCTCCTGCCAGCGCCACCGCGACTGTCATCAGCGACGGCGGTGACAACGATGATGACAACGAGGATGGCAACGATGATGACAATGATGACAGCAATGACGACAACAACGATGATGGCAACGATAGCAACAACAACGACGGCGACAACGACAACGCTGCTGTCAAGTCCAGCGTCAGCGTGTTTGGTGTTGTCGTGGGTGCCATGCTCTTCTCTGGCATGACCCTCGCCGCGTGGTAACGTGTTGCGATATAATGTATTTGCGACATGTCGACGGCAGGAGGCTTGACCACATGGTTCGCTTGTCAAATAGATGTACGAGATTGTATGCATAAGCTATGGTGTTTTTTTGGTTCATCAAGAGGGACTTTATTTGGACAAAGCATGTAGCGTTTATAATGTATACAAGCCGGCACTAGCCATATGCACATCAAAAATCTTTCCCTGAGGGAGGCTGAGAAGCATCAGTGCTGTTTGAGAATTGCCGACCAACGTTTACTATGCAGATGCGTACTCACTCGGTCAGTGTAAGACATGGAAACCCCTCACATAGTGCAAAATAGCAGTGAGACAGTCCCAGTAGCTGTCTCAGTCACTTTAATTCACTTGTAGCGCTCAAGTCGATGTTCAATGCTTTAATCGAAGAATGTCATTCATACACTACAGGGTAGTTGAGGTTATGTAGGTTGGTGCAACTGAAGACGACTCCAAATTCCAGGTTAATAGAACTGAGCAAGATGGCAAAGCGCAGGTCGTGGCCGTTACGAACAAGGTTAGTGGAAGCTCTCTGTCGTGGTAAGTGCTCTTCTTCTCTCACCCCTTGGCAGGCTGAGATACAGGAACACTACTGACCATGCATAGCCAAGACGTTGCCCGTGGACTGGGCGCCATTACGGACAAGTGCTGGAGACCAGATAACTCTGTTCAGGGACGGTCCAGAGCTTGGGGCAACGGCGACATTGCCATCCACATTTCCGAGCCCTTGATCTTATTATGGCGGCGATGACGGGGAGGGCATGGATTTTGCATAGCGCCGGGGAACATAGCTTCGACGTACATAGAGTGAGAGTGAGAGAGCAAGGCATCAAAATCCATCACATCGCATCGGCACAGGTCCAGTAGCATCGCAAATCATTTCTCATAACATTCGTTTCTACTCTAGAACAGTGGCACTTCAAACGCCCTAGTCCGATGTCTGCTAGTGTTCACAAAGACGTCTTCCCACTGATGCTTCCAGCTTTTCACTGTTTCCCGCAATATTTCTGCAACCTCACTAGCAACAAGAGTCGCTTGCCGAATCCCAGTACCTGATTGTGTCTGTGTGCCCCGACTGGGGGCCTGTATCATAAGCATGTTATCGCTGCAAACAACCCATGACCCCCGGACATCGTCGACGATGCTCGTAGCAAAGCTCGAGATCAAAGAGCGCGCGGGTCCCCCGTCAGTCAAGCGCTTGTGCGGTCCGTGGCTCACGAGGGCGCCAGTTGTGAAATTGGCCTCTTTTAAGTTGGTCTGCATAGTCTTCAGCAAGGCGCAAATAGCTTCCCATTCAGCTGAACGCACTTTGCAAACGGAGAACATTTTGAAAGTAGGCCATAGGAGATTCAAGACGCTCAAAGCTTGGTCCAATACGTGTAGATGTTCTGTAGTCTGCGAGCCTGGCGAGGCTTCAACAACAGCCTGGACCAAGACCCGTATCTGAGGGAGATGAGTCTCGTCTAGCACCCTCGGTACTGGCTCCTCATTAAGATACTGGCAGATTGCGTGGGCATACACATCCAGCATTGGGTACGCCCTGCTCTCCACAAAAGCAGCTTGTATAATTGCTGGAAGCATAGCGCCGACGACAAAGCGCGAGATGCCGGGATGGCGCATTCCTTTTGCTATCATGTCCACCTCTTTAGAAAAATCGCCTTTCATCAATGCGACCTTGAAGTTGTTGACGAGGAAGTAGAAGAGCTCATGTGCGGCTCGGCTCTCGCCTTCTGCGAGACGCAGTCCATAAGACACAATGGCTGCCACCTGGAGCTGCGGATCATGTTCCGATGGCGAGTAGTCCTTGCTGATCTGGTAGAAAAAGTCATCCACTGTGCAGATGTCGGTGCCGTGGGCTTTGATGAGTTCAATGCACTCGCGCACAAACTTGATGTAATCGCGATGCTGGCTTGAGTCACCGTGCATGCTGCCCAGGTCTCTCCTCATTTGCTCCATGGCCAGCTTCAGAATGCGTGAGTGCTCAGCCTGCAGGGCGCGTTTCTGACTGGGGCCTGCGTCCCTGATCGCCTTGCGCATCCACGAAATGGCAAATTCGAACATGTCCCTGTTGGTGCGATAACTAGGGCTGATACTCAAGCCTTGGGCAGCCTCTGGGACGAAGGGCTCTCCTTGACGGATCAGTCGCTGTGCCAGTCGATTCTCGTATGCTAGAGCCTCGGATGATTTCACAATAGCCAGCACCCAGAGCTCACATAAGCTCAGGCCATCCTCGCAGAAACCGTCGAAACCACGCTCGACCAGTGTCTCGACAAAGAGCGTGAGATACCTGCGCTGGTTGAAGCCAAGCAAGTGAGGCTTGTCTTGGAACAAACGGTGCTTGCCTGGCTTAAATATGGAATTAAAAGTCATGACGCCTGCGTTGATGAAGCGCATGCCCATTCTTGCACCGAGTTTGACGACATGCTCGATACAAGCCACCATATCCACGGAAGCCAAACAGCTTTGCTCCGCATCCGGGTTCAGAATAAGGACTCGTCGAGCCATCTGGAAGAAGTTGCTGGCCAAGTCATGATCGAGAGACAGCAGAGCATCGTCGGCTTGTGCAGAGTTCAGAAGCTGACTTTCACTTTGTTGGCTTTCTTCCGCATCTTTGAAATCGTCGACGCGGCTGAGGAACACGTCCAGTGTTAAGAGCGCGGTCCTCAGCATGCCCCAATCGAACTCGGGCCGCGGCGAGGAAAAGTGCTGCAGTATACGCTGCAGCTGCTGCGTGTTCAAGGCAAAGGTTGCCGCTTCGAGATTCTGGGTATGCTTTATAACGTCCAACGAAGTCGATAGCGAAACGTGTACCACGTCGGCCACGGCATTCTTGTTCAGCTTGACCATCGCACTGATCATGTCGGGGCTGACAGACTTGCTCACATCGCTAGAGAGCCCGAGAAACTGCTGCTGTATATCAGAGGCTATGGTGTCGTATTGTTGCATCATTTGTGTGAAAAGTCTGTCGCGCCATTGATTGAATGGCTTCATAGACGTGGTCGCTTCGCCGTTGCTCACAACGAACCTGGCCAACTGGCTCCATGCGCGCAGACTGATGAGGCAAGCCTCTTTATGTGAGGTTTCAGGGTGAACAAGACGTTCGATCAGGGCGACGCTAGGGCGCACGGTCGGGGGCGCCGCCCAGTATAGGGTGCATAGCAAATCGTGGTGATTACGCAGTGCAGCCAGATCGCGTTCATGGATATGGTGCTCCTTCATATACTGCCGATTGTGGTTCGGCACTGTCCGCGCCACCATGTTGCGGATCTCCTTGGTATGCTCGCCTGCCCGGAGTCGACAAATGCCCAGGGCCAGCATTTTGAGGAAGATGTGGAAGCACTGGTCCTCTGGTTCAACTTTGCCCACATTGGGCGTCTGAGCTAGATTCTCGAGGAATTTTGGTGATCCATAGAACTCCTCGTTGCGCAAGTGAGACAAATTTTGCGACCCGAAGAAGTCGAATATTGGACCGATAATGCTTATGCAACGTACCCAACCCCATTCGCTTATGAGATGGTGACATCTAGCCAGTATAGTGCGGCAATAGCTATTGAAGCTAGGCGCCTGCCGGGGTTGGCTATTGTACAGCTCGAAGACACGTCTTAGCAGCTTCTGCGGGATGGTCCATCCTTCAGTGCTTGACTTACGTCGCTGTCCCGTCACAAGTACACCTCGATCGTTGAATTCGGTGAGAGGCAGCAGGGTGAACAAGGTCTCCCAAGCACCTTCCAAGATGCGCGCATCATTGGTAGAGGTTGTGTCGGAACCGACGACGTTGTGGGACACTATATCCCAGAATGTGCCTCGCGGTATGTTCGCATGGAAGAGTATTCTCATCAATAACACCCACGAATGAGCATCGCACGCGTCGTCTTGAAATTCCTGCGCACCGTGCCGGGTCACCTGAAGCGTCCGATAGCGGTTCCTGAGATTCTTGATACTTGAAGTGCCCAGGACTCTCGAGAGCGCAGAGGCCAAGACCTTCAAACGCTCCTCAGCCGTCAACTGATAGCCCACGAGGTTCGGATCCCCGCGGCATATGAGGTAGACGACGAAGGCCACAAGGCATAAACAGTCCATTACGCGAAGGATTATTTGTTTGTAGCCTTGTGACTTCGCTATCACGCCGACCTTCGCCGAAAAGCCCTCGAGCAACTCTAACATGCGTGTTACGGCAGCAAAAGTTTCCGCGTCCGTCTCGAGCGTCATGAAGTTGCTTACGTAGGACACGAGAAAGTGTGCCGCATCAACCGAAGTACTCTCTAGACATTGGTCTCCTTCTAGATATTCGGCAATGTGATCAAATACGATGCCCATCTCCGATGATACTTGTGCATCCCATAGTCCCCACCGCAGGGTCTGAGGGCCAATTGAGAAGAAAGTCCGGGGCTTTTGCAGCTTGAGCTTCGGCATGAAGTTTGAGTCGACCACAGTCTCAATGACAGCTTTTCCCAAAAGAGTCGAGTGGTAGAAATAGACACCCGACGGCAATGGCAGACACTCAAAGTGATGAGTGTAGGCGGTACCATAAGCGCCAAGACCGGAAAGCTTGTTCGCCACGTCGAATTTCTCAACATCCGCTGCAGGGTTGACGTTGGGGCCTTCCGATAATGACAGATCTGTATGATCATAGTCTTGGATCACTGGGTCCCTAGCATGGGTAAATTGGGGATCGTCGACATTGATCTGTTGCGGTTTCTGTTTCCTGCGGCGTTGATTCTGTGGCCTCGGACTCCTTGGGAACGCATCATCTTCTTTGGTCCTGTCCTGCAGCGGCTGGAATGAGTACCTGCGAAGAGTGCCTGTCGAGGGAGGCTGGGGTAAGTGCTTAGCGTGGTAGAGCTGGTCCAGGATTTTCTTGCTAGCATGGAATGCAACGGCTGACATCCCCATCTCGTCGCTTTCCAACTGGGCAGGGCGTAGTCGAGATGGCGTATCAGGACTGCGGTGCCTGCGTTTTGGGCGATCGCTCCTGGAACCAACGTTGCCGGTAGAGGGACTGCTTGGACGCTCTCGCTCAGAGCGAGCAGTATCTCTGGAAGCTCGGTGTTCACGCCTTGGGACTGACGTCCGCCTCTTTGCCGTTACAGATCCACGTTGTTTTATTGACCCTCGCCTCCAGTCCGCCAATAGTTCGAGCGCATCTAACTGGTCACATCTGGTCGCCATTTGAATAGATTTTCCTCTCTGATCAGCTCTCCCCTGATCTGACCGTTTCTTTGCCGTGCGAGCCGCAATTTTGAGGAACTGAGGTGCATCAGGCTCGATCACATCGAGAATACTGAGCTGAGGTAGCGAAGGTCGGGATTTGTTCAAGCGAGCGCCGGCCTTGGCTTGACGTCGTCTGGGCTTCTGGGGTTTGCTCCGAAACTTTTCGGCGAGAGACTCAGAAGGAGTCTTCGATTTGCTGTATACGGCATCAATCCTGGGTTGCCTAGGAGTCGACCTTGATTTAGGTGCGGTGTTGCTTCTCTTTGCTGTTTTTGTCGGCTTCTGGAACTGGTCTGACAGTCTGCTTTGCCTTTTTGGATCTAGTACCATGTGGTCGACGTTGTTGTCTTCCATATCTGAAGAGGCGTCGGAATCTATGTGAAAGTTGCGTGCTTCTGGTGGGTTGGGACGTGATTCCAAAACCAATCTTGTCTGATGAGGAAACAAGTCCTCCGTCGTCTCCAGAGCATGAGATGGCGAGTCATCGTCGTCCGAGTCCTCGAACAGCAGCTGATCCCGAACAGAGCCCGGCTGAACAGCACGTCGATGAGCCACTCCACGGCGATTTTCTCGTTCTGGGGAGCGATCGACCTGTCGCTGTGCCAGGCTTTTCTGTATCTTGGCGCGCCCAGATAGCTGATCTAGACGGAGCCACGATGCTGGAAGGACGCCTCGAATGCGACGAACATGCTGGTCCACAACTTGCACATCACTATCAGAATTTCCTTCTGTGGCGCTGGATGCATCATCAACCAGTATGATAGGACTGGTTTGCCGCGCCTGGGCCGCATTTCCCAAGCTCTGCCCGTTTTGAGGTAGTAAGTGTGCGGCCTCGCCGGGCGCCACCTTTCTTTGCTCGATTTCATCATCGAGTCCACGCGTGCTATGCTCCTCATCGCCAGGAACCGCATCAGGAAGTTTGAAGACATCCGTTTGATTGGAGGATTGCGTGGCGGCTGGAGCCTGGGCGTCCGCAGTTCGGGAAGGTGTATGACTCTGCATGGCGGTTGTTAGTCGTCTTCGCTTCGCGGTTGAAGGTCTGTCCGGTGATGTCTGTCGTCTGCGCGGCTTCAGCCCGGATCGTGGCGTTCGGCGTGAAACCAGCTGCTGCAAAGTGGGAAGCTCATCGTCATCTAAGCTGGTCCCTTCGGTCTCGGCTCTGGAACTTGCTTGACTACTGATGACCCCTTGTATGTGGAAAGGCGATGTCCTCGTTGGGGACGATGACTCTTCGCGAATCAAAAGGTCGTCCTCGACAACGGCGAGCAATGTCCTCTGGCTGTCATCAGTGTCATCGGTCGTAGCCTGCTGACTGACATCGTGCCTTCCCAACCGAGACTCCCTATCATCCGGCCCGTCATGAGGGCCACGTGAACGCTCAATTTCTTTATTGACAAGTCTCAATGGGTTGAGGCCATGTTGCCGCCACTCTCTTGCATAACGCATATTTTCCGTAAAGTACGGACGGAGCTGCTCTGGTTTCCGCGCCCGAAGCGATCTTTCATTGCGGGCAACAAGGAGCCGGGCTTCCTGTGCCTCCGCATCGAGCTCATCATGTTGACGTGGCTGTCCGGGCTGTATGGGCACCTGTGAAAGCTCTCGAGAAGACAATGTAGGTTCGAGATCGACATTTTGCATTTTCCAGTCGGGCATCGCAGATGACGAGGCTGTTTGCGGTCGTGGCACCTCGAAAGGTGAGCGGAGGCGAAGGGACTGTTCGTCATGATGAACAGCAGGTTTATTCAAGAGCTCGGCGACGGACGGTAAGTCGGGTGACAATCGGTCGGTACAGGGAGATGATAATGGGGACTCGGAAGAGGCTACAGTCGAGGGCTTTCGCGACGTCACCCCTAGTGAAGTGATTGCGGTTTTGTCGAAGTGATCGGGACTAGACGGTATATCCCAGATGTCCTTTTCCACTGCAGACTTCACCGGCTGTAGCTGTGGTGTTGGAACCACATCCTGTTGAATTTGTGGATTCTTCGACTGGTTCTGTGAGTGGCCTGTTGACTGGCTTTCGAAGCCATCCTCGTCCTCTGAGTCTGGGACTTCTCCCATGTGCCTCCAATCAACCATGTTCCGCCTTCGATCGTCATAGCCTGTGTTGGCCGGGGGTCGAGCTCATGTTGAGAGTGAACAAGACCAAGCCCGAGTGCAAGTTCGAACAAAGTTTGTGAATGACGGTCGCCGACAGGGGTACCAGTACCTGACCCTGACAAGTAAGAATTGGGAATTTACAAGTTACGTGGACGTAGCTGGTAAAGCACAAATCGACATGGAGGGCGTGACGTGAGACGCGTCGGGAAGTCGCGCGCCTGGTGGGGCTACTTTAGCATTATCAGCCATAATCACGCCGACACATGTCCACTCTAAGATGGGTGGACTGAATATTGTCAACCCGGACGCTAAGTTAGTTACCTTTGCTTCAACTTCAACGACATCACTCGATGATACTACCAACCTTGTCCAGATCGCATCGTTGAAGCTATTAGACTCTTCGAGCCCCGCAGAGAGACCCTGATGCAGAGGCACTCCCGTTGAACAAAGAGCTGTGTGTCGCATCATGAGCTTCGCACAACGAGCTATGCCACTGGCCATGGCCACCTTCTGCGGTGTCGTTGGTGGTTAGTCCATGCGCTTCCCACAAATCTGACATTATCTTAACACAACGACAGGCTACTATACTTTCCAGCCGATATTTGCACCAGAAGCGAGCCAGGCAAAGCCAGGCTCGGAATATCCGCCAGGGTATGTAGATCGGAGTTCAGCAGTCCGTCGATGTTCATGTTCTCGAGCTGATATAATTGACACTCAGAACTGCACCATCACCAGCCGTCGTTCCTGTGTCTGCTATTGAGCCAAAACCTCATCCAACAGAATCAAGGATGAAAGGGGCCCCTTCACCGAAATAGTTCGACTGGGTGCGGTCTTTCTCTACAATCTATCAACATAGTATCAGCCATATATTTTTTCGGAGTTGGGAGTCATAATGCACATCCTTATCCCTTATGAATCTTCCATCCAGCCAGTGTTCAAACGCATCTGAACCTACCGGAAGCCCGATTCACATGTTTATCATCAACTAGGCAAGACTGTTGATCTTGCTTGGCTGGCTGGGCAGAGCGTACTATGACGGTAAAACGGACAGCAACAATAATATTGAATTATCACCTACTCGGAAAGGTAACAATGTCCTCTCGTGTCACGGTTGCCGGTTGTTAGATATCACATCGGTTTCCAATCTGATGCACACTCATTCTCGACCTGTCTAATTCAGAACGCTTGACATGGGTCGCGGCAAAGACAAACCGTGCAACTTCTCTGTGCAAGTTGGGTTTGGAGAGACTCTAGGTCTTATCTGCATATCCGCCTCAAAGGATGGCCGGGCTTAGCTTAAACCCGATCCGCATATAGGATTCTCTCAATAGGCCATTTCGCCAGCCTTTTGCCTCCTGATAAAGGCGGTGTCTTGTCAAGCATTATCATGGGCAAGGCAGATGACAGAATCTGGGCAGACGGCCAGGTTGCCTCTGCTTTAACCAAGCCCGACTCGGATACTGAAATGCCGACCTTTACTGGCGAAGCTGAGATGGTCCGGCGAGATGTCAGCCTCATCGTCGACTGGGACGGCCCAGACGACCCAGAGAATCCTCACAATTGGACGAGGAAGCAAAAGGCAGTTTACATTACCATCATTGCTGTCATCACTTTCATAACGTCAGTTCGAAGCAATCTCGCGAACGGAACCAAAGCTGAAATAGTACAGTCCGCTGGCATCCTCCATCTTCGCACCGAGCACTGAGCAGGTAATGGAAGAATTTGGATCAGACAGCACAATGCTTGCATCTTTCATCGTCTCGGTGTACCTGGTTGGATACTGCTTCGGTCCTCTTGTGATCGCACCGTTGTCGGAGATGTACGGGCGCTCCCCGCTGTACTATATCTGCAATGTGATCTTTGTCGTCTTCACTGTTGCGTGTGCGTTAGCACCCAATATGGCAGCTCTTCTCGTCTTCCGGCTGCTAGCCGGCTTAGTAGGGTCTTGTCCTTTGACGATAGGTGCCGGAACTTTGGCGGACATGATCGGCCCAGAGAAGAGAGGAATGGCGATGTCCTGGTGGATATGCGGCCTATTGCTTGGGCCAGTCATCGGTCCCATCGGTACGTGGGCAACAATGCTATCTTTTGCATTTTACTGACCTCGAGGGTTGTAGCCGGCGGTTACTTGGCCGAGAATAAAGGTTGGAGGTGGTCCTCTTGGGTGGTTGCCATGGCTGTGAGTTCGTCAACCGCGAGCAACTGATGAAATCTCTGACGAAATAGGCCGGATTTGTGACCATACTGTCTTTTGTCTTTCTTCATGAGTCGTATGCCCATACGCTACTCGAGAAAAAGACACGGCGTCTTCGAAAGGAGACCGGTAACTCCGAGCTTCGCTCAGCGCTAGACACCGGTATGGCAAGCAAGGAGGTCTTCAAAGTCTCTATTGTTCGCCCCACGAAGATGCTTTTCTTGAGCCCAATCGTTTCTAGTTTGTCTCTGGACATGGCAGTCCTATACGGATACCTCTACATGCTGTTCACGACCTTCCCCTCGCTCTTTATGTATGAGTACGGGTTCTCTGAAGGTAACATTGGTCTTACGTATCTGGGCATTGGCATCGGATCGGCCATTGGCCTGTTCATCAACGCCAATGTCTCTGATCGAGTGGCAATCCATATGAAGACGATGCGCGGGGGAGTACATCAACCAGAGTATCGGCTACCGCCGGCCATGTATGCCTGTTGGCTGATTCCCACGGGTGTCCTCTGGTTCGGATGGACCGCCGATTATCATTGCCATTGGATCCTTCCGATCCTGGGCACAGGTGTCTTCGGCGTTGGCGTTGGCGTCGTCATTCTCATGGTGAGTCCTGCAGCGGGCGGTGAGAGCAGGTCAAATTTTAACATTAGCAGATGTCGATGGCTATCTATGTAGTAGACGCTTTCGATATATACGCAGCATCGGCGACAGCTGCCACGACTGTTCTGAGGTCTTTGCTTGGCGCGCTGCTGCCATTGGGAGGCCGTGATCTATTCGATAACCTTGGAATGGGCTGGGGAAGCTCTCTGCTTGGGTTCCTTGCGCTGGCCATGACACCTTTGCCATTTATCTTTTACCGCTACGGCGAGCGCTTCCGCAAAGTCACACTCTTCAACGTAGAGTTCTGAGGGGTGCTGGTTGCTCACAGCGCGTCGCGAGCAATGTGAGAGTGATCAGGTAGACCAAGAATCATTGCACGCAGCATCAAGAATTGAAGGTTTGGCAATCGTCTCGAATTGTACATGGCGCAGCTTCGCCCCGTCCCGTGTGCTGCGCAACCCACGAGACGTGCGCCGAGCCGTGCCAATCACGACACGTGAATAATCATGTCACTTGGGCAAATAAAAAAGACCTCAAATCGACAGTTTCTCCCGTCTTGACATCAGACCACTTTTGTACCTTATATGCACGGCGGAGGCACCACGTGACCTATAGCCGGCCGTCGTTGTCTTAGTCATCCAACAGACAGACCTTGCCGAGCTCCATTCCAGCAAATGCTGGACGAAATCATTAGACCTCACGAAAACCCTCAAACACCCGAGACGACGTCAATTGACCCTACATCCACGGTCCTCGACCCTCCACAGTACGAATCTTCTCCGCTCATTCTCCCACTCGAAACATCTCACGCAACATGCTGCGTACCCCGGCGACGAGCATGCTGCGCAACAGCCTGGTGCGCAGCGCCCCTGCTGCCCGCCGCGCCGAGTCGACGGTCGCTGCCTCTGCCAGCCACGCCATCTCGAAGCCCACCCTGGCCAACATTGAGAAGCGTTGGGAGGGTATGCCTCTCCAGGAGCAGGCCGACCTCTGGATGGCCCTGCGCGATCGCATGAAGGGCAACTGGAAGGAGTTGACGGTTCAGGAGCAGAAGGCTGGTACGTGTGTTTTTTCTTGCTGTGCTGCATTTGCCACGCCCCAATTGGATTGCACCGTGGCTCAAGAGTCGTCGAGGGCGTTTCCAACGGCAGATTCTCTTTCTCAGTCGGAATTCGATCAATTGAGAGCTGGTGATGATCCAATGCTTCGTTCCCCCATGGTCACGTCGAATCGCCCACGCATCATTGGCTCTCGGCACAGATCTCGTCAAGTGGGTCCCTTGGTTCACGACGACGACAAACAACACCACGAGGACACGCTTCACACAACTCCGCGCTTCCGATGTATCCTGGCATAGTTACTGATCCAACTCAATAGCTTACTGGATTGCTTTCGGTCCCCACGGCCCTCGCGCTACTGACCCCCCCGGCACCGGTGCCAAGGTCTTCTGGGGCGTCATGGCTGGCCTGGGTGCTTCGTTCGGCATCTTTGGCTTGATCCGCGCCTTCGCTAACCCTGCTCCTCACACCATGAACAAGGAGTGGCAAGAGGCTGTCAACGAGAAGCTCATTGTAAGTGCCCGTCGGCTCCTCGGTCAATGGTCTGGTAGCTCACGCAGTGCAGGAACAACGCGCCGACCCTCTCACCGGTATCACCTCCGAACACTACAAGGGTCCTGGCCAGGTCCAGTCTCCTCCCAAGGGCCCTTAAATCGATCCTACGCGATCGCTTTAGCCCTTCGATACCACATAATCCGAACATCCTTATACTCAACCTTACGTTCCCTTTGTTTTAGAGACCTAGGTCAAAGCTCGCCTGTGGGATGCATCGAATGGCTTCGTGTGTAAAGAATCAAGTTGAGAGAGGTTCACAAAAGCTCACTAAAGGGTAGCGGCGACGGGGCAGATGGGAGGTCTCGGCGACTTGACTTTGATTTTGCGCGTCAAACTGGTGTAAATACTGTACCACAACAATGGGACACATGTTCTTGGATCATGCGGCCTGAAGTGAGTGAGTTTCAACGCTGCTCAATATATAATGTGAAGACGCTGTCGTAGGCAAAATACACGCAAACGCCGCTCATGCCTTTGCCAAGGCTGTTCACTACACTGCAATGACGTTTCAACCACCACTTTGACCGGCTTCTCTGTATTGCTCGAACGGTGACGGATGGGTTGCTGGCCGTGGATTCAGCTCCTCTTCCTGCAGCCGTCTGTCAAGCTCGAATCGCCCGTCCTTACCCCAGTAGAGCGGCTTTTCTAGCCCGCGGACGCATGCCTCCGTGATCAGTACGTGAGGCATGGGAGCGTCGAACATTGGCTCGGCTAGGACCCGTTCCATCTCCATCTTCAAGGCGCGAGCTCCGGTACCTGATTTTTCCGCCCGCTCGGCGATTGCGTAGAGCGCCTTTTCCGTGAAGTTCAAGCGCGAAGGGTACGTCTCGAAGAGTGCTATGTACTGGGCAGCAAGGCTATTGCGTGGCTCAGTCAGGATACGAAACAGATCATCTGTGGACAAAGGGCTCAGTGCACAGACATTGTGCAAACGGCCAATTAGTTCGGGGATGAAGCCAAACGCCTGCAAATCCTCTGGCGTTGTGAGATCAAGCGGTGTGAACGACGGGGCCGAGGCAGCGGTATAATGTGGGAGATGGGAGAAGAGCTCCTGCGGTAACGCTTGCTTCGTTCCAGCTACCGTTGTTCGTCCCTCGACCTTCCCGCCAAAGCCAACCGAGGGCTTGGCAACGCGGCGAAGGACGCTCTTGTCAAGGCCTACAAAGGCACCACAAAACACGAAGAGGATGTTGGTGGTGTCGATGGTGAATTGGTCGACCTTGCCGCCAGGGGGTGTCACCTGGGCGGTTGAGGAGCCTCCGCCACCGAAGTTCGTTGTGATGGGCGGAGTGGATCGCGAAGAGCGGTTGTCCTTCACGTTGATCGTCACTTTGGTACCCTCTACGAGCTTCAGCAATGCCTGTTGCACGCCTTCGCCCCCGACATCCCTGCCGGTTGTCGTTTCTCGCCGAGCAATCTTGTCAAATTCGTCCAGCACCACAATTCCATGCTCTGTGGCTTTGATGTCGTAGTTGGACTCTATGAGCAGGCGCTCGATGCAGGATTCGACATCTTGACCAATATAGCCAGCTTGGGTGAATGAATTGCAGTCGCATATGGAGAAGGGGACGTTGATCTTTTTACTTAGCGTCCTGAGCAGTCAGTAGCGTCCCGTCAAAGACGCGAGTTACTTACTCCAGAATGTAGGTCTTTCCTACGCCTGTAGGCCCGATGAGGAGCATATTGCTTTTGTCAACCTTTACAGGCTCGGGGGCGGATGGATCCTCAGCTTGGTAGAGGCTCTCGTAGGGATCCTCTTCAGTCTCCCTCGCATCATTCAGGTGTCGCAAAGACTCCTGATGGCCTGGAAAGTCATCTTCAGAAGTTTCGTCAGCCGAGCGGCGCCTTGAGATGGCATCTGTGAAATGCTGACCTTCGACAGGGTGGACTTCACGCCGCCTTTGGTGAAGCTCGCGATCCCGCACTAACCGCTGCCTACTCAACTTGTCCCGTCTATTTCTTTCCTCGTGCTCGTGCTGGCGGCGTCTCCGTACACCTTGGTAATGATTGAATATGGTTGAGCATATTGTCTTCTTGGCTCGGTCTTGCCCGACAACATAAGCGTCAACACGCTTCTTCAAATCGCGAGGGTAAAATTGAGGGACTCCGAAACTCGATTTTGTGAACATGGGACCACGTCCGTTTTCAGTATTCGGATCATAGCTGCCTGTGAAGCCAGAATTGAAGTCTGTCGTCCGCTTCGACGCTGCTAGAGGCTGGGAGGTGGAAAGCTGCCGAGAGCTTCGCCGGCAAGCGTGGCACGGGGTAAGTGGAAGACGCCACCTGGCGGATGCTGGACCACAAAGAGCCACGGATAGTCGTCGAGCCGGTCGGTACATTGTTTGGTTGCGAAATGCTGGTGCGCAGATGTCGGAGACGAGAGGTGGCTGAGCTCAACTGCGTCAAGACGCGGCGGGAAGATCGGATATTTTGTCGGTCACGCGGGGATAGCAATCACGAGTGCTAGATAGTGCTGCAAGAAATGGGGACCTTGTAGTTTTTCGAGGACTCTGAAGCTCCCTACCAACTAATAAGGTATACTTCGCTGGTAGGAGTCAATCGTGTGAACAAGCATGACCAGCGGGGCCCGGTTCACCGGCTGGCGCCGGTTCGGAGCAGCGATAAAGTGATAAGAGCTTGGTAGCGATAAGACCAAGATAAGCGGGCTGGCCGTTCCGCGAGGTGATCGTCGGATCGACAACTGCAGGGAGGCAGGCCCCAAGGACCTGTCTGCAACCTGCAATCCTTTATTTACGTCAACAGTGTGGCGTTCAAGAGTGGCGAATTGACCAGACGAGGATGCGGAGGCTGCAGTACGCTCGCACACTTGGCGCAGTCGTAACATATTTACGAGGAGCAAGTAAGATTGGCAATAAAGCCACTTCGAGACCAAAAACGTCATTTTGTTGGTATCGATAAAGCTGCACATGGGAGGGGAGGGTCGAACGTCCCGGGCTCTCATCTCAAACGCCACCTGGATCCGTTGCTTCAAAACCTTGAAGAGTTTTCTTGTGAGATTGTTATAAGTCACAATACAAGCCCAGAGTTATATTTCGTGACCAGTTTCTTTGCAGCTTGCCTCGAGCTGAGTTTGGCCTCGTCGCACCCTGCCATCATCGCTGTCCCCTCCCCCAAGACCCCACCTTGCCAGACACCAGCGACCAAGCCATTGATCCCTCTGCGTTCGTCAAGACGCTGCTGTCCGGTTCACACGCGTCAATTGACGATGGCTTCCGCGATTAATAACGCCTCGAACACTCTGTTCGATAACAATGCCGGGAATGCGGCTTCAGACATGCCCACAGATGGCACTGGTGAGCTCTATTTGTCAACACGGTTGTCACGGAGATCCATACTGACTTGAGCTCGTCAGGTGTCGTCAAGCTTGACCCTTGGTTGGAGCCATTCAGTGACTCTCTGAGGAGTCGGTTCAGCAAAGCCCAAGAATGGATTGGCAAAATCGATGAAACCGAAGGTGGACTGTCTCGTTTTTCTCAGGTATGGCATTGCACAGTGCTTCTCGCTCAGTGCTGATGAAACCTAGGGCACTGAGAAATTCGGCTTCAATGTAGACGCCCAGAACAATATTCACTACCGTGAATGGGCTCCCAACGCTCAGCAGGCAAGCCTTATTGGAGAATTCAGTATATCACTCCTTCACAACATCACAGAGCCATGACTGACCACCCAATGGATGATTGGAACAGAGATTCTCACCCTATGACCAAGGATGATTTCGGATGCTTCGAAATTACCCTGCCTGCCGTCAACGGCCAGCCAGCAATCCCTCACAATTCCAAGCTCAAGGTACGACGAGCTTTTACTTGATGTAGACTTTTCATGTTGACCGACGATAGATTTCCATGGTCATCCCAGGAGGGGAGAGGATAGACCGACTCCCTGCTTGGATCAAGTATGTCACTCAGGATTTGTCGGTCTCACCCGCATACGACGCAAGATTTTGGAACCCGCCTGCGAGAGACAAGTATGAGTTCAAGCACCCTCGCCCCAAGAAGCCTGCCAGCCTCCGTGTGTACGAGGCTCACGTCGGCATTTCAACGCCTGATCAACGCGTGGCTACGTACAAGGAGTTCACCAATAATATGCTCCCTCGCATCAAGAACTTGGGCTACAACGTCATCCAATTGATGGCCGTGATGGAGCATGCTTACTACGCTAGCTTCGGCTACCAGATCAACAACTTCTTCGCCGCCAGTAGCCGTTACGGCACACCTGAGGAACTGAAGGAGCTCATCGACACCGCTCACAGCCTAGGTCTTGTTGTTCTGCTCGATGTTGTCCACAGCCATGCTTCGAAGAACGTGCTGGATGGTCTCAACGAGTTTGACGGCAGCGATCATCAGTACTTCCACGCAGGGCCCAAGGGGCGTCATGACCAGTGGGACAGCAGACTGTTCAACTATGGCCACCATGAGGTTGTGAGATTCTTGCTCAGTAACCTTAGGTTTTGGATGGACGAGTACCGCTTTGACGGTTTCCGTTTCGACGGTGTCACCAGTATGCTTTACCTCCATCACGGCATGGGATTGTAAGTCAACAGAACGGCTATCCTGACTTGGAAGGCTAACAGTGATAGCGGGTTTTCTGGCGGCTACCACGAATATTTCGGAGAGAATGTTGACACCGAGGCTGTCGCTTATCTCATGCTGGCCAACGAGCTGTTGCATTCACTCTACCCAGAGGTGATCACTATTGCCGAGGATGTGTCTGGTATGCCTGCTCTATGCCTTCCACTGTCGCTCGGAGGTGTGGGCTTCGACTACCGTCTGTCGATGGCTGTGCCTGATATGTGGATCAAGATCCTTAAAGAGCTGAAAGACGAGGAATGGGATATTGGCAACATTTGCTTCACCTTGGTGAACCGTCGAGATGGCGAGAAGACCATTGCTTACGCGGAATCCCACGACCAAGCGTAGGTTCTCCGTTTCTCAGTGAGAAGATACAACTAACAAAAGCAGTCTGGTGGGTGACAAGACACTGATGATGCACCTCTGCGACGCAGAGATGTACACGAACATGTCGGTGCTGTCACCATTCACGCCTGTCATTGAGCGTGGCATGGCCTTGCACAAGATGATCCGCTTCTTGACACATAGTCTGGGAGGTGAAGGCTACCTCAACTTCGAGGGTAACGAATTTGGCCATCCTGAATGGCTCGACTTCCCACGTGAAGGTAACAACGACTCCTTCTGGTACGCCAGGCGCCAGCTCAACTTGCCCGACGACGAACTTCTCCGCTACCGCTTCCTCAACAACTTCGATCGAGCTATGAATTGTACGGAGGATCTTATCGGCTGGCTTGGTGCCCCACAGGCATACATCTCACTGAAGCACGAGGGTGACAAGGTGATTGTCTTTGAGCGCGCTGGAGCTGTGTTCATCTTCAATTTCCACCCCAGCAACAGCTACTCGGACTACCGCATCGGCATCGATGTGCCGGGCACATACCGTATCGCTCTGAATACGGACACTGCAGAGTTTGGAGGATTCGACCGCGTTGATCTCAAAACGCGTTTTTTCACCACACCCATGGAATGGAATGGTCGGGCCAACTGGACACACATCTACATCCCGAACCGTACCGCCATGGTGTTGACACTGGAGGATCCTGTTTCGCAAACCTCGTAAGACACGAAGGTTGGGACACCCGATTGTGAAGCTTGCTTGTATTGAGGCATTTATCTATGTAGTCGATTTTTCTTAATATGATCATTGACGAAGTCTCGCGAACTCTGTTGAAGTCTTGCATAGGCTTGTCGACGACTGGTGCTCTCGTGTGTACATACATACTGAGGATATTATGGACATAGGATCCCTCTGAGGGCAATCCTATGGCCTCGGGAGTCATGCGTCACTTGAAGCAGTGGGTCCTGTCATGGTAGTTGTTTGCAGTACCACCGCATCCGCTGTGCAGAGATCAGGCTGTGATTCTTTGGATGTGGTTCACCATGAGCTCTAGCCGCTTGTAAGTTGAGATCCAAGCGAACCTAGTTGGCAGAACCTAGTTGGCAGAACCTAGTTGGTATTACCTATTCATTAGTCGACATTTTTCACTAAAAGATCAAGAATATTAAGTAGTAGGCTACTCTTAACAGTAGCCGAGACCATTGCTGTTGGTAAGACACTGCCGAGCGAAGAAACTGGACGCACATGAATCGCACAGGGTAGGCATTTCAGCACGGCTGCACTGAAAGGACCAGAGGCGGTAGGAGGGGGAATGCCGGACGCCTGTATTGTCCAAGATGAGGGGGTTAGCTGATGCACACAGTGTCAATTGATGGCCTCACGAGTCGAACAAGATCCCTTGAGTTCTCATCTAGCATCGCTCGCGTCAATTGACTGACGCCTTGCAATTGAAAATACCTTGGAACCGCCCTGAATTTCCATCTGTCTCCTGGGTCGTCATCTTGCGGAACTGGAGTTAGATTGTGGCTTGTGCTGGCCGATAATTTCCCGGCACAGTGGAGCGCCAGCGCAATTTCAGGCATAGTGGAGCCACGTGACCCGGCCAGAAAGCTCTAACCGGCCAAGTCGTCCTCGCCCGAGCAAAACTGCTCACTCTGCAAAAGTTCTCCCTCCAGCTTAACCAACCTCTCTCCGCTCCATCACAGACTGCTCGTTGTCATCTGTCAAGATGTTCAAGAGGTGAGTACCTACCCCCGAGGACTTTTTCGATTATTTTCGCGCCTCATTCCCAGCCAATTGAGGCCAGCTCGAGCTGACACGCACTCTTCTCTCGAATAGCGGCATTTCCTCCATCGCTCGCGCGGCTCGCCCTGCCTACAGGGCCGCGGCTCCTCGCACCCTCAAGGCCGTTCCCTTCCGATCGATCAACAACCGCTGGGCGAGCACTGCCGCCGCCGGTGCTGGCGATGGCAAGATTCACCAGGTGAGCAGCATTGCGTCCTCGGAAGCCCGCCGGTCCCCCTAGCCGAGCGGAGCCGCACGGCGGCCTGAGGCACCGAAACCGTGGCAACATCGCAAAGGCTAACAACAACATCACAGGTCATTGGTGCCGTCGTTGATGGTCAGTAACTCTCAACCAGACGAGCGACGCGACTTTTGCGGAGTTCAATTAATTTTTCATCGACTGCGACTAACAATTCCGCAGTCAAGTTCGATGGTCAGAAGCTGCCCTCCATTCTGAACTCCCTGGAGACCGAGAACAATGGTCAGAAGCTCGTCCTCGAGGTCGCGCAACATCTCGGAGAGAATGTTGTCCGCTGCATTGCCATGGACGGTACGCTGCCGGTTAGAGTCGCTGGTCTAGGATCGCAATGCTAATATGTGTAGGTACTGAGGGTCTCGTCCGTGGTGCCAAGGCTTCCGATACCGGTGCTCCCATCACTATCCCCGTCGGTACCGCCACTCTTGGTCGCATCATGAACGTCACTGGTGACCCCATTGACGAGCGTGGTCCCATCAAGTCTGACGCCCACCTTCCCATCCACAGGGAGGCTCCCGAGTTCGTTGAGCAGTCCACCTCTGCTGAGGTCCTGGTCACTGGTATCAAGGTCGTCGACCTTGTCGCCCCCTACGCCCGTGGTGGAAAGATTGGTCTCTTCGGAGGTGCTGGTGTCGGCAAGACTGTCTTCATTCAGGAGCTTATCAACAATATCGCCAAGGCTCACGGTGGTTACTCCGTCTTCACTGGTGTCGGTGAGCGTACCCGTGAGGGTAACGATCTGTATCACGAAATGCAGGAGACCTCTGTCATTCAGCTTGATGGCGAGTCCAAGGTCGCCCTGGTGTTCGGTCAGATGAACGAGCCCCCCGGTGCCCGTGCCCGTGTCGCCTTGACTGGTCGTAAGTTCACTATACTTAATACTTTAGATGCTCATGTACTAACGTCCCCTTCGTTACTGTTGCGGAGAGCTTCCGAGACACCGATGGCCAGGATGGTAAGAAAAATCTACTCTTCTTGCAGTAAATGCCACTAACCAGATGCCAGTTTTGCTCTTCATTGACAACATTTTCCGCTTCACCCAGGCCGGTTCTGAAGTGTCTGCCCTGCTGGGTCGTATCCCCTCTGCCGTCGGTTACCAGCCCACTCTCGCCGTCGACATGGGTGGTATGCAGGAGCGTATCACCACCACCAAGAAGGGCTCCATCACCTCCGTCCAGGCCGTCTACGTGCCTGCTGACGATCTGACTGATCCTGCCCCCGCCACCACCTTCGCCCATTTGGACGCCACCACTGTGTTGTCCCGTGGTATCTCCGAGCTGGGTATCTACCCTGCTGTCGACCCTCTCGACTCCAAGTCGCGCATGCTTGACCCCCGTATCGTCGGCCAGGACCACTACGACACTGCGTCCCGCGTTCAGCAGATCCTCCAGGAGTACAAGTCGCTCCAGGATATCATTGCCATTCTGGGTATGGACGAGTTGTCTGAGGCTGACAAGCTTACTGTCGAGCGTGCTCGTAAGATCCAGCGTTTCCTGTCGCAGCCCTTCACTGTTGCCCAGGTTTTCACTGGTATCGAGGGTCAGCTCGTTGACCTGAAGGAGACTATCAACTCCTTCAAGGCCATCCTCAACGGTGACGGTGACAACCTTCCCGAGGGTGCTTTCTACATGGTTGGCGACTTTGCCTCCGCTAAGGCCAAGGGTGAGAAGATCCTTGCCGAGCTCGAGGGCCAATAAATGCGTACTTGAGCTAGTCTCTGGGGATGCTTAATACCTTTGCCGAGCGGACGAGGGCGGAGTTGGGGCGGAGTCGAGCCACCCGTGTATAGACCAAAGACAGCGGAAAGGGTGGTGGTCGCCGAGGACGATCCGCTGAAAGCTCCATCAAAGTCTCATTTGTGGGCTGTGTACTAAGAAATCAACAAGTTACCATCTTGTAGCCGTCAATTGAGTGGGAGTTTCTCCTTTGTTTTCATATTTGTTCCACTGCCACATGTGAAGTTCTATCCATAGCATGCTATCAAATATGGACTGGAAGCGTGTCTGTCCCTCATGAGGCGTGTGAGCTTAGTGGCAATGGGAGGGAACGTATTGTCTCGTGTCGTTTACTTTGGACAAGGTCAGACTTAGCTGTTTACAGTTAGGAAACATGCTCAAGAACCATAGAAAAGTGCAGTCATTAATTACGCCTTATGGTACGAACAAATACTGCTTGTTCGATATCAGCTCAGCCTTCGGTAGAGATATTAATTGATTAGACACAGTAGCGCTAGTGACTTTACTCGTGAGAGTGAAGTAGTCAATATCTCCGATAGTCGAGGTACCAATCCCGCTAACGCTAGATAGATCACAAGAGATATTAGCTAGCATAACACATTCATATTGTTATAGTTAGTTTGGGAATGTCATGTGCAGTCTTTTGCCTTATTCGGACGAGATTTCCTCCATGATTAGATGCTGGAGCTCTTCTAGTTACTTGGCTTCCTCCCTCTGTTTGTCCTTGACGATTTGCGTCACGCCCTCCCGCCCATATAGTTGAAACCCGATTCAGGTCGTCCTCTATGCCCCCATGATAGGAGAAAGTTGGGAGGATGTGGTTCTCTATGAGGAAGATCCAGAGATTGAAAGACAAAATGCACGCCTAGAACCAGACTCCTTTGGATGTCCATGGGTCCCGCAATACACTTCTGATCTACACGTTATGTTGTTGCTGTACTTTTTTAGACATTTCGTCCATAGCACCCACAAAAATTTGGTACTCATTGTCGAACTGGTCAAATGTTCACCCGTTACCTATTCGGGGCTGCGATTCGTGAGCCAGTCTGCCACCTCGAGCATTTCGATAGGAAGCGCGCATATCCATTCCAAGTCGATCAGACAAGTAACATTCCATTCGTCATCTACAAGGATATTGCTCTGGTGTAAGTCCGTCAGCTGGAGAAAGAAAGGACCATTCCGCCTATGCCGTATAATAAAGCTGTGCGCTACCGCTCGAAGCAACGTCCTCAGCGCTGTACGCTCGTATGCATCGTTTTCGTTTTCGCTTCTGATAGCGTGAGGATCTTGGAAGAACTGATCATCGAAGAAAGAAAGCACATCGGACAGGAAATCATCTGTGTTACAGCATGTCTCACTAGGCTGGATTGTACGGGGGGTGGCGGCATTCCCGAATATAATCGTCGTGCTAAGCAAGGGCCTGTTTGTATGCGTGATTGTGGTATCGTTCGGGTTGAATCGGTAACATCCGATACGTGTTTGCGGTAGTCGGGATAGCGAGAGCATTATGCGCGAGATGCCCTCATAAAGGCGAGATCGCCTTTCAGTATCGTTCATATGCTGCTTCTATGTTATAGAGAGCACGTTGCCCACTTCAGGGCCGAGGAGCTCAAGCAGCACATACGGGGTGCCTATGACCGGTGCTGATGTATTCCTATTGTAGTTGAATAAAAATGGCCGGCCGAGAATGCGGTGCACCATCGCCGAACAAGACGAGCAACGCGTATGGGGAATGGCGCTTGCGAGGTGTGAGTGAACTGGGAGCCATCTGAGAATCCAAAGGCATGAAGAGCGGGTATCCGCATTTCACGGCGGTGTTCTTGCACCCAGACGTAGGAAGTGACCTCGCATCGAATCTTCGCATCCATCGGCAGGGTGCTGGGATTCCGCCAGCTTGTGCGGCAGCGGGCACCGGAAAACGAACCTGGACGTCGCGCGGCCGCCTACCATGGACACGACCATGACGCACAAGTTGAAGCCACCTTGACGCCAATAATCGGTGGGCCTCACTTCGAGTACGTAGTTGGAATCGTCCTTGGGCAGGTGTAGGTGACTTCGAACCACGGCGGCAATGTCTTCCCTTTGATCCCACAGCCATTGGCGAAACTTGTCGGCGGCTCGCCGGTGGCGGATGGTAAGAATAAGGTTGCTTTCTTCTTCGCCGACCGAGGCGATGGAAAACCATCGTCCATGATGCAGAGATCCTGGACCCTTGGTGGTGGGTGAGGACGGTGATTCGGGAACTGGATCGGCTGACGCCGAAGGGGCATGGCAGAGCGTGGAGCTCTCGCCCCCCTTGCTCGATATTTGTGTTTCTGCGGCCACGGATAAATGTGTTGAAATTCTCGAACTTGGAACAGCCATTGGACTAGTTTACGTGTAGCGAAAGGGGCATCCAAAGGCAGTTAAACCCATGGCGGAAAGTTTGGGACGTTGTGTCACAATACCACCGCCTCGGACCACACAGAGTGAGAGGTACCTGCCAGCCTACCGCACATAGGACTGATCATATCATGTCTTTATCTTGTATCGCTGTTTCACCCTGGTGCCCGTGGATTAGAAAAGCCGTCGGCATCGGTTTGAGCCGCCGGGTCTGGCGCTTGGATCTCGGAGACAGCATCGACGGTTCGGGCTCTGCCCCAGGAACTGATTGGCAGTGTGTACAACCCCCTTACCCTCTTCCTGAAGATAGAAAAGACTGGGAGTAGCGGCACCAGAAGCTAAACTGAGACGACATGAACTGACCGGGCGATTATAGCACGGCAAGTGAAGATGGATGACAGGTCATTCCGAAGTTGGAAATCCTTTCGACGCTCGTGGTGGCTGCAGAACGGAAGCGATAGTCGGGGTTGAGGGCGCCACGAGACTCGAGACATGAGGCCCTGCGTTGATCGCATAACGGGCGCTATTACAACTCTGTGATTCAGAGACTCAATTGATTAGAAATCTATTTATTAGGATGATCTTGTTGGCCGCCGTACTTGTTCTTGAGACTTGACCTGATAAGGTTAGTATCTCAATTACGTGTACATGTAGAGTCTCCTGGACCCTGGCCCGCTGCATCCTTTTGTAAAGAATCCATGCTGAGTCGCTGACAGCCTGACACAGCCACTTATCGTCCGCCTTTTGGAGTCGTGTCGTCAATTCCGCTTTCATCTCTTCGATACCCAGACAGCGGTGCCATCTCCTATTCACCACGTATATGTGAGTTGCGTCGTCCTTGAAGATAGACTGTAATTTGGTAGTTTGCCACGTGGGAACATGCCGCCTCTGACAGTCGTTCCGAATAGCTCAGCTTGGCTCACATAGCGCCCCCACGAACAGATACAGAGCAACTGGCAATGAATGGGTCACTTTCGGACTCAATGTCTCCTTCGGACGCAACGGTCGCGAGCGACAGGCCGTACCATGCGAAGCGACCGCATAAGAAATCCAGAGCCGGGTGTAAGAACTGCAAAGCCCGCAAAGTCAAATGCGACGAGGCCCGCCCGATATGTCGCTCCTGCAATCTACGCAAGAACGAATGCGTGTATCCAGGGCCTGCCAACCCAACAGATTCAAGCAAGCCCAGATCCGCACCAGACCGTGTCGACAATGCCCCTACTCGCAGCGAATCGCCCACTAGTGCTTTTGAGGAATGTTGCAACGGCCATAGCTACGTGTCGGCCCACAGCAACGCCCTCCTCTGCGCGTCTACCGCACCACACGTCACCGACGCATGCCCGCTAGAATTGAAGAACGATCTACAACTGCTGCGCGAACCCTTGTTTCGACCGGCCATCGCACGCGATGATTTCGAAATGCGACTGCTGTGGTTCTACACCACAGCCACCTGTTCTTCCTTCAGCTTCGAATACGCCGCAGAACGTCCCGTGGAGACGATTATGCGAACGCGAATCGTATATCACGCCTTCCAGACACCCTTCCTCATGCAGTCGCTGCTCGCGCTTGCGGCACTACATCTGCAAAATTTGAACCAGGAGATTGACCCCAAGCGAGCTCTCGCCTATCGTGCTACGTCGTTTGAGGGATACCGCAAGGCGGTCGAGGAAGCGGATCCCGAAACCTTCCCAGCCATGATCATCAACTCCCTCCTTCTCACTGCATTGTCATCACAGGCTTTCCGCGACGCCGATGGGAAGGATTTGTACATTGTGGACTGGATGATTGTCTGGAGAGGTATTGGTCTGATCATCCAGACCATGGGATTCGAGCGGTTCTTGTCGTCGGGCCTTAAGTCACTCTTCTACCGCCCACCCATGGACCTTGACGACACAGCAAAGCACATACCCAATATTCTTTTGTACATGATAACTTCAATTCCCGAGAGCGACCCGGATTTTCAAGAGACTCAGACCTATTACGATACCCTCAAGTATTTGGGCGCGCTCTACCAAAGCCTGCATGATGGAGGTTTCGGGCCCCTCATGGCATTGAGAATCATCACTTGGTTCACGTTCATCCCACACGGCTTTGTTGAGCTAGGCCGTCAACGGCGACCCCGGGCATTGGTCATCATCGCGTACTACGCCGCTTTCGTGAAGCTCGCCAACTCGGTCTGGTGGATCAGGGGTATCGGCCAACGGACGCTCCGCGATATCTGCCGTCACCTCGGCCCGGAGTGGTCCTGCTTTCTGAATGTACCTATGCATGCCATAAACACAGAGGATCTGGAAGATTTAGTTCGTCTCATACTGACAGAGCCTGAATGGCTCACCGCGGACAAGCCTACGGCGGAAGATCCTCTGGCTGCCGCCGTACACGGACACCCTACTTGGACCGGTTTCTTAGGGAAGGAAATCGATCTTAGCTGTCATGTTGAGCTGCACGGACTGGAAAGTAAATTAACGCCTTGATGATACTTTTTGAATACATACCTCCATATGAGAAGATTGAAGAAACCACCATCTGAAGCGTGCGTTAGTAGTAGTAGTACGGTGTTGCTTAGATTCTATCTACATTCAAGAAGTATTGCCTTGACACTTTTGTAGATATTGCTTCTATATGGGAATTAGTTTGACTATTGTTGTGTCAATGGTAGCGTGAGTTATAGATATAGTAGACATTCGAAATTTAGTTGACGATAACTTATTGATATACTAGACATTCAACATCGAGTTGACGATAGAGGTAGTTGTTGGGACAGTGGACAAGCACCTTCAGATTCGGATCTGGAGCTCGACATCAGATGGCTCTTGGCCCCTCAGTAAGGCAGACTGACAGCCAGACTTTATTACGCATAGCACAGAACTCGAAGGGCCCTCTGACTGTTTAGTTAGTTTCTTCTCACTTCCCTAGATAGATTCGGCTTTTACCTTACTTTGATCTCTGCACCTTAATCACCAACTTGCTGTTAACCTGTCACCACGCAACATGCCTGGCACCACCCACTCGCTCTTGATGAGCTTGTGAATATATTCAGGCGGTAAGTATATGACTTGTTGTCTGATCTGTCCTTTGTTTTCTGCCGCATTCTACGCGTCGCGGGTGCATCAACATCTAGTTTGGAGCTTGCACCTGGTCCCGGAGGGGCTCGTTTACTCATCCTACCCTTGCCCAACGCAAGCCCAGGCAAATCTAACCCGTGATCTGTTTAGTGTTTTTATATTTTCCCTATATTTCCCAACGGACTATTATAGGACGCTAGCAAGATGGCGGAAGGGAAAAAGTCATCGGAAATTTCGTCCCCCATACTCCCCAGGCACCATGCACAGCAGGTTCCATCGACTACATCACCTCATGGAGCTTTCGTGGCTCGAAATAGTCGTATATCAGGAACTGGATCTGGGCTGAGGACCCGTAGTTGACGAGGTGGGCAAAGCCGATCGTCGTTCTACAAACCTGAAGTAGCGTCCGGAGGTCTGGTCTGAGGAGAGAGTAAAAGAAAAGTTAGGCGACGACAATAGAGAAGACGATGAGAGGAGGGAGGATGGGATACGCGGAACGGCAACATTGGTTGTTGGTATGCATTGCTTTTTAGAACCCGAGATCCCTCATTCCATCATCATTGAGCCTCAGTCATATTGACCGTCTCGCAACCATTGACTGGCTCTCTATTCATCTAAAGCATTGCGGTCAGAAGCTCAGGAATCAGAACCCAGCCAAGCAGGGTGTGGAACATATGTAGTCTCGCTTCCATGTTCACCTGGCAGCCTACAGCCACACATTGTGCATACCAAGAGAATTGATTTTACCAGAAAATAACAAGGTGGTAACGTACTCTCGTAATAAAAGTCGCCAGCGCTGGTGTGTCTTCAAGTCGTAGGGATTGTGCATGTCGGGCGGTCGCTGTTGTTTGAGATGAGCGCGAAATCCTTACTAAGCAAAATATTGAACAGAGTTGGGCAACGTCGAGTCTGAACAAGACATCCGCGTCTCGCGATGTTCTCAGAGCTACCATTTTAGGGCGCTGTCGCATCTCCGACGGCCTGTGCTCCATACGCTGGGATGCGCTCATCATGCTTTCCGGCAATCAGCGCCATAGCGAGAGCGGCAAGGCGTTCGCATCACCATGTCCCTAAAGGAGCAGCTTCTTGCACAACATATCCCCATACCTCAAGCGCCCTGGCATATCTCTGCCCCATAGCCTCTACCGCTCGAACAAGACATATTCAATTCCACACATGCGTGCGACAATTGCGGTCAGACAACCCGCCCGACCCCTCAAAGCCCTCGAAGACACCCGGTCTAGAAGACAATGCCAACTTCGAGGAGGCTGCAACAGAGGTCGAGAGTAACGAGGCGGCGGATACGAACGAAACGGCAGGAGGGCGATTGCGTACATCGGCGGGCTCTAACTTGCGCAGGAGGAACGCGATCAAACGACGCGGGATCTCCGACTTACCTCCTTTCGATCTGCCCAACGATTTCATTGCCGAGAATGTTTCTTATTTCGGGCCTGACACTCAGCCGCGGCTTCCCAAGCCTCTTGAGATGGACGCAACGCATGTCAAGGTCTCCAATTTGTACTCCAAGGCGACTCCGCAGCGGACCTTGCGACTAGAGGAATACTTTACCGCAGCTGTTGACATGATCGAGAAACGACTCGCGCAAATATGGGCAGAGCTTGAGGGGCAGCCCATCTTAAAATCGTCACCCTGGCATACATCCTTCCGCATAGCGCAGATTGTACGGTTGACATCGTTTCTGAACGACTGTGCCTGGCACTTGGCGGACGCATTGTACCCAGTGCGTGAGCCGACATACACATACACAAGCCGGCCTTTTTGGTGGTGGAATATCTACAGGGACCTCGACCCGCAGTCCTATGTCTGGCGCGATCACTTCACAAATCGAGAAGCGCCTGTATCGCAGCAGCTTCAGTACGCCGAGTACCTGGACCACTCACTCTCGCACGCGATCACCGACTTCCCCATCGAAGCCTTCAACAGCTTGAAACGAAATCTCCGCAGAGATCTCGAGCAAATCTGCCCTCCGAGTTTCGACCCAAAGATTGGGAGGCGACCAATCCAGATATTAGCTATGCATGGGCACGATGGAAAGTCAATAGCGCAAAGTCTAGGGAGCTACGCATCATGGTTGAGTGAGGCGCACGTTGTACATCTGGATGCGTACGATATCTCCTGGATGCTTGGCGACTACATCGGCCAGGATTGGCTGTACTCGCGCGGTCCTGTGTCGACGCTGGGCTTTCGAGCTGCTGATTATGGAGGCAGGACAGGGAGGAGGATACAAATCATTGATGCGACCGAAGAAGATCCCGACGACGAGGAGTCCAATATCATCCATGTGCGAAACGCTGCCGACCTGCGCAAGTTGAGACAGGACTTGAGCGATGACGTCCGCGATTCAGCATTGACAGGCTTGCCTTCGCGCTCCGAGATTCGCGATGTGTTCACAGACTGGGAACACCTCAAGATCAACAAGGCGCTGGAAACCCTTGTGTCAAAACCGACAGAGCACTTGCCTGTCACAGACCTGCAGCAGCCCGTGGTCGTACATGTGCACGACTATATTGAACTCAGCATGACGCTTGAAGGAGCAGCAATTCTCTCAAAATTAAGGCAGGTTGTCGACATTGCGTGGAAGAACGGCAAACGCATCGTTCTTCTTGGTACGTCTTCGTCGCAAACTCCCTCGGACGAGTACCATAATATGGTGCGGGAGCTTGCGGCGTCAGACTTTGTGGTGTCTCGTGCTGTCCAGCCTGCGCGCGCGGAAGCTGAGACGGCTACCAAGTTAGACTCGCAAGCTGGACCTTTCAACTTGCAACTGGTGGACAATCTCTGCGAGAATGCGCGTAACATCAACCGCATGATTCTCGCCATTGATCCACCAGCACACCCCATGCTTGCTCCTCTTTGGCGTGTGCAAGACAACCCTGACGATGGTTACTGGCACGATCCCATGTTTCAAGGTGCTCCTAGAAACCCCTTGAACAGCACTGTCCTACCTTGGCTCGAGATTCACAATCTGGCACGCAGCTTCCGCGACCAGGAGATCTCTCATCCCGGTACCGGAGCGTCTGCATTCGCGGACCGTATGCACATGGGTCCTCTCTTGCAGCCCCCCGGCCATGGTCTTCGTTGGGACGCGCCTTCGGATGCAAACGGGAAACGCGAGTCTTCTTCAGGAAACGAAGCCTCGAGGCCTGAGAGCACAGCAAACGCCGCGAACAAGAACACGGCCCGAGGAGGGAACGAGTACGAGAAACGCATTGCGAACGGTATAATCAACAAGGAAAACCTGCGGACAACATTTGCCGATATCCACGTTGCGCCCGAAATCACGACAGCGCTAAAGCTACTTACCTCACTGGCACTCGTCCGCCCCGACGCCTTTTCCTATGGTGTCCTGGCGCACGACAAGATCAACGGTTGTCTTTTATACGGGCCCCCTGGAACAGGCAAAACCATGCTTGCGAAGGCAGTGGCCAAGGACAGTGGCGCAAACATGCTCGAAGTGAGCGGTGCCAGCATCAACGACAAGTGGGTCGGCGAGTCGGAGAAACTCATCAGGGCCGTGTTCACCATGGCAAAGAAGATGTCGCCGTGTGTCATCTTCATCGACGAGGCCGATTCCATCCTTTCCAAGCGGAGCATGCATAGTACCCGTCCCGCTCATCGTGAGCTGATCAACCAGTTCCTCAAGGAATGGGACGGCATGGAAGAAACCAATGCCTTCATCATGGTCGCCACAAACCGCCCGTTTGATCTTGACGATGCCGTTCTCCGCCGCTTGCCGCGGAAGCTGCTCATAGACCTTCCTCTGAAGAATGATCGTTCAGCTATCATCAAATTACTACTACGAGATGAGAGGCTCGCGGACGATGTGGACATGGCCAGTCTCGCGGAGCTGACCCCGTACTACTCCGGCTCGGACCTGAAGAATATGTGCGTCGCAGCCGCCATGACGGCCGTGGAGCAGGAGAATGCCGCTGCTGAGAAGCACACTGGGCCGGAGCCTTACGAGTATCCCGAGCGCCGGATTTTGGACAAGTCCCACTTCGAGAAGGCCCTGAAGCAGATTCCCGCGAGCATCAGCGAAGACATGGAGAGCTTACGCCTGATCAAGAGATTCGATGAAGAGTACGGCAACCGGAGAAAGGGCGGGAAGAAGAAGACAATGGGCTTTGGTGGTGGAGAGCTCAGTCAAGCGCAGGATAGCCTTGCTGCCAGAGTGCGACAAACTGGTGATCAGCCAGATGTATAAATGGATGTGCTTGTAGAAATAAGGTGTTGAAAGGTATGCAATGGGAGGGATGATTTAAACACATTCGCATAGGATAGACGGAGCCAATATCAGGGTGCCATGGCCGTTGATCTTTTTTACATTGTACAATTGAAGATGGTGTACAAAACCATTATTTGGTGGCAACGCTGCAGCCGTGAATGAAGAGCCATCTTAGGATTCTGTTGACACCTTGATACCTTCCGCTGCCAATGCATCTGCGTATTTGCTTCGAGCGCCGTCAATTGCATCCAAGACTGGTTGCATCAATTTGATGACTGCCTCCCTTCCACCTTCGACCATGTCAGATTTCCACCTGATTTTCTTGCCCGTTCGCTCGTAGTGGTCTCTGATGTCTTGTTTTCTCTTCTTGATGAGTCCTTCCCGCTCCTTGGTGGCTTCTTCGGCGACAGCATTGATGCGGCCAATTGATTTGGCGAGGGACTCTGCGAGATACTGCAGCTCTGCAGCTCTATCAGGATCTCCAGACAAAAATGCGGACCAAAATTGATGCAGGAACTCGACTGTAGTGGCATGTGTCAGGGAGCACCGATCGGCCATGGCCCTAGAAAGTCCCATTGGTGTTGTCTCATCGCTCGCATGCCCGTATTGCTGCGCCCTCTGCTGGCTGATGCCGTGGAGGATCTCCTTCTCCGCCACTCGAAGTATCGACCGCGAGCCAACGTGCGGACGCTTTGCTGAGGAATTGTCTTCCTCGTCACTCTCACTATCGTCGTTGAAGCCGATTCCTGCAGCCAAGTCGAGACCACCAATACCGTCCTCGACAAGGGTCGCCAGATCGGCTTGTATGTCAAACAAGACGTCATCCGGATTCTGCTTCGCAAAGACCTGTGCGTTGGAAGAAGGAGCTGCATCACGCTTGGCGAAGAGTTTGTTCTGTTCCTTCACGTTGAGCATGATTCGGTGCTCCTCTTCCGGCCCTCGGAGATCTCGAAGACCTAGCTGCTTGTAGGCTTCATTGGCGACCTCGTCGTTGGGATCGGATGGCGCAACATGTGCCATGATCCTCTCGCTCACGCTGTTCACCGTCTTCACAATGGCCACGTGCTTGCTCGGACGCATTTCCACATCTTTCTTGTTGCCGCTTCTCACGCCGCCCTGATTCTCCTCGTTCGCTTCAATGTCGATGATGTGAGGTACATTCTGTGCCATGATTTTGCTGTGATGACTGGGTGTGTTCTCGTTGATATCGTGCTTGTCAAACAGCGGGGAGAAGTTGGCATTCTCCTCCACGCGTTCGCCGCGCAACCTCGTGCACAACCGACTAGTGAAGAATTCGACCCAGAAGTCTTTGTCGGATCTCGGGGGGACATTTTCATTGTAGATGCGTCGAATGAGAGGATATTGAGCGAGGAGCATCTGGATCTGCTCTACTGTGAGATTCAACTTGAGCTCTCCATTATCTGACTTTGCGCGGACCGTCGACAAGACGTTGTACTGGCCCCCTTTCTGGCTCGTCTCAATGGCATGCGCTCGAAGCATGTTAATTCTCGTGGACCAAAATTGGGTATTGAACGCCGAGCCTGTGATTGTGTCTGGTTTCATGGCCATGGCCTCCATATACGTCCGGTGAAGGCTCGGATCCTTTTTCATAAGCGATTGCTGGAGCTCATAATTGTTCTTCAGCTGGCTGTCGTCAAACCATTGCAGAGATGGTTGTTGCGACTTGTTTACCGCGCTGGCGAAAGCCATTGAACCTGAAGCGCCACTGCCACCATTACCGTTGGCCTGCAGATTCGGAGTCCCTAAATTTGGCGTTGGTACATTCGGATCGCTGTTCTTCATCTCCGCGAGTAGCCGCGACAGCAGATCTCTCACGGCCTTCGCCTCGTCCTTGGCCTCAGAAGTGTTGAAATGAAAGAGGTATGGCACAGGCTCGCCCCCTTCCGGTGGTTTGGCGAACACCTTGAGCATTGTCTTTGCTGCACTGTCTGGTGTTTGCTGAAGATCTGGACAGATCAGCATAGGAAGAGGAGACATTTACAAGATGCTTTACTTGTGACATTGGCTACGCTGAGAGAGACCTGTGCAGGGCCCCCAGCGTTGGGGGTCCATGTCACTGTCTGCTGGTCCGGTGTCAAGGTAAGTATGCCATCTTTCTTCTTGTACGCCGTGCGGCCAGCCGGGAGTGCCATGGTGCTCCGTGTGACAGGCCGATCCACGTTTGATTCGCTGACCTTGACCAAACGGTCATGGGAATCACCGATGGAATCACCGATCGAACCTCCTACACACAGCGCAAGGCTCGGACCTGTGCTGTAATCTTATGCTTCTGCAGGCGAGATACCACACTACATGCGCATTGGCCTGCTCTCAGAAAGTCCAATAGGTAAGGAAACGCGAGAAAGATACTGAGGCTAGAAAGCCATGACCGTGAAAAGCATCAATGAGGTCAAAGAGGTGTGGCTGGAGCGACGATAGCGCGTGTGGCAGTGCACTCGAGGTGTGGCGTCGGCTAAAAACCAAGCTCCTTCCCCCGATGACCGTGACTTCCCGCCACGGGGCACCACGATTGGCTGCGGCGGCTGAGTAACGTCGTCGGGTGGAGAATATTTACTCTCCGTCACTTCGCAGGAGTCCTTCTGCCCTGGTTCCGATCCCTTTGCTTGAAGATTCCTCCTCGTCACTCCTAATCGACTCCATCCATATCCTCACCACCATGTTTAGACAAGCCCTGCTAAAGGGCGTCCGGGGCGCACGTCGTGTCCCAGGACGGCCCTTGATGCAGAAACCTGCCTTGTTCCGATGCTACGCCACGAGCACGAGCAGCGCGCAGGCCAACGACAACTTCCTGACGGGAGCCACCGCCAACTATGTCGACGAGATGTACATGCGCTGGAAGAAAGACCCGGAGAGCGTACACGCCTCTTGGCAGGTATACTTCAACAACATGGAGGGCGGCGAGATGCCCATTTCGCAGGCCTTCCAGCCGCCCCCTAACCTGGTCCCTGGTATGACTGGCACCCGTCTCTCGGGAGGTCTCGCTCTCGACGACGGCTCCGACGTCACCAACCATCTCAAGGTTCAACTCCTCGTCCGCGCATACCAGTCCCGCGGTCACCACAAGGCCAACATCGACCCTCTCGGTATTCGCACAACGGCCGCCGGCTTCGGCAACATCAAGCCGAAAGAGTTGACCCTCGAGCACTACCAGTTCACCGAAAAGGACCTTGACAAGGAGTACACCCTCGGTCCCGGTATTCTCCCTCGCTTCAAGCGCGATGGCCGTGAGAAGATGACCCTTCGTGAAATCGTCGATGCTTGCGAAAAGATTTACTGCGGCTCCTATGGCGCCGAGTTCATCCACATTCCCGATCGTGAGAAGTGCGACTGGCTGCGCGAGCGCCTCGAGGTACCCCAGCCTTTCAAATACTCAATCGACGAGAAGCGACGCATCCTCGACCGTCTCATCTGGAGCTCCAGCTTCGAGTCATTTTTAGCCACTAAGTACCCCAACGATAAGCGTTTCGGTCTTGAGGGATGCGAGACTCTGGTTCCCGGTATGAAAGCCCTGATTGACCGCAGTGTCGACTATGGTGTCAAGGACATCGTCATCGGCATGCCCCATCGGGGTCGTCTCAACGTTCTCAGCAACGTCGTGCGCAAGCCCAACGAGTCCATTTTCTCTGAGTTTGCGGGTACTGGCGGCGCCGAGGAGGAGGGTTCCGGCGATGTCAAATACCACTTGGGCATGAACTTTGAGCGTCCCACACCTTCTGGCAAGCGTGTGCAGCTCTCTCTGGTCGCCAACCCATCGCATCTGGAGGCCGAGGACCCCGTTGTGCTGGGCAAGACCCGTGCCATCCAGCACTACAACAACGACGAGAAGTCTCACCGCACTGCCATGAGCGTTCTCCTCCATGGTGACGCCGCATTCGCTGCCCAGGGCATCGTCTATGAGTGTCTTGGTTTCCACTCCCTTCCCGCTTTCTCGACCGGCGGCACGATCCATCTTGTTGTCAACAACCAGATTGGTTTCACGACCGACCCCCGTTTCGCCCGATCGACCGCATACTGTACCGATATCGCCAAGGCAATCGACGCGCCTGTGTTCCACGTCAATGCCGACGACGTCGAGGCCGTCAACCATGTCTGCCAATTGGCGGCTGACTGGCGTGCCGAGTTCCAGACTGACGTGGTCATTGACATGGTCTGCTACCGCAAGCACGGCCACAACGAGACTGACCAGCCTTCCTTCACCCAGCCTCTCATGTACAAGCGCATTGCCGAGAAGTCACCCCAAATCGACACCTATGTCGAGAAGTTGCTCGAGGACGGCAGCTTCTCCAAGGGCGACATTGAGGAACACAAGCAATGGGTCTGGGGCATGCTGGAGGAGAGCTTCACCAAGTCTAAAGATTACCAGCCTACCTCTAAGGAGTGGACGACATCCGCCTGGAACGGCTTCAAGTCGCCCAAGGAGCTCGCGACCGAGATCCTGCCTCACAACGACACCAACGTGGATAAGCAGACTCTGACACACGTTGGCGAGGTCATTGGCTCTGCCCCCGAGGACTTCCACATTCACCGCAACCTGAAGCGTATCTTGAACAACCGCACAAAGGCTGTCAAGGAAGGCAAGAACATTGACTTCCCCACTGCGGAAGCCCTCGCCTTTGGCACCCTTGTTAACGAAGGCTACCATGTCCGCGTGTCTGGCCAGGACGTCGAGCGTGGTACCTTTTCCCAGCGTCACGCCGTCTTCCATGACCAAGAGAGCGAGGAGACGTACACTCCTCTCCAGCACGTCAACAAGGACCAGGGCAAATTCGTCATCTCCAACTCGTCGCTGAGTGAGTTTGGTGCCCTCGGCTTCGAGTATGGTTACTCGCTGTCGTCGCCCAATGCTCTGGTCATGTGGGAGGCGCAGTTTGGTGACTTTGCCAATAATGCGCAATGTATCATTGACCAGTTCCTTGCCTCTGGTGAGTCCAAGTGGATGCAGCGTACTGGCCTGGTCATGTCGCTGCCTCACGGTTACGACGGCCAAGGCCCCGAGCATTCGTCAGGTCGCCTGGAGCGTTATCTCCAGCTGTCCAACGAGGACCCTCGCGTCTTCCCCTCCAAGGACGACATCAACCGTCAACACCAGGACTGCAACATGCAGATTGTGTACATGACTGAGCCCGCCAACTTGTTCCACGCGCTGCGTCGCCAGATGCACCGCCAGTTCCGCAAACGTAAGTCCCATGTTGCAAGTCGCGTCCGTCCAGCTGCTAACTGCGAATAGCCCTCATCATCTTCTTCTCAAAGTCGCTGCTGCGTCACCCCCTTGCCCGTTCCAGCATTGAGGACTTCACCGGCAAGGACGCTGGCTTCCGCACCCTGATTGCGGATCCCGAGCACGAAAATGGCGGTATCAAGGCTCCTGAGGAGATTGAGCGTGTCATCCTTTGCTCCGGCCAGGTCTACGCTGCTCTGCACAAGTACCGCGCCGAGAACAAGATTGACGATGTCGCTATCACCCGTCTGGAACAGCTAAACCCCTTCCCGTGGCAACAACTGAAGGAGAACCTGGACACCTACCCCAACGCCAAGACGGTTGTCTGGGCTCAGGAAGAACCCTTAAACGCCGGTGCCTGGAGCTTCACCCAGCCTCGTATCGAGACCCTGCTCAACAACACCGAGCACCACGACCGGAAGCACGTTATGTACGCCGGCCGCAACCCCAGCGCATCGGTGGCGACCGGTCTGAAGAGTGTGCACGCCAAGGAGGAGCAAGAACTGCTCGATATGGCGTTCACCGTCAAGCAGGACAAGCTCAAGGGCGAGTAAGAGCGTTCATCTGATTTATGAGTGTGGTATTTTTGTCATTGCGCGGGTTGGACAAGTTATTTTTCCTTTTATAATCGGGCAATTTCATTTGTCTTGCTTGCATCGCTGAGATGGAGGAGAGGACGAAAGAAGTGGATGGAAGGATGGATGGGAGGTTCATCGTGTAGTTTACTGTAACCCTACCATCGCGTCCTGCAGCATTTAGAGAGACACGACAACGGCCTGCGAGATACGAGTAGACATTACTCCCCCTGCTTAAGCTCTTTTTAGCACGCTTCTCTCGTGCCTTATGCCCGCTTATGTTTACGTCGTACGGTAGTTAACTACAGCAATTAAGCTAGTCCTTAAGCCGTATCTCCAGGCTCTGGTTTTACACTCGAATAAAGTGGCTAATCAATCCTCGTACATTATCGCGCAGCTTTGGCGTGAGCGTCCACTCTCATGCCAATAGCCTCGGCCCTAGTCACTTGCACTTGTTTATTGGTTCGCTTTCTAGGGTCAGGGATTCCTCATAGCCAAGGCATATATATATGCCCAATAGGGACCGAACGCCTTTAAACATAACAACAACATTTACGATCATGCCGATTCACCAAGCCTGCACAATGCTGCGTCTGTCGTTGGAGACAGTGTTACAGCGCCGGGATCGACTGCCAGTGTCAACTTGATGGACCTCGACGAGCCATCGGCAGACTTGGGAGATCCACTGATCCCAGTTAATGAGCTCCCTGCCAGCATGCCCGCAGTTCCGGGTTCCCAAGCTGACACTTCTGTCGCGGCGCCTCCGGTGTTACTTGTCGATAATGGCATTTCTGTCACGACATCTGTCGCAGGTGATCATGAATGGACTGATTCTCGTGAGTGCATCTTTCATCTATGTCGATCCTGATCGCAACTAATCATAGTGCAGTGTCTCACGTAACTGATTCCGGCGTGGCAAACGACTAGAATAGTCATGGAGGTCTGAGCTGTATGTGTGCGGTTGAGAGCGAGGATTTTTGGTGTGGCCTATTGTTTCGAGTCACATCTTCAGTGAATTGGCAGTGGATAGCTCACAGACCTAGTCAACAGGTAGACCTAATACGTGATTGTCAATACTTAGGAATTACCGCTCTATCCCTATTACATATAGTCCCTTACAACGTTGACTATTAGCTTTAGTCGAATATTGGGCTGAGAACCCCTGAATATATTCGACAGTATAAATTAGCACAGGGAGGATTGGCAACAGTAGTTGCTCAAGACTGCCAACCAATATTGAATTGCACTTGAGCTTTGTGGGCAGGGCTCTGTGAGTGAGGATTCTACTCATAAGGCTCATAGGCAGACATAGGATCAGCAGGTTGAGTCTATTATTACATATACATAGACGGCCCTTGGGGATAGGAAGCGAAATTGTACGAACCATCCTACCCCCGCTTGCTCAGGGATAGAGAACTGGGTCAAGTTCATCCTCCCATTTGCTGGAGCAGCCCCTGATGTGCATTCCATTGCAGATTGCATTGTCAGGGTAGTCGACAAAATACAGAAGTCCTAAAGCTCTAACTATCCGCTCAGAATGAAAGTCAAGAAGTTGGAGAAAATCCGCAACTCTAACGATGAGCTGAAGGAGAAAATAAGGCGAATGGAGAATGAGAAGAAGAGGAAATTCTGTATGTCGAAGGAGATGATACTGCTACGGAATGACCACAGGGAATCGCAGAAGGAGATGAACTAGCAGTTCACCACGCTACGCGAACGACTGTCCATACCCGAAAAAGAAAAGGAACCCGATCGCATGAAACGGCAGCTAATCAGCGGTCACACCAAAACAGTGGACAAGCAGGTCGACAAATTACAAAAGCAAGTGTCGATATTGGACCAGGCAAAGAAAGTCGATGACGAGAAGTCGGAGGCAATAGAGGCGGAGCTCGGGGTGCTGAACGGTGAAATAGAGGCAATAGAGAGGGAGCTCGAGGCTATATAGCCTGCTACATAGAGGCCACACCAGCATCCGAGCATAGAAAGTCAGATGACAGGGGCCACGACGATTTGGACTACGACGACAGAGGATTCTTAATTATTTCTCCTCACAGAGTCCTGCCCACAAAGCTAAAGTGTAAATCAATATTGGATGATAGTCTTGAGCAAATCTTCTTGGGCCGCTTGTGCAAATGTAATAATAGACTCAACTTGCTGATCCCATGTCTGCTCATGAGCCTTATGAGTAGAATCCGCCATACCATGGTCGGGGGTAAGTACTGGGCGCATTTTCCTGTATTTTTGAATCACCCATGGTAGCAGGGGCCTCGGGGTGTTGTCTCGGCCTGGCAAAAAGCATTGTAGATAACCATCGAGGGGGAGGGCATGGTCTTCCAATCCAATAACGAATTGAAGCGTCTTGAAGGGATTAGCAAAGTGAGAAGAAACAAGACCCCCCAAAAGACCTGTCCGACACTACGCCACCATTATTCAACAGAGACAGAAGATCTTGTTGCATCCAATATTTATTGAGGGCCGTTAGCCAATATATCTATGCTTGGACTCCCCACGGCTTGACGAGGCCGTCGTCGCCGGTTGTGATCAGCATTTCCTCAACGCCTCTCCTAGACGGGTCGACCCCCTTATCCCACCGTCGACACCAAGATACGTGGTTCACCTCGTAAGGGCCATGTGCATTCGGCAAGGACTCGAGCAGTGACCACTCGCCCGTCTCCTCGTTCTCCCTGTAGAGCGCCAATGTACCGTCGCTCCCCGTGCTGGCCACAAGACCTGTTGTGGCGCTCCAAGTAGCGGCGTAGATGTCCGATTCGTGGACCTTTGGCAACGTCGCCGTGCAAACCCAGTCCTCCCGCAGTGACTGGCGCATGGTGTTCGGTATGCCTCCCAGCGCGTTCCTGCCCTGCGCGGCGCCGTCCTCCTGGCCATCCTCGTTCGACGGCTGGGCCAGGGTCCAGATGCGTATTGTCCCGTCCGCCGAGAAGGACAAGATCCGGGGGAACTTGTCGCCCTTCCGGGGTCGACCCTCCCACTGCACGCCCCAGACTGTGCCCTCGTGTTTCTCTAACACGGCGACACAGACCCACTCGGCGTCGCCGTCCTCGCGCCATACGCGGACGGTGTTGTCGTAGCTCGCGCTCGCCAGGCACTCCACGCCAAAGGTACCCTTCCTCGAGCGGCCGGGGAGTTCGGGACACCAGGCGAGCGCCTTGACGTCGCCCTCGTGCTCGTTCAGGACGGCAATCGTCTCCCAGTCGTCGTCCGACTCGGAGGCGCCAATATCCTCCCATATCCAAACGGACTTGTCCCGCGAGCAGGTGGCAATGTGCGCCCCCGAGGGGGAGAAGATGCAGTTCTTGATCTCCGAGTCGTGGCCCTCGAGGACGAGCGTGAACTCCCAGTCATCCTCCTCTTCCTTCTCGTTCCCATCACGCCCGTTCCTGATCTCCGTCTCGTGCTCGGCCCCGCGATCCTCCCATCGCCATATGCCCGCGGTGGAGTCGAAGCTGCCCGTCGCGAGACACAGCTTGTGGGGCGGCAGGTTGGGCTTCCATGATGCGGCGCGCACGGATCGCGTGTGTCCTCCGGTGAGGTTGGAGTGCGGCGTCAAGGTGGTGAGGGAGAAGACCGTGACCGACTTGGCGTGCGCCGTCGCGAGGAGCGGGAGAGTGGGATGGGGCGTGGAGGACCAGGCGCGTTCGTGGAGGTCGGGCGTCAAGGGCGGCAGTGGTTGGATGTGTGTGGACGGCATTGTGGAATGGCCGTGCAAGCAAGGCCAGGCTTGAGCGAGGCGTTGGACAGGTAGATGCGCTCGGTTGTCGAGCTTTCAGATGTGGGTGGAGAGGTTTGTTCGGCTGGCCGAGATCGGAAGAACTTCCAAGCCCTGTTTTCTCTCTGGCGAGCGTGATCTATCGAGGCCTGTGATGTTCGCTTCTTATCGACACGCCAATTTTTCTCAAGCACGATGCTTGTCTGCGTCGTTGATTGCGTTAAAGTTATGCTAGAGGCTCTATGGTGGGTTGGATGGATGGGTGGACGTCAGATAAATCTGAGCAGCCCTTCTTCCTCCCTCTGCCCCACGCTTCGCATATCGTGGTCTTTGCTAGTACCGTAGGTGCTCACTCGACAAAGTCGCCGGCGCTGGTCTGTCTTAGCATGCCATATCCTTATCAAGGGTAGTGCCAATACCGGGCAATACTTATAGCTATCACCATGGGCGGCTAGATTTTGCTCATGAACGCTAGCGACTTTGTCGAGTGAGTACGGTATCGTGGAGGTCCATGTCTTTGCTAAGGGACGGATACTACAAAAGGTATGGATACTACTACATCACATAATTTGACTGTGAAGGCCCAAATGACTCAGGTAGAAGATCTTGAGGAATGTTCCGTGAAAGATATTGGTCCGCTATCGATCTGTATTATGTTCCTTGTTCTTGCATCTTTAGGCCTGCAATCTCTAGACTCCTCAGGTAGATCCCCGGAAGACGTCCCCGATGCGCAAGCCTTCCCTTCGGGCTTGCTCAAGGCCACCCTTCCTAAAGCCTCCTGGCAAGACGATCCAGAGGACCATGATGATCCCCATGAGCACCAGCACAAAGGGTTGCAGGACCTGGACGCCCACATCCTCGGCGATCAACCCCACCAAAAAGGGGAACACTGCCGCGCCGCCGCCTCCAATGGCAGCCGATAGCCCGATTGTCGCGACGTGCTGGTCAGCTGGCAGAAGCTTTGTCATGGTCACAATGGCCGCGGGGAAGAGCGGGCCAAGGAAGAATCCCATGAAGATGACGCACACGATAGCCACCTCCAGGCTGGGGATCGCCCAGTAGAGAATCTCCAGCACGACGCAGATGCTTAGGTAGATGACAATGGCCAGCTTCTCGCCAATGCGACCGGTGGCAAATCCAAGGACCACGCGGCCGAGGGTCAGGCCTGCCCAGAACAGTGTCACCACCACGCCAGCCAGGAACTTGTCCGAGTGACGGACCTCGATCATAAACGACGGGATCCAGCCACCGAGGCAGACCTCGATGCCCACGTAGCCAAAGAGGAAAGCCGACACGATCCAAGGCACGGGCGACGACAGAATCTCCCGCGTGCTTGTGGGTTCTTTGCCCTCGCCGAACTTGTGCCTTCGTCGATACTCGGCAGCCGTGGCCGTCCAGAAGGATGCCGTGTTCCAGACAATCTCAAGGACAGACACGCCGATCATGACATAAAAGTACTCATACCACTGATAGCCAAGCTTGGTCACCATGGCGGACGCAATGAGGGGCCCAACGATGCCGCCTAGACCGTATGCGCCATGAATGAGGCCGAGAAGCTCGTTCTGGTTTCGCAGGTTGCCCACCCAAGCGTTCCACGCACTGTCGTTGAAGCCATTCCCCAGGCCCGTCAGGGCCATGGCGATAGGCAGGTACGTAAATTGCTTGGGATGCGATGCCATGGCAATGAAACTGATCAGCCGGCAGACGGGACCACAGAATGCTATGCCGCGCTGGCCAATGTTGAGATGGATCCAGCTGTTCGCCAGTGCTGCAACGAGGTAGCCCAAAAAGGGCACCACGAACAGGGTCGAGACGACTGTATAGTTAATGTCATAGTAAGGTTGTATCTACCAACATTAGCATCCTCACTTTGCGTTGGCTTCGGAATTGGCCGACGTACATAGGGGATCAATGCCTACGCATGAGTTAGCGGTCATGGCAGTGGTTTGGCGACGGTCAACTTACGCCAATGCAGGCATCATTCAGGCCAAGGTTGAACAATGTGAAGATGACAGAAGCGAAGCGATATGCGTTGATGCGAGGTTCGTTCCAACTTTCTTGCTCATCATGGTCGCTCCCTGACCCTGGCTCATCTTCTCTCGGCGGAGTGCCTGGAAGCAGGGCCGTTTCCTCGTTGACCTCAGCACCAGGTCCCAGGTCGCTGCTGATTTTGTTGCCGTTGGCTACCCGCTGATCCTCCGGCTTTTGCCACCAGGTTGCGGACTGAGATCCAGACATGACGTCCTCTTGAATCAGGATGCCGTTCAACGATATCAAGAACGATAGATCTGTGTAAAGAGTGTGAGCGTGCGAGTGGAAGAAGCGAGGCCTGCACGGCTTTTGATATCGAACGCAGCACGCGGCACCGCGGCGGCGATAATTATGCCCGTGGACACGGAATTGCAGCCACACCCGCGGACAATAAAAAACATTGGAGCCATAACCCACACGGTTCCCAGCCTACAGGCAGGTGAGGAGCATCTCCGCGATAAGAGGCCCTCGTCCTAGGCCCTTGTGAGAGCTCTAATGCTGCACGGGGCTGCAAAGCGTGCAGGGAGTTTCTCCGCCGCCCTGTCGTGATCGCAGGTGGTCAAGCACTGTATTCTTGGCTGCAGCTGCGCATCGTTGATTACGGTCAGAGGCCGCGGTACTTGCATCTTCCCAATTTGCATCGATGAAAAATGAAGCTCGTGATGATCTTGCTTGAATACTGCCAGGTAGTATTCAGCAAGTACGTTGGCGGATGTTCGATGGAGATCTGTGAGTGCCTCAGGAATGTGGATGACCAGGCACGGACGGACGGCGAGCGACTGCCTGCCTGCCTCGAACCTAGCGCGACCCGTTCAAATAAGGTACGTAAGGTAAGGTAAGGAAGGAACGTACCTTACTGATTTCCACGTCCTTCACCGACATCTGGACCTGCTCCTGATCACACGATGCATCTCTTCTGCACCTAACTTGCTTGTCTCGGAGAATACAGCAGAAACCTGGAACTTCCCTCGTTGAATACTCTCCCTGCATTTCAAGGGTCCGCCGCCTTCATGTCGCTCTGCATGTACAGCCCTTCGCTGACCACCCAGCAATTTGTGCCTCACCAATCAATCAACAACTATTTTATCGCCCAGCTATTTGTGGCCGCAGCATCTGCAACTGGGCCAGCTAGCCACCTGCCCTTCCTCCCAGTGCCCACAGCAAGCATCTAACCGTCGAACGTACATACATCGATATTACACGCACCCTTCCCAAGCAAGGTGACATCACGGCTGGCTCTGCCTGCTTGCTACTGTACCTTCCTTCATCCGTCCGCCAGACTCGCCATGTCTGGTCCCCCGCCAACAGACAGACCACCTGGTCACAGGCGCGGCGACCAACAACATAATCTCGATATCAGAAATCTCTAGCTCGGCAACTTGTCGTCTCTGGGTACGGATCATTAAACATTGCCCCAAGATCTCAAAACGACGTACGATCCCCGCCACTCAGTTCGTCATGGTCTAGAGCACCCACCCCACAACAACCCCTGCTGCAATGCATCGACTGGCGCCCAGAGTCGGTGTCCGTACGAAGCTACCGTACACTCTCGATAAAGTCGTCTGTGCAAAGGTGCAGACCTCCCTATAGCCCTGTGCAGTTTTGGGGCCTTATCGTGCTCGCAGGCCGAATGCCATGCTTGTATTGGCACCATGGCTGACAGGGATATTGATCAAGCAGCACCAGCGCTACTGCAGCGACTTTGTCGAGTGAGCACGGTCATTACGTCGTGTTGACTGCTTCGCCCGCCCTGTCATGCGAACCTACATGAGTTCCTTGCGACAGCCATGCCACAGGGCTGACTGACTGGCAACCTGGACGAGACACCTACATTCACCACAGATCACGAGCCTCTAGCCGTCTCTTTTACTGTCACCAACCGCCAACAAAAGATAGCATGCCAAAAGTCTACGAGTACACGGAGCATATCCACCGTGGCGGATCCCCGCCTGGTCATCGCGACCGAGACGATTCTCCCCGTCGCTCTGGGGACCGCCGCGATCCCTTTGTGCGCGAGACGATGACTCTCGAACCTCCTCCTAGTTACGCCTCCCGGGGCCGCTCCCAACCGCCGCCTGACACTCGAGAGATGGTGCCTCGAGGTCGCAACCCGTCGCGGGGCGCCTACTACGACGATGACGACGACGATTACTACGCGCGCGGATACTCCCCTTCCAACAGGAGTCGCAGTCACCGCAGGCGGAGTCGGTCCAGGGGCGAGAGTCCCATGGAGCGCGCAAAATCGGTCATGGAAGACAACTTCACCAATTCCACCGCAGGCATCAGCGCCTCGCTCATCGGCGCTATAGCAGGAGGGTACGCTGCTCGTCAGGTCTCGGAGCATGTGTCTGATAATCGCCGCACAAAGGGAGCTGGTCGGCGGCGCCGCAGTGACACGGACAAGGAGGAGCGCGTCCGTCTTGCGTCTACCCTCATTGGCGCTGCCATCGGCGGCCTAGGAGCCAACGCCCTGACGAATCGCTTCGAGGACTCCAAAGACCGCGACAGGCTCAAGCAGCAGGCGTGGGAAAGAACCTATGGTCGTGAAGATGGCCTTCCGCATTATGACAGTGGCCGGCACGCCGACCTTGACCACCGCAACGGGCGCGGCGTTCTTCGAGGGCGCAGTGACGACGAAGATGACGATTACGACTTTGTTTACGACCGCCGCTCTGATGATGGGCTACGCCGACCACGCCGACACGACAGCGATGATAGCTACCGGTACCGATGATTTACCGCACTGCATCGCATGACGATTCTCTTATTCATGGTATCTTTCATCTCCTTTGTGCTTGGTTCTTGTTGGCTTTTGTCCGAACGGAGTCTAGAGCAGCCCGGCCGAGCTTGGATGACCTACACGGGGCTACGACTGATGATCTGACGGCTGCGCGATGTTTGACTGGACTATATTTTAGGTATGTGTTTGATTTGTTTCACTTTACATGCAGTTTCTCAGAGCTATGATAAAATATATCTTTTTGCCACGTAAGCGGACTCCACCCCATTGCCAGTTGTCCATTCAGCCGATTCTCCTTCTACGCCCGAGAGCCACGGCCATGTCTAGCCTCGTGTCTGTGAGAATGATCAAAGGCCGATGGCCGAGCCCTGCGTGCTTCCTTCTCACGAGTCTGCTTCTCCCGTTCGATACAAACCTTGAAGAACTGGGCAATCTCCGTCAGCGCGAGGTCCTCCTCTCTGCCTACCCCGATGAGGTTGAAGAGACTCTGCGAGTCGACCAGCTGCTTGGCCACCACCGAGTCAGGCTGGCAAAATGTCCGGACGCGCATGGCGCGGGAATTGATCTTCATGGCGTCCAGCAGCCCGCAAATCTCCGTCCGGTTGCCCTGTCGCCGACCGGAAAACACAAAGTCCTGCACGTGCAGGCTCAGGATCTCGAGCTGGGTCTCGAGATCGTAGCGGAACCCGAGGACGCGAGGCCGACCGAGCTGGAGCCAGTGGTCGCTGATCTTGTGGAGTCTGTCCGTCAGGAGACGCCCCTTTTCCAGCTGCACGGTGATGTACGTGTTGAGCGCGTTGCCCAGGTGGAACTCGAGCTCACCGTATAGGAGACTCTGTTCCCGTGCGCTTAGGGAGATGGCCAGCGTCGTGCCACTCGCCTCTGTGGCGGGATGCTGCGCTCGTCGAGTCGAGCTGTACTGTTCACTCTGGCTCTTGATTAGTATACTCAGCAGTGCCGCCAGTCATGCATGCATGCAGAACGCACCATGTCTTTCGCAATTTTCTTGATTCCGTCGAGGAGACCCGTCTTCTTGGCCCCCCTTTTCGACTTTTCGGTCGTTTCGCCTGGACGCTCAAGCCAGCCATTCTCTCCGATCATCGTCTTCTCCCCCTTCTTCTCGGTTGTGAGACCTTGCCCCTGGAAGTAGAATGGAAAGGGGGAGAACATAGGGGACTCGACATCCTTGGCGCTGCGAAGCTGAGGTGGCCTGGGCCGCGATGGCGAGGCACGTTGCTGCTCTTGACGTGAAGTATCGGCGGTGCTCTTAGAGTGGTGGGTGTACCCTTCCAGTCCTCCCACTTTGGCGTCTTGGTGGGCTAGAGGCTTTGTCTCTCTGTACGTGCGTACGTCTGCCCATTGCCCATAGGCCTCGAGATAAGGGGTGTCGGCAAAGTATTGCATGCCTTCTTCGCCATCTTCCACATATGCAGTCGGTTTTGAGTGTCCAACTCGCTGGGGGAAGACGGGTAGGGGATCACAGGGGACCTCTCTACTTTGGCGATTTGGGTCAATCATATACATCATTGGTGAGTCCAGGGGAGACGGGTCGTCATGGATTGGCTGCATCTCAACGCGGCGTGGTACAGACTGAGCCCTGTGTTGACCGTGAACAAGAATAGGCGCTGGCGTTGCGCGGCGTCTTCGCTCGGCGAGACTATGGGTTGAGCCATGAAGTTCCGAACGTCGCGGCATCAGATCGGAAAAGGTAGTCGAGTTGCCATCATGGGATCCCAAGTCGTCGTTCCCGCGGCTGTACTGGCGAAAGTGTCCACAGGGTGACGAGCGCTCTCTGCCCGCGTCGGCAAACTTTGATGGAGAACGACTGTGGTTTCTCGTAGGGCTGATATCGACCCCCTTGGAGAAGCTACTTTGGTAAGCCTGGGTATTGTCACAAGGAGGATGGAATTCTTCTTACGCGTCAGTGATTCTGTCCATCTGCGTCTCGGTCAGGTTCATGCGGATATGGAGTGGTTGTTTCGGGGTGCACTTTTGAGGTGAGAGGGACTGTGTGCGGGTGCTTCCTGATGCACGGGATCTTCCTGATCTGACTGGAGTTGACGGAGCCTGTGTAGGATGTGAGTGCCTGTTCGCGCGCTTGAGAGGACTTTGGCGCGGCATGTCGAGATCAGTAATGCAGGAAGCTGGTGAGTGTGAGTTCCGCCGGCTGAGAAAGAGCCTTAGCAGCGAAGTAGAAAAAGAAAAATGACTGATACATTCAAATGCAATGTACACTTGTGACTGTGAGGTGACACTGAAGTATGTGTAAACAGGAAGTCAAGTTGGGATGAGATGATCCTACTTTCGTACGTACATAACCAGGGGGAGTAAACTTCATACCTAAGTACCGTATGACTGAAACTTGAGCCCGCCTAAAGCTAGAGTTCTTAGTCACTGTCGAGCCAAAGGTGATGTGCCTGGCCCGTGGTCTGTATACCAGCCAGGTACAATATGCCCCTTCGGGTGCTTGAGGGGAACAGCCACAAACTTGCAGGTTCTGTCTGTCCACAGCTCACGCGTAGCTTTTGGTGGTTTAATTTAAAAATAATGTTTATTCCATATAATTCTCCAAGTCCATATAAGAACTGATTTCAATGTTGTGGCCTCTGTCCCTAGAAGTGAGCTAACAGTCTAAGCCGGCTTCTGTGGAAGTCCAGATGAATGCGTTTGTGAGTATTCCTGAGAGTCTGGGACGGTCCGGCTCCACATATTCGAACCAAAGCCAATCGCGATAGTACCTGTTGATGTTATGTTCTGTTGCCAGGCGTCCTGCGAAAACTTCAGTATTTTGGGAACACTTGCTTAATTGATCACACGCCGACGAACCGGGTCTGTAACGACTGGATGCTCTTGGTGGCCATTTGCTTCTCTTGGAAGGTCTAGGCCTGATGCCATGTCTATAGGTGGAGACACGCATATTTTATTGTCGATCCGTCCGTCTCTCATTCTCGACTCGTAACGCCGCAGCTTTGAAAGTTACCAGTATTGGGCCTTCCTAGTCCAGGGTCCTCGTCTCATATCTTCAAGTTTGTAGTTGTCCTCTTCATTCAGGCGACATCATCACCCCGACTGGCAACTCTGGGAGATCTTCTCATATAATAAGTGTCGAGCAAGTCTCGTGAGTCGTAACCGATTGAGCGGCTGGGCGCGTTGTGCGGCATGACTTCAATGACGCGAATTGAGACGAGCTGGGGTATGTCTGGGGCCAAGCCTGCCTGTAACATAAGAGTCTGTTAACGAGGAGCGGCTTTGATATGCCGAATGCTAATAGCACCTTAGCACTCCATGCACCTCCACTCGACTCCAGCACTCCTGCTCGAATCCCCCCACCCCACCTCCCACTACCGATCTTTGTTGCCGACCAAAGATTCTGTCCGTAAACGCCAATGATTCCGTTCCATCAGGCGCCACACGCATGGAATGCCCAAAAGGCCTGATGACGAGATCGAACCCGAGGCACACTAGGACTAGCCGCCTGCGAAGGCGAGCCGTTCGTGTGGCCCGTTGGCAGCTAAATGCCCGATGTGCCGTGATTACTTCCCGAGATCTCAAGTTGAACCCACTGCAGCCAAGCTCACTCATGACCAATGTTGGTTGAATAAATGGCCTCCAGAGTTGTTGGACTGCGCTGTCCGCCATGTTGTCTCCCTCATCGCTCCTGTTTCCACGGCACGGACGTTGAGTTCGATACACTAAGGAAACAAGTTGCTGGCGTCAGCAGACTTGACAATTGATACACTCCACAAGCATGTCGATCAAAGAGAATGTGAGACCCGACGGGGTCGCTTACTATGACATTGGTACGAGCAGCACACATCACAGACCCGGATGGAACTGACATTTGGTACTAGTCATCGTCGGTGCCGGTCCAGTCGGACTGATGCTCTCTACAATGCTTGCAAGATGGGGTTACAAGATCAAACATGTGGACAATCGCCCTGAGCCAACGCCTACGGGCCGCGCCGATGGCATCCAGCCTCGGTCTCTGGATCTCTTGAGGAATATGGGACTGAAGGCAGCCATCATGGATCACAAGCCTGCTCGGGTGTACGAGGTCGCATTCTGGGACCCCAACTGCAAAGGCATTGTGAGAACTGGTACATGGGCTAGCTGTCCGACTTTCATCGATGCGCGGTACCCCTTCACAACGCTGCTGCATCAAGGGCTGATTGAAAGGGTCTTCATTGCCGATTTGGAGAAGAATGGAGTCCACGTCCACCGGCCGTGGACAGTACGTGACTTCCAGACTGACCCAGCCCAGGACGTCACATACCCTGTTCAGGTCGAGCTGTCGCAGGTAGACGGACCTCGAACTGAAAAGATCCGAGCCAAATACTTGTTTGGCGGTGAGGGTGCACGATCGTTTGTGAGGGAGAAGCTGGGCATTCCTGTCCGATACCACGACCCTATATCTCATGTCTGGGCCGTGCTAGACGGTGTGGTCGACACAGACTTCCCAGACATCAAGGTAGGTGCTTCCGGGCTATGGCAAGCAGTCCATATCCGAAGAAACTAACATGATGCAGATGAAAGCCACTATCCATAGCGAACATGGGTCTATCATGGTCATCCCGAGAGAAAACGAAATGGTTCGCCTGTACATCCAACTCGCTTCCTCGTCAGACCCAGACTGGGAGTCGAAACGCAAATCGACTGAGAGTGAAGTCCAAGAGATGGCCAAAAAGATCCTGCAACCTTACCGAATCACTTGGGAGAGAGTTGAATGGTTCTCGGTCTATCCCATCGGGCAGGGCATCGCCGACAACTACACACTAGATCAGCGTGTCTTTCTCGGAGGCGATGCATGCCACACTCATAGCGTATGTCGACCTACCCCTTCACTGTCTTGGCTTAAGCTAATGCCGTGCAGCCTAAAGCTGGCCAGGGGATGAACACGGCTTTCCTCGATGCCCAAAACCTCGCTTGGAAAATCCATGCGGTCGAGAGCGGCTTCGCGAAGCGGGACTTGTTGAAGACGTATGAGCCCGAGCGCAGGAAAATGGCCCAGAAGCTGCTCGAGTTCGACAACCGGTACGCTAAGCTCTTCTCGCAACGGATACCTGCGGCAGACGAGGTCAAGGCAGCGTCCGACAATCACGGCACTGAAGCTGAGGAGCACGACAATGACTTTGTCAAGATGTTCAAGGAGTCTTGCGAGTTCACAAGTGGCTACGGCGTGTACTACGAGCCAAACGTCCTGAATTGGTCGCCAGACCACCCAGCACAATCAAGTCTTATGCTCAAAAAGGCGACGAAGCTCAGTCCCGGGCATCTCTTCATCAACACCGACGTCACGAGGGTTGTAGATGCAAACATTGTTCATTTGGAGCAGGAGGTCCCCCTGAACGGATCATTCCGCTTGTTCGTCTTTGGTGGTGACCCCAAGAAGTCACGGGCAGCATTGTGCGACCTTGCGAACGGACTTGTGGCGAAGAAGTCCTTCTACACGAACCACCTACGCCAAGACGTGTCGTCAGTCTCACACCACGAGAAGAACAATCCTCATAGCTTGTTCTTCACCATCTGCACCGTGTTTGCGACCAAGCGATCGGACATTGAGATATCTCGAGATGTTCCGGGGGTCCTTGCCAGGTATCGCGAACACGTCTACGCAGACGACCTGCACGACGAAAAAGTGCCAGCCGCCAAAGCACCAGCGCATGCGAAGACGGGCTTTGGCGACTCGCAGGGCGTCGTCGTTGTCCGCCCTGATGGATACGTGGGAGCCATCGTTGAGCTGCAAGAGGGCAAAGGGACAATGGAGGCCCTCAACGAGTACTTTAGTGCATTCTGTACCAAGGGAGAGAGTGCTACGAAGACGCAGGCAAGGCTCTGAGTGCACACCTGAATGTGTATAGATGTCACGGATTTAAGTAGCATTGCATAGCTGGATGAAAAAAAGCCCTCGGTCAGTATAGATCGTTTTTAACCACATCTTCTCGACAAAGTCCTCGACAAAATCGCTAGCGCTGTGTGTCTTGCCTAAAAATATCCTTGTTACTGAAGAAGCGGTGGAAGAAGGCTACTACACAAGGCTGCAGACATATTTGCACCTCTACGCTACAATCATGTAATTTACTAATTACTACGTATGAACAGGTGGCTAATAAGCTAGATAGATTCGCGATTCAGACCAATTTCGAGTAGCGGTTGATGGAGTGGCTGAGTAAGGTAAGGTATGGCTGGTTGGCTGTGGCTGGGGAGTGGGCTGACCAATGACAGCCCGGCGCGTCGCCCCATCCACCCTTGTCCGTCGCATTCATTGTTGCGCGCCCTCGCCTTGTCCTTCCTCTGGATGGCTCCGAAATCATCAACTCAACCGTCGCAAGCACCGAAGCATCAGATTCGTCGACTCCCAATGTCACTTACTCCTGAGAAGCGCGATTCGACACTAGAACACCTATATGTGACGGGCTGCCACGCGCGCAAAAGCTCGTGAAACGTGTCGAGGGTGCGAACCCCAGAAGTTCAGAACTAGCTTTCTCGAATCGCCAGCCTGAGTCCTGACTGAACTCACATCGAAGTTGGATTTCGGGAGGCCGACCTCATGTGAATCAGTCAACATTCGGCAAAAACCTCATCGATTGCGACATGACTCTGATGCTCTGTATCAGAGTGTAAGATGTTAGCGACTTCATCTTCGGACGTGCGTTCTCTCTCCTCTTCCTTGGTCGTCAAACGCTCATGAGCTTCTATCCCGCCAAACCTGCTTCATGTTGAACTCCCATCATCGACCCCAGATCTTTTAACTCACCCATTGTCGTCGACACGAGCCGTTGAATCACAGCTGACCTCTCATCTTTTCGCAGGTCGCTTCCTCCACTTTGTCTGTCCTCAATCTATTCAGCCTGTCGCAAGCACGCGCAGTCATGGAGTACATAACGGGGATAGTAACGACGGGGACCCGCTGGGTCACCTCAAATTGTGCGCTTGTCCTGATGATACCTTTGCGAACACTCATTGACAAGTACAGTGTCTATACCAACTTCAAACGCATCATCTCCTCCCAAGGCGTCAAAACGTGACGCTGCACCGGCGACTGTCGCTGCAGGACACAAGTCGACGCCGGGGGCACATCAGCAGAGCGACAGCCCAGGAAAAGGTCTCAACTCTGACCCCAACTACTTCAATGCGCCACAAAGACACTGTAAACGGCACATTGATTCTCCGGACAGGAAAGATTTCAAGCGTTTGAGGTCGAGCAGCACAGCTATGCAGTCTCCTCTCACAACCCGCCGGCACCATGCTCACGGCACTGCTCCGGGTGTCCGTAGAATGTCCCTCTCACCCCGGGGCCTTAGGAAGCGGGCCTCATTCACACGCATACCGCCCGGGAAGCTCAGCTCACCTCATCGCCTTGTCGGTGCACGCAGTGGCCTTCTCTCCCCTGAGCCAGAAAAAAGCATATCTACTACTCAGCATGTCGGACAAGACGAAGAATCGGTACCGAACCACCAGTACTCTAAAGAGGAGGACCAGCTCCTTTCCCTCCTGACCGGACTCGAGATCCCCATCTTCCCTAGACGTCCGACACTCCCTCAGGAGGACGCCCTGCTTCGCGAAAGCACACCACATCCCGTCGGTGCCTATCCAGAGACGCCAGCCCCTTTTCGAGAAATCACGCCATCGTCTAGAGAAGCGACACCAGTGCCGCCAGAACCTCCGAAGCTAACGTCATTTCCTCGCCCCACTTACACCGGCAAAGCCAACAGGTGGGAGTTCCTCGAGTTTTGCAAGAAGTACGAGGAAGAACAAAGGAGGGTTTATGAAGAGGTTGTCCAGACTGTGGCTCCTAGCAAGAAACTAACACTGAAGGACTGTCTCGACGAGTTGCGCAAACCAGTCGCTTGGGACGAGTTGACCAAACGCCCCTATGATAGACTCAGCGTTCTGTCAGAGGCCGAGCTCCGCCGCATCTTGGAAGAGAAGGAACAGAAAGAAATCGAAGAGCAGCTCCAACGAGAGCAGCAGGCAGCTCAAGAGGTAGAGGAGCGCCGAATTCGGGAAGAGGAGGAGAGGCTCCGCAAGGAGCAAGAGCTACTAGACCTCACAGGCGGGCTACGCGCTCCCAAGGCGCAGTTTATCTCACCACTGTCTGACGATTGGACAAGACGTGCACGTGAAACCATCCGGGCCCCTGGTGGCAAAATTCTGGCACAGACGGCCGAAAACACGGGGCTGCAGCAGCACGACTTTGCAAAGGTAGTTCCGCCGACCGTGTGGCTCAATGACGAGATTGTCAATGGAGCACTCCTCTGGCTGGAACAGGCAATCAATTCGGCCGCAGGTATCACCAATGTCAAAACGCAGACGCGCAAGACGCTTGTCTTAAGCTCATTCTTCTTCCCAAATCTCCAGAAAAAAGGGCCCCTGAATACACAACGGCCCCTTGGCCGCAAAGGCGTCAAGATGGAGAATTTCCTCGATATTGACAGCATTTTCATGCCCATCTGCGAGCACAGCCACTGGACACTCATTGTAGTCCGGCCGCAAAAGAGAACAGTGTCACACATGGACTCGATGTGTCCTCGCGGCAACAACAAATACACCAGCCTCACCATGGCATGGGTGAAGGATATGTTAAAGGAGAGGTTCAAAGAGGACGAGTGGAAGGTGGTGACCCATGAGGCGCCACGGCAAACGAACGGCTGGGACTGCGGTGTCCACACGATAACCAACGCCATGTGCCTTGCACTAGGGTTGAACCCAATCGACACATACACATCCGACGAGATGCCGCTTCAACGGCTGCGGATCGCATCCATCTTGCTCAACAAGGGGTTCGAGGGAGAGTTCAGCTTGAGTGCGTACTGAGCGAGCGAGCGAGCAATATACACGCGGTTGCGTTGTACAACACAATGAAAAAAATACGGTTGTGATGTGTTCCGGGGCGGGTTTATTCGGTCATTCTAGCTGTCTGTTACAAGCATCATCATTACTCTTGGATGAGACATTCATAGCATAGCATAGCCTGGTGTTGGAGGTCAACGTGCACTGCATTTGCTTGTTCGCGATGGTGTCTAAGGTTGACGTTCTATTTCCTGTGTAAATTCACGTCTCGCGTGTCATGTGTCGATGACTGTATGGAGTACGTAGGTCCGCTCGCTACCACAATGGAAGAAGACAGAACAGGCCCTCATGTTACAGGGACTTTTAGGTAATACTGGGCATTTCACTACCCACCGGCGTGGCCGCCCTTCACTTGGCGCTTGGAGTTGGAGCATCAAGTTGTCAACAACTCCACAGCCTCCAAGACACGAGAAGTTGCACGACAGTTCTCGTGGGACCAAGGGATCAATGCGTGACTCGATTCTTGTATCAATATTTTGTGCTTCCAACATTGTGCTCCATACTAGATAGCGGATCCCGAAGTTTAATAAAGCCCGCAATACTATCGCTGTTCGAGTCATGGGGATCAATTCTCCCCACGTCCACCGAATTTGAGCAAAGCAAACTCGGTGGATATCACAAGTTCGGTGGGTGCGGCTGAAGGAAAGGCTTGTCCAGCCGCTTGTCGCGAGACCTAGTACGTAACAATAGACAGCGTCTTCATCACTGACGTGCCGACGCTGGTCGCTGAGTTGCGTATCCATTGTGCACGCCGGCACACTCGCCAGGGACGATCCACGTTCTCTGCAGCGAACGAAGTCCGGGATCTCTTTCACGGCACGGTGCGTGGCAGTAGTGGGTGCACTAATCAAGGGAGGGTGGTGGTGGCCGAGTTGCACAAAACAAGCATTCAAGTCTCACGGGAACCATCGACTGGTAATGACATGACATGCCCCAGGTCGCTCGGGCCATGCAATCCATTCACTCATCGGCGCGACGAGACAGGGAAAACCTGAAATGGTAGGGGTCCGGGCGCCTGCAGCCAACCGGTGAGCACCCAGGAGTGGAACGCGCGCAGGGAGACGTAAATGCGACTGTGGAATAAAACCTCGCCAAGCTTGTCCGGCTCCGGAGACTGTGCCTGTACGCAGTACTACCCATTGCAGATATCCAGGAGGTGGCGGCGCGTGCTGCAGTGGTTGGACCATCGTGGATTTCAAAAAAAAAATCCTCCAGAGACTTGTCGCACGTTGCGTGACTCAATGCACGGACGTCAGTAGTCAATGCGTACGGAGTCTCCGTGTGCTTATTATTACCGCGGCGACATGTCACCACCCGCGCGGCGCCGTCTGCAGGTCCGTGGCCATGGTTATTTCCCAGACAACAAGCTGATTCAAGTGATTGGCTGTGATAACGTTGTACGGGTCCAAATCCGCCAGCCTAGACCGGCAGAGGCATCACCTACGGATGAACAAGTGACATGTCGTGGCATGACACGATGTAAAGAGTTCCCGGGCCCTGGATCGGCTCGGCGCCGCCGTGCTGTGCAGCGTGCTCACGTTAGTCGGGTTGGTTGGCTGGCGGCGGCGGGCTCGTATAGAATATAGATATCGATATCGCGAAGAGGGTAAAGTCGATGCGGGCAAAATTTCATCGTGGCACGGATCCGCTCATCAACAACATTGTGATCGGATCGAATCGTGGGGTGACCGATGCGCACGGCGGACGCCAGGCAGACGCAGCCGGGAAATTTCGAACCGTTCGAGAAGCCGGCCACCCGTCTACGTGTACGGGCCGCACAAGGTTCGGCATAACCGTGATCGCATTTCTTTTCCAAGGGGCGTGCTTGGGTTTGAATTATTGGTTGTAGCGTTGCGTGCATGAATAACGAGAGGTGCAATACTTGCGACGGCTAGCATTGACGGTGTGCTCGATAATGCGGTGGCCAGTGCAGTAATAGTTGATCCTTGAGAATTGGGCACTGGAACATGGAATTAACAAAGTCTAGTGTTGTTTGGAACCTGGGATCGCTGAGGCACCTCACAACGCGGAAGACTTTCCGGCGAGAGTCATGTTTCCTTTGGAGTTTGACCCGCAAATCTCTGAGGCCTCGCCCTCAAGGTCCTAGCCTTCCAGAACCCTTCGCTGCATGATGATGTTGTCTTGTACTCCGTACGGCAGTCGGGGTTGTCATTGCGGGGGCTGTGCAAGAGGCTTGGGCCCGTGGCAAAAACGCTTGCTCCTCGCCAGCGTTGCTCGAGTGGTGCGTTGATCAAGCGAGTGCACTGTGTGCAGCAATCATCATGGCTATCGGTGTCGATCTCCTATGGACTGACTAGTAATAATTCCTTGCTGCTGGCTGCATCGCGTTGCGTGCGGGGAGCAGCACTGGACGGGTGGTGTGCCAGGCCCGCCATGCCGAGCATCAAATGCCGAAGCATCATCGGCAGTGTAATTACGCAAGTGTCGTGCGAGCACTCTCTGGCTGTGTCTTCTTCGGGCTTGATTACAACCCTTCTAGATTGACGAGTCGATCTGGCACATAGCAGTAGGCCATGTATATCGAATGTTGTAGTGCGAGGTCCATACGAGAGGCGGAGGCTTCCATGTCTTCTGTGAGGACGCTGCTGTCTATCAGTGCGATGGCCAGCAAACGCATTGATAGTAACGCACGGAGGGAACGCCAGACTGGCTCTGCGGATCCATCCATTGGTCGACTCTCTGCCGTTCTTAACTTAAATTCCTGTTGCGTCTGTTGTGTTGCATCACTTCTGGATTGATGAGGGGCCGCATCCCTAGGACCATACCGACAACAAAACGCTAATGCTCAGAAGAAGCATTGTGGCATATGCTTGTCGACTATCATTGCGACGCGGGTACGTATGTGATGCCTCGTGGCGTCCAGTGGTGTACATGTGCCTGCCACCAGCACAGCGCCTCCAGGCACGCAATGACGCTCGATCCAAGGAGGCGACGCACAGTATTCGACTGTTTGTGACAGAGTTCATGCTGTCAAAGGAGGTGGCCTCACTAGTGTCCCCAGAGCAATGGTGGCGCATCACAGTGACGCTCGCACATGGCAGTCAGGTCAGTGGGCTCCGTGCGAGGAGGTGTGGCCAGCAACACTGAGCACATATCTCTGTCAGTGCGGGCTAACATGAGGTCTGTTTCGCTTCTGAGATGGTGAGACCTATGAAATGACATGTAGCTAAACAAGAGCAGCAAGGGGCAGGTGATGATCAACAAAGGGCGCGCGCAAGCGGGACTGCGAGCCAGCGGTGGCGATGATAGCATGCCAACCAGCCGCACCACACAGTGCACAATCTGCACTCACTTGGAAATCCTCAGCCTCTTCTAGGGGAGGAGGTACGTCCGAATGTTGTCTGCACTTCTTCCTCTTCCCATTTCGCGATGCGGTCTCCCGCAAAGGACCTTGGCATGGAATGGTGGTGATAGCTGCATTATTAATTGTTGCCGGTCGCTTCAGATCCCGATGGAGCCAGATTGGCTTCGATGAGGTGCAGTAGAATAGGGAAACGACCTGCCATTCTTGAACATTGGGAGGACATGGATTCTCGCGTCTCCCACCTCGACTGCCCCGTTTTACTTGTTAGGATACCCACTTGCGGTTTGGACGCCGGACGCTGGGCACTGACTGCATCATCGCCAGCGCTGTACATCTACCTAATCGACAGGCATTATCCCCCAATTCCTGGCGTATCCATGTCCAGCCGCGGCAGCCCAGTGTCACGGACTAGTGTCTGGGAGAAAAGCATCCAACGTGCTTGCTTCCAACGCACCCACCCGCTCAAGGGCCGCCGCGGCATGGAGCCTGGGCCATTCATCAATCACCGTCAGCTGTCCTGTGTACGGTGCACCCTGTTGGCTGTGCTCCCGACCACGCTGCGCGGTTCAATGTCCTACAGATCCAGACTGTCGCGAGAGGTTCCCCCCCCCCCAGGCTTGCCTCGCCGCCAACAGTGAACAGGGCGCACGCAGCGTCAAGTCGAACAATGGCAACGAGGGATGATTGCCAGGCTGCGGGCACGGTGTGGTGGCAGCGCTGCGCACCGTGCGTGTGCACGCACCAGGGAGTTAGCGCCAGGTTATCCCCATGCATGAGACCCATCATGACCAATCAGACGATGCCCATGCGCTCCTGGGATCCATGTCTTCTTGGAAGTCTTCTAGAAGGCGAGCCGGCGCCTTCCGGGCAGCGCATTAAACACAACGCTTGCACGCACAGTGCGCCACCAGGAGCAACCTCCGTTCCAGACTGTCTTCTAGCGCGCTTCTTTGCCTGCTGGGGCAAGTGGCTGGCGTTGCGGGCGATCAATGGACGCCCCGCGCATCATGCTGACGCTGCTATCGCCGACCTGTCCATTGTCGCTTGAAAGTAAGCCCATAATCATCTGTCCATCAGGGTAGAATGTTCGAGATGACGTGTCGGCTTAAGAGACTCGTGGAGGCTGGGCAAGGTAAGCAGAGCTTGCGCCGGGATACCTGTCTCATTGAATACCATGTGTAAGAACAGTAAGATGACCATCCGTGCGATGATGCTCCGCCGTGGTCGAAACACGATCCACGACGGAGCTCGCCCAGCGATCAATCATGATACAGAGGGGGGTGGGCTTGGGCTGGCGGAGGCCCCGAAGGGCGAAGGCCGGTTGTCCTCCGTAGGGCGCGCAGGCTGTACAGTGCTAAGACGAGCAAGCCAGAGCCAAGGAGGGGCTCAAGAGTGCCTTCTTTTCCAAGGGTGCCCCGTCCCCTCAGTCATGCGCTACAGTGTGGAGCCAGGCGTGGAGGCTTTTGCAAGTGAGTTTTGACTATCCACACACACCTCATGCTAGTTGATGTCTGCGCTGCGCTGCACTGCACTGGTCGACCGACCACTGGTTCCCTTCTCTTCTCGCTGGCAAAACGAATCGTGACAACTCTCGTTCTTCCCTCTCATCTGCCCTCTTATCTGACTCCAACATACCAACTATTTCCTTTCTAATACTGTGCTTGCCCTTTATCCTCTCGTTTGTGAGCGTCCTAGCTGCAATCAGGTATGTGGATTTCACGTATCCGTACGCACATGGGGAGGGAAACAGTATACATCGTCCACGCTGCCGCATTATTCTCCGAGATCTCAATCGTCCCCCATGCCTTGCCCTACCCGTCTGCTACTCTATGCCCTCGATCGATCCTCCTGCTATCCGCTTTCTAACTCTCTCAAAGAACCCTTCGACAGTTGAAACCAGGCGACCTTTTCAATACACACACTCTCTCTCTCGAACGCTCCTCACCATCGGCATCCAAGCAAGTTCCAGCGACGACCCATTCATCAGCATTAGTGCGACTGATCGATCCCGAGCCACGCAACATCGTTCCGCCTCACGTTCCCGGACGAAATCCTCTTGGGATTGGCTCCTCTCACAATTCCATACTGCCCCTGGATGCAACGCAATTGGGACAACAGTTACACGCAGTCTCGCGGTCCGCCACACGAGCCTTCCCCCAGAACGGTTTGGAGATAGCAGACCTGATACAGCGCAGCATACGGCCTCTGCAGTATAGCCACCTCGGAAGCTGGATTCATTGACTTGGTGGCAATGATTCAGACTACCTTGAGCTCGCCGCCAACGTCGTTTCTCTCGCCGGCTTCTCAAGGATCCTCGCCTAGGCCCTCGTCTGCCTTCGAGGACTTTACCCTTTTTGATGTAACGGATTCCAGACGCACAAGTGGCGTCTTCACTTCGTCTCCATCTTCACCACGATCAGACATGGGATCGAACCCGCCTACATTAACGGAGATATTGCTGGATGTGGCTCCTCCCCCATGGACCTTGAGTGCTTTCACCGCATACCTCTCCCAGAATCACTGCATGGAGACGCTTGAGTTCACCCTTGATCTTCAGCGATACGCAGCCGTTCACGACCAAATCCAAGCCGACTGCGCCTCCGACCCACACGCTCGCGCTCAGTTGTGCGACCTCTGGGACAAGCTGATGCAAGTCTACATCGCGCCATGCTCACCCCGTGAGGTCAACATTCCCTCTCGTGTGCGCGATCGACTGCTCCGTCTTCCCGCAACGCCCGAACCGCCGCATCCCATGCACCTAGAGGAGGCTGGGCGCATCGTGCACGAGTTGATGAATGATTCTTTGCTGGTCCCTTTCCTCGAGTCCGTCAGCCCGCTCCACCTCGACAACCACAGTCACGAGCATGCGCGATCACCCATCTATCCTCCGTACCTCAACGTGGGCGGTGTCGCATCTCGCTCGGGATCCAATCACGTCTTCGATTCAGAAGGCTTGACGGACGACAGTGACGGAAACTCTCCCCCGGTCATGGAACCAATGACCCCGCCCACGACACCACCTACTCACAACGACTGGGCGCACTCGCCTGGTGGTGGCTTCCAGCGCGCCATGGCAGCACACAACAAGGGCTGGAAGAAAATGGGCGCCAAACTCGGTTTCCATCGCAAGGGGTCCAGCAACAACAAGCGACCAATGCCGACGTCCAACAACGGCGACGTGCCGCGATATAGCAACCCCTTATGAGGGTCACAGGCCGTGTCTGTCTCCTTTACTTCTCATTCTTCCGCACGACGACGACGTTCTAATTTCATTCCCTCGTGGGAGGAGCCTCATCCTGGTCGTCGTGTGTCGTGTACTCTCAATGTCGAACATGGCCCGTTGCATCGGCCAGGTTGCAATGATACGCAAGAAAATGGAAGGACTGGTAGTGACACGGTCGGGCCCCTAGTTACCGTACAAGCGCCTGCTGCTACGGTGCCCTCGACTGGATGCCGAGATCAAGAGACAGAGACACCAGCCTCATTGGGCACCTCGGTCGATTCATCCCTCAGCGTGGCCCCCGATTGCGACAGGGCCATTTCAGGATCGCTCTCGTGTGTCAACGTGCCAGCAGCTACCCCTTGTCAGACAGCTCAGGATGTCGCAGGCTCTGATAAGGATACGACGATGACAGACGCTATAGACGATCAGTCGTCTCGTAGCAGTCAGCCGCCTTCTCCAGTCATAGAAATACGGGATGTTTCCGACTATCTGGGTAATGGTTCACTGTATCATCATCTGGACACCACTGTGGAGTTCCATGAATCCGCAACTGACCGGACGCCACCCTCGAACGACTTGTACGGTTGGGACGCTGAGTTTAGGCGCAAAGGGACCCCCGCGAGTCCAAGCTCGGAATCCGGCAGCGATTCGATTAGCGACCTCGACAGCAAGCACTACACCGGTGCGTCAGTCTTGGGGCGCGGCTCGATTCAGAGATTTGGACTTCTTCGTCGAGTTCTATCTACGAGCAAAGTTTCGCCAAGAACGTCCGCCAGACGCATCAGACCGTGAACCCGTCACTAGAATCGTCTGACGTCAAAGCCATCACAACTGTCGGTCCTTCCAGTCTGTCATTTCAGTCAGGGAAAGCCCTGTGAATGTTGGCGGCAGCGACGGCGACGGCACTTTTCACATTCACCATGACGCATCATATACGTTGGAAGGGTAATAAAAAGCATAGAGGGGGACGGTGTTTGGGAAAACCTGGAGTTCATTAGGGCATTTGAAGCGGGCATATTGATACCACACTTGGTATCACGTCGTTACCATTACGAGCTTACGATATTAGCATTGATTGTTTATCCTCAACGCGCGACGGCTCGGCCAGGGCCTTTTCTCATGGTCTGCGCAGTTGAGGGTGGATTGTACAAATTACTACTCTATTCAGCGACTACACCAATGTACAAAAGTCAAGCACTTGTTGCGTATTGTTATCATTACATGACGCAAACATATCTTGCCATGACGCGTGTGACCAAACAATCAGTACTTTATAGCCATTGAACGAGCCGTCACACCACGCGAGCACCGGTACGCACACACGCGCATAAGGCACACTTTATTCTCCCATGTACTGTACTCACTCGACGAAGTCACTGTGTTGTTGCAATGATAAAACAAGGGTCCTCGCAAATCGCCGGTAGCCGAACATTCACGGCGCCCGCAGCGCGCCGCAATTGTGGCCTAGAACTCCGGTCCATCCGCACGGGACGACCTGGTGCCGAGTATATTTCAATGCCATCTGCGAGGCTTGCGGGGGTCGACACCCTCCGTACATTAAGCTCTGTCCAGTCGGGTCAATCAGAGCTCGTGGCGTGCGGCCTCGGCCTGAGGCGGGTGGTTGGCGTTTGACATGTCCATTCGAAAGTGTTGCGTGTTGCCTTTGTCACCGTGAAGGCTGCAAAGCCCCTGATGACTCGTTATATGAGCACGTCACCTCGGCTTCTTGACTCTAATTTTGATTTCTGGGGTATGCGTGCGTGATGACCCTTGTGGGCACCGTCTATCAAAGAACCCCTCTTTACAGTCCGTCTCCTCCTGCGGCTTGTCGCAACTCGTCCGCGAGCCTGTCTAAATAGAACCTGCGAATGTCCGCTGGAAGTTGCCCAAAGCTCTTGGCAATCTTCGCCACCTCCTGTCTGCCCTTCTCATAGCCCGCCAGATCCCTGTTGCCGTAGACGTCTCTGCCGGTAGAGTAGCCATCCTGCAAGTCGCGGAAGAAGATATTCACAGCGACACTCAAGTCGCTCGTCGGCGTAGCTGTATGGAGCCACATTGGGGGGAGGAATAGAACGTCGCCAGGTCCAAGAGTTGCTTCGTGTGGGTGGGTGGACTGTAGCAAAGTACTTTCAAGTGAAGCGAAGACATCCAGGCTGGAACTTGATGCTCCTGGAGCGAATGATAGGTGACTGACATCGCTCGGCGGAAACAGAATCATACGCTTTGAGCCGTGTACCTGTGCATATACGTTGGCCATGACCTGACACAATATTAGCCAAGTGCTGAGACCCAAGTTTACCCAGGGGGCACGCACATCATAGTGAAGCCACATGTTCACCCGACCCGATATTCTGAGAATGGAACTGAAGAGGTTCTCCTTGACGAAAGCCAGTTCTTCCGGTAGGGTAAAGTCTTCTGCTAAAGAAGGAAAGTCATTCTCCAAGTTGGCCGGTTGATCAGTGGGGTTGTCGGTAGATAGCGACCGGATGTATAACCTCCCTCCTGACTGGATCTTTTCGATGATTTTCTTGAATTGATCAGTCACGTACCGGAAATTCTTGGAGTTGAAGTCCATTTTTTCCGTATCGTCAGAGCACTCGTGAGCCACGACCTACAACATTGTCAGTACATACAACCCCATGAAGACCATGAACTTGCCTCCTGCTCGGAGCCTGTCATGCTCATCAACTTTTCGGGTGTCCATGCGCTTCTGCAGGTGCCGAGATCAGCGTCTTCTAGGATGGCTGGTTTGCCAGCTTTCACAAGCGCCTCAAATTCCGCGCTCAACTTTATTCGCATGCGAGGAATTGAGATGACCTCTGCCTTGACTTTGGAATCCACAGACCGTATAGGTCTATCCCCTGCCAGAAGTATCTTAGGGCTCTCCAGATACTCAGGAGCTGGCTTGCGGCTGCCATAACCCTCAGACTCCCTCCGATCTATGAGCTCCATGCGGTGCGTTCTTGGTTCCCAGAACGTACCCATGGAGAAACACGTTGCGCCACCACCAAAGACATTCAGGCTGTGGCCGTCTGTGATGATGGACGACCCGATCATGAAAGGCCAATCAGCAGCGTTTTCTCCAGCGGTCACAAGTCCAACTATAGAGAGCGGATCATGACCTGCTTCCAAGACAGTAATGGTCTGACCTTGGTGTGACGGTGCGTTACCGGTGCCTCCACATATCATAGTGAAGCCCTTGATATTAACAATTTCAGCACCGAAGACAGACAACGGATCCCACGCGGCGCGGGGAGAAGAAATTTTAGAGAACTGAATCAAAGGCTGCTTTGCATTAGTACAATACTCTTCACTACACTTGACATAACTTACCACTTCCTTAGCGATATCCAGTTCCCAGGTATAGCGGTCCAGGTTCAGGGTACCATCAGGACGCAAGCCGCCGCAATATAGCCCCTTGAAGAAGCCATCCCTCGTCTGTGATGCCCAGCAGCAGAGCACAGCCCCGAACAGAGGCTCAGACAATGGAGTCCGAACCTGGCACTTAACCCAGCCATTGTCGGGGTCAAAAAGAAAGCTATCGCCCGAAACACCCACGGAGCCGTTACGACCTCCAATAACCAGAGCGAGGCTTGAGTCTCCAAGCTTGCAGATATTGTGACGGTAAAGTGGCTTTGGCAGCTCCCATGTTCTCTGCCAATTTCTTCCCCGGCCTTTGGGTAGTATCCAGCAATCTCGGAAAGCCTTTGATGGAGAGCTGCGTCCCCCAACGAGCAAGGTTCCGTAGTCTCCCAAGTCATTCAATGTGTAGCACATTCGAGGTCCAGGACCGTCAATGGGGAGTTTTAAAGACCCTGATGAACCGTCTACTCTGTACAGGTCGTAACTGTCCGAACGACTATTGGCACCCATTCCGAACAGATGAGCACCAAAGGATTGTCCCTTTGAGTTGTGAAGGGTTATTGCTTGGCCAAACCTCCTTTTTATTGGTCTTGAAGGTGATCTTGTCGTAATCTCGAAACAGACCTGTTTGTTTACCGAGCGTGCCGGAGCTTGCTTTTCCATAGCCGTGTCCTCTACACCAGTAGACGAGGCCTGCGCATGGAGCACAGAGTAGTGGCGCCCAAATAGCATGAGCTCTTCCCATTCATCGAATGGCTCAACCTGGTCCAGTGCCATCCGTTCGGCGCTTGTCATGAAGACTGATGATGACCAGGCTTCCCAGAGGTCCCAAATGTCTACTTGAGCCCAGCCTCGGTCTTTAAAGCGTTCTCGCTGGCTGTCAACCGTTGGGTATTGTTGCACCGACTTGATCGGGGTATTGAGCTTCTCGAAGTGCCGCAACATTGTCTTCGCGAAGGGATGATCTGGGCCGTTTGGCAATATCTGCTCCAACAGGCAGAATTCGGCTGTATACTATTACTTGTACTGTCCGTGTGGCAGATTCGACTATCGCATACCTTGGCCAATACCACTAGCCCATTTGATCAAAGCATCAGCGGAGGCAGTGTCCATGTAGGTGATTGATACTTCGGCAACGAACAGTACTTCCGCGTCCTTGAGGAGTAAAATAGAGTCTAGCGTCCGGCGCAGTGCTTCGAGCTCACGCAAGTCACAGGCCAGCTGGCAGTACTTGGCGCTCTCGAGAAGAACAGGGTCATTGTCATCCTTGCTGATCGTGACACCAGTGCCCAGGAGATCTCGAAGCTGGGGGGTCTGCAGAACAATGGCTCGCTTCTTGCGCATGAGGTGCGGGTAGTCGATGTCCACAAAGAGAGAACCATCGCTGATCTGTGGGTACCGTACATGACACTGCCATGGCAGGACATCACTGCTTGTCGTAAGTGTATGTGGAATGCAAGCGGTCAGGCAACATACCTCCCACAACCCAGGTTGATCACCACCTTCTTCTTTTTTGATGGTTTTTCCAAGAATCGGCGAACTATGACATCGATGGCGCGGAGTCGAAGCCAGTAGCCGCGGTTGATCAGAGGGGCTCTTCTCTGGGGCTTCTTGACGAAGAAGCGGAAAAAGTGTGGTTCATTGGGGTAGTACAGGCGCTCAACGCTTCTCTTCGACGCAATGCTGCTGCTGTTTGTCTTGTTCGTGTCAGCGAATTTCATGTTCGGCAAAGACTAGTTCATCCCGCAAGGGCTGAAACAACATCAACGTACACCCATGATCAAATCATCTAATGCTTGAGATCTCTCCAGCCTTGCAGCCCCATTTGTTGCCTTTGAAGCTGACATGACTACCATCAGTCTCCCTAGGAATGAGGTACAAGGAGCTTCCTATATATCCTCAAAGTAGACCGACCCTTTTATCGCTGCTGAGGGGCAAAGTATAGGGTAAGCGAAAGAAACCCAAGATCACTGAGATGGATACAGATGTTACATATGAGAGCCCGAAAATCAATTCGAAAGCCATAAAATGCCAGGTAGGCCTGCACAATTTAAGGGAAAAGGGGTCGACTGTGTGGGATCTTGTATGGTGAAGCTATCGTCTATCCGGAGGCAGAAAAAAACATCAGAAACATGGAGTAGTCTGTCTGCCTGTCTGTTCCATTTGCGCTTAGCGCTGGTGGCTACGGATGGAACCCCGCAGTGGAACGAGCAGTGCCTGTGGCCCTGTGCAGGCAAAGAGACATGGAGCTGAGCATGCACTGGCAACGATCAGAGTGGGGCTGGCCGCAGGTTAGGTCACGGTGCGCCAAGCTGCGCAGGTGATTGCGATTAAGGTAGGGTAGGACAAGAACCTACATATCCGTACAGGCCAGAGCTATGGGATCCCCAGCCTCTGGTGCTCTCGGGACTGCATCAGCCTTTCTTATATAGGTACCTCACACAAGCACTCAAGCATCTCTGTCGAGTCTAACACCACCACCCCTGACCAAGTTCCTCTGACAGGTCTCGGTGTCGCGACTACCCCGGCCTTGTATTGCACCTACCTCAACCAACCCGACCCCAACCTCCAAGCCGACTAGGCGTCGCAAGACCCGTATCTCATCCTCCTTCGACGGCAGCAGCAGTTCAAGCCTCCAAGTGCGAGGAACCCAGTCTACAGCAAACTGAAGCCCAGTCGCCTGGTCCTCCGATCCGTGCCGTTGCGCTACCGGCGCTACCGCCAGCCATGGCGACGCCGACGCTCAACTTCATCACCTTCAACCAAGACCACAGCTGTCTCGCCGTCGGTACGTCGCCAACTGGCGCTTTGCACCCGTTCCTCGAGCTGACTCTGGGACAGCAACGTCGAAAGGCTTCCGTATATATCACACCGACCCGTTTTCGAGAATCTTCAGCAGCGATGAAGGGAGCACAGCTATCATCGAGATGCTCTTCTCGACTTCGCTTGTCGCACTCACCCTCACGCCCCGGCACCTGATAATACAGAATACCAAGGTCGGTCTGCAGGTCACCCAGATGTATGACGGCCTGAGCTGACAGTGTCGCTGCAGAGAGGATCCGTCATCTGCGAACTCACATTCCCCTCTGCCGTGCTCGCAGTCCGCCTCAACCGCAAGCGCCTCGCCGTCATCCTCGAAGAAGAAATCTATCTCTATGACATCTCCAACATGTCCCTACTCCACACGATACACACGTCCCCGAACCCGGACGCCATCTGTGCGCTTTCGCCCTCGTCCGAAAACTGCCTGCTCGCCTACCCATTGCCCGAACCACGCGAAGAAGCCGAGAACGCTCGGAGACCAGCCCATGCGCCGCCGCAGTCTGCCTATGTGTCACCTTCGTCCGGCAAGGTGCTCATCTTCGACACTATTGATAAAAAGGCAGTCAACGTGATAGAAGCCCACCGCGCCCCTCTGAGCTGCCTGTGCCTGAGCAACGACGGGACCCTGCTGGCCACAGCCTCAGAGACCGGCACCATTATTCGAGTCTTCTCCGTACCTGGCGGCCAAAAGTTATATCAATTCCGGAGAGGAACATATCCCTCGCGCATCTACAGCATGTCCTTCAACCTGAGCGCGACGCTGCTCTGTGTGTCGTCCACGTCGGACACTGTTCACATCTTCCGGCTGGGGGCACCGCCCACCCATGCGACGCCGGGTGGCGTACCTATAGAGCCCCCCGAGCCCCAAAGGCAAGACCGTTGGTCGCGGGCACGGTCTTATGACGAAGAAGACTCGCCCGGGAATAGCGCGGCAGAGTCCCCGAGGAGCGACGCCGACGCTGCCAGCGGGGGGAATAATGGTTCTGGACCGGGTCGCCGTAGGCAGTCTGGCTCGTTCGGCAACATGTTCCGTCGTTCTTCGCAGATTGTAGGCCGCGGCGTGGCCGGCGTGGTGGGATCCTACCTTCCGCAGACCGTGACCGAAATGTGGGAGCCGTTGCGCGACTTTGCCTTTATCAAGATCCCAAAGTCCAACAACGCAACGGGGTCGCAAATTTCTCGCATAGCCGGCGGTGGCGGCGGCGCGCCGCCACGGAGCGTCGTCGCCATGAGCAGCAGCAGCCCACAAGTTATGGTGGTGACAAGCGACGGCGGCTTCTACGTATATAATATCGATATGGAGAATGGTGGTGAGGGGTATCTGGTAAAGCAATTCTCGTAAGTCTCTACTCGCGGAGTTCCTGTCGCTCAAGCTATGGACTAACCTGCCACAGAGTGCTTGAAGGGGACGACAGTAGGAGCGAGTCTGCCGCTTGAGGATCACGATCTGTAATGTTTCGCTGCATGGTCTTGCTTGCCACTTCTATTCCAACACGTTTTGCATAGGACGGGTGTGCTACATATATGTGTTTGCACATCGATACCTCCCGTTTCCGCACGATGGGCCCTCGCCGTCGGAGTTCAGCGTCTTCTTTTACGGTTTTATAGCACAGAATGACCTTAGGCCTTTGGCTGTCTGCTCGCTTGCCCTATTGTAAAATCAATGATGCCGAAACTTATTCTCAAGCCTTATCTTCGTGTATACTCTGCGCACAGAAACATCCTCTTCAACCCGATCTTGCACGGCGGCTAACGATAGTACGTCGCAAATTGTGTGAGGTTACTTTACCGCACATTCGGATTTGCAGGCCCAAATCGCAAAAACAGTCAATATCCAACATTGCTCACTATACACTTGCGAGACTCAATCCCTGTCGTGTTTTTGCAAGCGCTCTCGCTCGCTTTGTTACCGTAACCCAATTCCAGAATAATACTACTAGCCGAACCCAGAAAAACATACTCGTATACCACATCACATTGTTAATATTGCCGTCCTCCAAGCCAAGGTATGGCGACTCCCTAGCTGCCCCGTCGCGCGCAAAGCCAGCGCACTTGAACATGAATACTAATCCCATCATCTTGAGTACGGTCGGTTCATGAGCGCAATTTCTCGAGTAATCTCTGCCCATTCCATCTCGCGTTTGACGCGGGCATGCGGGTCTTTCTTCGTCTGTAGATGCTCCTCCCAGCGGAGCAACTCGTACGCGAAGCGCAGATGTGGTTGGATGATCACATTCAGACGTCGAGCGCGCACAAAGCAGTATGCTCGCGGGAAGGACATTCCAAAAGTATGCATGACCTCGGCGATGCATATGGTGGCACTCCGCGATACTCCTACACGGCAATGAACCAGTGTTGCTGTTCCGTTTCGTCGCCCGCGATCTGCCCCAACGTTAGCATGGTGTTCTTTTACATGCAGACTTCCAAATCTAGGGATACTAACTGATGAACTCCAGACAGCGTGAGAAGTGATCGGTCAACGGGTCAATACCGTTATCCTGCACTCGTTCCACAGTGTAGACGTTGTCTTCTCCCCAAGCCTCCGAATCACCATCTCGCCAGATGGCGGTTTCGCCAACGCTGAGAATCTGACGAATACCAAGCTCCTTCAGGAGATCTGGATTATTGGCGTGTCCGAGGTTACCTAAGTATAGGTAATCGAGAACACGGCTGGGAAGTGAACCGTCGAGGCCAGGCAGCCATGAAGGCTCTTGCTTGACCATATTTGTGATGTCCAACAGTGTCTTGCCTCGACACGCAGGTGACTCTGTCAAAAGACGTGGTGCTATGGCCTTGAGAAGAGCGACATCGCTGGGATATGCGAAGAAGTTCCTGCCCCTTTCCGTGTGTAGCTTCAGCCATGCTTCTGGAACAGGCTGTCCAGTGCTGAAGCTGAAGTATGCGATTCCCAACATCGATGACTCGGTGTAACCATCGCCGCAGTGAATCAATATCTTGCGAGGCACAATGTGCGTCGAATATTCGTCGGCCATGTCCATTGAAACATCGCCATCACCATCGACGCCGCACGGCCGGGTCCCGTGTGCTAGGTGATAGATCCACTTGCAAGTTTCTAACAGGGCGTCGACTTCGACGTGACTGTAAGTTGGCGGCAAGATACTACCAGACGAAGGAAATTCATGGTATGGCTGGGTGATGACTTCGGCAGGACTCTCCGCAACCAGCTGCAGGGCCTCAGGGTTGAGACGTGCTCCATCGCTGCACTCAATCAAGATATCAAATTGTTGTTCCTCAGCGCTGCCCATCTCGGGACTTGGGCCCATGAATACGTTTTTTGAGATTTCAGAGGCTTCCGTCATGTTCCACATCTCCTTCCTCTCTTGGGCAATAAAGTCGAGCACCTCTCCAGTCGCGTAGCCCTTGGAATCGATAGCGACGATTTGTCTGTGATTCTCCTCAAAATCTTCAAAGTCCCCAACGCAGACGAAGGTATGATACTCCGGAAAACCATCGTCCCCTGTCAAATGCTTCTCACGCCAGTGCTGTTGGGCGGTTGCGAATTGCCAAGCCACCTGGGTGGCAGTCTTTTCGCACTCATCGTAAACGATAATGTCAGACAACAAGGCAGCTTTCAGCGGCTGGATATGAAAGTTTCGCACGGAAAAGCCTTCGGGGGGATCAGCCTCATGGAACATTAGTGTAGACGCATCAGCCCGAATCAGCTCCTCGGGAGCCACAGCTCCCTTGAGGCGGGACCGGCTCAGGTGTCCATCAGCTTTGACAAGTGTGATTCCTCGCATACATGACGGCGCCTTGCGGTGCGCTCGCTTCCGAGCATTGAAGAAAGCCTGCTGAAGCTGGTTGTGTGGGTGCAGTCCGTGTAGCCAGGGAAAGACAAGAGCAGGCTCTGGCAGGGGAGTGCGGGAAGCTATATCGAGGGCATGGGCAACAGAGGTGGGGTCAATCTCAAAGATGGAGTATGGTCCAGAATCACGGCGTGTGAAGTCATCGATGGGATGAAGGAGGGTTGGTTGGCCGGCAAAATCGTCACTGTTAGGCGAGTCGGGAGGTGTTTCGAGCAACTCTGCTTGTCCGGAGCCAGGTGGACAAACAGGGATGTGTTTGTTTGGTACAATGGATTGTTGGTATGGCGAATCTTGAGAAGACGGAGGGGTGTTGAAGCCCTCGAGAGACAGCGGAGGGGTTATGGGGGCGTTAAGAGCCGAAGCGGGTCTGTGGGGAGGGAGTGGCCGTTCAAGAGCGATTGTAGCCATATCAGAGCAGTCTGAGCAGCAAGGCACGCTGTGCTCCAAAGTACTGGAGAATCGTCGGCCCTTTATTACACTGCGATTCTGTTCAGGACTGAAAACCACAGTCGACGACGTACTGAAGTCGGTCAGTCACTGTATGCAAAGAGCCTCGTGGAGTGGGACGCACGACTTACGCTTTACAGGGGTTCTGTATAATAACAATTGATCGGACGTCAAATCATCCGTACAATGAAAACAATCATCTGTCGATGGCGAAAAAGAATAGGAGGCACCCAAAGTATTGTATTTTGCTGGGGCCACTGGGGCGATACAGATGCTTGTTCGAGCGGGGACGATGGCGATAACTGTAGCTGCGCACCTTCACGGAGGCGGCATGGATAGAGGAGTAAACAAATGCTGAGTGCGACGAGGGTGAGACCGGCGGTCTGGGATAGTCCGACAAGAGCGCGATGGATGAAAGTGCTGTAATATAGGTACCAGTCGACTAAGAAGTGGAAAGAGTAAGTGAGATCAACGATAATGTGTGTGAAAGAAAAGGAAGGGCAGGCCGGTCAGACAGACGGACGGCAAACGGGTTGATAGAAGCGACTGGATGTGAAGGCTGGCCAGGCACCTTAGAGTTTGAGCTGTTGCGCAAGGTGAGGGATGGAGGTACCGGTACCTAACTTGGGTGCTACTTGACATCAACCTTATCATAGACGGGTAATGAAGCAGAAGCTACTGTAATTGCAAACAAGTTCTGGACAAGTTACTCGAATACCCTCTCCTAAGTGTAGGTAATTCAAAAATCCTGCGAGTCTGCTGCGCGTCGCATTGTCCGTTCAATCGTGAGTATCTCGATACTTTGATCATCAAGTGATAAGCAGCCAAACGCCCGCGATGCAGCGAGTGGAGGGTGGCCGCACGGACCATCCGTATTACACTAGTGCGATGAGGAGGCGGGGAAGGAACGATAGTCACAATCTACTCACATCACGTGTGTCCTTTCTTCTCCTTCTTACGAATTGGTACTACTTGGGAAGTGCGGAAACAATCTGCTTTGCTTGGATACCTCACGCGAGCTCAGTGCGCGGCCTACCGGCGCAAATGTTGAGCTGATGCAGCCAGGCTGTCGTAGGAAAAGCCGGACCCAAGTTGATCAGTAGTACAGACGCTGATGCAGTCTGCTGCAATGATGCCTGCGTTGGCATGTCCGGGGCACAAGCTTCTTGCATTAGCGCCTTGGGAACCGTTGGGTGGTGCTTCCAGCAGTGCGTGGCGCCAAGGTGTCAATACCTTATCAGACTCTGGAGAGAACACTTGTTGACAGTGGCTTCAAGGCTTGTCGATCCATCAATCTCTCGGGAAGTTCTGTACAAGTCAAATGGCGGGTGCTGGCGCCAGATAGGTTTCCTAAACTTCGAGATCCTGTATGCTCTGCATGTCCAGCTTCAACATGGTCTACGGTCATCTCTATCCCTCTCCAGAGACAAAGAACTTCAGTATACTCAAGTAGACCAATTTGTTTGTGTTTGGAACGGGGCCGATGCGGCATGTAGGATGTGCAACCCCGCTTCACACGCGACCCATACTGCTCTGTTGACAACTGTGCACTCTTAAAGCATCAGTACGGATGTTTGACGTATTCTGATTGCGGCCGAGATCGACAGCTGACCATTAACGCTCTCGCCTTGTAATAAGTCTATCGTGACCAGAACTCCCCGTCATGGTCTGATGCGTGAAGGGGACCTGCGGCCATAAGCCTTTGTTTGGGCCGCCATCTCGATGGAAAGCCCTGCACATGCAGGATGCCACGGAGCTTCACAGAGCTGTCAGCAGAACGCATCGCCTATCCAGGAGCACCAACGCAACGGACGCATTGGACGCCGATCCTCATGGCGCCTCCTGTGGAGGGCACGGAATTGGAAACTTATCCCCAGATCCGCGGGCCCACCTTGACAGCAGGGTCCTAGGTCCGACCAACACCAACGTTGACGCCGGCGATCATTACTCGTACGCACGTACTACCTTACTCACTTGACAAAGTCGCTAGCGCTGGTGTGTCTGTCTAGACAATAACCCTCTTAGAAGCGGTGCCAATATTGAGTAAGAACTGCAGCCTGTGAGCGATATAAAGCCCAAGGCCAGTAAGAGATTCGCACCAGGCCCCTCGATTACTGGCAGTTGCCGCACTGTTGGCTGTCACGCAGGGCTCACTTTGGCTACATGTACGACGCGGCACACACAAAGTAGGCGACCAGAGGTAAATTGGACATTATCGTACGCTTGCATTATTCTATCCCGCGCCTGCCAAGTATGCATAGTCCGAGGGCCCCTGGTGTCTTGACTGGGAGGCCCCGAGGAAACCATCAATGTTCTCGGGGGTAAACGAGCGCCCCTCTCAGTTCCAGGGACAAGCCACCTTATAGCGCGACGACAAGAGCCCCAACCACGGCAAGAGCAGCACCGATGGAGACGGTCTGACGGCCAGCAGCGTTGCCGCCATCGCCACCCTCGTTTTCGTCGCCGCCGTCGTTGCCCGAATCCTCGCCATCGTTGTCGCTGCTGGGAGTGGGAGTGACGGTGGCCGTGGCCGTGGTGGTGGCAGGAGTCGTGACAGTGGCAGTCGTCTTGTCGTCCGAGGCACCGTCGGCCCACGAAATGTTGGAGCACATGGTGGGGACGGGCATGCCGTTGAGCAGGTCCTGGACCTCGGGAACGTCGGTGCAAGCCTCGATGAAGCTCTCGAAGATGGCGCTGTTCTCGGCTATCCAGCTGGTGAGGGAGCTGACGTACGCGGTGTACTCGCCAGCCAAGGAGCCAGTGACATGAGGGATCTCGCAGAGCTCGGTGATGGTGGCGAGCTGTGTTTGCTCGGCGAGGAACGAGTAGAGGGAAGGTTCGAGGGTGGGCGTAGCCGTCAGGATGGGATAGATTTCTTGGACGTAGTCGGTGCACTCGTCGATGTCACGCTGGTCGAGGGCGACGGCGCCGACGGCGAGAAGGGCAACGGTGGTCTGCTGAGCGGCACGCATACTGGCGGTGGGTTGTGCGAAACGGTACGTGGGTGTTTGGGAAAGTAGTATATAAGGTTGGCCTGGTAGGTGAAGCGAGCGTGGGTGGATTAAGCGACGTTGGTACGGATGAGAGAGGGCAAAGGTGAGAGTGGGCGTACGCGATGGTTATAATAAGTGTTGCATGATCTCACTGGGACCTAATTAATTTCGGCTCGCTCACTTAATCAGAGTCACCTATAGCACCGTACTCCGTACCACGAGACCTACAAGAAGCTACTGGGCATTTTAGTGAGCTCGGGCCAATTCCGACGCCTGTTCTAACTCCAGCGGACTTGGCTGTCGTTCACCGACAACTTGTCGCGAAAACAAGAAACTTGTGGATGAACGAGCGGAATGTCTGAACGTCGTGACAAATGAACGATTCTAGTGAGCATAAAATGGGGCTCGGCGCGTTGCGCCAGGGCGTCTCATGCGTTTCGTCTCCACCTGCCTCAGCACTACTCTCTAGGCTTCTAGACCACAATGAGGTTAGTTGATTAGGCGAAGGAAGACATCCCGGCGCGAAATTTCAAATGAGACACTGGCTGTTCAGCTCATTTGCTGTCAGGTGATCGATCACCAAACACAAACAAAGTGGCATTTCTTCAAAGTGACGATCGTTCTTTGGACAAACACTAGAAACCACGTGCGTCTGCTGCCCCTGCCGCTGTGCTGCATGCTAAAGAGCCAGCCGGCAGCCGGCAGTCCTGATTAATAGTGTACGTGTACAAAGTAATAGTCTGGACTCTGACCGCATGCAAATTTCAAAGGACCGGAAATTAGAGGGACTGCTGACCAGCACTTGTGGCAAACCAATTTCCGACTATGGCTCAGCCACTAGTGGCTATCTACGGAGCAGGCCAGAGATACTTAAACTTGGAAGCGACTGGAGTTTCGTGGACGTTCCCGTGGACGGTGGACACTCCGACACACCAAATGACCAAAGTCAAGAAGTGTTTCTTTCCCTCGGGCATTGCCTTTCAAGGCTGACCTTCATCATCAATAATTCACCGTGGATCTGCCTGCCCACGTGTGTTGGCATATAAGGGGATCAATAACACCAAGATGTGTACCTGTATGGATCGATCGCAAGTGGATCATCGACTTTTGATGCATGCAGCACCGCGAGGAGGACTATCTCCGTAATTCAGTTCAATGTTCATTGTTCAACGAGTCGGGACTGTCGAGCAGACTTGGAGATCGTGCTACTCACAGCCACCAATATCACGTTGAATACGAGGTAGCCTGCAGAGGACCACTGTATGTACCACATTGGCAGATCAAAGCCCGGTCAAATTCACTGCATACACTCAGGGCTTCCATCGCAGCATAGTCATCGATGCCTTGGGGAAGGTGTACGTCGCCTCGGCCGTCCAGCTGCTCTCCTGGACACCAACCTCTGTCTTCTCCTCCGTGTTGGTGCTTTGCAAGCTCGCGCCCGTGACGGTGTACACGTCGACCTTTGCGCCAGGGGTGATGCCCTCCACCTTGGTCCCAAAGTCTTTGGTGTCGTGAATGTTCACCACAACCAGCGAGACCACGCCCTCGTCGTCGACCGCCGCGCTCACCTCGAGCCACGGCGTCTCAATCGCCCCCCTAATCCACGCCGGCTGCGTGGGACCGTCGTACTCGCCGCTCTGGACGTGGCACGCCACCGTGGAACCCCTCATGTACTTGCTGAAGAGGAGCAGTGGCCACCACGTAGCCTGCTTCATCAGGCCCGTCTTGGTGGTCATGAGCGGCGCGATGACATTGACCGACTGCGCAATCGTCGCCATGCCAATGTTCTTGCTCTGGCGGATCAGCACGTTGAGCCAGTTGGCCACGGCGAGCGCGTCGGACAGCGTGTACTGCTCCTCGGCCCCCAGCCAGCCCGGGGCGCGCACCGGGTCCCACACGTTCCACTCGTCGAAGCAGATCTTCTGCCTGGGGATGCTCGGCGGGACATTGTTCTCGATGCGCGCCAGGTCGATGAGTCCGCTGGTGATCTCAATGGCCCGCTCCGCCTGTCGAGGTGCCGTCACGTTCTTCAGGTGGTCGCTGGAGGCTGTGTAGATGTGGATGCTGTGCATGTCGATCAGGCACGACGCATCATTGTTCCCGAGGATGTGCATGCTGTAGTTGATGCACTCCTTGGTGACGTGGTAGTCCCACGCTGTTGGCCCTTCCTTGCCGCACAGGATCAGCTGCACGCTTGGATCGAGCAGCTTGATCGCCTTAGCCCACTGGTTGGCCTTCTTGGCGTAGTCCTCCTGTGTCATCTGCTCGACCTGCCAGGGACCCCAGCACTCGTTGCCGAGAGCCCAGTACTTGACATTGTACGGCTTGTCCCGCCCGTTGGCGCGGCGCATGTTGGCATAGTCGCTGTCGGAGTCGGAATTGCAGTATTCCACCCAGCCCATGGCCTCATCGAGTGTACCTGCCCTGTCAGTGCTTGTCCGTGAGATGATACCTGTACACGCCCATATGGGAGGGACTCACCAGTTCCAAAGTTGAGGCAGAGGTATGGCTCGGTCCCGACGACCTCGCACCACTTGAGGAATTCATCTGTTCCGAACTGATTTGTCTCAATGCCGTGCCATGCCAGCTCCTTCCTTTGAGGCGCACGAGTTAGTACATTGTCAGGCCCATTGCCTGAAGGAGTGTGGAACAGGCGGCTTACCTCTTCGGTCGCTTCTCCCGCGGCCCAACACCATCTTGCCAGTGGTACGTGGCGATAAAGTTTCCTCCGGGATATCGCACAACTGGACACTTCAACTCTTGGAATGCCTCGATGACGTCTTTCCTGAACCCATTCTCGTCCGAGAGGGGGTTGCCTGGGTCGTAAAGCCCGCCATAGATGCAGCGGCCCATGTGTCTATATTTTTGAGGCAGAGTCAGGAAGATGCCAATGTGCGAGGATATCAGCTATCCGCCCACTTACTCTGTGAAGCCACCATATGTATTGTCTTCGATCTTGGAGATCTTGTGGGTGGGGTTTACGGACACAACAGGCGTCTCATCATCTGGGATCTTGGTGAACGTGGCCATGGTGAAGACAAGGAGGGGGATAAGTGTTGATTACGGGAAGAGTGAAAAACAGGAATGCTGAGTAGGGGACTTATGAGGAGAGGTCTAGGACGAGGGGTTTGATATCAGTGACGCAGTCTGGTATCAAACCCCTCGTTGCATTGACGTGCCGCATCGTGGGCAGATTCTACAGGAACCACATAGTCTCCAGTCCGTAGGCCGGAGAGCAAATGTGAGGCGGTCGCTTAAGGTAATGAGGAGAGCAGCAATAGTGCGAGGAAGTGGTGGGTCAATTCATGCGGGGAGTCCTCTCGTCTTGAATAACCGCACGAATCAAGGGCGCATCTCGGCGTGTCTCCATCCAAACCACCCTCCTACAAGCGCGACAGGAGGCTTGGTCGGGAACGATGAAAACTTGAGGAGCACGCCAGGCGTGAGCTCAAGTCAGGACACCGCCATAAACGAGCGTCCATGAACAGTAATCTCCAGTCACCGATGAACAATTCTACTCGCACGTACGGATACAGGCGCAATTGTCGCGGGCGACTTTCTCGTGTCCATGAAACGCCAAAACCCGGAGATTCCAATCCTCACGACTCGATGTAAGCCTAGCGCAGCCTAGCCCGTCTGTAGGTTCCCTATGTCCCTTGGATTTCCACTCCAGCCTTTGTCTAGTTCACGCATTGATGGGTCGTCCCGTTTGAACGCGAACGCCCCCGTGGACGGGCGTTTTAGCGATGCGGGCAATTAGTTGATAAGCTTCAAAGAACCGGGTCACTGCGGAGCACGTTAGGCTGCCGGACCACACAGCCAACTTGATGAATCTATAAAAACTGCACGAGGGTTGGACGAAACCAAGTGCCAGTAATACGAGGTTCGCGGAAAGCTCTGGATCCCTCAATACGAGTCGGACTCGTCACACCAGGTGACCCTGACGTTGGCCCGCCCGTATGGGCGAAATCCTCGAGAAGCGCAAGGAATCACGTTTGCTGGTCACATTGGCCAATACACTCGCGCACCTCAACGAAACATGGCACAAGATGAGGCAGGATCCGAATTTCGTCGTCACCCAGTGCCAACACGTCCTTGACGAATTCCGGTGTCTGGATCAGCTTCTTCAGCTGTGGACGAGTGACCGTGACATCGTCCCGTCGGCAGGTCTTCGTGACGATTCCGACGAACGTATCGATGTACATCAAGGAGGGGTGTAGCTCTCCCTTCTACATGCAATGGGTCGCTAAGAGCTAGGAAACGCTGGGCTCGATGAACTTGGTAGGCGAGTGAGCATCATACATGTATATGTTATCCCATGAGCGCGTGCTGTGCAGCAACAACGTGGGTGCATGGAAGAAGGCCTTGTCCGGTCTGACCACGACCGTCTGCAGATCAAAAAAAAGTTGGGTCTCGCGTGCTTACATTCCTGGTCCTCGGGAATCAATTGGCTCGCGCGCACACACACCATCAGGCTGAAATCGTGACTCGCACAGGAGCTGTATCGTCCGCCTCCCTCGCCGGCTCAGTACCCGGGAACAGTCTGAGCGCGAGCTGCAGACGCTGGCCCAGCTCCATGCGCATGGCAATTTCAACGACCCTCTCGTACAGGCGGAGTACGCTCAGATCCGGAAGGCCACCACAGGCAAAAGGGATAATTCGGCCAAGTCTTACCTGGAGCTCTTTGAGGACAAGTCCTGTCTACGGCACATGTGAATACCATGCTCTGTGGTTTGCGATCTCACCAACGCAGTCTCCTTTCCGTGTCTTCTGCCCCGGACTTCAAAAGCGTCCACTCGCAGGAGTGAGGTGTTGCTTCACCAAGGCTTCTACTTCGTGCCGAGCTTGGACCGCCATGCCATGCTGATCAACGATCTCGAGCGCAGGGCCGGAGAAGCTGAGAAGAAGCAGCAGGCTCAGGCGGATGAGAGGGACCAAGTCTCATAGCCCATTGAAATCAGCCCTAGAGATACGCCATAGAAATCGACAGGCGGATCTAAGCTCGTGTCAGCCCTGCGCAGCATCGACGAATTCAGATAGCAGGCCGACATTCGCGTGTGATAGTCCTAACAGTTGAGGGTTATGCTTGCTACCGACATGGTTCGGGTCTGCGGCGTGAAGTCTTTTTGCGCTATCAAATGCTTGTCTCCAGTCGCACAGTACATACGTACGAGGCATAATACGTACTACCCAAAACCTTGTCGACAATGCCATATCTAGGCACGATCAAGTGACCGGAATTTCATCGCATTGTTCGCATCGAGGAATGACCGGATGATACTATGCGCAGGGTCTGAATTGCAAATTGCTGACTGATTCGTACGTCGTACCGGCACTGAAGTTTTCATCGACGACGATACGTCGTGGCTGAATGCGCCTGAAGACGTTGGTCTGATATGCCCATGGAGACAGTATGAAGCTCGGTTTGTACAACCATTGACGAATAAGGTCACAAATCAACGTTAATGAGTTGTCGTTGCGAATCACCACCTCTAGGGATGCAGCGCGTGCACGTGACTTCGCGCCGCACTGTTCCACAATCCCTGTACGGCACCAGTTTTAGAGCTCCAAAGTCACGTCACCGATTCAGTGAGCTTCAGACCGCGATCGCGCCTTGAGATTTGTGACATTCAACCCCGAACGAGGCCACCTTCGAGGCTTCGTACAGGAACACGCTGAGGGCGCGCGGCCCTCAAAAGCACCAAAATGAAGTTCTACATTGAGTAAGACCCACTCATTAGGACGACGTTGATTGATGCTTACCGACACCAGTGAACTACCTGTGCTTTTCCCGTACCCAAGAATATATCCTGGTAAGAAAAGGCCGTTCACGTGAGAAGAAGTGCTCTCTGACAAGAACGTAGAACAATATGCGTGAGTGCGGCCAGATCGAGTCTGTGACGAAACTAACAAGGCTCAAGCTACATGTGCGATCTCAAAAGTACGTGAACGGAAAGGCTTGCAATGGCCATTAGCTGATGTGTGCAGAAACTTTGGATGCGGGAGGCCACTGCGTTCTGGAGATGCCTTCGGGGACCGGCAAGACCGTGTCGCTTCTCTCACTCATTGTGGCATATCAACAATTCAAACCAGAGAAGCGGAAATTGATTTATTGCTCTCGTCAGTCTCCGTCACTCATTGCCACTACACCTCTTTAACGTCGACATTAGGTACCATGTCCGAGATTGAAAAGGCGCTGGTTGAATTGAAGGCTCTCATGAAATATCGCGCTGAGCAGCTCGGATACGAAGAGGATTTCCGAGGACTGGGTTTGACGAGTCGAAAGAACCTTTGTCTTCACCCGTCAGTCAAGCGGGAGAAGAGCGGAGCCGTCGTTGATGCACGATGTCGAAGTCTGACGGCCGGCTTTGTCAAGGAGAAGAAGGACCGTGGAGAGAACGTCGACGTTTGCGTGTATCACGACGTGTGTCTCGTACTGTTTCTCTGATGTTCAATGGGCTTACACGACTATAGAACCTGGACCTGCTGGAGCCACACAATCTGGTACCCAACGGCGTGTGGACGTTTGACGGGATACTGCGATATGGAGAGGAGAACAAGCAATGCCCGTACTTCACAGTACGACGAATGGTACAGTGCAGCTCGATTATATCGACAACGCAGATCACTGACTCCATCGCAGATGCAATACTGCAATGTGGTCATCTTTTCGTACCATTACCTCCTGGATCCCAAAATTGCGGAGCGAGTATCGCGGGACTTCTCCAAGGACTGCATCGTCGTCTTTGATGAAGCACATAACATTGATAACGTGTGTATCGAAGCCCTGAGCACCGACATCACCAATGAGTCGTTGCATAAAGCTACGAGGGGCGCGCAAAACCTGGAACGCAAAATCTCAGAAATGCGTGATACAGATCAAGAACAACTTCAGACCGAGTATCAAAAACTGGTCCAGGGCCTGCGAGACGCAGATGAGGCCCGACAAGAGGATGCGTTCATGGCAAACCCAGGTATGTCAGCAATGGCTTGGGCATGCTTTTTCGGTGGCTAACCGCGGCAGCACTTCCGGAGGATCTGTTGAAGGAAGCTGTGCCTGGAAATATTCGCAGAGCCGAGCACTTTGTCTCCTTTTTGAAACGTTTTATTGAGTATCTCAAGGTACATAACATGGACCTTTGCTAGCTAGGCTCGCTAATCCGCACTGCAGACTCGCATGAAAGTCCGGCAAGTTATTTCAGAAACACCGCCGTCATTTCTGTCCCACCTCAGAGAACATACCTTCATCGAGAAGAAGCCGCTACGGTTCTGTGCCGAACGACTAACGTCACTCGTCCGGACGCTGGAGCTCACAAATATCGAGGACTACCAACCTCTCCAAGAAGTGGCCACCTTTGCAACCCTGGTCTCAACTTACGAAAAAGGATTCTTACTGATTCTCGAACCATACGAGTCCGAAACTGCCGAAGTCCCCAATCCTGTCCTACACTTCACCTGCCTCGACGCGGCAATCGCCATTCGCCCTGTCTTCGACCGCTTCTACTCCGTCATCATCACCTCGGGCACCATCTCTCCTCTCGAAATGTACCCCAAAATGCTGGACTTTCCCACAGTCGTCCAAGAGTCATACACAATCACCCTGGCGCGGCGCTCGTTCTTGCCCATGATTGTGACGAGAGGGAGTGACCAGTCTGCCATGTCCACCAGTTTTCAGGTTCGCAACGAGCCAAGCGTGGTACGAAACTATGGCGATCTTCTCACGCAGTTTGCCAAGATCACCCCAGACGGCATGGTAGTGTTCTTTCCATCGTACCTCTACATGGAATCCATCATCAGCATGTGGCAGTCCATGCATATTCTCGACGAGGTGTGGAAGTACAAGCTCATTCTGGTCGAGACACCTGACGCGCAAGAAACTTCGCTGGCGCTCGAGACGTTCCGCACGGCTTGCTGCAATGGTCGTGGTGCAGTTCTCCTGTGCGTGGCGCGGGGCAAGGTCTCTGAAGGTATCGATTTCGACCACCAGTACGGTCGGACAGTGCTGTGCATCGGTGTGCCATTCCAATACACCGAGTCGCGTATTCTGAAGGCCCGATTGGAGTTCCTGCGCGAGACCTACCGCATCAAAGAGAACGACTTCCTCTCCTTCGACGCCATGCGACACGCAGCCCAGTGCCTGGGTCGTGTACTGCGTGGGAAAGATGACTATGGAATCATGGTTTTGTCCGATCGCCGCTTCTTGAAGAAGAAGGACCAACTACCAAAATGGATCAACCAGGCCATTCTTGATTCAGATGTCAATCTGAGCACCGATGTTGCCATCAGCTCGGCGAAGAGGTTCTTACGCACGATGGCGCAACCCTTCAAGGCCAAGGATCAGGAAGGCATCAGCACATGGAGCTACAAAGACCTGCTGGAGCATCAAGAGAACAGTAGGTCCGACAATTTCAGGATCCGCGAGTTTGTGGGGGACCAGCAAGCATTCGGGGCGCCTCAGAACGTCGATTCGGACTTGCACGAATATGACGATGATGAGTTGGACCAGGAAATGATGCAAATGGGAATGCCGTGAGCTCATGGCCTAGTAGAATCTACCAGGCGCACCACAGCCTATCTTTCAACTATGCAGGCATCAACTGTATCTGTCATAGCATTGTACAGCGATAGGGGAAAATCTATTATGAGAAAAAAAAAAGTTTTCGCGCAGCTTCTTGGGTATATTTATCCGTTCAAAATGCACCCGCTTCCACAACCTGCACGTTCTTTGCCCTGGACCACCGATTCACGGAATCATGCGCTTTGTGGCCTTCACGGCTCTCATCGCAGGAAGGGTGTTGCCTCGTCCAGGCTCTCTGCCTATCTCGATACATAGCATGCGAATGAAATCGAGATTGGTCCAATAGCTGGTATGCGCACTTAACATGTTTAGGTACTGGATCTCGAGAGGTCCACCTCCAGATCGTAGATAGTAGTCAATTTGACCATTGTCGTTGAGCAAAAAGATCTTCTTCTCTGCGATTTCCTCGCGAGTGAAATCGTGTACTTCGAGCTCGAGCTGGGACGGGAGCCTGAACGCTGGGGGTCGTGCGGGTTCGGGAGCAAAGGTTCTTTGCGCTGGTTGCATCCCAGGTATAACGTAGCGAAACGCATCCCCAAACGCTTTGAAGAACGATGAGGCCGTGCTAGGGACATGGGCAACCTTGAGACTGGCCGCGTATGTAGGATCCACGGCCCCGTTCAGCAGATAGGCAATTGGATCTTCCTTGGCGAGGATGTTGTATATATTGTCCACTGCTAGGCAACCGAAAGTGCCAGCCTCGCCAACAACGCCACCCGCCGTGGTATCTGCGGACTCCGCCCCAGGCTTTCTTCTGCCATGACGCGGCATCAGGCTGCCCCTCTCGAGAAGCAAGAAGAATCCTGCAGGACTGCCGACGAGGAAGAGATTCTTGGTGTCAAACTCGAAGAACGAGGTCTCGGGCTCGGGCTGTGACAGGTTTAAATGCGGGACGCTCGTTGGCTGCCTCGAAAGAACTTCCAAGGCCATCGCGCTGCCCAACGAATGGCCGATCAAATGCACGCGGCCATGCTCTGCAAACCCAGGGTTGTTCCTACACCATAGTCGATACACTCTATTGGCCTCGGTCACCAAGGCTTTGATCATTTTGCTCTTGTGGTGTGACATGTAGAACGGTATGTCAAACATAACATCTGAGATCATGCTGCGGACTGCCGGGATCGTGGTCGGCTCAATGTCTTTCAGGCCGAAACCGTCTGTCGCCTGATGGACCTTGTCCTCCTCAGGCATCGGACCGCCTTCTTCGAAAGATAGCCCCAATCTCCAGTTGAGGGGTAGGATCATCATCCCATTCTGGCTCTCTCGAAGTATTCCTTGGACGAGTGGTGTTCCCAGTTCAATGTTGACCGCTCGGCGAAACCCGTTGATTGCGTGTGTGAAGTGGAAGCTCTCGACCCTCTCAGCAAACTTTTGCCCAATGCCGTGGGCAACCAGAACGAGGTCGGTGACCTGACCCTGGTTCTTTTCTGCTTCGCAGCCTGGGCAGACGAGTTCGCCTTGCTCACCACGCAACGCGTGTGGGGGTGAAGCTTCCGATCCCCGTTGCGTTGGTTTCTTCTCATGTTTGCGCTCCCACTTCGGCCGGTCGAAGCCTCTCACTACGGGTATTCCAATCGTAATACCTTTCATAATCTTGGACAGTGGCCGCCTGCCGTAGTATGCCGAAGGACTCAAGCTAGGCTTTAGCAAGAAGGCCACCGTTTCGTCCTTGTATATGACGTGATAATTTTGGAAAGGTCGGTTGGATGCGTCCGTGTCACCGCTAGTCATCTTTGACGGTTCAATAGAGCCTTCGGCAGCTGCCTCGCCTCGAAAGCAGCGGGCAGCGCAGTACGGATCGGCGGAGATTGGGGGATGAGTTCGGCTTGGGTGAGCACTGCCATGCGACTTAGCAGTCTTTCGGGTGACGTCTCTTGGCCACAAGCAATGTGCAACTTTTTCTTCGCCTAGGGCACCAATGTCTATAGCGCACTTCACTTCGTCGGCCCAGGTCTGGCTCCACGGGCGTAGGTCGTGGTAGCCAGCTTCAAGTTGATTGGCAACAATACACGGCACAGGCATCATCGTGTCCCTATGTGAATGATGATGTTAGCGCAGGTGCGACGTGCTCGGAAGCAATAAACCCTACCTGTAGAACCAGGTTGCTCTTGTGACCACTGCCATGTCGTTGATCGGAGACCAATAAATAGGTTTCATTTGCAAATTGGGCAATGACACCATGTGAAGTCTAGATACCCCGACGGGAACATCTACAGCCTCCTTTCCCCATTTTGTGGCCTTCACAGCTCCGGCAAGTTTAATGGCTTCAAGCTTGGGATCTTCCAGCACTTCCACATGGTCAATGTTAGCATCATGGGCCTCTTCTTGCGCCAAAGTGCCATGTCTCGGAATAGAAATGACAGGCTTTGGGGGCCCTCCGCTGCTAGGAACGCGCACAAACGGCTGACCAGATATACCGTCGTCAGTCATGGGCCCTCTCGATTGCGCAGGGCTTCCGACAGGCGTCTGTGCCCTAGACGAATGGCTTGTGGGCTGAGATCCTGACCGCGCGCGGCCATCGTGGCGGCGAGTCGACCCAGAAACATCTGCATAAGCACCTTCACTACGCAAGGCAGCCTTGACTTTACTGTCTAGGGTCGAAGATTTCAAAGAATCACGAGGCGAGCGAGATAAAGACCTCGTACTCAATCTCTTCGTAGGCGCAACTTCCTGCTCCTTGTTGTTTGCTTCTTCTGCAAGGCGGGCGTCAGAGTCTCGCAGTCGATCAACAATACTCACCACGTCCTTCACAACACTTTCGACAGTGAGCGACGGACTGAACTCTCTCGCAAGTGAGCAAAACGTCCTCTCCAACTCTTCGCCGACATCAGTCGACAACGCCGTGCAACAGGCGGTCTCGTTCAGCGCAGTAGCTGCTACTTCCACGGGAAGTGACAGCTCTTGGGGCTGTAGACCTCCTTTGTGAAGTTCCCAGTGCCTCAAAGCTAGACTCTGCACCAGCAGCGTTCTCTTTTCGGTACTGGGCTTGTCAACTTCGGGCGTTGCTTCTCGACTATTTTTCGCATTTCCGTGCGCACTCTGATCTTCCTCGGTTTGGAGGCTTATCCACGCTTTCTCCAAAGCATTATTATCCCCCCTGGCGAATGGACGCAACGGGGCTTTGCCCGGTCGCGCGTCAGAGGTTGTGATGGTGGATGTTGCTGAGAGCGGGTCATCGATGGGGATTACAGAGGCATAGAAGAATTGGGCTTCGATTGGCGGACGACCATCGGCGCCCTCGACTTGAGGCACAGACGCAAGGCGGCACTTTTCGCCGAATGTGTGTTTCGTAGTGGTCGACATTGTTGCTGGCAATCGAAGCACAGACGCCACAGCAGGCTGGGCAGCTTTACAGCTAGGGCTCACAAGCGTATCGCATTTAGCTGGGCGTTGGAGATCTGGCCATGAGTGAGTTTCCGTCAAGATTTAGCAAAAGAAGCTGAGCATGATGGACAGCATGAACCTCGTCGCGTCGGATCACATACTAAAGAGTGATAGATATCGTATACGTACTTGCTAGAGAAACTTGGATGGCGTACACAAGCAGGCATGCTGGCACCAATGACGTGGTGGGCATACTCAGCTTAATTATTAGTCAACTGTCCACATGCTGCTGAGTCATCCTGCAATCTACAGAGAAAAGTCTAGCGACGTTGAGTCCAAAAAGGCAAGCCGTTTCTAATTCCAGCATATGGCGGCTCTACATATTGGAGCGCATGGCTTTTATGCTAAACAGTTTTGCAATACGGTAGCAGGCTATGGCTACGCACAAGTACGTTATACCAACCTATGATGCAACGTAGGTCACACGGGCGCTTCCCGATAATCATCTGCACAGCACACAGACTCACGAGGCAGGGCCCCCCAAGGCAGACAAGTTGTCCGCCAAACCTGCGGGACTCATCAATCATGAGTCTACCAGGCCAGCCCCATTCCCATCGGCTCTAGCTCCTGTTGTTCCTCAATGCCCGTCCATGGCGTGGAAACAAAGGGCGTCGTCGTACCCGGCAATGCGTCTCCAAAACAGCCAATTCTACCTCATAAATTCCTGACGGCTGCCTCCTCTGTGATCACAACAGCCATAACGGACATTCGGCCCGCCCGCTACTGGAAGTGTTCTCGGCCAGTGAACATGCCTCGCGGTCGGCTGGATAATCAGATCTCAACCGGTTGCCACCCAGGCTAAACATATGTCCAGGACCAAACCCAATATGATGTATTTACATATTCTTTTCCCGGTGAACGCGGTATGAAGGGCAACGATATTTCTATGACCTACCATCAGTGGATGGCAGTTATGCAAACCGCCATCGCTTGGCCACCGAGTAGTGTCACTTACCCGGAGACGCCTCTCGGGTCTGTCTGGTCAACATCTCGGATACACGGACGATATGAAAGACGCGACGCTGTGTCATGGCACTCATGTAGCCACCTGGTCTCGGTCTAATAAGTTGGACCTTTGGACTCAGGGGGGATCTTGAATTTTGCTTCGCGCGATGATGCACGGTCTGGAGCCTAGCTGATATTGTCATTACTGCTGGCATACTTATGTGAAGGCTGTCATCAATGCCACGAGTGGGAACGGCAAACAAACCGCCGTTACCCAGATTCCTTTACCTATATACTTCAGTTTACTGGATGACGCTGGGTTGGCAGGCTGATCATGGCAGTGCGTGTTCTGTGGAACATTACCTCGCGATAGTTGCCAGGCGTGATGGGGGTGGCCTTCGATGCTGCGCCAACTTGGACTTGTAGGTTTGAATGCTTTCTTCTTGCGCAGCTGTGCTGTGACTGCTGTCATGGTTAGCGCTTTTGGCTTGTCGATCGCAAACCATGTCCTTCGATACTCCCAACTTTCCTGACCGCCTCATTCATCCACTTGCAGTGAGCTGAACGTTGACAGGGTGGAAAGAACCAAAAATTACACGTATCATGTATGGAGATGATTGCCTCTGTGGCATGTGGCTTTCCAGCTTTCAACAACGCAAGACTCAAGAGATATTAGACCGGATCAGGTCCCGCGCTGTGCCACACGGAGAAAACAATTGCTGCTTCGCGTGTGACCATGAACCAAGTGTCGAATGATCAACGAGGGCTCCTGAGAGACTGGAAATTACGTGAACAAAGAAGCGTTTAACAAGTTCTCTCAGAGGGTATCCGCAACCGCCCTGCGCTCATCACTGGTGCATTCGCTGATTGCGCGGTGCTTGGCAAGCTTACTGTGCGGCAGCCTGCTCGAAGAGGTAAACGCCGAGGACAAATTATCGTAGTTCTTGGAGGATCCCTTGCGCTAACGCTGAGAGAAGAGGCGAAAAGTGATTGCCGATCGCTTGGCTGGCACTGCCATTATCAAACGAATGAAGCCGGCGAGAGGCTTCACATGATCTGCTCGATAACTTGGGCCATTCACATAAATCTTCGATTGTACTAGTAGCCAGTCAGTGGGGACTGTCTTCTCCAAGCCGAGAGTACTTACCATACTACAGGTAATGTACTAGTATCAAATGTCACCCAGTCCTAGGTCTTGCTGAGCATTGATCTCCTCCATTCGACTCCGATGGCCCTGCCGCGACGGCTATCCTCACAGTCGGGCAAGCGCGCACTGCATTGCATGGTGCCGCGACGAGCTCAGTGCGCCCGAGTATTTACCACGTTGTACGTCAGCGCAATGGTCCCGCCATTCTTGGCGGTAGTGACTGGACTCTCCATGGCAGGCCGACTGGTATCCGTCCGTGTGACCACTTGACCACAACCAACCAACGAGCCAGCTGGAGGCGGTGAATACTTACTACCGCGCCTCCACGCGTTTTGCCTTATATGGTACCTCGCGACTCAACAAGATTGCAGGGCATCCGCTAATACTACCTACGTCAACAGGGGACGTGCGAAAACAACGAAGCCAGATCATAATCACCCTGCAAGCATAGCGCCTGCCAGCCTGCGTCAGGGACGGCCGGCCAGATGCTAATGAAGCCTGGCGCACACATTGATCATTGTGCGTGAGCCCTGATCACTACTCACCCAAAAGGCAAATACGTATGGTCGTCCTCCAGCAATTTGCGCACCTGTTGCACACGCGACCTTATTAGCATTTAGCAACACAGCATGTCACTTCGCTTGTTAGTAAGTGACCAAAGATAGCAACTTGGGAAATTGCCCGCAGCCTGCAGGCGTCTCCAAGTCTGTCCCGAGCGGCACCGCAATGTTGGGATTGACTGGAGGTGCACACCTTGTTTTGCGTAGCGACAAAACAGCTTCGACAGGACCAAGTACCTAGGTGGGCCCAGGCCTGCCCAGCATGGAATACCTACTGACGTTACAACTCGATAATTACGAATCTTCCGCCAAATGCGCTAGTGCTAACACCCTGTCCCGGCCTCCTTCGGAGTCCTGGCTATCGCTCTGCCCTACGGAAAACTCATGCCGCTTTGGGAGTGGCTGTGGTGCACGCACACGGTACACCACCCCCTGGCCAAACTCCAGTCCAGTCAGTTCCTCGACGACTCTACCTGCTTACTACGCACACACACAGCCTGCTTTGCGCGCGGATACTTTCTCCTCATCGACGGCCACAACAGCTCTCGCCCAAATCCGTACAATGAACCGGGTCACCGACATGCGCGAAAATTACAATGCCTGTCCATTTGGAGACGAGGGGTCCAGGCACGATACTGAGAACCCCCCGCGCATCTGATGATCTGCTCGTCTGCCTGTGGGAAAGCCAGCAGGCGCATCCTCTGGCCCCCAATGCCACTCTACCTACTCACCTATTACTTACTAGACTACCTCATCTCTGCGGGCTGCTGGAAAGTGCGAAGGTACCGTGGCCCGCCATGTCGTAGATCATCTGCCTTGCGAGATTCTGCAGCGATTGTGCCCGTCAGACGGTCACTGTTGTCCATTCCCCCTTCCCACGCCCGCTCTTTCGCCAAAACATCCCAAAGGATGATCTTGTCGAGTACTTGTTACTACTTAGCTACTAGTAGTTGGTCAACAAACGGGCCAAACCTCGGCACATATTTCTTCTCCGTCCCCTTTTCCGTCCCCTTTGCCTCTTCTAATCACACCCACTATCCAAAATTCCCCGTATATTGACTTGGCAGCACCCGTTCAAGTCCAGTCGGTCACGCTCCCAGAGCCTCTACGACAAGCAGGGTTGGCATTCAGACGACAGTGGAAGGCTTCTACACGCCGTCGTGATCCGCAAAGAGCATTTCGCTTTTGAGTTGGGCAGGGTTGGTTCCGGCGATTCAGACCTGGTCTCGGGTGGTTTGATATGAAGGTACGTGTGGTTTCCCAGCACAGACATCTTCGCCAGCCTCGCTCACGGCCAGCTTCAAACATCGCCTTGGTCCTAACGGCTCCGTCCTTGACCAACTCGCCCAACTCGTCACATCGCAGAGCCACTGATTCGCCGCCGTCTATCATGGTGGCAGCTGGTTGTTCGCCCGACATACGGGGCAACGACTATGCGACGCTCAACGACTTCGGCGGCGTCTGTGACTTGTCTTCTCAATCCTATCAGCCTCTGATCGACCCTAAACTGACACAAGCTGTCAGCATGGGAAGCCCGTTTGCTTCGCTGGATTCAGTTCCCGCCAGTGTCTCTTGGACAACGCCAGACATGTCCACAATGCCCTCACCTACCATGTCTACGACGTCCGCAATGCCAGCCATGGCGATGTCAGTCTATGGCAAGCAGCTCGGCGTGTACGAATCACCTTGCCTTCCAACAGGACTGTATTCTAGAGGCAGCGGCCTTGCGAAAAATGCGACTCACTCCCCTAGTCTAGTCCGTACTCCACCCAACCCTAGCCCTGAAGCTACGTCAAGAGGGACAACATCATTTACGTCCTCGGGAGGTTCCTTCAGCCTTATGAGCAGCTCGTTACCGTCGATATCCCGCATGGAAGGCTCCATGCCCTATCGGCCTGTACGCGGACCAACGCTGTATCCGCATCCTGGGCACTTCCCGCTGAAAAGCCAAACCGGGGATCGGATTCCCTACGGTCACCCATCCCACATGCTTCTATCTATGGAGGCGTCTGCAAATAAGGTGAACTTGCTGGACACTGACCATCGTCCAAATCCAGCGCAGCTCGCCCGGGATGTGGATACAGGGCCATCGGCGTCGTTGATTGACAGCAGTGTCCAGAACTGGGATCGTGTGAAGAAAGCTAAGCGGCGTCCAACAAGAAAACTTACCACCCAAGAAGAAGCCAACTTTCAATGCCAAGTCAAGGGTTGTGGCAAGTTCTTCAGCCGAAGCTACAACTTCAAATCGCACAAGGGAACGCACGACAGTCGTAGGGAACATCCCTTTCCGTGCGAAGTCCCACATTGCACAAAGAGATTTTTGCGCAAGACGGACCTGCAAAGACATCACCAGAGTGTCCATAGCAAGGAGCGGAACCACATATGTGACTACTGCGCCCGCCCCTTTGCCAGAAAGGACACGCTTCGCAGGTTTGTATTCGACCTGTTTACCCCTTTTTCTTGTGATGTCGGCTGAAGATTATTCCCAGGCATATGGAGGATGGTTGCTCGAAGAGATTTGAGGTCAGCATGATCGAAACAACATCAGAAGGTTATGCCGCGAAACCGACTCAGTCAGGAGACAATCTTGCAGAGCGCAACTCAGGAGTGTCACCACATCCATTAACTCCCTCCCCCGCCCTCGGTCGGAACGATGCTACTTACCAGCATCAAGGATGGCTCACAGGCATTGTTCTAGATGCAGAGACGACACCAGGTCGTTCTGGTGCTGGTTGGAGGCGAGGCAGCTAGTCCTCCCCGTGGCGCAGCGCGCACAATAATGTTTGGGTATTCCAAGATATGAGTTATCAGGCCAGTGGGACGTTTTTTGTGTACGAGGCGTTCTTGGTTTGGGACATATGCCATGCATGGCCTCATGAAAGGCAACGACTAGCCTGGTATTGTAATTGTATTCACAGCGCTGCTCCACATACTACGTTCACCCAATTTACATGTCAAGTGTCGCCGCAGCTTTCAGCAGCCGCCAAAGGTAAGTACCATTCCGATTGTCATTTTCGTTGAGCGGTCCAGTCCTTAACAGAAGGGCTGGGCTTGTGGAGTCGAAGCAGTTAAGGTTGTCCGCACCAAAAGTCCCGCAGACGCCGTCAAAGCTATAGAGGCACAGGAGGTGAATCGCTGCTTCTGGGGACTCATTTCATATTTCTTGTGCCACCGAGCTGCTGACTAAATTGTCTGCAACATCAGGTTGGGGGCCAAGTACGTTTGGACGTGTCGTTCAATCCCACCCAAGATGCCCATGCAATTGCAATTAGAGCATGGGCTGCCAGGCATGTGGGATTCATTTTTGAACCCAGGTCGTGGAGATGAAAAGTGGTGAAAGCAGCCAGACACAAGTAGCAAGAGAATGACAATTATCGTGCTCTAGTCGCCTAGTATTATCACAGCCGGTCGGCCCACACAAGCCTTTGCGACTCGCAATACGGGCGTACCTTATCAGTTGAATAATTACTATTATCGTACTCGCAGGATGGCCGGCAGCCTGCAGGCTGAACAGGTCATGGGGCCCGGCTTGGAAGGCTAGCTTGGCAGGGGCCTTAGGAATTGACATAATGACATTAATAGATATTGAGGAGGTTGTTCGTACGCATATTCACCTTGACAGTTCTTATTGCCATCTATCACAAGATCGTTACGAACTTGCGTCGCGTCGTCGTTTGTATGTAAGCTAGTCAGTGCCCACAACCTACGAACCCGCAGATTCTGCTATGTGAAATTTTTAGTCCGGCCGTCATACCACATTTCAGAGTAGATAAAACTAACAAGTAAAGCAAACACAATCCTGTTTAGTGCTCGCCCTGCACGATGAGAGCGAGCGGGCCAATTCTGTGGTCTGTTCCGTAATCCGTTGTCCTCGCTTTGTCCACATCGAGCCAAACAACAGCAAATGCATAGTGCATCCGCGATACACGTGGCAAGACATGTATCAAAATCCTCTGTGCAAGCTCACGCAGTGCTGAGTTCATGCACGTCTCATGGGGTTGGATGAGATTGACACAATTCGCATGGCGTCAGATAATTCAACTCTGATTGACATGCAGTGAAAGACAATCCTCTCGTATTGGGTGACGGGTCGTGATTGTATAACTTGGGTCGCTGATTCCTATTCGCATGGCCCCATCGATAAGGCAGGTAGATGTCTTGGGTGGAACATCAGGCGAATACGTTCGGATGCGAGCGCGTTGCCCAACATCAGATGGAGTAGGCAGACGATCTTGCCGAGAGTAGTAGCCTTATGTACTCAAATGATGACAGCAACTCAAGTGAACGCTTTGGCGAGCGACCAGAAGTTCTCCATCTTCGCCCTCGACAGCACATCCCTCGCCTCGGCATCATTTTCGCACACGCGGCTACCCCATTTGCTGAAGCCGCGATCCTTCTCCTCGCCATCGAAGACCAATTTGCACTCGTTCAGCGACATGTCTTTTAGTTCACCTCTCTCGTTCTCGGCAAGTAGCCAGTCTCTGACGACGCCCCGATTGCCATCCTTTTCACGAGAAGGGGAGTTTTCCGTCCAATCAATGCGATTGAGCATGAGCTTTTTGAACTTGTTCGCACTGTGCTCTCCGCCTTCCACGACAACCAGGTTGAACTTTGGGTGCATGATGCACGTGCCAGTCAAATTGAGTTGCTCCGCGTTAACACCAATTTTGTAGCGATGCTGTCCATTCGCCAAGCTGTTGATCTTGAAGACAAGAACATGGATACCCTTGCCGGCATCCTTCTCTTGTTTCGACTTGAGCTTCTCGTGGCGTTGCTCTTTCGAGAGCTTCCGCTCCTCGTTCATATCGACATGCTGCTGGTGTCTTTCGGCGATTTCACGATTCACTCGCGCCTCTACTGCTGTAGGGTCTTTCACAGCCACATCGCCGAGCACACGCATCAAATTGCCCTTTTTCACCTTGTCTGGTGGCGCAGGCACTAGGCCCAGTCCAATCTTGGTTTGCTTTTCCTTGAGCTCAGCCATTCTGCGTTGCCGACGAATCTTGGCTTGCTCCTTTGACGTAAGATACAGAGTTGCCTCACGCGGCGCCTGCTTGTCTTGCGCTGGCTGCAATTGTACGGGATGTTGGATGTACTCTGTGATAATCGAGTCGGGGCTGTTGATCTTCAGGTTGTAAGAGTTCTCAATGTCGTCGTAATTTGACCCGTTGACCAAACCCTCGTCCCACCACTCAATATCGGGCGGTGCGTCCACGACAAAATTCTTTTCCACATCGAGATCATCGTCAATGCCAGCTTTTCGCGTCTGTTCCGCGATGCGCTTTTTCATCGCCTCGAGGGCCGCTTGTCGTCTTAGAGCAGCACCTTGTTGGATATATTTTCCTTTTTGATTGAAGATGAGCTGCCGAGATTCGCGTGGCTTGCCCACATTGTGTTGAGAGGATGCCTTCGTGTCAAGGTAGGGGTTCTTGCCGTCAGCGCCCAGAATGCCGGGGCTCTGGGCTCTCGGGTCGTTCAGTGTCCGGTATGCGTCGTTTTTGTGTAGCGAGGATGGTTTGGCGGCGTCTTTGCCCTTTGTTGCAGGTTTCCACGACCCCAGGTCCTCCAAAGCAGGGTGCAGACCTACATTGAGGCCTCCTTTTGCCTTACTAGTGTCGATAGCCGCGGACACTCGAGCCTTGAGAGCGGCAAGGCGCTCTGCTGCCGACTCTGATTTTTGTATACGTGACGTGCCATCGTGTCTTGGTCCAAGGCGATCTTGCTGTGAGCGCTCCATGATGCTTGAGGCGCTCGGCACGGACACGTGCGCCTTTGCACTGCGAAGATGTCAACGACACTTGCACGAGACCCAGGTGGACCTGTGAGTACGGGAAAAACGGATTCGCTCAGTCGAGGACGGAAACTCCGCGACTTTGCAAGAAGATGACGCGAATGATGAGCCTCGATGGCAAGACAATGTCGCGAGCGGGAGATGTCAGAGCTCGAGATGCAGAGCCGGCGAGCGGCAAGTGGAACCGACCAATTGTGAGCATCATTTTCTGCGTACCTCATTGGCCAAGTACGCATGCACCACTTTCACCAGGAACCGTGGCTGTCAAGGTAACAAAAAGTTCTGCCTTCCTCCACCGCCAAAAATTTCGTCTTGCCTGCGAGGCTACGGTCTTGGAATTTGGCGATTGCAAGCCCCACTACTGTTGAACGCAAAACACGCTGTCGGTGCCGTTCTTGTTTCCCTCTGCATCGTTGTGATGTGCGCGCGGTCTTGAAGCTTATTGAAGCTTTACCTGCTGCTTCTGGCAGCCAACTTCAGCCGACGCCAGCTCGATCGGCAACGTCATCATGAACATTTCACAGCCAATCTCGTCCGACGTGGACAGCGTCGAGTTCACGTTCTTGTCTTCCAAGGAGGTCCAGGCAATATCAGTAAAGCGCATCGAAAACGACAGTACCTTCGACAATCTATTAAATCCGGTGCCTGGAGGTCTTTACGACCCTGCCCTTGGCTCGTGGGGTGATTCGCCGTACAGACCCTCTTGAACTCGAAAATTGTTCCAGCCGCTGACTCTCAATCCCTTAGATGCGCGACGTGTAACCTCAACCAGATCAATTGTCCAGGACACGCAGGCCATATTCAACTACCGGTGCCCGTTTACCACCCCGTGTTCCTGGATCAAGCATACCGGCTCCTTCGCGCAGCTTGCGTCTACTGCAGAGGCTTCCGGCTGCCTCCCAAAGATCTACATGCGTATATCTGCAAACTGCGACTTCTACAACATGGTCTGATCAACGAGGCCCACCTCGTCGGGTCAATTGGCGAGAATGATCTGGGCTTCAAGGGCAAGGAGCTCGGCCTCGACGTCGATGAATCTGCAAGTGAGGCTGAGGAGGAGGGAAAGGCCTCAATCAGCAATGTGACACGAGCGCGCGACAAGTATGTAGAAGCCTGTCTGCGCGGCATCAAGACAAAGAGGGGCGAAGCGAAGCGTGGAAAACATGAGGGCGCCATCGAGCTGCGGCGCGAAGTGATCAAGGAATTCCTAGCAGAGATCACCAAGAAGCGGGCTTGCGCAAGCTGTGGAGGAATCAGCCCAACATACAGAAAAGACAAGTTTGTCAAAATCTTTGAGAAGTCGCTCTCGGATAAGGAAAGAGGCAAGATGGCGCAGAGGGGCATGAGGCGACACGATGCAATGGCTCGGGTTCACCAAACACAGCACGAAGTGAAACGGAAACCCAACGAGCGCCGAAACTCTGACGAAGGAGTTGCTGATATCGAATCTCCTGTTGCTGAAATGGAAGAAGATCTCGCCGAGACAGAGCACGACGTCGCCATGGCAGACATCGAACAAGTGATGGCCAACGAAACGCAGCGATACATCACCCCCATGGAGGTGAGGGCCCGGTTGACGGAGCTCTTTGAGAAGGAGCAGGACTTGTTGTGGCTAGTATACAATGCCAGGCCAGCCTCAAGAAGCTCGCCGTCAGCGTCACCAGACATATTCTTCTTAACACACATTCTCGTGCCGCCAAACAAGTTCCGTCCTGAAGCGCGAACAGGCGATTCATCCATCGCCGAAGCGCAGCAGAACAACCTGTACAAGAACATCTTGAGGGGCTGTAGCAGAATCGCCTTGGTCCATAACACTTTGAGCGAGGGCCGCGGCGACATCACTCAGCTGCACTCGGCTTGTGCTGAGCTTCAGGATTCAGTCAACTCTCTGATCGACAAAGACAGGAACCCGGTCCAAGGCGCAGCTGCAGCTCGCAACGAAGACGGCATCAAGCAGCTTTTGGAGAAGAAAGAAGGCCTCTTCCGCAAGAACATGATGGGAAAGCGTGTCAACTACGCAGCCCGCAGTGTTATTTCACCAGACCCCAATCTCGAAACCAATGAGATTGGCGTTCCGCCTGTCTTCGCCAAAAAGCTGACGTACCCCGAGCCAGTCACCAGCCATAACTTCAGGGATATGCAACAGGCTGTCATCAATGGAGTCGACAAGTGGCCGGGTGCTTTCGCGATCGAGAATGAGAATGGTCAGATTGTCAGCCTGCGCAATAAATCAGTCGACGACCGTATCTCCCTTGCCAATCAGCTGTTGGCTCCGTCAAGCAATACTGCCGCCAAGTTGAGGAACAAGAAGGTCTACCGCCATCTGACCAACGGCGATGTCGTCCTGATGAACCGCCAGCCAACGCTCCACAAGCCATCCATCATGGGTCACAGGGTGCGCGTTTTGCCTGGGGAGAAGACGATTCGCATGCACTACGCCAATTGCAACACGTATAATGCCGACTTTGATGGCGACGAGATGAATATGCATTTCCCGCAGAATGAAGTCGCCCGAGCTGAGGCCCTCCAGATTGCAGATACAGATCACCAATATCTCTCTGCGACCGCTGGCAAGCCGCTGCGAGGTCTCATTCAGGATCATATTTCCGTCTCCGTGGCACTGTGTAACCGCGACACTCTGTTCACAAAGGGTGACTACCACTCCCTGGTATACAGCGCGCTGCGGCCTGAGAGCGGTCATATTCTGGGTGAACGAATTCAACTCATCCCACCGGCTATCATGAAACCTGTCCTCCGTTGGACCGGCAAGCAGATCATCACCACCATCCTGAAGAATATCCAGCCGTTGAATTGTGGTGGCTTAACGATGGCCGGTGACAGCCAAATTCGAGGTGAACAGTGGGGATCCAAGGATTCAGAGGAAGCCAGGGTGTTGTTCCAAGACGGCGTCCTCATCCACGGGATTTTGGACAAATCCCACATTGGCCCCAGCGCAGGTGGCTTCATTCACTCGATTCATGAAGTGTATGGTCCTGCGGTCGCCGGCAAGCTTCTCAGTAGTCTGGGGCGCCTGCTCACAAGGTACCTGAGTGTACGGGCTTTCTCTTGCGGAATGGACGACCTTCAATTGACAGAGAAAGGAGAGGCAGCAAGGAAAAGGGAACTCGTAGCTGCTGATCACGTCGGGCTCAAGGTGGCCTCGGAGTACGTCTCAGTGCCAGATTGTCAATCGAGCAAGGACCCCCTCCTTCTTGAGCGCCTAGAGGAGGTTGTCCGTGACGATGACAAACAAGAGGGACTGGATCTCCTCATGAACGCAAGCGGGCAGGACATCACAGCAAATGTTCAAAAGGCCTGCCTCCCTGATGGTCTAGAAAAGCCTTTCCCCCGAAATCAAATGCAGGCTATGACAACTTCTGGTGCCAAGGGCAGCCGAGTCAACGCTTCACTCATCTCCTGCAACCTCGGACAGCAGGTCTTGGAAGGTCGGCGAGTGCCAATGATGGTCAGCGGCAAAACACTGCCCTGTTTTAGACCCTTTGAGACTCATGCTCGCGCCGGCGGCTATATTGTCAATCGCTTCCTTACTGGTTTGCGTCCTCAGGAATACTATTTCCATCACATGGCTGGTCGAGAAGGTCTGATTGACACGGCTGTGAAGACGTCGCGCTCCGGCTATCTGCAGAGGTGTATCATTAAGGGCATGGAAGGGTTGACCGTCGGATATGACACGACTGTTCGTGATGCCGATGGTTCAATTGTACAGTTCCTCTACGGTGAAGATGGACTCGACACATCGAAGCAAAACTATATCAAGGACTTCGGCTTCATTCTCAACAACGTCACATCGGAAGCTGCCCAACTGAGGTACACTCCACAAGTCGGCGAGCGCCTTGGGGGTCAGAAAGAAGACATCGTCAAGTACATGAAGAAGGCTATCAAGCATGCGGGTGCGCGCAATGCTCGTGACCCGGTCACTGCTGCCTTCAGCCCTGCTACTAATGCTTTTGCAACCTCGGAGTCATACTACGAGGCCATGACAAAATATGTGAAGGACAACAAAGATGGCCTCATTTTGGACAAGAGCGAAAAGTCAAAGAAGAAGGCAGGTCTCAACAAGAAAAACGCCGAGATGCTCTTCGCTATGAAATATCTCCAATCGCTTGTCGAACCCGGAGAGGCTGTTGGTATCGTCGCTGGGCAGTCCGTCGGTGAACCTTCCACGCAGATGACACTCAACACTTTCCATTTGGCCGGTCACTCGGCCAAGAACGTCACATTGGGTATCCCCCGTCTTCGAGAAATCCTAATGACGGCAAGCAAATCCATCTCCCGACCAGCCATGTCACTTTACCCTATCAGCGAGCTCAGCAAGGACGATGCAGACATTTTCGCCAAATCCATCAGCATTTTGCCCCTGACTTATGTCCTTGACAAAGTTTCGGTGCAAGAGAAAGTGGGCCGTGGGCGTGGCCATGCGACTGCGAAAATGTACAGCATCAAACTCAAGTTCTTCCCGGCCGCGGAATATACCAAGACGTATGCCATCGAGGTTGACGACGTCATGGGAGCCATCGAGAAAAGGTTCCTGCGGCATCTGTTGACACTTGTCAAGAAGGAGTTGCGCAGGCGCAAAAACGATGTCCTGGATGCGGCGGCAATGATCGGTCAAAGCTCAGGCACGGTCGAGACAGTTGCTCAAGTGACCCAAGTAGATCGAGGAGAGGATGACGAGGATGATGACGATGGAGATGGCGACGCCACCAACGCCAAACAGCGAGCCAACCGAGGCGAGGACGTTTCCTACGGGCCCAACGACGATGAAGATGACGCACTAGTGCACGCTATGGATAGGGAGGATGCTACAGGCGGGATCGATGATGATGGCGAAGGCACCAGCAAGGCTCCACAGAAGTCTCATCACCGCGTTCGGGATGTACAAGACGATGAAAGCGACGAAGATGCTGACTCGGACAATCTTGCCGAAGAGGGTGGAAACGCGCGGTCCGATCGTGTGCTGAAAGCATATGACGAGGTGCATGCTTTCAGCAGTGACGAGAAAGACGGCGCCTGGTGCGACATTCATCTCGAGTATCCCGGCTCCACGCCCAAGCTTCTCATGCTCAGCCTTGTCCAGGCTGCAATCAAGAAGACGGTTGTTCAACAGATCCCGGGCGTGGGCTCTTGCACGCTTGTCGAGGAGAAGGACAAGTCTCTTGTCATCCATACCGAAGGCACAAATCTTCGAGCTATGCAGAAGTACAGCGACTACATCGACCCCAACCGTATCTCAACCAACGAGATTGGCGACGTGCTCGAGGTGTATGGAGTGGAGGCAGCTCGCGGCAGCATCGTTGCTGAGCTCGCTGGTGTCTTTGGCGGCCACGGAATCAAGGTGGACAATAGGCACTTGAACCTCATCGCCGATTACATGACCCGAGCCGGCGACTTCACTGCTTTCAACCGCATGGGTCTAAAGGGCAATGTCAGCCCTTTCACGAAGATGAGCTTCGAAACCACACTGGCATTCCTGAAGGACGCGGTGCTTGATGGCGATTGGGACGATTTGGCAACGCCGAGCAGTCGCCTTGTTATGGGCAGGTTGGGCAAGGTCGGCACGGGTGGCTTCGATGTCTTGACGCGTCTGCCACAGCACATTGATGATTCTCACGGCGTCCGGTGAATTATGTAAATGTTGTATTCTATTTCGATTTGGATGAAGCGCAGTACCGACACACAGATTGTTTCCATTTCTGCTTGACACAGTCCGCCGTGATTTGTCAGGGGGGATAATCGTCCTACATCATTAACGGAATTATTCATATCAGTTGTGACTGGCTGAACTCGGGCTTTGCTTGTCGGAACCCCGTGAACCTCGGCATCGGGTAGCCTCAATTGCCTTTCCCCGCATGTCGTCGAATCGTCGATAGATCATCAGGTACCTAGAAATTAGAATTGGTTTTCGTTATTAATTGATCGTTGGCTTCATGCTTGATCCTGTTCTCGGCTGGCCTTCCCCTTCCTGGGTAGTATTCAACCATTGCCCCCGATACAGACCAAGGTGACAGCGAGACACCTTGCCCAGTAGGCACAATTTCCATCAAACGAAGATGGCTGCTCCTAAAATTGTCTTCTATTTCGACACTGTGAGCCCCTTTGCTTACATTGCTTACTATGTACTCCGTGTAAGGCCTAATTCGATATATCTTACTCGGCCACAGACGTGGAGCTGACCTAATTGAGCACGACCCTGTCTTCGCCGAGTGTACTATCACCTATGTGCCCATCCTCCTCGGTGGCCTCTTTAAGATGTGCAGCAATACAGCTCCCCTCATGATCAAAAGTACGTGGCAAATTCATCCCATTATGTTGGCAAAGCGACTGAACGAAATGCATAGACAAGGACAAATGGATTGACAGGGAGCGTCAAATTTGGGCATCAGCATTCGACGTCCCAATGCAACAGCAAAGGCCACCCAACTTCCCACCTCGCACTCTGCCCATCATGCGAGCACTTGCTACGCTGGGAAGCACGAACCAAAGCAGTCTCACTTCCGCCCTTGACGCCTTGTGGGAGGAATTCTTCGTGCACCACGCCCGGACAGAGGAACCAGCCGAGCTGAGGCGCATCTTGTCAAAGGCGCTCGAGTCGCAAGGCCTGGCGGATGAGATACTGCGCAGAGCCGCCAGCGCCAATGCAGATGGGGGTAAAGCCATATTGACAGCAAACACCGAAGAGGCATTTCATAATGGAGCATTTGGGGTGCCCTGGCTGGTTTGCACAAGGAGCGATGGGCAGCAGGAGTCATTCTGGGGTGTTGATCATCTAGGCCGGCTTGCCGCCTTTCTCGAGCTGGACAAGCCTGCGGCCGGGAAGTGGATATCGCTACTTTGAGTATTGTGGAATTGCAAGTAGCGGCAGAGATTCCTCGGGATTTGGCTTGTATTTAGAGAGCCACGAGACTCAACGTGTAGTCGACGCGTCCTGAATCGCGGTGCTTCCATGGGCGCCTTAGCTGCGCGGCCGTCCGTAGTTGCAACATGCAATCCTTTCGGGTAACCACGGCAGTGCTGCCAAGAGCTCTGCAGGCACATCATTATTTGTCGCAATCAAGGATCATGTTATGTGAAATGTTCATCGTGAGGTCTGCATGCCTCTGTTCCATTGCTACAGGGGCCCCTGCCGCAATGTATTGTACACCTGAAAAGTTCTCATCGTAACGCCTGATTGCCCCCCAAAACCGTGAATCCATCGTATCAAAGCAAATGTCGTGAACCGCAAAAGGTATCGTTGAGACGCCGCCAAATCACCATCATGTAGAAAGCGCCAGCTTAGTTGCGCTCTCCGCGAAGGCGGCGGGCGAGCTGGATGTCCTTAGATTGGATGGTGACGCGCTTGGCATGGATGGCGCACAGGTTGGTGTCCTCGAAGAGGGAGACGAGGTAGGACTCGACTGACTCCTGGAGAGCACCAATGGCTGAAGACTGGAAGCGAAGGTCGCTCTTGAAGTCCTGTGCAATTTCACGAACCTGTGTGTGTCAGTCGGATAACAGTCCTCTCGGATGGCATGCTACTCACCAAGCGCTGGAAAGGGAGCTTGCGGATGAGAAGCTCAGTCGACTTCTGGTAGCGACGGATCTCACGGAGAGCGACGGTACCGGGCTTATAGCGGTGAGGCTTCTTGACACCACCGGTTGATGGCGCGCTCTTGCGGGCGGCCTTGGAGGCGAGCTGCTTGCGGGGAGCCTTGCCACCAGTGGACTTACGGGCGGTCTGCTTGGTGCGGGCCATGGTTGATGATTGTGATGATTGAAGTTGTGATGAAGCTGTTGATGGCTGAGGTGTGAATGTGTGGAAGTGGGTGTGATGATGATGCAGGAGGGAAAAGGCCGAGAGGGGCGAGGCGGGGGGGCGCTTTAATACCCGGAACGCGTGAGCGTGATTTGGGGCGGCTGATCTGTGTTGGCTGATTTGGGCGGCGCGTTTTAAAGTGGGTCGGGTTTTCGTTGCAACGCGCCAAAAAATGACTGGGTTTTGCACCAATTTCTGACCTTCAGTTTTCAGACTCCGCTTTAGGAAAAGGTCAAGCATTTACAACAATGTCGAATTATCATTGGTCAAAAAAGCGACATCTCAGTAAACGACATCGGGGAAGACATGGTGTTAGTAACCCACTGTACTTGAATATCACTCTACGGTCCTCAGCAGACTGCTTGACTCTCCATGCACCTGATATACGTACTGTGAGCCTGTGAGCTAAGTATTCGGGAAGCATTTCTTCACCCTGTCGTCTCCGATAATACATCTGTCACTAGCACTAGCGTGGTGAAATCAACTTAACGTTTGCCCAACTAGGTGACAGTCCTGTGGTACAAAGTACCTAAGGTTATTCGAAACAGCACCTGCACACACAACCGAAGATACGAATGCGCGAAAAAAACCCTGCAGTACGTAGCAAGACCACAATGTAATAAGCCAATTACTTCAAGGTGCATATTATCAATAGTTCGGTGCTTTACACAATGGCGAGGGCTCTAGGCATATTGTAGAGAGCTAGCATAGGGTAGGCAAGTGGTCAGAAACGAAGACGAGCTTCAAGATAGCTACTTAAACGGCCACACGTCGCAAATTCCTACATCGAGACCCCGGAGACACTACTTGCCACGTACTGCAAACATCACTCGCCCTCAGTTGGGATGCAGACAGATTTGAAGCTTCTCTATCCAAAGGTCATGCCTGAACAGCTATTAGTATAACTGATAGTTCGTCATAGCAGTAGTGTACAAACGCAAGCACATTTCTACAGTTCAATTAGCATCCAGTGAGTGCTCCGTCCGCGTTGCTAGTAGTGCGTGGCAATCGTACGAATGTTGAATTTCGATTGGCCAGGAATTACCTGCTGGCACAAGGTATTTCCCGGCTGGGACTCGCTCAGACGCGTCGCGGCGTTGCGGGCTGTTGGTGTGGGGCATTTCGCCGTTTGGCGTTCTGATCTGTTGATTTGGCCCACCTGTACTTAAGCTCCCACACTCCCCGATCTCGTTCTGCATTCACCAGCTGCTACCATCCATCACAGCCCAATCAGACGTCCTGTCAGAACAACACACATTTCTACCTCCCCCACAAAACCTTCTCACTATCATCATGACTGGACGTAAGTACCTTGCAACCCCAATACTTCGTTGCCTACCAGGACGCGCACATAGCGCCCGACAATCGGCTACCAAGAAGACCAGGAAGCTAATACTCGACAGGCGGCAAGGGCGGCAAGGGCCTCGGCAAGGGCGGTGCCAAGCGCCACAGGAAGATTTTGAAGGACAACATCCAGGGTATCACCAAGCCTGCCATTCGCCGTCTCGCGCGTCGTGGCGGTGTGAAGCGTATCTCTGCCAGTAAGCGCCAGAATCAACACGAAGCGCACGCGATCGACGCTGACATTTCCCAGTGATCTACGAAGAGACCCGTGGTGTGTTGAAGACATTCCTCGAGGGCGTCATCCGTGATGCTGTCACATACACAGAGCATGCGAAGCGCAAGACCGTCACTTCGCTTGACGTTGTGTACGCCCTGAAGCGACAGGGCCGCACTCTGTACGGTTTTGGTGGTTAAACGTCTATCTACGTTCTGTCTTTGTTGAAATGCCTGTTATGAACTCTATGTGGGCGTGCCACGCGCCGCGCCCTGTGGGCATATACTGCAACGCGCCTGGGTTTTTGCGTGTCTTTGGCCATGGGAAGATGAGCCATCGTACGGTGTTATCATGACTATTGGGAAACTAGTCTTTGCTATCAATTTGGTGTTTTGATGTATCATAAGGGAAACGGGCGGCTCGTTTGGGATCAATCAACATGGCTCTCAAGCCTTCGATGAATGAATACTCACCAACGTGTTATGTGACACAGTACCCATGGAGCCGTATCATGCTGAAGTACGCGTTAAATAGTAGGGAACCACGGCCTGGCAAGTGTTTGTGTTATCTACATTACCTCTCACTGTATCACATTGCCCGCGATGCCTGAATACAATGACCATCTAGTTCAAATTATCGCGGTATCGATAGCAAACCTGTGCAATATGCCACTATGATGATGGACCTTTAGCTTGACAACATCGGCATTTCATGATCAAGCGAGAGAATAACTACATGCGCCGTCTTGGGCGCGGTAGTTATGTCGATTTGATATCAAAGGCAAGCTCGGTGGAATGAATGCCCGGCGTTTTGTCGACCGCGTTTAAAAGTGCCCGATCACAGTGACTCACCTGCGTTCCCGATTTCAACGAGCACTTAGATGCGTCTGCGCGTCCCAATCAAGTAGGCAGGGCTTTGGGACCATGGCATATACGTAGCCAACTCGGGCTGTTAGGAGCGTGGGAAGCTGAGCCAATTGGTATCCAACCTTTCTGTAGACACTTTTTAGTTACCGCTGTCCGCAATTACGTACTATAGTACCAACGATAACCATATAATACTACTAGTATTGTGCACGACCGGATATCGACATGTGCATAAGTGTAAGATGTTCATCAAGTGTTGGGGATAGCACGGCACGCCACGAGCCAACCGGAAATACGACTAGGTGTGGCTAAGGTGACGGCAGCTTAGTTAGAATACTCTTATTTATACGATGTTCAGGTGGCTCGTGCTATACGTTCAAGTCGCTATTCAAATATCAATGATACGAGACGCGGGAATCACAGGAATCTCGGGAGTGGAGAAGAGACCGGAGGCTTAGCAGCCCTTAGTGCTAGGCCGATAATTAGTACGTCAGTATCTTATATGGAACCGAGCGAGTACACCTGCGGTGGAAAGGCTGATTACCCCATGGACAAACGTAAGTGAATTCCCCAGTTCCAGGCTCCCGGCGCCACAGAATGCCGTACAATGTGGAGGAGGAACGTCGTTTCCCTGCATCGTTGTGCCTACAGAAGATGTAGCTCCGATCTTAACCGGTACTTAGCTCTACGGCAAGTCCTAGTGGCAAGAGAGGTACCTCCTCCTTACGAGTAGGCTATTTGGTCAGACCCTCCTGTAACGCACGGACGTGCAGGCTTCTGACTGTCGAGGAGATGGCTTGTACAATTATGTAGTGATCAGACAGTTATGCTGACCAAATGCGTATTTGGGCTTCTGCAGCCGTTTCCTAAGGTGTGCGTATTGCGGGACGATTGTCTCGAGCTTCTCGGAACTTGGGGATCGGCAATGCGGTACGTCACTGCGACTCTGTTATAGCTGCAATACCACGCGAAATCATCACAGTGTGTCACAGCAAGACCCTGATTTCAATGCGCATGCTACATCACTCCCGCGCAATTGAAGCAGAGGCGGGAGTATAAGCTGGCCTGCCTCATATCCCGCGTCACTCAAATGCGCTGCAGCGATCGCCTAGCAGCCGATGAGACTGCACCAATGTGCTGGGTATAATGCCTTCGCTAAACCAGTTCGCTTTTTGGAAAGGTGTCGGTCTGCTTCGCCCACACAAGCTAAACCAGTCGGATGGAAAGATGGATGACGGTAGGAATCAGGGTACGTGTAGGGGTTTATCTGTACCGAGTGCTCTCCGTTGAAAAAAAGCTAGGATCCAGGCGATCATAGCCCGAAAAAGCAAGCCTCTGACATAGCACAGATCGAGTCGTCCGGGCCCGATGGTGGGTGGAGAGTGTATGGACCATGTGTGTCATCGGACAAGGAGGACGATTGGACAAGGACGGCATCCAACCCTGACGGAGCGCGAAAACCCTTGAAAAAAGCGGGACGGGACCCTGGATGCTGTCATCTTCCAGACGTAACTCCGCCGACTGGCGCTCAGCAGGGCTTGGCACTGATGTATTCTCATCCCGGTCGTTGACTCCTTCTGTCTTGGTGGGTAGCCCACCTTCCTTGGTGACACCTACGTAAGGCAGGTGCCCTTTCCCAGGCAGTTGCGTAAGGTAGGTTAGTTCGGCGGGTCTCCGCTGGCCCCGGCTAGGAGCAACTTTACCTGGTACTTATTAGCCGGAGTCTGAAGCTTCCGTACGCTCTACGCTTTATAGTCTGCAGTTCCTCCCACATCTATTGCCACCCGTCGTATTTACGTTGCCCAAGTAATACTCTGTTGATCTTCAAACTATTCGAACATCGGGGCATCATGCTTTCCGTTTCACACCCTCAAACCGTACATCGTCCCCTGCATCACCAGCATCAGCAATCCGATCGTGTCTCTGCCGCCCAGACCTTCGACTTTGGCCCAACAGCTTCTTCTTTCGCCGCCATCGATCCTATAAGCTCTCTAACACCTGGTTCTCTTCCAAACCCGTCAATGTCTAATGACACCTGGGGCAACCTTGCCCAGCACAACCCCGAAAAGATGGGCCGTATGCCACATCAGCGAGAGTCGTCACTGTCTTCGATGGGCTCAGCTGGCCCAGCCTCGCCATACAACCAGTCCACCTCAAATCCTCAAATTGCCATAACCGATTCCACCGGGGACGATCTGACCGACATACACACGCAAGACGTGAGCTCTCAGAACAGCCAGCTATTCCAAGTACCCAAGTCCGCTGCGAGCACATATACTGGATACCAGTGTTTGGAGCAGGCCATTCCAGATATGGCATACCCAGCTACGATACCTGGCCCGTGTAGCAATCAATCACGTACAGATCGCGGCTTGCTGCCGGCGCCTGACATGGCTATGTCTAGTCGATCGCACCCGCCGTCCGTCGCTAGTTCTGTCACAGGTGACTCTCAAGCAACCGCAACTGCTGGCAGTGAAGATGTCGGCGACAGACGACGTAAAGGTGAGAATTTCCCCGCTCACAGGTACGACGTTGTCCACAGCTGGCTTACACTAGCTTCAGATGGCTACGGTAACGTGCCAAAGCTCGACCGCACTATGACGGACGTCTACGGCGATGAATTATACAGCCCTAACTTTGCTATAACTTCAACGCCCCCTTCGCAGCCACAAGGGCTTACAACGATATCACCACCAAGCGATATATTCAATCAGCGGCTCAACGCTGCCAACAGTCAGCATCTTGGCATGGCACATTCACCCGCATCGGTCACAGCAGCCGACCATAGGACATCGTCGCCGTTCAGACCCAGTTCCCCCTTTGCGAAAACTCCAGGCCATGACTTCGCAGCGCCACGGGTCAAGCCTCAAAACGGAGGCGACCGTGCGAGAGACATTTCCAGCATGAGGCAAGATGCGCCCGTCTTCCGGTCACAATCTTTAGCGGATACAGAACCGGAAACGCCAAAAACGATTTCGCCCAAAGATGCAATGCTCGAGTTCAACGACCCTGAAGGCGATGCGGACTTTCCTCTGTTTTCCCAGAGTTCCATGGCTCTTGATATGGAGCAATTGCCTAAGTCAATGTCTTTGCAAGCAACACAACAAAGTTTCATGCCTGGAGCGAACGGAATGGGTCTCGAGCAGTTTGGGTATGTGCCCAACTCTGAAGTTGCGCACAGCTTACAGGTGCCACAACAATACCCATTTGTACCACGACTGCAGTCAGGAGCAGTCGTCTCCCCCCCAAGATTGAGCTCTTCCGGATCGAGTCCCGATTCTGTGTCAACTACAAATCCCAGCTCGAACATACGTCGACCAACTAGGGCAGGCGCCGAGGGTGGTACATATACCTGTACTTACCATGGCTGCAATCTACGATTTGAAACCCCCGTTCTACTTCAGAAACATAAACGGGAAGGCCATCGACAGACCCATGGACTCATACCCACTCAACCTGACATTGGGATGACCACGTCGCTTGTGAACAGCCAGGCTGGCCCGCACCGCTGCGACCGCATCAACCCGAGTACCGGCAAGTCATGCAGCACTGTGTTTTCACGACCATACGACCTCACCCGTCACGAGGACACGATACACAATGCGCGGAAGCAGAAGGTTCGGTGCGATCTATGTACAGAGGAAAAAACATTCAGCCGTGCGGATGCTCTCACACGGCACTACCGTGTGTGTCATCCTGATATGGAGCTACCGGGCAAAAGCCGGCGACGAGGTGTTGCCTGAATGGGTCACGTTCTCACACACACGAAAACTGAGCGACGTATTCTGGTGTGCACCGACCCGCGGGTGGCTCCCATCAGCACAAGGCGCGTCATGCAATCCCACCTGCCACGAGCTGTGGAAAGCGACGGCGTTGCATGACATGACGCAAGTGGAACGATGGTTCCCCAGCTCTCTGCCCAACCAGGGCTGGCAGAGCGTTCAGGGTCCTGCAGGGTCCTTCGCATGACGTCATGACATCCGTGTCTTCTTGGTTCTGACGTCACTCCCTGCGTCCACCCTCGATTGCAACCCCGAATTTGTCAGTTCGACACCCACACAGATGGTCGTCACCTCTCGTCATCAAAGTGGTCTTGGGCCAGCCTAGCATCAGCAAATGCCCACTGGTCTTACAGGGTTTTCATTTTTGGTGATGTACCGGATTGGCGGCCCTACTTGGATTTGGCTTTCTTTTTTCCCGCCTCCATTCGAGCCTCATTACGTCGATAATAGAATTAGCGAGGCGTTAGGCGGAAAGGGGATAGATGAAGTATGTGGATATGTTGAAACTATAGAATTGTAGAGAGGTATAAACGAGCAATGAGTAACGAACAT